TCCCCCGGGTTTCTTCTTGTTCTTTTACCACGACAACCAACTCCCCGGTCTGTCGTGTTTCATTGTCTGCTGCATTCCTTGCAGAGACAATCCCTTTCTCTTCTCCACCCCCCCTCCCTCGGGCTCCCCTGCCGCTCCGTTGGCAGCGACAAGTCAGCGATGGCGGCCGTTACAGCACCCACTCCTAAGCTGGATCGCTACATCGTCATCCACGTTGCAACAACTTGCGATGAACATGGCGTCTATGTCACCAAGGATTCGGCCGAAGTGATCGAATTGGGATGGATTCTGTTGGACACCAAGACGTGCGAAGAGGTACACACAACCCGCCCCAACATTCTCTACCCCAGCGCCCGCTTCTCCCCGAACTACCTCCGAGAGGTGTATCAATCTCGCTCACACTTTTTTTCATCTATAGTTGCACCGGGAAAGTGTCCTCGTTAAGCCCGTTAACACCCCCATTACTCCGTTGTGCAGTAAGCTTTTCCTCTTGCCGCGATTCAATACCGAGGATATGAAACATATAGGCTGACCTAACTATACAGCGAGCTTGACCACCCTGACCTGGGAACACGTCCGCTCCGCAGGTACTTTCCGCGATGCCATCAACCGATTCGACACCTTCGCCAACGAACACCTCACCAGCAAACACCTCGAGTTTGCCTTTGTGACTCTGGATTCCTGGGATCTGCGTGTGCAGCTGCCCCGCGAGGCCCGTGACAAGGCCGTGGTGCTGCCTGCATACCTGCAGCACTCTCGTACCTTTGACTTGCGCACCGAATATCAACGCTGGCAAACCCACCACCCCGAGTCCTTGCCCTTTGGCCCCAGTTCGCTCGCCAACATCTGCGCTGCCCTTGAGGTCGAACCCGTCCAGTCCTCCGCTCCCATCAAGCACAACCTCCCATTCCATCTGCAAGCATTGGCCCCCGCCTCGCCACGCCGTGCCATGGAGGAGTCTATCACCTTGGCCCGCGTGTTGCGCGGCCTGATTCGCAAGTCGCAGCCGCCCCACGAGCACCCCGAAATTCTCACTCGGCCGATGGATGCCCACGCTGATGTCCGGGCTTTCCTTGCGGAACGGAGCAAGGTTCTTCACTTGAGTGGCCTGCCCCATGATACCACTCAGTCGGAATTGGAGAGCTGGTTCACCCAGTTTGGCGGCCGGCCCATCGCCTTCTGGACCCTGCGAACTCCCGACCAGCACAAGCCTACCGGTACCGGATTTGCCGTTTTCTCGTCCCATGAGGAGGTTCGTGAATAGATCCCATATCCCAGATACTTGATCATGTTTGTTCTTTACTGACAATTAATTAGGCCGCTGAGAGTCTGTGCATGAACGGCCGGGCATTGAACGAAAAGGCAATCGAGGTTTCCCCATCTTCGAGCCGAGTCCTGGATCGGGCCGCTGAGATCCTGACACCTTTCCCCCCCTCCAAGAACCGGCCCCGCCCTGGTGACTGGACTTGCCCGTCTTGTGGCTTCTCCAACTTCCAGCGCCGAACGGCATGCTTCCGTTGCTCGTTCCCCGCCATGGCTGCTGCACCAGACCCAATGGGATACGGATACGGCCATGGCGGCTACGGCCCCCCATCCATGATGCCTCCTCACATGGGCGGCCATGGTCACGGTATGGGCCACTCGCGTGGTATGGGTGGTAATGGTGGTGTCGTCCCCTTCCGCGCGGGTGATTGGAAGTGTGGCTCAGAGGGTTGCGGTTACCACAACTTCGCGAAGAATATCAACTGTCTTCGCTGCGGCGCTCCTCGCTCGGGCGCCGCGGTTGTGGCTGACTCCGCATTCCCCTCACCGATGGATGCCCCATCACAGTTCGGCATGGGTCCAAACTCCATGGCCAGCACACCGGCTCCGGCTCCGTTTGCTTCGACCGCTGGTGGATTCGGTGGATTCGGCCAGCAGTTTGGCGCCCCGCCCAACAACTATGCTCTCCCTACCGGTGGCCTGGGCAATGCCCCGGCTGGCTACCCACCGGTGGGCCAAGTGAACTCTGGTTACGGTTCCTCTAGCACCTCCCACTCTGCCGCCTCGTTCGCCAATCCGGCAACCCAGGCAGCATTCTCTGGTGCTGATCACGGCGTTCCTTCGACCAGCGCCTCTAACGGTGCCTTCTACGGCACCGAAGGTTCCAGCGATCCCTTTGCCTTCCTGTCTAGTGGGCTTGGCGGTCTGACTGTTTCGGATGATCCTCACTCTCGCCGGAACGGAGCTGGTGCCAACAAGTCACCTGCGTAAAGCAGTTGACTGTACTTAGTTCTCTTTGAAGCCCGACGAACTGGGCGATCACTTCACACTTACGTTGTCCATATTGCAACCCCTGCATTGTGGCAGGTATATGCGTTGGTTGATATTCGTTGATACGCATTTGTATAAGGGCTTTCTGCGGTTCTGGTGCATCGGGTTGGAAGGAGCAGGCGGGTAAGCGTGTGGTTTGTGGATTTTTTCATCGCCTCGCCGTCTTTTTTTTTTTTTTGTGGGACGCTTTTTATCATTTTTGGTTTTCTTTTGATCTGCGTCTTGGTTTGTGTCATTTTTTCATTGTCATTTCTCTTTGGTCGTTGAGCGGTTCCCGCTCCCCCTGGGATTCCATTTTGAAACTCTCTGGTTCGGTTTGTTTAATAGTCTTGTTTCGGATGGCGGCGACTTTTCACCGTTGTCTGTGTGGGTTTCGGACGCGAACGCATTGTGAGCCTGGGTTGCGCACTCGACCTGCTTTGCATTTTAGATCTTTGGTCCCTTTTTGCGTTGGGTCATGGCAAGCGTCGGAGAATTCACGGTATTGATCTCACGGGTGGGATATACAATGGTTCGGACTCCGTTGGGGGTGTTGGGGGATTTCCTTTTGCGCTTGCGCCGGTTTTGGTTCGAGAATCTCTTTCAGGACTGTATCCGCCAGGCATTTGTGGATGCAACAAAAAAGATTGTTATGTCTATACTTGTTTTGGACTTGATTCGATTTTCCTTCGCATTGTAACTTTTGTTGTACTTTGACTAGAGTAAACCCGCTGTGTAAGGGGAACTTGGATATATAGAATATGAGTATTCGATCCAGTGTCTAGGGAAAATCTCACAAGTAGCAGTTGGTCTTAACAGATGACCCTTTTGCATACTAGTAAAATTGTTGTCTCCGATTATAGAAGTTCATGAGGCGCATCTGCAATTGCAGTGGGCCATTACTATGTGGAGGAGATATCAGTATGCATTTTCCTGAGCTGTATTGATTGTATGTAAGGATTCTGAAGACTACTACTTAGCCTATGCCACCTTCGATTTTACAAGATATTTTAACCCAGAAGAAAAGAAACAATGAGATCATTTTATTCTTCACTATTTGGCGGTTTCCATCTGTGTAGTTGAAGCTAGCAGCGCCAAGGCAACCGTAGGCTTTCGCGTCCACCGCCCGCTGAGAGGTCCCGTCATTGCTCCCGCAACATCACCAGCTCCCTCTCTTTGCTAAAGACCCTTCTACCTTTGCTTCTTCTACACCTGTCTTGATCTACCAAGATCACCAATACCCCTAGGACTTTAGAATCAGTTTGATTTGTTTCTTGTTCAGCCACAATGTCCGGCTACGACCGAGCTCTATCAGGTACGTCAGCTAGCTCTTCATCAGCCAGCTTCTTTGGCCCTGTCGTCGATACAAGAATGACCGAGCTAACTCATACCAGTTTTCAGGTACAGAATACATCAGAGTCTGCAGCTCTTACAATCATGATCTAACCCCGTTCCAGCCCTGATGGGCACGTCTTCCAGGTTGAGTATGCCATGGAGGCTGTGAAGCGAGGTAAGAGCCCAAACATTCCAGCAACCCTGACCATCTGCTTTACTCCTCTCGCCGTTGGCAAATCCAATCAACGAGCCCTTATCATGTACTGATGATTGGGCCGTACAGGAACATGCGCCGTCGGTGTCAAAGGCAAGGACATCGTTGTCCTCGGTTGCGAGAAGCGCTCCGCCCTCAAACTCCAAGATACCCGAATTACTCCCTCCAAGATCGCCATGGTTGATGACCACGTTTGCCTGGCCTTTGCTGGCCTGAACGCCGATGCCCGCATCTTGATCGACAAGGCTCGGTTAGAAGCCCAGTCCCACCGTCTGACCGTTGAGGACCCCGTCAGCATCGAATATATCACCAAATACATTGCCGGTGTGCAACAGAAATATACACAGAGTGGTGGTGTACGTCCATTTGGTATTAGTACACTGGTCGTCGGCTTTGACAAGAATGACGGTACACCGCGACTGTATCAGACTGAGCCGTCTGGTATCTACTCGGCTTGGTGAGTGTTTCTTGAATCCTTGATCATATATGTATTGCATTCGTCCCTAACAACTGTTTTATCTATTTACAGGAAAGCGAATGCCATCGGTCGATCCAGTAAGACGGTACGGGAATTCCTCGAGCGCAACCACCAGGAGGAAATGGACCGCGAGCAGACTATCCAGCTGACCATTAAGTCATTGCTGGAGGTGGTGCAGACGGGTGCGAAGAACATCGAGGTTGCTATTATGGCCCCCGGTGAGCGCGTCGAGATGCTGCCTGATGAGCAAATCGAGGCCTACGTCAAGAGCATTGAGACTGAGAAGCAGGAGGAGGCTGCTAAGAAGAAGACTTCCCGCGCAGGTACTACCACTGCGGCCATTCTGACCCGGCCCGGTGGTGGTGAGGCGGCCGAATAAAGAACATAAGGCACTAGGTCACTTGAACAACAGCCGCCAAGTTCTTGATATGCGTCGATTTTACCGTAGCGTTGGTCTTTTCATCATGAGAACTCAAAACAACGAAATACCTACACTCAAATTCTTTACCCATTTCGTAACGTGCAGCATTAAAGAGACTATGCAGGGTATTGATGCCAAGGAGGCGGATTTGGTCTTCACCAATGCGAGGATCGGGCCCACTGAATGGGATTTTATAGCAGAGTAGAAAGCATCATATCGTCAACATCATAAGTTATAACCCACACAATAGCATTGTCCCTCTAGCCAAGACGATCGGAGATATCGCGGAAGGTGAAAATGGATTTTTCCTGATCGGCGCGCACGCGGTCGTCCTTGAGCATTCTGTTGGAAGATTAAAATCAGTATGAACGATTTTACGTTTCGCAGTGGTTGAGCATACCGGCTATCCATGCGTGCATCCTCACCCTCCACCTTCAATTCGGCTATCGGTGTTATGGCTTCGAGGACGAAGTGATTATCGCAGTGCGGGCAGTACTCGTCACTAGAAAAAAGTAGATTTAGTCTCGGAGTCTTTGCAGTCTGGCATTCGGAACATACTTCTCTTCGAATTCGGCGGCATCTTTACGGAAACATTTCTTGCATTTCTTGCACGCGAATACCTATTATGCAGGCATTAGGATATGAAAAGCTGCGGGCGAGTGTCCAAGGGAGTCCGTAGGTGTACCATTTCTTGCGCCTTCTGCAGCGCATGCGTTTCCTGTTCTTGGTGACATTCGGCACAGTCAAACCACTTGCGACCTGGGAAAAAGTACTCGGTGAGCTTTCGGGCAAAATAAAGGGGGTTTGTCAGGCGTACAGCAAGCAGAGCGAATAGACACCTGGGCGTTGAGGACGTGTTTACTGCAAAGTGGGGTATTAGTTCATGGGATCTTACCCCTGATACCGAGGCCACGGGAAGTCTGGTGTAGATAGCATGGCTGGGAGATCTTACCACATGGTGCTGAACGTGCAATTACGTTTTGCGCAGATGTCAAAGACAATGAATGCGGCTCGACAAGGGAAGAAGGTTGCGCAGGAACCGGTTGATCTGCCACTCCCGTGATCCTCCACTTTCCTCCCCGCCACAACCAGTTCACCGTTTTGTCTCCTCTTACTTACTCCCATGACTCGTTAAGAAAGGTCAACCTCTTTTGTTTTCTCGGCCTTTGCGCCGCTTATAACCTGTTGTTTCGCTGTCCTTTCTCTGGTCCTTTAACCGCATCCCTAGTACTCTCCAATTCAACCCCACGAAAGCCTCATACGCCATTATTCCGCATCCCCGTTCTAGCGAAATACCCCAGGCACCAACCGCCAACGCTTATGATCGATCCTTCCAGCTGGTCTCGGTGACGGATTTGTATTTATGGCCATGGAAGAAAACCAACAGGGCTCGGAAAACCCTGATAGTGCTCACATTGTATGTTTTCGCAGCTTGCATAATGGGCCACGCGGCAAGGTTAACCCAACAACAGAGACCGGTATCCTCCCTATTATCCCACTTTGAGGGACTTTCGCATCGCAAGACGAAATCGACAGTCGGGACCATTCCACACGATTCTTCAAATCGCTTCCTCAGGACCCCCGAACCTGGCGAAGAACCTCGGTCTTCAACCCGAGCCTCCTTGGACCTACCTCGGCCAGATTGTCAATGGAACTCCACTACGGAGGAGAGGCTAGGCCGTCGCAATGATCAAGTCAATGACCAGCAGTTCCGGCCGCGTGGTTCGCCCGGAAGTCAAAGCCAACATGGCCGGCCCATCTCTATGAACTTCCAGCAATCGTCATCGTCTCAACTCCCGCCGACCTTTGCTGTCCATGCTCCTCAATCGCCGCCACGTAGTCAACAAAGGGAACTTCGATCGCCTAGCAATGAAGACAACCGGACTACTAGGAGTTATATTCACCGCTCCAGGGAATCTATATCTGCGGGTGTTTCCCCCGATCCGTCCATGCGAATGACAACTCCGACGAAACTTGGATCCTCTGTCCCAACGACGGAAACCATGCATAGATTATCGCCTAGTCTCTCTACCATGAATGGACGTGCAAGTCCATTGGATCGGAAACTTAAAAGTGCTTCATTACCCCCGCCGGCGAACCGGGCAGAGAAGCCCAAAATTCCAGCAAAGCCCGCCATGTTTTCTCACCCGGATACAAATTCGTTGGCTCCACAGCCGGAAAAGTTATCATCTGATGACCTGGTATCGCCATTCAGTACTCCTCCGAGTAGTCCAGAAAAGACTACTTCCAAGCCAGCCTCTGCTACAAAATCTACCCCGCGACTCCCTCCTGGTAGGCCATCAGCCGAACCTCTAACTCGCCACTCGTTTGATCCACGACTCTCTCCTGGTAGGCCATCAGCCGAACCTCTAACTCGCCACTCGTTTGATCCACGACTCTCTCCTGGTAGGCCATCAGCAGAACATTCAACTCGCCACTCGTTTGATGGGCGAATCCCGGGCCCACTCTTGACTCCCAGGTATGATTCCAGGGAAACGAGCCTCTCCCGCACACGTCCGGTCCCCGAGCCCAATCGAGGCTCGAAGCCATTGATGGTTCAGATTCCATCCACATCTTCTACATGCCCAGACTCATCAACTGCTCCAAGTATGTCTGCACAAAGACTTCGAGCTAGTGATACTCCAAACGCTCGGCCTGGTCTTCCCCCAAGACCAACTTCTGCCCACCCCTATCGAAGGACGCCTTCGCCTGCACGAGATCTTCCCCAGCCTGTGGCTAGCCCGGCTCAAGTGGACCCAGTTCCTAGAGCTGCGCCATCTTACCATCAATTTTCTGAGCCTCATACTCCGCGTATTGTTCAACGACAACCCTCTTTCCCACGCGAATCGTCACTTAAAGAGCGCCGAGTAGTTCGAACAGACACAGAAGAAGAAGAAGTGGTGACTGACGAACCTGCAATCTCACGGACTGATTACCCCGACGCCTCACGGGCCAACAGACGTCCTCCGCTTCTCCGAACAGGCCCGACAGAGATTCTTACCAAATACGATACTCGCTTGATTGACGTGTGCGGAAAGTACGTTTGTACAACTGGGTATATCACCCGTGTTTGGGATCTCACCACCGGTGAACAAGTCATGAGTCTCAGCCATGGCGAAACCGTGAAATGCCTTTCCATCGCTTTCAAGCCAGGGAACTCGCTCGAAGAGGAAGGCCAGCGGTTTTGGGTTGGCACCACCGCGGGCGACTTACATGAGATTGACATCCAATCGCGATGCATCGTGGCCACTCGCGCGTACCCCTCTCGTCGCGAGGTGATTCAAATTCTACGCCACAAGAAGGAAATGTGGACTCTAGATGACGAGGGTCGACTGCTTGTATGGATGCCAGATGAAAGTGGCACGCCAAACCTGCATTATAGCTACCATAGCCCTCAGGAGCGAGTAGCACGTGGACACACATTCTCTATAGTCGTGGATGATAAGCTCTTGTTGGCAGCTGGCAAGGATGTTTACATCTACCGGCCGGGCGCCCGAGATGAGACTTCATTTAAGCTCTTCAAACGGCCTATAGGGCTACAACACTCCGGCGACGTAACATCTGGTGCCTACACCACCAAGGATGGCGGCCGAGTTTACTTGGGCCATGCAGACGGCAAAGTTACTGTCTACTCTTCCATTGACTTCTCTTGCTTGGCAGTCGTTAATGTCAGCGTATACAAGATCAATTGTCTAGGATTTGTTGGAGACTATCTATGGGCAGCTTATAAAACGGGTATGATCTACGTCTACGACGTCAGGACAAACCCCTGGACAGTTAAGAAGGACTGGCGTGCCCATGCCAGCCCTGTATCTGCCTTTGTGCTAGACACAAGCAGTGTTTGGACGATGAATCGTCTCCAAGTAACCTCGATTGGTACCGACAATTGCATTCGTCTTTGGGATGGCATGCTGGAAGATGATTGGCTAGGTAAGCTTCTTTTTCGTTGAGCGATTTAATTTGATTTTCTAACATCAATAGATACTCGAATGGAAAGCAAAGATGTAGAGTTTTGCACCTTCCGAGAACTCAAAACCGTCGTTCTTACATGGAATGCTGGTGCTGCTACACCTGGCAGTGTGCGCACTTCTGATTTCGTTAAAGACGCGCTTCGTCCAGAAGACCCTCCAGACATTGTGGTTTTTGGATTCCAAGAATTGGTTGACCTTGAAAATAAGAAAATTACAGCGAGTCAGTATCAGCCACCCTACATTTCCGGTGTCTTGCTAACATTGACCCCAGAGAGCTTGTTGCTTGGTAGCAAGAAGAAGGAGAACGGCGAGAAGGAACATATGAGCCGGCAGTACCGAGTCTGGGTCGATCACTTGACTCGAACTCTCCACGAGTGCATGCCTCTCGAGGAATCCTACGTTCTTCTTCACACTTCCAACATGGTGGGGCTGTTCACCTGTATCTTTGTGAAGCATAAGGAGCGCCTCAACATCAAGAGCGTTTGCGCATCTGAGATTAAGCGGGGAATGGGTGGAATGCACGGTAATAAGGTAAGTGGGGCTCCGCTTCCCAATATTCCACGGTGGCTAATCTATCTCAGGGTGCTCTCATCTGCCGATTTGTCCTAGACGACACCTCTATGTGCTTTGTCAATTGCCATCTTGCCGCGGGTCAAACGCAAACCGCAAATCGCAACAATGATATTGCCGCCATTCTTGAGGCTGAATCTCTACCTGCGGAGAACAGTCTCACGGCGCGGAGTGATCAGTATTCAAGTGGCGGTGATGGTTCCATGATCATGGACCACGAAGTGTGCATCTTGAATGGAGACCTGAACTATCGAATCGATTCAATCCCTCGCCACGTCATTATCAACGCCATTCGCCAAAATAACCTTGCCAAGCTTCTCGACCGCGACCAGCTTTTGGCCTCCCGGCGCAAAAACCCCGGATTCCGACTGCGCAGCTTCATTGAGGCACCGATCACGTTTGCACCGACCTATAAATACGACGTTGGCTCTGACGAATACGATTCAAGTGAGAAGAAACGCTCCCCCGCCTGGTGCGATCGCGTTCTCTACCGAGGCCCTGGCCGTATCAAACAGCTCGAGTATCGCAGACTTGAAGTCCGTGCCTCTGATCACCGACCTGTCTGTGCGACTTTCAAGGTTCGCGTTAAGACGGTGCTGCCCCAAGAACGAGCTATTGCTTGGGAAACTTGTCAGCAGGAGTTCCAAGATGAGAAACGTCGGCTTGCTTCTGAAGCTAGGTGAGTATCGTTTCATCATTTCATTGTGCTAGTACTAATGATCTTCTAGCATTGAATATCTCATTACTGTTCTCGGCACGGATGCCCGGCAAGCTCGTGCCTTGATTTTGGGAACTGGGAAAAATTAATCATTTTGCGTTTAGAGAGTCACGGCATTGCGATGGTGTAAACCCTTCTGTAAAAGGTTATTGATGTATGGTGTATGAGTGACGATTTCACGATAGACAAATGTATCATGACGATTGCGGCTGTTTTGGTGTAGAATAAACCCGAGTCCTAACAGATCCTACTCAACGTGGGACCCTTTTCCGCTGTGAAATCAGTCGATGACTACTCAAGGCCGTTTCAAGCAGTATAATATTGATGAACATGATTGTCAACCCATGATCTGTGGCTTGCTTAGTGGCGCATCCGCTCCGGATTTGCTATGTATTTTTGTCCCCTCCAAGAAGTGCCCTTAGCACACTACTCCCCGCGGTCAGATCCATTGAACCATCTACTACTATAACCACAATGGATTCCAAGTATACTGCAGATCATATATCGCCAAATGGGCCAGGCAACTCTCGCCCAACAGCCCAACAAATCATCAAGGATGAAGGCCTTGAAGGAAAGCTCGCCGGAAAGGTCATTCTCATCACCGGCTGCTCTTCCGGCATTGGTATCCCGACAGCCATCGCGTTGGCCATAACTGGCGCAACACTCTACTTAACAGCGAGAAACTTGGGCAAGGCCCGGGTTGCTTAAGGCAGCCTTGCCCAACAGAAACACGTCCATTTGCTCGAGCTGGACTTGAACTCTTTCGCGAGTGTACGTAAATGCGCTGCTGAGTTCCTCTCCAAATCATCGACACTCAACATACTCATCAACAACGCCGGTATCATGGTCCCCCCAGAAGGGCGAACAATCGATGGCTTCGAGACACAATTCGGCACCAACCATCTTGCCCACTTCCTTCTCATCCAGCTACTGAAGGACACACTTCTAGCATCTACTTCTGCCCAAATGTGCTCCCGTGTCATCATGGTATCTTCAAGCGGACACCGTGCCAGCGAAGTCCAATTTGACGATTACAACTTCGAAAAGGGATACGATGCCTGGAAGGGATATGGGCAGAGCAAGACAGCCATGATCTGGACTGCAAATGAGATTGACGCACGGTTCGGGGATAGTGGTCTCCACTCGTACAGTTTACATCCAGGGAACGTCTCGAGTGGCCTGCAGAAACTTATTTCCGCGGACCTTGCGAAGCAATTTTCGGCCCTTTCTGGTCTTGAGGCATTGGAAAAGTCTCCTGAACAGGGTGCTGCGACTACTGTATGGGCGGCGACTGCGCGCGATCTGGAAGGTAGAGGTGGGTTGTTCCTAGAAAATTGTCAGGTTATTGGCCCGTTACCGTTGAATGCTGGATTACTTACGCCGGGCTATGCGTCGTGGGTTTACGATAAAGAGAAGGCGGCGAGGCTTTACGACCTCTCTTTAGAGCTGGTGAAGGTGTGATTTAGAGATGAGTTTACCCAGCTGCTTTGTTTGAACCGGTGACAGAATTCTCTAGTAAATAAGCAAGTTCTGTGCATCAAAGCCTCAGATGAAAAAGCTTTCTGAAATAAATTGTTATTCGCTTCTGGAAACAGGGACTCCCATATCCGTAACCTGTGCCTGCACTGACTTCTGTGACTACCGCTGATGATGTGGAAGGGTCCAATCTAGATCGAATCCAAAACCATCCAAGGCAATTCGAACTCTACAAACTCGGCAAACATATGTACTTCCAGTCGGGAATTAATTAAACTGGGGTTATAAATGTTATGTTAAAGTCCGTGCCTGATGATGAAATTGCTACAGTAGTACTTCCCTGCCGATCTTTATATAAATGGGAAAAGTCTCCGGATAAATCCAGTTCAAATCAATTTTTCATCTTTCTTATTCGCCACGTAGCTCACCTCCGGTCCCAAAATGGTTATTTTCCATCCCCTGAAGCGCCACTACAGGGATCGGCTTGTTTGTCTCCATGGCTAATGCACGATTCCAGGGTTGCTACGGAGAATGTTGCAGATTTGCTGGAGCATCCCCGCACCCCGCACTTGGGATTGTATATAAGACTTGTTCAATGCAAGTGATTTTATTTCAATTCATTCAGTGGTGAAAATTATCTTACAATGTTGACCTCCTTCACTTTGGCTGTGTTGGCAGCTGTTCTTCCTTCTGCGGACGCCCTTGTAAGAGAGGATGGCGTGGTATGTTTAAATCTGGAAATATTTCCTCATGTCGTATACTAATATTACCATTACCAGGGGAGATTGCCCGCTTTAGGCTGGAACTCGTGGAATGCCTTTGGGTGCAATGTCAACGCTAGTGCTATTCTCACAGCGGCAAATGAGATTGTTTCGCTAGGACTCAAGGATCTTGGATATGAATATGTCAACAGTCAGTACATGGATCTGACTTGAGAATACAAATCTATTTGAAGCTGACTGGGTCTGAATAGTCGACGACTGTTGGTCCATTGAGGGAGTGCGCAACACCACAAACCAGCGTATCATTCCGAATCCCACAAAATTTCCTACTGGTATCTCCGGTGTTGCTTCGCAAGTCCATGACCTGGGATTGAAGGTCGGAATCTACAGCAGTATGTTCTCCTTCATTGGTTATGTTGCCAGAAACTAATTCTCTTATGACCAGGTGCGGGTGAGACCACCTGCGCGGGATATCCTGCCAGTTTGGGATACGAACAAGTCGATGCAGAGGCCTTTTCAGACTGGGGTATCGATTGTATGTTGCAATCTTCATTCACAATGCTTTTGGTCTAACGGAACCAGACTTGAAATATGACAACTGTGGCGTTCCAAGTAACTGGACCGACAAGTACAACGCTTGCGTCCCCGATGGTGACATTGGGACCAATCCCAATGGAACTTGTCCCGATCTCACAGATCCAGCACCACCGGGATACGATTGGTCCAAGTCTAATACATCCATCAGATATAATCGTATGCGTGACGCCCTTCTTGATCAGAATCGGACTATCCTGTTCTCCCTGTGTGACTGGGGCGATGCGGCAGTCAACACCTGGGGCAAGGAGACTGGAAACTCATGGCGCATGTCAGGAGATATCAGAGGTAAGATTATCCTTGTCCCAGTCAATTAACGTATAAGATTTACATGCTGAGAGCTAACGCTTCCTAGCCGAGTGGTCTCGTATTGCTCAAATCGCCAATGAGAATAGCTTCTTGATGAATTACGTCGACTTCTGGGGTCATCCTGATCCAGATATGCTAGAAGTTGGAAACGGCAATCTCACCGTGGAGGAGAACCGAGCTCATTTTGCCCTTTGGGCGGTCATGAAATCTCCTTTGATAATCGGCACTGCGGTTTGTTCACTCCTTCGATTTTCCACGGCTCCATGTTTCTGACATGGACTTTAGCTCAACGAGCTTAGTGACGATAACCTTGCAACCCTGAAGAACAAGTACCTGCTCGACTTCCACCAAGATTCCGTCATCGGTCGTTCCGCTCATCCTTACAAGTGGGGATACAACCCTGACTGGACTTTTGACCCAGAGCACCCTGCCGAGTATTGGTCTGGTCCTTCGTCGACCATGAGGGGCACGCTGGTTCTTATGCTCAATTCGGAGGACTCGACTGCTACTCGCACTGCAGTTTGGAGTGAGATCCCGGAGTTGAAGGGTCATGGCTCTTATAAGGTTACTGATGCTTGGTCTGGTAAGGACTTGGGATGTGTTCACAAGGAACACAGTGTTTCTCTGAGTAGCCATGATGTTTCCGTTCTGGTGGTCAAGGGAGCATGCTAGTTCTCTAAGGTTGAGTCTCATCAGCAGTGTATAATCTCAAGTTTTACGATGGTCCATGACTAACCTGAAGATTTACAAACTGTAATCTTAACATCATGTGTGAATCTAGCCCTACTCAGCATTAAGCTGTTTATCAGAGAGTCTATTAAGCTGTTTATCAGAGAGTCTATTATTATAATAAAACAGGTGCTTGTGGTAAGAGACACTGTAAACGTAAGGTAACCTGCGCTGAAGCTTCTTGTATGCCCCTCTGGTTTAGGCATACTTTGGACTTTTTGGACACACGTTCGAAATCCCTAGCCCTCCACTTCCTACCTAATTTTTTAGAGAGCTCTTTCAATATTGAACTATTATGGTAGGGAATAAGGTAGTAGACTGAGGAGGAAATAGATTAGATAAATAGTATTCATAGAATATGTTGTAGAAACATGCGGTTGAAAGCCTCTTGTCAATCACGTTCATTTATTGGCTTCAAAGGCCCAAAGCATGAACACCGTAAATCGAAGACACGCACAATTCTAAGCAAACAAAAAGAAGGATCCCGATCTTAATGTTGGCGTGCGATCTTTTGAATCGCAAGAAAATGACAACACGGGTGCGACGTAGGTCCTAGGCACCCCACTATTTGTGCTGTTCAGCATCTTTCCTCAACCACCATCGTTTATCGTTAATCGGGTTTTTCTTGTGCCCTACCTTGCAGAGAGCTGGTTGATCCGTTGCTGTGTAATCACAACTCAGTCGCAAATAGCACAAAGTACCTCATGTACCTCGACATCCATACATGTACGTGATTTGCCGAGTTGCCTCGTTCGCTGATGTGGCGGGCGCTTAGGCAATGCACCCATTCCTAATTACCCCTCCCCTCCCCATAATTTCCTTGAATGGCTGGATTGACAGCTTACGAACATTTTCAAAGCCAAGCAATACATTTTTGTTTCTGTCCATTCAATCTTGCTTTCGCGGCGAAGTTGGCCGCGGCTTGAGTGTCAAAGAAATGGAACCGATCCCTGTGGCGAGCATGGCATCCGCAATATCCTTCAAGTCTTCAAATTTGGGGTCCCAGATGGGTGTGAACAACGGCTCGGTCACCAACCACTTCTACATGCCTAGTAATGAAGAAAGCCAAACAAATACTAGGCCCTGTAAGTCAACAGAAAACCTAATCTATTTATCAGGCTCACTAATTCTGTCTCAGGTGACCAATCTCAAGCTCACTATGTTGTCCCATTCTTAGAGAATCGACACTTTACTGGCCGTGAATCCACGCTGGATGAGCTTAAGCAAAAGCTCTTTTCCCAAGCGCATACCGATAAATTGGCCCTATTCGGACTAGGTGGCATTGGAAAAACCCAAATTGCTCTTCAGCTTGCCCAATGGGTGAAAGCAAATATACCAGACTGTTCTATCTTTTGGGCTCCTGCCTTCAGTCTCGAGAGTTTCGAGCAGGCTTGTTGGCAAATTGCGAAAGAGCTTCAAATCCATCAGAACCTAGATGGTGAAAGTGCGATGGAATTAGTGCACCGGCATTTAAGCTCTGAGAAAGCCGGAAAGTGGCTTTTTATTGTCGATAATGCCGATGACCTGGACTTGCTTTTCGATGAGCTTAATCAGTATCTCCCTGCGAGCAAGAAAGGTGTAACTTTCCTTACCACTCGTTCCCGCGAGGTGGCGGTGTCTTTCGCAGAAAAAGATATTGTTGAGCTCCACAAGATGACAACAAAGGAAGGGATCACCTTTCTGGCTAAAAGTCTTGGAGAAGATTTACTAAGTGACGAAAAACTCACGATACAACTACTAGAGCAGCTAAACTTGCTACCTCTAGCTATCGCACAGGCAGCTCACTATATTTGTCGGAATAATGGAACGATCGCGCGGTATCTCGAGCTTATGCATATAACCGAAGAAGACCGGATGCGTCTAGCGAGCAGGGACTTCCGCGATAGCACTCGGTACCGCAAAATGCCAAACGCGGTGACTGCTACATGGCTTATCTCATTCAATCACATTAAGAGCTTCGATCCCTCTGCTGCGGATTTGTTGGAGTACATATCTTACCTTGAGCCAAAGGCAATTCCGCGGTCTATTCTCCCTATCCTTAATACAGAGGAAGAGATGGACTTTGCAATTGGTACGCTGTGTAGCTATGGGTTTTTAACCAGAAGACATAACAAGGACATGTTTGATATCCACAGCCTCGTACAACTATCAACACGAGTGTGGATAACAGAGACACATAGGACACAACAGGTCATCACAACTGTGACACAACATATGGATAAGTGTTTTCCATCTGATGAATACAAAGATCGCGATAAATGGAGGATGTGCCTTCCTCATGCCCTTGAAATTCTTAGAAGAGAGGAAAGTCTAAACTTGACTGAGAGGTATAGCTTACTTTCCAAGGTTGGAAATTGCTTTCTAGAGGATGGCCGAGCAAAAGAGGCTGTGGATATTTTTGAAGATGTGTGTGTATGGACTGGAAGCCACTTTGATGAAGAACATCTCTCTCGACTGACGTCTCAGCGGAAACTCGCACGAGCATATCAATCCGAAGGGCAAGACAGGCAGGCAGTGGAGCTACTTGAGCGTGTGGTCAAAGTACAAGATAGAACGCTTGAGGAAGAACATCCTGATCGACTCGATTCTCAGAATGAACTTGCAGCGGCCTATCTGTTCGACGGACAGATTAGGCAGGCAGTGGCGCTGCTTGAGCGCTTGGTCACACTACAAGAGAGAACGCTTGAGGAAGAACACCCTAGTCGACTCGTTTCTCAGCACACTCTTGGTCGGGCATATCTATTAGACGGGCAGACTAAGTAGGCAGTGGAGCTGCTTGAGCGTGTAGTCACAGTACAAGAGAGAACGCTTGAGGAAGAGCACCCTAGTCGACTCGCTTCTCAGCGAGAACTTGCAGCGGCCTATCTATTCGACGGACAGATTAAGCAGGCAGTGGCGCTGCTTGAGCGCGTGGTCACACTACAAGAGAGAATGCTTGAGGAAGAACACCCTAGTCGACTCGTTTCTCAGCACACTCTCGGTCGGGCATATCTATTGGACGGGCAGATTAAGCAGGCAGTGGAGCTGCTTGAGCGTGTGGTCATAGTACAAGAGAGAATGCGTGATGAAGAACACCCCTATCGACTGACGTCCCAGCACTCTCTCGCCGGGGTGTATCAGGCCAATGGGCAGATCGAGCAGGCAATACAGCTACTTGAGCATGTGGTCGCGGTGCGAGAGAGAACTCTTGATGAAGACAATTTTGAGCGACTGGCATCTCAGCACGACCTCGCAGTAGCATATCATTCTCATGGGCAGACCAAGCAGGCTGTGGAACTACTTGAGCATGTGGTCCCGGTGCAAGAGAAAACGCGTGATGAAGAACACCCCTCTCGACCCACGTCCCAGCACTCTCTCGCCGAGGTGTATCAGGCCAATGGGCAGATCGAGCAGGCAATACAGCTACTTGAGCATGTGGTCGCGGTGCGAGAGAGAACGCTTGATGAAGACAATCCTGATCGATTGGCATCCCAGAAAGCACTCCAACACGTGAAGCAATTGAGATAATTGAGAATAAGCTTTCATGATCCGTTAAAACTATTCAGTGGCCGTCTGGTATTTTTAAGCCTGTCATAGTCCATGTATAGATACATTAATGAAGGTACTATTCCTTGCTATGGCCTTTTTCTTTGCCGCAATTGCCGTGGCAGCACCTATGGATAGATCATCCAGCAACAAAATAGCTGAAAGACAGGTATTGAAATGTATGTGTAGTGAACAAAAGCTAGTGTTAAGGTACTGACTGCGATGAACGTGAATAGGATGTAAGTGATGATCCTTGACTGAACAGCGATGACTTTGAGTATACAGTGCTGACTGAGATAGACGTGAATAGTCTGTCAGTGATGATTATTGACTGAGCAGCGATGACTTTAATATACAGTGCTGACTGGGATGGACGTGAATAGGATGTAAGTGATGACCCTCGAGTAAGAGCTATGACCTTGAGCACACACAGCGCTGACTTGAAGGCGCTTTCAATTAGGCAGCTGTTGGGAATTCCAACAAAGGTGTACTCTCTTCGAAGTGCCCTGCTTCTGTAAGTTGGCCAGGATCTCATAATCATTGCCCATTGATCTCTGATTCAATACCGGATTCCGTCTGTAGATTGGACTCTACCTTCGACTTATCTGCTCTTCTTTTCTTTCCGCCTTGGGAAAGGTTTTCACTGGCTAGATTTTCCTGTACTGTTATGCGAATGCAAAGGCTTCTTCTATTATGCTTCTACAGCTACTGTATCTGAACTCCAAATTTTCTTGCTTTGATACCTAAAAACCGGGGATCGCTAATCCAATTGAATCCCTGATATATGGCTTCTGGGGTAGGCAGTTTCTTTTCACCAGAGGACAGGAGGGAGGGCGTCTGACTAAGGTAACCGGGAGTGGGGGCATATAGCGAGTCATTGTCCCACGGATCATCTATCTGAGGCTAATCTCCATAGGCTCTAATCTCCAGAATAAAGTTCCTACGATATTATATGAAATGACCGCATAATCACATCATTACCAGCTATCACTCCGTGGTAATAGACGGAGTGAGGTCGAGCTCGAAAGCTGGCGAGCATCGAGTGACTCTTCTCACATCATTACGCATTGTACGTATATCTTGGCGAGATGAAGATCTTCGACGATAAAAACGTTTATAATTATCCTTTTGCCGCTGTATCCCTCGCTTACTTTCTTCGTTATCCGAATCGTTATTCGCTCCATGTTCTAGCAACTGACGTCATCGAGCGATTCATCGACCCGAACACAAATCGTCTCCACTCCACTCGACTCCACCTGAAGCAGACCAAAGTTCCTTCGAGTATTCTCAAGCTGGTACCCAAAGGGAGGAATGGGCCCGGCCACTTTACAGAAAGTTATATCTTGGAGACCAGCATCGTGGACCCTACAGAAGGCTGGATGAGAACTGAGTCTCGCAATCTAGAATGGACCGGCATTCTGAGCGTCGTGGACAGACAATACTACCAGCGTCTTCGAGCAAGCGAGAACGCTCAAGCTCAGAATGAAATACCTCTTGATCTGAACAGCGAGCAAACAGTCGTCTATACCAATGTTACCCTGCACTCTAGTCTCGGGGATGGCAGGTTTCTCAGTCAAAGGAATTACACAGACAAGGAAGAAGAAACGTCCAAGAGAGGCTTCTTTTCCGCCTTATCCCCTATCGGCATCCAGCGAGCTATTGAATTGATCGGTATCAAGCGGACTCGAGATGCAGTCTCGAAAGGTGCACAGGGCATGAACCTCGTCCTTGAGCGGCTGCGAAGCGGTGGAATTATATGTGTATTGGAAGGTATCGAACAGGATCGCAGGGCTGCCTTCTAATTGTGATGTCCCCTAGAAGCGAGTCTAGTCATTTGCCGATGGCCGGAGGGTGCTTCCCTTGGTCGAGAAAGTAGTCAAGCTGATTGTTCGATGATATTCCCGTGAGCGTATTCAGGTCGTCCTCTCCGAGCCTGTCTGAATCTGTTCGATCTGTGAGGCACCCGTCGGAAGGTTTCGATCAAATGTCAATAAGATGTACAGTACAGTATTGGCAAGTGGCTGCGAGGGGGTCTTTCTCCGCGCCGAGTACAAATTAGCTTGGCCAGACTTAAAACCCGAATAGAGAGAACAGAGACACGATGAGAAGAAAGCATTATCTAGGATATTGTTTATATTGAGACAGCATTGAATCAAGCGGTAACAAGTATTCCAAGTCTATTATAAAGTACAAAAGCATATTTAGACTTGAACCAAACCGCTACTTATTCAATTGTAAGTTCCTCTATTAAATCCTTACTTCTTCTGCCCATTTAACGATGTCATCCACGAATCGGTGTGCGATACCTACCGCAACTCCTTTCTCAATAAAAAAATCTGGGTTGTATTCATTATGAATTTGTTCACGATCTAAACCATTAGCCAGCGCGATATCACAAGCCAGCTGAAATTGACCTATTTAAACTTCGTCGGTGACGTTCGTTTCTTGCTAGGCACTGTATCCTTCACAGCCACATCGCGCAGTCCATCGATTGTAAGCAATACACCTTGCCAGTGCTATTAGGAAGACAATACCGATGCCAGAATGGAATGGACTGCTGGTGGCTGTAGCGAAGCTTGTCGCCCATGAAATTGATATTGATAGGGGGATAGCCTATACGGGGAAGCGATTTGTTGCCTTTGGATATTGAACATTCCAGTCTCTGCTACTCTTCCGTGAAAAGTTCTTCGCGAATAGTTTCAGGGACATTACTTTGGCACTCTAATACACCCCCCTTCAACATATATGATTAGGCACTTGAAATGGTACGTTCTGAACTGACAGTGTTCCTTACTTTAATGATTTGTTTGCAGGTGAATTATCCTAGACAGGGTATAGCTCGTAATACGATGGCTAATTTTGTGTCCTTATTCATTATCGTACTGATCACTGCCAAGAGTGTGGGCCAGGGGTAGACTAACCATAAAAGACATGGCTTCATGCAAGATAGCTTTCAAGAAAGAACTGAAGAGAGAAAAGAGGTGAAACTGATTTCGAGCGCGTCTGTACCATATAGAGCTGTTCCTTCATGCAATATGTTGAGATTGCTAGACACTGTCATATGGAAATTTGATGGGCATGTTTTGGTGGATATCTAGACCTATAACAAGACATGCACACATACATTGGTAAGTTTTTTACTTGTTCCGATTCATACGATTCAAGCCTCGAACGTTCCATCAAACACAATACTAAATATAGGGGTCATGTGATTACGGTTTGAAAGGCCTTCTCTATGTTATTTAGCAAGGAAGGCGATAGCGGTCGCCACTGTATCCCAATATTGGAGGGATTTGACGCTTCTTTCAAGGCTCTCAAAAAAGGGAACTTAGATTAGGTATAAACCCCAAGTAGTAATTCGAGAGAATGAGGTACTCTGGACCTTTTGACAAGTGCCAACATCAGACGGCTAAAGAAGTCACAATTGATGGGTCTGTCAGGAGTGAAGATTGCCGCTTGATGTAGTTTCTTGGCATCTTCCACGTAATCAACAACCCCTTAGGCATCGACAAGGCACGCGAAAAGAAGATAATTTTTCCTGTTGCTCAAAAAGTAGGATCTATTTAAGAGTTAATAGTTTGCAAATGCGGATATGTTGTTTTACGATTCAGAGTTCACTTAGCGCTGAGCATGGACCCTCCAGTGCACGTACTTGAAAGGACTACTGTACAAATCTTACGGAACTTCTCATCTTGTAGCCAATGAAATCTATCAAATGCCCCAAGTCAACTCTTTGTTTCCAGTCCGATCTTCTTTGCAGTAATTTTGTCATGAAACAAAGACAAGCCGAAAATAAGCGCTTTGTTTCATGACAAGTTCTCCCGGCTCGAATATACATAAATATCGCATGATACCCCAGACCTCGAGCAAAGCCATTCACAATGGATCCAACCCTCTGGTTCCTACACCAACGATCAAACATCGTGAGCGCATTAATTGAATACCGGGCCAACATTTGGATCCACAAGAGACGATATTACCGAGAGATAGCAACATGTCTAGAAACCGAGACCCACAACCTTGCCCTACTTCTCAGCGAAGGCACCAAAGTCGCTCGTTGTGTCCGAGAGAGGATATCGCACATCACTACATGCCTTAACAGCCTACGAGAGGTTCTCATTCTCCACCCTGATCAAGACGCTGGGGAAGTGTTGGAAGTGTTATTCATGATCAGTAGACAAGTGGGACGGATTAGGCTTGTGGGGCTTCCTGATCCGTATGCCGATGTGATGAATAAGCAGCTGGGAGAGATGAAGTGTGACACCAACTGGCTACGGAAGAATTGGCGGGTGATGAATTTCAGAGATACACGTTGTGTTTGTTCATATTGCAGATGACTTGAGAAAAGAGAATGAAATATTTTGAAGTCTTTTGTTCGTGATTGTGATGAAGGCGATGGATCACTTCCTGTGGAGACTCAGCGCTTATCCGACTCCACTGGAATGTCATTGGTCACGTTTCGGATATTCTGCTTGGAAACTTGAAACTTAATGATTGAATCTGGACCCCTAAAACAGCTCATAAGCAGGAACAAATCGTGATGTGATTCTTGTTGCATGTAGCCCCGGGTAGCGGTTTCTGGGCATGCTTAGCTACGGCATTTATTTAGCGCCAATAGAGTGAGCATTGGGATTCTTGTTATCTCCAATCAACTCGTTCAACACAGCCTCGTGCATCTGTACGAAAACGGTTATGTTTGGCCCCCAAATCACTTCAATGAATTTCTATTAATTTCATCAATTTCTTTGATTGCATTGACTTTTCCCCCACCCTTTATCACTAGCATATCGGAATCTTCAAAAAAAAAAAAAAAAACATACGTAGATCCCTGTCAAATACATCCAATGATGCTGCCTTGAGCAAACCCGCTTTCCATGTCTTTGTCCCCGTACTCAGGGTCCGCATTAGCTCATAGACCCGCAATCGATTCAACCTGACTGCGTTCGGTTCCGACTCCCCTCGTTTACGTCAAATCCATTTTACTTCAACTTTATCTCTACTTCCCCCCAACTCTCCTTCTAATAATGTGTGGACCATGAGCTGGCAGAGTATCCTCCGCCAATCCCGCGAGCCCGGATCTACCGGTAACTCAAGGATATTCCTCTATCTGGCTCTGGCAGTTATCTCCCTACTACTTTCTTATCAGCTGGTTCTGAATCACGACACACTGGGTTCTATCGCGCCATGGAAAGTCGGCACACACGAGAGCGCAGCTTACGATCCCGATGCCGATTATGATGGAGATGGGTGGGCTGCTGCTGCTATGAATGGCACGGTACAGGAATCAAAATCAAAATCACATGCTGAAGCATCGCATGCTTCGGTGCCGATATCCACACCTGAATATACTACGCCTGCGGATGCGGATGCGGCTGTGGCTACAGCTACAGACTCGAAAGAGCTGGTTATCGCGGCTATGCTCGCGACTAATATGTCTTGGGTAGATGATCATGTTCCTGCCGATTGGGTTGTGAATATCTATCGCACTGATGCGGCGGAAGGTGAAGCCGAGTTGACGGTTCCGGAAAATAAAGGGAATGAAGCCATGGTGTATCTAACGTATGAAGCCGATGAGAGAATCACGATTCAAGGATCCAGAACTAACGAAGAATGCAATCTAGGTATATTATCGATCGATACGACACCCTCCCCGATGTATCGGTCTTCATGCACGGCGGTCGCTACCAATGGCACAATGATAATCCTCTCTACGGTAACCGTCCAAATCATTTCTATGACATCACGTTCTAATCAGGAATCTATCTAGACTCCGTCATCTCGATAAAGGATCTCCAACTAGGCCATGTCCGCAAAACTGGATACGTTAACCTCCGCTGCACCTGGGTAATCGGCTGTCCTGCCGAGCTTCAACCTGCTCGCTATCTCCGTGATCGTCCAGATGATAAAGACCATCCCACCGCCATGGCATTCCCTGAGAGCTTCATGGAACTATTCCCTGGGATCGAAGTACCCGAGGTTGTAGGCGTGCCGTGTTGCAGTCAATTCGCCGTATCGCGGGTGGCGATTCATGCGCGCGGGAGGGAGGAGTATTTGCGTATACGCAACTGGTTGCTTAGGTCGCCATTGAATGCGGGTACTAGTGGACGGGTCCTTGAATATGCGTGGCATAGTATGTTGATTCCCTTTGGTGATTGATTCATGCTAACATTCCACAGTTATGTTTGGCAAGACAGCGCAATTCTGTCCTGATGCTGCCCAGTGCTATTGCAATACATATGGGTATTGTGATATGACTGAGGCGGATGTGCAAAGCCGATGGATTTGGCGAGGGTTAACACTTCCGGAAGGTTGGCCAGAGAACCAGGGGTGACCTTGTCAGTACTGGAAATGAATGGTAGAAAAGTGTTTGAATAATCTGTAAAATATCGATATCCATTTAATCACAAATACTAACATCCCATCAATTGTTTAAATTCAAAATGCATGGTATATGCTTCATTAAGTCATAAAATACATCATCAGATGTTTTTGTGCAACATGACCGAGTATTCACCGCCACAAGTCTTGTCGACTCGATCGCTTATTCCCACTACTACTCATCGGTCGCTCGCCATCTTCAGGCACAGCCAGGAACCCGCCAAACCCATTGCCGACAAGAACGCTCTTGCGCGAATCACCACCCCAGGACCGACTCAACTGTGCCTCCTGGAAGCTCACCGGGCGTGTGGTAGTACCGCTACGGCCCAGTGTGGAATCTGGTTCGTACGGGGTGAAATTCCACTCAAGCTCATCCAGGCCTTTGCTGTATACGTTCAAAGGCTGGGAGAGACCGCCCATCATCTGAGGGCCATTTTCACCTCCACCGAATAGTCTGGGTGGGGGTGCCAAGAGTAACGTGTCAGGGAATTGTGCGTCGCGAACATATAGATCGCGAAGGGCTGGGAGGCAACGGGACATGAGGCATGAAATCAAATATGTGTAGTAGGAGTTCGCAGCTGGAGCAAGTCCATGGGTTTCTGTCTGTGAGGTGATTTCATAATGCAGAAGTTGGAGTGATCGCGATGCCATCGGAGGGATCTGCTCAGCGGGGAATGACCGAGATACTTCTTGAATGATTGAAAGGCTACGGAGATTTGGACCGGCGTGCAGAATAAGGTTGAGAGTTGATGGAAGTACGCCGGTGGATGCAAGTGTTAAACTTTTCAATGCAGTGCGATTGGTTGGAGAGGAGAGGAATTCGACCACTCCTCGAGCCGTCAGCTGTGGGGTGTCCCGAATCGTAAGCTGTTCCAGGGCGGGGAACGAAGCAAAAGAGGAATTCGCTGCAAATGCCGAGTCATCAAGCCATGGGAGATCTTCCAATGTCAGGTCCCTAAGTTTAGAAAACGCTGCCAGGCTGTTTCGGAGAATTCCAGCCTCAATATGCAAGCCCGACAGCTCTAGCTTCTCAAGATTGATCCAGTGAGGTGCTTCTGGAAGTCGCGCAAAGCTACCCTCCGCACCATGTCGATAACTCATGCGCCGAAGATCGCTGCAGGAGGCAATCAACTCTTGCTTGAGTGGGATACATGAAGTCTCGTCACTGAACAGACCGGTCGGGAGATCGACATAGCGAAGATGGGGAAGCACTGAGATTGTCCGGGCAATGATGGATTTATTGGCCTCGCGTGTCATATAGGGCATTCGAAGAGACAAGACCAATTTCCCTAAGTGTCTTGATTCACGAACAGAGCGCATAAACAACTCCAAACGGACCTGCGGCGCATCGATGGGATCGCCATTACGGTCGAAGAAGGAGCGGCGTTTTCGTTTGGCAGCTAGTTGGACTTCGAGTTCGCAGTAGTGCACGGGGTCAATTCGAACATTTGTATACCTATGAGATCTTGTTAGTAATGAACAAAGAAATATGACAAGGGAGCATACAAGAGCGCGTGTGCTTCGGGGAACCAGCGCCTGCATACCATGGTGCAGTGCGCGAGGTCCCGCATGTCACAGAGCATGCATCCATCAGTCATGGAATCTTCCGAGGTATCATAGGAGTTATCCAATACATGGGGGCAAACAAAGCTGAGGATGTGAGCCAGCACAGTGCGGGGAAGCTTCCTAGTCGCATCGCGACCGGCAGAGTGGGGCGGCGTTGGCGGCTCGGTCGCAGGCGTCACACTGCGTCGACTACGCCGAGGGCTGGCCTTGAATTTTTCAAAAAGGCCCATCTTTTAGAGATGAGCGATGTTGAGAGTAAAAAGGAGAGAAGTGAGAGAAGCTGGAAATATGAAAGGCGCGAGTTTCATGCAGGGCCCGCTATTGAGCAGGGATGAAACACCCAATGAACGCCCACGCTTTGTCGCGCCAATGTTTCAGGGCATTGAAAGTCAACATCTCGTTTCATAGAGATAATATTGAACTTCCAGGGCCCCGGGGATATAGTTTGCAATATATTAAGGTTGACCCATGACGGTTTTCCACTGGTGGAACCAGTGGCCTGGTCAATATGGGTCTGTTTTGTACAAACCTGTATGAAGCTCGGATATAGCAGGCACCATGACATCACTAAGAAAAATAGAAAAGTTTCAGGTGAATGCTTTTAGGAGGATCACATTGGTAGGAATTCAATTGAACAGAGCATAACATGTTGTAAGGAAGTGGAAGTGGAAGTGGGAAAGAGTAAAGGAAAGAGTAAGTGATTTGAGTTGAAGTTGCGTACCAGTCTAGCACTTACTCTGGTACTCAACTTCAACTTGTTATCCTTGGCTGCTGACATCATTGGATCTTCGCCACATACAAGGTATAAATAATATTCTCTCCATGATAGCCCAACTTCCAAGGTTATTTCCACCTACCCTCACCTATCATCATGGCTGAAATGGGCATTAAAAACACCGAGAACCCGTTGCCTACACCAGCTGTCACCAACGCCGTTTCTGAGAATACACTAGAATCAGAGGATTGGAAGCATAGACCACCATACCATATTCAAGGTCAAGACGAATTTGGTCCCATCAAGTGGAGGGGATCATGCAAATGTGGAAAAATCACATATGCTTTGAACCGAGACCGGCCTTTAAACGCCAAGTTTTGCCATTGTCGAGGATGCCAGGTCATGCATGGCGCTCCTTTCCAGTGGGCTGCGATCTTTCACAAACATGATATCTCATTCGACAAGGGCTCTAGTGGCCTGGCATTCTTCTCGGCCTCCAAGAATTCCCAGCAATACGATATGCCCACCAAAGTGTCATGCAGCTATTGTCACACCCTTATTATGGACGAGGGTCGCACGACCTGTTTGCTGTTTCCGCAATTAATCGAGCGCGAGGGGTCACAGGATGAGCGGCGCAAACAGTTGGAGGTATTCAAACCGACGTATGTCTGATTCTCCACATTCTATACCTGACAGGTTGCTGATGTTTTTAGTTGTCATATCTATTATGAAGATCGCATGTTCGACGTTCCCGATGAACTCCCCAAGTGGTCCGAGATGGATGGCAAAAGTCAGCGGCTTGACGACCATGGCAAACCTATTCACTGAATAAGACGCGATGCGGCGCGGGAAAGCGATATGACTATTTTTGAATGAAGGGATTACGGAGTAGGGTGACAAATATAGATCATGGCGATTATCTCTGTTGCATATTCTTTTAGATTAATCGAACGCGATAAATGAGACATGCACGTTGGTCACATTGTACTTGGATTGGAGGATTTTGTTGCATCCACATCACGCTAATTTCGCTAATGCAATTAATTCATGCTGGGTTAAGACCGAATGAATCGATACTTGGCATATCCACTTCTGATCGTCTGTCTATTTGCCAACTCCACGAAAGGGATGAGCCCATCGGCCACTCCGCGCTAAATTCTAATGCGCCCTCGTTCACGGCACGATGTGACCCTCAAGATCATCACCTCCTAAATGGGAAAAACGTCCTCATTAGCTCCTCTGGGCATGCTCCATCAGCTTGGGGCTTTTTCATAGCCATTGGCTTTAAAGGCATCTCTCCTCCCAGAATGTGGTGGCTTCCTACCGCTACACCAAAACAACCCTTTTCTATTGAAGCATGTGGCTCAAGACTTGGGCGGTTATGGCCACACTAGCTAGCCATGCCGCTGCCGTCACGCAGATCACCGATCAGGATATGACCGCGCTCCTCGAAGCTGGCGGTGCCGACCTAGCCAACCGCTATGCACCTTTGTGGTTCTTCGCCCAAGCCGAGAACCACCCCCCTTGTTATCCGACTTGGGCATTCGGCGGATCCCCAAACACATCCGATACCTACGACGCCACTCATAAGACACCTGCCGCGGCTCAATGCCAGTACCCCAATGTTGGATGCAACTGTCGCAATCCCGGGATAGACTCCGGGAACCCGGGGCCCGCGTTCCCAGTCTATTATACATTCCAGCGGTGTACCGAGACCGAGGTACGCGTTGTCTACAACCTCTTCTATGAAAAGGATGGCGCGACTTTTGGTTTCATCCAAACCGGACATGGCTAGTAAGAATCTAGTCCTGCGTCGTAGTCATGGGCTCTAATCTGGTTTTTTAAGCGATTGGGAACGTGTTGTGATTATCCACTCACGCGACCACAAGAATATGTGGGCGCCTTCGCGGGCGCTGCTATCCGCTCACAGTGGATACAATAACCTGGCCTGGGGTGACATTCAAAATACCCTGACTACGGATCAGATCAATGCTGGTGATGCTAAAGATCCGAATGGTGTGAAGAATGAAGATCACCCCAAGGTCTATGTGGCCTGGTCGAAACATCCTAACTTCGATACCCGTGATACGGGACTCATTGATCCCGTCAGTCAGTCCTTGGATGATGCGTATCGCAGCGATGACTGGTGGTACTATGTTGACCCTCAGTACTATGTGTGTTACCCTGTTTTGGTATGAAGTCATCAGCTAATGCGTGATAGATCCGTTCGGATAACAGTACCGCTGCTGGTCAGGCTCTTGGATCTGCCGACTGGGGAAGTGCCACTAGTAATCCACCACTGGTGCAGGCCAGTGTCTGCAATGCGTCTTAAATATTTCAAATGGATCTATCCAAGTACTTAACTGGTTAAGATAACATTGTGGAAGCGTAGTGGGTGTGAAAACATTTAACTTTGTGATACCCCAGTAGTCAACCTGTCGTTTCGCTGCTCTGGTGGAACCAGAGATATTGAACGAAATGGTATAATCGAAAGTCACTCACGCATGTTATACTTGAGTCCCGGAACATTGAATAGGTTTGAACGCTTAATTACCAAAGGACGCTCACGCCTCAGCCCCATCCATACATGCATTCTGCGCTTCAAAACTTAAGTTCGCGGTCAACCCATGTCTTTTGACAGTATGTATTAACGTGGATGGTCAAATCAATTTGCTGTTGATTCGAATAAGAGAAGAGCTCAGTAAGTCAAAGCAAGGGAGAACCTTCACGGGTTTTGGTGGCAAAAATGTAACGTACAGATGCTTGATGAGCCATTTATATGCTCCAACGGTCCAGCCCGCACCAACCGTGGTTACTCCCTATTGCGGGATCTTCAAATCCGCCAAGACTCTGCGCCCCCTTACTACGTAAAAAAGATTTTGCAACTTCCCCCATATCTCGCAACACAACTAAACTCATGTGTGCGAAGTTAAGTCTGCTCATTGAAGCTCCTGAGCATGGGGCTCGCGGTCTCTCCGGGGCGTGCTTACACTGCCCTTGAAGAAAAACTGAAAGCTGAAGAATCTGCTGGTGACACACGGTACAGTTTTTTCAACGCCAATCTTGACATCGTAACCCGCGCCGATAACTTTTCACACTTGCAATCGACTTGCGAGACGTTTAAGAGCTTTAAAGAGACGGGTGTTCATGAAGGATTGTGGTGGCTTCATGTCGCTTCGCCATCCGATGACGATATTGAATCTTTGTCGCGCATGTTCAGTCTCCACCCTCTGACCACCGAGGATATCAAGGTCCGCGAACTCCGTGAGAAAGTTGAGCTCTTTGGCTCTTACTACTTCGTTTCCGTCCTTCCTCCACGGCCGCTTGGACTCAAGACCGTCCCCGACTCCTCAGCCAATTTCTACGGCATTGTCTTTCCGGAGGGAATCCTCAGCATCTCATTTGGTGGTGGTCAGGATCCTGCCCATGTTTGGAAGCGGATAAAGGAACATCAGAGCCTTTTCTCTCCGACGAGTGATTGGATTTGCTATGCGCTCATGTATGTCGCTTTTCTTGCGGAAATTGGGCCCCATGCTGATGACCGTAGTGATGATATTGTGGATGGCTTTGCCCCATTAATTAACCATGTGCAGACCGGCGTTGAGATGATGGAGGATGGCCTATCTGTCACGCGCCCCGATGATATCGGTTTGGCTCTTCAGAGCATCTCGAAGTGGCGTAAGGATGTCATCCAGATCCGCCGACTTCTGCACGACAAAACCGATCTTATTCGATGCTTTGCCCGTCACTGCAGTTACTCGGTAGCCACAGCTGCGGAAATCACCCTTTATCTCCGTGATATTCAAGATCACGTCTTGACGATGATGTCTAACCTGACCAGTGCCGAGCAAATGCTTTCGCGGTCGCAATCTAAATATCTGGGTCGACTTGAATTCGACTCGACTTGTATGCGTAATAGCATCGCAAGCACCCTGAGTCGGGTGACCATTTTGGGCACAATCGTTGTCACGATGCAGCTGATATCTGGTTCTTTTGGGATGAATGTAAATGTACCTGGGAAGTTTGTGGATAACTGTACCTGGTGGCTTGGGATCCTCGGGTTCTTTTTAGTATTTGGCCTGCTGTTTGTATTGTTGGCGAAACGAGCGCGAATCATCTAGGGACTTATAGGTAGACTTGTCTAGAAATTCAGTCGGTGGTATCAAGACATGCATCCTGACTAATATCCGTACTTCTCCGGTACATGAACTGTACGGGGGAACGATAAGGGTCAGAACCAGCGTGCACACAAAAGTGGCATGAAATGTAGAGCAGAACGAAAGACGCTGCGCATGGACCTATCTAGACGACAATGGAGAGCACGTGACAATTTGGAATGGTCGAAACGTCTGCTATTACAACCTCCAGCAACAACAATATTCCTCATGGATAAGAATGACTTTTTCTTCACAAGCTTCGGGCTAGTCGTGCTCGACGAGATCCACTTCCCCAATCAGAAGCCTTTGACTAATATACTTGGAGGATCAGGCGCGCATGGTCTGTACTAGCTCGCTGGTCTGTCCATCCAGTGGAATCGCTAACATGGGAAGTATATAGCAACTCTGGGAGCGCGTCTATTCCTAGCTCCTCCCTTGAGCAAAGCTGTGGCATGGCCGATTCATATTGGAAATGACTTTCCAGGTCAAATTTCCGACCTGCTACAAAGCTGGGGAATTACGTTGATTATCAAGAAGGAAGTGAATCAATCGTCAACTCGGGGCTTACTGGAGTATAAAGATACTACTTTTGGACGTATGGGACATAACCCATAGCTTCGATCATTGGCTAACAGATGTTTAGCAAAGGATTTCCAATACACGACCCCTGTGCTAGCTTTCGATGAGAGTAAGGATGATACCCAGATCCTGGCTTCGAAGGCATACCACTATCTTGCAGCACCGCAGGACATCAAACTTCGCATCTTGACTCTTCAATCTATGCGGCATGATCTTGGTGTATCAAACCGACCCCTCATAATATGGGAGCCGTCTCCTTTGGCATGCAATCCGGAGAATCTACAAGCGTGTCTAGAAGCAGCACAATATGTGGATGTTCTTAGTCCTAATCATCTCGAGCTGGCGAAACTTTTCTCACAGGCGCCACAGGCTGCTTTCAGCAAAAGCAGGATCGAGGAGCTGGTATCGAAATTGCTGGATCGCGGGGTTGGACCAGATCGAGCTGGTGTGGTCGTTGTTCGAGCTGGTGAGCATGGCTGTCTTGTGCAATCACGAAACATATCTCCTAAATGGCTTCCCCCATTCTATGGATCTGGTTCCGTCGAAGGAATGGCTTCTTCAGTGGTTGATCCGACTGGAGCCGGGAATGCGTTTCTGGGTGGATTTGCTGTAGGGTACATTCAAACAGGAGAGGCTATACAGGCCGCTTGCTATGGAAGCGTTGCTGCATCATTTACATTGGAACAGATAGGCATGCCGGAGGTGGATAAAGGCGATACTGAGATGTGGAACGGGGTCAGTGTGCAGGCAAGGCTACGGCAGTACATGTCGAGAGAGGAAGTCCAGAAGCAGATAGAAACCAAATAGGAGGCCCATTCAAGGGTACGATTGGGATCATTGGAGATCATTTGAATATCGGATTTTTACAATCCAGCCTAGTTCCCCCAGACCAAGCACACGTGTGCAGCCAGCCAATATGAACAAAATAAACGCCGTCCTTGATAACCCAGGATATCCCCCAATAGAACTTCTCGCTATCTTTCCAGTCTTCTTTTTTCATTGTCTCCTCAAGCTTTGGTCGGCTCTAGCTTTTCTGGAAAATCACACTCTCCTGCGACGCTTCGCGCTGCCTCCATGATCAGCAACTTCGCCGGGAGTTCCTCCTGCTGTCGCAGGACTGGTAGCTTCGCTATCGGTCAACTGCTCAACAACTCGTCCCGAATCCATGTTACCAGACCCAGCATCGCCACCAAAAGCAGAACTGTCAAAGCCATAACCAAAATGGTCCTGCCCATGGCCTGATCCGTCAAAAAGATCACCATCACCCGGAATATCACCAAAGTCAAATAGGTGATTCGTGTCTCCATCATCGTCTTGACCAGGGACCAAATGTTCGTGCGGGTTCGCTCCCATCTCGACGGAATGACCAGTATGATCAAGATCAATGTGTTTCTTGTCGTGGTCTGGGTCTCCAAGGTCGGTAAAGTAGTCATTGTTGAATATCGTATCAAGATCGAGTGGGGGCGGTGGAACATTTCCGTTTCCATCTGGTCCCAATCCAGGTATGGCACCAGTTGGGCTCAAAGGCTGAAGAAGATTTGTGAGGTTTTGTACAGACCGATCCTGTTCAGCTTGCATCTTGACTAGATTGTCAATTTCTTGCCGAGTGTTTGCGAGGCGGCCTGAGTAGTTTGGGGGCATGGGTGGCGGAGTCGGAGTCATAAGCGCGTTGTTTGAAGAGCCTGGAACAGTGGGATTTCCGGTGTTGGTTTCACTGGCTATGCGACGAATCATGTCGGCGCGCTCATTGGCAGTGAGAGGCAGATTTCCTTCGAGAGAAGATAGAACATTGGGAAAGTCAGTGAAGTTCGTGGGGATTCCATTTCGTGCATTCGAGTTCTGGATGACGGACATCATGTCCTGCTGAGGGGAGCTTGCATCGCTTGGCTGTCCCGGGTGCTCGGATTTGTTCTGACGTGGACTATTGTCGAAAACCTCCTCCACATGTCCAGGCTTTCCAGCACTTGGCTGACGAGTATGACCCCGAGACCTTGTCTCGTAGGATCCGCTTGCTGCCGGGGATATGGTAGAGCCGCGGTTGTTCTCGTCCACGGTAGGAGGGGCTTTCAAAAGAAGAGGCTGCTTCTTCATGGTTCTTTGACCAGTTGGGCTAGTCAGTCCCGCCAAAGAGCCCAAAGAAAAGTCATCCCCCACATCGACAATGTTTCCTTGGTCCCCAGAAATGGCTCCAGCAAAAGTATTGGCGATATTCTGGTTCCCATCATTTCCTTGCAAGCTGCGGTTGTATACAGTCGCAAGAAATGTGAGTATGGCGTTGATTGAGTTTTCGTGGCGGGTATGTTGCTCCTGAAAGTTTGCAGCTTGTGCGTAGAGCTGCTCATGCTCTTTCCGTAATCTGGTAATAGTAGTTGAAATAATTTGCTGCTGCTGGCGAATCGCTTGCAATTCTCGGTACACTCCAGACAGCTGATCTGATGGCATGGGGGTTTCTGTGAGAAGGGAGAGCTGTTGAGGTCGTGGTCGACTCTCGCGAGTTGCAGCTGCACCATCGTCCCCATAATCTTCCAGTTCATTTTCCTCTACTTCCTCGGTCTTCACCCGCGGTCCACCTTTGCTCCCTTTGCTCGCATGGCCTGGTGTGTTTTTCGGTTTCTGGATCAACCAGAGCAAGTCTGGGTGGCCACGTTTGAAGTATGGATTTGCGTATTCGCTGGGGCTCTTATTCTTCCGCTCGCTAGCACGCATCGAGTTGTCGGAAAGGCCAACCTTCTTGTGGAATCCATACATGTTCAATTGTCGGACAAATGAGGCGTAGTTGTTGTGTTTGAACAGCTCGGGGATCAATGTCCTCGCAAATTCATCCTCGTCTAGTACAATGAAAGAATTACCGTCGTCGGACCATCGAATCAACTCGGTATTCTTGGATTCATCAAGAAAGCTGTGATGACGGGTTAGAACTCCATTCAAATGCAGTAACCTCTCATTTCCGCAACTTACCTGCTGAGTTTCTGCACAAAAGGTGGAATTTGTTTTCGTTTCGCTTGCGACTCTCTCTTCGCGGCCAGCGCCCGTGCATACAATTCCTCGAGGCTTTCGCCCCATGCACCCGACTCCCCCGGGTTTCCATTCGCATTCTGGTCCGAATATGTCACGGGTGCTTGCTCGTACCCACGATTTCGACTGACAAGCTGATTTGCCTGCTGGCGACGAGCCAGCTGGTTGTTGGTTGTTGCCGGAGAAGGTACATCTTGCGCGTTTATGTTTCCCTGGTTGTATGCAGAATTTTCGGCGTAAGAGGAGGCATTCACAGCATTCACAGCGGGGTTCTGCCCCCACTGCAAGAATTGGTCGTTGGATAACTGAGAGCCTGGGTTCGCAGATGGGTAATTGGGGACAGCACCCATTTGAGGGTGTACTGCAGGAGTCGTTCCTGGGGCAGGTCGTTTGCGCGTTATGCCTTGAGAGCTCATGATGGACTGACGGGTCGAGGGTGTGTAGGGTATCGCAGGAGGTGTGGGGTCGCTGAGTAGGTCTTCGACTGGCGAACGCGTGTTGAGGAACAAAGCAGGTCGCAGGGGTATCGAAATTATTATATCGATGGCAGTGCGAGCTCAAAATTCAATTGATTGGGCGTGAATATCGTCCTAGGTGATTCACTCACGCCAAAAGTTTGGCTCCACCAGGGAATCGGACAAAAAACCGGCCGACTGTTCACAGCGGAACTCGAAAATCCGCCGAAAAAATTCAATGAATGGCAGTGAATGTATTTCCTGCAATTCTGGGATGTAGGCGACCGAGGCAGACCTGGCCACGGCGAATGAGGATTTGGGTGAAATCCTACCTTGCGACCACAATCAGCGGGTGAAAGATAGCGGCATTCAGAACAACTCGAGGCTCCAGCAAAAGGGGCAAGAAAGGCGCTCAGCTCCAGTCAAAACAATGACGGATGAGCGGTGATATGAATGCGATCGGAGCGAAGGGTGGAATGGAGCGCAGGAATAAGAAATCTTGCGCCGCGATCTTTTGCTAGACAATGAGGTCAATCCAACGGCGGGAGTCACATCTGATTGGCGGAAACATGCTAAGTCATCACCAGGCGGAGTGTCACTATCAAATAATGAATGAAGAAACTTCATGATCACTAAAACGTATGAATTACTTTGAATATGCATCAAACTTGGTGTCAGTCTTTGTTTTATTTGGTTCAAATGCCACATTTACTTTTTAACTAGCGGTATCATCACCAACGAGTTCCTGAAATCCTTTCATCAATGCCTGCCACTCAGCTGGCTGGGTCTGTGTAAACTCTTCCACTTTCTTCGGGCTGGCCAGGTCTTCGGCCATGCGGGTTTCATTTGTGGTGCCATTCAGCACTGTAATGTTACCGAGCCCCATCACTAGTGTATACAGCGCAGCTGCGGGACTGATCCCGATGTGAGCAGCGAGTTTCTGCACCGGCTCCGATCGTACAAGCTCCGGGTTTGCAGTCAGTGTCCAGAAGCTTTGGTAGATGATGTCTTTCTCGCGGCAGAATGCTCGCAGTGGAACATCATAGAGAGTATCGTCATAGAATCGATTCTGCACGACTGAAGGCTTCACCTTCACCACGGGGGAGGTATAAAGAGCATGAAGTACTGGTAGAGGACAGTTGGATATCCCTAGGTTGCGAATCTGGTGAGGTACATAGGTCTGCAAGGCCTCCCATACCTCGATAGTCTGCTCGATAGTACGCAACGGGCTATGGACAACCACCGTGTCAATGTACGCCTCGACCACGCTCTTCGGGTCAGCAGATGGTCGAAGATTGTGCAACGATGACTTCATCGATGCATGTACCTGCTCCGTCAGGGATGCATTGGCATCATAGGGCATATTATCCGGGTCTTGTGCAGATACTGGACTAAATTTGGTTTGGACCTGCATCAAGTCAGCGCCAACATGACCAAAACAAACCGAATCCAGTGTCAACGCCACTCACGTAGAGATCCTCTCGTCGGACCACTCCTTCCGCAATTGCCTTGCGAATTCCATCGCCGACCAGTGGCTCCTGGTAATGTCGAGGTTGAGCCGCTGTGTCAATACCGCGAAAGCCGGCGCTGACTGCCTTGTAGACAAGATCGGCTGTCCGGTCTTTCTTCCAGGCAGTGCCGTAGAGGAAATTTGGGATGAGAGTCGGTGGGGAGTCCTGGAAGGAACGTAGGTAGTACTTTTCCCACATTTTCATCATCGCTCGAGCCATGTTTTCTGTGATGGGAAATACCAGGTAGATCGAATTTATAATTGACTTGGATGTTGCGGGGTCGAAATTCTTACTAAGTTGGAATGTCGCTGTTGACAACGTTACGGAGGCGAGTAGCGGCCATGAGGACAGAACCTTTAATATCACATAATGAATACTAGAAAGTCATTAATACTGCAAAGCTAATCTACCCCTCCATTACTTGAATACATCGCAGACTTTTTGGAGTTACGTTCGAAACCTCCACCAAACTTTGTCCTTCCACTTCAATTTTTTTCCTCTTTCATTTCTATTCCGCTTTATATAAATTTAAAGAGCCCTTTGACTATTTGACTAAACTGGTATAATAGAAGTAGAATACTAGATAGGATACTAGATAGGAAACTAAGTAGAAGACTAAGTAGGGGATATAGTAGGAGATATAGCAGGAGATATAGCAGGAGATATAGTAGGAGATATAGTAAGAGATATAATATAATAGCTAACATTGAAGTCTAGGCGCTACGCTAAAAGGTTCTGTCCTCATGGCCGCTACTCGCCCCCGTACAACGTGACACCGGCATCATTTTCAGAAAATCCCGGGTGTGAATTAGCTAGACATGCTTTTAGTCAAATATTGCGACGAAAATCACGGGTTGAGATGTCCAAGAATGGATATAGTGACCAGGATATGCATGTGCATACCAGCTTAGTGATATCCTCGGAAAACGCGGAAGCCTGGACAAAACACCTTTGCTATGTATATAATCAGCGATCGCGGGGCCCCAATATGAGGGCTATCGATGTACATAGCACCTGAGCACATCCTTCTATATTGGCAGTTTCAATCTCACAAAGTCAACGCCAAAGACTCACTCGTCCAATTTCACGGTATTCTCGCAAGTTCACAGTTCAGCCGCGATACCGGACATCTGGATGATTGAATTAACAGTAAAATCATAGGAGACTACAGGATTGATCAGTTACAGCCAAGATCAATAGTGGCCCCGCAGCGTGGCTTAGACGGCATATTTTCTGGGCATGCTTCTTGGCGAAAAAGTTCTCTACGGGGAATGACAGGTAATACTTAGTAATTATAGATCACGTCCACGAACTGATAGCAGATCAAAGATTGGGTAGCATTAAGATTCTAGAATTAAGGGACTTGACACAGCCACCCCAAATCAGGTCGCTAGCGCAAAGGCACGCTACCGCATTAGACAACATATTTTTCAATTCACCCCGCATGCACATGCGAATCAACGAGCTATCCCCAGAAACGTCTTGGCTTATGGAACTCTGGAACAGGCAGCTCCTTTACGTCTATAGGCATTGGCTATCTTCATTCTGGGTGGGCAGAGTTGTTTCTATCTATAGATCCAGTGCTCGCTTGCATACTCGATGGTGAAGATCTGTGAATCCTCCCCAGCTCAACAATCTAATATCACTTCTAGGAATGTAGGATGATAGCCTGCAGCTGTGAGTGGTCAACATACTTAGTTGCAAGTACTTTGGCTCTTCAGATCAACAGGGTTCAACGCCGGCGTCATTTATAGAAACACAAAACTTGGCAGCACGAGCAGCAACATCAATTGATATAAAGGCGCAATGTTTCTCGTAAAAAGTGATCAATTCAACAACAATACATACTATCACCTGGTTGAAGAATCTTGAAAGAAATATATGAACCAACAATCCAATATCAATCGTTTTCAATCAGACATTATGCGTACACAGCAATTGCTCGCGCTCAGTGGCCTTGTGCTCGCCAGCAACATCGCGATTGCGGCCAAGCTGGAGCACGACGATGTTCCTAACCGTTGCTGGGCTGCCTGTGGCTCTATTGTGGGTATCTCCGAGAGCTGTGATGCGCAGCATGACAATGATCAGGCTGAGTTGCAGTGCATTTGCAATTGGAGTCCAGCGAAAACGCAGATCCCACTCTGTGCGGCTTGCATCACCCTATACGATGACGATGACGACGATGATGATGACGATGATGACAACGGTATGTAGTTGTTGACAATCATAGCCAGTTCCCTTACTCATATTTTCTTTCAGATGCTCTTGATATCGTCCAGTCTTGCTCCTTCAGTACGACGACGTATAACGCTGCTGCTGCCACTACATTGAGCGCTTTCACTTCTGCTACCGATACCGGGGTCGTCAAATCGGCTGTTACCACTACAGCCAGTGCAGTCTCTGTTAGTAGCTCCCAGAGCTCCTATGCAACCACTTCTGCTGGCTCTACCTCTTCTGAGGGCTCAGCTTCTTCCTTGACTCCCACAACTGATGCAGCTGCTGGTATAACCGGTCCTGGACCTGTTTACATGGCCGCTCTTCTGGGCATGTTGCCTCTCGCTTGGCTCTAAGTAGTATGCGCTACGGCTGTTGCTAGCTCTGTTTTAATCAAGTTATCAGTATGAAGGGACAACATTGGGTACATGATGTTTATTTTTATGCTTTGAATATCTTAAACGACTCTCTTTAAATTCAATGATCGCAGTTACCTATGTATTTTTAGTCAGTTATAGACACTCGCTATATTTTCTTTTCAACTCAACCTTACCTGATTTACGGTGAATTGGGTGCTGTAAATTTAATTATGTCCAACATTGAAGTTGAATATTCGCAAGTTTGAAACTCATTTAATCCCGTTCATAGCTCCAGCTATATGGTGGATATGAAGCTGAAACGCCCCGGAGACCTCAAGTACGACGAATTTAAGCTTCCTGATTTCCTTCAGATGATTCATTTCATATATTCGTTCTTGAGGTCATCCTTTCACCCTCTTCAAGTTTCTTTGGGCAAAAATTGACCAGTATGCATAGTTCAAATTTATTTTAATTTTTATACTTTGTCAACTTGGAATGTTTCCATCGGTCCGTATACATATATACCCAGTAGTTTGCCTATGTCTATTTGTGGCAGAAATAATTGTGCGGGATGTAACCTGATTTATGTACATATTTCAGGGCAGGCAACTTCATGCTCACATGTGCAAATTTAAGTACTTCATTCAGATGTTCAAGTGACCATTGATGCCAACGTTCCAATATTTAAAATCTTGAACATTCGTCCCTTTGACTCCCTGAGATTAAGGTCACGTACTTACTCGACGCATTGCTAGGTATTATGCCCAGGTGCATGCTTATGTACCACCTACTTCCAACCTGGAAGGTTCCGGAGTTTTATCTAGATGTCGTCCGTTCAAGTGAAATGTTCAATTTTTGATGTACAGTTAGCAGGAGTTAGAGACGATCTGAAATTCAATGTTGGAAAAGGAATTGGAATTATGTACAAAGTAAAACCGATAAATGCCAATTTATATCTACGGATGCGCATATACATAAGATGTTTGTTCGTCACGATAGTCTAATATATGTCACACATTATATATACAGATGGCGTATTAATCCGTGGCTGACGGGTCAAGTGTCGTCTTTGCGTGAGTCTGTCGACGAAGGTCGTCATTTGTGTCCTTCCATGGATGATTGTTATTATCCGAGGCCGTTGGTAGATCGTCAAGCTCATGCCAGGGACCAGCGAAATCGAACGGCTCCTCATCACTTGTATCTTTGTTCGCAACCTTTTCATTGTCTTCTGTGATTTCTTCATTTTCTTTCTCTTCATTGTCCTCGCCCCAGGTCTCACCATCGAAAGAATCCCCAGGCAAGTCAAACCCTCCGAAGAAATCCTCGTCGTTTTTCAGATTCTTGAACGGATTATCAGAGATCCAGTCAGGAATCAACGGCTCGATGTACTCCATATCATACACATCCGAATAACATTGCGCTTTAGTTGGACATCTGCAGACACTGTTAGCAAGTCAAGCGATTCCAAATTTCAACCTATAAACGTACGTGACGGGATCCTGCCCGAAAATAATATGCCACAGATACTCAAACACACGGCCACTGGTCTCATCATCCAGTTGCGTATCCATCAGCCATTGATAATAGTGCATATAGTCGCTCAGCGGTCGGGCCAGCACCTGCTCCTTGGTGACCGCAAATTGGGCACAGCACGCTGTTCCAATCACCTCGGGGATATCTGTGTTGTTGAAAATACCGATCCAGGCTCCCGCGAAGGCGATTTCTGTTGTGCGTCCTGCTAACTGTCGGAATGGGTAGACCTCATCCGGGCATCCCGGAGTCCAGTCACAGCGCAGGTTAACATATCCGACTTTGCGGACGTAGTCTAGCTGCAATCGTTGCACTGTCTGAGCATTATCTTGCTCCATGAGTTCGACATGATCGGCGTAGCGATGTGCGTGTAGGAATACCATAAACTCGGGCAGATTGTCGTAATGGTCGATAATCCACGTAAGGTAGATGTTGCTCTCTTTGCCTTTATTTTCTGCCACATGGTATTCGGATTCGGGTTCGTCAACGACGTAGACTGCGTTCGGCCACCTAGAATCGCATTCGGATTAGCGCTTGAGACTAGCAGGGGTCTAGAAAACGGCATTTTTATACAAAGCCAAACGCAAACTTGAAGTGAGTGCTTACTCGGGCAGTTCCTCTTCCAACCAATCGGAATCTTCCCAAGACATCCTCCCCAGCACAATAATGCGATCCGTCAATTTGGGCACCGGCGGCTTGGGTGTAGTTTGCGGTTTCGGCGGTTGGTTATGCCCATGTCTTGACCCAATGTTGTAATTTAAATCTTCCAGGTACTCCTCCCAGAACTGATCATTATCGTAATTTGAGCCGGGCACGTCCACCGGAATCATTTTCGGTTCAAATTGCGCTGGTGTAACCGGCAAACCGGTTGCCTCGAAAAATCCCTGGGTGGTTGAAGTTGTCATGGACGATGAAATCGACGACACAATTGGGGAGCTTGAAGCAGCCGGAGTCGCAGGGAGGTCGTCGCCCGAGACCAGCTCGATATGGGTGCCAGCATCGTCGAGGATAAAATCTGGGACACGGCTTGTGCGATCAGGTTGCCATTGCTCGTCAATTGTGGAGAGGTGATTCTTCAGAATGAAGATAGTGAAGACCAGTGCGACGGCGATGGCCACGCGAAATGTTAGCCTCATGTCGACACTGGAACTCTTTTCCAGAAAAACAATCCACGAGGGAGGCAGAGAACTTTAAAGACTGAAGACGCTTTTTCTGGTTCTGGATTGGCCCCACTTATACTACGTCTGCATGTCAACGCCTCATCCGCCCATATCGGTACTTTTTGCACAATTCTTAGGAGATAGATAAGGGTAAGTAACTTGGGATAATTTTGACAAAGTCGCTACATTATTTAGAGAGAATGAGCATAGAGTCTGGGGGATGGGTAGATACAGGGTCTTTAGGCCCCGTTCTCATTGCGGCCTGCAGTGGGGCCAAGCTTCGTCAGCCTTTCGTGTTCATCACTGTTTCATGCTTCTTCGTCATATCTCAACATATGATTGGTAGTCTTTTCGACCGCATTTGGGTCCAATGAATCTCGATCGATATGATGGAATGTCACCCCGCCAAAACTCACATTCTTGACATCTGCCTAGAGTTGGATTTTGACTCGTTCAAGTCCCGGTCGGCAATAGAACCTTGTTTCACTCAGGTACGAACACGATTATACTTGACACACAGGCCGGAGTCCGCAGTTTCTCCAGAGTCTTTAACACTGGTCTACTGTAGATTGTTGGTATAGTGCCATGCATAAGCGCCTTTTTATTGGGCCTATAATGGCGCCGATCATCACCACGAGGCTAGCCTATTGGACCACTTGCACCACTAAAGCTTAAAGTCCAAATGCCGGTATATGAATTATTGCCAGAGTATTAGCCACTTGACTAGCTTCCTATTTTACACAGGCCCATGCGTGACTTGGCAAGGAATCATCTTTTATAAACTGACGACGTTGTGATGCTTCTACCTTGTGCCTGAACTATTTCATATTTGAATAACTAAAATCCGACGGATCTGTGCAGTAAAACATGATTTTGGAAATCGATTGGTCTGGATCACAGATCTACCCTGCCCATCTATAACCTGGGTACACCGCGGACTTCTTGGAAATACGTTCAAAACCACCAGTCCCCGACTTCTCTATTTTGCCCTTCTCCTTCCAGTTCTCTTTTCCTTTCAAGTTTTTTTTATACTTTTCCGCTACATTTGAATTTGGAGAGCCCATTGAATGTTTAAGTAATCAGGTGGGAAAGAAGGTAGAATACTGAGCGCCAGACTAAGTACGAGACTACAAGGGACTCGGGACTGGGTAGAAGGCCTAATAGTAAGAGGCTAAGGAGGCGATATAGTTAACTTGGATGGGAGACATAGTATGAACATTAGTCATTCCATTAGGAAGGCGCCGCGACGTCGCGCAGCGGAAAGCCTCTCTAGATCACATGAGCGCCCCAACTACATACACTAGGCAGCTTCAACAGCCTTGACAAGACGACCAAGCTACCGACGCAGTTAACTTAGAATCCGAAAAATCCAACTGCCATTAGCTCGCTAGACCTGTCAGGCAGGTTGGCACCTGACTAGTGGAAGGATTTGACCAAAGCTCAGTATTTGAAGCTCAGGATGATCTCCCAGCAAATAGGCGCGCTTTCTGGGAATTAAACCCAAGGCAGCTTAGTTACTTCTCTACACAGTGCAAGTTACAACCACCCAAGCTCCACTTCGGCGAACGCGGGACCTTTTTACCCCTGGCTGAACGTGCTTCTCTCCTGACGTGAACTTCCGACCCACGGCAATCGGTCCTACCCACCAGGCCCTGAAGCTATTATACGTAAAGGTCCCATAATAGTAACATTGGAAACTGGAATTATTGTGAGCGGAGCCTATGATCCTTCCAGGAATCTTCCGACGCTCGTATCTCGGCGGCTGCTCAAAAGGATCGACATTCCAGAACAATAAAAAATAGGGGGTAGACGTTCATCAATGGGTCCATAAAGCATATCCTCGAGAGGGGAAGTGGCGAGGCAGAGTAGATCAGTGACCTCATGAGAGACCTGAAGAAGTCCCCCAGCTCAGAAATTCGGGATATCGCGTGAGGGAATTCTGTCCCTCCATGTGTGGAGTACAGCACTTTGGACAATGCAGACCAGCATTTGGGCAAGTACACCCTCGACCAGAAAAGGGGGTAATTCGGAAAAGCTCTCAGGATCCCCGGGAAGCCTTTCCCCCTTTTGCTCCGTACGCTTCCCCATCACCACGCCAGATCCCGAGAGCTAATTGTCAGGCTAGGCACGAGTCCGGCGCGCCGGAGCTGGTCTAGTCGACTCCACCCGCTGCAGACCATCGGGTTCTGACGTTCCCACTGCAAAGGTTCCAAGTCACCTCTAGCGTGTTTCTAGCTTTAGGCTGAGCTTCTCAGGAGCTTCCGCGAGGCCGCTAGAAGGGGGGATGCGCGGATCGTGGAGCTCAGGCGGAAGTTTCAATTTCTCCAAGTGGGCCTGGTGTGACATAGCTCCATGCGCAGTCAATCAGGGAGAGCTTGGAAAAAGTGTCGGGGAATCGCTGGGCCGTCCCGCTGGAACCAGATTACCTGTCATGGGAACGATGGAGATACATATTGGTAAGGAAAAAGCAATGAAAGGTGGGAAATGAAGATATACCTATCATAGGATTAGGGGGCAAATACGTGGTGGCAAACCAGTGAGGACGCTACTGGATCGAAGCAGAAGATCCCCTGAGCACGCTATACCGGACTTGATAACACGAGAAAAAAATAAAGAAATATATCCGTAAATAAAAAAAAAACAAAAAATAAGAAACGAAAAAGGAGGTCATCACATTAGTTAAGGAACTAGAGAAAAATGAATGGAGTCGTGCCAATTATAGACAATCAAGAGTACTCCATAGTGCATACATCAATGTGAAGCTACAGGGGTGATCCAAATATTGTATCAGGTATAGTGTCGGGCAGGTATCGCGGGAGCACGAGGCATTACGCGAACCGCGGTGGACATCAAATGTCACCAGTATTCTCGTCCCCCCACGAGTTTTCGAGCTGACAGTGAAACGTAGAATTGAATGTGGGCTCCATTCAGCAGGTTAGTTCTGTACAGTAGAGAGATCCAGTCTTGCGCCTCGTTGGCCAGCTCTCTCTTACGCATTTGAATTTCTCAATGTCCACTGAGGCGGAGACATAATCCACTCTGACAAGCCAGATATGGAGCATGGACCCAGTATTTAGGAGGAATCGGAAAGGAATGACGGGCAGAGGGAGCCGAGCGACCGCTGGAGCTTCGACCAAACGAGAATGGATTCTGATTTGGTGGAGTTGCAGACGGAAAGGAGCCGGCTCCAACACATTAGGGGGGGCGATCTAGTAGGGACTGAAGTATCGGAGAAAAGAAAACAGATATTGAAGTGAGCAGTGAGCAGTGAGTGAGTGTAGTATGTATCATATGTACTAGATAGAGAAGTATATCGAAAGAACAAACTTGATGTATAAGAAACACCCATTGTCCAGAGTATAACTTTGGATAAAGTACCTATTGGTTTAAGCCCCAGGGATCCATCGGGTATGTCCAGGGGCAAAAAAGTGCAAAAGTGCAGGGACTGGAGATCTCTCTAGTTCATTTGATTTGATTTGATTTGAATTGAATTGATTAGTTTTAGTTAGTTTTTAGTCTCAAGCCTTTTTTTCTCTATATAAATCCCGAACACCACGAATCCCGATTTCTCTGTCCTTTCTTGTGAATTTCCGAGATTTCTCCCAAATTGATTCTCACTCTTGAATCCTTAACAAAATCCTCCTACAAGACAGTCCAGACAAGAAAAAAAACCTCGACTCCCTTACTCCCCGTTCTTGGCGGCAAAAAGAGTGGACCAGCTTCCCACATCCGGCCTTGCGTGTCCCAATTTCCATCCTTTTTTCCTTTTTCCCCCCCGCTCTTCTTTCCTCCCAATTTCACCCACAACAAGGGGAAAAAAGTCGATCTTTCTCAGGTGAAATCATTAAAGGATAAAAAAAAAACTACCCCCCCATATACACATTTTTACGGCCTTTCCTTTCCATAGGCCACCAAAAATACCAGCACAAAAGCCCCCCTTTCATGACCCGAACGTGCACGACTTTGCATCCGTGAGCGATTTTGCTGCGTTTTTTCTTCTCCACCGAACACCGCCCGTTGCCGTGGTGTCTCTTTTCCCGACTTTCACACCTCTCCATGTTCCAATAGCTCCGTGCGACGGTATTTTGTTCGACCTCGTGCGTGTTTGTGGTGGATTTTACGTGCCCACATTCCTCCGGTCCTTGCCAAGGATTCTCCGTTCCAAATGAGTTATCAACAACCGGACATGTATCACGATCCTTCCGCGCGTTCCCCTGGCTCCCAGCGGCATCAACAACCCCTCCACCGCCAGCCTTCGCGCCAGTTTGATGCTTATGGTGCTATGCCTGTAAATCTATATGAAGATCAGATGGCTCGTTACGAATCTGCCAGACTGGAGCGTTTAAACCCACCGATGCAGAACAACAACTCCTACTCTTACGATCTGTCCGGATCGCAGACCTGGAACCCAAACGGCTTTGCCAACGCCCAAACCCTCGGTGGCATTCGATCGGCCTCGGCCAGCCTGAAGCCCGCTACCCGTGGTCGTACTGGTTTGCCTACGGTACGTGAAAACAGGCCTCCATCGAATTTTTTTTTCCTTTCCGATTTCCCCCTTCCCTTTGGTGCGGCGGACTAACCAGATGGCAAATAATAGACTTGGCTTGATCAGCAACCGGGAATGCCCAGTGCCTTCTCCAACCTGGGCCCCGGTCCCATCCAGAGCAGCGCGATGCGCCCGGAAGCATCGGCTTCATCCGAGGGCGATGACGAACTCATCCCAACTGCGATCGTCATCAAGAACATTCCGTTTGCCGTGAAGAAGGAACAGTTGGTGCAACTGATGACTGAGTTGAACCTACCCTTGCCCTATGCCTTCAACTACCACTTTGATAATGGGGTGTTCCGTGGACTGGCTTTTGCCAACTTCACATCCGCTGAGGAGACGGCTACCGTGATCGACGTGCTCAACCACTTTGAACTTCAGGGCCGGAAATTGCGAGTCGAGTACAAGAAAATGCTGCCCCTTCAGGAACGAGAGCGGATCGAGAGGGAAAAGCGAGAGCGTCGCGGTCAGCTCGAAGAGCAGCACCGACCCATGCCTTCCCAACTACACACTCAGAGCTCTATGACTTCTTTGAACTCACACATTCCAGCAACTTCCCCTTCACCTGTGTCACAGCGTGGTGGTAGTGGTGGCCATGGCCAGAAACTGGGTAAGTGGATTCTCTCCGAATGAAGAAGAAAATTTTTATCATGACTTGGTAGCTAATGGACATTTGGTCTTCTACAGATGTGGATTTGAATGACACGCAGACTCTTCAGTACTACTCTCAGCTCCTTTTGTTCAAGGAAGACACTACCCGCGATTCCGTGATTTTCCCCTCCAACCTCACCCCGTCCCAGCGACGCACGGTTCATACCCTGGCTCATAACATGGGGTTGGCCCATGCCTCCCGGGGAAGTGGGGATCAGCGCCAGGTCCAGGTACTGAAGGTCGCTGCTGGCAGCAATGTGAGCCCACCGCTGCAGCCCATTCCTCCTGCCGGACAGTCCGACAACTCTCGCCGTGGACTGAACCGTGCCGCAACCATTGATTTTAGTGAGGCCCGCAACGAAGCGGGGTCTGGGGCCTTTAACACCCTTCGTGGGCAGACATCGGGTTTCCTTGGTGTGCTGGACTCCCCCGGCAACTTCGCGAACACCCAGAACCTACGTGCCGCCAAGTCCTTCGCCGACTTGCGCTCCTACACCCCTTCCCCTGTCCCTTCCTCCGCTAGCTTCCCCGCCGCGTTGCAGTCCAACGGGACTCGCCTCCAGTACGATGGAGCCCCCACAGGTGCTTCCAACACCCCGACCCTCACCTCCGCGCCCTCCGGATCTTCTCTCGGTATGCAGCGTGACGATAACCTGTTGGTCAACAGTCTGGGTGGCCTCTCACTGGGTACGGGTATCGGAGGCCCGAACTCGAGCCCCCGACGATTGCGTGGTATGTTCTCCTGGGACCAGGACAGCCAGCCCTCTGCAACAGGCGCCATTGGCAGCAACCGTGGAATGGGAGTCGGATTTGACAACGCTCAGCAGGAGCGCATGCCGGTTCGCCAGCCTCGTGGGCCGACCCCCGAGAAGGGCCCCGGTTTCCGCCGCCAAAACGGACACCAGGCTCGCGGCAGTGATGAGCTTCGCGCCAGCTCCGGCGTCGAGATCATCGTGGAATAGATGTCTTGTTTCAATTTCCTCCTTTCCTACTCCGACGCGATGAAAACGAAATGGCGATCCCCCACCCTGTTTTTTGCCAGCATCCGACTGCTTTGCCGCGAGACGAATACGAACTTGTATCACGAGGCCCTGTTCTGCGAAATTACCGGCTTACGATTCGATGAGGGATGACGAGATGACAACCAAAAAAGACCAGAAAAAATCCATTGTTTCGCTGATCCAGCCAAGTTTAGACTATTACTTTGGGGCAGCCCAGCAAATCCCACAACACACCACTCACAGTTTGAACGATTCTTTGTTGTGACTTTTTTTTCCTTCCTTTTTACCTTTTGAGAACCTTGCCATGGGTCCTTCAATGTTTTTTTCCGAGTAAAACTTGGCCTTTCTTCCTATTATTCTTTTTTTTTTCAACCTTCTGATTCTGTTTGAATTTCCGCGGGCGCCGTTTGCATGCAAAATCCCATGGCTTGGTTTGTGTTCCCTTGCAACGCTGGAGCGGATCATGACCCCGCCGCTTGGTGAACGCGGGACGCATACGAAGAATGACCAAAAAGAACCTGCCGCCGGTAGGAGACACGACAATATCAGCATTTGCATATTCTTGCCTGTTTCCGTCTTGTACATGGGCGACTCGCATCTAATGTTGTTCCAGCCCCTTTTTTCTTCTTTTTTCTGCTGGCCTGCCTCATCTCCTAATATTTCAAGTTACAGCTTTTTCACTGTTTCTTGGCCTCGGGGAGGACACTCTTTTTTATACGCTTTTTTTCTCTTTTGCCTTTACTGCGTAATTGAATTCTTGATCGGGATGTTTGGTTTGCCGCAGGATATATGACACTCCGGGCAGTTCCTGGATCTATGAAATAGATTCTTTGCCATCTTTGCACATCTGATGGTTATCTTGGTACTATTTCTTGACTACATTTCGTAGCTCAATGGATGTACTATGACCATTCTCTCATGGTGTCAGCAGACAAAAGGACTGAGATCTTGGATCTGATCTTCCGTGGCTGATGATCTTTTCATCTCATCGGAGATTTTTCCTCTCTTCGTGTTTAGTATGTGTTGCTGTCTAGGAGCTTTCTTTTTCAATGTTGTACTCGGATTTTCATGATCAATGTACCTTTTATATTACTGTTTCAATGGGTTTCAGGTTTGATGTCTGCATATGCAATATGTAGTCAGATTTGTAGATCAACTTTTCCTCTATACTTTGCCTCAAGTGCAGTTTCCTAGTAATTTTAAGTCTTCGAAGCAGCTACTAGTATACTATGTATACGACTTGAATGTCTTAGGATAGTTTACGATGACCTGAATCCGTACAAGATAAGTATTCAGTTCATCAGTATTAGAATGGTAATGTAGTGCCAAGGCGCGGGGCGTTGATTTGTTTATTATGATCATTTTCCACGGATATTAATGTGGCCCCCGGCATGTCCCTGTCGATCGCCCCATGCACGTCGCAATTAGTTCGCGCTTGTTGGAAACAAACATCCTACGTGGGGGTACTTGCCCCTCAATTATGAATCCGAGAAAAATTACTCCTTAAATTTCAAAAATTTCGTACTCAAATTGGAATCTGAATTATAGCTATTGTATGTCATAAAAGACTCAAATCTTCACCCGGATATCGGACTGGAACTCGGGGCATTATGGGACTTGAGGAATGTTCGGTTGTTTTTCCTTGATTCATTGGAGGAATCCTATTTGTAATCGGAGGATTCAAAAAGTGACAACGTCAACACTTACTACTGTACATGCAGAATAGGTAAGAAGCCGCCGAAGCGAAGACTAGAATCATAAAGTAGAAATAATTTCCCACACTACCAGGATATCCCCAATTTTCCCATTACAGCGCCCAGTGAACTCGAAATGATCATGGATCGAAACCAAAAAAAAGTAGAAAAAAATAGACCGGGGAATAGACAGACAACATATTAAAGTCACGCGCCGTGAACGAAGAAACAACAAATAGAACACAGGAGGGGAGCGAGTTTTGCGCAATCAGGGGGTGGATGTGGTGTTAAAACCATTGTATCCTCCGACCGTGCCGGCCTTCCATTTCACAGGAATTTTGCTCCGTTTACAGCTCAGGCTTTCCCTTCTTCTTCTGCTCCACCTTCAAGAGCAGGGCACGGTTGATACGAGGCAAGACACCACCGAAGGCGATAGTGGCGCGGATGAGGGTATCCAGCTCTTCGTCACCACGGATAGCGAGTTGCAGGTGACGGGGGGTGATACGCTTGACCTTCAAATCCTTGGCGGCGTTGCCAGCAAGTTCCAGCACTTCGGCAGTCAAGTATTCCAGAACAGCTGTCACATAGACGGCGGCTAGAAGGGAAAGTCAGCATGGGTTAATTCATCAACGATGACAAGAGAAACGAAGCGTACCCTTAGCACCCACACGCATCTTGTTCTGAGTGTTGTTCTTCAAGAAACGCTTGACACGACCGCAGGGGAACTAGGAAGGATAATGTTAGCATATCGTTCGGGTTTGAGTGACGCGACTGCTTCGCCGTAACCAATAGGGAGAACATGCGACCGTAAGGCACAATGTCTAGCAACCCCTCCGAGGATAACCCGGTCAGAGTAGCCAGTGAGGGGAACCCAATCGACGCGTCTTGGACATCTTCCATCGACTGCTAAATTCCCTTGATCACACCTTCTCCCTTTGTGATATGCATAGGCAGTCGAGCAAATAGACCAGCATACTGACCTGCAGACCAGCTTTTGCGCTGTGAGACTTCTGGGCCTTCCCCGCAGAGTCCTTGGAACCACCCTTTCCACCGATCGACTTTCCCTTTCCACCAGGCATTTTGGATAATATGGGTCGCAAAGAGGTGTAGAGCGCGTAGATAGTAGATCGCAGGCGATCCGAGACAAAGTTGGATGGGAATGCGATTCAAAAGAAGAGAGGCACGCGCGTTGTTGATGGATGGAGAAGTCAGAAATGTAGCAGCCGGGACCAGTCGCTAAAGACTGCGACCGCGGGCCCGGCGCTAGTCCTGATTAGGAAGCCAGTACAACTGTCGCTCTTGTTTGGCGTAAATCAAGAGCAATCAACGCATCAGAGAGAGCCTCAGAGGTAAGAGTGATTTTTGTAAACCGTGATTGAAGATCCCGAATGAGCGATATCTTCAAATAATAGCCCAGTTGGAGAGACACATATCATGGCTCTAGAGGCATTTAGTAGAAAGCCCGCTTGCGGGCCACCATACTGTCTTCAGCTCATCTTGAATCGTCCCTAGTCTTTGTTCCAAGAAGGAAAGGCCTTATTCAATAAGCTCACAAAGCATTTTCCCGTGACCATGATCAATCCAGGTACATTGAGTTGCGTATTGACGGTATCCTGATGCAGGTCCAGCTGGGAAGTTGTGCATTTCGAGATAAAGGTGGAGTGGCCAAAGTCCCGTGATCCGGCCGAACAGATGATCCGTTCCATTTAATATACGTGGTTTCCACTTTCTCCGAAGATCGAGGAAGAGGTTCGAGTTTTGTTGTTATCTCCCCCCATCTCCTCTTCAGTTTCCCCCCTGGTTCAACATCCTTAATCCTTCAAAATGGTTTCCCCTCAAATGTGCGTATACTGAATTGCTCATGATGAAATTCCACATACTGACAAACGTCGCAGTACCAACCTGGCCATCATCTTGGTGATGATGCAGCTGGCCAAGAAGGTTCCTTTTGAGAATCCGGATGTTCTGATGGCGGTGCGCGGCCTGTACCTTCTGTCCAACTTGATTATCTTGGCTATCAACCTGTACACCCAGTTCAAGATCAATCAGAAAAAGGGTATGTCGCACTTAGGGGAGGGAGTCGCGTGGCCCCGAAGTCCTTATCTGTGGAGACCAATGACCTGACAAATACTGTTTCCTTAGATATGACTACCCTCAAATACGTTGAGCCTGCTACCATGGGCACCGGCGAGGAGGGCAAGCCCGTCACCACCACCAACATGGACTACGACAAGGGCCAGGTCCGCCAAATGTTCCGCACTCAGCTGATGGGTGTCGGCATGATGGCTGTCATGCACTTCTACATGAAGTACACCAACCCTCTCCTCATCCAGTCCATCATCCCCCTGAAGGGCGCCTTTGAGAGCAACCTGGTCAAGATCCATGTGTTCGGCAAGCCCGCTACCGGTGACCTTGCCCGTCCCTTCAAGAACGCTGGTGGATTCATGTCCCAGGGCCAGCCCAAGAGCGACAAGGCCTCCATTGAGAATGCGGAGAAGAACTACCGGGGTGGTGTCAAGGAGGAGTAATTGGAGAGATGATTTGATGTGGAGGATCCAGTTATTGCATAGACTCGTCCGTTCTTGACCGAGGCCATGTTTACTTGCTTCTTATTGTATTATATTCTCCAATTCCCATGGCATTTAAGGGGGTTGAGCTTGATGACATGATAAATTATAATTATCCTAATACAGTAGCTTGCATCATGAACTTGCTTCATGGAATACTTTGGTCTGAAGCGTGCAGTGCGTTGTCCAGGTTAAAATGTTTTAAAGCCAATTAGTTGAACTTGAAATTCCCCAGTCATTGTTTGTTATCGATGATTTGTTGCAGTTCGGACATTGTTCTCGGTCTTTGAACTCTGATGCCTCTCAGTGCCAACGTGGTCAATTGTTGATTGCGGGCAAATGTGGCCAGTCTATCGACTTCCATGGTGTTCCACGCCCCAGCCGTGTGGCCACGGATTTTCATAGATACCAGATCATATTACCAGCCCATATTGTAATAGCATTTTGCCACGACCGAGCGGAAGTCTCAGGATCCTTCATTACAGCATAGCTACTTCAGCAGAGTGGCGTGAGGAAAGAACAGATTTATAATCCAAAGGCTCGGTGAAGAGGGTTGCCACTCTTGTGGCCTTGTTGATTTCGAAAGCCGAACATGTGCATAATTATATACTTTTAGACAAAACAAAATCCAAAAATAAAAAAATTCTGCGTAACCCCGTGGCCAGCGTTATTGGACTTGGTAGATCCTCCGGTGAATCTTTTCAGGGCGCGGGCCACCTTCTTGTTAAATGCAACTGCTGCATTGGTCCACCGAAACGCTGGAAACAATAGCAGGTAACCGCATGCGGCATGGTTTAGGAAATATAAGAGGAATTTTCAAAACTAATTAATTTGACTGGCTTGAATTGATATCCATTTATGATAGATCCTACAGAGTATAAACAGAACTGAGCTTTTTGTCATAGTTGCCCCTCACCCAGTCGTGGCATCATCCACTTAGTGATGTAAGAGCTGCCCCTCACTCCAGAACCACCGGGCTTCGTCATAGCTTTTCGGCTCGGGAATTCTCCTAAAGCTTCCCCGGGAATAACGTAGAATTATCGTGATAGTCTCCTGTACCCGATGTTAGTCTGGGAAAACATTCTCGAGGTCGCTCCGAGGCAAGTAATGAGGACCCGGTCGACGAGGATCAAACGAAGCTTATTGGATAAACGGGAGCTACCGAGGGGCAGACAAGCCTGGAAATACCGTGGTCCTCCTGCTTTGCCCGGTGTATGAAACCGGAAAGGGTTGCTGGGGAAAGACCCAACGGTAACAGTCGGGACATCAGTCATCTTGCCTCCGATGGATCTGGGGTGACTTGGTTAGCCCCGTCTTGTTGTTCGGTGTAGAAGGAGGGGTGAGCCGCTAGTTGCGTCAGTCCCCTTTACTACTTCTTGCTTTCATCTCCCAACTTTTTTTCCTTCTTTCTTCTCCTCTCTCCATCCAACTATCTATTTTCTTTACTTCACTAAAAGGTTCGTTTTCAATTACTGTTCCCTACAATACCCATTCCTCTCCCCCTCACCCCCTCCTTGATCACCCCACCATCCCACCGTCCCACTCCAAGCTAACAAACGCTCTAGTATTACATTAAACCGCAAATATGGTTGACACTCCCAAGGTACGCAATCCATTATCGCAATCGCTGACAACCACCATCGCATACATTCTTAGAACATGAACTTACCACTTCTTTCAGGTCGGTATCAACGGTTTCGGTCGTATTGGCCGCATTGTCCTGCGCAATGCGTAAGTGAACCCCGCGAAACTTCGAGTTTTACAGATTGTATTCTAACCAAATTCACAGCCTCAACTCTGGCAAGGTCCAGGTTGTCGCCGTCAACGACCCCTTCATTGAGCCTCACTACGCTGTACGTAGCCCGGACTTGTCTCCCTCGCTTACTCTCTGCCCCGCATTCCATTGCTAATACTGAATTACCTAGGCCTACATGCTGCGCTACGACAGCACCCACGGCCAGTTCAAGGGCACCATCGAGGTCGATGGCAAGAACGGCCTGATCGTCAACGGCGCTCCCATCCGTTTCTACTCTGAGCGTGACCCCTCCAACATTCCCTGGAAAGAGACCAACGCCAAGTACGTCGTCGAGTCCACCGGTGTCTTCACCAGCACTGAGGCTGCCTCCGCTCACTTGAAGGGTGGTGCCTCCAAGGTCATCATCTCTGCCCCCTCCGGTGACGCCCCCATGTTCGTTATGGGTGTCAACGAGAAGTCATACACCAAGGACATCAACGTCCTCTCAAACGCCTCTTGCACCACCAACTGCCTGGCTCCCCTTGCCAAGGTTATCGACGACAAGTTCGAGATTATTGAGGGTCTCATGACCACCATCCACTCCTACACCGCTACCCAGAAGACCGTTGACGGTCCCTCCGCTAAGGACTGGCGTGGTGGCCGCACTGCGGCCCAGAACATTATCCCCTCCTCCACCGGTGCCGCCAAGGCTGTCGGCAAGGTCATCCCCAAGCTTAACGGCAAGCTGACCGGCATGTCCATGCGTGTGCCTACCGCCAACGTCTCCGTTGTCGACCTGACCTGCCGCATCAAGAATGCTGCTTCCTACGACGAGATCAAGGCTGAGGTCAAGCGCGCCTCTGAGACTCCCGAGCTCAAGGGCATCCTCGGCTACACTGAGGATGATATTGTCAGCACTGATCTCATCGGTGATGACCACTCTAGCATCTTCGACGCCAAGGCCGGTATTTCTTTGAACGGCAACTTCGTCAAGCTCGTCTCTTGGTACGATAACGAGTGGGGTTACTCCCACCGTGTTGTTGACCTGATCAAGCACGTCGCCAGTGTGGATGCTGCCAACTAACTATTTACGGCACAACCTGAAGTCAGAAGCCTTCTCTGAGGCAGTGGCTATGTCGTGATTGAGCCTGCATCTGTGATGTGGCTTGGGCGTGGATAGATTGACATGTCCTGGAAGGAAAAAACTGACAAATAACGTCATTTTAATGAAATACATTTCTTTTATGTTCATGAATATTTCCACCAAGCATTCTGGATGGGCACTTCGTATCGAATCCTTGAATTCTGTAATCCAAATTCTACCAAGGTGGCTGAACGTTGCGTACATAGTAGTGGGTTGAACCTCGGATGGGTCTGTGCATAGTGTAACAGACTATCTACCCTATGTATCAACTAGATACATAGTAAGGGGTGTTTATATGTCATGAAGCACAAAATAAAAACCATGGGTGATGATTGTATGGCCTGAAATAGAAGAAGGATATGAGCTATCCCCTAGGCAGCTCAATGGGCTTTCTGCTCTCTTAAGGCTGGACATAGGCAAGGCCACAGCCAACAGCCGACTGCAGATATGTCAGGAGCATGGGTACGATTAATACGAATGTGAATAGAAATGGTTAATTTGGAATAGGATACTCGATGATAAACAATAGTCACCAAGAAGGAAATAACAATCTAATTCAGATCATAAATAGGCGATAATGCCAAGCAGTCCGCTTTCTACATCAAGAGGGCATGGACGGCGGTATAAAGGCGGTATAAAAGGCGGTGGATTCTATAATCTGGCAGTAATCACCACCGGCCTAAAAGGGATCCAACATGGACATCCATTAATCTCCCATCAACCCTGCGTTCCTGCCACATCACAGGTGGAAACACTTATACACAGTATAGTCACTAGATCCCTAAGTTTGCGAAAACCAATTCATTGGGTATTCTACTAACCTGGGGCTATAGCATCAACGCCAACCTCATCATCTTTGTCCTGTACTGGAATACAAAGAACGTTGTTATATGTGCTTAAGATTCCAACCCTGTCAACACTAAGAGATTAAGCGAACACAAGGTCTATCAGTTTTAAAACCATTTGAACTGCTTGTGCTTTTTACTGTTTGAAAGACATTATTAGGCTGGCAAGCGGCTGCGTTGAATCAAAGCCATTGAAGGCATTGATCGGACATCTTGTCATGAATTACTAGAGACACAAAACGGTTGATTGAGCTGAATGTTCAAATCGTTTGCTCATCAGATCTCGTGAATCATGGACGGTGATAAGGATACAGTCATGACAGACCCGCGCAAGGTTTCCACCTTGCCTTCTCACACTGCTTCCACGTTGTCGACTGTTTCTCTGAACCCCCATCAAAGAGCGGATTTAACTCTGACTCCTTCATTGATCCCCCAAACAGCTTCCAAGTCTCCATCATCTGCATCTGACCGTGCCTCACTACGAGACCAGGCGGCTTCAGGTAACACATCCTCCCCCGACCGGTTCATCAAACCGAGCCCCTCCGAGAGCAACTCGGCAGAGAACTCTCTTAATCGAGCTGACAGCTTGGTTGAACCTAACTCGGATTGGTCTGATAACGACATGGACACCAAAAGTGGCCTCCCCCTAGGGTCCTTAGCAACCGGCCTTTGTTATGATGTGCGAATGCGCTATCATTGTGAGATTCGGCCCATGTCAGACGTTCATCCGGAAGACCCTCGGCGCATCTACTACATTTACAAAGAGCTCTGTAACGCTGGTCTCGTTGATGACCCAGATTCAACTCAACCATTAGCTCCACAGACCTTGAAGCGCATCAATACTCGATATGCTACCGAGGGGGAAATTTCCACTATTCACACCGAAGCGCATTTTGCATTTGTGAAGAGTACCGCCGGTATGTCTTTAAGATGAATTTCTTAGATCTTGAGTACGAGGAAACTAAATTTAAAACAGGAATGTCTGATGATGATCTCGTGCTCCTCGAACAGCAACGAGACTCGATTTATTTCAATCAATTGACGTTTGAAACTTCGCTCCTATCAGTAGGCGGAGCAATTGAGACTTGTTTAGCAGTCGCTCAGCGTGATGTGAAGAATGCGATCGCCGTTATTCGTCCGCCTGGCCACCATGCAGAAGTTGACACAGCCATGGGATTCTGTCTATTCAACAACGTCTCAGTTGCGGCACGCGTCTGTCAACAGAAGCTAGGCGAAGCTTGCCGGAAGATTTTGATCCTTGACTGGTAAGGAGGTTGTGATTCTTGCTCCCGAGTGGCATTGCTGACCTATTCGTAATTCAGGGATGTTCATCATGGTATGCGAAAATAGCACATCCACCTGGAATATACATAAGCTTACAGGTCTCAAGGCAACGGAATCCAAAAAGCATTCTACGACGATCCTAATGTTCTCTACATCTCCATTCACGTTCACCAGAATGGTAGGTTCTATCCTGGTGGCAAAGAGGGTGACTGGGACCACTGCGGTGAAGGGCCTGGGACTGGAAAGTAAGTCTGCCAAAATCCTCCCCGAAACTTTTCAATAAACTCACTATACCCGTAGGAACGTGAATATTCCTTGGCCCAAGCAAGGTATGTGCGATGGTGATTACATGTTTGCTTTCCAGCAAGTTGTGATGCCCATTGGCTTCGAATTCGACCCGGATTTAGTCATCGGTAAGCTATACTTTCCCTGATATATGGATATTTTTTAACTCGATATAGTCTCTGCCGGATTCGACGCGGCCGCAGGAGATACACTCGGTGGTTGTTTTGTGTCCCCCGCTTGCTATGCTCAAATGACGCACATGCTCATGACTCTTGCAAACGGCAAAGTCGCAGTGTGCTTGGAGGTATGTCGTCATCCATGTTCCCAGCTAGCCTCGCAACTGACCTTAAATGACAATATAGGGCGGATACAATCTCCAGTCTATTTCCAAGTCGGCACTTGCAGTGACCAAGACCCTCATGGGTGATCCTCCGGACCGCCTGCATATCACTACGCCTTCTGATGAGGCGATTGCGACCGTTCGTCGTGTTATGAGCTTCCAAGCCCCGTACTGGCGCTGTATGTTCCCTAAACCAGTGGAAATACAAACCAATAATAAGGTCTGGACTTCACTAAATGGTATGCCCATCTCATCCCCGCTTTATAGTTTTGTAGCGCTTATCAATATGTAAGATTTTATTCGTCGGGGTGAGGCAGAGAAGCTGTACCAAAGTTGCAAGCTCACAGAGCTATACATCTATCGAACAAGCATCTCAAAATCATTTGAAAACCAAGTTCTGGCAAGGTAAGCAAATGGTTGTGAAAAGATGACAGTGACCTTTATCTTACGATTTCTAATTAGCCCGAACTACACCGAAGACGTTCCTCTTGTTGTCATTTTCCATGATCCGTAAGTACCTTGTGACTACCTGGGATTTACACGTCTAACCCCAACACTTTGGTATTCTTCTAGCTCCGAGCTCCTGGGAAATCCTCATCACGTTACAAATAAATTAGAGACCCATAATTGTTGGCTGGTAAGTTCGCCGTACTCGACAGAGAAGCTAAATTAAATTACTCACACTCCGAAGGCTGATATTCAACAAATTTACGTTGAATGGATGGTGAGCAAAGGCTATGCGGTTATTGATGTCAACATCCCTATGCACGTCACCCGAGATGAGGTAAGCCACATAGCGTTCTTTTCCTCTTGTGCTTCAGTTGGTGAACTTCAAGGCAATTTTATACTTACCGAACTTTTAGGCCACTGGCAGATACCAGGATGAGGATGGCGACCGACCCCACGCAACCGGGGAGCTGGCGGCTTACTTGTGGGACAATTACATTGAGTATGAGACTTTCGTCGAGGTTTGAAATTGAACACTAATAAATGTACAGGCCATACCAACGTCCTGATATCTTCTTCATTGGTGTCGGCACTGCCTTTTACGGCATTACATCCCTGCTGATCAACCGAGGTATGCTTGGAACAAGCCACGATAATAGAATGCGTTACTAACTAAGCAGACAATCTGTACCAAAAAGTGAACAGTGTCATCTCGTTCGTCTCGTCTCATCCCGTCCGTGCAGTTGCATCCCCCACGCAGACGTGGATGTCGAAATGGTACCGCGAGGTTAGATATCACTCTCCATATGGATTTCTTTCTCAAAGCTTACACACTATCCACAGAATTCGCTGGTCTTTGTTTCCCACAAACATGGAGTCTGGGATCGTACCCCGTCCAAACGTTACGGATCGCTCCGCAAGTCTCCCCAATCCACCCTCACCGAGATGCTCGGAGAGCACAAAGAAGAGGTCTTTGACTGGATCTCCAGTCGCGTCGAGGCTCACGCCGCAGAAGACAACGAGGACTTGGATATGCAGGATTAGACCATGTGATCCTTTTGAACTGCAAGCGGTTGTGGCGTTGCCTATTTCTGTTTCCTCTGTTTTTGTCCTGTCTTATTTCCCCGCAGATTTCAAAGGTTGTTACAGCATTTCATTAGCCCACTCATGGAAGGAGAGTAGTGGGACCTACCATTTAAGATGTTCACTCTCATTGGATTCCAATGACTCAAATCTGCCATCATCTAATCGACTCTGGATCCGGAGTTCGTATGGAAGATTCCCCGCAGCGTAGAATAAGCGTGGCGTGGTATCGCATGACATGATATGCTAGGTAGTCTGGTTTTCCCGAGGTTCTTTGCACAGGCCTTCTTTAGACTTTTTCGATGATCATATTTACCCGATACCTAGGCATGTATTCATAGTCATGAGATTCAAGATAGCATTCTATTTTGCTCCCGATTAGAAAGTCAATTATGAACACAAACTCTCCTCAAAACCCACAATACCGACAAGCCTCCCCCACTGCACATGTGGACAACATGACCGTGTGTATAGTGTCTATGCGTTGATTACCTTCAGTATGCGGCAAGTGAGACATAGCCAACCATAAGGTTCACAACCCCGCCTATATTTCTAAGAGGCGAGAAGGTTAGAAATTCGGGCGCTCATAGTTATTGGCCCTAGCTTCTGATCTGCATGTCGTCCCTGGGATGTAACTGTCTCAGGCCTTACCCCAGAATTGGGCGTGCCACGACACTCAGGGTCCATAAGAGGTCTGCTTAGCTCCACTCTTGGCACCATGAATCATTGTTATTGACCCGGGATGCTCGAATTCTCTAAGAATTTTCATCCAAGCGAGATATTTATACGAGAACCGGGTCAGGGCGCTCTGAGACAACAGATCTATGACCTCTCGCTACTCAATGTACTTTTCTTTTCACCACGGACACGATTGAATCCGGTGTCATCTTGACATCTGATGTGGGGCACTACAGCGCAACTCAGCATCGTTTTGTTGGTGATGTATGACCGGACTTGGCAGGCAACATGATCCTGTTTTCCTTTTGTCCAGCGCAGTGTCTCGGAACAGACAGCCGGGTTGATCGATGCCAGCTCGATGAGCCCTCAGTTGGGCAAACGAGGCTAATCATCGACGACTGACCAGAAAACAGAGTTTGATCGGGCTATTCATGTCTCGCTTGGTAGGCTTGAAGAAATGTATAAAGGCAGCCTTGATTGCCAGGTCTGGAATCAGTAGTTGCAATATTATCATCGAAATTCGAACAACAATTTGATACTACCTTCATCTCCCATCAATCTTTCAAATAACTTCAAAATGCATTTCTCAACTGCATTGATCGCCTCAGTAGCCGTATTGGCTCCCCTCGCTAACGCTGTCGGCAACGCTGTCGTTCAGAACAACTGTCCCTATCCCGTTTACCTATGGTCTGTCGGCAGCGCCATTGGTCCGGAGCAGACTATTGCTGCAGGCAAAAAATACACGGAGGTTCTGCGCCATGATCCTGTTTCCGGCGGTATTGCGATAAAGATCACCAAGACTGCGAATGGGCTGTATGACGGCAGCCCCCAAACCAACTTTGCGTACACCTTGGATGGTAGTCAGATTTGGTATGACCTGTCGGACGTGTACGGAGACGCATTCTCTGGCAAGGGCCTCGCCGTTGACCCTTCGGTTAAGACCTGCCCTGATATCTGTTGGCCACAAGGCGTCTCGCCCAGTGGCAGCCAGACGCATGATTGCACGTCCACTTCGAGCATTACTCTGACTCTGTGTGCCACCAAGTGCTAGATCAAGTTGTCGACCGAGATAATGGGCTGCTGCCTATTTATGGAGAGTGCTGCCTATGTTGCAAGACTGGTGGTGTTGGTGGCTGAGGTAGTGCCAGGAGACCGATGATCAGAGCACCGAGAGCAGTATAGTTTGCGGGGGAACGAGTAAGAGCCGCAAGCCATGAAACGTGGGGATTGGTTGTTTAAGCTATATTTTAGTATAATTAATCTGATATGAACACATATACATGCATATGGCTCTTTTGGTATGATAATTTTCCGAGTATATTGCTTTCTTTTCTAGGGCGTGGGCAGTCACCATCAACTACTTGAGTGCTTGATGATATGGAATGTTTATGTCCCATAATCCAAACAATCTACACTGCAATGGCCGAGGCAGTATGTACATTAACGGGCAACCACACCGCCCAAGGACCCATAATTATCGAATTGCGGGACCGAACTCCCCTCCGGTTGCCTTTGCAATAACACTCTCTGCTCTCGTCATCGTAAATTTTCTCTTTTCCTCTTTGATTATCAACAGCTAATGAAATAAGTGCTACAATCAGATTCACGAAGTGCATTGGCTTTGCTTTAACCCAGAAAGCCGATCACATTTCCAGACCTTTAACCCTTGATGCTCCAAAGGTCCTCTGCTGCAGTATCGTGGTTAAGATACAGAGGTCTGAGTTGCAATCCAACTGCGCGACCATATTTTCGAATTCCGGTGTCTATCAATTCTGTGTCGCCCCTTAATCCGCCTTCATTTTCTGTCTATCGCTGGACCCGCTCGTTTTCTCTTCCTTCACAGCACACCGTGTCCACCCGTCCTGCAAATATGTCTGAGATTGTGCGCTTCGAAAAAGATCTTCAAAAGCCAGAGTTAGATGACCGATCTTATCGGGTAATTCGTCTGCCAAATCAGCTAGAAGCGCTCTTGGTACATGACCCAGATACAGATAAGGCGAGCGCTGCCGTCAACATCAATGTTGGCAACTTCTCCGATGAAGATGATATGCCAGGAATGGCCCATGCCGTAGAGCATCTCTTATTTATGGGCACAGAGAAGGTATGTTGATAGACTTCCCAGGGGTTTTAAAGAAACCCTTATCAACTCTGCCAGTGCGGGGTGCGATGCTGACCATGGCGCTTTTATTTGGGTGTAGTACCCTGTCGAGAACGCATACAATCAATATCTCACTGCCCACTCCGGCTCCTCCAATGCCTACACCGCGGCCACCGAAACCAACTACTTCTTCGAGGTCTCCGCTACCGGCGATTCAAGTGAGCCAAAATCGACTGGACAGAACACTCCTGCCGACTCGGCCAATGGAACCAATGGGACAGTCGGTGAAGGTGTATCCGCTTCGAACCGGGATTTGAAGGACAAATCTCCCCTCTATGGGGCTTTGGATCGATTTGCCCAGTTCTTTATTGCCCCTCTCTTTCTTGAGTCGACATTAGATCGGGAGCTGCGGGCAGTGGATTCTGAAAACAAGAAGAACCTCCAGAGTGACCTTTGGCGCTTGATGCAGCTGAACAAATCTCTGTCAAATCCGAAGCATCCCTATCACCATTTCTCTACTGGTAACCTGCAAACCCTTAAAGAGGACCCGCAGAAACGCGGTTTGGAAGTCCGTAGCAAGTTCATTGAGTTCTACAAAAAACACTACTCGGCCAATCGCGCCAAGCTGGTCGTCCTGGGTAGGGAGAGCTTGGACACTTTGGAAGAATGGGTTTCAGAGCTTTTCAAAGATGTTAAGAATCAAGATCTGCTCCAGAACCGTTGGGATGATGTGCAGCCCTTCTCGGAGGCCGACATGTGTACTCAGGTTTTTGCGAAGCCCGTGATGGATTCACGGTCCATGGACATGTACTTCCCGTTCTTGGACGAGGAGAACATGAATGATACTCAGCCGAGTCGGTACATTAGCCACCTTATTGGCCACGAAGGCCCAGGAAGCATTCTTTCCTACCTGAAAGCCGAGGGTTTGGCCAATGGTCTCTCTGCAGGTGCCATGCCCATCTGCCCGGGCTCTGCTTTCTTTACCATCTCGGTTCGCCTGACCCCCAAGGGTCTGAAGCTGCACCAGGAGGTGGCAAAGACAATTTTCGAGTACATCGCCATGATCAAGGAGGGTGAGCCAGATGAAAAGATCTTCACGGAAATGAAGAACCTGGCAGAGGTGGATTTCCGATTTAAGCAGAAGACTCCTGCAAGCCGCTTCACCAGCCGACTAAGCAGTGTCATGCAGAAGCAATTGCCTCGCGAATGGCTTCTCAGTGGATCTCTCCTGCGGAAATTTGACTCGGACCTGATCAAGAAGGCCATGTCGTATCTTCGTGCTGATAACTTCCGACTTATCATTGTATCTCAAGAGTATCCCGGTGATTGGGACCAGAGGGAGAAGTGGTATGGTACTGAATACAAAGTGGAGAAGATTCCCGTGGACTTCCTGACTAGCCTCCAGAAGGCCCTGGAATCCACCAAGGAAACTCGCAACAAAAAGTTGCACATGCCTCACCCCAACCTTTTTGTACCAGATTCCGACTCTTTATCGGTGGAGAAAAAGGAAGTTGCAGAGCCAGCCAAGACACCTAAGCTGATTCGCAACGATGATCGTGTGCGTCTTTGGTACAAAAAAGACGACCGTTTTTGGGTTCCTAAAGGAACAATCTATGTTACTCTACGCAACCCGTTGGTGTGGGCGACGCCTGCGAACCTGATAAAAACCAAACTTTACTGTGAGCTGGTACAGGATTCTTTGGATGAATACTCATATGATGCGGAGCTTGCCGGCTTGGATTACCATCTGGCCGCAAACATCCTAGGCTTGGATATTTCTGTAGGTGGTTATAACGACAAAATGTCTGTTCTACTGGACAAGGTCCTGTTAACGATGCGCGATCTGGTTGTCAACGAAGACCGCTTTGACATCATCAAAGAGCGCCTGACTCGGGCCTTCCGTAACGCTGAGTACCAGCAACCCTACTACCAAGTTGGCGACTATACTCGTTACCTGCTGTCGGAGCGCAGCTGGCTCAATGAGCAATATATCGAAGAATTGGAGCACATCAAAGCTGAAGATATTACCAATTTCTTTCCCCAGCTCTTCGCGCAAACACACATCGAAGCTCTGGCTCACGGCAACCTATACAAGGAGGATGTGCTGCGTATGACAGATTCCGTTGACAAGATCCTCAAGGGCCGCGCTTTGCCACGATCACAGTGGTACTTGCGCCGCAACATGCTCATGACCCCGGGTAGCAACCTTGTCTACCCGCGGGAACTGAAGGACCCGGCCAATGTCAATCACTGTATCGAGTACTACCTATACATTGGTCTTTTCTCTGACGACATTTTGAGGTCGAAGCTGCAGCTCTTCTCTCAGCTGACGGATGAGCCGGCCTTCGACCAACTGCGCAGTAAGGAGCAGCTCGGATACGTGGTGTGGAGTGGTTCCCGTTACAACGCCACGACTATGGGCTACCGTGTGATCATCCAGAGTGAGCGCACTGCCCAGTACCTCGAATCCCGCATCGAGTCGTTCCTGGGCGCATTCGGCCCGACCCTTGAGAACATGTCGGACGAGGAGTTCGAAGGCCACAAGCGCAGTGTCATCAACAAGCGGCTAGAGAAGCTCAAGAACCTGGGCTCTGAGACTGGGCGTTACTGGTCTCACATTGGGTCCGAGTACTTCGATTTCCTGCAACATGAGAATGATGCTGCCAATGTGCGTAAGTTAAGTAAAGAGGATCTGATTGCTTTCTACCGCCAGTACATCGACCCTGAATCAACCACCCGTGCGAAGCTGGCTATCCACTTGAATGCACAGAGTGTATCTGCTGTCCCCGATGCCAGTCTGAGTGACAAGCGTACCCGTGTTATAGAGATGGTCAACAAACAATTGACTGAAGCTGGTTTCGCTGTCGCCGACGCCCGGCTGGCAACCGCATTCGAAGAACTCGACATGACTTTGGTCGACCATGCACAGGTCACCTACATTGTTAAGACCTTTTTGGTGACCGAGCTGAACCTGTCCCAGGAGCAACTCAGTTCGGTGATTGCGAAACTGGACCGTGACATTGGCATTGAACTGAAGCAGTTGGGCCTGGAGCCCGAGGTCAATGGCAAGACCAACGGCACCTCTGCTGCTAAGCAAGAGGCTACTGTCATAAGCGATGTGCCTGTTTTCAAGGCCAGCTTGCCTGTGAGCACTGGGCCTGTGCCTGTCTCAGACCTTAGTGAGTTTGAGGAGTTTGATGCGAAGCTGTGAGCTAGATTTTGGTGTTTGTTTGGGAGTATAGAACTTCAAATGGGTTGGGGAGTGTGGAGTCGAATGTGGAGGGGCAGGGATTTCCGATACAAATTTTCTGCTCATGGTAATGAATGAATCATGAAATAAGCATCTAAACCATCTACGTACAATTCATATATTTCATGTTGAACTGGTACCAGTAGGCGGTAAAAGTACACAACAGGGCCCAGGCGGTAAGGCTAATCCCGATAGGCGATAACAGATCGGCGCAACAACGTAGAGCTTCGCGCCCTTTCCAAACTCCGAAAGTACATTACTATTCCATCATGGCGAGCACGACAGCTACTGCGATTCAAAGCAGCCATCCGTGAGCAATGACTACTCTTCAATAAGCTCCAGGGGACTCATGATTGCTAACATTGGCCCCGTCTTGCAGTCCGATTCAACCCAAGGATTTCTCCGCTCAGCAACCCGCAACGATTCGGCTCTACCCCCTGTCAAACTACACGTTCGGAACCAAGGAAACACAGCCTGAAGAGGATCCATCAGTGCTGGCTCGCTTGAAGCGTCTAGAGGAACATTATGACGTACATGGGATGCGCCGGACCTGTGAGGGCATCCTCGTCTGCCATGAACACAACCATCCTCATGTGTTGATGCTGCAGATCGCCAATGCTTTCTTTAAGCTGTACGATGGTTCCAAAAATAGTCTAACGTCTAAGCTAGCCGCTAATTATCTTTCAGACCAGGTGATTATCTGCCACACGAGGACGAGGAGATCAATGGGTTCAAAAAGCGGTTGAATGAGCGCCTAGCTCCTGTGGGGTCACAGTTCTCCGGGGAAGGAGTTAACGAAGACTGGGAGATTGGTGATACGCTAGCTCAATGGTGGCGGCCAAACTTTGAGACTTTCATGTACCCGTTCCTGCCTGGCCATGTCACACGACCGAAGGAGTGCAAGAAGTTGTATTTCATTCAGCTCCCCAAGAAAAGTCAGTTGTACCTAGACCTTTCATTGATATTTCTTCCACTCACCATCCTTTTTTCTTTGCTACAGAGGTTCTGTCTGTCCCGAAGAACATGAAGCTGCTGGCGGTGCCTCTGTTCGAACTGTACGACAATACCGCTCGATATGGCCCTCAGCTATCGGCTATCCCGCATTTACTCTCGCGCTACAACTTTGAGTTTGTGGATGAAAACGATAATGTCGTGGCTGTAACCCCAGGTACTCCTCTCCCCGAGAATCAGGTCCCTCGCACTATCGTGCTTGCCGGGGGCGATGATGGTCAAGATACTGGCATGACGGATATTGGGGCAGATTCGGAGAAGGGCCCGAACGCCCAGTAGGACCAAAGCGATAGCCAAAGTTCAATCTAATATTTCAACCACGATCAACCAGGACTTGAAATATTTCACTGACGAATTTTTAACTTCTTCATGTGTTTTGGATGTGTTGGATGCGCCCACGGGCCTCACGGAGTTGCATACTGTTTCCGGTATAATGTGCATACTCAAGGCACCGTTGTATACCTATACCCCTCCTACGCTAATTGTTCTTGATACTTAATTCGTCTACGAGTCCCGTAGTCCTCATCCACTAAAATCACAACATGGCCCCGTGGTGATCACAGGTGCCCGGAAATTCCCCGAAATGGGAGAAAACCATGATGATCCTCCAAAACGCAGGAACAGTCAGGCAACCGGAGAATATTAAGTAGGAAAGATCCACTCCATTCAAGCAATTTTAGCATCAAACGCCTAAAAAAGGAACAAATGGATCTTAACCGCCACTGTACATAAAAAGAAATAGATCAACTAACAACAGAGACTGCAAGAGTACTAGTTCCCCACATGTATTGGGGGCGGGCCCATGCTGACTGGTTGCATTCTTGTGCATGAAGAACTACAGGAATGCCGATCCCGGTAAATCCGTCCCCCACATACCAACAGCGGCGATTATGTCCCCTGACGGGGGATGTGCCTGATTCGAACTGGATTTGATGGAGTCCGCAGGTTGTCCGTTGACCCCGCTCGAGACTTCGTATGCCGTATGGTCTCGTGGTTTTGAGTCGCATCTTTCTCGGAGCTATGTGTACGGATGGGGGCGGTTGGTTTCTGCATTCGGTATATAAACATCCCTAGGAACAGGCGAGAAGAGAATCAGGCTGCGCCTTGTGTTTTTTCTTCATTACGCCCGCTGAGTTCCAGTTCCCCTTGGTTTTTGGTCTTGTATACTCTTGGATACATGATGTTGTCTCTTGCACGCCTGTGGACTGTTGGTACAGCTGCAACGCTGGCCGTTGCTGCACCGGTTAACCTGTTCACCAATCGAGGTAACTAAGGAATAGAGTTCCTTGCGCAACATTGGCTAATGGCTGATCTTGTCATGTATAGCTGTTGATGATTCCACGTACAACTCTCTATATTTATTTGCCCAGTACTCTGCGGCTGCATACTGCTCGACCAATATCGATGCCGCCAGCACGGGAACCTCGATTAGTTGCTCGGCCGGTAACTGTCCTGAGGTACAGTCGGCGACGACCAAGACCTTGTACGAATTTGACCAGTAAGTGGAACCAGGAAATCCTCATAACCTCAGGAGATACTGATCATCTTTGAAGAACAAATGACTTTGGGGATACTGCTGGATTTCTTGCCGTGGATGAGACGAATAAACTAATTGTGCTGTCCTTCCGAGGGAGCTCAGATATCAGCAACTGGTTTGCCAATCTGGACTTCGTCTTCGACGATGACAGCGGGCTCTGCGATGGATGCAATGTGCACAGTGGCTTCTGGAAGGCCTGGTTGACTGTTTCGGATGAAGTCACATCCAAGCTCGAATCTGCACAGAGCACATACTCGGGGTATCAGCTCGTGGTAACGGGCCACAGTCTGGGTGGTGCACTTGCTGCTTTGGCAGGAACGGCACTTCGTAATTCTGGGTATTCACTGGACTTGGTAGGCTTATAGTCTTTCTTTAGGCGAGTTGCAACAAGACTAACCGTTTGTAGTACACCTATGGTCAACCGCGAGTGGGCAACGATGCCTTGGCTCAATACATGACCAGTCAAGGTAGTCTCTGGCGGACCACTCATACAGATGACATCGTTCCCCGTGTTCCTCCGGAAATTCTTGGCTTTGCTCATGCTAGTCCGGAGTATTGGATCACCAGCGGCGATGGTGTGACCGTGACTGATTCTGATATTGATGAAATCGTAGGTGTGAACTCAGATAGTGGAAATGCTGGAGAATCAGAAGAGAGTATATCGGCGCATTTGTGGTACTTTATGTCCATTTCTGGATGCGATTAGGTTCCATCAGAGACTCTTTTGTATATACGTGAACATACTACTATCGGCCCCACTGATCGGCCGAGTTGTGGCTGGTGATTGTGGCGGAATTGGCGCAAACACGTTTCAATTGACGGATTGAATGTTATTTTATTTTCTTCTCGTACCCACCTATTGACCAATATTCATATATATAGAATATCGGAGAGAAGTTTCACTTGTCGGACTTTCAAGGTTGGTCTTGGCTACACAACATTCGGGTTCCGTTTTCAGCTTCACCCTTACCACCTCCCACTATGCGCATCTGAGATGCTTGAACCTCAACGCAACCATGTTGTTCGCCCCTAGCGGACCCCAGAGTCCGCGCCGTCGCAATCGCATTAAAGCCATCTTCACCACCATCGGCATCGTCCTCGCATTATACTTCCTCTTCTTCGCCGGCCCCGAGTCGCCCACCAAATCCGTCAACAATGACCGACCGAGCTATGCGCAACGTCCCACCCCCAAGCCAAAACCCGACCCCATAGACGAGCAGGCTCGTCCCGCAATTCGAAAACGTAAGGATATGGTTGTGGCCAGTATGAAGAATGACGACACGGCCTGGCTGGCCGAGTTCTTCCCGGACTGGTCACGAAGTATCTACGTGGTAGACGATAAGAAAGCCCCGTTAACAGTGGCCAAGAACAAGGGGCGAGAGTCGATGGTATATTTGACGTGAGTGAGCCAGTGATCTACTGATCTGTCCGGAGAATACACATGCTGAATCAATCTAAATGGCCAGGTACATCATCGACAACTACGAGAACCTTCCTGACATCATGCTATTCATACACTCATTGCGCTACCAATGGCATAACGATGATCCATACTACGATGGAGTTCCAATGCTCCGCAATTTCCAGATCCCCTATCTGCAAAAAATGGGATATGTCAATCTGCGCTGCGTCTGGACACTTGGTTGTCCTGAGGAAATCCACCCTCTTACAGATACACACCGCGATGATGTCCATGCGGGTGAATACTTCCGGACGGGATTTATGGAACTATTCCCTGGGGAGCCTATTCCGCACGAGGTGGGCGTATCGTGCTGTGCACAGTTCGGTGTTACCCGCGATACAGTCCTCGCGAGGCCAAAGAGCGATTATGAGCGGTACCGGGTCTGGCTCGCGAATACGAGTCTAGGAGATGATTTGAGTGGTCGCATCATGGAGTACTCGTGGCACAGTATGTTTTTCTCTCGTTTATCCGCGCCTTCATTTGCTTACTAATTTTTCTTACAGTGATCTTTGGCCGGCCACCTGTTCATTGCCCTGCAGCTGGGGATTGTTATTGTAATGTCTTTGGGCTGTGCTACCTGAATTGTCCTAACGATGCTGTATGCGACAACCGCTACGTACTACCGCCATTTTCTTCACTACCAAAGGGTTGGCCTTTCCTTGGATGGAAGGGCCAGGAACAAGATCCGACTTACGGACTTCCTGAGTCATGAGTGGCCCATCAGTTGTGTAGGTCGTACAGCATGCGTGATCATTCAATACCAGTTCGAGACCGCAGTTGCAGCTGCAGATGTGGCATTATCTCCCGGCAGATTCCGCAAAATTGGCTTTTCATACCTAATGCCTTTCCAGAAACAAGTATCAAAACTAAAATCTGATGTACTTGCTCTGAGCAGTGCTGTTGCAGGATTATCGGCCTAAAATCTATCTGACTGACATGATGGACAAGGTATCTGGAGGTATTTTGGGTGTCGGAACATGATCTATTCGGAAATGGAAATGAAGTATATAGTCGATTAATTAAGCACCATGTCATCTATTTGAATATTAGCGAATTGGCAAAGTTGCTTCAAAAATTGCATTACTTTATCTTTGATTATCAGTCAACCCGCGAACCGAGGCAGTGGATCTCCCCGCATTCAGCATCGAACGCCTTTTCTCCTCTCACCTACCCTTTTCTCATTTTATTTGTCTGACATCAGCAAAAATGCTCATAATTGGCCTCACCGGCTCAATAGCTACGGGAAAATCCACTGTATCCTCAATCCTCTCAACATCCCCCTACAACCTTCCCATAATCGACGCCGACATCCTCGCCCGCAAGGTAGTCGAACCAGGTACAGCAGGCTACAAAGCCATAGTCAACTACTTCGGCCCTAACACACCAGACCTCCTTCTCGACGACCCCACAACAAATACCCCGAAAGGCCAGCCCCTCAACCGACCAGCTCTTGGCCGTCGCGTGTTTGGCTCCACAGAAGAACGCAAACGCGACCGCCATGTCTTAAACGGAATCATCCACCCCGCCGTCCGCTGGGAAATCTACAAAGCCCTGATCTACCACTACCTCCGCGGCCAATGGGCTGTCGTTCTTGATGTACCTCTTCTATTCGAAAGTGGCATGGATCTGATCTGTGGAACTGTGATTGTTGTCGGTGTTCACGACCCTACAATACAGATGGCGCGCCTACGTGCCCGTGATGCGCATCTTACGGCTGAGGATGCGGAGAATCGTGTGCGCAGTCAGGGCGATGTACGGGTGAAGGCGGCGCAAGCAGAGTTCCGGGGGACGGCGGGGGCGCGCGGGGTTGTCGTTTGGAATGATGCGGACAAGACAGAGCTGGAACAGGCTGTGAAGGAGGCTATGGCTAGTGTTGCGGCGTCGAGTCCGCGGTGGTGGGCGTGGGCGTTGCTTGTGGCGCCGCCGGTTGGGGTTGGGATTGCGGCGTGGAATTTGGTGCTGAATTTTGCGACGCAGAAGGGCTGGGAGAAGAAGAAGAATGAAGAGAAGGCCAAGTTATAGGCTCGAGGGACTTTGAGAGTTAATTGGGATTTCTGTTTTCCTCTTAGACCTGTTTTACATAACAATTCGAAGGCAGAGCAATGATGCACATGTGAGAATATAAATACTTATTAGACAACATTGAATTAAGTCACCATAAGGCATTGTGAAGTAGCTGAACCATCAAACCTTGAGATATCCTAAAAGTACTATTTGATCCATAAAAACAACATAAATTTTGCTGTCGAACACATGCAGGGAATCTGAAATATATATAAACTTTGATCCACAGAAAATCACACATGCTGCCGAATTAAGCGCATAGAATGTAAAATAGGCTCAGATATATATACAGTCAACGTCCAGCTTTTTCACACGCACATTTGGCACAATTTCAGTCATGGCACCCTATTTGCTTGGAAGGACGCTCTTTAGGTCAAACGATCAAGTGATATGGGTCAATTGATGATATGTATGCAAAGTTATCTAAACAAAAAAGGGGAAAACCGGGAACGACACATTGGTTACCAATAAATGCGGAATAGGGTTAAGATATTCCTTGAATTCGAGAACTCGGAAATCTTTCAGTCGCACCATGATAACCTTGCAGAATGAAATATGTCAGAGAATGTCAAATCTGGATGTTGGAAAGATTCTTACATAGTCATTATAATAGCCAGACGGCGAGTTGTTAGCACCCCAGCGGAAAGTTCCCCAATTTCCGTAGCTCTCAACGATCGAGAGATCAGGATCAACGAATTTGTCTCGCTCAAAATCCTTGTTCTATCATTGACGTTAGTACTCATAACTGAAGACAAGACCTCCCAGGTAAGGGCCTTACTTGATTCCATTCGACTTTCGTCTCATCCACCCACTCGATCATAGTAGCTTCGAGGTTGCGATCACCACCATGCGTCAAACCTGGAGGCATGAATGGCATAGCGAATCGAAACTCGGGATCAAAAAGAATCTTTGTCTTGGCCTTCTCTTCCAATTCTTGTTGATTGTCAGGAGATGGGCGCAGATACCAGGAGAAGAGTCTCTTCTTGGTCTCAGACACCTCTGAGTCCTCCGTGGGTGGGTTAGGGAACGGCACGTCGACGTATTCTGGAGGCGATGCTGGACTGTTGTTGAAGGCAAAGGGAGGGAGATGAATCCCCGCCGCTTCATAGTAGGCGACAGGGTCGCTCCATGTTTTCAGGGTTGAGATTTTGCCGTCCATAATTTCAATGAGCTCTATATGCGCACATTTGAACTCGCGTTGAACATGATCCCCCCACGTGACAGTAGCTGTGGTTGTTGACTCAACCCAGAAGCGGCTGGCATTCAGAGTTGGATAGTGTTGTATTTGGGAGCGTGACCAATTTCGCATTGTTCGACGCAGCCATTGAACGAGAACTGGTCTTCGAGGTCGTGGGAAGATTTGAGGCATTCCAGGTGGTGCGTATGGGAACTCCCATGTACAGTTGGAGCTGAAGATCCGAGACACATGATCATCACTCTCCCAAAATGGAGTATCGAGATAGTCGTTGACAACTTTTTGATTCTTAGACCGAATAGTTTCTTCCGCCATTTTGTATATCTCCAGAACGTGATTCAGATGAAACATCCATGATATCAGGTCTGTCGAGCTATACTTAAATAGACAGTCAGAACGTCAAGTGATCTAACTGACCGTGCCGGTCATTGTACTACTTATCGGATGATTTGGATATCAAATCGTACTCGGATCTCGCTCGCAATACCTCTTATCTCTGTCCACTCTTCCGATTGGTTGCAAAATGCGGAGTATTGTCCGACGGCGTCGGTTATGAAAGTGAAAGGATCCACGCTAACCATTCTGAGCTTGGTATAGCTTATTGACCCTGTCCGGGAAGTGGAGATAAAACTAATCAGATTCCCTTGTAGTTCTATGGGGAGGCTTCTCACTATGACCATGTTCCTATATTGTTATGATAAAGCTGGACTCTGCGGCTCTGTCTTGGGAAATAGGATTCAATTCGCTTTTTGCCTTAAAATATATAGTATAACTCGGGATAAGCTACATCGAAAACCCACGTATATCAACATTGCCGAGGAAAGAATCTCGTAGATTCGGCTCTTCGGCTCAAGTCGTTATCATTATCACCTGAGATTTTTATTGGATCGTTGACCGGTTAGGTACCCGGTCATTGACAGCCGGTTGAACTATTGGGATTTTACTCTTAGATATACAGTTTTAGTGCAAGAATGGTCCTAATGTCTCAGATTTCGGTTATCATGCCCGCAATTTGGGAATTTCAGTGCAGTCAGGCCGATAATGATTGGGGTTTTGGACATTATAGTTCACTTATACCACATGTGCATGCTTAATCTGCATATGTAGGTAGGATATACCTATATAATAGTAGCCATTGCCCGTCAATGCCCACATACAACTTTTTCTCTTCTTTCTACTTTTCTACCCTCAAGATTATTATCTTTTTACTTGATGGATAATCAGCATACCAATCAGGTGCATATGCAACCTGACTCCACTGTCGACGATCTAATGGACTCCACAAAGGCGACAGCTGACAGCGGTGCGGCTATCTTTCTGAGCCCTGTGCCTAGCGATAATCCCGCAGACTCTTTGAACTGGAGCACGCGACGAAAATGGTGCATCATGATATTACTTGGCTTTGCGACGGGTGCAGCACTGTCCGTGGAAAACTTCCTTACCAATCTGACCCCAGAACTATACCGCAAATTCCCTGACGAGCCGAAATCGGCTATTCATCGGCTACTCAATGTGATTGTTCCCATGGTCGGTCCTGGGGCCCTGATATTTGTACCTCTGGGAGTCGTCTATGGCAGAAGGCTATCGCTACTACTTTCACTGCTCGTTCTATTAGCCTCAACATTGTGGGCTGGACTCACGACTTCGTTCGGCTCGCTCTATGCCGCTCGTATCATCCAGGGACTTGCCTGTGGTCCGACAGACGCATTGTTTCTGACTGTTATTCAAGACTGTACCTTTATCCACGAGCGTGGTGGAATGCTAGGTGCTGTCGTGATGCTTCAATTGGCCTTACAGGCTGGACTGTCCATTATAGTGACCTACGTGTCCATCCATGTCAGTTTCAAGTGGACTTTTATCCTGTATGCTTGCATCATCGCGGTTTGTATAGTTTGGATGTTTTTCTTTATGCCTGAAACCAGCCGAAGCAAATTTGAGCAGGAAAGCCTGACCCCAATCACGATATCCGAGTTCCAGCAATCCCGACAACTTATGCGTAAAATGACATGGAAAGAGTCTCTCGCTGTTTGGTCAGGTCACTCTCAGCGGGCCAATGAGACTTTCTTACACATCTTCCAACAGATTTTGCTGGCTCTAACCTCCACAGTCTACTGGTGGTGTATTCTGATGACAACAATTACCACGGGGTATGTTCTCTCCCTGCCCTCGGCTCTGCAAGAATACTGATCGAGCCATCGTGAATTGCAAGAGCATACATTGGCTACTGCAATTTTTTCGCCACCATACTTACTAGTGCTCCCTACTCCTGGCCTAGCGCCAATGTGGCTTTGATCAATTTGTCGGTTTTTCCAGCCGCATTCTGTATGTCCTTACTATATGCTCCTTGCATAATCCTCGTCCCTTCAGTCTATTTCCAACTGTTAATCCGATGAATACCTTGTCTAATTCATTTTAGTGAACTGGCTTATTACCGGTTGGGCATCTGACAAGCTTGTCCTGCGGTTTGTTCGCGGCAATACCGAGGCAATTCTTCCAGAATACCGCCTAATCCCACTTGTCTTCCCTGTGATATGCGCAATTATCGGTCACATCGCCTTTGGCTGTCTAGCGCAACACTACTTGGTCACCAACCCAGGGGGACCACAGGTGCATTGGTTTGCCTTAGTAGTAATCAGCTGCTTACAGTATATTGGGTTTGGCGGGGTGCTCGAGGTCGTCCTCACGTTCTTGGGTGCCACTGCTGATCCCAATCAGTCGCTCGCCATTATGACCGCTGTTACGGTTATCCGTGATATTGCAGCATTTGGGATTAGTTACGGGACTTACGACTTTTCTGTCAAGGTGGGATATGCGGCGAGCTTTGGAATCTATGCCATGTTAATAGGAGTTATCGCTTTTGGGGCAATTCCAATCTTTCTGTTCGGAGTGAGGCCTAGAGTCTCAGCCTCCTGAATTGAAATTATACAGTTGATGTACATACTCACAGCTCGAAATTCCAATTTGGTAATCTTGAGAGTGACCGTTCGAAGGAACACCCGTGGACTTCGAGCTGAAGCTTGGCACGTTTACAGCGTGGAATAAGTAGGACTGCCATTAATGATCTGGTTTGATTGACATAAGAGATTAAAGGATGCTTTACAGAGAAAGAAACGGCTATTACCGCTCTCAATCTTCAGGTTTGAGGTGACAGTTATGGGTACAAGATCTCTCCACCAATCCCCAGTCAACGTATACCATGTCTGTTTAAGGACGGCTGGAGGAAAGTTCTATCTGGATCTTAGAGTTCGTCGCGATTGATGGGTTTGCCATAGACATAAGCCAAGACGATACGGATAATGTATCCGCCAGGTGTATGTCCTTTATCACCTTGTATGCTTTCCTAGTAGACGAAAATTTCCTCTGATTTCAAGTAACTGGTCGAAATATCTAGGATTGGACACGAGGAATTGATGGATTCATGTGAGGGTAAGGAGACTAGACTAGAAGAAGAAACAGAACCTAACAAAATTGCTAAGAAAAATTCAGCGAAGAAGTTATCCATCAGCAAACATGTTTAGTAACCTCACTGTCTTCAATCTGCATGATTTCACGAGTTGATATTAAATTATGCATCTTATATGGTACCCAGATGCCTGTCAGGCATAAGAGATATTTCCATGGGATCGGACTCCCTGACCTGGTATAGCTTTGCGAATGGATTAACATCTCACTTTATACTAGATCGGCACCGAATGATTGCACTTTCAGCCTCGTAGATATATCGAAAGATTTCCTTTTACTTTTATGGAGATAAAAATCAATGGATATTTCGATTTCGACTCTACTGAGAGTCTGCTGGGGTAAATTCACCAACGGCTTTCATGCCCAAACGCCTTGACTATGCTAAGGAAACGCCAATGCCGAACGCCAAGGATGCTGAGTTTTGATAAGAATGAGAGAAAACCTCTGACCAGACGTGCTTATTGGCCGCTCTTGCGCTTCTTCTTCTTTTGTGTTGGTGCTCCCCATACCGGGGCCCGACCACCAGCGCCTGATATACTGCTGATCTGAGACAGCTTAGGTTTAGCTTCCTGGCCCACATCGACTTTGGCAACGGGGGGAGGAGTCTGAAAGAGTATTAGCATCAACACAAACAAATAAAGTGGAATGGTACTGACCGGCTCCTTGCGCTTGAAGTTTCCGAACGACCTCCTACCTCCAAAGGATAGGCCATCGTCGGCGTCTAGCGATTCGGTCGCCATGACATAGGACTGGGGCTGAGGAGGAGTCGCGGCGGGCATATCCAACACCCATTGAGTTTCGCCTACTTCGGCAGCCTTCCGTGCCATAACTTCTTGTCGTTTCTGCTCTTCGGCGGCAAGTGCGGCGGCGATAGCATCAAGATCGGATTGTGGGGTCGAAGAGCTGTTGGGATCGGTTGACTGGCGTTGGCGCTTGGGGCTATATGTCTCGTCTTCAGGTGAAGGGGACTTGATGTTGTCTGGTGTTGCACGTGCTTTCGATGCTGCAGCCCGTTGCATGAACTGAATGGACATTAGCTACGTTGTATAACTCGAACAGTGAAGATCCATACTTTCATGCCAAGTAAACGGGACGACATGTTGCTCTTATCTTGCTTCGCGGCTGTACCAGGAGAGGCTGGCATGATGGGCAACAATTTAACAGCAACAAATGCTGTAATGGCGAGCTTGTAAAAAGTGAGAAGTTGAAGTTGAGTTGTCAATCGCAAAATAAAATGTGGTGGCAGAAAACCACAAGCTCCAGTCTCAATGAGAGATTACGGTATATGGCAGGCGGTGAGACTCCACCAACCACACCTCGCGGATTACACTATTCAGTTTGCAACCTCCGACTTCGAGCAATCCCGTCCTTGTCCACTCCCACTCCACTCCGTCCTCAGGACTCAATCTGCCCAGCATGATGTCCTGCAGCCGCCGTCTCACATCTCTGGTGTCGTCAATCCCGCGCTTCGCCGCCCGCACTTATTCTTCGACTGTGCCCCGTCTGCACGAGAACCGCATGCAACCCAATGACCCCTCTCCGCCAGCTCCTAAGCCCAATGTCTCTGCGACCAATGCCCCCGAGACCCAGTCTGCGCCCATTGTCGAACTGGTTGAAATGCGTGCCTACGACTTCAGAGAGCTCCCCGCTGTTGGCGAGCAGATCCGCAGTGTTCAGGCCCCGAACCGACCTACCACCTGGGCGGCCAGCCAGCAGCCCCGCGAGAAGGCCATGACTGGACCTCGTTTTGAGCAGACTATTATGGAGACTCAGGTATGTTCACCTGCTGCCGCTTAGAATTGGAGCAATTGGCTCGATTTCCTGCAAGCAGTCTTCAAGAACCAGAAGCTGACCAATGACCACTAGCCCCGGCCCCTTGCTGCCATTGAGCTCATTCACAAGCAACCCGTGCGGTGGACCAAGTCCAAGGTTGTCAGCTGTGACGGTGGTGGTGGTCCCCTTGGTCACCCCAAGGTTTTCATCAATACCGACAAGCCCGAGATCGCGACTTGCGGATACTGCGGTCTTCCCTTCGTATGTTACTCTCGGTTATTCACAGCCACCGTTGAGCCTTTACTAACATATGAATCTCAGGCCCAAGAAAAGCACAAGGCTTACCTCAAGTCTTTGCCCGCCACCAGCTACCCCCTCGAGCCCACCGGCGACGTGGCTGAGGTGAACGAGACCCAGCGCGTTTCTCCCGCCACTGGCGGTTTGGAGCAGCGGTAGACGACTAGCATCCGATTCCTTTTGTCGGCGTTGATTACTTCTTGTTGCGCTTGTGTTACACTATACTAGTTCATTTTTTTCTTTTGGGCCTAAGGCCGTGTACAGAAATATAGATCAAATGGATCTGCCGTTCGCCCCAATGCGAGCTCTAGATATTGGTCATGGGCCGAATTATGCCTCAGCAATCCTACGGATTAGAGATGGATTGCGTCTATATTCGCAACAGGTCATGAATACTTGATGTGACAGGACAAAATGTATCTTCAACTTAAAATTTCGACTTTGATATGCTCTCATGCACCACAGAATCACATCTTCTGACCCTGAATAGTCGCGACGACCTTGCGCGCATGACGGCTCGTGCGGAATTCCAGGTACCAAATTCCCTGCCAGGTTCCGGTCGCCAGACGGCCATCAGTAATAGGAATATTCACAGAGGCGCCGATGAGAGCAGATTTAATATGAGCCTGGAAAAACACATTCGTTAGCAAATGTACACATGTCCCTTCATACGCCATATTATATCAAGTTCATAGCGGGGTCAAAAAAGAAGTATACGAAATTGATACACACCGGCATATCATCCTCGCCCTCGGCAGAATGCCGATAAAGTTCCCCCTTCCGATCATACGGAGCAATGCGATCAAGGGCATCACTCATATCAGCCCGGACATCAGCGTCCCAGTTCTCATTCAGCGAAAGAGCACAGCTCGTGTGCTGCACAAACAAGTTCAGCATGCCGATCTTGTAGTCGCGGATTTCGGGGAGTTCGGATAAGACATGGTCGGTGATTAGATAGGAGCCGCGTTTGCTTGGGGGCAAGGGGAAGGTTTTTTGCGACCAGGACATGTTGGGCTGTATTTCAGTTGTGTAGGTGGAGAGGTTTGAGCTTGAGGGCGGGGAGCTGAATAATGGCTTTCGGTGGGGAGCTCTGATGTCACTTTCGTGCACAATCCAGACAATATTGAAAGGATGGGTTATACCAATTAATGAGTGGCTGGTTCTAATTTTCACGGAGAGTTCAATTAATATGTTAACTGTGTAAGAAAGTAATCATCCTCCAATCATAACAAGGCAGAAGCAACTTTATTTACAGCTAAAAAAACCAACATCCCAACAGAATCGCTAAAAGTCCGAATAAAAGAGTGAAAATAATAGTTGTTCACATCGTTGTCCGGCCCGAGATAGGTCGTGAGACTATGAGGTTCTCTTGGCGCCAATAGGCCCCAAGCGGGGAAGATGGAAGATGACTACAATATGTAGGCTGACAGCTTCACACAAAACGTATGTGATATTGGGTATGGGGGGAGAAAAGAGAGAAGGAGCAGAAGATCTAGAGGATATGCCCCCAGACCCAAAACTAAGCTAGTCCTAAACCGGATGCCAGCGCTGCTCAGGTCATATGATATGACCCAGGGACACCGACAGGTTCCTTAAATATCGCAAATGATCTGATGCTGGTCCAGTGCGTAGACACTCCTTTTTGAGTAAGATGTTAAGGTCATCTGCAGGTAGCAAGTCTGCCGCACCGGCGTTGAGAAGAATCTGAATTTGCTCTACTTTGCCCCGATCAACAGCCATAGACAAAGCAGTTCCATCTAGACTATGCTGGGCCTTGACATCGGCGTGAGCGTCAATTAGCATCCCCACAATCTCAGTGCTTCCAACCCATGCAGCGGCCTGGAGGGCATTGCCAAAGTACCCACCCTGGGCATTGACATCGGCGTGAGCGTTAAGTAGCATCCTGACTATTTCAGTGTTGCTTTTGTATGATGATACAGCGGCCTGGAGGGCATTGCCATAGTATCCACCCTGGGAATTGACATCGGCGTGAGCGTCAAGTAGCATCCTGACTATCTCAGTGTTGCTTTTGTATGATGATGCAGCGGCCTGGAGGGCATTGCCATACTTTCCACCCTGAGAATTAGGAGCTGCTCCGACTCCAATTGATGCCCTTCCACTGCAGCAGCTTGCATCGCACCTTCAGTATCATCTTTTTGGTCTCCCGATTCGTCGCATAGGAGCCATTGGACGAATGCCACATGCCCAAAGCTAGCCGCCGCCATTAATGGGGTCATCCCATCTATGCATCTTGCCTCGCGATCTGCTCCTTTCTCCATGAGTATTTTGCCTGCTGCTATATGACCACGTCGCGCTGCTACATGGAAAGCCTTCTCTCCATTTCTGTTTCTCTTCGCGAGATCCACTCTGTTCGACAAGATAGAATCTATGATGTCGACAAGATTGGTTGCTGCAGCTATGTGCAATAGTGTCGTTTCTTCGGCTGGGCATGCATCGCCTAAACGGTCTAAGATGTTATAAACCTTGGCCCAGCGATGCGCGATTTGCTGTAGTGTATGTAGTTCATTATGTATAAGGCCGCGTCGAGATTCGGTCCCCTTTTCTGCATGAATGAAGAGATTTATGGTGGCATTGGCAAGAAAAGGATTCTCATGAACCATGTTGTGTCGTTTCATCCAGTTACCGCTATCACTATCTAACCCTTCGTGGGGCAATTTCGCAGTGACTAGATAAACCAGGCATGATCGATAGAGAACTGCTTGACAGTGAAAGAGAACCTCATCGTTATTAATATATGGTGAGCTTGTTGCGACGCAATGATATGAAATCTGCAGTCCTTTGGCGCGTAAGAAATCGTTGACAGACTGGTGGACCGCCTGTATAGTCTCGGCGCAATCCCTGCTTGAGACTATTTCAGTCAGTCCACCAGAAAGAGCCTTGGTCCTCAGTTTCATACGCTCGTCGCTTCCGATAAATCCGTCAGTCTTTTCCCATATCATCATAGGGGAAGGTGTCATTTTAGCATTATTGGTCACTAGGGCATACCGCATTTCTTTCACAGTCAGAGGTCGCTCAGCGAGGCATACCCACTGGAAGAATATGAGCGACTGCCCCCGATTTCTGTCCTCTATCACATTTTTGAGAATATGTATATATATCTCTTCTAGGTCGGCTGGAATCTCCCGTAACCAGTAATGGATCTCACCAAATGACTCCCCTTCTCGAATTATCTGCTGAATGAGAGGCATTATGAGATGGACCCATTGAAAATCCCATTGGCTTGCTGGACCAATTGCTCTGTCAGTCTCTCTATCCTCTCTTGACCAAGGCCCTCTTCGACTTCGTTGTCGGTAATGATATCTTTGACATACGTGGAGATGTCTTGATGATTGTGATTTTCAACATGTACCTCCATAGTCCGGGCATTTCCCACGATAGGATAGTGTCGACACGACATGCAGATTTGAACGGGTAACTTCTTCTTTTCCGCACGATCAATAAGGCGATGGAAGTATGCTGCGAGCCACTGAGCGGACTCCGCCCAGCCTCATCTAGAGCATCCACAAAAATGGTCACATGTTGCTGATTAGCCGATTCCAGGATAGCACCTGTAAGTATCTCCTTTAACACAAGTTGTGGCCATTCCCACTGGCGTTCGCCATGCCCAAACTGCCTGCATCGTTGTTCGTAAGTTTCACGTATTCTAGGGCGCACAGTCACGTCGCGGTAAAAAATTTGGTTCAGCAACGATCTGAACATTCCAAGCGGGGTGCGTTGCATCTCGGTGCCCCTTGCAGTAAGAAAAAGTCGAGCCAAATGCCTTGAGTTCGACCCTGTAACCTGACTTTATCATGCAGGAATGCCATGAGTGTTGATTTGCCTGCACCCGGTTTGCCCTTGATCCACAATAGACCGCAGGACTGTTCCTTCCAAGATTTGTAATTTTTCAATTTCAAAATCCATTCGCAGGTATTGGTATGACATGGCTCGATGTTATCTCTCCGATCTAGCATTTGCGGAAACGCGAGAGACCTAAGCACCTCTGTCACTGTTATGAGCGATGGTCTCCTCGGCTAGTAAGGGACGGAGTGATGCGAACCATGGTCTGTTATCTGCTGTGGGGGTTCCGATCGATCTGGACCAGAAGGTGAATGTCAATCAATTTGACCCAAGCCTAAAAAGGGCTCCATGACACGTACCGGGTGAGACATTGATCACTCCGTTATTAAACCCGACCTGGAACCCTGAGTTTGTATTTTCGTTGCCAAAAGATGCTGAGTTCATTTTGATCAAAGGACGCACACGATGACCCTTTTTTTAGGCAGAGCGAAAGTCCCAACTTGACAACAGATTGCCAATGTCAGCCCCGCGATATTATTGAGCTGAGCCACCCGTCCGGAGAGGCTGAACATCTCGGCCCCCACCTCAACACATACTTCTCCCACAACAAAAGTCCCGGGCTCTCTCAATATTGTGCTGTGGTAAAGGGCGCCAAAAACATGATTGCAAGACCCTAGAGTAATCTATGGATGCCCTAGTAGTATGAGATTTTAGTGTAGGCCGTTCTACTGGTATGAAGTTCTGTACTATATACTTGTGATTTTTTCTAATCGTTGTGATACCCTCTAGTGCATAAGTAGATCGTATCTCGAACTCGAAGAATCTGTGAATACTTAATATGCAATAGGAACTTGCAAATTTTGGAAGTGGTGGCTTCCTTACTGGCTGATCTTAAAAGCTGTGCTGTTCTATCCAATCCGCTACGGTCAATTTATGCTTATTTTTTGAAGCGATGACACTACTCGAAAGCTTAACCATTCATACCTGTAATATATATTGCAATGCGAGCTAGGTTTGAAATGACTTAGAGTATGTCATGGAAGGAATGTTTCAGGGCTAACTTAACCCCCATAATTCACGTACAAGTCAAGAGTTGGTTGAAGGCAAAATAATCATTCAGCTTGTTCTGTTCCACAGACACATTTCTTGCCGTGTAGGATATACTCAGCCCATAATTTAGTGAATATTATCGGAAATTAACCTCATAACAAATGTTTACATGCTGAGGACCGGAATTGCCCGGCTATCCCCGGATATTTTGACGGCTATTTTGTACAAGCCTACAATTCTCGCTACAATATAAATTGCTTTCAGAAGAGTTTTATTTTCCCAGCTCTCCAAGAGTTTTTGCAGAAAGAATCCCAAATTGGTGAATCATGGGCTCATTGTCCGACTCGTCTGCCTTGAAAGAGAGTTCGAGAGACTCTCTGTTCTCCGGGCTTTCCCCAACTCCCATCGACGAACCATTTGCAGTGAATGGAGCCTACATCCAAGATACCTACCCTGACAAGGTTAATCTAGGTATCGGAGTTTACCGTACCGCAGAAGGATCACCATGGCCATTGCGAGTGGTTGAGGAGGCCGAAAAACGACTTCATCAAGCAAGTGATGTGAGCCGACACGAGTACCTCACTATACAAGGTGATAGAGAATTCCTTCGACTGGCATCCGATCTTGTGCTTGGGTGTGAGGAAGAGGAAAACAAAAGTCGAGTTATTTCCATCCAGACCGTCTCGGGCACAGGTGCGAACAGACTCGGAGCGGAGCTGCTGGCTCGGAATATACGACCAGGATGTGTGTGGGTTCCCGATCCCACTTGGGCAAATCACCATACCATCTGGGAGCTGGCTGGGGTCCAACGGAAGGACTATCCTTACTATAATAGCGCAACCAAGTCGTTTGATTTTGAAGGAACCTTTCGGACACTCTCAGAGTCTGCCTGCAAGAACGACGTTGTGGTCCTTCATGCGTGCGCCCACAATCCTACTGGTGCGGACCCGACTAAAGAACAATGGAAAATGATTGCTGAACTATGCAAGACGAAGGGTCTGATACCTTTCTTCGATCTTGCCTATCAAGGGTTTGCATCTGGAAATCTTGAGCAAGATGCATGGGCTATCCGTCATTTCTTCAACTGCAGCCCTTATCTGGAATTCTGTGTAGCGCAGTCTTTCTCAAAGAACTTTGGGCTCTACGGACAGCGAGTTGGGGCATTACATGTTGTGACTTCCACTACCAGCGTTGAGGTCTCTCAGAAACTGCTCGCCAACCTTTGCCATCTCGTTCGTGGAGAATATTCCATGGCGCCTAGAGGTGGCTCGGAAATAGTACGAACTGTTTTGGGAAATAAAATTCTTAAGAACAAGTGGTTCGAGGATCTCGTGACGATGAGTGAAAGAATTCGACAGATGAGACAGGCTCTATTTGATGAGTTGACCAGGCTGCAAACCCCTGGTGATTGGTCTCATATATTGAAACAGGTTAGTCACCGCACTTTTACCAGCTATATTCGACAAATACTCAGTTCAACTAGATTGGTATGTTTACATACGTTGGATTGTCGGAAGAACAAGTTCTTGAAATCAGATCAAGACATCATATTTACATGCTGAGATCCGGTCGCATATCAATCTCGGGTTGTAAGCACCACTCCGAACCACGATCATGATTCCGAGACAGTTACTGACCATTTTTAGTAAATGATGATAACTTAAAGTACGTTGCGAAGGGTATAGATGATGTTGTTCGTCTGGTGAACTGAGACTGGACATCTCGTTATGATCAAATGGCTATAGATGTACTTAGACATTCGTCAGAACAGCTCGATAGTCGCAAATATCAGATAAAGTTTACTAGGTAGGAGTCAGTAGATATTGGATATCATTTTTCTAGCCCTGCTCTGCGTGAAAAGCCCGGCAGAAAGCCTCAAGTTCCAAAGTTTTAGCTTCGCCTGGGAAAAAATCCCTGCTAGGTGCACAGCGATTAATTTACTAAATAGCTTCCGAATGTTAATGAAAATGTGATTGGATATTTGATCAATTGAAAATCTAATGGGATATCTATGGAGTCACATAGGGATTTGCTAGTCACGGGTAAATATCAAAAAGACATCCTGTATAGGAGACGGCCGTGAACGTTGAGAGTTACTTTGTAGCAATTTGACAACAACTTCATGTTTGTACAATGCCGCTTAGGATAGTAGAGTCTCTCACCAAACACCCTCGATGTCTGTGTCAACATTTTTGTTCTGGAGGAGGAGCTTGACAATGGCTTCATATCCGTTCTGTGTCACACATGATAGCGGCATCCCCACCGCATTTGGGTCAACTACTTCCGTCTTGACTAGTAGCTTTAAAACAGCCTCGTGTCCGTTTGGTGCTGCCCATTATCATGAAATCAACCACTCATTGTCTTTGGATCTGCCTCGACCTTTCTGATGTTGAGAAGCATCTTGAAAACTACTTCATGTTCATTCTGTGCTCCATAAGATTGAGGTGTCCATAGCGCTTCGTCATAATCACCATTTATCTTGTTTAGATTGACCACATCATTCCAAATGGGGTTTAGCACGAGGCAACTTGTCCTTGATGATGGTTGCCGCAGTATAGGTCCTCAATGGGGATGCACTCTTCTCAAACATCTGTGGATCGTTTTCCATCATAGACGCGTTATCCAGAATGGCGGAAATTGCAATCTTCACGTCTGCCAAAGCCACCTGTAAACCATTGAGATTGGCCTCATAGGCTCCATCCATAGCTGATAGCTGCAATTGCACTTGTTCGTTGCTTGCTTTCGTTATCAAGTTGTCCAAATTGTTCTTTAGGTCCTGGAGAGCCACAAGATCATCGAGCATGGCGTAGGTTCTGTTTGCTGCCTGACTCGTATCCATTCTCAGCTCGGAGAAATTGTTCAGCCTCATGAAATCGGGAACTGCCAAATATTTCTCCAGAACAACAGCGACCGCCTCTCTTCCTTCATCGACATAGCTCTCAAATTTGGATGCAACCTCGAACATCCGATCCATATCCCAATTCTTATCATCTACCCGGTAGGGTTAGACACACGCGACTGATGAAAGGTAGAAGTGAATATATCTCACCAGGTTTGGGAATATTCGCGCCACGATATGCCACCAAAACATGGGTATTCGCCATCTTCCGCAAGTCCTCGGTATTGTAAGCTCCAGTTCCCTGGGCTTTCACCCCCGCAAATCCAAGTTCCAGGTTAGCCTTGATTTTCGGGATATCCGATGAATTCATGGCTTTGATACTGAGAATCGCAACAAATTGGCCTCCTGCAATAATTTGCGAAAATTAGGAGTTCCCATAAATTTGATAAAATTCTTGGGCATTTTTGAAATCTTTAATCAGCCTCATTTTGGGTGCCTTATCGGTGGTCCAGTAATTCTGAACAGTGACCTTCACAACGAGGTTCAAATCCGCTTCGGTGACCTGTTCTTTCAGGCTGTTAGTCAGCAGCAATAATTCTTTCAAATTGTTCTAAAAATGTTTCCACAGGCTCCTTCCTCACCTCCCTATTTTTGATGAAGTCACCAGCGCCTAACACGCTTGCTCCACTGAGCTTGATGTTGATAGCAAGTAATGCGGATATATCCAAGGCAGTCGCCAATTGGCTCATGCTGCGACATATGAAATGCTCGAATATAACCCTCTGACCTGGCTTACCCTCGGTAACAGTGATATCTACTGCATTCTGGAGGGCCGGAAGCTCGGGCAGGGACTGGTACCCCGTACCTAGGGACATCCAACTTTGGAAAGGAATCGTTCGCGACATGGCTCTAGGACAGCCAGAGCAAACCGCAGAGGTTTCACGGTGTTAAAAATGGACGGACGGTTGGAAACGACAGATTCAGAGGAATAATGACTGAGTATCTATATAAGGAAGCAAAGGCATTATTTATATTCCGTTAAGTGCTTTGCACCTCGTTCGATTTATCTTTTCCTGCCCCATAAATGGTTCCCGGGGGGTCTATAGTTTCCGCTTTGGGCTCTAAGCTCGGCAAAGCAAAAATAGAACAGAATCATACAAATTCGTGGTCACCCATGTTACTAACTAACCGTTATAGGGCTTATGTACGGTCAACAGTTCGGTGGGTATTGCCCGGGTGAGTATAAGTGATATATGCTTTAGAGATCAGACCATCAGGCCACCTTCTCTTATATAAGTTTCTTCTAGGTCTTCTTCCCCATCTCCCTCTACCCCGAACTTTTGGGAGTGTCTGATTCGCAGATAGACACACCTTGGAATATACGACCGTTCCCTTCTTCGGTAGCTAAGTTTATATAAAATGTCCAAAAAAGATACTAGATACTGATAGATTCCTAACCTCAGTTTCCCAGTTTTCAAACCTAGAACCTTTTGATCAGGACCTGAAAGAACTTGCTTGTCTAATCCCCCAATTTGCACAGTTTCCCAGGTAGTATAAGGGTAGGTAGGTTTCAACCTTAGGCCTCCCCACTGAAATGGCATGATTAATTGTCATTATTTGATGTAGTGGCGTCTCTAGCCTGCCAACACTATGGTATTATTGTAGATCATTTTTGCCATCAAGTCAGTTAAACGAATAGCAAATATCAATAGAATATCGATAAGCAAGAGTACCCATCACACATTCCTCGCTCCTTTTAGGACCTCTTGTCCGCCTCCATGCTAGATGCGGTAACCATTTCAGGGCCACCCCTGTTCCGTTTAGCAATGCGGAACCCACCGACCAGGAAGAACAGAGCCTGTAACCCAAGGATAACAGCAAGAGTCACCATGGCACCAATGACACCGGCCACGGGTCGAGAAATTCCACTAGATCCGTCGGTGCTCGATGAGCTGGCAGTAGAGCTGGAGGAGGTCGAGGAAGCACAGCTGCCGTCGGTGTTACCGCACATATCGCACCATTGGGTGGTGGACGTGACGGCCACTTTCTCCATCTGGGAGGTAAATTCAGAGTAGGAGAGAAGATCGTTGGATTGACCAAACATAGGGTAGACAGTGGGTGTTGCCCCGCCGGTCATGGTGCCGTTGTGGAATGCGAAGCGCACGCTGATCTCGTCGCTCGAGGGGAAGTCGCTTCCAGTGGCATTCGTAACGAGCTCGAAGACCATGGACGAAGCATAGTCGGGAATGCCATAGAAGTCGGCGGAGGCAGCAGGCATCTGCATCAGACCGAAGAAGGACATGATGGTTCCGTATGAACCAAATTGGACGTTCAGAATGGACTTGGCACCCTTTGTGTCGATGATCTCATCGAAACTGGACATGATCTGGCCGAGGATAACGGCACCGGCGATGGCGCGGACTGGGTCGGAGGCGTTGTATGCCAGATTCCACTCGTGGATACCAGCCAGCGAATTCAGTTGCACTCGGTTGGCATCAGTCATGTACTCCGACTTGCCGGGGAAGGTCGCGGACGAGTTGTGGATGTAGCCCACGTTCAAATAATCGAAGATAGTATAGGCATTCTCGAAGCTCATGTCAGACGACGAGAAAGTTCTGTTCAGGACGGGAGAGAGCGACTTGTAGAAGCTCGCGGTCGAATTGAGTAGATCATTGTAAGAATCAGTACTATAGTAGTTGTTGCTGCTGACAGTTGCTTTGGAGCAGTCAGTGGAGCCTTGCAACCAGCTGGAGTCTTCGCTATTGGAGCTCGTGGCAGTAGTCTGCAGCTGGATGAGCTGGTAGCCATTCAGCGGCGAGTCGACCACGGTACCGTTGCCAAGGGTGGTGTTAGCCAACTTCGAGGCAGGAGGATATACACCCTGCAGGAAGCCCGTGGCCGAGTTCTGCAGCACTGCGTCCGAGGGAGCACTAGCATTGACCTGCTTCGCGCTCACAATAGGATCGCTGATGCCCTCAATCTGCTTATCGGAGCTTGAGTCGACATAGAGGTCATGATACACGGAACCAGCAGCGAAGACCTCATAGTAACCCAGGTCAGTCAGTTGAGTATTGCCAAGAATCTTCGCCGTCCTGTCACCATGACGAGCATAAATATAAGCACCCAGTACTCGCTCAGCAGACACAACAGGTGCTGTGAGGCTGGCTAGCAGCAGGCCACGATGAATAGAGGAACGCATGGTAAGAGTCGAGCGTTTTGGAGTGAAAGAAATGGAGCCCACAGGACCACAGCTTGTCGGAGGCACAGACAATGCTATATACTTTCTCCCAATGCTTTAGTTTGGCGCTAACATGCGAGTTCTGGAGTAAATTGAATGCGGGTCAGGTAAAGCAACTGTACCGCACCATAATGTTGCGCAAAGTCTAATTGGCTGTGAACGGCGACTCCCGACTTCAACCACTCATGGAACATCCTCATCTGCTTCTAGTTAAGAGGCTACTGCGGGCCAAGTCAGGAAATGTCCGAGGAAAAGTGGTAAACTTTTAGGTAATTGATTCTAGTCAGTCTAGATCCCGCGGTGGGGAAAACCCTTGAACCCTGATTAGTTCTGTTAAACCGTGCATGATTAGCACAACTTTCCCCCGCTTTGGTTTTGGCTGTTTATGCGGATTTGGGCCTGAAATTGGCAACTTTTGCCGTGTTAGCATCCTGTAATCATCCATGGATTCGCCCAAGGCGCGAAGATATCAACGCCATACCGCTGCGGCGTGCATTTAGTGCACAGACACAGATAAGAAAACTGAATGTAGAGAAAATAGCTCATATTGGATTCATTCTCGTGATATTGTATTGCTTTCTTTTGTAGTTGCCAATTTCATTTCAGGTCATTGCAACGCCCTTGTCGCCCATCAATTCACACCCATTGCGTACTACACCCACTAGCCCACCGGTCTGAATAGACTCTGATCCACCCCCAGATAGTCTCCATTCAATCTCTGCGAGGCCCTCTAACCAGGTGATCCGGGTCTGAGCGGGCACTTCAAGTTGCTGTAATTGGTCGGCTAGAGCCGACAAGATATCCGCCAGGGCGAGACCCTTGGTGTCCTTGAGGGTGTTGACCGTGTTGAGGCATGACGTTACATCGCTAGTATTGAGAATGGTAGACATGATTTCTTGGATATCGGCTGGATGAGGTGCCGCAATACAGTCGTAAATCGTCGTATTTGTGATGGTCTCTGGTTCGGGTAGGGGGGCATTTGGTGCATTGCGCATCGGAAGTGGCTTACCTATGGTAGAGTGTGAGCATATCTATGATAAAGATAAAGGGACAAATGCCGACGACGTACTGCTTGCATGACAGGCTTGAAGGACGTTCAACGCTCGTCGCATATCTCCTCTGCTGAGGGTTACCAGGCTATTCACTGCCTCCTGTTGAATCTTGATATTCTCCTTCTCAATAACGGTATCCACAAGGGACCGGATATCGGCCTCCTTGAGAGGACTAAACCGGAATCTCGTACACCGCGACAACAACGCGGGGGAGAGCTTGTGTGTGTAGTTGGCAATGATACAGAATCGGGTGTTGGCTGTGTAGCGCTCCATGATGCGACGGAGAGCCATTTGCGCCGTGGATGTCATGGCATCTGCTTCATCTAAGATGATCAATTTGAAGCCAGCAAGAGACGCACTGGCGGATTGCGGTGCCATGGAGAAGATTTGTTTTGTGCCTACATCCCCTGTCAGCATAGATATGTGATTGACATACTAGTCAACATACTGGCAAAGGTCTTGATCTGTTCTCGGACAACGTCAATGCCACGGTCGTCACTTGCATTCAACTCCAACACCATTTGCCGCATGTTTTTGGTCCCGTATATCCGTCGCGCGAGCGCAAGAACAGTTGAAGTCTTTCCGGTTCCGGGCGGGCCATAGAGAAGGAGATGGGGGAGGCGCTGTTGTGCTATTAGCATCCTTCATCCACGCCACATTCCATGCGCGCAAGATCATACATTGGATTCGACAAAACGATTGATGGTTGCGAGGATGTCTTGGTGACCGGAGACGTCGTCTAGGCTCTCGGGACGGTATTTTTCGACCCTGATACAAGAGTTAGAGATGATGTTTGAAGTAATTGTAGCATCCCATACCATGGAAGATTGTCCAGTGCCTCAATAGGTAGGTCGGCCACTGTCCTCTTCTTCCCAGTAGCATTGTCAGAACCGAATTGCACATCCTTTGATGTATCCACGTCCATTTCATCCTCGTAGTCAGACATTCTGTTAGTATTTCAATACTCGAGCCGAGTAGCCTGAGTTGTGGAGGTTGTAAAGAGGTAAAAAAATGAAAGATCGCGAAAAGCCGAGCTGGACGCGTTCCGCGCGTAAAGAGACCAAGCAACTTCGGGGCGGAAAATCAAGGGAGCTGGGGAGTGCTCCGTGCTCCACTCCAATGACATCCTCACTGCCTAACCCAAACTCCGCATCAACCTCCAATCTCTCCTACGCTACCCACCCTCACAATGCCTGTATGTACATATCTGGACAATTGATGCCCTCACAAGCTAATACTATGAATCTAGGCATACCACTCCATCTTCCTGGAGGACCGTGATGTCCCTGTGATCGGTACGAATGCCCCGCCAATCGCTACATCCCCCAAACATTCCACATCCTCATGCGCGGTACACGCCAAAGACTCCAGAATTGACATAGACGGCTTCAGGAAACTTCCCAATTCTCCCCCTCCGCACTCGCACACGTGGTCCCGCATACACCTTGCCTGCACTTCCCCCCAATACTGCCGATATCGATGTTGCCCCCGACAATGAATCCTACGATTGTGTGGATGAGATCTTGTCGCTCTTCCGTGCCAACGTCTTATTCCGTAACTTCGAGATCAATGGCCCCGCCGATCGCATGCTCATCTATGGAACTCTCTTCGTCAGCGAGTGCCTCGGGAAGGTGAAGCCGACAATGAACTCCCGCGATGCGGAGAAGGTACTCACCAACGAAGATATGATCCCCATGGAGCTTAAGTACTGACTAGCTCGGTGATTTCTAGGCCTTGATCAATGCTGCGCTCGACAATTTCGCCGTCCCTGGTGATGTGTCCTTCCCGCTTAACCAGGCTTTTGAGCCCCCACGCGACCGCCAGGATGCGGAGAGTCTGCGGGCGTACGTCCAATCTGCACGATGCCGTTTCGAATGGAGACTAATATCATTGGTTACATAGATACATTTCTCAGGTGCGACAGGAGATTGCTGTACGGCTACATGCGAGATTATACCCCGGTGGAGTGGGTCCGTCTAAGGTACGTCAGATCTGGTTATCTATGTTTACCATGAGACATATTACTGACCAAAGCTGCAGTTCTGGCTGAGCTTCACAAAGAGAAAGTTCATGGGCAAGAGCCTGTAAAGTTGAAGCTGGTTGTATATTGTTTTCATGAAATTCAGCGCATGAATCGACTAATTTCTTTTTGTTGATACGTCAACGATCCGGTCTACCGTAGCTGCCAAAGCCGGATCTTGGGCAGCTTTGCTCATAGCCTCAAATCAAGTGATACGTTTTCAGTGAACTTTCCAAGGTAACCCCCAGGTAGTATGTAGCAGTACTAGTATCATACATAACATTTGAAGTATGTGCTTAGCCCATTCATTATGGATGATCTTTGTCTCCACCAAGCCCAGACTATCGTGATACTTGTACATTTTAATTTCATCTGGAACCAACTTTGACTCCAGGAGCCGATGCAAATTAGTCTAGGGAATGATTTCATGACAACATGACCACATCCCGGTCACTGGTCGGGGTGGATGTTGTTTCCACTTTGCGCTTCTTTCTGAATGTTCCAGCAGCCTGGACATGTTCCGCAGTGGGAATGACACGCACGGCGTGGAAGAGGTATCCCTCTGCACCGCCACGACTTGTCATCAGCGGATGAGTCCGACCAGGCAGCACTTGCCAGGCACGAACACGGGAGCGGTGTAGTGTCGGTGGTAGAAGCTGAGTCGGGTCGACCTCAAACTCCTTCAGTAGCGGTGACATGTCAATCTCACCGTCGGCAGTTTTCTGTGATTCCAAATCCCGCTTCCGGAGGATGAAGGCACTCCTACGCGCAGTCGAGTAGAAGTCCATTAACTTGACGAGTGGCTCGACATAGGGCGAGTATACGGATATAGAGGCCGAGCCGGAGAGTAGAGGGATGGCGTGTTGCAAGACACTCTCCGGTTGAAGCAGAGTACCCACGACAAGACCGTCGAAACCGCCTGCCCGAGCTTCATCCGTAACGCCCTTCACTTTCTCCCACCGATTGCGCTTGAAGTAATAGGCTGTGCGCTTGCTGGGTTTCAATTCCGCCAACTCTTCAGCAGGAAGCGCAGTTGGTTCGTTGGAAAGGATTGGGTCAAGAGAGGGATCCTTCAGCTGAAGCCAGGAAACAGACTTGAGGTGGGTGTGGAGTGGGTGAGATTCGTCGGGGAGGTTGATATCGTAGCCAAAATATTTTAAGAGTGACAGGTTGGGTTGCGCCTGGGCGTGGATAACGGTTAGAGTGTTGCCTGTTGCAGACATTGGTCGAGTGCGACGGCGGCGAATTGGTGTGAAGCCCCGGGGTTCTGCGGCTTGGCCGACTGCAGCTGACTCCTCATCCTCGTCATCATCATGGGGGTATAGAATCCCCATTCGCTCGGCCATCGCGGCCACAATCAAACCGCCCGTCTCGTCCACCACAAAATACCGACCATTCGGCTTCACTTCAGGAATCAATTCAGTTGAGGACTGTCCACCATGGTGCACATTTCCCAAGCATCCAAGTAGACCAATGTGCTCGTCGCGCAACTCCATTCCCTTTCCTGTATCCTTCTCATGCAGTAAATAATTGGCGAGACCACTAACGTCTAGTGGAAGCACTGTAAATCTTTTGATGTACTTCTTGCGCTTGCGTAATGTGTACTTGGCGAGAGAAAATGCAGTCTTCTGATCGATAGCCGAATGCGACTCGAGAAGTTTTGCGACAATTTCTCTGCCCGCCCCACCAGCCTCCTTCTTCAGCTCTTCAATCTCCTCCAAAGTTAGCCGTTGCGTGGAGGCATCGTCGACGATCTTCTGATTCGTGCGCATCGGGGTTCCCGCGCCTGATTCCGTCTCATCACCATCAGCATCTGCCTCGGCCTCTTCGATAAGGGTTTCGGCATGCAACTCGGTGGCTGAGACGACACGCAATTGGTACCCATCAGGCTCCGGGGTATCTAGGATCTCGAAGGTGAGGTAGAAGGGGCGCCCAATGATTTGATTTGCAGGGACGCTGCCATATTTGCCGAATGAAACTATGCTGCTTAGTGTTAGTGTGCTTGTCTCGAACGGTTGAATATGTGTTGACAAACGTGTTCGGTACAGGTTTAATGATACGGATCTGATCCGACGGCAGCTGCACAAGAGCATGCTGGTTCGGGCGAATATAAGAATGCATGGTTGAGATGCTAAATGAATTCTATGAATCTCCAATCTCTAAGAAAAAAGATTCCGGGCAACTTTTCTAACCTAATGTGCACAGACCAATCAGAGATCACAGTGGGGGAGCTATCGGATCAATAGTATATCCGGAGTGGTTACCAGCCATATTACAGTACCGTACCCAATACCGTTATCATCCTGATCAACACCTCATGAATTGTGGCTGATACGTGTAAATACGATTCCTATTCGAGGATCGGCGGGGAATACGGGTGCCTATAGTTAAACACTCTAAACCGCTTCCCTGATATCATCGAGCGTAGACTATTCCACATCAACAAGGCGCAGCTTCTGGCAAGGCAGTCTTATTTTGCTCTATAATTACATTGTAATTCAGATCAGATCGTTATCGGTTTATAAATCGAAGCCCTTTGTGTATGTGAAACCCAACCAGCTTGTTTCTGGGGAAGCCTTGCGACCCTAGGGAAGTACGTACGTACCACCCGGGCGGCTTCATTACACCCGTCATTGTCCCTGCTGCCGTGCTAAATACTTACACATTCCTCAGGTCATCTTCATGGTGCTCCGCAAACAGCCCCCACCTCGCCTTGAGAATCTTAACAAAGGGAATGCTCGCCCGGCCACGCGTTCCCCAACCTCACCGTCCTCCGCCTCATCTAACCGTCGGCGCTTAAACCGAATTCCCTCCCAAGAATCCATCTACTCTCCCGACCTCAACACATCTCCAGCTTTCGACCTAATGCCGTTGGAAGAAGCTCAGAGATCTCCGGTAGGCTCGCCTACAACTCATCCACCGAATTCCTGGCCAGGAAACAGAGACGATCGAACAATCCATAATAGATCCAACTCAGAAACATATCCGGGAGGTCCAATTCAAAAGATAGAACGAATACCAGTGACTCTCGTATCGGGTTCATCACAAATGGCGGACACCAATCAACAATCTATGCCAGAGAGCATTGAGGTAACGGCTGGGGAGATACCGGTACAACTACGATCGAACAATCCATTTTTGAAACCAAGACCCCCAGTACCATCAAAAGACACGGGGGACGTACATGATTGGAATCGCCATTCAAATGCGACGACCATTAGTGATCCCTTGAGCCAAAGTATGAAGGTCACCTTCCCCTTAAGGGCCGATGCTGACATGTTCCAGCGGATGGGTATATCCCCATGACAGCCAGACTATCCCTGTTAGACGCAGAAGAGCAGGAGTCACCATGGCCAGACCACGAAATATCTCATCCAGAAGGTCACCGGGCAGTGACGAGCGATCTGCCTCATGCTCAATCGCCACGGGGATCCCAGCATTCAATTGAGATCTCAGCCGCCAAGGAGATTTATTTCCAAGGACGAAAGAGTAATACACACACTCCAATGGTAGTTGTGCAACCTTCTGATTCAACGAACAATTACTTCCACCTTCAACCACCCTACTCGCATGGTAGATTGGGCTCCGACGCGAGCGCTCACTCTCCTTCTGCCTTTTCTAGTGCAACCTCAGCAACTTCCCACGAACTGATCGACATTGATCCTCACGAAAACCTTGAAGTGGAAAATGAGTCCCAGAGGGCGGCGTCGCCAATCCACTTTGACTCAAAGTTGGAACCCGCAATGCTAGACATGCCAGCAGCACCAGCAATTCCGTCAACCCCACAACAGGCCCAGGATGACACGCCAGCTCAGGCATTACAAATCCCGAGCGTCAAGCTTACTCCTGCGGAGGAAGCAATGCAACAAGAGCAGCGCTCAGAGACGTACTCCATTCGACAAATTGATTGGATGGACCGGACAGGGAATATGCAGCAGTCTCCTATCCTAGTCCAAAACAATAATGGGCCTTGTCCACTACTTGCGCTTATAAATGCATTGGTATTACGAGCAGCTCCATCGACCCAGACGCCGATTGTGAAGGCCTTGCGCACCCGTGAACAAATTTCGCTGGGGCTATTGATTGAGGCGCTATTTGAAGAGTTGATTACCCGCCTAGGCCCCGATGACGAATTTCCAGACATCGAGGCGCTCTCTCGATTTCTTACAATGCTGCATACAGGTCTGAACGTCAACCCTCGCCTGATACTGGTAAGAACTCGAATCTGTTTACATATGGCAATTTAATACATCTAACACTGACCAGGACACAGCTGATTCGCTTGGCACATTTTTACAAACCCCCGACCTTCAGCTCTACAGTACATTCGGTGTTCCTCTGATTCATGGTTGGCTTGCATCGTGGTCAAGCCCAGCTCATGCGGCCATGACAAGGGTCGCACAATATCATGAAGACATTCAATTGTTGCATTTCCGCAAGGAAGAACTCGAAGACTGGGTGATGAGAGGAGAATCACTGTCTCCTGAGGAAGAACAAAAAATGAGTGACATACAAGCCATTCAATATTTTGTGGACATTGAGAATGCGACACAGCTCAGCCCATTTGGGTTGACACAATTGAGTACACGGCTGGCTCCAGGCTCAGTATCCATCTTCTTCCGCAATGACCATTTCTCTACACTCTACAAACATCCTGAATCCCACCAGCTTTTCATGCTGGTAACTGATGCCGGCTATGCAAACCATGCCGAAGTGGTATGGGAATCTCTTGTTGATGTGACCGGGTTCAACTCCGAGTTTCTCGCTGGTGACTTCCGTGCTGTCGGCCAGGGCCCTTCGGGATCTGCAGGCCCAGCTGATCTCCGTACATCAAGTGCTCCACCGGCTACTGACCTTGCCTCAGCGACTGAGTCTACCGGCAGATTTTCACCACAGGAACAAGCTGATGCAGACTATGCATACGCCCTTTCGCTTCAGTTCCAAGAGGAGGAACAGCGCGAGAGAAGAAACAGCCAACAAAGGAGCAGCAGTCAGCAAGGGAGCAACGACCAGCAAAACAACCAGCAAGGAAACAACCCCCGCAACTCAGGGCCTATTCGCTCTCCTAATTCGTCGAACATTCGGATGAACAACCCACCAAATAGAACATCCAGTATGGCAAATCCCGTGGGTATTCGACCGGCACGGCAACCACAGCCACAGCCACATAGCGACCCAGACCCTGATGATCCCAATGCGCCACCACCTCCTTACGAAGCCGCGAACCGGCCACAGTACTCGCAGCCTGCGAGGAGGCCTCCTTTTACGGAATTCCCAAGCGAATATTCTTCAAACCAATATCCCGGGAATCGAAACCAACGGAATAGTCGTTATTCCAGCTATGGGAACCGACCAGACTCTGAACGATACAATCCCAATCAGAGGAATAAAGATTGCATCATGATGTGAAATGCGACTTAGGAGCCATGATGTTGAGCCATTCGATCCTCCACTTGCTTGGAGGGCTCACGATGAAATGAATCTAATGATACCAATGTAAATCCCATTTAAGGCGGACTGAAATACGAGGATCATTCCCAAGTTTCTCATACAGTAGACTCAATTCAAATTATATCGTCCATATTGCATTCATAAATAATCATGTCATAATTCCTGTGGTATCTATAAAAACCCCTGCGACGAAACTCCTGTGTCCAACCAACTAATACAAAATCTTGCGTTCCCGGAGTGGAAGGGTAGGATCATACTTATCCCAAATGATCTTGTTCTTCCCATCGAGATGCGCCCCCTCATCCGTAATACTGATAATCGAATCCGTCTCCATAACCTCATGTCGACTGAACCCAAACTTATCCCGCGGAATCCACAAAGTAGGCGACGGCGCCGCAATACACGGCTCGAAATATGCCGTCCGCGCTTCCTCGGGCGAATAGGAAACCGCCTCGACATTCTTGCGCACCTTCCGACGAAGCGCAGCGTAATCTTTGTAGATATTAGGATGGAACCATCTCCAGAAAGCAAGGCTGCGCGAGCGACGCTGTTCATTGATCTCGTTCCGAATATCCTCTTTCTCTTGAATGAGCTCTTCTTCTGCGTCCAGGGACCGGGGGAGAAAGGTGTTTAGTGGAGTCAGGGCTTCGTTGAGGGAGATGTGTGCCAGGACGTTGACGACAAGGAAAATGACCATTATGACGACGGGTCCGATTGCGCCTTTGATAGCGCAGAGACCGATCAAGCAGATCTCCGCGATGTAGAGGCCTGTTAGGAGGTGCTGGAGTGCTCGGGGGTAGACTAGGCCTTTTGTGTCGACTTGGATGTCGTATACGAAGAAGAAGTTGTAGCGATAGGCTTGGTAGACCATGTATAGGCCGATGAAAGAGAAGCCCAGGATTAATGGGGCGATGCAGGAATATGTTAAGGCTAATTGAGTTAGTTGAGGTGAATGGGATCGTAAGGGAGCGCGTACCGATTACACCCATGTTGGTGAAGACGGGAAAGACGCTGCCCCAGCTTAGACTGGCGAGCTCGGCCCATCTGGTATAGAGTCGACGGGGCGAATGCGCGAAGAATCTGTTGATGATTCTGAAGATCAATGCACTGGCGATTTGGACCAGTGCCATGGAGCTCATGCTTAGTCCTTGGAGTAAGAAGTAGGAGATGTAGAAGTTGGTAGCTTTTGGTAGATTCTGCGCGAGAAGGTCCTTGATTGATAATGGATCTTTGATGATCTGAGCCGTTGCTGCTGATGCGGCTGATGTCAAGGTTGTCACAAGGAATACCTGTACGACCTGGAATACGAAGACTGCACTTTGCGTGAATAATTCCACACGCGAAAGTGATGGGACGCCGGCTCTTCTGGCACATACTGCGGAAATAAGTCAGCTAGTTCGGTTTTGTAAGAAGGAAGAATACATACTTCTGCAAATTATTGGAACCAATGACATCAAAAGAGCAAGAGCTGCTGATGGCAGCAGACCTTCGATGGCACCCTTGACAAAAGATGGGAGTTTCAGGATAAATTGCAAGAATGGAATAATTTTGCATATGTAGGTGATGTTGGAGATTGTTCCAACAAGTGCAGCGGGGAACGACCAAAAGATGACCATCAATGCGAGGAAACCTTGGACGGCAAACCTGCGAACTACACGTTGTTTCCAGCTGATATTCAATGCTGACCAAACCACTTCCTGAGGGGAAATACCAATAAACCGCGGGGTCATATGGAATGGCTGGTGGTGCGATATAGTCTGCAGCGCAATCTGAGCATCATTTTGTGTGGTGAACTCAATAAAGATGGCAGACAGCTGTTTGGCGTCGCCTTCCTGGTGTTTTCGCTGGAGATTGAGGACCTCCTCCGTGACCCTAACCAGCTGCTCCCGGTAGTAGTGGATAGAGTCCACTTTCTTGCCAAAGATGATCTTCAACCTGTGGGTAGGACGTTTGACCTTCTGGGACCATGCTGGGTTGCTGGACTCGCAGTCCAAGCAGGTCTCTGAGGAGAAGTCGCCTCTTTTGATAGCTTGCATGCGTGCTTTGTTAGCGCGTCGAATGAGCTTTGTTTCAGCGGTCTCCAGTCGATATGCGTATTTGTCTCGTTCATCGACCAATTTAGCTAATTCTTTGCAGTTTGATGTGATCCATACTTGTTGGATCGCATCGCCGAACACACCTCGAAGCTTCTTCTCGTTCCGGTAATCTGGAGGCACCGACATGAAGAGAACCGTTCGCGATGACATGCGGGAAGCGTATGCTGGCGAGTTCAAATAAACCTGACGCAGATTGGAGTAATAAAGACTCTCGCGCACGACAACATAGAAGACGAACGCTGATTCGGTCAGCAACATCCATGGATTTGATGGGAAAGAACTTGTCACTCACTGAAGTAAACACATGCGACCATAACATTTGCATAATATTTGGTTGGATTGGCGATATTGCTAAAGCTGAGAAGGTCAAGCTGCGTATTGCCATTCCCGCCGGTAGCGTGGATAGGAAACAAAATTGGCCATGTAAGCACGCAGCCAGTGAAGCATATGGCACACAAAACTCGTAGAAATCGCAAAAACAAATAGCCATCTAGCGATGAGTGGTGTAAAACATGGTTATCTTCGATCTTCAAAAAGTCGCCCACCCAGTTGACCCAGCCCGAGGGCAATTCAGGACTTCTTTGATGGTCATGCAAATCAGGTAGATGTGATCTTGGCGCGTACCAACGTCGCTGAGTTCTTCGAAAAATCAAAAACAACCCAATCCAAAAAAGGGCATATATTAAGGCAGGAAGAAAAGTCATCAATAGCGCCGAAGACGATGAACCTCCGCTGCCAATAAGACCACTGGCGATATCGCCCGAGGTTGAGGACGAATCGCCTCGAGAGGAACCGACATTTGGGTCATTATTTGGGTCCTGTTCATATCAGTCATCCATTTCAAATAAGAAAGCTGACCACCTACTGTAATACTCGACATTTTGGCGAGGTTGGATGCCTCCAAGGGGTGGGTAGTCATTTAAAAACAAAATCAACAAAGTCCCAAAAGCCTGCCCCATAATTTCTCCGTCGGATCAGAAAAAAAAGCCATGTCGGGTCTAGCATTCAGGAGTTGCGGGTCCATGTTTGACCTGTCACCCGAAATGAGATTGGCTTAGATCGCTAATAGGTCGGATTGGACAAGAACCTTCGGATAGTTTGTCGATCCCACTCATGTACGTACGCATTGCAGATCTTCAAATGAGAATTTCCTAGATCCATTAATTCAAATCCCATATTCCCGTGTTGCTTAACCTCAAGCAATCCACGCAAGAAAGAGAAGACCCCATCAAAAACCAGGGCAAAAACCAGAGTGGAGCTTGAAGGAATCAAACTATCGATATAAGTGGAGATGTTGCCGATCGCTGATCGTGGGTCGAAATCGCGTCTGAGAGAACATGATCCGTGCTCCGGGCTCCAGTAGACCAATGATTCTGACGTGACGCGCATTGGTATGTTGGCTGGACGAAAGTACAAAAAAGATGCGCGCTAATGGCCCACCATTCCTCCACCAGACCATTCAGACCATTCTCTTTGGTGCGACCGCCTTATCATCCAATAAGGCTGATCTGGCGTGGCCCGTGTTGGAGAAGCTTTTTTGACAGTGTCACTAGTGGGTTCCCTCCCCATGCCCTCGTTCTCAGCAGGCTGTCATTTTCCCCAATGCAAGGGATACCACCGGGCCTGTACATGTCATGTAGGTTTTGGCGGTGATGCCATGGAAAGGAGACTTGGGTTACAGCGCATGCTGGTGGAACGCTCAGTGGTCACTGTCAAGAAGCGCCTCTTAGGGCTGCAGTGTCTCCTCGTTCATTCCCCACTTGTGTAACTGTGAGGGATCAACCCTGACGTCGTTGGTGTGATTGAGGCTTGATTTCGGGTAAGATCCTGGATTGAAGGGATGAATGCCAGAGCTGGTGCAGGATGGTTCATGCAGCTCCGTCCCATTTAAGAAGAATTTTCGGATAACTCAAAAACTCTACAGATAGGAAAAAAATCTAGACCGTGTAGGAGATTACAGTATAATCAAATCAAATTCAACTACAGAGTAGATGCTTTTGAAAATAAGTGGACGGGAAATGAAGAAAGTCAACTTTACCCACTACAATCCTGGGGTGTCAATTTCCAGCCTTCCTCAAACACTGCTGCTGCTTTGAGAACCATGGCATCTTCCCACCTCCTTCCAACAAGCTGCATCCCAATCGGTAAATTTACTTCGGCATGAGCTGAACCTCGCCCGAATCCACAGGGTACATTCAAAGCGGGATGCCCAGTGACATTAAATGGCGCTGTATTGGTAGTCACACCAACAGCGACCGACACCTTTTCCATAACACTCGAACTAGGGCCCTCATCAGAGTCCATTTTGGGATGCGGCATAGCAACTGTCGGGGCGCAAGGCGTGACGAGAATATCGACCTCCGTCAATGCCCTGTCATAAGCCGCACGGAGCTCAAACACTTTGCGATGGGCCTTGGCCTCCACACTCGGGCCGAAGTGTTCGTGAAGAAATTGACCGCTAAGCATCATGTTCATTGCTGCTGGATTGGTGGCTGTCAACAGCTCGTACATTTTCTGGTCTGGAGGCCAGCGAGTCCGAATGTGCGGCGGCAGAAACGATAGGAATCCTGATGTCCTGCCTTGGCATGCCCATTCGGACATGGACATTCTGGTTGACGCCGTCCAAATGAGAGCTCCCTGGCGATGCATAGGGACAGAAATCTCCACCACTTTGGCCCCGGCTGCGGTGAAGCAGCGTCGGGCTGCTTCGAGTACCGTATCGCGGACCTGATCCGACAACCCAGGGACCCCAAAGGATTCCACGAGTAATCCAATCCTCAATCCAGACCCAAATTCCTCCCCATCTTCAAGGGTACGTGTCTTGAAATCCCGCAAGACTTTCGCGTAATTCACAACCTGATGTCGCAGCGGAGATTCAGGAGTCATTCGAGGATCGATCCCGTCATAACCCGCCATCACTTGAAGTAATGTGGCAATATCTTCGAGGTTCCCAGCAAGCGGACCCAAATGGTCAATCATAGGCGCCAAGGGGACAGCTCCCGTGTATGGAACCAAGCCATATGTGGGCTTCAATCCGTAAATCCCGCTATAAGATGCAGGTATCCGAACCGAACCAGCCTGGTCGCCTCCAATGGCAATATCCACCGTTTCTCCACATGATCGCCCATCTTCTCCTTTCAAGAGTCTTGCGGCGACAAGAGCTGCAGAGCCGCTGCTACTGCCGCCTGCGGTATAGCCTTTTAGCCGAGGGTTGTGCACCGGACCTGTCGAGGCACTATAGGAGAGCGGCGACGCGCAATAATTCTCGCAGGTTGAGGATCCTTTGATGGTTGCACCGGCCAGAAGAACCCGTGATACGACCGATGCATCGATCGGTGAATTTGGAAGATGGCCATCGGGGCATAATAGCTCGGTAAATGTTCCGACCGTTGTCGGAATACCCCCGATGGATATGTTATCTTTGATCGCAATGGTCTTCCCCCTGAGCGTCGCGCTGGACGGGCTTGATGCCACGAGCTCGCAACAATATCTCCACGCGTTCAAAGGATTGTCTTCCTTTTTCGGCTCCCAGGATGTTCGTGCTGCAATAGTTGGCACGGGGGATAGCGCAGGGTGGATGTAATCATCCTCGGCTTGGATTTGTCTCATGACTGCCTCTGCAGACTGCAGCAAATGTAGATAATCCTCCGCCTCTTGGCCATCCGGGATCTCAACTCCAAGACTCGAAGCCGTATTTTTCAAATCTGATATGGAGAACTTGGATCTAACTTCCATTAGAAATTGGTCTTGATAGGGAATTTCGAACTTACTGCGTCTTATCAGCTAAGAACGCCACGGACATTGTACAACTCGAAAATTTAGAAGAAGCGTGACTTGATTCTATATGGTTAGGGGATCTTTCAGACTCTGGGACATTTATATTAATTTTAAAGTTCAGATGTTGGCAGATAACAGATCTGCGCAGGTATAATTCCTCCAACAGGTCCAGTCGGACATGCCGCCGCTAGTTCGCATCGCCCGCCGGTCATCAGGAGGCTTCCCCACTTTGCGAAGAACTTCGCATCATAAAAGCCGAGCTTTAATGACTAGTCAAACTTCCATTCATCACCCATACCATTCATAATGGCCTCTCTTGGTGTTGTGGATTTATTCAATGTTAAGGGACGCGTTGCGGTTGTAACTGGTGGAAGCAGTGGGATAGGTTTAATGATCTCCAAGGTAAGTAACAAATATCAGAATAAACGATCGACTATCAAGGTTTGAATAATTAATAAAACTTCTTCCTAGGGTTTGGTGCAAAATGGAGCAAAGGTTTACATAGTATCCCTACCAAGCGATCCCATCACCGAAGTGGTCAAGGAACTGAATTCGTTGGGGCAAAAGACGGGTGGACATGCCGAAGGGTTCGTGATAGCGATTACACCCCTAGGGAACTCCAAGCTGCTAAAACTTACTTCAATGTTAGACTGGCATGTGATCTCTCATCTAAAGACTCGATAAAGGAGCTTGGCGAGAAAATATCTCAAACAGAGAAAACACTGGACATGCTCATCTCTAATGCCGGAGTCCGTCGTGATCCTCCACAATCCTGCAATGTACTTACGGCACCCCTGGAAGAACTACAAGCTTCAATGTGGTCTATCAGACAAGAGGACTGGGAGGACACATTTCGTGTTAACACTACCGCCCATTATTTTCTCAGTGTCGCACTCCTACCCCTACTTGCCGCGGCTGCCAACCAGTCCAGAGGTGATGGAGTCAAGGGTCGAGACGAAGGCCGAGGAGTGATTGTGGTTACAAGTTCCTGTGCAAGCATGCATAATGTGACAAATGTGGATCTTACAAGCTACGCAACAAGCAAGGCAGCCACCGACCACCTGGTAAAGTTGCTGGCAGCTAAGTACAATAGATTCTATGTGCGTGTGGTGGGAATTAACCCTGGATGTAAGTTCATGTCTGTTTATTGGTGGTTCCTAGGATTGACTAGAATGCGCTGTTCAGTTGTTCCGAGCAATATGAATCCTGTTGGTGCCGAAGGCAACATCTTCAGCTCCTTGTTCGACAAGGTACCAGCGAAGAGGGCAGGAGGCTCCGAAGATATAGCTGGAACAATCTTATATTTAGTGAGCAAGGCAGGGGTAAGTTATGGTCATCCTGTAGTTCAGCTGTGCCATTAACTAATAAATTTGACTAGTCATATGTGGATGGGGTCTCTCTGTGTGTGGATGGTGGGCGAATCTTGCTAGCGAATGGACAGGAGTGATTTCACTGACGTACATAGTCTGACTAGCTTTAAGATTCATATTCAACAAGTAGTACTGAATACCCTTCGCGCTGCCCAGTACCACGTGATAGATCTCTGAAGATTGGTCCCGGGTCGGCCCGAACCCATCCAGGGGAATCAAGGCACCGAGTAACGCTTGGCAGATTGAAGTATTTGCTTGAAGGGGAGTATCGGAGTATTAGGAAAGACACATGATTTAATGTATCAGTGGACCTCGGCAGATTTAAGGCGATAAATATTGGAGACTAGTCACTTATAAAAACAGGATATGTACTATTATCGCCCCCGCTTCTGGCCCCACTAACTAGGATTACAACGATGTTACCATACTGGAAGACTATTCACGAGACCACAATGCCCTGCCAAGCCCGTAATTTCTGAAGACCTGAAGAAACAAACAGCGTTTACCACTGACGGTATATATTCCAGGGGCTTGAACTAGGCCAAAACTGGAAAAGCAATACCTCTTACAAGACAGTCTCGCGGAATTGCCGACAATGACGGTCCGGGGCCCCGCATCTTCAGGAACAATTACCTTCGGGCGCCACATCCTACTTTGGCTAGGCTTGTATATTTACAGTTCATGTGCCTTGTTTCTTCGGTTAATTCTCCGCCGTCGAGGAGAAATGGGAAAAAGCCCGGTGGCACAACTTGCTTTATGTGATCAAGGAATAACACGTTCCGTCCAAATGAAGCATCATCGGCCAAAAAGTATGATTTTCGGTCTCCATGAGATCCATTTTTTGGCTTTTCAAACTGGGGCGTTCTCGAATTGCATTGAATTAGAGGTACTGTGGGCTTAAATGTGATACTGAACCTGCTACTGCAATTAACCGACCTCCTGCAAGCCAAAGCTCGCGCATACTATCGAGTGCATAATCTATACTCTATCTGGAGTGATTGGAGGAGAAATCCTGCCACTAGAGTAGCGTATGCTAGTCTGCAAGAAAACGGATACCTTGACCGATCGAAGAAATAATATAAATAGGCTACACGCTCCAGTGTGCAGCATGATTCACGACGTGCATATTCTTCAGTGATAGAGCATTCATATATTCAATCAAAGTCATCAAGCATGCTGTCACGACCAAGTGTCATCCAGCGTGCCTGGGTATATGCCCTAGGGCTTATTGTCGGGGGGTCCCTCGTCCTAGCTGGACCCTGTGATATTTATGCCACTGGCGACACTCCATGCGTTGCCGCACACAGCACAACTCGTGCCCTTTACAGCGCCTATACTGGCTCCCTCTACCAGGTCAAGCGCGGCTCTGACAACACTACAACTATTATCACACCGCTCACCGCGGGAGGTGTCGCGGATGCTGCCACCCAAGACACTTTTTGTGCTAGCACAACCTGCCTTATCACGATCATTTACGACCAGTCTGGAAATGGCAATCACCTCACTCAAGCCCCGCCTGGTGGCTTTGATGGACCAGACGAGGATGGCTACGACAATTTGGCTGGCGCAATTGGTGCACCGGTCACGCTAAATGGCAACAAAGCATACGGCGTCTTCATTTCGCCCGGCACGGGCTACAGAAATGACGACACTACTGACATAGCGACGCTCGATGAGTCGGAGGGTATGTACGCTGTCTTCGACGGAACTCACTACAACGACGCCTGCTGCTTCGACTACGGTAATGCCGAGACCAGCAATACCGATACCGGTGCTGCCCACATGGAGGCCATCTACTGGGGAAACAGCACTTCCTGGGGATACGGTGCTGGCGACGGCCCTTGGATCATGGCCGACCTTGAAAATGGTCTTTTCTCTGGCTATAGCGCTACTGAGAACAGTGCTGACCCGTCTCTTTCGTACCGATTCGTCACTGCGATGGTCAAGGGCGAGGCAGATGAGTGGGCAATTCGTGGCGGCAACTCTGCGTCTGGCTCACTCACGACCTACTACAGCGGCGTGCGCCCAAGTGGATACAACCCGATGAAAAAAGAGGGTGCTATCATTCTTGGAATCGGTGGCGACAACAGTCACGGTTCTCAGGGTACCTTCTACGAAGGTGTGATGACAACCGGCTACCCAACCGATGCCGTCGAGGCCTTGGTTCAGGCCAATATTGTGGCCGCCAAATATGCCACCACGTCACTTGTCAGCGGCACTGCCCTCACTGCTGGTGAGTATATCTCTCTGCAGGTTACCACATCTGGGTACACCACACGCTATATCGCACATACGGACACAGTGGTCAACACCCAGGTCATCACGTCATCCAGTACTACTGCTCTGAAGGAACAGGCTAGCTGGAAGGTTGTGACTGGTCTTGGAAATAGTGGCTGCTGGTCATTCGAGTCTGTCGATACTCCCGGAAGCTACATCCGGCACTATAACTTCGTGCTCCTGCTCAATGCAAATGACGGCACGAAGCAGTTCCATGAAGATGCGACTTTCTGCCCTATAAGTGGCCTCAGTGGCACTGGCAGCACTTTCCGGTCCTGGAGCTACCCTACTCGCTTTTTCCGTCATTACGAGAATGTCATGTACGCTGCAAGCAATGGCGGTCTTGACGTATTTGATGCTACTACCTCATTCAACGCTGATGTCAGCTTTACTATCGACACTGCTTGGGCGTCTTAAGCTCGCGATGGTCTTTGTGAACTCTGTTGAGCTCCGAGGTGGAGGCTGTATATAATCCTACAGAGTGGGCAAGATTACCACTGAATAGCCAAGAGAATGAAGTACATAAGCGCGATCGATTTTTGTGACTTATCCTGAGATCAAATGAATGAACAAATTTCTTCTTATAATGACTACCGCTTAATGCAAATAGAACCTATAATCATGTGGCCCATGCTTTCATCTTACTCTTTGTAATGCTCTTTGGTTCTCTGTTCGGCCAGATTCAAACACTCCGAGGTAACTGCATCATCCCTTGGAATCAAACGAACCTTGAAATCCTTGGGAATAGCAACCAAAGCCGTCTTGAACTGATTATACTCCACATAATCCGTATTTGGCGGACTATCTTCGCTTGCCACAATCTTGTATGAGGCAAGGAGACGGATAAGAGCACAATAGAGTAACCTAGATGCAATAAATTGACCAGAGCAAGCGCGGGACCCAGAGCCAAAGCTCAAATGAGGCAAGCCGGTGGTTTCTTTCTCCTCGGGTGGAGTCAAAGACTTGAGCCATCTTTCAGGATCAAATTTGCCTCCATCAGGCCCATAGTGATCCACATCTAAATCGAATAGTCAGTGCCGATGTTCATTGCTGCTGGTGCTAAGTGGGAAGACTTACCGTGGTTTCCAGCCTGGGCATTAATCAAAATCATGGTTTTGGGTGGAATAATCGCACCGTTCCAGTTGACCTCGGTCACTGTCTTTCGGGGAAGACTCATCGAGCTGACAGTGTAGTAGCGACCGGCCTCTTTGATGATAGCGTTTACATAAGGAACCTTTTCCTCGGAAATGCAACTTGTCCACGCCTCTCGAATGTCAGGATAATATCGCTTGATATCCTCATAAGCGCGATCTTGCCAGATCTGTCCCTCGGGGGTGGACAACGAGCCGATGGCGGAAGTCAGAGTACCAGGGATAGTCTCAAAGCCACCAGAAACCAATGAAAGACAGATAGAAGAGACTTCCACTCCAGTGAGCTTTGTTTCTTCATCTTTGAGAATAGCAGCTGAAATGCAAGGCTTATCGGTGCCCTTCTTAATCATCTCGCGCACTTTGTCAAGCAGGAGATTCAGGTAGGCATCACGACGGTCGCGCAGCTCTTTAGATCGGGCGGTTTTCTCATTGTTCGGCATATAACGCAGGATAGGGATGTAATCTTGAAGATTCTCCGAAGCGCTGCGGAGGAGGGAGATAGCCGAGCCGACGTGAAGAATTTCGCGTAAAAGGTCGTCATAAACTGCGTCCATCCGGATGCCATAGCACAAGGTCAGAGTTGTGTTGAGAGCGTATCGCTGGATGTACGGTCGGACACTGAGCTCAATGGCACCATTTGAGCTATCCAAGTGGAGATCACGGATAATGCAGTAGCTTTCCAAGTCAAACATGGGGTGGTAATTGCGTAGGGCTGGTCTTCCCAAGGCGGTTCCCGCTGCTTTGCGCTTCTTCTTGCACGATTCATCCCAGGGAGATGAGCCGATGGTGAATCCTTGAGTGCTGCTTACTACCCCGTGAAAGGTGTATAGCTTTGGGCGATCGATGATGGCATTCTGATGGCCTAGAAGCATCTTGCGGCAGTCTTCGAAAGAATTGACCACTACCGCTCTGGTGTTGCCTAGTCTAATTTGGAAGACAGAGTGACCGTATTTTCGCCACCAGCTCTCGCAAACACTTGCATGGTCATCTCCAAGTCTGAGGAGATGACCGAAGACAGGAACTGCGCCAGGTATCTCCGGTAGGCCTTTGATATGAGGTATATCAGTCGCCAATGTGTGCTTGAGAGATGTAAATAAAGATTTAAGCAAATGAAAGTCTTATCGTACTTACTTTGTAGACCAAATAGACAAGCAATGGGATCAATGCAATGGCGTACGTCCAGGGTACCACTGCCGGGATGGCCAGATGATCTTCTAGTTTGATTCCGATCATTGTTAAAGAATAATATAAAATTAATTGCCGCGGATCTCCAAATTACGCACGCAGGAATATCTGCCTTTTAAGTCCTTGATAATATTGAAACGCTGCACCACATGTCCAGGTATTCAAGTGTCGGACAGTCCGACCCTCTACCCGACCCACTCCGCTTACCCCACTTAGCTCTACTTTCAGCTTAGCCTGAACAGTTTGACTACTAGGCTGGATGAGATCTGAAGTACACATTGTTTGCCTCAGGCTAGCTCAGTGATCATTACTCAAAAATGCAGCAATCCTCTTATTCATCCACTCGGTATCTTCCTGGTTGGCACCCCCTCCGCCAATATGACCCCAGATCGATGGAATGACTGCCAACTCTCCGTAGTTGAGAAACTGAAGCTCTCTTTTATTTGCCTCCCATTTGAAATATTGGTCGGTTTGACAAGGCATCAGAAGAATTCTGGTTGTCAAACCACGCAAAGTATCTTCAAGGGTCATACCGCCACCCGCGATGACACTTAAATCCGATTTCTGCCACATTCTCAGCATAATGAGCAAGTCATCAGGATGCCACTTGTCATAGCCCTTTGCACCAGCTTCCGCCCATTCATCAAGAGTATCAAATCCAAATTTCTGAAAAAGTCGCTCATCAAACCATTCCGCACTCGTCAACCACGCAGAGTATGCTCTCCCAAAGGCACGCAGTCCCCAAATTGGAGCGATATTCTTGCTGCGGAGATCTTCATCATTATAATCAACGGAATGCAGTAATGCAGCCTTGGGCCCTTCCAGGAATTGGTAATTGTGAAGACTGGTTCTCGCCGACGAACATATAATCACTGCATTGCGCACGATCTGAGGATACATGGCAGTCCAATAATAGGTGCACTGGCCTCCCATGGAAAATCCGAGCATGACATCTAGCGAGGATATTTGAAGGTGCTCTGTGACTAGTCTGTGCTGAGCTCTGACGCAGTCTCGATAATCGATGGTCTCGGGGAAATTCGCCGTATTGGAAGGACTGGAAGATTCTCCGTTACCCAAGAGCGCGACCACAATCACGCGATAACTTTGCAACACTCCACTGGAAAAATTCAGAGTCTCATTGATTGTTCCTCGGAAGCATGTTGGAATCAGGGCAGTCTTTTGCCCGGTTGGATTGAACTCTCGGTAGGCTACCCGTATGCTTGGGAGAGTGACGCCGGTCTGAAATGTGAAATTTTTCAATCCGTATAATTGAATACTGTCTGAGGAATTTGTAGATACCATTATCGATCATTGAACAAAGAGTCTGAGAAGAGAAGAAAAGAATCGGAGAGACCGAAAGGGAAGTGAGTCCATGCGGGCCCATTTATACCCACTTCCCACTTTTTTAGGTAATCAAAACAAGCCACTCTACCGTTGATTTGACAGGTACATATACTTGGAAATTGATCCTTGAAATAATAAATTTAAGCCTCAAAAATAGCTGTAGCCTTGATCTTCACCATAAAGTGAGGATCCGGAAGCTCCTTGACCCCGATCGTTGCCCGGCTGGGAGCAGTCGTCCGATCCGCCCAGATTTGATTCCACTCCTCATTCATCCCAGCATACTGAGTTTTCATATCCAAAATATAAACTGTCGCATCGACAATATTATAGATATTCGCTTTCCCATTGGATGCACCTTGAATAATGCTGTCGATTCGATGCAACACAGCAGCAGTCTGTTCTCTCACGTCGGCTGTGAAGCTTCCATCAGGATTCTCGACAACCCCTTCATATGTTCCATCTGGTTTGACGGCGGCGATTCCAGAAAATAAATTGTATGGTGAATGGAGGGCTGGACTACCCGTGCGTGGGAGTATCGGGTCAGGCCGGCTTTTTTCTCGGGGTCTAAGAGGAAGGACTGGCCGTTGGAAGACATTGTTGAGTGAGTAGATTTTAGGACGGTGATACCAAATGTGGTAATTCAGCTTTGTTAGTCTTTTTATAAGAGCGACATGCTCTTTTCAGGGCGCATGGCCCGATTGGAAGAAGGGAGGAAAATATGGCGGCAAGACCGATAGAATTAACTCCTTCTATACGGAGTACATTGTACAAAGTAATAGAAATACAACGCCAAATGCTTCCCCACATCAGATAACGCATGCCCCATGATAAATATCTGCTCTCCTATTGGCTGTTGACTTGCCCTATTTTACCCCCGCACGAGGTCAAGAACAGCTCTCTTCCTAGTTCTAACTTCCTTTGCATTGGAATACCTTGGGAGTATCACGCATCCCGTTGATTTTACTTGTAACGAGTCCTATAGGCGGTATTTATTTTTTCTGAACCGTCAAGAGTAGATCCGACGACAAGTCACCAGACAAGAACCTGAAAAGTAATCACTAATCTAATGAATCCTGGCCTTATCTTCCCCACTATATTCCCCACTATCTTCCCCCTCGCAGTTTGCTTCATCAAAGAGCAATGCTGGAATCAGCGGCACGGTCAGAGAACTCATGCAAGCGGTGTCACCGACGAAAGAAACGGTGCGACAAGACACTGCCGCAATGCCACGCGTGTCAACATGCCAAAGTCACATGTAGCTTTGTCGATGATGAAGCTCAAGTGGCATCATATCCGATCGCGTATGACTCCACCCAGAGTTTCCAGACACCCCGAAGCTAATTCAAATAGTTATGTACGACAGCTAGAGCGACGAGTTAAGGACCTTGAACAGAGACTTGCATCGGCTCTGACGCCCCAGACATCTCAGAATGAACCACCCTCTTATACATGGGATCGAGACACGGATGCCCACCTTACCGATCTAGGAAATGCTTTCTTGCACTCAGACAGCGTCACACACCACTCCCCTCCGCTAACGTCCGACACGAACCCAGTCCCCACTATCAATCATTTGCCTGTTTCGCCCAAAAATGGCCGTCTTTCTGCTCCACGTGCGGAAAGCCTTGCTGAAGAGCTCAGGCTTCTCTCTTTAGAAGCGGCGGCCGAGCGATATTTAGGCTCATCCTCGGGCCTTTCCTTAGCCAAACTCACCCAGGCGGTCCTACGGCGTCTATCACCGGACCAGGATGGATTTGTGTTTGATGAGGAAGCTGATGACAATCAACAACAGAACTACGAATCAGAGCCCGATACATCTTCCAATTTGAATCCAGTCTTTTTCGAAATGCATCCTTCCTTAGCCAGTCCCTTACCCTTGAATTCGTCACTGGGAAACACCGCCGTTGACGACTTTGAGGACTCGATGGGCCTCGCGCTATTGGAACCTTCTCATATCAGCTATATTCTAGAGTTCTACTTTGCTCATTCTCATACTCTTTATCCGATGATTAGGAAGGGCGAGTTTGAGGCTGTGCTATGGGGGATTTATGCTGATCCCCTAGACCCACTGGCGCAGTCTCCTCTGTGGCAATTCCGAATCTGGATGGTTTTGGCAATTGGTTCTACAACATACTGTTCAGTTTCTTTGATGGACGAGACCGAGTCAGTGCAATTCTTCAACAAGGCCATGACCTACTTTGAACCAGCGATGGGATGTGGGGATTTGGTAAGAACGGATGTCTATGAATCGATCCGAGGAGATGGTACTGATCCTTCTTTAAACTAGGCCGGCCTCGAAGTTCTGATGCTGCAGGTGTCATACTCATTTTTTAATAAGATTGGCCCCAGTATGTCATAGTCTAGGCGCATTTATGATTTCTTGCAACTAACTCCTATAGATACTTGGTTTTTAGTCGGTGTTGCGGCTCGAATGGCTACCGGAATGGGTCTCCACACAGCAGAAGTATATGAATCTCTGGCTGTAGATGCAGCCGAGCAACAAAAGAGGTTGTTTTTCTGCCTTTATATGATGGACCGGTATGTCGAGCCCATACTATGTTTGGCTCGACTTGATCAACTCATTATTTCATTTTTAGCGTCGTGTCTCTGGCTCTTGGTCGCCCTTTCGCAATTCAAGACGATGATATCACTGTTGAGGTTTGCAATTTCATTTCATTTATGGAACTATCCTTTCGCTAATTCTTTCCAGCCATTTTCTGACGTTGAAGATGAAAACATCAAACCAGATGGAATAACTTCGACGGGAAATCTGGAGCCATCTACAATGGCAGTACCACTCCATATCCTAGCACTCAGAAGGATTGCTAGCGATATTGGCAGCCGAGTCCACTCTCCAAAATACAGCGAAGAGCAAAGCCCCGAAGCCCGGGAAAAAACTCTCCAACTCCTCCACAAGCGCTTACTTGACTGGCGGCGCAGCATGCCATTCCCCTTGCCAGACCTTCAATCGAAAGTACCACATCTATGTACCAGTTGGTTTGACCTAAACTATTATACCCACGTGATCATGCTTTATCGACCCTCGCCTTTGAGCCCTGTTTTGGACACAGCCAAAATGAAGATCTTGGCTGAAGCATCGGGCATGGCAATACGACAAGCCATCAACATGCATAGACAACGTCGTTTTGCATACAATTGGCTGAATCTCGTGGCAATATTCAACTCGGCACTGTCTCTTATGTATACTTCTACTGCCCAAACCGAAAATATTTCTTTGGTATTGGATCATGCAAGGGCTATTAACGACCTAGAGTTAGCCGTCGATCTATTGGAAGCTTTCTCTACGAAGTTTCCTTCGGCAAAGAAGATACAGGGGATGATTCGGACAGTCATGTCGAAGCTGAAGGTGTATGTACCTGTAGGATTCTGATAGAAGAGATTGAAAATATGCAGTGGCTACATGTTTACTATGGAAATTAATGGCTCTCAAGTCATCTAGGGACTGTCCTAAGTATTGTTGCAGATTGGCAGTTCAGATATACAATAACGGATTCTTATAATGGAAAAAATAAGCACCTGAAGCCGGAAATTTCAATTGCTCCTCTCGTCGATTCTCTTCGAAGTTAAATGGGATTCTTAATTCCAGTCTTTATTCTTGATGCTATCAACTTCGGCTCGGTGGCCTCCTGTTTGATTCAAATTCCATCAGTGGATCACCAAGTATTTCCCCCTCATCACCCAACGCCCTGGTTCACCTGATCGCTTTAGGATCTAGACATTCTATTAGTTGGGGAACTTTCTGCCGAGAACAGGGCTCTAGACCTGAGTACCACAACTATCCTCTATGCCGGACGTTCTACCACAGAATCTCTACTAAAAAAAAGCTTTCCTTGAGCCCCGCAACTCTGTTTCAGTGACCGATCTCGATCTGATTCTAGCAACGAACCGCTGAAAAGCTTCGGATCTACATGAGAGCGGGGTACCGGGTCAAGAGACGAGCTTTGAACGAGTATGCACAGCTGCGATTTGTACATCTTGCCAAGAAGGTGATATGATCATCCATCATCATCTCGATCTAGATCGATCATCAATGAACCATCAACGGTAAGACAAATAAATCAAAACTTGGACTAGCTGTGTTCAAAGACGTCGAGAAAAATATTCAAAGGCTCAAGATTCCACCTGTACTCGTCTCATTCCAACCTCAAGATTCCACCTGTACTCGTCTCATTCCAACTCACAATTCATCCATCGCAACAAAGTACGAACCAACTCGCTTTCCAACAATCTCTTCATCATGCTTGTGAAGAACATCCTTGCTGCTTTTAAACCCGCTGGCATGGCCGCCGCTTATCCGACTGAGGACTTCGTTTCTCTTGAAGAACGAGCCGGGAGCCCCCAACAACCCCGGTGCCCGCAAGGCCAACAATGGTGCTGCAAGGTGGTTGGTCCTAATCTTGACAATATCCTCGGTGGTCTCAGTATCCTGGGAATTGAAGGAGAGGGAACGGGCTGCACGTTGATGCAAGGCCCAGGTGGTCCAGGGGGCCCAGGGGGCCCAGGTGACCCAGGTAATACTAAGAATACTGGTAGTGGTGGTGGTGGATGCAACGGTCCACAGCTGTGCTGCTAGCACAAACAGGTTGGCGTAAGTTTCTGTTTTGCCCCTTCTCTGAAAGTAAAAGACACTAAGCAGAAACAGGTCGGTGGTAATGTCATCTGCTACAAGTAATCCCGGAAGTCGGTACCCTTATCTCTTTGGTCGTTGTATATGGCAAGAGGCCCTGCAGTGGTCTTTTAACATTACACCGCCGAGCTCTCACGGGTATATACGTGGACGGCTGATCACACTCTTTTGGATGCGCGGGTTTATTGTTTGTGCCTCTGACTTTGTAATAAGGATGATAATTAGCAAAAACATTGAACAAAGATTTGATGCCTGTCTTGAGATATTGGACTTAGAAGGCAAAAAAGTATAAGGGAATAAAACGCATTAGCCAGCACATGTACTTAGGCCAGATGTGTAAATGTTACATAACAGACCCTTGGTGGCTGGCACGTGTAGAAAGTGTTAGAATATGCCAGGACCAATTTTGGAATGGACCGCCGCAAGTGAGGTTATAATCATACATTAGATTTATTGCCTGAATTGCCTGAGATTGTGTAATATATTAGTCATGCAAGCATACGATAAAGTTTTAAATGAATTTGAAGTCCAGTACACATAAGTTACAAAGCCCTTGAGTCAATAATTCGTGAGTTTTGTTGAAATAGATATAGATGCAAGATTGTGTTAAATGAAGCAGTTGAGATATACATATACTCTCAGCCATACTTTAGTCCATCTCCAGTTCGGTATATCATACAACTCCATGTTCCACGCAAGATAATCCTTTCAGAATTTCACTCGAAATATTGTATCTCAAATTGTGACGAAGGTTCTATGGCAGACCATGGTGAGGTTCAAGGGTCTTTCTGAATAACGGCGTGGGACAGCAGTGGGAGCGGTGGGATTCAGCACGGCTTGCTGGCAGAAAAGGGTCCGCGGCCCACTGGTCAACTAAACGCTCAACAGGTTATCTTTTTCTCTGGCAATCGCATGGAAGAAAATCCAACCTCAGAAAAGATGGGCTTTGGGCCGTCCTTTGAGTCCAAGCAGCCATTTCCGCCCTTGATGGACGGGTTGGTATCGCCCACAGATGCACAGGGATCGTTTCCCGAAGATGAAAGCGTCACGTCCCCTAGCTACGACGAGGTCGAGGTCGAGGACGATGCCGATTTCCAGTCTCACTATTCTCTCGATCCCCAAACATTATCCGATTCAGAGTCCGATGACTCGGCCGACGAAATTGGGCGCGATCATCCATTCAGACAATCCTCCAGCTCCCTCCACGGGCCCAATGCCTTTGCGCCCCCCTTTTACAATCGGCCGCCCACGCCTCTGCCACCCTCTCCTTCCCTGACATCTTTGCTTCGGCCACCATTCTCTACAACAACTTCACGTCCTACGACACCAGATAGCTCTGATGTGGAGACTCCAAACGACACGGAGGCTGCTGTGGCCAAGTCGGCCCGGCGTGCAACCACCGTTCCCCGTGCGAGCCCCAAGGTCCCGACCTACGAATACTACGGATTTGTGCTCTACTTAGCTTCGTCACTTGCTTTTTGTGAGTATTGATCAAATTTCGACCGCCAGGTGGCGCCATTCCCAACGCCCGTAGGCTTTTCTCGTGCATTTGCTAACACTCAGTGCTCTTAGTGTTTTATCTATTATGGTCATATCTCCCGTCGCCCTTCCTTCATCAGCTCGGAATTTATTACTACCCGAACCGTTGGTGGTCTCTGGCCATCCCGTCCTGGCTGGTGATGTCCATCGTTTATATCTACGTCGCGCTCGCCTCGTACAATACAGGATACCTCACCTTGCCCATGAACAGCATTGAAAATATTGTTGATGAAGTTGCCAATGTCGCGGTTATTGATGGGAAGGCGCGACGAAGACCTGGTGGAGCGACAAAGATGAAGCCTGGTGCTACATCTTTCCAGATTATGGGCCCGCAAAACCGCAAGGTCAATTGGTGGGAAATATGGAGTGAGGGTACAGATGCAGTCATGGACATTCCGGTTGGTGGTGTATGTGAGGTGTTATACGGACAGGATCGCGACGAGGATGTTTTCGACTCTTAGCGATCGATCAGTGCATTAACCAATGACGTATTACCCACTATACGCGCGGTCACGTGAATACGTGTCTTGCCGCCTCGCCCTGTAAGGTTCGCCTTTTTGCACCCTCACTCTGCCCTCTGTATCCCACAAAATTCCGTGACGGTCATATCCACAGGAAGATGTCAGCGGATCGGCCTTCAACACCTCCGCGGCAAAATGCTGCTGGGCCTGGGCAGCTGCCTCGCGGCCCCATCACCCCCGAGCAGCTAAGGAAGATTGTGAGTGTTTAATCAGAGAAACATCTTTTGATATGGCAGATCCATTCGGCTAACATACATTATCGCTAGGAAGAGAATCGCATGAAAGCTAAAGCTTTGCGGGAGCTGCGGGAAGCTGAAATCTCCAAAGGCTCGCCCTCCGCCACTACAGGACCCCGGACCGTACAACCCACACAAGGTGTCAAACGCTCGTTCAACTCGATGACAGCATCCAATCCCGCATCGATGCGTGATGCACGTTCGGATATCTCCACGTCTAATCGACCACTGGATGCGATCAAACCTGCCCGCAATTTCACTTCCTCATATGTCGACTTCGATTTCAGTAAGATGACAGATACAAAGGGCGGGTTCCTGACCCAGGAGGATGATCCATTCAATAAGGTTCTTCATGTTCCTGATGAGAAGCAAGAACAGAAGCCAGCGCATATGACCCAAAAAGATTGGGAGCGTCAGAAGCTACTACAGTCGTTACGGCGGAACCATGAAGGACCCTTTGAGCCAGGTTTGAGTGTTCTGGATGACAAAAGCAAGCAAAAGATATGTCGTGAATGTGGCAGCCTGGAAATCGACTGGAAGTGGGAAGAGGAGCTCCGGTGCCGTATCTGTCATGCGTGTAAGGACAAATACCCGGAGAAGTACAGTCTCCTCACCAAAACCGAGGCGAAAGAAGATTACCTTTTGACCGACCGTGAGTTTCCTCAACAATAACATGCATATCAATTCTAGAGTATTGCTAATGGCTTTTCGCAGCTGAACTACGAGATGAAGAGCTTCTTCCCCGTCTCGAAAAACCCAATCCGCATAAGTCAACGTGGAATAACATGATGCTTTATCTTCGGTACCAGGTTGAGGAATATGCATTATCAGATAAAAAGTGGGGCTCCGCCGAAGCATTGGATGCGGAGTTTGAGCGGCGCGAAACCGATAAGAAGAAACGACGGGAAGCCAAGTTTAAGACCAAGCTGCAGGACCTCAAGAAACGCACCCGGGTTGAAGCCTACCGTCGCAATCGGCAAGGCGCTTCCGGTGGAGAGTTTGGAGATGATCTCAGTAGTAACCGGAAGCATGTGCACGAATGGGGTCGACCTGTAGAGAACCCTGAGACGGGCATACCGGTCAAGACGTGTGTGGCATGCGGTATGGAAGTGGAAGAATTGGAATTCTGAGTTCCGTGTACCATACATAGCACTGACTTTAGCCTGTGAGCATAATTTACGAGATCATGAGTATGTATGTGGCTGCCCAGATGAACACCCTGATTTTCAAGGCTTAGAGCAGTCCGAAAATCTACATGACGATGTACGCTATCTAAGTTGCATGCCCAGGTGAATAGTACTATATGGATATCCATACCTAAATACATACCTAATATCCATACTAGGATCCATCTTAGTCAACAAGTTAAGATTAGTATACAGAGAAGAGGTCCCGAAATCTAAAAAGTACTTGTATGCTAACCCCTAACTATAGCTCACTACACTCAACAAGATAGAGAGTCTTCAGAATCCGTACTTCATGCAGATGTCCAGATCATAACGATTGACGATACAACAGTATGTTCGCCCAAAAATTCCGGGCTGGCAATCCATCACGACGTCAATTAAATCGTAAACTCCAATTAGGGCGGTCGCCAATTAGATGGCGTCCCGTCAAACGTGGCACCATCGGAATATACGCCCCTGTCGCCCAGGGACACATCCCAATAACAGTCGATGGCGATATCCAGCATGGCTCGGATAGTTTCAAGACGATCGCCTTGACCGCAAGCTACTGCTTTCTGGGCGTAATCCCTATCTGGGGGCTAGCGGTACGCCACCGGGTCACTACTTAATTTCGGTTTCAGTTTCAGGAGTCAGCTGATAGCCATGGTACAACAGGCAAGAAGGCGTTGAGCTGGCGATTAGGATACGCCAAGAATTGAGGATTATCATGGTCTTAGCTGGGTAGGTTTCTACTATGCAGTATATAATCATGACTGATTGTAAGTCGTCTTGCAATCAGACGGGGCTCTCGCCAAGCCATGATTATCCAATATGGGACTGCCAAGAGTCTTGGCACTCCGCCCGCCCTTTAGGGCTGAGCGGCACACGCACACTTTTCGTCCGCGTGCCGTGTTTGTTGACGATAGTGGCGTGGAACATAGACTATGAAGATATTGGAAGATTACAAAGATGCCTAGACGTATATTCAAGTCTGTGAATAGACGGATAAGTAAGAATATAATGAGGCATTTCATAAGTTTCTATGCATAGTGGCGGTGTATGGGCGCAGCTAAGGGCGCAGTACTCCATAACCAGTTCAGGCAACACCATTCCAAGTCCGACACTATACTTAGCACCGGATCATGCAGACCCTGGTCTTGGTATGCGACACAAGGAGCTAAGCGGCTGGAATTGATTGGGGGACACTAACCGCGTCAGTACTTAATCCAAGCCGATCCTCCACATTCAAACTGTATCCGCTACTACATACAAAATTTAATTTTCTTTAGTTTCCGCCGATCCCTCCGATTCACTTAAATCGTCCCCATCTCTCTTCCTCCTCAAAGTTTCGGTCACCAACCGTCGTCATGTTCAACTTCAACTTTTTCAAGTCTGGCCCCGCTGAGGCTGAGTGCGCTCAGGAGAACACCTGGAACGCCAACACGGTCGCTATGCAGCAGCCTTCTAGCCCTGCTGCCCCTTCTACCAACAACGTCGTGTCTGAACAGCCGGTATGTCCAGACTGAATGGCGGTCAATTAAATAAAACTAACTGTTCGTCAGGCATCCCAGGAGCAGATGCAGATGCAGCTGCGCGGTGGTGGCGGCGGTTTTTGCTGCGGAATGTAAGTTTCGTCGTGGTATTGGTATTGGGGTTTGGGGGCTAATTCATTCTAGTTGTGCCGGTCTTGCTTGCTTCGAGTGCTGCGAGATTTGCTGCTAGATTACCACGATTCCGCACGGGGCGGGAAGATGCATGGAATAAGCAGATGAGGTTACTCGGGTTGTTTTGAGCGTCCGTGGGTCTGCGATTTTCTTTATGTGGCACGGATGGCTATGCGATATACCCAATAGCAAATGAAATGACAATTTGAAATGGAATGGAGCAATCGTATCGTGATCTAACCAAAGGACCGCCGGTGGATCGATGTCCGCAGAGCCGCGTCCACATCCCATCGTCGAAATCCAGGGGCTCGGCCTAGAATCCTCAAGTTGACCAACAACACTGTCGAGGTTAGTGAAGTAAGGCTAGTCTTGGAGAAGGACTCACAGTTGAAAAAACACTCTACATCTAGCACGTAAGTAGATTGGTCCGGAGACCCCCAGTGGCCCATGTCACCCGAGTTCCCACTCAAGCCATATGACCTAGACCCCCTATAAAGATCCCCAACCGTCTGAGCAGGTACATCCAGCAACAGCGAGGACCCATCAAGGACAACACCACAATACTCGAGATACCCTTGAACATCACGACAATCGAACCAATCGCCATCAAGATCAAGCGCGCGCATCCGATTCTCCGTACTAACCGCCATCTCCAACTCATCAAGCTCAACATCTCCACTCCAATCCTCGTCCCAATCTTGAATGCCACCCCTCTTCATAATCCTCACTAACCTCCGCAAGATCTTCCCCGGTCTGCGCACATTCTTAGGCTCATCAGCACGAGGAAAATGGGTCCCCGCGCCGCCAAGTGTATAAAATGGAAGCTTGGAGCTCTCGAGCGGATTACCGATTTCCGAGCGAAGAATGCGTCGAAAGTTCCGGCAAACGCCGGGGATGTCATGGATGCATGGAAGGAGGCCAAAGACGCGGGTCATGAGAACAGGGTCGGAATGTGGATCTGTCAGCCAGCGGTATGTGTGTTCAAGACAGAAGCGGTGAAGGCGGCGGGATAGATCCGATTCCTGGTGGCTGTAGGTATAGATCGTTGTTTCGGGAAAGAGGCGGTTTAGAAGTGGGGAGGGCGATCTGGGAATGGATCCGGCGCTGGATTTAGAGCTGCAGAGTGATGTGTATTGGGGAGAGACATTGTATCCGAATATATCGCGGAGAGACTCAGGGTTATTATGTGAAAAAGTCTCATCCGAGAATGAGCGGGCTTTGTTAATTTCAGCTAAGATGAGTTGTTTGGTTTGAATTTGGTCATGTGGAATTGACGAGCTGTCCGTGAGTAGGTCGGATACGTTTTGGAGTGCCTGTTCCAGCACATCTACACGCGTTTTGAGTGTTTTGATAGTGGATTCTTTCTTCTCTCGGTAGGTACGTTGTGCGCGACGGATTTGCATGCGCCGTTCCTATGAAGTAATTAGCTGGCGATGTTGGGGCGTTACTTAAGTGTAATTCGTACTTCGATCGCAGCGGCATCTTTAGCTGTCTCCAGCCTAGGTCGGCCTCGCTTACGTACGGATGCTGGACCCGTCTCGGTCTTCTCCGACTTTGTCTGTCTCCGTCTGGGTCGTAAGTGCGGGCCCGACCTGCTCTCAGCCTCTAGAGGGGTCCCTGGGGCTGAGTCCAAGCTTTGTGGTGTTTCAGCCCCTGGAGCTAATTCGCCTAGCTCAAGGTAGGATCTGGCTGACAGAGTGCCGGATAGCATGTCTATGTGTGAATAGGTACCAGGCATTGATCTGGGGGAAATGAATTAGAACTTCAACTCGAGAAAGCTAGAAGATTTATGATGTTTGATCAATAATCGTATTAAGTTTGCCTCGGCCCATATCTAAGCTTAGTCATAACTTTGCACAAAACGCCACGCACTAAATAATAAACTAGCAAGATTTTAGAACGTTTTAGTATGCATTTCAACGTGTCTAACGTTATACTTGAAATCCGATAGATCCACAAAAACCTATGGAAATACGACTGTTATGTTCAAAATTTAGTATTCAACCTCCGAACTCTTATGTTTCATCATAGTTCCCGGTTATGAAGAAGTGTGGGGACGCCATCCCCTAACACGGTTTCATCTCCGGTAGACTCGCTTGCTCGGTCTTGTCCGGGCGAATCTCTGGTGGTGGATCTATTCCATAGACCCATCCCGAGTGACTTGGCCCGTGATAATCGGAGTTGAATGTAAAAAGGGCGAAACCCGATCGGAGAGGATCTACTCTGACCTCCGTTTCCGTTTTCATTGGTTCAATCCAAGGATCGTCGTATACAGTCAGTGCGTTCCACCGCCCGCTATGACAGCTACCGAGGTTGCAATATGCAGGGCATAAATATGATCAAAACCCCCTGCGTGTCCACATCTCCTCTGTGGCGGGTTCAAATAACCAATTCCTCAATATGACGCCTACTTTTATTCTAGGCTTTCTAGGTGCTGCGGTGATCCTACAGATCATTCGGTTGGCTATCAACTCATGGCAACATGCTCGCAAAGCTCGATCTCTGGGCTGTGGCAGTGTGCCTCGTTTGCCCTGTAAAGATCCGATCGGAATTGAAACTCTCAAACAATCAATGGCTGCCGACAAGACCAAAACCATCCCTCTGCTGTCACAGCGCCGTTGCCAAATGATGACCGAGCAGGAAAATCGATTTGTCTCAACCTTCATCATTCGCAACCTCGGACAAGACGTGACATTCACCATCGACCCCAAGAACGTCCAAGCCGTGCTAGCAACTCAGTTCAAAGACTTTGAACTTGGAGCTCCCCGTCGCCGAAATTTGAACCCCTTGCTGGGAACCGGAATCGTAAGTGAAGTGACGTGGATGGACCATGTCACAATACTAACGGCTATAGTTCACTGCTGATGGCCAGGAATGGAACCACTCGCGCGGACTTCTCCGTCCGCAATTTACCCGTGATCAAATCAGCCAGCTGGAGTTGGAAGAAACACATGTGCAGAAGGCGATGCAGGCCTTGCCGGTTGGCGCTAATAAGTGGACTGCGGCTACCGACATCCAGAGCATTTTCTTCCGCCTGACCATGGACTCTGCCACTGAGTTCCTGTTTGGAGAGAGTGTGGAGAGCCAACTTCAGGCCCTCCAAGGCCTCGAGCGTCCAGGAGACAACTTTGCCAACTACTTCGACAAGTCTCAGTGGGTCTGTACCCAGCGTGCCCGGTTCGAACGCCTTTCATTCCTCGCAGAGACCAAGGAAGCCCGACACTCAGACAAGCAGGTCCACGCCTTTGTGGACAAGATCGTCGCCGCCACATTGAAGAACCTTGAAAGCGAAAAGAAGGTGCCCGATGAAGAGAACGGCAAATACGTTTTCCTAGATGCTCTCGCCGCTACCACCCGTGACCCGATCGAGCTGCGCTCCCAGTTACTCAACATTCTACTCGCCGGTCGCGACACCACTGCTTCCCTTCTCAGCTGGACCGTTCTCTCCCTGGCACGCAACCCCGAGATCTTCCGCAAGCTCCGTGAGGTTATCATCGAGACCTTCGGAACCTACTCCAACCCCCAAAACATGACCTTCGCTGCCCTGAAATCCTGTCAGTACCTGCAGTACTGTATGAACGAGGCTCTCCGTCTCTACCCCGTCGTTCCTTTCAACCGTCGCTCCGCTACCCGTGACACCACCATTCCCCGTGGCGGTGGTCCGGACGGCGAGTCTCCCGTCTACATTCGCAAGGGCGACTCAGTCGCGTACAGCACATTCGTCATGCAGCGCCGCAAGGATATCTGGGGCCCTGACGCTGAAGAGTTCAAGCCCGAGCGCTTCGCCAATCGCAAGGCTGGATGGGAATATGTTCCGTTTAATGGTGGCCCTCGTATCTGTATTGGTCAGCAATTTGCCCTCACTGAGGCTGGGTATGTGCTGGTTCGTTTGCTTCAGCGCTTTGACCAGATTGAGGATGTCAACCCTGATCAGCCTATTCGCTACGGATTGACATTGACTATGTGCCCGGCTGATCTGTTGACTGTCCGCATGCACGAGGCCGATGATGCCTAGATATCTGCTGGGATATGACTGTAATCCCCACTCTCTTATATTAATATGGCATAGGGCATCTGGAGGCAAATTGCAAATTTGTGTGTTAATTTGTATTGTTACTTTGCGGACTGTATAGTACAGATAAGTACTGACAGAGCACTTGAGTGAGACAAATTTGTCTGATACGACTATTATGAATGATTGCAGATCTAATATATTACCCTGATTACCTTTTCCAACAGCTATATCCATTTTAGAATCATGTACCCTTTTTGCGATTGCTGTATAGATTGCGTAAACCCCATTTGAGTATCAGCCCAATACCTAGTTGGGCTCTCAGGTATTTTGAGGATAATATAGTGATATTTGTCGGGGGTAGATATAACTGGAAAACAGACCGTTAACTTGAGGGAATAGGCTACTGGTATACAAATTAAAGAACTACGGATGACTGAAGGAAAAAATATATCAAAATGATATTGACATCCTGAAGCCTAGGATAAGCTGATGCCAGTATCTCTTAAGAAAAAGATAAAGTGACAGAAGTCTCGTTAGGCGACATCTTCTATCTACAGCGCTGGTCAAACCGGAGTGATTCAGAGTGTCACGCATGGTCACCTGACGTCCATCTCCAACAGATATTGATAAAGGCTGATATTTATTAAGAAAATAATCACGGCCATAAAAAAGGTCAAAATAGATACCAGGAGCCTTTATTGCATATGCGGTTGAACTCTCGTGCAAACAGCCTAGCCTAGGGTTTGAAAGCCGAGAATCTTGGTCTTCTCGAACATGCGCTGTGAATTACCTTCAGCAGTAGCCGCATGCATCCTGACAGTCTCGTTCCATTTACCATCCGTTGCCCAGAAGGTGAAAGTCACACAGTGTTGGTCACAGTTTGGAATTGCCTCTAAGAGTGGCCAGAACTTGATGTTGAACACCATTTACAGGCGAGCCGCCGTAGAAGGCAAAATACTTCAGTCCTGGACCTTTGACGATCAGTGGCAGCATCTCATCGGGCTTTTCGTCTTCAGTTGAGCAGCGATTGTTGTAGGGGACGTCTATAGCGAGAGTGTGAAGACCAGGTCGTTTGATAGTGTTATACCGAAGTCAAAGAGCTCAGCGCCATCATTGTTATTGATCGCATACTCCGTTAGCTGTCACTAACATCATTTGATTGCGGTACTGATCGTAGACCGAAACTCTATTTAATTCGGTCGTTATGGTAGTCGTCCTGCGTTGTGGGTCTAGGATCTGGGTCAAAGCGCCTTTGGCCGTCGGCAGTTCTTGCTACCCAAGGATTCTGTGTCCAAATACGTTGTTAAAAGGACCTTGTATCATGTTTTTACTATGACTCGCATTTTGTGAAGATTTCACGTGCTGGCCCCACATTTCTATTGTGGTCTCATTAGGCTCTTTACCTTAAATTGCCCAGATTCCACTTCCGATTTGCAAGCAAATTTTAGCACGTCGTTGAACCTGAGCCGATGACTGGCGGGAACTTCGCCTTACGTGGAAATATCTAATTCGCGACTTTGACTTGGGCTTTATGGTACGTCATGTGTCAATCAAATCTGAGCTGTCAGGACCAACCCCCGACCGACTTGATTGGTGATCGTGGATCGATCGAACTTTCGATCAGGGGATTTATAGTGGAGAAGGTGACGACGACGAATGAAAGGCTGCTGCGTGAACGCCATGTACAAACCTGCACACCTCGGTTAGAGCTTCGAGCAGTGCCACCTACGATGAATTTTACTTGGTTCTCTTGGTTTACTCCTTGGCGACAATACATAAGGGATGTCTTCCCAACCGTTGACAGGCGAGAGCAATCAGTTGTCACCACATAAGGCTACCTCCAGCTTTGCATATAAGGTCCATGTCGTGTAGACCCAAATGATTAATCCAAATATCGTTCGTATGTCTTCTAACGAGTAGCTCATTGAAAATGGAAAATGAAGCGATGCTAATCATCTCAAACTGACCAGGTCGTTCATTCGGCTACGTGGACCCAAATTTCCCCAATCCCAACGGGAAAAATGATACTAGCATCATCATCTACGGCTACACGCCCTCCATCGGCCTTGCAGCCTTTGCTGCTGCATGGTTCTTCATTCACCTGATCGCACATACCGCACAAAACTTCACGACACGCAGCTGGTGGTGGATGACATTCTCCATAGGCCTGATTTTCGAGATCATCGGATACATTGCACGATCGCTATCAGCCGAACAGGACCCATACAACCTAATTTACTTCGTCCTTCAATATTTCTTCATCGTCACTGCACCAGTATTTCTCGCAGCGGGTATCTACACGATTCTTTCAGCGCTAATCTCCCGACTGGGGAGCCAATACTCATTCCTCCGACCAAAAGTAATTCTGGGATTCTTCATCACTTCAGACGCGGTCTCAACGATCGTTCAGATCGCGGGCGCGTGTCTCGTCGGTGTGAAAGAGTCTGATAGGGAAGACCCTACCGTGGCGAACCATATCCTGCTGGCAGGTCTAGCTTACCAGGTCTTTGCGATGAGCATTTTCGTCATCTTAGTGGCGACATTTCAATTCCGAGCTCGACATGCCATCAAGCAGCACGGGTATCAAATATTCTGCGTTGCCTTTTCCGTTGCGACTATCATGGTCTATCTGAGGACTATCTTCCGTCTCGCGGAGACAGCTGAGGGTCTAGGTGGAAAGTTATCGACCAATGAGATATTTTTCGCATGTCTCGAGTTTGCGCCTATCGCACTTGTGGTCCTTTTACTTGGTATCTTCCATCCGGGTCGCTGTTTCGGGGCTAAGGTGAACGATCGTGACGAGAAAGCGCACTTGCATGCTGAATCGAACACTCTTGTTACTCATCATAATGTATAAGCGGATGTTAATACTTAATTGATCAACCTTTACTCATTCCTTAGAAATGCTGAAAGTTCTCAACGCGGCGATCACAGAAAATTCATTGATCCTGATGCTAAAATAAGCCAAAGGGAAATGGAAGAAGGAGTGTGACAGTGCCAGCCGTTAAATCAGACAATTACCTCTTAGAAATACAAGCATCAACAAGGATACTCAGTCAGGGGCTTGCAATTAGCGAATTGAATTAAGAGTTCAAGACAAGCATCTTTGGATTCTTACGCAGTTTGGTGTTGTGTATCGGTGTAGACCTTCGTGTCCCGGTAACCTTGATGGGTAAATCTTTCATAAGGAGATAGAGCTACTTAAGGGGATCACAAGAAGAGAAATGTGGGGATTCAGGTGGGGTATAAGTAGTCACAAGGTGAAGTGAAAGGAAACGGCAAGAGACCATAAATTTGAAAGTGCTTGGAAAGTTTCGCAACTAATAGGTATTTTACCAAAGTTATAAATTGTGGCCATTTTAAAACGAGCAATGAAGATGGGAATGCACCTTGGTTTATCCACGCAGTATGGACAGGTCAATATACAGAAGGAAACAATTGTTAATTATATAGTGGAAGGTATAGTCTATAGAGCTTCAACAGAAGGAAGGCGGATATCATGAAGCGAAGAGAGGAGAATATAACATTGAAAGGAGTGCAAGTGCTCGATTATTCAGCGGGTTAACTATAAATACTACACACTAAGTCATACATACCTGACGGAAGTACAAACACTTAGCCAACGAGGGACTATGTTTAAGCTTTCCGATTCCTACTTCAGGCTATGCATAATGATTCTGTACCTTCAACCCTTTAAACTCGAACGATGTGTTCTCCCGACGATCAATAACAGTCTTATGGTGTACATCACGAACCCGAGCACGAACATATTCTGTTCCTGTAGCAGCAGGCTTGCTCGTGTCTTTATCCTCTTCAGTAAGCAGACCGAGACGGTCAAGCAGAGGGGATGGCACTGTTCTCATAACCGTATGATCTCCCGGCCTGCAGAAATATAGTAATCCAAGGCGAGGAATGGTAAGCTGATCTCTTGGTGGTGTGACGACTCTATGAATTGTGGATTTTAGAAAACCTACTTATGATTAGCAGTAGCTTTTCGCATATGTCACGGGGAGCTCACCATTTGTAAGAAAGGATAATGTGTCTGCGATATTACACGTAATTCCACCATCAACAGGCTTCACGTATTTCCATGCGCCTTCTGGGGTTCTGATCTGCAGCCCAGCAACATGCTGAGAGAAGAGTAGTGTGAGACTACCAAAGTCTGTGTGGCCACCTTTTGTGTAGCCCTGTGCCTTATCCCATTCTTCTTGAGTTCGGGTGTTGTAGATCATATATCGCAAGTGGTCATCAGAACGCCTTTCATAGGCATGGGCGTTGACAAGGTAGTCTTCAGGTAGCTCAAGAGTGATAGCAAGCAAGACGAACAGCTTCCGAACAACGTTGTCGAAAAGGTCACGATGAAAGTTCGCGATCTCATCCCAGTTTTGGCGAACAATTCTGTGCTTTGGAACATCCTCCCAAGCAGAAATCGGCTTGGGAATATTGAGCTTCACAGGTCAGTTTAGGCCAACACGCATAAGCGACGAGAAAAAGTACCATTTCCACATTATCCTTGACTCCTGTTTCTCCAATCCAGCGGCTATTCTCCCGGTAACCAAAATATTCACCTTCGGCGAAATTACAGGGAAAGCTTCGCTTTTCTTCAAGAGGCTCTTTGAAGAATGCATTGCCGATGCTGAACTGTCGGAGGATGCGCTCCTCTCCAAGGCCATGTCCAACCACCACCCAGAATCCGACTTTCGTCACAGCTTCGTATAACTGTTCCGCGAGCGCTTCCTTTCCACCAGGTTCATCGAATCGCGATAAGTCAATTTCAACCAGGGGAGCCCAATCAAGCTTTTCTTCGGTTGGTGCAGGACGACTCCATGATTTGATCGGGACTATCTCGGCTGACTGTTCTTGTTGTATTGCGGCGGGAGCCATGTTTGATTTGTTCTTTCTGCAAAGATCTACTTTTGCACGAAACCTAGCAAGCTATGGATATGCAGCGATTTAAATATTCACAGGAGTTTCGTTAATAATTCCCCTTTCAAATCCTTCAAGTCTTCTTACTTTCGCGTTCGGTCTACTTAGACAATGCGGGGTTCGTGATGATACCATCCTTACCTCGGATTGCGTTGCATACTACGGCACGTTTAAACCAACAGAGTGGTGCTAACAAGAAGATGACGGATGATTCTTCTATTGGATCCCTAAAAATGCCCCGAAAGAATAATCTCCCGACTGGAAGATTGTACTATTTAGAATCGCCACCTGGGCGTTCGGATCTTCTTAAGTCGAAACTTGGGGTTCATTTCATGAGAAATATACCTAAGTATTAGCCAAAATGGGCACACTCATCATATGTAGAGAGATAAGTAAAAATAGCCATAGAAACTAGAAAAACTCTCAATTACCTATAGAATAATTCATGGATTGCGGATGAATTAAAATTATCGGAAGTTATCAGATGTATTCGAGATGAGCATGGGCAGCGCAGTATGTCGTGATTGAAACTATCATGGTAAAAACTTACCCCTAGATCTTTGTTGCTTAAAGAGGGGGTTGACAAAATTGCAAACAAGCCCCATAATCTTGAAGATTTATTTAATAATTATTGTGCTTACATTGTTGCATGACGCTCGGTTAATCCTACAGAAAGCAGTATAAGCAACATGACAACCGGAAAAGATGACGATCAAATCACCACGGCGAGTCTACCTTCATCTCCAGCCAATGAGATCCACGCTGACACGGTGGATATTGAAAAACACACCGAGTTGGAAAGAAGGGTTATGCGAAAGATCGACTTTTGGCTTGTTGGCTTCTACTCATTGGTATACGTCTTCAGAGTCATCGACTCAAGCAATTACGCCAACGCTGCCATCATCAATCTGGAAGACGGGACTGGAATCAAAAAAGAGCTTCACTTCGATGCCTCACACTGGTCGTGGACACAATCAATCTTCTCATACAGCTACCTGATCTTCGAGCCCTCCAACACCATCCTTCTCAAATATTTCACGCCTTCGCGATGGATGTTCATTCTGATCCTCTCTTGGGGTATTTGCGCCTGCTCTGCTGGTGCCGTCCAGAACTTCTCGGGTATGATGTGCGTGCGATTCGCGATCGGGATGGCTGAAGCTGGATTCTATCCGGCTGTGCTCTTTCATATGGCATTCTGGTACAAGGCGACCGAGATGCCTTGGAGAATTGCGCTATTTTACTCCCTTGGTCAGATATCTGGTGCATTGAGTGGGCTTCTGGCATACGCGATCAGCTTTATGAATGGTATTGGTGGGCTCTCTGGCTGGCGGTGGCTGTTTATCATCGAAGGTCTCCCGGCTATTGCACTATCTTTTGTTGCTTTGTTTGGTCTACCAGATTACCCCGAGACTGCCAAAATGTTGACAGATGAGGAGCGACGTTTCCTGAAGGATCGTCTTTCTTCCGTGGCACCCTCTGGCAAAGGGAAAAGCTGGGACTGGGATAACATCAAGGCACTCTTTTTGAGTCCTACGCTGTACACCTTTGGACTTTACTGGATTGGACATGGTATTGGTGGATTCGGAGTCACGTATGCATTGCCAACTGTTATTTATGACCTTGGTTTCACATCAACCGCTTCGGCGCAGTTGATGAACATCGTGAGTCCCCCCTAGTGCCCAGAAGTGCTAAGTGAAGAAAGAACATTAACTTTGTTTTCATCAATAGCCACCTTACGTCGTATGCTTTTTCTTCCTGAATACCGTCGGATACTTGATACATAAAGAAAGGATCCGGCCATGGACAACCGCAGTTGCAAGCAAGTGCCCTTCTCGCTACGTATCTTCAAATTATGTACTAACAGCATCAACAGTCGAATCTACAACAATAATCTGCTATATAATCCTAATCACAGTCCGAAATCCTATTGTCAAATATCTGGCCTTGGTGGTAGCCACTGCCTGTGCTGGATCAGCATACCCTGTCATCTGGCCAGAACGCATTCGCGCACTGGAGGGTACCGCAGGCGCAGGTATAGGAATCGGGCTGACCAATGCACTGGCGCAATTCAGCGGGATAGCTGGACCTTTCATTTACAGTACAACATTTGGGCCGACATATCGCGTGTCGTATATCATTTGTCTTTGCTTCCTTTGCGTGTCAATTTCGGGGATTTTGGCTTCGTGGTGGCTTGTATGGCGAAAGGATAAAACAGGCTTGCGACTAAGTATTGAACAACAAGATGCATGATCGTAGATGACACATTTCATCGCGGTATTAAAATGACAAAATTGTGCATTTGCATAAATATTGTACACAAACTACATATTGTGTAAGTATGTAAATAAGCTTATCTCTACCCAAGGGACAGACCAATGAGAATGAATACATGTACTTCCCGTCCACATTTCAGTTTGAAATCCCCAAGAAAAAAGCAAGGTAGCCTGACGCACATGAGCCATGATCAGCAAGACTGTCGGATAGACTATTGGCCGCTGGCTCATGCCCGATGACAGATAGTAGAAAATCTTAATGATTGTGGTATACAGGTAGATTTCTTCCGTGTAGCTCTCTGAACGGCGCCAACCGTATCCCATAAATTTTCCTATCCGTCCATTGGGTAAAGTATCCACTTGATCCCCAAGAAAAGGCAATTGATGCTCATATTCCACTCTATGTTGAGGATAGACTTGAGAGAGAATGAGCATGCACTCGGGCTATGACCAAAAGAAATACATATGCCTATGGGTAGAGACTGATAAGATATCAGTGCAGATTTTCATAGGAATTCAATAAAAAAGTGATAAGAGAGATCAACCTTAGGGATGATAAAGATCAAGCACATAAATCTCAGAAAAACAACCGAATGAGAACGAATGCCATGATTCTCAAAACCACCTTGTCTTTTCTGTCGCCCTGGGACTTGTGAACACCATGAGTGCCAGTGGGTGATTTGTTCTCGGATCATTGCTAAACGATTGATTCAAGATTCAATGTAGCATGAGTTCTGCATACCTAATCAACGAATTGAAGGCCAAGAGCCTTCGCCTTTTTGAAGAATACTGGTGCAGGTCCTTTGAGCCGCAGCGGCAGCGTACAATCTGGCGGTCTCATTCCATTCGCCGTCTGTTTCGCAGAAATACAACGTCAGGCCGTATCGACCACAATTTTGGACGGCCTCCATCAAAGTCCACCACAGGTCAATGTTAAGTACTGGAGTAGCTGGTTGACCCCGGACAAACCAGCCCTGCTGGAGCCAATCTTTGATAGAAACTGTGATGCCTTCAGCCACACTTGCGTCACTGGTCGCGATAACAATGCGACTGAAGCCCTCAATTGCCCAGTTACGGCATGTCAGAGCGGCAATAGTCGCTCGCAAAGTTGCAAATTGAGGCGTCTTCGTGTTCATTTGAAAGTTGGGACTTTTGTCCTCCAAGGAAAGCTGTAAAGCCCATCGTCACCCTTATTGACCATAAAAGCGAAACCTGCTTTAGGGCTCTCGGGGTCCACCTCGCTGGGAACAATGAAGCCTTCAGCGATTATCAGCAGCTCATGAGCGTTAGTGCTTCGGAGGAATCGGTAAGTCGACAACGGCATGCGGGGGTTTATCTCTTCGGAAAAGATCAATGTTGCTGGTGTCGTCAAGGAAAATACTTCTGGAAATCGTAGGCTAGGGGTGTGTCCGGACTCGTATTGAACGTGAGCTTGTCCGATGTCATTGGTGGTCTCCATGATAATGGTAGGCAGATGGAAATGCAAAGCTGGCGGAAGATTGGAATGGTTAATAAAAGTAAGAAGGAGAAATTAGAGGACAAAGATGAGAGCAGAGGTGAGGAGGAGGAGGATGAGAGGAAAAAGAGAAAATTAAAGACGAGGACAAGATAATGAACTCCTGGAGGTGAAGGTGAATGAGAGCTGGACGGTGCAGTGAATGCGAAGACACAACTTGCTTAAGGATCCGTGAAGACGAAATCAAAGACTTCGACGTTCCTCACTCATGGCATCATAGAGATGTTGAGTCAAGGTCACACGCTCCCCTTGTTACTTTCTGAGCAAGCACAGTCTAGGAAACCGAGAAGATGCATAATAGGTCCGGTCATGTGAAGCATCAACATATCAAAAGAATAAGATATGGTATTTCTATATGATTACCTCGCCCCTTATGTTTAGTGGACATTTCAAGCTTTCGGTGTACTACTGGTCTGTATTTTGAAGATATAATGTTTTTCACTCTGTATACCCAACGCTAGTCATCAGCCTTTTATTATTTTGGTTCTTACTTTGATGGTCAGTGTCTTTTATTAAAGTACTCTTTATCTGACTTTAGCTATCTTATATATCATACTATCTTATTGTCAGATATTTCCAAAAGAACTGAGAAGCAAGAGTAATAGGAGATTGAGAGAACTAGTACCATGGCAGGTCTACTAGCTATATAGGATAGGGCACCTACTTTATAGGTAGTGCGGTGGCACAACAGGACCTCGGGGTTCGTTAAGCAAGTATAATCGCAATCGGCTTCTGTATCAGATATCGTGGTGCATACTGTGTTTTGATATCTTCTAGTCATCTATTTATCTCTCACCCCGTCGAATTTGAAACGAAACTCGCGACACTTCATAATTGAGTAAGGATCCCTGCATCTTAACGTATACGACACCTAACTATGTCGGGACTCTTGATTTTCAGTCAGACCATGACATATTGACTAAGAAGTAAGTATTAACTAGAGTATAGTCTATAGTATACTGCAAGGAGTTTTAACATTATCTCCCTTAAAAAAAGACTCATTTCCATCTAGATAGATTATAAGATTAGCTTCAGGTGGTATTATACTTGACATGTGGTAATACACATATTTGGATCTAGGGTCATCCTGCACTGGCAGGGTTAACTGAGTACAAGAATGTACAATTATGGCGATCAAAATAAATTAAGTGTTCTAGGGGTTACTCACCTCCGTACCCCGCTCAGGTGGAGCGGAGTTTCAATTTCTTGCATTTCCGTAATTCCATGGTTGTGGACGGAATTCCAGCGGACTTGAGGTCTTGCATCCTTGCCCATCACAATCTTCATTTATTCTTGGAGATTATCCTGTTTCTTTCAGGAATCATGCAGATTGCTCCACATGATGCACTTGCTGCATCGAACCTCTCCGAACTGCGCAGCGAAGGCATGCACGAGGAGGACAATCGTCGTCGACATGAGAGCTATTTAAGACAGAGCTGCGCCCGAAAACATGCAAGCCAGTTCCTCGTATACCCAAAACTCAAAAATTAATCCATCATTCCATTTTTCCCAATGGGCGTATCTTCAACATCAAAGGTTGCCTTTGTCACAGGTGCCAATGGCATCAGTGGTTTTTCCATCGTCGAACATCTCGTTCGTCAGCCCAAAGAGCAATGGTATGGATGTTTGTGTTGATTCAATTTCTATTGGTAACATACCTGCAGGTCCAAAATCATCGTCACCTCGAGGCGCCCGCTTCCAAATGCGTGGATCGATCCTAGAGTAGAATTTGTTGCTATTGATTTTCTCGACACGGTTGAGAACATCATGGCCATCATGGCTGATCGCTGCATTGATGTCACCCATGCTTTTTTCACCTCCTATGTCCATTCTGATGACTTCAAATTGCTTCGTGATAAGAATGTTCCTCTCTTCCGCAACTTTCTTGATGCGACCGATGCTGCGTGCTCCAAGCTGCTGCGTGTTTCTCTACAAACCGGGGGCAAGGTGGGTGATTTCGCTTCCAAGTTTTCTCGGTGTACTAAGCTAATCCCGGTGGGTTAGTATTATGGTGTCCATCTCGGGCCTGTCAAAGTTCCTCTCGAGGAGTCATTCCCACGATATGATGATCAGGGGTACAACTTCTATTACAATCAAGAGGACTATCTTAAAGAGCTCCAGGCTCGTCGGAACAAGTGGTCATATAACATCATCCGACCCAATGCAATCAACGGCTACGCACCCCATGGTAAGCATCATTATAATTATTGACCAGTTCAAGTTTCAAAGTTGACGATGCCCTAGCTAATGGCATGTCTGAGGTCTTGACCATCGTCATTTACATGCTTATTTGCCGCGAGCTTGGTCAGCCGGCTCATTTTCCGGGAAATGAATATTTCTGGAACTCCATTGACGATAACTCATATGCTCCAAGTCTGGCAGACCTCACTGTCTTCGCTGCTTCGCACGACCACTGCAAAGATGAAATCTTCAACCATGTCAACGGTGATGTCTTTGTATGGAAGTATATATGGCAAGAGTTTGCGGCCTACTTTGGGCTTGAGGTTCCTGAGCCCAACTTCCATAAGACAGCTGGCCGGGCGGAAACATTATCCAATGAGATTGACATGATTGAATGGGCCAAAGACAAGCGACCGATTTGGGAGCAGGTTGTCCGCAAGTACGGTGGCAAGGCTGAGATATTTGATTGGGGTACCTGGGGCTTTTTCAACTGGGCTACTGGTAAGTCGTGGTTGACAATCTCCTCGATCAACAAAGCGAGAAAGTTCGGCTGGCAGCGGAACGACAGCACGCTTGATACCTGGATCGAGACATACCGGTCCTTCGAGAACGCCGGGGTTCTTCCTTCACGTATGGCTTTGACCAAAGCTGCTTGAAAGATGTTTTACTCTCTGTTATGAAATTTTGAAGAGAGCCTAGTATTTGGATCGGGCTCATCTATTGGCTGTAGGAACTAGGGAGGGATCTAGATAATTTCCAAGTAATCCATCGAGCCATTCCATCTGTCCACAAAGACTTTCATTTTGTGTCTCAAGACCCACCTCGTCGCTTCCAAATATCTGGGATGTCTCGGTTGGGAACAGACATGGCATTTCACAATTTCCCAAACCCGATGATCCTTGGGATTCATGTGGGAGATGCAACCCGTTGGCCTCCGATTCCTGTGCCAATCGCGCATGAACAGGCCTCCTCAAATGGGTTTGCTCGAATTCAAAATCCGACATCATCAGGTCTGCCCATTCTATTGACTGATAGAATGATAAAGGGTCCAGAAATTCCGATCCATGGCTCTCAATGCCTCTGTAGTTCGACTGGTCAAGGTCTGCCCCTTGGATACAGCCGCTAGACTGCGTACTTGTCAAGCTGCTGCTCTCCAGAACCCGTGTAATCATTGCGCTGAGTCTTGAGACGGTGCGTATAAGTTTCCCAGAGACCCATGTCTTTCTGCAGTATAACATAAGAAGATGGACAGAGCGACGGGTCATATTCCCATACATCCCCTTGAAGCTTGGCTCTTTTACAATCAGTCCCAGTGATAGGATAACGGAGCTGATGATGTAGTGAAAAAAAGGAAATGTAAAGACAGCTTGCTTCTTTGGAATCCGAAGAAACTCGTTAATGACCGTGCTAGCTGCGTCCATGCAGATAGCATCGTTCTCGAAGTCTGAAACGACACTGAAGACTGGCCCTGAAATCGGCCTACGGATCAAAAGGCGAATATATTGCCATCGCTTTGGTTTTTTAGTAAACCATTCTATGTAGCAGAAGACACTTCTAAGTTGCAACTGACCATTCTCATAAGTGCTTGTTGTTTCACCAACCACCAAGGCTTTTCTGTAGTTTCTGTTCCAGAACTTCTTTCATCCAAATGTCCTGAAAAATGAATAGGCACAGTTCTTTGTGCTCGTGATATAATACCCTCGAAATGGTCTTTCAGAAAGAAGGTAGACGTGGCGTCGGTGCTTGGAGCCCCATTGATGACCTCCCAGACTTTTCCAAGGACTGTGGAATACGTGACCGTTGCGGCAAGGAAATCGATGGGGGTAATAGTAAGTGAGTTGCTCCCCCTGTAACACTGAAGATCACCCGGCAAGCTCTGTGGCAGTGGTTTAGAAGTACTAAGATCTTGGATCAGAAAGGGGCGTCCTGATTCGATGGCGAGTCGTCGGTCAAGGACGTAGAGTGACCACCAAACTCGTCGTGACATCTCCTTGCTACAGCTATTGATCCCACTGGTAGCATTTTCAATTTTATGAATTCCAAGATGATGTGCATGAGAGATCGCGATCGCCAAAAACTTCTCTGCTTTCCCGATCATATCCAGTCGGAAGAGGTAAATGACCTGCACTCGTTGTTATTGATGTCAACGAACATATTCCAGATTAATACCCATCTGCGGGAGTTTACCATCAATGCAAAGATCTGCAATATCAAGAGCTGGTCTTCGTACTCTTCAAAGGAAGCAAAAACATCACCAAGAAATTCCAAAGCCGCTCGGTAGAGGCTCCAACCAGCAGAATATCGACCATCCTCACTTGTGTTGCGAGGTGAAGCAGTGCACTGCCCAATGGCAAGGCAGACGAAGACCTGAGTCACAAGCGGACTTCTATCTTGCTCAATCGTGACGTTCAATGTTGGGTTGCAGGGTACCGAAAGCCACCCGTTCCAGAGACCGGCATAATGATCCCACAGTGAACGCAGGTCAAGAAACGGGTACATGATATAAACTTCATTACAGAAAATCCTTAACGAAGCATCCCATTGTTCCTTTTTAGGGTCTATGCCGTATTTTCTCAAAATCTCGTTGGGGTGAAAGGCCTGTCCGGGACATGCATCATCCGGCTCAAGCGACATGCTGGTTAAGGCAGGCGAAGATGGCTGCGTGGAGGAGGAATCCTGCGTCTGGTTTACATTTAAAAAGCTTTGCAGTCCTTTCTCTACCTCGCAAAGCCTGGCTTGAATGGATGACTCCCCCGAAAAGGCAGACAATAGATACTTGCGCTGTCTTTCATTCCTTGGTGTAGTCCCTGCAACACTGTGCTCACCACTCGTATACTGGGGTGATCCAGACTCATGTGAGTTTATAGATGATGAACCATTTTCTGTTCTCCTTGAATCTGGAATGAATTCCGGAACAACTATGTGCATGAGTTCTTCCAGATGCGTCACCCGGGCGCATAACTCTCTTGTTGAAGACCTGTGTACATGAAAAATCCGTCAAATATATCAAGGTTTCAAGGGAACATACCAGTCATCTTTTTGGGAAGCAATTTGCTGCGAGGTTGGCATATCGTTGTGTTTGTCAATTTCCTGGCTCCGAGCCGCTCGGCGGCGCATATCAAGATTTTCCCGTCTACAGTCTCTCTCATGAAGAAGACATGGCTCGCATGGAAGATTTCCATCGCACTAATTCAGAAAGATTGTGAGTTGGAAAGAGGAATAGTTGTTGATATCTAATAACACTAACCTTGATCTTTCTTCGCTGGCATTCGTCACTGAAAGAACATCAGTTTCGCTGGTGGTATATAACAAACCACGTTTTTGATGACGAACCATGCCTTGGACACATATTTACCTCTTCTTTGCCGTTTTGGGCCGTTATCAGGTCTCTTTTGACTGTTTATAGTGGTTGCTTGGTCCATGGGCCGCTTACGCGATTCTATTTCATTTAGAAAATCAGTGAATCTCCTTCATATTCACGTGCTGGCTTACCTCGTTGATGCGCCATTTTGCAAGAGTTAACTGTATGTCAGAACCAAACCTTAATAAGGCTGATTCGGTTCAAATTACAGACACAGAGGTGGGGTCAACAAGTGGTTGTTGCGTGGATGGTGGGATTCGACAGTGGGGCAACGGGTGTATCAGGGTGGAAATACGGAATTAGGCAAGCAATGACCATGATCTATCTACTTTGAATTTCTACTGAGTTTAACAAAGTTCTAACGCGTAGATAACTAGGAAAGATTGACTTTCAAATCTTTTAACAACGTATTTTTTAGTTCTTTTCTTAGACCTCTCTAGAAGGCCCCGGGGGAGATATAAGTAGTAATACATAGGATCAACACTACCACTCTAGCCGATCATCACACACTAAATTGACATCAAATCGCTGCTTGTCGTTCCATACTTTAGGGCCAGAGTTACAGGTGGCAATAATAGTCCGTAAATCACTAATCATACTACCAGGCCCGCTGGCAAACACCGATGTTGGACCTTCCACTGTGTTCTCCAGGAAGGAGGTGATCAGATTTGGCAGATCGGGGTGTCTGTTATCTTCCTGTATTTCTCCGCCGAGTCGCTCTACAGGTGTAGGTTTTTCACAATCAGAGCAGCTGGGAGAAGACGAGTGTGGGATATCCGTAGCAGACTCGCTGCGAGCATCCCTAGTGGCGAAGATCTTGATTTCCAGATTCAACTTTTCCCGACCTTTTTGCAAAAGGTCCAGTTCTGGACCTATCCATGCGATGTTGGAACTATTGCGAACAGCCCAGATCAACTCAACGTTTCGAGTTAATGAGGATGGTTGGCGTGCAAGTTCAAGCAACACAGGAAGCACGTATGTAATGCCAGTGCCGCCAGCGATACACATAATGTTTGTGTTCGGTGATAGGTCACTTGTGATTGCATTGCCATATGCACCTGTGAGAATGATGGGGGTATGAAGGTGTCCCATAGCAGCAAGGTCAGCAACCTTCTTCGTTTCTCCATGCTTTGCTCGGAGAAGGTATGAATGTTTCACGTTTCCCTCTTCCAACATTGGTGCGTTGAGGGGAGTAAAAGGATGGGATTGCCAGACACTACATTGCGTGAAGCACAGGTAGTAATGCTGTCCAACAGCCCACGGCTCTTGTGAATTTTCTAAGTCTAGGCGTATCACATCACCATATTCCTGATCCGAAAAGCGAGTTATGGCTGCGTTCGCTGCCCTGAGAGCGAATAGGCCAGGATAATCAGGGCGGTGATGCAAAAGAGCGGTGCGAACGAGACGAGCAGCTCGATCCAAGAACCAAAAAATCAATGACGGTAGAAGAAAGCACTTGAGCTGCTTCCAATGGCCCCAGCATGCGCCGATATAGACCATCGCGAGAACATAGTGAAGCTTGCGGAATGTCTCATATCCGGTGAGCCTGATTCCCCATGGTGTGCTCAGCGCGAAAAGCAATAGTAGCAGTGCCATAGCCACAATACCCCAAATCATATACGTCTGTGTGATCCACTCGATGCCGACAGTTGGTTGTGGCTGGTAAAGTCTCAGCTCCACAACACACCAGCTGATGGTGTGAAGAGAACTCTGTACGAAGATGATGTAACCCAGCCAACGGTGAAGGAAATTGAAGCTTTGATATGGCAAGCCGGTGATGAGAGACAGGAAGGACTCCCGACTACTCAGCATCACGGAAAGTGGAGTCAGAGCGTACGCCAAAATGCCCATGCGATCCGCCCAGGGCCCGATACTGCTGCGGGTCTGATAAAGGCCAGGGTGCCCCGAGACGGGAGTAATCCATGTGTTGTAGGAAATGCCAACAAAGGTGAATATCAAGAGATAGCCGGCCAGAAGAGTGAGAACGAGGACCTGAAGCCGCGTTGTTCTCCCGAAGATCATGTGGGTAGCATCGGGCAAGAGATATCTGCGAGAGAATGATGCAACGGTTCGTTGAACCCTGCGAAGCCCAGCATTTTGAGAGGTGGCCAGATTTGGGGAGGCAGTCGGTGTGGCGATCTGGTGAAGAACAGCCCATATGAGGAGAAAGCCACCGAGCACACACCACATGATCCCAGAGTATAGCATTCCTCGGTCATGGGAGGCGTAAACGACGTCCAGATAAGCACAAGAGCCGGCATCATTGGTGCAGGGCAGAGCGCGGTCGGCATACCCCCAATGTGGTTCTAATGTTGTGGCATCGCTGAAGTTCTGAATATGGCGGGGATGTAACTTCGCGACTGACATTTTCCAAAGTAAGTTGGGTATGAGATCCTACTCTCAGCTGGTGATCCCGACTTTGCAAAATGAAATGGTCAACCAAAAGGACATTCACCTCTATGGAAATGCTGGGATCATTGACCAAATGGAGTTGTCGACTTTTCCCAGGGAGACTGGGAACTGTAGGAACGACATTGAGAGAAATTCATAAAGTCAACTTGACCGTCGGGTCTGTGAGGGCATTTGAGTCAATTTCCAAAACGCCATGGCTGTCCCCACTGGGTCGGAGAAGCGAGAGTGTGGACTCTGTGGAGTGTAGCTCGATGCCAAATAATATAAGTTCGCGGTGGGCCTCAGGACACAGCCATATTCACATTCACCTGCACTTAATCATTTCCTCAATCAAGCCTTCTTCTTACGACATAACCAAGATGGACATGGGATCGAGTGATGGGGATGATTGCAAAATCTCGGTAAGTGCCAAGGAAAAGTTCTTGGCTGGACGTGGAGTTTCGGAGAGGTTGGCTCATGAATTCCAGATGCTTTTCAACTTTTACACAATCGACGCTTGTTTTCTGTCGACGGGATGGCAAATCAAGAATGGAGGAATGTTCGCTGCCACCTGTATCGGGATCATTCTGCTCGTGATTCTGGTAGAATTCTGTCGCCGAATGGGCCGCGAGTACGACGAGTTCTTAACCCGGTCGTTCCAACGCCAAGCCGCGTACACGTCTGCCAAGACTAGGGCCATCACGTTTCGGGCGACACCATTGCAGCAGTTGACGCGGGCGATAATTCATGCGGTCACATTTGCAGGTGCCTACATTACCATGCTGTTAGCGATGTACTTTAATGTCTACGTGCTCATCTGCATTTTCATTGGAGCAGGACTAGGCAAATTCTTTTGTGACTGGATGGTGGTGACGGTTGGTATCGAAATGGATGAATTAATACATAGACAAGAAACAACCATATGCTGTGATTGATGAGCTTGTTATCAAATTACACGATTTTGCTGCTTGCATAAGCAGTGCTAGCAGCGCACACCAAATTTCAAACTTCAAAGAATCCGAGGCATATATGACAGTAGAAGGCTGCAGGACCTGGATCTAATTATTCTGACGGATAAGGATATGATCAAGGTAGAATTATCCTGTCGGCTTGACTCAAGGACTTTTCAGATACTTGAGGACCGGACGTGACGCCGGAGAAGGTAGTGGAAGCAAATGAAGAAAAAGAGATAATTGAATTATGTTGGGGATCATCATCAAACCCACAATAGGTTCTTGAAAGACCCAAGTTAACTTCAGTTCATCACAAGCACTAGCTATCGCCTTATGGACATGCTCAAGTAAAATGGGGGCCTATTGAAACGGAAGAACCAAAATAAAAACCGCGATAGCCCACAGGTTGCCAGAGAAGACCTTGGACCCGGCATTGGAAACAACGAATGTTGAAGTGGGCGTCGGTGGGGAAGTTGTGGGTGCACCGGTAGAGCTGGTAGACTTCTTCGCTTCGGGCGTGGTGGAAGTCGATGTACAAGACTTGGTGATGGTCTTTGTGGTCGTGAAGGATGAAATGACAGGTGGGAGAGGGCTACCAGTCACCAGGTTCACAACTGTGGTAGATGCATCTGTCTTGGTGCTGAAGCCCACCTGAGGAACGGTCACGGTGTGAGAGGACCACGTAACAGTGGTGCAGGGCTCTGGCACCGGTGTAACCACAACCACAGATGGTGTAGACGAAGGTGCGCCGGTACCATGCTGCGACGAAACACTGGGTGTGGTCGTTGGAACCAGGCTAATGATATCAGGATTCCCAGGGATATACGGAGCACAGATTCCAGCAAAGTAGGAGAGTGCAGAGTCGGTTTGCTCCTGGGAGCTGCTCCAAGCCTCGACGCAAGACTTGAACTTCGCGGTAAACTCCGATGAGGGACAGAAGCAAGCGGCATCGCTGTTGGAGCTACATTTGGGAACAGAGAGCCAGGTGTTCAAGCACTTGGGCACCAGATCTGGACAAGGGGGACTGGATGAGCTCGCCGCGGCCGAGGTAGTCACCATGGTGGTAGAAATAGTGTCATGATCAGGGCAGTCAGTCACGGAAGGCGGGCAACGCGTCACAGTGACCACATCGGTGGTGTACACAACCGAAGGTGTCACCGCTTGGGGCTTGGTGGGAATCACCTCAACAGTAGTAGTTGTTGGGGCCTTGGGTGATTCAACCGGAGGTGTTGGTACCACTATCTTAGTGGTGGGAGGAGGCTGAGACGATGTGACGACGAGAGGTCCTGCGGGCTTGGGTCCAGGAGAGCAGTCAAAGCCCATTTGATGCAACTCCAGATCAACGTCACCGAACTGATCCAGCACAGCAAGTTGGAAGTTGACCGAGACTGCATCTCCGCATTGCTCGTTCACAATATCAGATCCGTCGGGAGAGGCCGAAACGACCTGATGACAGGGAGAGCCATCTGCCAAGGTGTAGGTCAAATAAAGATCAGCGTCTCGGGATGTGGTGATGTGGAATTGCTTGACAGAGAACGGAGCCTGCTCGGCATCGATCTGCAAGTCCCAGTCATCATCCCGGGAGAGTTTTCCCTCGATGCATTTTCCCTTTTGGACGTCAGAATATAAAGTCTAATAAGTACTCAGCAGCCTGTACGTACTCCAGAAACTCGGCATCCATCTTTGGGTGCAAATCCGTCGAAACTGAAGCCTTCGAAACTCCAATTGTCCCCGTCGGCCAACTCAGACCAGTCAAACCCGTCCTCTTGAGCCTCGGAGCAATGATTGTCGGTATTTTCAGGGCTTGGATAACAGAAATCAGTGCCCCACCACTGGAATATCTTAGTACACGTCGTGATCAATACTGGTCTGTGAGCGGAGCAACTTACAAGGCCACTTGGATGGGCGAGTGCAACTGCACTCAAAAGAGCGATAGACCCAATCAATTTCATTTCAGAGAATCAAATGAGTGGTTTTGTTTGCAATTAGAACTGCTGGAATGAATGAAAGACTGCAATGCAGAATTATTAAAATTGTTATAGAAGAGGAAGTCTCAGTATGAGACAAAGGAGAGACGAGAAAGCAGAAAGGCGAGAGGCGAATGGCGAAATTGTCGAGTTGTCGTTGGGCCGTATGATTTCCCAGCAGCGAGATGCGAAGCTTTTTAAAGCTCGATATGAGCCCCCCTGGTATCAACAAACAAGATAGAGCTGTCAATGCCATTGGTGGATAGGTTCATTTCCAGGGAATTCATGTTGTTGACATCAATTCTGCGCCTGCGGAATGTCATAACCGCCGCAACTTCGGCCCTCAACCTGATCTAGATATCCCAAAGTCAGGAACCAGAGGCGAGTATAGAACCAATCATGAGGATCAAGTGGAACTCCACGTGATGGAAAGTTATTCACCCCTTTATCAAGCCAGATCGGGCGGATGGCATGTCCGTGCAGCCAATCAGAGTGACCGGGTTATGAAGCCTCAGGTACCATATTTCGTGTCACATTCTGTTCCAGTAGTCCCTTACTTCGGAAGTTTGGAAGGAGCACATGTACTCGTTCCTGCAGCATTCTGTCGACAGCAGCTTCCAAGAGCGAGTCCGAACGACAGCGAGCTATCGGTAGATAGATGGCTTCATGTACGTAGGGGGGAAGGTGGAAGCCAAACTAAATGGCTCAACATCTTTCTTCTGAGAGGGATAGCAGAACAAAAAGCGAGGAAGAGATGCATTTTAGGCCTAGTATATTGATGTAAAATAACAACTCAGAAGGATGTATGTCCTGACTCATATTTTGGCTGAATCTCAAAAGCCAATGAATTCCAATCCCATGGTGCTAAAACATGAGCTCGGATTGTAGGCTACTCATCAGGGCTTGCGTGACAAGGTGGTTATATCGTGTTCCACGAGTACAAGGATTCGTCTTTTCTTTTCATTAGCACGAATTAATTCTATTCAAGTTTTGTTGTTGTGATGTCTGCATACTTCAGATATGCAGCGAGGTATGAGGATATGACATCAATAGTCCTCGGCAAGTCCCAAGCTGGAGAAATCAGGCACGTCATCCCCGCACTTGAAAGAAGGCGAATAAGCCTTCTCCGGCATGAAACCCCCCTTCCATGCTGTCCTATAGCTCCACTGGGCTGCTGATTCTGTGCGCCAGGTCCAGTAAAACCAGCCCATGGCTGTCTCAAAAACAGACATCTGCGCTTCAGCGTAGTAAAGTAGCCATTTTTTGTACGCATCTGAGTATTCAGAGACGTCGGCATTGGCATTACTACAGCTGCAGGTACCCTCGCTGGCAGTGGGACAGTACTGCGTCGAGGAGCTCGTGTCGTATGTTCCTTCCCATCGAGTACCGCGACCCACGTTATTCAAGTACTCCGCGCAGTCGGTGTCAGCTTGCGACCATTCGCCGCATATCGTGGGGCCCCATCCAGAGCTGGTGCTATTAATGGCCTCAATCATGCTGTACCAACTGCTGCACATAAGCTCAATCTTGGCCGTGTGGTTTAGCACAATCTCGCCGGTGTTAAAGGTGGTGTATTGATGCGTGTCCAGGTACATATTATCCGGGTGATCCTTGAACATTGCGTCCCACTTGTCCAGATTGAGGAACCCGTCATGGAAGACGATGGTCGCATTCATACCGTTCTTTCGAACCAACTTTGCTGTCTGGTTGTTCCAGTCGAGGACTTTCTCCGTGGAGAGAGAGAGCATGAGCGGCTCATTGACAATACCATACATTGTCACAATGTTCTTGTATCGGTCTTGGGCGAAAAACGTCGATAATTGATCATGGATCTCCAAACTTCGGTTGGCATTCAACTCGCCATCTGTGCCATTCAACCAGCCAATTGTTCCTTGATGGCCACTGTGTTGCCAGCCGTTTTGGCTGCCAGGAAGGCCATGGAGATCCAATTTGACCCGAAGTCCATATTTTCGGCAATACTCAATTGCACGCAGGAGATAACGCCAGGAGATCTTTGCCACATAAGGATCATCATCATAGACCTTCACTGCCCAGTAAGAGTATTGGATGCGGACATGGTCCAAGCCGGCTTCTTTAATTTCGGCAAAGTCTTGCTCGGTGTAAAAAGTCGCGTAATGCTTTTCGATGGTGGTAGCAGCGCTGGACCCCATTTGCTCGCTTAATGTCCACTCATCGATGATACCAGCATCGGACGAGTAGGTATTGAACAAGGATGGTACAACCCACGGTTCAATCGACAGCCATCCACCAATGTTGACTCCTCGAATAGGCTGCGAGCCATAGGGAAACGATTGATTCAACGGCGGAACATTGTCGTTCGGTCTAGCGGAATCATCCCATGACGAGTTGAGACCCATGATGTACAGTCCACCCACCGTTTCATTTGTAAAGGTAAGGTTAAACCCTTCGGTCTCATACCATGTAAAGGGATCTAGCACAGTACCTTGTGCGTAAGACTAACAGACAGGTCAGTCACCATTTGGCTTCAGTGTACTAAGACAAAAACTCACAGGGATACTATCCCGGCTGATACTGTCCAGGTTGGCGGTCAAATTGCTTGTGCTTGAAGAGCTTGAAGAGCTCGAGGAGGAGGAGGACCCCGCTTCTTTTTTCTGTGAATTAATGACGGCGACTGGGATAATAATCGCAAGCAAGATCAAGATCGCTGCCAACATTCCAAACCAGATGCGTTTTTTCCTGGACCAAGAATCCCAGAACTTCCAAAACGGCCGTCTCTCAGAATCGTTGTAGCTGCCTTCCCAGTCGTGTTCATGTTTCCATGTCCGTTCCATCGCCGGACCACCGCCACGACGACGAACATTCATATCCGGACTGCGGCCTTCTTCCAGATAGGCCCCGGATACGACTCTCGCTCCAGATTGATGTCTTGGTCTTCCCTTCAAAAGTTCCGCACCAAGAGCACCAGCTCCTGCTCCCAATGCAGCTCTTTTCCGCTGACGACGCTCTTTGCGGTCTTCCGAATGTCTGGAGCGTTCCCGCACTCGTTCTCTTTCTCGTTGACGACGCTCCCACTCCTCTGGTAAATCCTCCATCTCGTGCTCGGAGGTTTCTCTGGCCAATGTATCGGCAGCCAGCAAATGCGAAACACTGCTCGTCGACTCCATACTCTGATGTTTCTTCACGGCACTCACAGCAGCAGCCTCCACACTCCGTTCTCGTTCTCGTTCCCTCTCGCGCCGCTCTCGCCGCCTCTGTCTCCTCGCCTCAGCGTCAACATCGCGCTCCCCAGTCCGGTCTCGGTCTCGGTCACGATCTCGTCGCTCTCTTATTCTCTTTGTCGGACTCCCCTCCCCCTCCACAAATTCCCTCCGTCGTCGATGCCCATCGCGATCTCGTTCCCGATCCCTTTTCTTGATGGGCGATGTAGCCGGCGACTCTTTCGCCTTCCCCCCTCCTCCTCCCTCCGTCGCCGTCTCCGCTCTCTGCGCCTTCGTTCGTCCTCGTATGCATCACTTCCATCTCGGTCATAGTCGTAGGAATCGTAGCCTGTATCCTCGCCCTGGAAACGATACTTCCCTCTTCTCGGGTCTGCAGGACTGGAGAAAGCGCCATCGTCGTCATACCTGTCCCGTCGACGCTCGCGCTCGCGCTCCTGATCGCGGTCGCGGGATTGTCCATGTCGATCACGACTGCGCGATTGCCCGGGCATTCCCTCCTGACCCTTGATCGCGCTTCGTAATGATCACTCCCGCACTTGTCTCCCGAGTGGTGGTGCTGTAGCGGGCCGATCTCGCTCGTTCGGGCCGCTCAAGGGGAATGCTCGGCGCGGGGGGAATTGGTGTTGAATGCGCCCCGCAACGTGTTCGGGGAAGTGTAACGGCTCGAATTATTGTTTTTCTGGTTTTTTCTGCTTTTCAAAGCTGGATTGGAATTCCCAAAATCAAATAGGAGCTGCAAGGAGAATCAAGTCACTTGTAAAGCGTTAAGTGGGGATTTCAGGTTTGTTTTGGTTTGTCCACGCGTTAGTGCGGGTGCTCCAAGGATGCGGTTCGATGTGATTGAAATGTTTCACAAATGGCAGGAATCAATTGATCAATTGCCACTCTTCGTCTCAGGGTTTGACCTTGTTAAGGTGCTTATCTTGACGTGCTGTGGAGTCTGCGATGTTGCGGAGTTACGCGTAAAGGGTGGAGCTGCCCAGGGTCTTCATTGGGATTTTACATACACAATTCATACCTCGCACTTGAGAAATAATGTCTACCTTTTCAAACTCTCAGTTGCTCAGGTACTGTCCAAGTGTCTAGAGACCGAATGATAAGTAATTGAGAATTGATAGATCTGCACAACATACAGGGCCTAGATGCATCTATGCAAGGATGTATATATTTGGCACATCCCGAGATCAGTACTGTCCACGGGTACTGTACCAATTTCGATCCAGGTGTCATAACGTTTTTCGAAAGATCCATGGACATTTATATAATTAAGTATAGACAATATGTATACACACTTTCAAAGTTCAAAACGTCCAAATAGGCGGATTGCATGTGTGCAGTGTAAAGGGAAAAAGCCCTCTGAAATGACAGCACTTTATCATAGAATTAGGGACCTATGGGTTATGTTAAGAAGGCTGACGCATGTAGAATCTACAACCTTGGAATGAATTTTCAGGAATAGTTAAATCTTTTCTATATGTAGGTCTTCATACTCTAAATAAATGTTGATGCTTCAACTGGTATAAGCCTCTTTCCAGATGTCACTCAATTTACACCATAAGAAGTCTTCAAAATTTGGAGAAAATAGAGGAAAATATCAGAAAGAAAGAAAGAAAGACTCTTTTAGTCCGAGGCCATTGATATATATTTTGAGTGTGTGAGATCTGAATGTGTAAAATACGCATTTGCCTGTATCGGGCCTGGGTATCTTGTCGTATGTGCTGCGTGAGATTTACATATGTATTGACCATCAGCACTTTCGGCTTATATACAAGTATGAAAACAACGACCCTCTGATTGCGATATAGTGGCTATTTCCAGGGGTTGGATGGATCGCTCTGTTCTGATCAAGGGAAAATCTCGCAAGTGAAATCTGTGCCTGATTGCTTTCACATAAACAGAAATAATGAAGTGACAACAAAGCACCAATTCCAGTTCAGACTACTCAATACATAAGGAAAAGCCTATGACTTTTCAACATATTTCCCCACAGTTCCATCCAGCTGGGCTTCCAACACTGCACTCTTCCCATCAAGGACGCTTTGGATTGCCTCGGGGAGTTTTTGTGACAGTTCCGTCACGTTGGACGCTCGGCCAGCCCACAACTCTCCACCCGCTGCAGCCTTTGCAATTCCAGCATAGTCCGGGGTAGGTGCAAACGAGATGTTCAAGTCCTCATTCGTAGCTCGAGATCCATCGCCATTCGGGTGGACTAGCAGCATACTTCGCCGAGGGGCATTCCATCCCTTGTTGTTCAACACAATAGTTAAAATGGGGATACTGTAGCGACGGGAGATCCAGTAGACCGAGCCTGGAACAGAAAACAAAAATGTACCATCACCAACAACTTGTATCACAAATTTCCCTTTACCAGGGCCTCCATTCTTCATATCCGATGCCAGCTTGATTCCAAGGGCACCACCACCAGACCAACCCAGACCACCGCCGCCACAGTTGATCCAGGAGTTTGGTAATGTTGCACCAATTTGATCCGATACCGGGTGTGTGAGCGTGACGGATTCGATCGCCCAAATAGTATCCGCTGGACACCCCTTGCGAACTTGCGCCATGAGGTAGGAAACATTCAGCGGCGCACCATCGCCACCTTCTGGTAGGGCAGCGAGATCAGTGATCTCTTGTTTTCGCTGTAAATATTCCTTATCGCGTTGCTGGCCCATGTTAACATTCTCTGTGGAACCTATGTACTGTTGGAGGTGGCCGGTAATGGCGATATGATCATTGAGCTGCTTCAGTGCGGTTGCGGAATCTGCACGGAATGTGGCCATCGAGTTTATATAGAAGACAGGAATTTGCTGTTTGAGGGGGTCGACATCGATATGGATTATCTTGGCCGAATCGGAGGGTTTGAACTGGGTAGGCACCCATGGCACATCGCAATCAATGACCACAATCAGGTCAGCCGTTTGTACGAGCTCGTGCCCTGGATACCGAAGTCCCAACCAAGCCGGATGGTTCGCAGGGAAGCACATGTCGCTTCCGCCAGTGTCTAAGACTCGAATCCCCTTGAAGTGATTTGCCAGTGTGACCAGTTCAGTCACAGCCTGGGCTTGTCGGCCAGTATATCCAACCACAACCAACGGCTGTTTGGCGGCGGCAAGCTCCGATGTGATCAACTCAATTCCAGCTGCAGGCAGGGCGGCTGGTGAGACGGGCTTCCACACATTCTGGTTCAATTGATATGGTTCAATCTCTTCTTCCATGACCTCTCGAGCTCCAACCAGATACACAGGACCTTTCGGGTCACTAGTAGCCCATTGCAAGGCCCTATTCACGATCTGCTTGACGTTCTTCCCGGATTTCAGTTCTCCGGTATAGCGGCAGTACTGGGACACAATTTGCTTTTGATCCGGCACATCCTGAATCCAGTGAATATATTCAGTCCGGGAACCCCTGACCTCCCCTTCAATTGTGTACGGAGAAAGACCAGCGAAAATCAGAACGGGAGCTCGGCCACAGGAAGCGTTGTGAACCGCGGCACCTAATCCTTGGGTACCCACATCTACATGAACGATAACCGCCTGGGGCTCACCAGTCAGACGAGCATATCCATCAGCCATCGAAAGTGCCACCATCTTTCCCACAATTAGCCGTTGCAAAAATAACCGGGGTTTCACGACCAGGACTGCAGTCCTGGCGACGATTGCCAATGTTCATCACATACCTCGTTGGGACATGTAATGATTCTCGGAAACCGGCCATTCTTCTCCTTCTGACCTTTCACCATGGCCTCCAGAATCGAAGGATGATCTGATCCCAGATTAACAAAGACGTGACTGACGCCTCCCTATAAATGCAGTCACTATTAGACAAGGGCGAGGGAAACGAGAATATACGGGGACACTCACATCCCAAAGGGCCTCAAAGAAGGCAAAAGACGCGGTATAAGCCCTGATAGTCCAAGATTTAGTTCTGGGCGGGCTAAATGCATTGCTGGTACATGGACATACATCAGTATTCGTAGCTTTTCTGTAGTTCAGCTAGAGGTTTGAGGCAGCAGGCCGAGATAAATATTTAAAGGTGAGAAGAAGATAAATAAGTAGATGTGCGGGGCAAGGTTGTAACTCTCATGCTGATAAAGCAAAGTAAAGAAGCTTTTTGCCGTGGATGTGATCTTCCCCCCTCGGACACAACTCCGAGATGAGGAGATGTGGGGTCAACACCATCCACCGGATGCGTTGTCATCCATCAAATATTGAATTGCCGAATGATATATGTCGTTATCACACAGATAAAGCGGATTTTTGTGAATTGTCTCGAGTGGAGGAAGAATCCTTATAGATCTATATTCCATCCCCCATGCAGCCATTATCTACGCAGCATGCTCAGTGCGAGGTATTCCAAAGACCCCGACTAGGGAAAAACCCAGTTAATCAGGGCTGCTCGTTAATATCGGCTCTCTTGCATTAATGTAGGCCGTAATCAAGGTCCTCGCAATATATTCGGGAAATTTGAAAATTACTACAATGTTATTATCGTGAACACCGCTCCTCAGGCGGCCTCCACCCGATTCCCAATCCCTCCATGACTAGTCTTTCTCTAGCTTCCCAGGTATCACCGTCGTGCTCCAAGTCCACAATACGACCCCCAGAAGTGCGTTCCCGTATGCCACTAGAATCAAATTTCCAATCATGGGCCTTTTTCGCATGTCGTCTCAAATCCCGCTGAAAAGTTGTTTCACCGGACCAACCAAGTACCGCACAGCCGACGGTCCTCCAAGGCGATATAATGATGTCAACACGATAATGCGGGTTGGGATTTCGTCTTCGACTGGACTGATCACCCGAATTCGCATCATCAAAATTGGGATCTTGCCAAACCACCAACGCTTTATCGAGGCTATCAAAATGCTTTCCAGTTTCATCGCCTCGAAAAGGTAATGTTTGCTGTTCGCGAAGCGTTGAAGTGAGATGCAAAGAAAGTGTGTGGGTGATGTATTGTTCCTTCTCAAGACTCGCAACGATATCAACAATAAGACCGTGAGTGACAGCATCATCACGATGGGTTATGATAATATCCGCATCGCCGCTGATTTCCTTCCCACGTCGATAGCCGCCCACTAAAATCGCTTCAACCTCGCCATTAGCGTCAGGTCGCACCTGATTAGCATGGTGCTGAACGATTGCCGCAATTCTCTCGGACTCGGCCCGGGAAATGCCCGCTTTGAACTCGTCGTAATATTTGACTCCAATCTGCTGCACGCGGGAGAGAGAGGTCCAGCCATGCTCCACGATATCGTCGAGGTCTCTCCAGCCACGATGGTAATAGAAATCCCGAGCAGTCTTAGCTCCAACACCCCATATGTCGTTGAAAATGTTCAACACACGCAGGGCTGGATCACTCTCCAAAGTCCCCGCTGCATCAGATTTTTCATCGTCATCGGTATGACTGCACGCTCCATGTTGCTGGAATTGCGCGAACAAATTGGCAATTTTCACATCACACCCAGGCAAAGCGATGATCTCACTGGGTCGCTTGATGACGTAGGGATATGCAGCCACGGCGGCAATTGATGTGCTATACGCTCGCACGCCAATCTCGTCCAGTGTTAGCTCCCGGATCCGACGGATCTTGACGAGCTGAGAGATGAATTCTTCATTTGGAGTGTGAAGAGGTGCTGAGCGCATGCAAGCATACAGCACTTGATTGCGAACCCATTCTGGCTGAGTTGGGAGTGAGATAGTCTCGTCGTGCTCGGAGGTGGATTGTCGGTAAAGGACAGGTGGGTCTCGCTGGCTGGAATGACCGTCTGTGGAGTGTTTGAAGCGGCGCGCTTGAAATTGGTTTTTGGATGGGGAAAAATTGGCTGCATCCTCTCTTGCCCTTTGAATGATCTGGCTTGGTATCAGGGTGGGCGAGACAGGTTTGGCTGATGCAGATGTCTTCTTCCATCCCTTGTAGACTAGGAATAGATCATGAGGAAGAGATTCTCTGGCTTTGATTGAGCTATCTAGCCAATCCAATTTGACAACTGTAACTGTTTGATCATCGGTCACCGGTGCGATTATCCGAGAAGGGTCGTGCTGACTTGTCACTTCATCGGACTCGACAGTGAGATCCACAAACTCCGTAGCACTCACGTTGAGATCCGATTTGACAGTTTTCTGTCGCTTCCGCCGGGGCTCTGTGTCAATACTGACCGAAGTTGGTTTTTCTTCTGTCCATATTCCACGCGAGCGCAGCTCCAGCGCAGCACGTTTCTTATGGCTGATTGTCCCCAAGACCAAGCCCGCCTCGCCAATATCATATGTCAGATTCCCTCCATGTTTAATCAAGCAGTTTTCAGTTTCGTGTAGCTTGTCCAGGGTCATATGAGTGGGGAGAATGAATATTGGAGGCTGCCCCGAAAATATTCTCTCCTGATCGACCTCATGGATTTCCGACGATACAGTATCCAGGGGAGTCTCTCCAACCATTCTTTTGTATATATGTGCAGCAAACGGGTTATCGTGATCTTAACCACATGTTCATGCAGCAATCCCTGGACATGATTGAATCGCGTCGCGCTCTAAGAGTTCAAGGCAAAATCACCGTTCTTATATACGAGAGATGTGAGTGTTTTCAAGAAGATGATATAGGATGAAAGTTTAAGCTTGGACATGCTGACGCGAGTTGTGGCGATTGAAGAGGCGAGGTTTGGATTTCGGACGCGGTAGGGACTTGCAAATGACGTCATCTATCACTTTTTACCGTCCTCAGTGAAACATATTGATTATTGTCACGATACGTAGATTATGAAAAGAATTCTATCTTATCATAGCACAATCACTTGATGCTTAAGCTGGATTCTCATCTTCAATGTGATTCATTTGTGACTGTGTTAGCAGTCGTTTCCAATACTACAGAATGCCATCTTTGCCTTCCGACTAATGCAATTGTCCCAGCTATGTGTAACTCAGAAATCTTACGAAAGTCTCTGCAAAGCCATGCAACCAAATGATCTCAAAGTGAGGTTCCTTCTAAGAAAGGGGTCTTGCAGACCTCAACGTGTAGCTTGACGGCCACTATCATTACAGTTAGCACCGGAATCAACCATGGGATCATCGCAATAACATACATTCCCAGTCAGAGTACGGGCAAGATGCCTTGATGCATTCCTTCAACTTGTCTAAGTATGGTATACTCGGGCAAGTGCATGCGGTATCTGTGATGCCTTTCCAGCACTGTCCCACGATAGCGGCTTGTTCGTTACATACGAGCTATGGATGTTATGTAAGAGGTAGTAACATGATAGGTAATGGGATTGAATCCATACCAAACATGGGGTCATTCCATTGGGGTTATTAGGGTCGAAATCGACGGGTGCGGCAAATGCACATGACAGAAGACCAGCCTGTGGAATTAGAACCGATATCCTCATTGCGGCGAAATTCAAGGCAAGGAGCTTGTTTGAAAGATAGTATAGTATAATCAGTGACGAACTAGTCCTACAAATAATGTGATATGAATGATCTTTATACTGCTCTACGTTATAAGCATCAGACACAGTGAAAAGTTACACCCCATGGTTTTCGCCTATTCCGATTTGGTTCCTGTCTTCGATGTACAAACATTTTCAACTTGACCAATTGAGGTTTCCTGATTCGAACGAGAATTTACTTGGCAATCTAGATTATCTCATTCCAATGCGCACAAAGTGTGCTGCGCAACCATTAACCGGAACGCTATTGATGAAGATTATTGGCGATGATCGTCCACGAATACACACATTTAGAACTCAGTTGCCTCCCTTGTCCTAAGCAGGAAGCTGACGGTGACACCTGAGAACTCGATTCAACAGTGAACAGATACAGTCATTTGAATTTCAACTACTGTCCAGCTGAGTGACTCGTGATACAATTACATACACTGAATGCGCTTCTAACTCCATTGCCAGTGCCCTGAGAATAATGCCCTGGCACATCTCAATCATCAATTACAAGAATTGAACGCCATTCCCTGCTCATGTACCCACAAAATCTCTATTACGAAACGACAATGCTGATGGCGAAGTAAGTAATAGCCCTACATGCTGGTCAGTCCCATCTTAGAACGGCTTGATGATTATTAGATTTGATCGCACGAAAGGAAATGAAGTAAACCATTTCCGCGTAAGCGTAGAAAGGCTGGCACGGATCAGCAAAAGATTCTAGGTAAAGAAGTCTGGATGGGATTGATCCTATGACCTCGGGACCTTAATTAACTAGGGCCATTGGATCAATTGACCAATATTCGAACGACATCTTGATCTGTGTGTATATTCATTGCCATCCGCTTCTAAGGTTAGACTTTCACTCTTTCGGAAAAACAGAACTTTGGCGCTTCCTTTGCGCGTCTAAGACAACGGTATCTCCAGATCTGGAAAACCATTTGGTGGTCTTAAACGATCTCCTCTTCAATCCGTCGTTCCACGGTCGCTGTGACACGAGATGACCCTTTGACATCAACGGTAGTTTGATCACGCTCATACACGCCCTCACCAACTCCACAGCTAGTAATAATGGTATCCTCCGGCCTAGAAGCATCATCACGGTATCGCTCTTCATCATTCATAGTCGAGCGCCCGTGACGTCGGTCCATCCATCTCCGCCATGGCTTATAAACCAAAACGCTCAGTCCTCCAAATATAATAAAGCAACCGCAAATGCCACCTCCAATCGCATCATAATAATCGCCGGCCACTTGTACGCCATCCCAGAACTTTCCTGTGGCATTGGTCACACTAAGAACCATGGTAAGGAGCTGGATTACTCCAATCACAATGGCAACGATGACAGTCAAGATGGTGAGCACGATCGAGTAGTACAGGAATGCGATAGGGTCTCGGTGGTTGTCTCTGGACTGAGGTAATTCGTCACCATCGATTGAGGCTATTTCAGAATCATCACTAGCAGCAGCCTTTTGGGAAAGGAAGTTTTGTGCAGGCTGGATGTACAGGGAGAACATGAGGGCTCCGTCAATGGTGTCCAGAAGACACATACCAGCTAGGAATGGTCAGCGAGAATTTACGTTGATCAGCATTCAGATCCACTCACCGGTGAACAATGCAGGAAGAATCAAAATGACCCAAAATGATGTTCCCTTGGCAGCCTCAATGGACGAGATCCCGAGCAGCGCAATCTCTGATGAGGTGTCAAAACCAAGTCCAAACAGAATACCAAGAGGATACATTTTCCAAGGACTAAAAATTCGTCAGCTGGTGATGAATGAGCAAAATTGTTGCAACATACCGGTCAATTAATTTGAACATCTTCTTCAGGATGGCAAATAACGGTCCTCCACCCTCGATCTTCCATGCTTCGTCCTCTTCTCCTTCGGCCAAGTTGAACACCTTTTGCATTTGTTTGATTAATTTAAATAGAATATAGGCATTCATCAGTCCAAGGAGGATCAAAAAAGCTGCGCTGACGGAGCTACCAATGATTCCGCCGATAGTGCTGAAGCTATCGAACTTTGAGGATACTGCAGCAGCTGTAGCTGCGACCACAATGGATGTGATGATCACGATCCTAATAATACGTCAGTACGGTCAGCATATATTATTGGCTTATTACTCACGTGGAATGCCCGAGTGAAAAGAACGTTCCCACAGTGACAGGCTTTTGTCCGGTTGCCAATAATCGACGTGTCATCAAATCGATGGCCTTATGATATTCGTGTCAGCCTGCACTTATCGAAGCATGGATCTGAGGTCACTTACAGAAATATGGTCCGCATCAAAAGCATGTCTCAACCCAAGGGAGTATGCAAGAGCTGCAGTGGATACCATTGATCTAAACTATTAGTTGGAGTGTGTGGACAGGACAGACAAGAAAACATACGGATGAAAGTGCTGTCATGCCGTTAGCTTGTTTCCACTTGATCCACAAATGAGACTGAACATACCAGCACAACCGCCGCCGCAACCCACACAATGATGTTCAAAAATGCAATCAGAGTAATGATGGCGATGGCTCGAAAAGGAATCTTTCGAATTCCCGGCATTCGACTATGGGACCGCTCAACCTTACGGATCAGAGGCTGTAAGCTCCATTTCTTGTCACTTTCCAGACTGGTCGAATCCGCAGGCCTTTCGTCAACAAAGGAAGTCATTTTCAGATATCAGAAGGTCAACTATATGCTGATCTGTGGAAATGCAGGTCTCGAGATCGGATGAAATCCCTGCAGCTTCAATCGGAGCGCAGCGACAGAGACTGCCACCTATTATATGTTTCTTGCTCTTAGTCTTGGCTTTCACTTGGCTTGCAGCAATCTTGGATACTTTGTAGCAGAATTTTCTGCTAGTCTTATCGTCGCCTTTCCTGCCAAGGTCCCCGACAGCTTTAGATCCACTTGGCGGGGAAATTTCCTACAAACACAACAGAAATGCGCAAAGTAGACAAACCTCAGCTGCTGGACCAAGTAAGATAAAGTCTCTCTGAATTATCTCCATCCGTCTTTTCGAGGCAAAATAATCATCCGCAACCAGTAATCAGAGGAGCAAGTGGGGGATAAACACGTGATATGGCGGGGCAACGGAGGATGCCGGTTCGATGGAGATGATATTTATTATTCATTCTATCGATTCTAATATGATAATTTCTTGGTTTCCATCTCCACTGCGTGAAATATGACTCCACCATCTTGCTGAAATACAGGACTTGAGATCACCCGGTCGGCAAGCTCAGGCATTCAAGCAAAACCCGGGGATCGGCGATGGAAGTACGATAATGAATATGAATGTTCAAATGTTGACATTGAAAATGGTTCAAAAATCGATGTCGTGTATTATCTTTAGCTAGGTCATGAAATAAGATTATCTTCCTAATATTAATATCGCAAATTACTTCTGGTCAGGTTTGCCGCGCCGCAACCACTGACCCATCCCTGATCCCAAACCCCGTAGTCCACGCTGCTGCACCTCCCTCCGCGCGGCACCATCAAAGGCATCTTCTTGCTCCTCAGAGTCACGTTCATGACGATCCGTGAAGTGAAGGGCCACTTGCATCAGCACTGCGGCCAAGATACTAGCGATCAGGATGCCAATCATAACCAGGTTACTCTTCCGGTACTTCTGCCTTCCGGGAGCATTGGCGTCACTCGCCCATCCAGAGTACAGAGCGTAGGTTGTCATGATACTACCAAGGTTTCCCCAACCAGAGACAACCGCAGAGGCTGCAGCCACGCCGACTTCGCCGTGGCGGCGCTGGAAGATCTCTGCTGTCCACGTCATGGTGATGGGTACAGTAGGTCCGAGGCCAAATCCGACGATCAGCAATCCACCATACCGTGGCCAGGGGTTTTCGTCAGTGCCAGCGTAGCTGGTGAGAAGCAGACCCAGGATCTGGAGCAATGTTGGAATGGAGAAGAACAGAGCACGGTGGCGATGGAAGCGGTCGGAGAAGGGTGTCACAAGCAAGATAGCAATCAGATCCATCTAGAAGCGCGGTTAGCAAGAAGTGAATTAAGCCTTTTTTATTGGGTCACTTACAATCCAGATAGGAGCAGTCAGCAAGCTCACGTCAACACCATTCAACGAGGGGTTGATTGCCTGAATAATCAAGTTCGCGTAGAGTTGGACACCAATTCCAACTCCAACAACGCCAAAGTACATGATCAACAGCGGCCACAGCCTCCAGTCCATGAAGACATGAACCAAGTCCCGAAAGTTCCATGCAGGAGCATGATAGACACGCTTCAAGTCGTGGTAGTGGATAAGCGCATCACGACCCTTCAAGGCCGGGCTACTGCGTGGAACCCAACGCATGAACCACCCGCGAGGAGGTTCTTCTTCACCAGGTGTGACAGGCCGATCGGGTAGCCACCATAGCAAAACGAATCCAAGTGCAATAGTAATCACGCCCCAAATCAAGAACATCCATTGGAATCCAACGTAGCCTCTGGCTCCGTCCATTTTCTGGAATCCCGCAGAGACAAGACCCACGACAGCGGCCGAGACTTGCGCGGCAGTAAAGTACCGACCAATTCGCTTGCCAATTCGAGATGGCGGATAGAACAGGGTCAAGTAGTAGGTCATACCCGGCCACAATCCTGCTTCAACGATACCCAATAGAAGGCGAAGCAAGCTGCATCTGTTAGACTGGTTCTCTTGGTAGGAGGGTTGGACGTACTAAAAGCTCCAAGCTGCTTTCATAGCTACCATACATGTGCCGATCAATCCGACACTAATTATAATGCGACTCATCCACACATGTGGACTCAGCCGTGTCATGACCAGGTTAGAGGGTAAATCAAAAACCACATATCCGACATAGAATAACGCCAGTGCGGTTGATATCTGGTGACTATTCATGTGCAGCACAGTTCCGATGTCGTGTCCAGCAGCTTCGTTCATAGTTTGCGCCAGGCCGACATTTGAGCGAATGGCCGACGCCATGAAGTAAAGAACCCAGAGGGCAGGAATAATCCGCCAATCCAATTTACTGTCAAGCTATTAGCACTATAACCATAACCAGAGATTGAGATGAGTCCTGACTTGTAGATGCGTTCGACATGATCGTCGCTTAACTCGTCTGGGGAGAGTCCATTCATAGATTCAGACTCGGATGTATCCTGAGGAGGTTCGTAGACATCGGAAACAGGCTCCTTTGGAGCGCGCATCGCGGACTCCGATGCTTCAGTACTCATTTTGCGTAATTCTTCTTTTAGCAGGTCCGTTGCCGAATATAATCAGGCGACCCGTTTTAATCAACAATCAACATCAACACGAACTCGTGATTTCACGTCGGGTCTATTTATCTTTGGAGCACGACTAGAAGAATTTATTAGTTGAAAATCCTTGCAAGTTCAAAATAACGTTTCCCGAAGAACTTCTCGCTCAACCTTTGCCGAGGTTTATCGCTTATCGAATCTCTAGCGGCGATGGGGAGAAGAATATACCCGGTCAACTTTGAACTTACCTTAAACCATGAAATGATGTCGTCTTGTTTACGGAGTACACCGCTCTAAGAAAAAATTGGAGGGGAAAAAGTTCAAGGCGGAGAAGTCCGATCTGATAGAGATAAAGATATGGGTTCTTGGCGCCCAATACAGCTGACGCACACTTTTCAAAGTCCTCTAGAAAGAAAAAATTGAAGATGTTGGGTGGTTGAGGTTGAGTAAAAAAGTCCTTTCCGGTTCTCGGCGTCCAACCCCAACATCTCACCGAGAATAACCTTATTGTGAAGTTCTCCTAGTGTCTCCGGGTTTTGCTCGCTTAAGCTCGGACTGGCGGAGAATTCTTAGTTTCCATCAGGTCACTCAAGGTCTCCACAGACGGGAGGATCTAGTTGGAGGGGTCAAGAACCTGTTGCGAGTTCGGCTTGATGTGGGGCATCTTTTTCCTTAACCTTTCTCAGTGTCAGAACCTTGGAAATTTATTTAAATTTGTTATGCAGATACATTAGAAAATAAAACAAAGTCAGAGAGTTGTAGAAACATCGAAAATTGGGGTGAGAAGGTACTGTATGTCGGTGGCTGATCAGTGATGACCGGAAACGGCCCATCTTTACCATTTATCAATTCCGCCCTGAATAGAACCACACCCCAAGGGTCAAACATTGAATGTAACCTCTCAAATTCTTCAAATACACTGTTAACAGGCGGTTCCTGTCAAGCACTGTCGAAATGTGGAAAGTCGATGATCCCATCAAGCACGTGACGTTACCTCTTATGTAGCTGATACGAATATATTCTGGTAGAGCTCACTTGCACATATGATATATGCATCTTCAGGTTTCCCAGTTGTGCGCAATCCCACACTTTGAAAATTTTGAATTTTCTGTATCCTCGACATACGGTTAGTGCAAAATTTTCTCGAATCTCAAAATCTCAAATGTGCATCTAATACTTTGTAGCACTTGAGCATTAGTCTGGCCGGGTCCAAGAGATAAGCCCACACCATGGCGAATTTGGGTCATGAAATCGATGCAGACGGACAGCCTCATTACGAGGCTGGAGCTCCGCATGATGAGATTCAAGAGATACCAGTAAATGAGCAAAAAAGAACCATATCCATCACCTACGATGCTGATCAAAAGACAAACGAATCTACCCACGCCGCTGACAATATGTCACTGCTCCACGAGTGCGTCTTCATCGCAACGATATGCACGGCTCAGTTCACGACCCAAGTGGGCTTAACGCAAACACTGGGTATTCTACACCAGATCGGCGACAGCTTCGGGGTCACAAACCCCGGCGTACTTTCTTGGTTTATCGCCGGCTACAGCTTGACGGCGGGAACGTTTATCCTGGTCGCCGGTCGGATCGGCGATCTCTTTGGCTACAAACGTATTTTCGTACTCGGTATGCTGTGGTTCGCTATCTGGAGTATGGTCGCGGGACTCAGTGTCTACTCGAATCAGTACCTGTTTATCTTCGCCAGAGTCCTTCAGGGACTCGGCCCGGCTGCTTTGCTCCCCAATGGACTTGCGCTGTTAGGAGTCTCATATCCACCCGGACCAAGGAAGAACATGGCATTCGCGTTATTTGGCGCCTGTGCACCCGGTGGTGGTGTCTTTGGATTTGTCTTCTCTGGCTTGTTTGAGTTAGCTTGGTGGCCGTGGACATTCTGGAGTTTTGCTATCGCCCTCGTCCTGCTGGCCGCTTTCAGCACCCTGATCATCCCATCACCAAGCCATTCGCCTAATCAAGACAAGGGACTAAAAGAAAAGCTTCAAATGCTCGATATTCCTGGGGCCGTTACTGGTGTCGCAGCCCTGGTTTTGTTCAACTTTGCATGGAACCAAGGTCCCGCATACGGTTGGCAACAAGCTTACATCTACGTCTGCCTGATCCTCGGTGTTCTTTTCGCGATCTGCTTCTTCTTCATCGAGTCTCGCTGGGCCGCGATGCCGCTTGTGCCGTTCAAGGTATTCACGGGTGACATCATCTTCGTGGTTGGCTGCATTTCCTGCGGCTGGGGCTGCTTTGGCATCTGGGTGTATTATCTGACGCAGTTCATCGAGGTGTTGAGGGGCGCATCACCGCTGCTTCTCGCTGCGTACATCTGCCCCGTGGCCGTATCAGGTGCGTTCGCATCCGTGGCTACTGGATTCCTGCTGCATCACGTTCGCGCGGCATGGGTCTTAACTTTTTCGCTGATATGTTTCATGGTGGGTACTATCCTGGTGGCGACAGCCCCGGTGCATCGAACGTACTGGGCTCAGTTGTTTGTATGCATGCTGGTCATCCCATTTGGCATGGATACGTCGTTCCCTGCGGCGACAGTTATCTTTTCGAATGCCGTCAAAAAGGAGCATCAAGGGATGGGTGCGGCCTTGATTGCTACGGTCGTGAACTACAGTATCTCGCTTGGATTGGGATTCGCGGGCACAATCGAGGTGCACGTCAACAAAGGTGGAAAAACGCCCGCTGATGTCTTGCTTGGGTATCGCGGTGCTTGGTATTTTGCCATTGGATTGACTGGGTTGGGTATTTTATTGAGTCTGACTTTCGTTGCGAAAGGCTATTGGCAGGATCACAAGGAGAAAAAGAGCTCAAGGGTAAAGGATTGAAACTCTCGTATTATTATAGGAAAATAGTGCTATTAGAAACTTCATACATCGGGGCTAAGGATAGAAGATAGGGAAGAGACCGGTTTATTTATTCAGAAACCAAAAGTTGACTCTTTTTCAATGTACCTGGAAATGTTGAGATCAACGTCACATTCAAATGCTTCAAATTCATGTCCGATTAAAAGGTAGTTGATAAGCTGTAACCCGTGAATATTACATAAAGTAATAATTAAACGCCATTGGCTGAATTATATTTAAACATGAAGGATAAACCCATTATTATATCATAACAATCGTGAGAAGAAAGCATGAGAATGACTTTTGGGCGTTCAAACAAACTTGTGCTAGAAAACCTGAATAACCTGAATATTTTGCACAGAATAAAGCAAAGGAAAGTATTGCAAATTTGCGAACAGCCGCCGACTTGGGGAAGTCCTAACAAATAATGGAAGCCTTGTCGGCGTGACTGCGAGCGGTATCAACTCTTATTATCTCTCCAGTGTGAGTTGTCGGAATCTTTTCCAAATCAGTGTCCCCATCTTGCTGGTTCACCTCTCGCTCAAGCTCCAATTGTTCAAGCTGCTTGATGCGCTTGAGCTCCTGGCAGAATTTGCTGTTGGCTCTGATACGGTCACCGTAACGGATAAAGGCAAATGGAATAATCGAGACACCTAAGGCTAAAAAGGCGATGAGACTGCATGCCCAGTGAATACCCAGTCGATTAAACATTGGCTTCGCAGCAAGGGGAAGCACTGCTCCCAAAATGCTTCTGGTGCAGCTCGCAGCTGACTGGGCGCTAGCTGACAAGGTTTCGTATGCGTCGGTAAGATAGTTCAGCATCGCCATGAAAATGAGAAGATAGCCCATTCCAAAGGGTATTCCAGAAAGGAATGGGACCACCCAAGGGATATTTTCAGAGGAAGTCCAGCCCACCCAGAACAGTGAAATAACGTACAAAGGACCACCAAGGCACGCGAGAGGAAGTCGTCGGTATTCTTCGATTTCGGCCCAGGGGGCTTTGCGGGCCTTTGCTCGAGCAAGGTAGCCGTCATACCAGATAAAGACGAAACATGCCAGGATAGCGCCGATACCAACTTTCAATCTAGTTAGAGCGGTTACATTTGTAGTGGATCGTGACCTTACTAGGTAGAAACATCAAACCGGCAATGCCAGCACTCATTCCATATAAATCTGTTTGAATCAGATTAACATGCGAGCTGATGCTTTTGCTTGCAGAACCAACCTTGGAAGATGATAGGATATGCCTCAAAATAAAGATAGAAAATGGCATATGCTAGGGCGAGGTACAGAGATGTCAGAGACACAATATATTCGTGGATGATCATGCGGAATGGTCGTGAGATGGTGATGAGGAACATCTGCCGAATATCACGACTCTCGACCTCCAGTGGGGACACAATATTTGAATTTCCAGTGTCTTTTCGAAGCTTCATCGCACGTCGCTTCAAAACAACAGGTCCATATGTTTCCGGCATCATGATGATTAAGGGAAAGGATGCGCCAGAACAAATAAGGCCAATCCAAAAGCACCATCGCCAACTCACGACGGCGACAAACCCTGATATCCAGGGACCCACTATCGGTCCAAAAGTAGTACACTATGAACTTAGCTATGTGGAAATGTGAATGGAGGGTGACTAACTCACAGCCATAAAATAGGCCATTAGACGGCCTCTCTTGGTTGGATTGTCCTGTACATCCGCAAACAATCCACCCACTGTGGCGATCGGTGCCGATGCCATCATTCCATTCAGGAGACGAAAGACCAGCAAAGATGGATACGAGTTGGCAACAGCACATGCTAGCATGAAAATCATAAAACCACAGTATGCGATGAGTAAAGGGCGCCTGCGCCCAAAATACTCGGAGCTTGGACCCCACAGAAGAGGCCCCAGGATGTAGCCGATCAGAAAAATCGAAATGGGCAAGACCAGGGCTTGTTGATTTTCGATATCAAATTCTGCCGCAATCTGAGGAATTGCGTTGCTACATATTGAAGAAGCAATTGTGCTGTTCATGACCTAAGATACGGCCAGATGTCAGACCCACCAGAAGGATACTTCCAGCTGCCACTCACCTGCATTACACCAGCGGCAAGCACTAGAAACTTGCGTCTCTGTGGTCTTCGTTAGTCTACCAACTTTCTTGGTACGCGAAAGCTCCAATCATCCAGACGGTGGTTTTACTGTACATTTTTCCAGTTGACCGGGTTATCAAGGTCATTGGACCCAAAGGAAACGATCGTCTTTGATGCTATCTGGCGGAAACGGGCATATGATGGATTTTCATAGCGCTCTTGAATAGGTTCGTGTAGGACGCCTGAGTCTTGGTCTGAGTCTCCTAATGACTCATTAGGAGATATGGGTACATCCTCTGTGAGAAGTGTCAATAAGACCAAGTCAAGATTAGGGATTACTGACCTGTCGCTGAAAGAGCCCTCTGTAAATTTTCTTCCACTGGAAAATGGTTCGACATGGTGATATTTGGGTTTCACATCGAATTGACAAAAACGCACTAGATGCAGATCTAGGTGGGAGGTGGGATTATAAAGAACCCATGGAGTTTAGTAAAGTAAATCTCCACTCTAGCAGGGTATTTGGGGTAAGAAGCAAATGAGATTGGATATTTTCTGGGTCTGTCTCCACATCGAATATCTTGACATTGTCCACGCCCTACAGCAGACATAACATGAGTCTGTGTGCGGTGTTCTAGCCAGGCTTGTGAGAACTTCCAGCCTAGTCAATTCGAATGAGGCAGGGATGCATGTTGATCCTCAACTAAGTACTTCGGTTAAGACGGCATTTCTGCAAACTTTGGGCATTTCCCAGTGGCAAAGGTCTGAATTCACATGAAACCTCGCACATCTATCCGACTTCGATACAGAGCGAGGCAATTAAGTCGTTTGCAAACTGATCATTTGACAAAGTTACAACCGCATGCGTCTTGGAATCTGAATTATGAGCCAACTAACGAGATGGATATCTATACATCACACAGATCAGCCTCAACAATCGAGAAACCTTCAAGAATTCTGCTTATTGGCATGGGAAGCAAACGGATCCCGTGGATCTCCAAACATGATCAACAGAACCTGCAAAAGTTGGTACTTGAAACCCGGTGCCGGTCCGGGTCCGTGACAAAGTTTTAGCAGATGTTGCTTGGCATTCGCGGGGATTCATTCAGGGTGGTTGACTCATGTTGAAACAGGAAGCCGGATCCGAATGGCTCCACATCCTTCCAAAGGATCTCTAAATGAGCAAGAAATATTATAAGAATGATTTCTTCAGAGCTACTTCTTCGTTTGATCAACTAAAGAATGTTGATATGCCTTTTTGGGAAGGTAATTTGCTGTGCCAAGAAATGATGGATTGTACATCCGCTTGCGTCTCTGAGGGGTCGGACATCTCGCCGATTCACCATCACCAACCTAAAAGCTATGGTCTTAAATCTTCATAGTGAAAAAAGAAGCCAGGCACCTGATTTTTGTTGAATTCAACATTTGAGTAGGCTTGAGATTCGTAGCGGTCATCGCGCGAATTTGCAAGGGATGTTAAGTGAACATCTGGAAGAAAATTTATGCTGCTTGATGTATTCCTCATAAAATGTGATACGTTTATCAATGTAGTATATGGGTTGGTACTAGTACATAGTTTTAGTACCTTAACTTACTTAGAAAAGTAAATTCAGAAAGAATCCATGAAGTATCAGTTTATGCCAGAGGCGTTAAGGCACCAAGGCCAACGACGCCAAACTCATTACGTCAGACCGTCCTCCACTAGGTCAAATCCGGTCTAGCGTAACGGGGAAAGCTGGAAAGTCGAATGCGAATGTCCTCATTTTGAGATCTTATCGTGGTCCCCTCTTGTTCCATTAAGTCCTTCTCATTCGAGAATTGCACAACCATGACTCCTCCTGCCCGTGGACGGGGCACAAGTCAACGGAGTCCGACCGTTCTGGTACGACCTTTTACAAAAGCAATCACCCAGGTAATCTCCGACCTGCAGAAAGCGTTGAGCTGACCAATTATTCAGGTCACCGATTCTCGCGATCATCAGCCCGCCTCCACAACTCGACGACACCGATCTCCTGCCACCCGTTTCATCACCGTCGATAATGTGCTCCAATATGCCTCTGATGTTCCCTCAATGCAGCAACGGCAGCCGCCGCCAACCTCGCGACCACGTCGACTGCCATCGGGTGGGCTAATGGGCCATGCCAGCGGATCTTCAACACTCCCCAGTTCAACTGGCACTATTGGACGACTGGCAGCACAACCGCGCCTTCCCCCACGGACAACCAAAGTCAGCGAGAAGCTCGTTCTTCTTCCCGACACGGGCGGCGTCGGCGAGGAAGACACCGCGGAAGACGACGAAGACGATGACCCCGATCATGTGGATGAGGAGCTTGTGGATCTGTTGGCCAAGCAAAAACATATGGATCCGGAATTAATCAGACGCCAGCTGCAGGAGCAGAAGCGACTAGGCGGTGATTTTGGCGTCGACAATGACGTTGCACCTTTGCTGGCCGAAGAAGATCTGCACCGAAAGCGACGTATTGCTCCCGAAAAGGCGAAGAGTTATGCCGAGCGATTGCCCAAGGCCCGCCGTGCAGAGAAGCTCGCTCGTGTCACCGCATACTGTACCGCACAGGCCTACAAGATGGGATCGTTGGCGTCGTTCGTCAAGGAATGGCATGGGGCCCGGACCAAGCTGTACGATGACTGTCTCTACACAGCCTACCATCTTCCCCTTTTGCCGGGTCACGAAGGATATCGCTTGCGCAGCAGTCCCGTTGTCAAATTCCCCGGCGGCAAGTCCCTCCTGGACGAGGAAATTGAACGCAATGAACTTCGTGATCACCATGACGATTACATCGGCGAATTTGAAGAACACTCGGTTGGGGGTCGTAATCGCTCCGAGGGACATCACGATGAGTCCTCACGCGATTCTGACCAAAGCTCGCGAGAGCAGAGCCAAGATCGATTCTTGACCCACATATCGGAAGAGGAGAGTCGCATCCAAGAGAACAACGAATCACCCAGTGACTCTAACCATTTCCAGACCTCAACAGAGGTGGAACAGGACCAACAGACTTCTGAAATGCCGCCTCCTCGTCGTCGTCACAGCTCTGATGATAGTCACACTCTTTTGCGAGATCTTGTGTCTCCAACGGCCAAACCGTCATCATCGAGATCTCCCGCGCCGGCGCGGACTCTTTACAACGTTGCGGAGATGTTCGTCTTTGGTTACGGCGTCGTGGTCTTCTGGAACTTTACTGAGCGACAGGAGAAGGATCTGCTGGCAGATCTGGCATTTGCAACCTCATCGGCGACTGGAACGCCCATCCCACTCACGACAATGCCGCTGCACGAGGAAGACTTTGAGACAGAGGAATTCCACTTTGAATACTCGACAGAGATCTCACGCCCTCGTGTGTATAATGATATGATTACTCTGCGGAGTGGTGACCACATGATCAAGCTGGCGATCAGTCACGGCATTTCCCAAAGCACAAAATTGTGTTTCTTCGAGGAGGTCATGGCCCGTCAAATGGCCGATGCAAAGGATGTTCCCCGCCGTCTCGCCATGACCGGAAAGTTGGGCATGAAACGTGATGAAGTCTTCCGAATTCTTGGCCGTCTCTTCAAGAGCCGAGTTGAAGTCAATCTTTGTATGTCCAGTTCCACGTGTTTGAAGGAATAGTACTAACTCATGACAGCGTCCAACATGCTCGACGTTCCAAATTTCTTCTGGGAAAGCGAACCTACTCTTTACCCGCTTTACCTCGCTGTTCGAGAATACCTGGAAATCAAACCACGAATCCAGGTGCTCAACGAGCGCTGCCGAGTGTTCTTAGACCTTGCAGAAATTCTGTCCGACTCGATAGCCGACAATCGCACTTCTCGTAAGCTACTTGCATCTTCAGTGGCGAGCATTCGAAAAGCTAATTATTGATAGACCAAACCTGGATCATCATTGTCCTCATTGTCATTTCTATCCTCGTCACCTTGGCAGAGGTGTTCCTACGTTTCGGGCTTCTCCATGCCCGTGAAGGTGCTGTTTCTAGCCCGACTACTATCCTTGCCCGCGCCATGGGGCGATCAATTCCTTCCCCATCTTCGGGGTGGTCTTCCGCCAATATTCCTCCCGGGTGTGTCTGTCCTTCTCCTATGCCCGGTAGCGGAACAGAGTTGGGTGTCGGTTCAATTTGGGGCTAGGCGCAAACATTCTTTCCGCGCAGTTCCGAGAAGGTGTTAGGGGATGGGCGTGGATCTGCATATACTTGATTATCTTTTATTACATATCTTATCTCTGAGTGGCAGTCTAATTTTGCATTGAACCTATCACTAGGGAATCTCATGACCCTCCTTAGTTTAACCCCCAAAAAATGCAAACAACCTCTATCGTGTAAACCATGGCAATGCTGGAAGTAGACCCATTCACGTTTAAATTATGTTTAGAGTCAACCGAAAATTTAAACGACCTGAATGTGCATAACTTTAGTGTACATTAACGTTACATGCTAATTGAAGTTGCTCAAATCCCCACCTCAAACTCCAGGGATACCAGCCCACAGACAACCACAATCAGTGGAAACAGCAAAAGGAATAAAAACACCGAGTCAACAACAAGATCAATACATGTCTACATCCACAAACAGAGCTTTCCACTAGCGGTACCGCCAGCAACCCAGTTCTTGCTGCGGTGAAAGACTGCGACTGCAGGGACAGCTGTGATGCCATCACCTCCCAGCTGAGCAAGCTGATCACCGCCAGCACTGTAAACATCGACGAATCGATTCATGTTTCCAATGCAGAACTTTTGGATATGGGATTGCGGGTTCAGTTGCCATTGCGGACGAAGACTAAAAGGTCAGTAGGAATTCACCAAGGGGAAGAAGTGATCGGCTTACATTGTAACCCAGCGCCCAGTCTGACAATTGTGTCTCACGACGGTGTCCGGCCGGAATTCCTTATCGCCGAGCTGGTGGCCCTTTGGCCAGGTTGAAATGCCCTTGGCGCCCAAGTCATAGATTTTCAGAGTATCATCGTATGAGGACGTTGCAATTTGACCGGCGGCATTGAATGCAGCATGGGACACAGAAAGACGGCTCTCATGCTCTGCGACGGGCTCTGGCTCGTCGAAGGATAGGTTCCGGAGATCCCACAATCGCATGAAGCGATCCAAACTGGCGGTGGCAAACAGATGGGAAGAAGATGGGCAAAGTGTGAAGCCGCCAATTTTCTTCTCGGATAACTGCCATGATGACACTGTGCTTTTGGGAGTGCGAACGTCATATCGGGCAAATCCACCGTTGAGAGTAGTCCAGTATAGAACATGTGGGTCCTCGGGGGCCATGTCAATGCCGGAAATTGCTTCATCGATGTTTGTTGATTCCGGCCCATACTTCTCTACCGACACAGTTTTTTCAAGATCTAATTCGCGGATGGAGCTGTCATAGCTCGCGGTGTACAACGAAGTTGGCTTCGATGGGTGAACCGTCATGCAGCTGATTGTTCGAGTGTGGATTTTAAGGGTCGTCAGGATGGGGTCTGGATCCTCCTCATCTTCCTCATCCTCTTGCTTCACTTCAGGCTTCTCCTGTGAGGCATCTAGAATGCCAAGATGCCCCATTTTATCGCCCGCAAAAATCAAAGGTTTAGATTCGGAAGGATGGAATGCCATAGTATACACGCGCTCGGGAGTAATCTTGATTCCTAATCGCATGGCAGGTCAGTTCAGTTCATGTTCTTACATTGATCGTGGTTGGAAACCTACTTTGTGGCTCCCACTTATCCCACAATTGCAACCCATTCATCTCCTCGCGAAGCGCTTTAAGTTCCTTATCGTTTGTCTTCTCAATCTCTTCATCACCAAATGTGCGAACATACGGCTCAGCCACACCTTTGTTCACAGCATCGATTCCGATCAGGCTTTGTCCCGTCAGTTTCTGACCAGCGATGAACATGTCATTTTGAGTGAATGAATCGGTGCGTCTGATCTTCTTAGCACGTTCCACTTCTTTTGCCGCCTCGTACTGTTCTTCCGCTTTGCGTTTGGCGACCTCGCTGTCGACTGCGAGTCCCTGGAGGCGGGACGACTGTCGTCGTGGAGCTGGAGATTCTTCTTGCTTCACACGCTTGGGCGCAGCTCTTTTTTTGGGCTTTGCTGAGTTATTCGATGTGCCAGGGCTCGCAAATTTCCCTGCGGGCTGCGTCAGTTGTAACTCTTTTAGAAGAGCCTTTTGTTCTGCGATGTTCGCCTGTCGCTGCCTTTCAATTTCGGAAAGGCCATTTGGCGTGTTGATGGCCATCTTGAAAAGAGTATTGAAATCGAGCCTTGAGTAGGATGTGGAAGTGAAAGAGACGCGGTCATACGCGACATAGAACGCGGGGTCAGGTGACCATCTTAGTGGAAAACCGTTCAACGAACAACTCCAGCTTTCTGGCTTTTGAACATCACCTTGGAGGTATCCGATAAAGCTTGACTCTGTGCTGGATAACAGTGCTGGCGTTTATCCCATTCCGATGGCAAATCTTCCACGCCTTTACCTCCTGTCCACAGCGACTTCATCCACAACATTTCTCTACCAGACCCGAACTCTCTCGCAATTATATCAGAGGTCCCCATTGGTCCACCAATTTCACCGCGAATATTCTACCGAACAAAAAGATCCAGGGAGAGAAGTAAAAGCAGTTGGTTCTTCAGCAGACCCAGACCTACAAGACCAAAATGACTCCACAAAATCAACACCAACCGATCCTCCACGACGCACAAGCTACCTCCGTCATCGCGGTGCTGCAGTTCCTCGCCCAAAAGTAAAAGGAACTAAACCGTCGGCCCCAAGACTGAAGCTCAACACGATCACTCGAAATGAGCGGGAGGCTTTTGGGGGTCTCTTGACCAGGTTGAATACTGCGCAGAAAAGCCCACCGCTGGAGACCCATGAGCCAGATTCGGTACCAAAGACCGAGGACCTCTTGGCCGTAATGAGCATTTTTGAATCGATCCTGGAGGACAAAAGCGCCGCCGCCAAGGAGTCTCGAGCCGCCAAGTTCCAGGACGGCACGCTATCAGACAAAGGCCCTTCTCGCAAAAGCGACCAACCAGAGGAAACAGTCTATGAGGCAGAGGATGTCCGAATCGGCGATCTGGGTTTGGAGGTATCCAGTGCAGGAACCAATGCAGATTCCGTTGTCACCCTGACAGAGGCAGTGAACATGATTGTGGAGCGAGAGGCGAAGAGAATTGAATCCGAGCTTTTCCAGGCCGTTGAGCAGGGCAAGGGCGATGCAGGCCTCTGGGCTGTCTGTAGGGAACGGATCTTCACTATGATAAGTCATATAGGAGGTCCGATTAGTGCAAATGACCAGAATCTGGATCCCGACTCTGTCAACGCAGCGCATTCATCCGGGCCGTTGAACATCCCGGCCGCGGTCCCAGCTGGCCCCGTGGTCGCGAAGCTCTACCCGCAACTTCTCCTTCTCGCATTCAGAATCCTTAGCACCCATTTCCCGCAATCACCACTCATCAGCCAATTCCGGACTGCGGCCAAAGCGCACGGCAGCTCTTCTGCATTCTTGGGAACCTCTCAGACCCTTTGCGACGAGTTGATGGATTTTTACTGGTACAGCTGCAACGATCTCCCTGCGGTGGTTTCATTCCTACGTGATATGGATACTGCTGGCCTGGATCCAAGTCGCCGGGTTCGCAAGCTTCTACGAGACATCGTTCAACAACATGATCGGGATGTGAAGTCCACCCGCAAAGCTGGAGGTGAACATTTTTGGGATGCACCGCCGAATCAAAAAGCGTTTCATGAGCTTGCAGGGTCGGGTGGCTGGATTGAAACCATCAACTCTCGCAAGCTTCAACGGCGTAGGACTGCCATACCCGTGCCGAGGATGTGATCATGTTGCTGTTCAGTACTGTACATTATTGACGTTTGTAGATACCAATGCCACTAGACATGGAAAACCAATATAATTCATAATGCTATGGCCATACAGTGCCCACAGTTCTTGAAATCGGAAACTAAGAAGTAACAGATAAGTATCGGGCCAAGCTCAATGACGAACACTGGGTTAATCACAGAATACCCAAGTAACGACAACATGAAATCCATTGCAAACTGCATTCCAAAGCTAATCATTGAATCGGCATTCAGGCCGAATATTCAGGCGATTACATAACCCGGTATGACGCCAAACTGCGTCCCCGCACGTTATCGCTCCGCTGTTTCTTTTCTTTTCTGTGCAATTCGTTGGGTGTAAAGTTGTTCTTCTCTATGAACCATTTGAGGAGTTCTTTGCGATCAATTTGTTCCCTATCCTCGACTCGGCTCTCCCTACCTCACCTTTCAATCAACAACTCGTTCGCTCTAGCCGTTCACCCCACCTCCATCCGACGCACTATGGCTTCCGCAATGGCAAAGCGCCTGGAGGGCAAGACCATCCTTGTGACTGGCGCTTCTTCTGGCATCGGAAGGAGTACCGCGAAAGAGTTTGCACGCACCTCGCCGAAGAATCTCAAGCTGATCCTGACTGCTCGCCGCATTGATACCTTGAAGGAGGTCGCCGCGGAGATTAAGGCAGAAGTCGGCGACGGTGTCCAGGTGCTTCCTGTGAAGTTGGATGTCAGCAATCCGGAGGAGATCAAAAACTTTGTTCCATCACTGCCGGAGGAGTTCAAAGACATTGATGTTCTGGTCAACAATGCGTGAGTTATCTTTCCGAACATCAAGCGGGACAGAGCAGTACTGATTAGAATTCACATACAGTGGTCTCGTCAAGGGCCTTGCGCAGGCCCCCGATATTGCGACCGAGGATATCAATGTGATGTTCAACACGAACGTCAACGGTCTAATCCACATGACCCAGGCGATCCTTCCCATCTTCAAGAGCCGATCGGAGGGCGGCCGTGGTGATATCATCAACATTGGCAGTATCGCTGGTCGCGAGCCTTACCCCGGAGGTAGCATTTACTGTGCTACCAAGGCGGCGGTGCGGTCTTTCACAGATGCATTGCGAAGGGAGCTCATTGCAACCAGAATCCGCATCATCGAGATTGACCCTGGTCAGGTTGAGACGGTAAGTTTCCCTTGAAATTTCCCGTAGCAATGTCTAACATAAGTACAGGAATTCTCCGTCGTGCGGTTTTACGGAGACAAGTCCAAGGCTGATGCCGTGTACAAGTAAGTGGGATGGTCGTGGCATAGAAAAGCTCGTTTGTCTGACTTTCAAATTATAGGGGCGTTGAGCCATTGACCGGAGATGATATTGCGGAGGTTGTTGTCTTCGCTGCTGGCCGAAGAGAGAATGTTGTAATTGCGGACACACTAATCTATCCCAGTCACCAGGTAAGTCCAATCCCCGAAGTCTGTGAGGGTATCTTGAAGCTAAAAACATCAGGCGGGTGCTGGTTCCTTGCACCGCAAGTCATAAATTCCTCTTTCACTCAACAGGGGAAGCACATACATAGTAAACATTGTATCATAGAAGGTACAATCCATGATGAAATGATTGAAACACATAGACCAGTAGAGCCCGAAGCGATGCCTCGGATATCTCGGGATTATCCGATTGCAGATCCACCCAAGTCCCCTAGCCGAGTCCAGTAAAACGCATCAATTAAACAAAATTCCAACATCGGCTCAAAATTTAATCGCGACATAGCCTCAAGGTGCTAGCCCTGGGTCCAAACGATATATGGCCAATCTATGTACACGACCTGAAGCTGATTTCTATCTCGGACCTTTTCCGGGATAAATCATCATAATTCAGGCATTGAATATTGTTCAGTGGGGATTCAATTTCCAATGTTATTTTTAGTCCACGGGGGTTTGGTTCCTGACACCGGAGTTAAGTGGAGATCTTCTACTCCCTAAAAAGAATCCACTAGTGGCTGGACTAGATGGACGCCTCTCGTCGAAACGCACAAACACGGGGCTTCACCTCCTTTTTTGTGGTTTTCTTTCCAATGTTTCCCCCCCAAGTGCGCCCCTTAATTTCCCATATATCTGCGTATGTATATCTCTAGCCCTGATGAATCTTTGCTAAAATCGAAGATCAGACCTTCCGGCTTTTGGTAGCCCCCGCCACAACCCAGAACTGCAAGCAACCTTGGAACCAGATCTCCAATGGCATCCAAGACGTTTAAGTTCTCGGAGTTGCCGCCGGATCAGCGGATTCTCTCCGGTCAAAAATACAGAAAATCTCTCTATTATGCAGCTCAAGCCGCAATCTGGACTGGTTATCTTTATTTTGGTATCCGCTTATTAGCAGTCCTGTCTAGCCCTTACCAATGGCAAACCTGGATAATGTTAGCTGTGGAGTTGATCTTTGCTCGTAAGTAAACTTCCCAAAAATTAGTAGTCCTTGATGTTGACCTTAGTAGACCTGGCTAGGAAAGAACAACTTCGTTCTATTACAGCTGGAAAAGTTCAAAATGGTGGTCCAAGGAAGAGGCTGCGTCTTCAAGGAGATGACCTCCCTCGTGTGGATGTTCTATTACCTTGCTGTGGTGAACCAGTCGACATTATTATGCAAACAGTGCAAGCGGCATGTGTAATGGACTATCCTAATTTCCGAGTTCGCCTTCTAGATGACGGGGGCTCGGCCTTGTTGAAAAAGACCGTATTAGGGCTACAGGATCAATGGCCACATCTATCTTATCATTCCCGTGGTCGCCAATCCGGTCAAGTTTTCGCTAAATCGGGCAACTTGAACTATGCCCTTACCACGCTTCAGAAGGATGATCCACCGGAGTTCTGTGCAGTCTTAGATGCGGACTCCATCCCATCACCAGATTTCCTTCGCGCTACCCTTCCCCATCTGCTAGAAACATCTCCTTCGGGCCCGGTACTGGTTTCTACGCGTCAGTACTTCTCCAACCTACCAAAGGGAGACCCTCTCTCACAAGCCCGATGCCATTTCTACACCTGCCAAAACGCAGAGCTAGATATTCTAGGCCGCGCTATAGATGCCGGCTCCGGTGCGGTATTTAGGCGGCAAACTATCATGGACGTCGGGCTCTATCCAACCTTCTCCTTTTCAGAAGATTGGCAGCTATCATTGGTGTTGCAAGGATTCGGGCACCAAACCGTCCAAGTACAGGAGCCATTGCAGTATGGTCTTGTTCCGACATCCATCACCGGACATATTGCCCAAAGAAGCCGATGGAACATTGGTCATGCCCAACAGATAGTTTCTATGTATTCTCGCGATTCCTCATTTGCGAAGTTTCCGAAAGATCTTCAAAGAAACATTGCTTGGAATGGAGTAGGCATTATCGGAGGGGAGGTTAGCTGCCTCATTGGCTTTGCTGTCATCCCAGTTCTCCTCCTCGCTGCATGTGGAGATATGATCCCAGCTACAACAAGCATTACGAATACGCTCCAGGTGATCTTGGCAACACTTTATATCCTGTTAAACTGGATATATGAGTTTTGCCAAGCTGCACAGACTGGCTTCCAGAGCGCTCCATTTGCGCACTTAGAAAATAAGTGGCAGGCTGCTGGTAAGTTTACCATTTTTTCGGGCTTGAATCTTCGACTAACAAGGTCCGCTATTATAGGAAACATCTATTCTATCCTACGGTTCTATCTGTTAACTAGCAAGCCGAAAGGTTCTTTCGTGACAGGTAGCACTGCTAACTCTTGGAATCGTCTTACGGGGTCATCAATGTCTTCATATATTCGACTATACAGAGACCTATGGGAGAATCGCCTCTTTTGCAACGTCATTGTCCTGATCGCGACACTGGGAGCGATGTTCTACACAACAGCGGTTGTCCTGTCAGGGAATCAGAGTCTGATCAAGCTCCTGACGTCAATTGCCTGGCCGCCACTGCTCCATGTTTGCTATCTCAGCATTGTAAACAACTGGGTACCCGTTGCCTATCTGTTGGATCCTCCGAACTATCCCGATCGGAAGGCTTAAGCTCAGTGCTATTAAGTGTAAGATTCAACCCACCGAATCTCAGAACATGTGGTACAATAGGCGATGCAAGCAGGAATGTGCTGCAGCTGGGAGGTAGTTGGGTTGAGTTTAATAAATAAACACATTATAGATGGAAGTTTGGTCTCGCCCTCGTAGTAATAAATAAACACATTATAGATGGAAGTTTGGTCTCGCCCTCGTAGTATGTAATTCTCATGACACCCCTACATCGTCCTGCGTTTCCACTATGTATAGCGCAGCTGCCCAAGCATACTTACATACACGGCGCCTGATACAAGTTATTTCCTCGCGTATACCCTCCTCTGAAATTCTTACAGAGCAATATGACCTTCAATCTCAGAAGCCTTCTATCGGTAATCAAAGATTGAAATTGAAATTGAGCTTGTTCAATGTTCAATGCTATCGGCCGTCGGCTACGGAATGAGCCGCAGTGGATACCTGGGCGGTATTGTGTAATCGGCTGTTATGTTACATGCGGGGAAGGCTTTCCCCCGCGATTATGCATGTGGTAACAGCGTTTTTAGCTGGTACAGGACAATAATCGAATTTCCAAGCCCTTCCAATGCGACGGGACTAACATTCTGTCATTTCATGAGTTCATTCTACTCCAACTGAATATAGGGAAATGATTGACCCACTACCGAGCATGGTTTTCTGTATTGACGTCGGCTCTCGGCAGTCCATGACGTTCTCATCTGTGTAATTCAAGCAACTCACCGCCTGAATCAGACCCGCACCAGCGAATCCGGAGAAGTCGACCAGAAGCAGCGAACGACCCGACTTTATACTTTGGTAACTGACTTTCATTCACTCCTTTGGGAAGTCAATCGTTATTTCTAGTCTTGCAATTATGTCTGATCATGTAATCTCCGGCGTTATATCAAGTTCTCCCCGGCCCTCCGCTTCTCCTGACTCTATCTTCTCGGCTTGGTGGGCCGGACTGACCAGCTGGTGGAATATTCATCCTTTATCATCATATTCCCAGCTTTCTCAAGCTCCCGATCAGCAATCCACTGGATTGGAGACACAAGATCCAATTATGGAGGCATTGCGGCTTTCCAATGCTCGATGGCGCACTTACTGGCTCGCTGCCGTGCTTTGTTGTGGCGGAGCATTGTTTGGATATGATTCGGGCGTCATTGGTGTGTACCTACTATATTGTGGTATCAATTTGCTTTCCATCTCTAATCTATCCAGGTGGTGTTCTCACATTCGACTCCTTTCAGCAATCCTTCCAATTCACCGCCCAGGAAAAGACCCGGATCAGCGCCATTGCAGTCGGTATCCAACAGGCTGGCGCACTAGCTGGCTGCTTTATCGTGTGACCGGTGACCAACCGCTGGGGCAGACGAATTGCCATGATGGTCTGCTCAGTGGTCTTCTGCATTGGTGTTGTACTAGAAGTTATCGACACTCACTCATTATCAGCATTCTATGTCGGGCGAGTGATCTGTGGTCTTGGTGTAGGTGCTTCTGCAACTGTGATCCCGATTTACTTGTCCGAAATGAGTCCGAAGGAAATTCGTGGTCAGCTTGGAAGCTGCTACCAGTTGACCTACACCATTGGTATCTTGGTGTCTTACTGGATCGACTACGGTGTGGAGAAAATGCCCTCGAGTGCCAAGCAGTGGCAGCTGCCAATTGGCCTGCAGCTTGTTCCAGGCGCGTTGATGGGCCTGGGGATGTTCACTCTGAATGAGAGTGTGCGCTGGCTCCTAGCCCAGGGGAAGACCGCCGAGGCCTGGCAAAGTCTGGTGTGGATCCGCGCTGGTAATGGTGCTGCCGTGCGGGAGGAGTTTGAGGAAATGCAGCGTGGTCTCGAAGAAGAGCGCCATATGACGGCTGGCTTCCACCCCAGGGAATTGCTTGAAGGGCCCAACTTGCACCGGCTCTTGATTGGCGGTGGACTATTCTTAGCGCAGCAGTCGACCGGTTCGACCGCGCTCGCCTACTTTGGTCCACAATTCTTCTCGCTTATCGTGGGTCCTGGTGACAAGAACTTGTTATTGACCGGCATCTTCGGTGCTGTCAAGGTTGTTGCTTGTTTGATTTTCGTGGTCTTCATGTCCGACCGGTTCGGACGTCGGCCAGTGCTAGCTGGAGGAGCTGCCTTCATGGCTGTGTGCATGCTGGCTACCGCTGCTGTTGTCAAGAACTATCCACCCCAGAATGGAGTGGTATCCTCTGCAGGTGCAGGCACTGTCGCATTGATTTATCTCGACATTATCGCCTATAACTTCAGCTGGGGCCCGCTGCCCTGGCCCTGCACAAGCGAGATATTCCCTACTCGGATCCGCGAGCCAGGTGTTGCATTTGGCGTTGGTTCCCAGTGGCTCTTCAATTTTATTTGGAGCTTCTCCACTCCGTACATCATGGCTGGAATTGGCTGGGCGACATTCCTGCTCTTCGGTCTACTGGACATTCTCATCGTGGGTTTCACTTACTTCTGTTTGAAGGAAACTGCAGGCAAGACGTTGGAAGAGATCAATGAGATGTTCGAAGGTATTGATCCGGATGCTGAGCAAGGCTGGAAGGATGATATCGCTGAAATAGGCGTGGGGACGACTCCAAGAAATCGACTACCGCAATACCTGGATGGCGCCGAGTCGGTCAATACGGCCAAGTCTGACCAGGATAAGATTGGCACCATGCATTCCGAGTTGACCGCAGGCCGGGCTTGACTCGTTTAGAGTTGTTTATATGTTGTTTTTATCGTCTTGTCGACATTGAAGTATAGTAAGTAGCACATAAATGTACATACTCACACATGGAACGATGTGTACAGGCCGATACATTGTAGCTTTAGGCGCGTTACGTATTTCATGGCTGTGCCTTTTGGAATATACAAATAGCGGAGATCAGCCACGCTTTTGAGAAACAGTAGTGGGTATCCAATTCGTTTTATCCTTGGTTCTATCTGAATCCCGATAGCGTGTATACATATCTCATATTTTCATTTTCATTTTCATTCGCTCATGAGCGCTTAGACGATCACCTTGTGACCAGCAGGCTGCTCCTCAGGCTCACCGAAGATGTTGATGTCCCAGCGAGGCTTGTCTGTAATGGGTTAGCGATCGATCTTCTTTGCATAGCTTGACGGGCACTTACTAGCAGTATAAGGGGTGTTGTAACGTTTCCGGTCCTTGCCCAGAGCGCTGACCTTGGCAACCTCCTCGTCAGTGAGCTCAATCTCCTTGAAGTTGTCCTGAATACGCGAAGGGGTAATCGACTTGGGAATAACACTGTGACCTCCAACCTGGGACCAGGCAAGACTGAGAAAGAAGCGTTAGCGATAGAAAGAAGAACCAGCTGCAGAAGAACATACATAACGTGAGCACCAGTGACGGATTTGCCGGTGCGCTTGGCAACAGACTCGGCAACCTCCTTCACCTCAGGACGGGTGATGAGAAGAGGAATGTTAAGCATGTTGTTACCAAAGGCAGAGTAGGCAGTGACGTGGATGCCCTTCTTCTGGCAGTACTCAATCAGGTCGTTGCTCTGCAGGACAGGGTGACGCTCAATCTGGTTTGCGGCGGGCACAACGCCAGTGCCGTTAATAATAGCCTCGAGCTGCGGAGTATCAGTATGGGCAAATCGAGCGGTGTTGGGACGGTAGACGAACGTGAGGGATGGTGTGGTTGGAGACACCGACGGCACGAGCCTTGCTCTTGGGGAGCTTGGTCATGGCTACGAAAAAATTGCGTTAGTTTCGGATCCGAAAGCTATGGAGTTTCCAGTGTTTTGACTTACCTCTCCAGGTGTCGACAATGGAAACATCATCGTCAATGACAACATCACCACCCTCAACGGTGCTGTTGGCGACGAGAGGGAAGTAGTCATCACCCTTCTGGAAAGCAACGGGCCAGTGAACAAGGTAGAGCTTGTTCCGTTAGCTGTGATTCAATAATTGTCGTAATCTCCGCTTACATCAAGGTAGTCCAGCTCCAACTCAGCAAGACAGCCATCTAGAGAGGCCTCAACGACCTCCGGGCGGTGCTGGCTGTTCCACAACTTGGAAGTCTATTGAGAGTATTTGTGAGTAATGGATGATTTAGGGGATCACCGACAAAGAGAATACATACAATGAAGAGGTCCTCGCGCTTCAGGCCGGGAATATCCTGATAGGCGCGCTTGATACCGGCGGCAACCTCACGCTGGTTCTGATAGCTAGACAAAAGATCAGTCAGCAGGTGATCTATCATCGCAATTGAGTTGATTGACGTCATGGGGGATTGTTGACATACATAGTGGCCAAATCCTAAAGCAAAGAATGTTAGTACATGCATCTGTATCCCAATCCATTTTCCAGAGAAACCTCGTACCAGGTGACGGTAACCGGCCTTCAGGGCCTCATAGACGGCCTCACCAACCTGGCCAGGGGCAGACTGCCAGGTACCGAATCCCAGCTGACTGTAGAGCTATTAATTGTTGTTTTCTCAAGTCTTTTGTTGTTACAGTTTATACGTACGGGATCTGGGCACCAGTGTTAAGAGTAACCTTCTTGCCGAGAGACATTGTGTAATTTTGTGAGGAAGATAGAGGATAGAAATGAATTGGAAAAGCAGAAAGTAGGGGGACAAGGACATTAATAAATTCCCCGGCGGGGTTGGAATACTTGACATCCCACGTTTGCCCCTCACAAAGGCCGGACTAGACCCCACCGAGAGGGGAAAGATCGGCTTCAGTTGATGATATAACATAAACCCCAAATATCCAGCTATTATTCAATGTTTCAAGCTTGATGTCATATATAATTCAATTGGAAATACAAGCTCGATGTATATGTGATCAACTCTTTCTCATAATATGTATCTCATTGTCTCCAATGTCTTCTACCTACTTTTGTGATGTCATTGTACACAGTTATTACCCGCTTTTAACCGATTTGAACTCCACCTGGAGAACTGGGGTAGAAAGTTACTGGCCACGTTTCCACAAATGAAATTCGCTTTTCAATGGTTCTACGGAAGATTCCAAGGTCGGGCACCTAATTCGGGTTAGCAAATGGTTTATACACTGCCAAGTTGAACTCGGACTTGCGCCGGTCCCATCGGCTCGATCGCTCCGAATTTTCCATTCCCGAGACCATCCCGATGCCGTGAGCTTCCATCACGATGATGAAAATGACTTCAACACAACTCCAACTTCATCTTCCACCTCCCGAGGTCCACCCAAGCCCACTCGCACCGCTCATCGTCTGAACCTCACGAATCGTTTTCGATTCGATTTCCTGCCGGTGCTTTTACATGAATGCTAGTCCTGTCAGAAGTGCCGTGAATTTCCTCAACGTAGTCACCTTGCATGTGCAGTTGTCCTGTCACTAACGATTTAGGATCTGACAAAATGCTGCTAGGACATGCTGCTTGTCTTGGTTGACGAGCTTGGGATATCCATATGCGCTTGAGCCACCTCCTACGGACCGCGTCTTTTTCCAGGCGAGATGGCAGGCCTGGCCTTCAATTGGGATCTAAAAAGCACGGCTGGACAAAACAAAGCCTCTTCAGAATATAACATTCTTGACCGTCTGATCGGACACCCCAGGGTTGGTCTGTCAATCTCCATGTCATCATGAATATGATATCCATCTTTCGAGACCAGTGAGAGCTCTCAATGAGCCGTTCTCAGTTCCTTCTATGTAAAGAGTCGAGACTCTTGGATCCCGTCCAACTGACGTGGGGGCATCATGAATTCCTGCCCCTTATGTAGTCCATGATCACCACTTCTGCGTTGTAGTACCCAGGGAAGCCCTCGATCCATGAAAAGTTGCAACAGATTCTTTCTGTTCCATGTGTAAACCCCGGGAGGATGCATTTTTATTTGGCCATTGTCGCTGTGTCTAGTTCTTGTGTCGTGATGAATATCTAACGGCATCGAGATACATCTGGGTGGACATGAACTACACCAACCCCGAACAAAAGGCCTTTGCAATTAGAATCAGGCAATAATGTTGCATTCACTGACAAGACTGAGGTGAGGTGGTTGACTCATGCATCAAAAATTTGCCTATGAACAGTGAACATCTGGAAATCATCAATTGGTACTTCGAGACTAATAGGCAACTGGTCAATTGGAGGCAACTGGTCAATGGGCGGGGAAACCACACATGACCTCCGCCCGCACAACAAGGCCACTTCCACTCCCACTTCCGCATTTCTCCCCTATCCATCTCCATTCAACTCACCATGTCGCACCACGCCCGCATCGAGGAGGTTTCGGACTCCGACCCTGAAGAGGTCGCTCCCTCCTCAGAGCCCCTCCCCAGAAATTCCGTCATTGCTCCCGTCTCCGCCTCCGTCCCACCAGCCAACCCATTCCCCATGCCCCAGATGCCCGAGCCTCAACCCCAACCCCAGCGCGAAATCCCCAGACATTACCAATGTCTTTACCCTGTTTATTTCGATAAGACCCGTTCTCGCGCCGAGGGTCGCAAGGTGGGATCGGAGCTTGCGGTGGAAAACCCGCTGGCTCGAGACATTGTGGATGCAGTGCAGATGCTGGGATTGAAATGCGGTCTGGAGCCTGAAAAGCTGCACCCTAAGGACTGGGCCAATCCCGGCCGAGTGCGTGTACTGCTGAAGGATGAAAATGGCCGATTGGCGAACTCCCAAATCAAGAATAGTACGTACCTGACTGGCACATGATCCGTTGTCGCGGATTTTTCAATAGCATTGCATCGCTAACTCAATGCCCTGCAGAGCACCATCTTTTCATCCTCGTCGCACAATACCTCAAAGCCCATCCGACCAATGAACAATCTCCATACCGACTCCGCATCCGTGGCTTGCCAATGCCCGACAAACTCCCCGAAGCTCCCCAAGCACCGCGTGGGTGGAAAATTGGAAGCATCTTGCCCATTCATTCGCCCGCCTACAGCGGAGGTGGGGTCAGCGACAACCCGTTCAAAGAGGCAATGGCGGAGCTGCAGAACATGCAGGGAATGCCCGGTATGCCTTCAATTCCGGGAATGCCTGGCATGCCCGGCATGTCAGGCGAGTCTTCAGGAGCCGATTCAGACAAGAAAAAGAAAGACAAGAAGAAGGGCAAGGCTTGAATCAACTTCTTCTCTCCACTTGTCTTTCGTGGTTTCCACTTGCATTGCACGGCGACGGGCGTTTTTTCTTTTCTCCTTCCTATACGATAGAGGATACACAACTTCTTGATACCTGGTGCCTTCGATGGCTAATGTCTGGAGTGTGGGTAACGGACCCAGCAGATCCTGTGCGGCCACAAAGTGGCCTCTGCTCATGTACAACTTCCAAAAATTAACATTTCAGTATCATGACGCAGGTCGTGAGACTTCTTTACAAATATTTCAGAGATATCCAATGAAAGATTACCATGAAGACATTTCTTTTCTCTGACACGGAGAGGCCCAATTCATTGGGACCATTACTTGTGATCTGAGCTACATACTAACTAACACGAGTCGCAGAGCTGTATCTTGATGGTCGTTCATATCGATGATCTATCGTTGAATGTATTTTGCTATCACAGGATCGACGCTTGGTGAAGACCACTGATGACTCGGAACATCCCATCACTTAAATCCGCCCAAGCGCAAGTGGATCATCAGGAAGTTCTTTATGTTTTGGCGAGAGGTTTGCTGGCTCCTGCATGCGAGTCTAGTAGCCTACTTGGTGGCTCGAGGCAAGGCATCTACTAATTGCGCAGGATTGAAATCAAACCCTCTCAGACATATATGGCTGCTGCACTAATTGTAAACCGCCTAATAGGAGGCACGTTTCTACCTACTCTATTAAATCACACTAAAGGCATTAAGGGCATAGCATGGTATACAACGAATGAAAGACCATGAAGGGAATGGCAGACTGAGGCCTTGCTAGTAATTCCTGCCTAATAATCATTAGGTATAAAGGCCATATCCTTTGAACATAATTGGAAACAAAGGCTGGATAGACATGAACAAAGCACTGTATAGGAACCAGAACAAAGATTCAAAGTATGATCAATGATTTTTGCGTCTAAGAAATTCAAATCGATACAAACAAAGAATACATATTCATAGATTATCCTTGAGAAGAACATAAATATAGCAGCAATGCCATATGTTCAAGGTTATCACAAATTGGTTTGATTTTCACAGCTATTATTGACCTGCCTTAAACCAGGCATAAAGTCAAAAGTAAAGGCAGTTTTTTCCTAGATGTGTCAGGTCCAGTCGACCCGACATTGGGCTTGAGAAATACCCAGAATCACTCAAAGAACTGACAAAAGGAGAGGCAAGAATTCTGACATAGCCATGCATTTAAACAACACCAGCTACTCCTCCTATAAAGCACGAATTTTACGATTCATTCTGGCTTTGCCAAAACGCCTACGACGCCCAAAACTGAGCAAACCCCCTCAGTTATGCAGCGTTCACCATTTGCTCAATCCTGAAGAGACTTCAGATATACTGCATCTCATTCAACGTGAGGTCACAGTGCACTTTCACCCATTTGACACACATCCAGAAGATATCCCACCAGCTGAAAAAAAGATACTGACAAATCTGCGAGCCTTGAAGGGAATGTGGACTCCGCCAAATAGCATACCTCCTACTGCCGGGGCTTGGCGATACCAAATAAATCAATGTCCAGGGTGCATGCTGGCCCGAGTTTCGTCCAAGAAGGAAACACTTCGAGATCTGCGCATTGTACTGTGGAGTCATACCGAGGACTATAACAAGTATAGTCTGTGCAGGTTGATAGCTTTTATTGATGACTGCATTGGCCAGTTCGGCCATGATGAAGCCAAGCAAATATTTGGTACCGCGAATACCGTGGCACGTTCTATGAAGGCCATTCGCCGTGCTTGCCTTGGTGATTCAACGAGGGTATCGGATCGACATGAGAACTACCGTAGGGACCCCTTCCCAGGACATGCAGAACAGATTAAGCCAAGCCCGACGTCTCAATTGCGCCGCCTTCAACCTGAAGTTGCAAAAAGTGGCGTTCAACGGGCAGATGTTGCCGATCAGCTTGATGAGATTATTGGAATATACAGAGGGCTTGGTTGGGATCGATATGAGATGGATAAAGTGGTTCTAGAAGCGATCGTTGACCCCCTGGACCTTTCCAAGAAAAGGCCCCGGTCGAATGAAATCCCCAAACGTGATGGAATCGTCGGCTGTCCAGAGAACTTTAATCATAAAATGTTTGAGACCTGCACTGATGAGCTAGATGACGATACTCTTGCTGTTGAAAGCCATCAGTCTTGGTACAGAGAGTAATATTGAACTTTTCTTAGATTTCCTTCGAAAGCGCTAGCATTTCCCCCTTATGAATTCTTTATCAATTAGTCTCATGGTATACATGAAATACGCCGTCAAAGTTGATGTGTCTGATGAGTTCCTTTGCTCATTCTGTTATGACCTCCTATCTTCCCATGAAGAAATATCTTGATTCCACTTGATGATGAAGTGAAGAGCAGGTGTAAAAGAAAATGAGTAAGAATAGTAATTCGGATTTTGGCCTTGCATTAAGTCTATTTACCGAATGATCGAATGAAAATGAACTAGCAAAGTAGCGTCAAGTCACTAACATCCATCAAGTCCATGCACTCCATCATCGGCTGTATAAGAGCAAGAGCCAATTCCCGGGGTGGTGGTATTCTCTGGATATAGCACGACATTGTCAAAGTCAATGTTATAACACGGATGAAGATTCGAACAAGACACTGACGCAACCTTTGTCGAGTCCCTGTCGATATTCCCTGTGAAATTCACAAATGCAATGTTGGAAATGGCCATCTTACTTGTGCCGACGTACGAGCCATTGTCTCCACTGTCCTGAGTGATAGCAATACCGGCGCTGGCACCATCGATTTCGAAATTCGAAAATATGACATTGCGAACACTTCCCCAACCCCCACCCCGGGGAAGGCCTGCGCTTTCGTATGAGCTTTGTGGCACAAGGCCGCCCATCCATGTCTTAACGTAAGCACCATTCTCCATATCGTTATTGCGCCGAATGATCTTCACGTTATCGACAAGAATGTTGGCCACACTTGAGTCCTCCAGATACTGGCCCAAACTTCCAATTGCAACGCCATTTCCGCCATGGCATGTTACATTGCGAATCTCGACGTTGTAAGAGCGCGGTTTGATTGCTATACAATCATCTCCACCTTGGTATACCAGGTTCGTGAGTTGCACATTGTCCACATCCATGGTATCTGTTTGGTAGATTAATTATCTATTTGTTGCAAAATGCAGATTAATGTCATGCTCACCAAAGCCATCGGTATTCTGTACCCAGTTCTCTCCATATGGTGCATTCACGGCGGTGGCGTTGCATAGGATATTGTTGAATCGCATGTTGGTACCGTTCATAATGTTCAAGCTCCACAGTGGCGGATCTTTCACGTAGAAATTCTCCACGTTGACATCCGACACGTTCCAAAACACAAACGGCATTGGTCGACCTGGCAGTGTGGTCCCTTCCTCTGCATTATACCACACATTTCCATTTCCATCAATGCCGCCTGTTCCATAGCCATCTATACTGATATGGCTGCCTGAGATAACAAAACCAGCGTGGTGGTTCTGGAAGGCGATTGGGTAAGAGTTGTTGCGCCAGTAGCTCAGGTCATCGGAGAACTTCGGCCATCAGTATCATTTGTGTAGAGAATGGAAGTGGGTTACATACCGTCCATTTCCCGCGCCACTCGATTTTCACATCATTAAGGACTGGGTTTAAGCGTGTGGCAATCCAGTATGACTGATCCTCAGGAAAGACAACAGTACCACCATTGTCACACTTTTTAAATGCTTGAAGGATATTCTCAACATCATCCTTTTGATGACCTCTTGCCTTCACAGTGCACACATTTCCAGTGGTCGGAGTGGCATGAGCCGGAGTCAAGAGAGCTAGCCCAATAGCCAGCACCGAGGATATTTCCAGTAGAAGCATAGCTGTATTTCAATGTTGATTTGCTATGAAAGTAACTAGAATGCGATTAAAGCGTATTTAAGACATGTAGATCTTGTCTCTCCAGCTCGGAGACTTTTATGCCGAACTTCAATAAAATGCGGAGAAAATGAATTGCGGGGGAAAAGACGGAAATTTGAATTTCAATATCGCCGGTGGGGGATTCACGATCTGGGGTTATTAGTACTCCGTACGCATGGACTCATTGTTGTGTTGATCTTTCCGAATATAACAAGGATCATATTGAGGAGAATATGTTCCACCAATGAAGAGGATGGGACCTCGGGATATATTAACCTTGGAAGCAATCAAACTGGCACTAATTTTGCTTTCAGGAATGTTTGAGTAATACTATCACATTTGGCAATGAGGAACAGAATTTATATCCATACGTGTGAGAGAATCAATGCGAATCGATTACATGGAAGCGTAATTTCCCTTTGGTCTCCTAGATACTGTGCCATTCTGGCCGATGATTACATTTGAATATGATTCTAGGGACAATATGACAACTGGCAAATCCATCCATGAATTATATGACTGGAGATTCTAAGCAAATCTCATTGTTTGAGCTCTAGCATCCATATGGTGTCACTGTCCAACTCGCTATGACGACATGATTAAACGACCTCGTGTTGATGATTTTGACATTCCTCAACCCCTAAGACCTTTGCTATTTGACCACCTTTGCACCTTCCGAGATCTATCGCAGCACTTGAGTCGATGAAGTTCAATCGTTTTCAAAAATGCTCATCGCTATAGCTGGTGGTACAAGTCCCACTCTAGGCGCATCTATTGTTTCCGCCCTCCTCGCCACAGGCCGCTACACCCCAGTGATCCTCTCCCGCAAAATCAAGCAAGTCCCATCATGGCTTTCATCTCTTCATCAAAAGGTCGAAATCCGACATGTGGATTACAACTCACACGTATCCCTCGTGGCAGCTCTCCGAGATGTTGATGTGGTCATCAGTGTCCTTCTCATTCCAGGCCCGGACTGGATTACTGTGGAAATCAACCTCCTCCATGCAGCGGAAGAGGCAGGCTGTCGAAGATTCGCACCATCAGAATTTGCACTCACAGACCGAGCGCATACGATGGTTTATCTACTCGGAGCCAAGAGTATAGTCTGGAAAGAAGTAGAGGTCTCGGTCAGCCGAGGCAGAATTGATGCTGCTCGGTTCCCGTGTGGGATGTTCATGAATTATCTTGGAATCGGAATTTCTGATGAAGCAATCAGACTAGAAGCTCTAGCGGGGTTTCAGGAAGGGTCCTTTCTCGTTCACCTTGATGATCCATCGCCTTGGATTGAGGTCCCAGTACGTGCGGATGGATCATTTCCAAGTTTGACTCTGACCGATATTCGGGACGTGGGTAAGTTCATTGTCGGCGCGTTGGATATTGATGAGCCGTGGGGAGGCAGGGAGTTGGGCATGGTAGGGGATACGCTCAATTTTGCGGATCTGATCAGTTTGTGTGAAAAATACACTGGGAAATCAATTCATGTCCGCAAGGTAACCAGGCCAGAGCTGGTGAGCCGGCTCAGAGGTATTCCTCCGGCTGAGTTTATCAGGTACATGGAATGTCAACTACAGATGGTTGCGACTTTGGATCAATGGGTGATTGATCCCTCTTTAAATCGTCTATGCTCTGTTCAGCCAACAACGGTGGAACAGTATATGAAGCGATACTGGGGCAGCACATGATTCTTCACGTTATTTACTGATATTTGTCCACAAACTTCATCAATGCAAGGTTCACCTCTGCAGGGTGAGTACAGTTCAAGAAATGGGCACCTCCATCGATAGTCACCAGCTTCGCATCCGGGGAGCTCGTGAAAAGCTTGATCTCTTCCTTGGCATTTGCCGAGGAGAAAACCACATCTTTGGTTCCCTGCTATAGTTAGAAATGTTCGATAAGAAAGGAACCAACATACATGAAGCCATAGAACCGGGCAACGAATATCCGCCAGTCGGAGATGCATCGGCCCACGCTCAGCCAAGTTTATCGCAGCCATCCGAAGACGCCTGCGACCCTCTTCGCCCCGATAGCATGATTTGATCGATTCACGCCAGAAGTCACGAACCTCGGCAGAACACTCATTGAAGCCGATATTAATCAGCGCCTCACAGTAGTCATCACCCGGCTCGAAGTCAGGCACCGGCTTGCTGGCAGTCCATTGATCTACGAAACTCGAGACGATGGATGCGCCATCCCAACAGTTTAACTCTCGACTGCGATGCGATTCGGAGTCCATGGATGTTCCCAAGGGGATGATTCCCACAATCTATACTGGTTAGCCATATCAATAGTGTAGGGTTATGTCTAGATATACCTTGTCTGGACTTAGCAGCGCCATTTGAACAGTAATCCAGCCTCCTTGGCTGGTTCCCAAAACAAAGGCCTTATCGATACCCAAGGCTTCCATGACCTGAAGGTTCATTTTTGCCGTATCCCAGTATGTCCACTGCTCCGCCGCTGTGCGGGTCTGGCCATGTCCAAGTAGCTCAATAGCCACCAAGTTTACCTTGTTGGTAAGCTGAGGATCATCAAACTGTTGTCGATATAATTCAGATGTCGCGGTGAAGGCATTTACGAGGACCACAGTTGGCTTGGCTGGATCATACTGGGACATCTGATATGCGGCGTCGATTCCACCCAGATGGGGCACGTGGATAATCTTGGTATTAGGCATCTTGATAGAAGGCTCATTGATTTGAACATCCTATTCATTCTCCTCAACCTTCCTACTTATACTGTATGTTGCTCTTGGCATTGTAGAGTTTCGGGGAGATAGGAAATAAGTGGAGTAGATTCTCCACTACTCCAACGGGTGGCAACTTCCAACGCGGGGTCTGGGTTTGAGAATTCGGGAAAACAACAATGAAACATTCAATTTATTAAGTCATATTCCAAAAATTCTTATATATCCTCGGCTAATTCAACCACGGGACCTGAGAATCGTCTCTTTCCACCAAAAATATAGTAGTACACCGCGCCGATAAACATCCAGCCCATCGTCACCACCACACAGTAGTTCATATTGTTAGGTGTGACAGGCTCGACGGTAGGAAATGTGCTGAACACCATTGCAAGGAGCAGCCACATCAGGGCAATGACGTTGATTACCGGGCCCCATCGCGGTCCGAGATTGAACATCCCTGATCCCAAACCACCGACAACCGATGAGGATGTCCGTCGACCATACAGAAGCATGAACAGGATGGGAGAGAAGTAGGAAGCGTACATGCCCAGGATAGCCATAGAAAGGACGGCATTAAAGGCCGTTGAGCTTCCGAGGTATATCAGACCGAGCAGCATTTGCAAGAGCCCAACGACCAGGACCATGCGCACGGGCACCTTGAGGGTCGGATTTACGTAGGAAAAGAATCCCGAACCAGGGAGACCGTGATCACGAGCAAAGGCCCATGCTGTGCGACTGGTCGAGGTTGTCCCAGCGGCATTAGCAGCGAGTGCTACCAAAGTGATACACAGCGCCATTACCGAGGCACCGGCCGGCGAGCCTGTGACGTTGAGGAAGAGTTGCATAAATGGGAACCCTGTTTTTGATTCGAGAAGAGTTTGGAGATCGCCTAGAGCGAATAACAGCACAACGCAATAAACAAGGCCGATGATACCGTTAATAGTGACGCTGCCGATCATGGCCAGGGGCACATTACGCGAGGGCTTGGGGAGTTCCTCACTTAGATGGCAGGCGGCATCATATCTGCAAAGTCAGCAATGTAACCTGGTAGCTAGAGTCCAAATACATACCCGAGAAAAGGGTATACAGTGCTGAGCAACCCAACCAGCCAGGAGACTCCGTCGTTGGTCCAGCCACTGGTGTTAGAAAACTCTTTGAAGACATAGTCGGCGGAGTGTTTGGTGGACATTGCACCCAAGACGCAGACGATCGCGATAAATGCGAGTACATGCAATACACCTGGCTTTGTCAGCGATGATATTTTTCAAGAGATTTTCCACTAACCCGCCGTTGTGTTGGTGTGAGGGAGAATCTTGGAGCCGAAAATGTTGACTGCGGTAGAATATGCCAGGATCAACCAGTAGAAGAGCATTCCCTGCCATCTCTCGGGAATATATGTGTCGAGGTTGTTCATGGTGATGAGAGCCTGCAGCTGCAGGCCAGAGGCAAAGGCAGCTGAAGCGGCAAGAACGAGCTGGCCACCGATGGAAATCCAGCCGGTAAACCATGATGCAGTGGCTCGATATGATTCAGGAGTGAGACAGTGGACCCAGTGATATTGTCCTGTAGATACATAAGCGAGTGAAGCAGAGGAGTAAAAGGATCTCTTACCTCCTGCGGTGGGGTAAATGGCGGCAATTTCACATAGTGACAGAACCACGAAAATGGTACCAGCCAAGGAAATCAGACTAACGGGTTAGTCTGTGCTCAGATATAAGAGAGAGTAGACCCACTAGTTATAAAACAAACAAGGGGCACCACCATTGGTCAAGGCTGTTGCCACAACTGATGACAATGCTTCCCATGTTGCCATCAAGGAGATCTGAAGACACACAATTGACCATAGGGAGAATTCACGACGAAGTTCCTGTACGTGACCGAGGGCAGCCAGCTGCTCCTCATCACTGACAGGCTTCTCCGGGAAAGTCTTGCTTCTGTCCTCTAAATCTGAAATGGAAGTCATCACCACATAAGTTCATTGAGAAACAAAGGATCCCCTGTTCCAGAAACGCGGACCCCTTCATTCTTATAGCGGAATCAATACGAGCTAACGGAGTCAGGTTGGACGGTGCTCAATCCGCACTTCCACGATAACCTAGGCAAATATCAGCTTAGATCATAGGAAGCATGAAGCTTATCTTCAAGGCTGCTAGAGGCCCACCACCTAATCCCCGCATTTTACATGTCTATCTCTGCGCGTTCTTTCCGCATTTCCCTTTAAATCATTGGCAATAGAAAACAAGACCAATGACAAAGCCACAATGGTTGATTGGGGCAAAATGGTGGGTCTACAACGATAATTCTCGGAATCGGAACAGAAACCTTGATAGGACTGGGATGATAAGAGACATGTATCAACTCGGAAGCATTACCGGAGGAAATTCATCACTGACTTGATGCAGACCATAGACTTAATAATAACATAATATTGATACAATTGATTTATCCAAGACATACACCATGCAAGTATCACTCCACAATCCCCGCATTTTATAGCGGAAGTAGTTCCATGTAAAGGTTTAAATAGAAGTTCTCAATATCCATTGGAGTTTATAGACCTCTGATTCGCTGTATACAGTTAAAGTTATGTAATACATTTAGCCACTTGGCGGAAGATCAAGGGAACTTCGGATTCATTCCGGCTTTCCGAGCGCCACATGGCAATCTCCTTAGCCCTTCCCAGGTGCTTTCGAATTTCCTCTCTATTTAAGTTGAGGTAGCTTGCTGGAGCTTGAAATCAAACAAACCAACAATCATGATTCACCCCCTTGCTATCCTCTCCGAAGAGGAGACCAACCTAGCCCGTGACGTTGTCAGGGCCGCTCACCCAGATACCATTATCGACTTCCGGGAGATCTACCTACAAGAACCCCCCAAGGCACAATTGCTCGAATTCCTGGCCATTGAACATGCCGGTCGCTTGAGCCCAACAACACCTCGCCCACCTCGTCTCGCTTTGTGTCAGTACGATGTGATTGGCGCCGACCGCATCCCCTCCTACCAAGAATCTGTTGTCGACGTCGTCACTCGGACCCGGGTCAAGCACCACATCGTGGGCAAGCAACACCATGCCGCACTCACCCTAAATGAATTCGATACATTGGTGGAGCAGTGTATGAAGTCGCCATTATTCCAGCAGGCTCTCGCGGACTTTGATCTCCCGGAGGGATTCGAGGTTGTGATCGAGCCATGGCCATATGGTGGCCTGGATAACACCGAGGAGCCCCGCCGATACTTCCAAGCATTGTGCTTCGCTCAGGACAAGCGCTCCGGCAATGAGGACTCCAACTTTTACTCATACCCTCTTCCCGTCATCCCGGTTATGGATGCTCACACACAACAGATCATTCGTGTGGACCGACCTGCCACCGGTGGTAAGGGAGAGGGACTTTTGGAGCAAACTTTCAAGCGCGATATTATCGGACACTGTAAACCTTCTGAATATGTTCCGGAGCTGCTTTCCGAGGGAACAAGAAGGGACCTCAAGCCGTTGAACGTGGTTCAGCCCGAGGGTCCCTCTTTCCGGGTTACAAACAATTCCCTGGTCGAGTGGCAGAAATGGCGCTTCCGTGTTGCCTTCAACCCACGTGAGGGCGCGACTATCCACGATGTCTGGTATGATGGTCGTAGTGTGATGCACCGATTGGCGGTCAGTGAAATGGTATGTTCTATTCCCGATTTGGCTTTCACGACTGTCACTAATTGATCAGACTGTTCCCTATGCTGATCCCCGACCACCCTTTCACCGCAAGCAAGCCTTCGACTTTGGTGACGGAGGTGGTGGTAACATGGCTAACAATCTTTCCCTGGGATGTGACTGCCTTGGAGTCATCAAATATCTCGATGCCGTGAGTACCCAGGCCGACGGTACTGCCCAAAAGATGCCCAATGTCATCTGTCTTCATGAGCAGGACAATGGCATTGGCTGGAAGCACTCCAATTGGCGCACCGGTCGGGCGGTGGTTACTCGCCTTCGTGAATTTGTTGTCCAGTTCATTATCACTTTGGCCAATTACGAATACATTTTTGCCTACAAGTTCGATCAATCCGGTGGAATCACAGTCGAGTCCCGAGCCACCGGTATCCTCAATGTGGTCAACATTGACGCCGGCAAGGTCAGCGAATACGGCAACGTTGTCAGTGGCGGTGTCCTGGCGCAGAATCACCAGCATATTTTCTGTGTACGCATTGACCCAGCCATCGACGGACAGAAGAACTCCGTCATAGTGGAGGAGTCACACCCTGTTCCAATGAACGCAGTCACAAACCCCAACGGAAACTTCTACCAAGTTACCAAGGAGACTGTGCAGCGGTCATCCTGGATCGACGCTGCACCTCAGTTGAACCGGACAATCAAGATGGTTAACCCCCACAAGACCAATCCTATCAGCGGGAACCCCGTTGGATACAAGTTCATCCCCATGGCTACACAGACATTATTGGCCGATCCAGAATCAGTGCAGGCCCGCCGAGCCCAATTTGCCCAACATCACGTTTGGGTTACCAAGTACCGGGATAACGAACTCTACGCAGGTGGCCGATACACCCTGCAAAGCCAGGTCGAAGTTGACGGTGTATCGGATGCTGTTCGCCGAGGCGATGCAGTCGAAGATACAGATGTCGTTGTCTGGAACACATTTGGCATCACTCACAACCCGCGTGTTGAAGACTGGCCTGTCATGTAAGTCTACCCATTTCCACTACTGAGTATTGAGTATCTCTGACTGAATCTCTAGGCCCGTGGAAATCTTCCAACTTATGATCCGCCCGGCGGACTTTTTCACCGCCAATCCTTCTATCGATGTACCCTCCGACAAAAACGGATCTTCTAGGCTAGCAGACTCGGAATGCTGCAGAAAGGCACACATCTAAATTGGCATTGGCTATTGAAACACATACTGTATAGAGATGCGGCGCAATACTACTATCCCCAAACTGTATATATACTGGGTTACGAATGGCGATCTACTAGTCCAATTTTATGTATCATTCCAACTTCACTTTGGCTAAAGGTAGGTAGGTATATTCATTGAGTTTCCGATTCATGATTCATCATTTGAGACATCTGGATCAATCTATAATCTACCTGGATATTCTATCAACATAATAGATCCTACATATTTAATCAGCGCCCCATACCGCCTGGAAGCCCTGGAGTATTGTGGTACAGAGTACCAGTTCCTTGCACATACTCCACAAACCAACTAGAATCCAGACCAGCTGGAAGAAGAGAAACACCAGCCTCTCGCGTCAGATCAGTACCGATTGGCATTTGAAATGATGAAATGATATGACACATTCAAACCACAACGGGAGGCTGGTCTCGCTTCCAATTCGGAACCCCCAGAGCTTCTGCTATTGGGATACTTCCCGTCACGGTTCCGTGTCCTAAGCCCCTCACTTCAGGCAAATCAATCCGAGTATCAATCTCCCAGGCCTCAAATTCATGACAAAGGCGCGTATTTTCTGCAAAGAAAGGAGAATCCCGAACTGCCTCAAGTACAGTGGCATGCGTATCATTGATCTTGAGGCCATATTCCGCTCTGAATATTCTCTTGCTCATCCCGTAGATAATACTAGGGTCCCAGAAGATATCATGGTCATTATAACACTCTTTCTGAATCAACGATAACGCCCTAAGACGAAGCTGTAGGTTTCTGCATTTCGCAATAACAAAGAAGAGATAGGGTAGAAGACCAACTTCCAACATAAACCCCGGGGCTGTGGAGAGGAGCTGCGACTTTCGTGCATAATTGATGATTTTTGCGAAATCTTCAATGCAGCTATCGTAGACTGTATTCTTCTCGCCAAGACAGATCACCCAGATCTTCAACATGGTCCATCGGAGCTGCAAGATGCACGATATATTTTCGAACTTCGGATCGACGTCCAGTCTTGCTCTGAAATCCGCGAACCTTCTTTGTAAGGAGTCGACTTGATTCTTTAGCCGTTGTTGCTCTTTGGCGATAATGTGTGGCATATCTTCTGCGCACAAATCAAGGGGGTGAAGTTGAGCACGATATTCTCCTTTCATGCGAGCTAGTTTCACGACATCATACTGAATAGAGTTGATAGAGCCCTGAACCTCGGTAAACGAATAAAATCTCTCTGGCATTTGATAAGTTGGCGAGTGAGTAAGGAGAGGTAGGGTCCATATGGACTGTATGACAAATACCGGTGTCAGACTCATGTAACGAAAGATAGCGGCCACTCTCGAGACATGTTTAGACGCATTCATCAATTCAATTCCGTGCTTTATATGAGTCATCGCGGCATTCATATCTTTTCGTGTAAACTCAATACTCGCAAAAAGTACACAGACAATCAGAATGGTATCGAGTTGATCCGGTTGAACTGATTTAATTGAACGAATCTCTTTCATCGCACGATTGTAATGACGGATTGAAAATCCGTTGTCATATGGTAGCTGCACGAATGCCGGGTCCTGATTTGTTTCCTCGTATAGGCTCATCAGGCTTATAGTAGCGTGGCGTGCTGCTGGTTCTTCGACGATCAATCGTGCTACGATGCGTGACCAGAATATGTAATTGAGGGGTAAGGCAAATGATGATTCCAGGCTGTGGTAGAACCGATTGAGACTGCGTCGACAATTGCTGTCTGTCCCGGGAAATAGGGATAGTTGAAGTTGAGATAGTCCATTGTGTTGCGTAGAACTGTATCCGTCACATTTTCGTCCTGTTGATTCACATCGCGTACAAAATGGACGTGTCTCATCACACTTGACCTTTCGGATCCTGTTCAATATTAGTAGTATGCTTTTAAAAATATCCATCAACTTACTTGCAAGTGAGACAACCGGTTCGGACTCTGCGGTAGACCAAGCGCCGTACTTTTTTCGGTTGTCTTTTGTCCATAGTCAAACCGAACTTCTAACGTTAAAGTACACATCTCTCAGGTCCAAGGGGCCAGAATTTAAATTTAAGGAAACTATGATGAAGCGTAGAGGTAAACGCCTCACATTGGGGTCTGAAAGCAAGTTTGCCAACGTGTTGGAGTTGCCACTCATCCAAAGTGCATCTTTTTCAGTTTCATATCCTGTCAACTTGTTTCAAACAGGTTTCAGGTTTCTGTATTATCTTTATGTATTCCAATCGTTCGTCATAGTTATACTAATACTGGTTCAAAACCCACACTCCATGCGGGCTTATGCAGTCAGCCTCTTCAATCTTTGGGGGCCTAATTTCATCTTGCTTCTTTCTTCTTCTTCTTCTTTCTTCTTCTTCTTGCTTTATAATCCATCCAGAGGTCATCGAATAATGTGGCATACATAGACACTATATTCAAAGCTAACTGGAGGCCATATTAGACCAGGTTTTGGTAGGCGTGGCGAACCAAAAGGGGGCCAACTATCAGCACTAAAGTGGATTTATTGGAACTCCAATTGTGCCTCGGCATTGAATGGAAAGGATGACATCGTTATCAGATGTTCTCAACACGATACTGAGTTTCATTCAGTGCCCTGGTGGTTGATATCGACTTCCGATGAATTGTCTGCCGGGGCGCTTATAGTCCTTGGAAGACTGGGAACATAATTTATACCCAGGTATTCTCAATCTCTATCATTTGGAGTGTAACTCTCAATGGCAAGCAAATCAACATTTATGATTAATTGATTAGCATCCCTCTGCTTGTTGGATTCTGTCGCTTGTCTACCAACTATTACACCTCGGTTTCGTTATTAGTTGGCAGAAAGTATGTACTTGTATTCTAAAAGACAAACATGTTCTGATCATAGCGGCCCAAGAAAGCCCCAAAATACTCCGTCTAGACCTTTCCCTTTTGTGACTTGGATCCCTAACTGAACTTTTCAACTTTTGTTATACTATACACCCTCAGCCAGCTTTGTCAAAGCATCACCGTCAACCATCATCTTCATCCACTCCTCCATTCCCTTGGCGCCAATCTGCTCATAGAACCGAATACTAGGCTCGTTCCACTTCAGAACGCTCCACTCCAACCGACGACCCTGAGCCTCCAGGACCTGCTTAGCCAGATACCTGAGCAACAAGAGCCCACAGCCCTGACCCCGAGCACTCGGCTGAACGTACAAATCCTCCAGGTAAATTCCAGGTGCGGAGCGCCAAGTGGAGTAGTTGTAGAAGTAAAGTGCCATGCCAACGGGGATCGGCGCGGGGTTCTCGGCGGTGGGTGGTGGGGTCACGAGCGCGGTGTAAACTGAACCACGCTTGGGCGGGGTACCGGGGAAGGACAAGGTAGCTAGGAGGGATTCTTCGGTGGCTTCAACCTCGTGCAGAGCTTTTTCGTAATCGGCAAGCTCGCGGATGAATTGGAGGATGAGGGGGACATCTAGAGTTTATGTTCATCAGTAGGGCACGGACGGGTTTCTCTCGCGTTGGAATGCGCTGAAAGGGAATTGAGGTATTCGTCACTTACCCTCTGGCGTCGCCAGGCGAATAGTAGGTTTGGCAGACATGATTGAGTTTGAATAGACAGTAAGTGAAGAATTTGACAGCAATGAGGGTCTGAAGTAGGCTCCGGGGATGACATTGGCGGGTTGAGCCGCTTACTCCAACTGCCATGTTAGTCATCAACCGGTGAACTCCACGACTTTGAATTCTGTTGGATTGGGATTGAAGCCACCGCGTAATAGCCTTGAGTGAAATGGTCAAATTCTTTCTGGCATAATCAGTACCTCTAGCCGTAAGTATGTAAGACCTAGTGTGTGAATTGACCTTGGTTGATGTAACGCGACAGTACAATTTCCAAGATATTCTATAGAGTCGTTTATCTTGTTTGCATTAGGGGGTCTAGACCACTACTAATGCAGCAAAGAACAATGACATCGTCTACTAGTAGTAAATATTAAAGTACACTCTCATTTGAATATGGGACTCATCATCAAAAGAGTGCAAGCAATGATGCTTCAAGGTGAAACCCATATAACTAGCAGTTTCCAGCAGAGACAAGCAATCGTTCATCAATCGATGAGACTCGACATGCCCATTTGTAGACTGGAGAGGCAAACATTTCAAGTAAGTAGAGCTTGAAATTTCAATGCAAAGGTTCAACCAGAACCGAGTCTTTGTCCTCTTGATTGATGCCTATATTGCAGTGTTTGCTCTCACTACCCTAAATTGAACTTCTTATGACTAGAGACTCCATGGGTTGCAAATCAGATCCACTAGGTATAAAAGCTAATTCGAGCAGCTACAACGCCGATCTGCTCTGAACAAACTTATAAAGTCGAAAGCTAGTGAGACTGTATTTTACATCCTTGCAGCCTGCGAGATCGTGGATATAGACATATAGTCTCTAACCAAACCCAGCACGAGTTGATCTTTCATTATGATAATTTAAGCGGTGTAACTACGCATGACGAGGCGAAAAAGCAAATAAATATAGGAAAGAGAAAGAGAAAAAGAAAAAGAAAAGCGCAAACACTGACCAGACTATATTCACGGGATAAAGATCCGGTCGCAGGGGATTGGAGTCGATGTTCGCCAAGGCGTATCATAAAGGAAAAGGGGAAAAAAACCTTACAGGGAGCTCAGGTGACGTCGCAAACCTGCAGGTTCATTGAGAAACAAAATTAGAAAGGAAAGAAACGTACCTAATTTACAGCATTAACAGCAATAGGTTCAGATTTCTTCCAATGGAAACATGGACATTTTAATTTTATTGCATTTCTGATTCTTTCAATTCCAATGTTGTCGGGGCAAACCCCCTCGCAGGAAAATTGAGTCTCGTGGCGGTTGGCCGTGGGATTTGTCTTAAGGCTACAGCGGCAAGCGCGCTTTGCGTGAAAGGGGCGGTTGTCTCCACTCAGGTGGGACTGTGACAGTGTGGAACCGAACAAAAGAGTGGAAATTGGGGTCGATACCAATTCTGGACCTCATGATCGCCAGTTTGACTAACGATTTTGTTCAAAGCCAAGATGTGTGTACCTGCCTGCAACTGCCTGCAACCACAGCTGCATCTGCATAACTGCCCTAGCTGCCCATTTTACCCAGCAGGGATTGTGGAGAGCATCATGGATTGCACAGTTTGAGCATGGAAACATGTCGGTGGACATGGAGGTACAGGTACTGGGTGGGGGAAAACCCCACACAGACGTACACTCGGAGTCATACGTCAGGCCTCCATTCAGCTACATGAATGACCGGGATTGCTAAGACTGAGACTAGTGAGATCGAGGTTTCAGCCAGTCGGATCTAACACATTAGTCGATCCCAAATGACAAACATCAAGGTCAAATTGAATCGAGTCAAGTCAGGTTCCAACTTTTGTCGCTTCACGCGGGAGCAGCTGTAAGCCCTCCGACGGTATCCGGGTTCGTCACACCAGCTGGTCTCGAGGTTGGTTTCCCGATTTTCGTTCAGCAAAACTAACGGCGCACGGACGGGATGTTGATGATGGTGCCTTAGATCGTGAAATCGTTTCTGTTATTGGATTATCCCACCGGCCCTGAGCACGTCCCCGTCTGGACTTTCTCCAAGCGCCGATTCCGTACAAAAGACCTTCGGACCTGTCTAGCAATCTCCAGCCCCCGAGACAGTGGATAAGCACAGCCCTGCCCTCGAGCCGCTGATGACAGAGGTTCATCATGTGCCTATTGGAGGCGAAGTGAGGCTTTTTCCTATTTGCGGGGAATCCCTGAGCGTATCACGGCAGTTCCGTATGCTTGGAAATGTGGAATGCAACTGCTGAATGTATCCATTTCTTAAATGGAGCTAACTTGCCATAATTTATTTATTTCCCTATTTTTGAATTTATTGATTTATTGATTTTGGTATTTTTGATTTGATTTTTCACGATCAGCTGGTGCTGTCGGTCTCAATGTGGTCACATCAAAGCCTATTTATGTAAAGGTTCTCTTCCTGTCATTCTTCTGCAACTTTTCCTTTCTTTTTCTATCTTCGCCTATCAAACAAGTCCTTTCCTTTTAAAAAAAAGTTATTTTTACTTGGTTTGATGGAAGAAGTATGTCAACCTTTTCGTTGGTGGCGCTTTCTGTCTTGATCCTCCTGGTTGTTGTGGGATCACAAAAAAGATTGTTGGCCTGGCTCTTCTCAGGAAAAGAATCCTTACATAATGCCTGTTCTCATGGCCCTTCCGATTTCAAGCGCATGGCACCATACCCAGCACAGCCAATTCGAGGTAGAGAACGATATCGTGTTATGATGGATGTCCGCCGGCTAGACACCCAGAACTGGCTCACCCTGGACAAGAACTACATGGATGAGCATCGGGTCAGAGATAACTTGCTCTGTGAAAAGAGAGAGAAGGTTCTGCGATGTCTACCCGAGTCCCTTGTCGCTTGTCAAGAAACGTTAGAAGAAGTGTCTGAATTTCTGTGCGAGCGTTTCCCGGGCATGTTCAAAAAGACTGTTCAAGGGAGCGAGACTTGGGTTGAAAATAGAGCCACAAAGGAAAAATTCAATATCCACCCGGGTCCAACTGTGAACAGCACAGATGCATTGGAGGCGGCAGTGCGGCTCACAATGGAAGATCTCAGTGTGTTGATGATGAACGAGGATGGCGAGTATTACTTGTGAGCAATTATTGGAATTTGCTTCGAGACTTGACTGACCGTGACAGGGCGGCCAGTGCAAGTCTATTTCCCACGGGTTGGACAGTGGATGAACGTATTGGGTGGACGATTTCCCAAATGCACGCACCAGTTCCCCTCTGGCATCAACAAGTAGCCAGCTCAGTCAGCAAGTCAGTACATAAACATCAATTCTATGCATATTTCTAACAAGAATCAGATTACTGGCTCGACTATCCCCAAAGTCCCCAATGGAACGATCCAACTACTTTGTCGAAATAAAACGACCAGATGAGGATCTCTTTGATATCTTGTATCGCCCAGGATCTCTATGCGAAAAAGAACTACAAGACCCCTCGCCCAATGAAATCATCATTCGTCGCGAGAGACAAACCTTCCGCCGTCTACCACGAACAAATGCCATAGTATTTGGCGTGAAAACCTACCTAACACCCATCAGTCAGCTACCGATGCAAGAATTGGAAAACCTGGCCAAAGAAATGGAAACATGGCCAGAATACGTGAGTGAATATAAGGGAAAGGATGTCTGGGGTAAAAAGGTGTTGGAGTATTATAACAAGCGTGTTGCCTCTGGCGAGTCGGAGAAACTTTGCGAGGTATGATCCTATACATGATAACACGATAAGGCAGAATGTTGTATAAGCTATGAACTCGGACTTGATTGCATTTTCGGAACAAAAAAGCTGGGCGGCTATTTGGACTTTTTATCGCAATTCGCTTTCGCATTCAAAATTGTTTCAAATTGCAGACTTTGTCTTTACTATCTTCAAAATTCCGCCCACTTGTCATAAGAGGTACTGCGTGTTGCTACAGTACTTTCAAAGTTGATGCGCAAGTGGGACGTCAGAGGTAGTTTGTAGCGTTGAAACTGGTTTCATAGATTCGCCAAGGGTAAGCCATGAGGTCCCATTGGTCCAATCAATAAGGAATAAGCCCCACGAAGGCAATACTACATAATATATTGGTTACACGAGGCAGTTCAGATTGCGGGGGCGGATGCAGCAAACCTTTTTGGACAACCCGGTTAACATGACAGCTGGCTCTGTCAAGCCCGCCGTTCGTTTCCTCATAAAACTCGTATCATTAGGCTAGGCCGCATATTCCATATCTATCAGCAATCGAGGCTGTGTTGTGAAATCCGACCGTCACGTCCAGTTGAGTACCATATTCCAAATTATCAGATAATAGATTGGCTCACACTAGTCCATTGAGATTTGGAATTGGGATACCAGGGTGCTGACAGGCTCGGTTCTCGAGTCCAGGTTTTCTGGACGGGCTCCAAGGTGGGGATTTCAAGTCGATACGTGCTGTGAACGATATCGGGTGACGGCGCCGGAGCAGGTCGATCCTCTAGCAGTCGGGCAAGCTGTCGACGTTGCATTTCCTCATCGCTCAACAAGGGCGTACCATCCTCCGCCTGTCGGTCCCCTGCAGATCCATATTCAATGTAAATGATAACCGCTGCACAGCCATATAGCAAGAAAGATCCACTCGGTAAACCAATAGCGACAATTCGGAGCGCGGACAACGGTAGGAGATCGCGAGCGAAGATTTTGAGTAGTATGTTGAATAGGGCGAGGAGATTAATTATCATAAATGGCCTGCAGGTGTTAGTTGGTATTCATTGGTCGTGAATGGAAGACAGACATAGATATAGAACGGAGGAGGAAGAGTTGCTGGTGTCGGTAAAAGAAAGCGATTCCGATCGATGAGAAATGTGCTATGCCAATGAACAAAAGAGCGATTGTTTTGGTGATGTATTCATTGATGTGGGTACTTTCGTTTGAGTTTCCAAAGACGATCGCTAGCATGAGATATCTGTAAAAGATCTGATTAGCCGCTGATATTCTAGGTAGCTTGACCGCATACCCGACAAGTAGAAGAACACCCGAGAAAACAGTCAACACCCTCCATGACCTTGGAACTTGGTTCCGAGGGAGAATTTGTCCTGGTGGCGGAGCGACCAATCCACCGTACTCAGACGGAGTGATCTGCATTATCATGAACTCATGTCCAGAATCGGGCAAGTGAGGGGTATCCTCATAGAATGAAAAATGAACACTCAGGGGGTTGGAGTCATGCAACACATTCTGATTTGAAGAAAACCGGCTGCTTTGCTCTAAACCGCAAGAAGCTTGGCCGATCTTAGCTTGGACCAGTCAGGTTGCAGTGATTTAGTTGCTTTGTTGTTGGGCTCCGCCAGTCACGACTCACGGGCCTGATTCGATCTTTATGCTCCATTCCAAGCTTCTTTCTTTAATTTGATCCGAGTATCTCCATTAATTCCAGACCCGAGATTTGCTGATGTTGATATAGGGAGAAATGCGGGTGAACCAAGGGAAGATGTTCCCGACCTGATCCACTCTTATCCACCTTTTGTCTCATAATCTAACGTGCGAAGGATTTCATTGTACGGAGCACAGACTTTTTCATGAATGAGCCTCACATTTGGTAGGCATTTGAATTAACCATGATGACTGAGTCTCCTCAAGATACACGATTGTCACCCGAGCCAATCAAGTTAAGGATAAGCAGTTTAGATCACTACAGAAGAATTGATCTCACTCGGTAACAATCATATTTCTTTCCTTATCACTTGATATTTTCGGGGATCCGGTAACATGTTTACGGCCCTATTGACACCTGCTCGGCGAGTTGTGTGTATTGCCGACCCTCAGATTCGGACCCACATCCGTGGAATACATACAGCCGACTTAATTCCCCGCAAGCATTCGGAGAACATTTGAACCGAGTTGTCAGCCGTTTATCGATATAATGGAGATTAATTTGTCATTAGCAGCTACGAAATCATTGCTCTGCCGGCCATGAAACTCCAAAGTGCCGCCCTTGCGCGCTTATCCCCCCGACTTGGCCGACGATGGCAATCAAGTGCAACATCGCACCGCCCAGCTCCTCTTGCTGGTATTACTGTCGTTAGCCTGGAACAGGCAATTGCTGCGCCCTTCTGCACACGCCAATTAGCCGATCTTGGAGCCCGTGTCATCAAAGTTGAACGACCAGTAGTGGGAGATTTTGCCCGCCAATACGACAGCCGTGTCAATGGCATATCCTCCCATTTCATGTGGACCAACCGCTCAAAGGAGAGTTTGGCACTGGACCTCAAGAATGAGAAAGATCACGGAGTTCTCATGAAGCTCCTCGAACGAGCCGACGTGCTAGTCCAGAATCTGGCACCGGGCGCATCAGCACGGTTGGGGTTATCGCACGATGCATTAAAAGAGAAACACCCTTCTTTAATCGTCTGTGACATCTCAGGATATGGCCAGGATGGTCCCTATCGGGATAAGAAAGCCTATGATCTTCTCATCCAAAGCGAAGCAGGGATGCTCTCTGTCACGGGCACCGGGAAAGAGCCAGCGAAGGTCGGGATCTCTATTGCCGATATCTCCGCCGGGATGTACGCCTACAGCAACATTCTTTCAGCGCTACTGCAGCGCGGAAAGGATGGACAGGGTTGTCGAATTGATATTTCCATGCTGGAGAGTATGGTTGAGTGGATGGGCTTCCCGATGTACTACACCTTTAACAATGCGCCCGGGCCAGTGCCGGCCGGTGCGTCCCATGCTGCCATATATCCATATGGACCCTTTGAAACAGGCGATGGACAATCCGTCATGCTCGGCATTCAGAATGAACGCGAGTGGGTCAATTTCTGCAACGACGTTCTCCGTCAGCCGGAGCTGGCCACGGATGCTCGATTCTGCAATAACTCGCTGAGAACACAGAATCGTGACGTGCTGAAAGAACTTATATGCACTGTTTTCGCAAGCTTAACTGCCGAGGAGACTATTGCTCGCCTTGATGCAGCTTCAATCGCTAATGCGAGCGTCAATGACATGCAAGGGGTCTGGAAACATGCTCAGCTCAAGGCTCGCGACCGATGGACTGAAGTTCAAACCCCAATAGGTCCGGTGAAAGCTCTTCTTCCTCCCGGTTCTACTAAGTCGGGCGATGAGGGTGGCTATGGGGCTCAGATGGGATCGGTTCCTGAGGTTGGAGAACACAACGAGGCAATTCTGGCAGAGTTGGGAATATCCCGATGATCGACACACTGAATCTGGGGCCTGTAGCTTTAGAAGCCCCACATATATGGACATATCTCGGTAAAGAGGTGCTCCAAATTGAGTTGAAGGAAACCTCGGAAGAGGCATTGAAGATAAGAATTATATACCAGTACCATACTCTAATCGAAGTGAAACTTTGATTGGGTACTTCGGGATAGTCCTGAGGTTGCTCCTCCACTTGCATCTTACACTGTATGCTGAGAAATTTCGAATTTGGTCTGATGAGTATGTTTTATTGATTTCCTGAACACAGCTATTGTCACAAATTTGAAAAAGGTCTGATCCTAACTCCAAAACCGAAACTAAAGACAAATCCCAACGTAAGAAAATAAGATAAGCGGGCTGCTTATAATAGAGGAAAGTCAAAGTCACCTCAAATACTACAAATGCCCAGGAGACAATTATAATATGTCCCACTTCCACGCTGTTTCGTACCAGATGTGGCTACATAATTGATAATGACTATCTCCATTAGAACACATCGGCATTAGAAAGGAACGAAGTCATACCCCCTTCCACTTGATGTCACTGTCCGGCGACAGCGGGGTTCTCGTCGGAGCAGTTATAGTTGGGGGGCATAGTGATAGCTGACGAAATGTAACAAATGGAATTTATGAAGATTATTCGACCCTGACGAACATTGATGGGTAAGGGCTACGCTCTAGATGGAGGTATGAAGTGAGGGTGGCTCAGCTCCAAGGCTGAGCGAAAGAGGCTCTGTCCACATGTGCCTGATTTGTACTGACACCTTGTCTGTTTGGCCTGTTTGCAAGACTTTCAGAGCCAACAGGAAGAAGCAATTTCATCCAGTGGCAAAATTGGAACGGGAATAGCGTCATGCATGATGCATGTGAGTTTTCAAAGCGGACTGGGAGAGACTGCAGCGGTGAGCGGATTTCAATGTTTACGCTTTATTCCAAGGCTGTAGTTTGATAATATTCATGAATTTGTATGTACATCGCTCGATACTCTAGATATATCTTACTCCATAATCTCAAGCTGGTCTGCAACGGTGAACTTGGCGTCCGTCTTGCTGCGCACCTCTTCCACTTCAACACCAGGAGCAAGTTCAGTCAATGTGAGCTCTCCAGTACCTCGGTCGACTTGGAAGACACACTGTTGCAAATTAATTTCAGTCCCAGATAAATCATTCGATTTACTTACCAGGTCAGTGATAATAGTGCTGACAACATTGGCACCGGTGAGAGGCAGACTGCACTTCTGCACAATCTTCGGCGATCCATCCTTCGCGACATGACTTGTTGCAACCACGATCTTCGTCTGGTCTGGGTTCGAAATGAGATCCATCGCACCACCCATACCTTTGAAGACCTTTCCAGGAATCATGTAGTTCGCCAAATCGCCATTCGCGCTGACTTGCAAGGCTCCCAGAATCGAGACATCCACGTGACCACCACGGATCATGCCGAATGACTCAGTGCTGTCGAAAGTGGAAGCACCTGGGATCAAGGTCACAGTCTCCTTTCCGGCGTTGATAATATCACTGACGGGTGTTAAGTATGAATCATAGTGAAATATAGAAGAACTTACGGATCAACCTCATCTTCGGTCGGATACGGTCCCTAGAAGAGGTTAGCCACGGTTCCTACTCATTCACTGATTTATCACTTGCCATTCCAAGAATTCCATTCTCAGACTGAACCCAGACCTTGACATCCTTCGGCAAGAACGATGGAGCGAGCGTGGGAATACCTAGATTCGTCAGCACCTACTACAGCCACGAAGATAAACAACACTTACCAACACCCAAGTTCACATAGAATCCTTGCTTCAGCTCCTTCGCCGCTCGGCGACCAATTCGTTCTCTCTCGATTTGAGCCTGGCTCTTCGTCGAGCTCTGCACGTCGGAATCAGTCTCCCGCAGCTTCTTGTTCTCGATATGTTTCTCATCAGTTGCTGGTACAATTCGATCAACGAAGATACCAGGCAAGTCCACATCATTGGGGTCAATGGATCCAACGGGAACAATATTTTCCGCTTCAACAATAGTTAGGGTGGCAGCCTTCGCCATGATCGGACCAAAGGCCTTGGTGGTGTACCGGAAAACGCAGTTCCCCGCCTCATCGACCTTCCACGCTCGCAGAATAGCCACATCACCCGTCAAGGCCGTTTCCATCAAGTATTTCTTCCCGTTAAATTCACGAGTCTCCCGCGGCTTTCCCGATTCCAAAATCTTACCCGACGCATCCATGCGAACAGGAATTTTGCCTTCTTCAATGAAAGTGTCTGCTTGGGTCAGCTATGGACTCAACGCCGATCTTGTGAAACTCACGGACTCCAGTTGGAGTAAAGAAGGCCGGAATACCCGCGCCACCGGCACGCAACCGCTCAGCCAATGTTCCTTGGGGACAAAGCTCGATAGCAATCTCCCCCGACAGGTACTTCTTCTCCAAGACTTTATTATTGCCCAGGTAGGACAGGATCAACCGGTTCAGCTGTCCATTCTGCGATAGTGTTGACAGTCCGCCCTTGCCAGCGGCACCAGCGTTATTCGAGACAGCCGTCAAGGAATGTAGATCGGAACCTCGACGGCCCATGGCATTGATAAGGGTTTCTAGAATAGACTACCGTTAGCATCGAGTTCGCTCTTTCCCGCGGCAATTCACTCACCAGCAACCCCACACAAACCGAAGCCCGAACTCAGGATCGTTGATCCGCTCTGGATATCAGCAACCGCGGCATCGGCATCTTTGAATACCTTTGACCCACCACGCTCGACTTTCGGGGCGAGAGACAATCGCGGTGCAGTGGTCGAGTAATAGCTCGGCCGAACAACAGGAAGTAGGGGCCGCACGCTGCAGCGTACTCCCAGGTAGACTCGCGGCCTACAGGCAGAAATCGCTTTCCGCGATAATGAAGATGCGGTGACTCTCAGTGACATTTTGTGCGCATGAACAAAGGAAGAAAGATTAAATCGCATTTTAAGACGCGGTCGACGCAAGTCCTCGGCTCTTCGGAACTACTTGGCCTTCGGAACTACTTTTGGGAACCGAGTGGCGGGCCGAAGGTGGATCGTATGACATAACCATGGTCGGTTTTGGACTTGTTTATTGGACTTCAACAGCGGCCTAAAAATCGATGCAGCGCGTGCAGGTGAATCGAGCTCTAGATGCCCTAAAGCCTAGATCGAAGAGTATCCAACGCGGAGAAAACATGGAGTTTAGTCGGACTTGACCACTATTCCGTGATATAAAGGGTGTGATGGCTTATAATCCCTGCTTAGGCCCCGCGTACTGGCTTACGTGTATTCGGTCCCTCTTTATTTTTATAGTTTCAGTCATTTCTCTAAAACACACATTTCAGATCAATATACTTCATATATAGTTCATCACAGGCTGCTCTTCGGGCATCAGCCGTGAAGTGGCCTGAGTAGCTGCAAAGTACAAAGACACCCTGGTCGCCACGTCACGCGAACCCTCGAAGATGGCGGAATTTCTTCCTTACCGGGACCACAAGATTGTCTTGAAGAATCACATCGCCGAGCTGAACGCGGGCACTGAAGCCATTCGCGATGCTCTTACTGCCTACAGTCTCAATCAACCTGGTGACCCTGTCAAGGTGGCGCAGGTTATTATCGAAGTCTCCCGGGCCGACTCACTCTGAGCCGGGATTCCCTGGCTGCTATAGAAGGAATTATCGCCCGTGATTAGGATAGTATCAGCTCTACAGACTGCGAGGATGTGAAAAATCAGATTTATATTAGAACGTAGACTAGACTACCTGGGAAGAATCAAGTTTCGAACGCAATTTCAACAGAAATACAATAGCAATTGATCAAGTTCTCTCCAATCAGATCATTACAAGGAATTCACCTCAACCCGAGTCACATTTGCACAAACTCAAATTGACAAGCTTCTCACAATTCAAGGCACTCCCAAATATCACAAAAGCGATATTTGTCAACATTGCATAAAATGCACAAGTGTTTACAAGCCTAGTAGCTGTAACTAGTTGGTTCTTCAGACGGAGCAGCTCGGAACACTGTCACAAATCCCTTAGTATGCGGAACAGCCCGTGCAATAATGATGGGAATCAATTCATCGGCCTTCTGTGTCTGATTGACAGCCGAGTCATTCAAAACGGTCGACCTTCTTGACTCCACAGGAATGAATTGAAAAGTCATCATAACAATCACAATACAAGACGCAATCCCCACGGCAAGAATACAAACTATCGCGAAAATTGACCATGGGTTAAAGCTGATGGCTCGTTTCCACCAAGTGTTCAACCTCGGCTCTATCTTTATTGGAGATAAAGTTTTCTCAATGAGGTCAACAGATGGTCCGTTATGGGCTCCAAAATTGGGTCCTGGGAAGGTAGGTAAGTTTACGTTCGGATTGATTCCTGTTGGGGCTTACCATCTCTGCATTGCCAGTCTTCACCGTCGCGTCCTTCACCGAAGAAGCCTTCTGCTGGGCTCTTCAAATTAGTTGTCAGCTGCCACCTTCCGTGCACTTTGTTGGGGAGTTTCTCGGTCGTTTTGTCAGCCGTTTGGTCAGACGTTTGGTCGGGCATTTTGTTGGTTCTCGAGGGTTTTGTATAATAGGATTGGGGTTTGATTCGCAGGGCGAATGTAGAGTGAAGAATTCTGTTCAACGAACATCTTTAAAAAAGTAAGAATTAGGTCTATTATAGGCATAGTCTAGTTGCCGAGTTTGTTTTAGTTGATGAGAATTGGCACCGTTATGGAAAACGTGGAAACCTTGAGCAACCAGGGTTGACCTGTGGTTTGCCATAGTAATATCAACGTCATCAGGAACACAATCGACGGTTACAATTCGAATCGTATTCGCACTATTTGAATTAAAGAATGCGCTTTTTTAATTAAATTTGATTCGATGTAGTTGAAATTGAGGAACTTTGAATGAGGATTTCTCCACGTACTCCCTAAAGTTCTCACGTACCCCCTCTAACCCGATTCGGCCATTGTGTCCAAGTACCCCTAAGTATTTTATCTCACCTCTTTATATAAATTGACTCCCGAAGATGGGAGCCAAATCCCGAGTTCCTTAATGCTTTCTGGGACTATGACCCTGTAGACTATATGATCTCTAAGCTGTAATGGCCAGGAATTGACCGAGTTCTGTATGCTTTTCTCAATAGAATGCAATATTCACGGTAGACACAGGAACCGCCATAGCACACTCAGCGTTCTCTGCCAGGACTCAGCAGGGGCAGAGTCCGATAAAGCGAGGACATGGTAGATTCCGTAATGCAGATATAGGTCTAGTACCAGATACACCGCACTATATGATAGGAGTCCTCTCGTTTTGAATGTTGGATGTGGGGACTCAGAGGCAGCGAGGTTAGATTAATGAGTTTGAATTGTATCAAAAATCGTTGATAATATATGATTTATGTGCTGAATATGATAACCGAATTCATTGAGATCAAAGCACGTCTATAGAGAGAGAAATCATATTATAAGCGTGGCAGAAAAAGTATCGGTACTTAGGGGGTACTTAGATCAATGGCCGAATCGGGTTAGAGGGGGTACGTGAGAACTTTAGGGAGTACGTGAAGAAATTCTCCTTTGAATGACCTCTTAAACTAGTTAGACTTTAGCAGGCCCATGGACAGGGGGCCCATGAAACGCCCATGAGGCCCATGAAAGTGGATCTCCTTTTTGGGCATGATATATGAAAAATATGCTGTCTTTATAGTATTTTAGCGGTTAAATACTACTAAATAATATACATACTTTGACTGCTCGAAGACGTGTTTTTGTGCACAAAAACCCTACTGCCTGAGGTTAAAGGAGTTTTCTGCAGAAATCGGTAGCCCTTATTTGTCTGATAAAATTTGATAGATAAATTACAAATATTTAATTACTTGAAAGCCAATTGGCTGATCAGGGCGCTTCCGTACACGACCAGAGGTGCGAAATGTGGGTAAAAACCCATCATCTGCACTTTTATCTGAACGTTCTTCAGATGAAACCCCTCTTTTTCTCTTCATCTCCCTACTCTCTCTCTCTCTCTCTCTCTCTCTCCTTCTCTCTCTCACACACACACACTCTCTCTCTTCACTATCACTAATTTCACCAATATTACTCTTTTGCACCTGCATCTCATCAGTTTCACTCTCTTCAAAGATATCCAAAGATCGGATGCAAGCAAGCTCTGTCTCTTCCATCTTAAATTGGGTAGCACGACTATAGAGCATAAGGTATTTAATCGTGCTTGCCTTCAGATGACCACGCCGATAGTGGCAGATATTATGTGCTGAGTTAAAAAGCCTTTTTACTCTAGTACCTATAGCTGGGATAGAGAAGATATCATGCGTAATGTACGCAAGAATTAGGTATTTGGTCTCATTTTCTCTCCAAAATTATCGAGTACTAAGAATGGTCATACCTAATAACATAATTAAGAAGCTTTTTCGGCCGAATAAGTGTCAAAAAGTGGTTAAAAAGTAGTAAAACGAAGGGAATTTATACAGCCACTCCCTAAATTGATACCGTCACTCCCCCAAAAAAAGGGAAAATGACTTTAATTTTTTCAATACATCAAGATACACACCGCCTTTTAATTTTGGAATTTCTAGTCTGCCTACCCACCCAACTCTGACCTATTCTAGATAGTAGGGCTTCATATCAAGGTATCACTATAGTCTACTACTCTCTCTATAGTTGTCCACATAGACTCTCAAATCCTCTATATAATGTAAACGTCTTTAAGATATTTTCTCTACGCGCTGATAAAGTAAGATACTAGATATGCTGGACAGCATGAAGGGTATTATGGAGTTTTAGTAAGCGCGGCGGACTCGGTAGTCCATACATTTATATATAGGGGATTTGGGAGGGTCTGTATAGACTCAAATTATTAGCAAAAGGATCTCAGAAATTAGGGCGGAGAACTTAGAACTTTATACGGGGAACTCGGAGGGCAGCGAGGTGGACTCAGATATCGTGGGAAATGTTCAAATAATGTCAAATAACAGCTTTGAAGCGTTAATTTATATAGTTTTTTAGTACAGTAGCCAGAATTTACTTATATGCAAGCTTATATGGGGGTGTCTCTGTGGAGGTAAGGGTAAATAACAATGAGGGTTGTAAATAAAGTAGTTGTGAGTGGTAATAATAGTGGTAGAAAAATATTCTGCCGATGTACAGGTGGAACTTTTGACATTTCTGATTTCTCCTAATTGGGTGTTTGGGGAGTGACGGTATCAATTTAGGGAGTGACTGTATAAATCCACCAGTTCTTTTTGGGGATTTTATGAATTTAAAGTTCAAGATATGTATTTGAAATAAGCGGTAGCTCCACCATTCTCTGAGAACACATTGTAATTTATTTATTTTCATATAACGAGATTTATTTAATAGGATATTGGTAATTTATATATCTAATAGTATATTAAGAGAATGTAGCTAGTGGAATAATAATAAAATTTCATATATATAGGGTCCTAAAACATACTACAAACATGCTGTATTAAAAGGCTTGACATGTTTGCTATTTTTGTGACCCAAATTGGGTCCTGATGAAGCCTAGCCCGCGGCCATTCTACTGCCGCGGCCGAGCCTGTGGCGACGGTTGCTATCGCTGTTAGCCCACTAGCTACTTGGACTCCTGCGGCTGCTCCGAGAACGTCATGGGGGAGGCATAGATTTTCTAGATGCCTTTCTCTTATTGTTCAATCATGGCTCGTGACACGGAAGGCTCGGCGCCAGCTAACGCCGAGTGCGCATTCGTAGGAAGGCAGCATGGGGAAGCATGTAGGAAAGGCAAGAAATTAAATGTACCATGCAGTCTCGCTATGGAACATAAATGGCCCTTGCCACGTCATCAGGAAATATGGTACCTTGGAAGGTAGGCTATGTTGAGGTCGCAGGGTCAGGGATTTGATTCGTTCGTGCAAGTTAAACATCGCGTGTGTTTGCTGGCTATAAGAGCACCTAATGACCAAGAACAGGAGCACTCTTGCTGCCGTTCCTTCCGGACAACAATCACTAGTCCTCTCTAAAGTAAATTTCGGACTCCTCTATACCCTTGTCATTAACACCAAACACAGCACGAATTGGCAAGGATCTGGTTCTCAGGCTTGTACGTCATTGTGGCCCCAAGAAAACCATTTGGAAGGACCATCGGCCTGCTGCACTTATCCAGGGCCCTATCGAGCACCTTGCGTCGCCCAATACTTTGTATGACATTCTCTCATACATTTATGATGACCACTGTTGGAAGTCGAATCTACCGGTGACTTAGATATCACTCATATAGTACGTCCCGAAACTGGTGCAACCGCCTACACTCTTGAAGTGATTCTCAGGCTCCACTACATAATAACACTAGTTCATATTTGGAATAGTTCTGGAGTATCAATATTTCTAAACTAGTATGAATACCGCGCCTTACTGTAATTAAAATACGATTGTTGTCTTGTAGCTGTATGGCGATCCAGGGAAACTAGAACTTTCCATGGAAATGCAAATATGCCTCGAGAATCTGGCGAACTTTCACACCCCGCTGCCACTCATTACCAAGTGACAGCCCAGCGGCCCTGGCTTATCCTCTTCAGCCGTCAGTTCTAGACAGAGGCTGTAGAACTTCAGGGTGTTGTGAGAATCACCCACGCAATGCACATGTTGTGGTACCTAACCTCCAAAATATTTATTTGTAAGAGCCACAAATAATATCGACCGATTGAACTCACATGCCGTCTGACAGCTCAAGCCAGGGAAGCAGGAATTGGAGAAAATGACTTGATTGTCCTCGTCAAAGACGTGAGGACTATTCTTGGCCTCCGCGCCTCCAGGGCAGACATGCGCGTCTTCACTTGTTTTGATCCATTCATGGCAGCCAGAGCATCGAAATGCCATTTTGACTTAGTGGGTCGAAGACGTGGATAACGAGGACTGGGGAGACTGGCCGTCCGTACAATAAAGGTCTGGACTATATCACAAACCGCAATGAGTCCAAGCTAAAGATAATGGATCGTGGAATAAGCACGAAAACTGTCGCTAACGTGAAGTCCGGTTGCGCGGGCGACCCGGTTGAGCGAGCGACCCCACCAAACTTCGAAAAATCATTAATTTTGAACTACCACTAAAACCATCAAATAACTCAAAATTTTGCTAATAAACACGTGAAGGGCATCCAGGATATGTATGACCTTTTATCCCACAGCCAGAACATGTCACATGCCGCCGAACCGAAGGCATAGAAGGTAAAGTAGGCTTAACAACCGCTCTTGTAGATACCTCCGGCAAATATATATCTTTACCATTATCTTCATCCTCATAAACCACATCATCTTTACCACTCTCTAGACCCCCAAAGATACCTTTCTGGGTAGTAAACTTATGTATGGTCTCTCGTTTTTTTGTCTGTTTCTTGTTGGTAGCCTCTAATTGGGTACAGCGATTCTGGAGAAAAATATGGTGGTGGACCACTTTGATAGTCATATCATAGGTCTTCTGAAGCTCTCTTTTTGTTGGTGAAGAGAGGATTGAAGAAGAAGATTCTAGACCTTTTTTGATCCGAGATTGTGATTTTGTGAATTTTGAGAGAGTCCAGAGAGTATTTGGATCACTATCACTGCCGGAAGAGAGTGGTCGCTGTGAGACAATATCGAGAGGAGGAAGGGAATCCAGGCGCACATTTAGCTTTTCCAAGACTTTATTAGCATCAAATGGTGCTAATCCAGTAGCTGAAAAGCTAATTTGTATAGTAGAAGTCTTAAAAGCACCAATTCTCGCATCAGCGATAAGTTCAAGAAAATCTTCCTTATCAATAGAGTTCACTCCATTCCGCATCAAGGTTGAAACCGCTCCTCCATAAAGCCTCTTCAAAACCGAAAAACAGCCCACATCCAAAGGTTGTAAAAGGTGGGAAGCATGAGGAGGCATACAGATTGCGATAATTTGGTTTTCTTCACAAAGTTGGTCAAATTCGGGGGTCAAATGACTCCCATGACCATCGAGGACCAGTAGGCAATATTTCCCCACTCTTGGCCCAATATTTGGGATAAAAAGATGTTTCAACCACCATAAACCAATTGTATTAGTAGTCCAGCCATTTTCACTCATAGTGAGACGTGCTCCTTCTTGATTTAAAAGAAGATAAGGGCGTAGATGCTCTGGAAACTTTTTTCCCTTGAAAATGAAGAGTGGAGGCATAATACTTCCAGAAGCTCGAATACACTCGATTATGGTTACCCACTCGCGATTTCCGGCTTGTAAAAGAGCTCTTTTCCCGTGGTATTCTGCAGAAGTGATAATCTTTTGTGTTGCGCCGATACCCATAGCAAAACCACTCTCATCAAAGTTAAAGATATCGTCCGAGACAATACCCCACTTTTCAATTTTTTTTTGCACCAAATCAAACCATGGTTTAATGATTCTAGGGTCTTCTGAAAGGGCTCTCTGATAGTCGTATTTGCGAGAGAATCGAGTAGAGAGATTTGGGCGTCGTTTGATAAATTCAGCAGGCCAATGATTACCCACAGTAGAGGGCGTAGTTTTTCGGGCATAAAGTAGCAGATTAGCCATATCTCGCAACATAGGCAAAGTAAGAGCTGCCCCTCTAGAATCCATATCCAGTAGCCATTTTTCAATCGATCCTTCCTCAATTTCGGTGAAAATAAAGCGATTGTGTCGCTTTTCAGTAGCAGATTCACGCCCATTAATCCGTGCCTTCAAAGTTGAGACAGGGATATCAAAGGATCGTGCAGCAGCCGCAGCAGAGGGATATTTACCATCTTTTATAGCTTTTATAGCTAATAAAAGACGACCCTCCTGCTCTATTAGCTTTTTTTTCTTATCGGAGCGCTCAGGGGGCATTCTTGTTATGGTTGAAGAAGACGTATTAATATGGAAGTGGATTTTTGGTGGGGTCGCTCGCTCAACCGGGTCGCCCGCGCAACCGGACTTCACGTTATGGAGAATCATAAAATTAGGTAATCTGCCTTGTCATGCTAGCCTTAGTCAGGATCCGCACATAAGAACCATGGTTCGAGGGCGGGTAATAATGCAGACAATTACACGATCGAGTACGGACCCTATTGGTCGATAAAATACGTCCGTTTACGTGAGCCGACAAAAACAGATTGTCATGTGACTTTGCTTAGGTAACATGATCAGACAGCACCTGGGCAGGCAAATAAGATCACCAAACCTTTAAACAAAGGTATAACTAATTGTTTTCCAAGTACGAGACAATTCATGATTCCACTATCTCAATAATGCGGACAATAATACAGAGCTCACGGGCTACGTAATCGAGTATCCAATGTGAGTCCGGAAGCATCCCAAGAGTCCTAAATATTCACAGGTGTCAGAATCATAGTGGGGAGATCACATGACTCTGTTTGCTTTCATAGATCGCATAGTAGATCTACCTCCTTAGCTCTCTCTTCTCTCTCCCTTCACGCATCTCATAACCTGCTTTTGGCATATTGCTCTGCTTATTAGTAGTCTGTATACCTCATAACAGGCCTTGGTCAGAGTCATTTTCCCAAGATTTCATTAGCGAAAAGACCCGAAGATCAACTATGCGTATCGTTATCTCCATAACATTTTGAAATTTTGATCACAGATTTGTGGGGCTTCTAAATTATCTGTTATTGAGATGCTGAAGTCGTCTAAAAAGTGCAACTGTAGATGGAATATTGAACGCAAATGCTATTGCCACCTCTTAAATATTAAAACCTATGAACGAAATTCGTCCTGACGCGTGTCCCATAATGAAGTTGCTATGCTTCGTAGCTGAGCAAATGGGCCGATATTCAGGAGGAAGCCACAAGATCTCTTTATCACCAAGAATCACCCACCGATCATCCGATATCAATGCCCCTCCAATTCCGGAAAGTGAATTGGAGACGTGATTTTCGCGCCAGAGCTGCAGATTGAGGGATCCTAGATTGGTGTTCAAAAACAAGCCGTCTTCGGAAAATTCTAAGTTGGTGACCGCTCCTCCGACCTTGAACTCTTGTTGCAGAATCCCTGTATCACAATTCCAGAGTCGCACAGACTTGTCTCTCGACCCAATCGCTAGGAAATGTCCGTCAGGGGAGAACGCTACAGCACTAACCCAACTTGAGAAGATGTCGAGAGTCTGCTGTAGGGCTCCTTTTGAGAGGTCCCAGAGCCGGACCGTGGTATCTCTCGAGCCGGACGCAAGGAGTCGGCTATCGGGGGAAAATGATACCGAGTCAATCCCATTTACATGCCCGTTGAGGATTTGGAGTAGCTCGCCTGTGGGTATACTCCAGAGCTTGATAGTTTTATCCACAGAACCGGAAGCTAGGAGCTGATTATCATGGGAGAACGCCACAGACCTAACGTGGTCTAAATGGCCTGTAAGAATACGCTCTAGTGTACCAGTAGCAGTATTCCAAAGCCGTATTGTCGTATCATGAGAGCCAGATGCTAGAAGTCGTCCATTAGGCGAGAATGCTACAGATCTCACTAAATCGAGATGGCCATCGAGAGTCTGCTGCAGAGCTCCTGTAGAGAAATCCCAGAGCCGGACTGTCTTATCTCTCGAGCCGGACGCCACAAGTCGGTTATCAGGGGAGACTGCTAGCGCCTCAACCCCGTCTGAGTGGCCTTCAAGATTCTGTTGCAGAGCGTCCCCGGTAGGATTCCAAAGTCTAGCTGTCATATCATACGATCCTGATGCCAATACTTGACCGTCGGGGGAGAATGCCACCGAGTAAACACCGTTAGAATGGCCCTCTATGGTTTGGAGTAGCGCGCCTGTGGCTATATTCCAGAGCTTGATGGTCTTATCCACCGAACCAGACGCTATAATTTGGCCATCTGGTGAGAATGCCACTGACCAGACAAAATCTGAGTGACCCTCGAAAGTCTGTTGTAGAGCGCCTGTGTCACGATTCCAGAGTCGGACTGTCTTGTCCCTTGAGCCAGACGCTAAGAATCGGCCGTCTGGTGAGAAAGACACTGACCAAACAAAATCTGAATGACCCTCGAGAGTCTGTTGAGGAACATCTGTATCAAGATTGAGATCCCATAGACGGACTGTCTTATCTCTTGAGCCAGATGCTAGGAGTTGGCTATCAGGAGAGAATTCCACTGATTCAATCCCGCCTGAGTGACCTTCGAGAGTCCGTTGTAGAACACATGTATGAGGATCAAGATCCCAGAGATAGACTATCTTATCTCCTGAGCCAGACGCCAGAAGGCGGCTATCAGGAGAAAATGCCACCGATAAAACAGACCCTGAAATATTCTCCAGAGTCTGGAGTAGTACACCTGTGGCTATATTCCAGAGCCGGATAGTCTTGTCTCTTGAGCCAGACGCTAGCAGTTGGCCATTCGGTGAGATGGCCACCGACTCAATACCGCCTGAATGGCCTTCTAAAAGTTGCTCCAAAGCACCTGTGGAGGTATTCCAAAGCCTGGTCGTCATATCATATGAGCCAGATGCTAAATATCGGCCATCAGGAGAGAATACCACAGACTTAACTAGACCTGTATGTCCCTCGAGTGTCTGTAATTCTGTACTCCAGGTTTCTTCAACATTTGGCAACCTCACTATCCAATTGGGGAGTTCGCCTTCGAATTGCCTCCGGATCATTGCCTGTGTGGGTGCAAATACAAGCCCTGAGTTGTAAATTTGGAGGGGCGCAATATCAACGATCTGTTTGTTTTTGAGGACAAACCGCTTTGCATCAAGTAAGAACTCGGTTACTCCACAATGCGCTTGTTTCTACAATTACCTATCAGCATAGATCATCAAATAGGTATTAACCCAGACCCACAACTATTAGTGCCTGCAACACATCTATTATTCCCACAACCTCCGACGCAAGACCTAGGACACTCATTACTTCCATCCAGTGCAAGAAGTGCTTTTTTAGAAATAGGAAGGCATCATGCATCATTAACTCTTGCTCTTTGCTTTGCACGAGATGCTGCACCCAAAAGCGACAGGAGTACTGTAACTCTGATGGAAGACAGTGGGAAACCGTCTTGCGATTAATCTTCATGCGTTTGGTGCCATCACTAGGTAGTCCACATATATTTCGTTTTAGATTATCACAAACAGAGAGGCATTGTGAAGTCAATTTTTGATGGATCTCTTTCTCATCCAACCATAGTGGAGTTTTGTCACGTGTTTCCGGATCGAGGAGGAATTCTCGAAATGATAGATGGAAAAGCCGCACAGGCATAGACTCATCTTTGGGTATATGAATCACCGAGTGAAGAGAGTTTAGTCTCGTATTTATTAACTTTTCAGAGAGACCAGTGAGTATTGAAAGCGAACGAACAGACAGCGGACTCTCAAGCATCACGAGAGTACCGACTACTTCTCGGAATTCTTTGAGCAATTGCTTTCCCCGATATTGGTTTTGGTCTTTCAGAAGTCGATCAAGCACCGGAAGATATGTTCTGTCCAGCTGAGATCCGTCATTTCGGTGAGTGAGGATGTCAGTAAGACGCTCCACAGGATCCCACTGAGGATCTTCAAGGATACGACACACTGTAGAGGCGAAAATAAACAGAGGAACGGATAGTGACACAAGAGCATGGAGATCGGTGTCATTGGGCCAACTCAAGGGTAAAGATCGATCTATTCGAATCACTGAAAGCCGGTGTTTCAAGAACTGAGTTATATCACGCTTTATCAACTCCTTAGGGATTTCGTGAAGAACCACATCCTGGTAATCAAGATGAGACATCCTTGAAAACTCGATGCGGATTGGCAATTCAGGCCTGCTCGTCAAGAATATTCGTAGACGAACAGTGCTTGCCTTCTGGAAATAAGGCAGTAATTGGGTTATGACTCGTATATCATTATCATTTTCGCATTCGTCTAAAGCGTCAATCACTATAATTGCGGTAGGAGGTTTCTGATCAAACAACCTAAGCTGTTGCAGCGGTTGAAGGAGCAACTTGTCGAACTGATCTGTCAGTGATCTTGATGCAATGTCAGGGTCATCATGGAGAGCCTTCCGCACACCAACAATCAGCTCAGGAAACATAAGCGCTAGCTGCCTTGTAAGTGTTGAGAGGAGCTTTGAGGCATTCCCTCGATCACCCTCACGGCGCTTGAAGAAAAAGCTTGCTCCTAGGTGCTTCGTCTCCTTGAACGAGTGCGCCACAGTCCTACATATTGTGGATTTCCCCACCCCGGCCATTCCACTTAACCAGAAGAGGCACTTTCCCCGAGGGGACAGAGCCCATTCTTTTATCTGTTGAAGGAGCTCGGTTCTCGTCCCTGGAAGACACCTATCTTCATGTTGATCTAGGTATGAGTTATACTCGGCTCCACGCACAAAGGGAAGCTCGTCAAGAACTTTCATTTTATTAAAATGCTCAACGTGTTGGGTAATTCCTCTGATCAGCCTTCTGGGTGTGTCTTAGTCCAATACACTCTCGAAAGTTGATGGAACGTTGCAAAACTTACGTCTGATCTACTTGCAGTGATAAGATGAAGGAGGATTTGTGTCTCTCAAGATTTTGAACAGCGGCCTCCAATTCTGTTCGTTTCAGGGGCCACTTCAATGCGCGGAAACCCACTTTCCTCATCAGTTTCTTTCCTGTTCCTGGATCGATTTTCGCCTCCAAGGTTTGAAGGTCGGAGAGGCAATCGGTCATATTGCTGGCTAACCGCGAGGACGTAGGTAGGGTGTTGTCGTCATTACTTTGAAGAAATAACTGCAAGTCTTGAAGAATCCCTTCTAGACCTGTAATCGCCCGTTGTAAAGTGATAATCTCGTCCCGTGCATCTTTCACCTCCTGAATGTAGCCTCCGCAAATCTTCACGAGGCTTCCTGTCAGTTGAATGACCGCGATAACGCTCGCAGCCGAGGAAAGTCCATCCATTTGGAAGAACCACTATTATAAGCGCCACGTAGGTAGCATCATACAGAGATCGCAGAGCGGGTTTTGGAGTTCGCTTTGTCGTTCGGTGATTCTCTGGCCAGATAAGGGCGTCTGGGTACAAGAGCAGCCTTTGGAGGAGGGGTACGGAGGTTTTAGGTGTACTGAATTTACAAGCGAATACATGCCTGAAATTACTATGCAATCTACGTACGAAGTAATACACGCGCAATTTACAGGGGTATTCCGGAATTACTCCTAATATAGACTAGTGTGGCTTGGCCTAAGGTCAAGAAAGTTTTAGCGAGCGCAGCAATGTAGGGTAAAGTAGTATATTGGTGGGAGACGGATTGAGGAAAGAGAGAGAGAGAGAAGCTCTCGAGATCTATCAGACTATGTGCGCTGGAGCCTGATATCTTAGGCACTTAGGGAGCTACCTAATAAGAAAGTCAATTAAAAGATGTCAGTGGTTGCACCAGTATCGGGACGCACTAAACCTTATTCTATTCGAAGGGATTTTCTTTCTGGAAATCTAGATAAATGAATAAGCCTAACGAAAGTTTAGAATAAAACGCTGGGTATATCATTGAAAATTTTCTTCTCCCTCGAGTGTAGATTCCTTGATAATATAAGATCGTTACCCTATTACCGGGCCACCTCTAGTATGTAACTAGTCTAATCTAATCGATTTCGAAGTCTGTCTATTCTCTAGTATAGTATAAAGCCAATCTAAATTATTATTTTTCTGAAACTAAGATGATTATGGTGTTTGTCCTTTGAAAATGATTAAGGGACGAATTATTTTTCTAAGAGCAGACATTATCTCTATAATTAAGACCTATTCTCGATTTTCTAGTAATTTCACATAAGTTTTTTCTCTTTCTAGCTTTTCCAGGGACTTAGGAATTCGTATAGACACTAAAAGTAATTCTATGTTTATCTATATTCCAAATATTCCCCGGTATAATATCATATTGACTCTTGATGTTCTTAAATTTATAGAACTCTTTAATTAGTTCAGGTTATGTATCCTGGATTTAAGATGCATTAATTTGTCTTCCAATATAAGAACTAATACTTAGGTTGTGTTGGATAAATTTTGGGAGCTAGGCTTTAATAAGTGGCTGATGATCTCCTCCGGACAGAAGAACGCTGGTTGCTGTTTCTCGTGTACGTATATATAAGGGTGGAAATCCTTAGGCGTCCTGCTCAATTATCTATTTAGTTAGGGATTCCTCTTAGTCTAGTGATAATCGCTGTTGTTGTGTGTGGCTAGCACGTCGATTTTGGATACCTTCTCGTCTTTGTTGTAATGTGGTTCGTGGGATACCTACGTAGCCGCAGTAGTCCGTAGGGAGGTGTCTTGGAGGGTATGATTTATTATTTCTTCGTTAATAGGTATATTGGTTGGGTGGTTAGGTAGGAAAGGGGGAAAAGAAGAGGTGGAGAGACGCGACCGCGTAGCCCATTTCGAGGCTTAGCCCGGTAATAGGGTAATGATCTTATAATAGAGCTGGTATAAGTCTTTATTCATTTATATTCACAGTTAGGGCCTCATCAGCCAGGGTGTCGTTATCATCTCATAGAGCTGAACTCCGACCGAGATAAGATAGCACGTATCTGTTTTACAACAGAGCTGCCTTTTACGCAACCGCCACCGCTATGTAGCGGCTCGGAATTTGGATAGAGCAGCAGCCAAACGGTGGAGAATGTGGAATATTGTGCGGACGATGTCGGGAATCTACTAAAGGATAAATCCAGCGCTCAATTCTAATACTTAGAGGTTACTCAGATTCTACCTTGAGAAGAACTTATTTAGAAAACCCTTTACCAATTTAATTAATACGGCTTGTTTGTTTGTTTGTCTGTCTAACGCCGGGGGGAGTTAGACTTTGTCCCACTCCAGAGCCTCCTATGGGGTGGTATGTGGGCACGCTACGCTAAGGGATTATGTACATAATATGCTGACTAACATAGATAGCTAGACCTAGCTATGGCAGCTGCCCCTCGGGGCACCCTTTTGCGGAGCACCCTGCCTCCTACCTGCGAAGCATAAATGTCCAAAAAAAAATTCAACAGCTGCGCTTGAATAGCAGGCGATCGCGGTAACCACTGCGCCATTGCGTCAATCGACGCAACCAGGATTCGAACCTGGGCACCCGAAGGAAATCGCTATGCTTAAACCCTTACGCTAAACTGCTGATAGTTTAATTAGTAACTAATACGGTAGGAAACAGGGTAGGGGATATGGTAAGGTACTGAGTGGGATACTTTGTAGGAGACTAGGTAGGTACATGCTATAATTTGAGGTAACTACTTTAGGTCTAGGAACATTCGTTATTTTATGCGCCGCGCGAAAATGCACGGTGGAATGCTTTTAGTTGATGCACAATGGTGATATGAATATGATCTCCGCCTGGGCATAATGGGCATAATATTCCTGCGCGTGAGGAGAGCCAATCACGGCTCGCTGATTGGACATTGCTGACACCCCTCATGTTTAAATTGAACATGTGTGCACATTGTATTCGTAGTGTGCTAGACCAATCGCTTGCAACGGGAAACTCTGGCTCGGGTGGACATGCCCAAGTAGGTGCTTGGAAGCGTGTCGGAAGTTTACCCTATCTTGACTTTATCATGACTGGCATATAAAGGTTGTTGAATTCTTGTGATTTCAAAACTTCCATATCTTTCTCTTATTTTTGTTGGCTGAATCCAGGGCAAAATCAAGCAATATGGGTCGAACATTGATGTACCCTAAGGGTGTTTCTAATACGGTGAATCGGTATAAGCATCGTGGTGCGTGAACTAAAAGGCTACCATTGCCAGTATCTAATGCTTTGTTAGCAACATACGACCTGGGTGCGATCCACTCCATCATCAATACATCCCAAGTGCTCCATGTGTCATTCAACCCGGGCCCAGAAGATCCATTTCCCACCATCCTCCCCATGATCGGGCAAATGGGATCATTCGACTATCCATCAGCAGCTATTGACGAGCCACTTGAATGTTATCTACACGGCTACGTGAGCTCGCGCATCATGAATTTAGCTCGCAATTCCGATACCGGACAGGGTCTCCCTATCTGTATTGCGACGAGTCGAGTCGATGGATTAGTGCTATCTCTTACTCCCAACTCTCATAATTATAACTACCGCTCTGCAGTACTGCATGGATATGCAACACTGGTCACGTCGGAAGAGGAGAAGCTTTGGGCCATGAAACTAATTACCAACTCAGTTGTCGCGGATCGCTGGGATAATTCGCGGGTGCCGCCCGACCGAGCGGAAATGTCGTCTACTGTCATTCTTAAAGTCAGGGTTGTTAGTGGCAGTGGCAAGATTCGGGACGGTGGAGTGACTGATCTACGCAAGGATACGGAAAATGGTGATGTTACCAATCGCATTTGGACGGGTATGGTTCCTGTTTGGGAGACGTTTGGAGAGCCCGTTCCAAGCGATGGAAATATGGTTTCTGAAGTGCCTGAGCACATTACTTCGTTCATTGCGAGTAAGAATGCTCAAAATCGTGCCTATGCTGAGGGCGCTGTCCATGTTGAGTTGCCTCCGGAAGAAAAGAATTGATTCATTTTAGTTTTTCAATATTCAAATGCCGTGGGCTGAATTGTTAATATCCAAGACTCCATGATTTATGTGTAACTACATTGACCTATTCCAAGTTAAAAACCGAAAACATCGGGACTGGACTTTTACAAGTTGTTACGCCAAACGCCACTTGAGAGGGTCCTCCGCTTCTTTTACCACTGAGAAGTATGTCAAGAGTAAGCCACTCCAGTTCCAAGTGATCGGCCACATTCCAATATTTTTACAGTTTATCATGTGGGTTTTCGTGTCGCTGTACACCCTCCCATGAATCAGCTGATACTAGGGCAAACATCGGAATTTAGATGAGTTCCCGGCTTCCAGCGTGCCACATATTCGTGCAGGCGAGGAGATGGTCTTTGGATTTGATTGTAAACTTGTAATCAGCTTCAGCTGAGGTTTTGTTAAATCAAGTTTGCCATCTGGTGAGCCTCCGGTATGTGAAAACTTACATGACTGGCTTAAAATAATTCACCAATCAACATTTGAAGCCCGGTAAGGAGATATTACCGTGAATGAGCGAATGTAATAACTACGTATCGGCATAGGTATCCCTGGAGGTAACCCGTAGTTGTGCCTTGAGTAAAAATATCAGGTGAAAACTACGCATCTGATCAAGCCAAGATTCAAATACTTTATGTGAAGTAGAGTTGTTACCGACAAGGATCGACCTGGTGGTTGCACCAAGTCATCCGTGTCCCACACGTTGATCAAGTCCACTTTCAAGCAGAATGCCGATTGTTGGGAGCGGATTGACCTGTCTGAGCCATATTTGAAATACAAGGGTTCATTTCTAAGACTTCTCATCAGAACTCCTGGAATCGGCCTCTTTGGATCACATTGGATACGTTCAACGGCTGCAGAAGCCATTCGCTTTGCCCCGGATTCTTCGGTGCCGTTGAGTTTCGTGTCACACGCTGTTCCCAGGATCCCCGTTCGTTATACTGTAGAAAATCAAGTGCACAGAAGGCTAAATGTATATCAGAGGTAGCTTCGGGATATGTAGCTTTTTAATATAAATTCCAAGATGTCCCTCTATTAAGGTTTCTACCACCGCTATCAAAAATCCAAAGCTTTTTATCGAGAACTTCGCAATGGCTATGAAACTTATGTTCCTCTCCCTTCCCCTGTCTGTCTTTGCAGGGGTGGTTGCGACCATTATGGATGAGTTGGCCGAAATGAGGATGTCGGATTTGCCCAATAACATGCCGCGCATGTTTGAAAGTGAAAGATATGGCAGATGGAGTATCCAAAAGGAGGTCCCTATGGACGGCAAGTGCCAGATGCTTAAACCCACGGATGCTCTGTAGGTCGGCCGAGATTCTGTCTCGCACTTCGCTAACCCTTTCAGATACCACAATGTCGGATCCATGTATATCCCATGTGAGTCTGACACCATGTCAGGCAAGAAGGCCGTGTGCACTATGTTCAGGCATGTGATATCCACATCTGTATTAGTACACACTAACAGAAATAGTGATTCAAACTGCCAGGATATGATGGTGATTTTCGATCGCTCGCACTACCGAATGTTTGACCGTCCCCATGAGGAAAGTACAATGACCTCCTACATCGGCGGAATGGTCGAGAGTGTGAAGTGCGAGATGGTCGACGCCTCGACCGAAGTTTCGAATAGCAACGGACACGCCTCCAGCATGCACATGTCCCAATGTGTCGGCGATAAGTGCAACTCCAACCATGAATGCCACTTCAACGTCGGAGGTCATCTCTTCTGCTCTGAGAAAATGGGTATGACCTGTCAGAAAGCCCGCTTCACAGACATTGGCAAGAAGTGCACTGAAGACCATGAATGCCGCGAGGGATACTGCTCTGAAATAGATGGTGATATGAAGTGTATGCCGAAGCGGGTACTCAATGCTTTATGTTCCTCTTCTGCGGAGTGTATGGCAGGCACGATGTGCTGTGAGATATCTGGAGAGGCACGATGCAGTCGGGACATCTGTTCTGGTCAAGGTAACCAGGATGTCAATATATGCTTCAACATTGGAAGGGATTGTACCGCGCAAGACATGTGTTGCAGTGCAAACTGTATGTTCGATCCGATGCTCATGATTGGACAATGCATGTAAGGTGGACCCAAATATACAGATGTCGAAGAGAGCAGGGTGAATGGAGAATTAGAGGGATCGTCGCGAGGGTATCATAATGTGGATCAGGCATGGTGAACTTGTTTGGCAGGCAAATAATGCAAATGATGAAGGAGAAATTTGAATTCGTCGAGATTATTTCTTAAATAGCGTTATCATGTCCAAACATCTTGAAAGTGTCCAAAAAATCTTCAAAATGAATCAAATTTAGCATATGCTGTCGGTTATTAGTTAGTCTCTTGACCTAACTCATACTATTGCGTACGCAGGTGCTAGCTGTGTCAGACGCGCAGGAGTTGGTTTCTGTTGGCTCGGAACTGAAGACCTGGATTGCTTCCGTGATTTTCTCGACAACAGTAGCAAATCGCTGCATAATCGGGTATTTTTCCGTAATTTGTGGATAGTCCACTCCAGCACTGCCATAAATGTATGTTCTGACTATGTTGAAATGTTAAGAAACACACGACGCCAGTATGATGACAAGTAACAGGTCGAATAAATTTACAGCGCCGCTAAGGATATTCAGCAACTGATACAACTTCGATCAATTCATTGGCCGCTAAGCGGTTACCCTCCTGCATAGGTTGTGACTCATTGAGCTTCTGCTTCGCAGTTTGTCCGACACGCACCCACAGGTTTTGCAGCGTGCCATTATAGATCGAAACCAGTTGGAATCTCGGATCACCGGAAGCTTACATGGGCCAAGGTGGAAGAAGTTCTGGCATGCCTGCTTTTCATCGCCAGTTGCTCGAGGGAAGGGTCAAGCACCCAAACTCAACAAGTGAAAAAGGCTCGATGCAGCGCTGAGGGTGGAGACAAGTGTAAGGACGGATACATCCGAATTTACGAGCCCAATTTTAGTCGCAGTAGCAAGGGACCTAGAACAGGGCTTGTGGCTAGCAATCTGGGTATACCGAATGAGAGGTAACAAGGGTAGGTCTGAAACGTGCACTCGTCGCATTTTGTTTCGAGCCATGGCCGCATTTCGATGCTGTAAACTGATTTAAAAAACATTGACAATCAGCAAAAGAGCTCTTTTTGGAGGACATAAATTCAAAGATTTTTGAGAAATGCATTTCAGAGAGAAGATTATAGTCGTCAAAGCCTTACACATTCGTAGATGGTATGGCATTTCCGACTAAGGATGAAATATTTCGTCATGCTAGAGGAGAGGAAGGCAAGGAAAAAGACTTGAGAGACTCACAATATCAGATGACCACAGGACATCGCCATGATGAGATGCCCTTTCACCGTTCCACGATACATTGTTTCCCACCTAGGATGCTCGTTTCTGGTCCACTCAGTCATCGTAGGAAATGATCCTTCGCCCGGGATATGCAGTGTGCTTGGGTTGTTGAGGTCTTTTTACTGATGGTGACTGGCGGTCCTCCTCGTAGCTAAGGTCGATGTCGTGCTCAGCTGGTCTTTTGGACATTTTCGGAGCAGAGCAATTCTGTTCCTTCTTGTTTGTCTTGTCCTCGTTGTCATTTTTGAATGTAGTACCCGTTTTGGTTGATGTTGTCTCCACAACGGTGGTACCATCCTTTTCTGATAGCTCTTGACGAGCTTCGTACTCGGCATTATCTTGTTCAAGTTGTCTTGCACGGAGTAACGCGTGGATCTCACTGTGTCTGAAGATGCGGATCTGTTCATCAGTCAGGGTCCTTTTCACCCCGTCGGGGTAGTAGCCCAGGTCTTCATCGTCTTCATCGTCGCCATTGTCGCCATCGTCGCCATATTCAGGTTCGGTTGTCGGCTCGATGAGTGTTTCTTGTCCCGGGAAGTGCTGCGCTTGGAAAGCTTGGAGATCTTCCTGTAACAGGATACATCTGTTAGTATCAAGCTCAGGGGTATGAATGGGGGGCGAATATCGGAAAAGGGGTGCCATCTTACCAGGGTGACTGTTGGAATCTGCATCGTGGGTTTCTGCGAGGATTGCAAAGGAGAGGTTTTAGCGCGACGCGGGCGCGACTGGAAGTTACGTAACGCAGCGCTGCAGCTCACCAAACAAAATGTGTACTTCATCAAAATGTTTAGATTCATTCTAGTTTTATAGTATTTTATGATGGCGTGATCTGTAAATGGAATTCAGATTAGATTGATTTCATTTGTCCATTGGTAGAGGTATGCTCGCGACACTATTCCCAATCTTGACCTTGACGCCATCAAACTGAATCTTAAGATGCTGTAGTGGTTTGAGATCAGTCGCTGAAACACGGTCCTTATCTTCCTGGCTGGGTTCATTCAGTGTCCATGCAAGGGAAATGTGAAAACAATCGGAGAAATCTTGGGTGAGTGGAGTATTTCGCGATGCATAGAGAGGGGGCTGGTTGAAACGATCCAGAACACTATTAGAAAGGTGCAATAGACTATTCAGACTGTCTTGTTCTGGCTTTGCAACATGGAGCACAAGAAAACAGCGTGTTCGCTCGTAGTTGGAAACCCATTTTAGGCCATCGGGCGTCAAGACAAATCTAAAGCAATTAGTTATCTGGTCGGCATACAGGAAGGCTTAGACTTACGGAGATATTTGAGATTCCTCGATTTTCTTTTGTAGCGATTCTTCAAACGATCTGCGTTGTTCGGTGCGAAGAACCACTGGTCGCGATAGACTGATGTGGAGTGGCAGCTGAGCGCCTAGGTCGCTATGCAGTAAACTTTGAATCTTTGGATGTGAGCTTGAGGCATTTGGTATCAGATCGTCAAGAAGTAACAGCTCCTCCTTCGATGGGTACCCTGAGAAGGATTAGTGACTAGCCATCAAAATGGAAAAGGCACCTACACTCAAGGTACAGGTGAGTGGGCCAGTTGCCTTCAACATGAGGAATCACCCGTTTTCGACCCCCATGCAGACTCGGATCATCTTGAGTGCTGACGCGTGTAGTTGAGGCATATAGATCATGGAATGCCGCTGGAAGTGGAGGTATAGTCGATGTCTTGCCCGAGGTGGCTTGTTTGAGACAGGACCTCTTGGCTGGCGGAGTCTGAACGTCTGACTCGTCTGGTTCGGACTCAGAATCCGAGTATTGGACCAAAGGCATTTCCAATTTAAAATGATTGACTGGATGTTATGTTGAGGTCAAAGTTGGCTATTTCTCTTGACGTGTACACAGCCAAGAGGGGAATATATATGATAGTATAATGACTGAAAGGATCATATAGAATATAATGTGATATTGTGATGGTTATAGACAATGAAGAGATTGTCGACGAGGATAAGCCTCGTGTGTGGACTTTGTTAATCTAGACGGCTTCTATCGACGCCTGAAGGATCAGGCCGTCAAACACAGCCCCACAGATACAGTATGATTGGCCACTTTGTCCTTTTTAGGAATGAACTCGGAACTTCATAAATATCGTAGATATCTTGCTATCATAAACTTGTGCTACTTTTTTGGTATGCTCCTGAAACCGCCACGTTTGGCTCAGAAACGTAGATATGGGCGTACTTGCTGGTCATTCTCGGTGTATCCTTGTTCTTTCAAGACGACAGCCCGCTCCTCCAGCCAAGTTTTGTATGGCGCTTTCGGAATAGTTTCAAGCCAATCCTGCCACATTTGGTGCCCACATTCTTCCCAGAATTCAAGTTGTCTCATAAAACCCGGGTTTGGATTGATGTGTTGTTTGACTTCCACGTATTTCATTATGTCGTCTCGGGGAAGGCGGAATTTGCGCATGAGATAGGCGACAACCATTGTGGCCGAGCGTGATTTTCCATAACGGCAATGGATTAGGATCCCCTCTGGAGCACAAGGCGGTGCATAATTCGTTTTCTGTTTGTCATCGACAGGTAAGGAGGTCAATGAGGTAAGGGTGGCGGGCGCCATTCGGTCGATAGCGTAACAGATTTTCCGCATATGAACAAGGAGGTCCTGTGTTGGCGAGTCTGCACATTCAAACCAAACGTGTCTGTCTTTTGAGACCCCTCCTTCTCTTGTAACTGTGTCCCACGATCGGCTCCAACGATGAGTCAGAGAGACATTTGCGTTGATCCCATTCTTTCGAAGCATCTCTGGGTCGCGTGCGGCCCCAGCAGTTCCAAGGTAGAGACCAGGGACAATGAGGGTCATGCGAGATTTGAGCTCCATATTCACCTTTGATCTCCATTCTTGTCAGTTCCTGCCGTGTTTTCACTGAATCTGGCCGTCGTGCTTACCTGGTTCTTGAGAACCTCAAGATTTGTAGTTGTCAGGAGTCGGATATCAGATACTCGAGAGGGATTTTGAGTACACCGTGCGAGAAAGGCTGTATGGTTGACTATTCAAAATATGTAGATCAGTGAGGTGGGAGTAAAATAAAAAAAGAAGAGATAGAAGTAAGCAGCGATTGAAGACACCTGACAGCCTGTGTTTTAACAGTACGCGTAAGATTCTTTGTTGGTTGTAGATATCGGTGATGTTTTGTGCACTCAATCTTCCCATCGTTGCCATCTCCCAGGTTTTCAGCTTATGTACAACCCCCGCGTTTAAATCTATCACAGGTCTTAAGCGAACATATATGTTTGTACTTCTAGAGACAGGCCTAGTTTTCGCATCAGGTAAGCTATCACGATCGTTACCGAGCGTGATCGCCCATACCAGGAGTGGAACAATACCGCCCTGGGAATTCATAATGTCATATGCAAACTGTTTGACCTTGTAAGCAGTCAAGAAAGCAAGCATATTGAGTGCCATGCTTGCGATGAATCGTAGATCTCCTCCAGATTTCCAAAGATGTCTTCTGTCGGCAAATTTGTAGTAAAATTTGCACAATTGAACCATTCATGGCGATTTTGTGGCACGCATTCGCGCTATTGACATAGCGGGGATTCCATGGCGTTGCAGCATTTCTGGTGTACAGGCCGCCTTGGTATTCCCAACAAATACCTGGTACAATCATCGTCATTCGGGCTGTGGTTGCCATATCGCGCAGCTCACTATCATGGATTCGGGGAATAATTTGCAGCTCAACGGGATTCTTACTCGACCGTTGAACACCCGCCTGCATTTGAGCAATCGTTTCAAGCAAGTCGGCATCCAACCCTGAACAATAATCAGAACCCTACCCACCATCGATTCAATTGTTCCAATGAGAGATCTCATATTGAAAGATGTATCCTGGAGTGCGTTGCAGCACGCTATAAGGTCTGCCTTTGTTGTTGTTTGTAAAGAATCCCTCTTCTGCTGTGTCTCTAATATTATAGAGGGTGAAATTAACATCCTAGTTCAGATTATACTGAGCCTTCTACGGATGCTTGATTGAATTCAACCTTCTTTGACAATCTTAGATGTGTTAATGAAATGACTCTCTCAGCTTGATAGATTACTCAAATCTCAAACCACGGATAACGGTACATCTCCGCACCGCCTAGCATACTTTCGGGGACTTCAAGCTTCTAGATTAATGCGGTCATTGCGAAAAATATATTGAGAGATGCACCCGAGGCCTTTTTAAGTGCAACCCTGGAATTGAAGGACGTGATATTTCGGTCAGCGCAGCGCAGATTTAGCGCATTTCAGACTAGCCCACAATAGAGCAAGACCATGCCCCGGACAAGTAAACAACCACAGCTCCACAGAAAGTCTAGTTCACTGACGAATTTGAGTATTGCGAGAAATCACTCGAGTTCGCCGAACTCCAGGGCATTCATAGCGGCGAAAATCTGGCAATTGCAGTGGAAAATTATGCTTATCGAGTTGGGTCTCGAGGACAAGCTTATTTGCATTACAGGCGACAACGCCAGTAACAATGAGGCCATGGCCTCGGAGTTATACTTTTCTCTTTTCGACCGACCTAGGGTGGAGGAAGCGATACCAGCACCACTCTATCGAGGGCTCGACAGCTACATCCGCTGCTTGGCTCATGTCCTCAATCTGATTGTGAAAGACATTGGGCCGGTACGGCCGGAGACAATTCAACAAGCACAAGCTGTCTGTAACCGTTTGATCACTGATCACTCAGCTATAGGGAGGTTACGGATCCTCGCTCTTTGTATTAATCGAAGTCTTCAGCGCCGACAGAAAAGGAGGGAAAGTTGCAGACTCAACAATCCCCCAGACAGATTCATTGAATACAAAATTACGATACACTTCGCATGGTCGACGATGGCTTGAAGTCAAGGCAACAAGTCAAAAAGTTCCTGAACCTTTAGGAGGAACACCCGCCATTCACTCTCAAAGATTGGTCACGAATGGGACAGATTCACACAGTACCTCACAAGTTCAACGAGCTTACCCTGTTCATTTCGAAACGTAATCCACAAATCAGCCTAGCAGTCCTAATTTCCTATGAGCTACACGAATTGCTTGATGACGTGAGGGAGGGCAATGATGACTTCGCAAAACTTGATCGAAATATCATAGCTGCAGTGAAAGAAGGGATGAAGAAATATGAAAAGTACTATTTCATTATGGACGACTGCGATACCTACTCCACTGCCCTCGTCTTGGATCCCCGAGTCAAAAGTGAAATGGTCTTACGGGAACTTCAAGATGGCAATGCAGGGACAGTGATTCTGGAAATGATCCGCACCAATCTCCATCAGGTATACGCGACTAGCAACCTGGAGCACTATGCCGCTGCATCACAGTCGTCTTCCCCGAAGCATAGTGATGTGGAGTCTAGAATGCTGAAGGAGTTGCAGGCGCGAGATCCACCGCTCTCAGATATTGATAAGTACTTCGATACCCCTCCGATCAGTTTCGCAGACACCACCGGCCAGAACTGGCTCTGGAGTTGGTGGAAGATGTACAAGGGCGAGTATCCGCGGATGGCAGTAGCAGCCAGGGACTACCTAGCGATTCCGGCTTCTGAAGTTGCTGTTGAGAGTGTGTTTAGCACAGCGAGGAATGTGCTAGGCATCCGGAGATATTCTTTGAAAGGGGATACCATAAAAATGCTGATGTTAATTCGCAACGGTTATAAGTGGTAGCGATCAAGGGTCGGGGTTGGTAGACGAATCTCATCGCGATGCCCCGGTTATACATTCATAAATTGTCAAATAGAACTGCTGTGCGATCAAAGCACTCTCGCTCTCTAGGAGATTTAAAGGAAAAATGCGCCGCAGAGGTAGGACGCTGAACGGAGGTCGCGACCCATTGGTACGAATAGGGACATACGCCCGGCGAATACCATAATTTGGAGTTATACCGGTAGTCGCTATAGGAAGATGGGAAGCAAGTGGACGTACTAATGCCACTGTCAAGTTGGTCAGCCCACTGGCTGCCCTCTCAATTTGTCGACTTGTAAGCTGCCTCGGCAGTGCAATCGCCATTGGGAATAAAGAAAGTGCTTCAAGGGATGACAGATGTCTGTGTAAAAGAGACTCCAATATCTGTGACAGACCTCGTGTTTCAGCAAATTATGGCAGTGAAGAGGGGCCTAAAAGGATTAAAACCAAATAGAACCAGGCAAGACTGTGTGGGCCCAGAATTCATCTTTTTAAAGAAATCTGCAGTTCGGCATGGATGTCTACAAAGAGATACGATATCTACGGGAAGTCGTTCTACTCGACTGTGCTCAGCGATCTCGGTCAGACCTCTGGCACCACCTAGCCCAACCTGCTCACAGAAGCGTACAAAGATCTCTTACAGAATTACACCTCAGCTTTCGAAAACATGCCGAATCGATGCAACGCTGCAAACGGACCTGCTACATCTAGCTTCGATGACGAGTCCCGATCCATACAGTTCGGCGAACTGCAGGTTATGAATTCAACCATTGTGCAGCAGTATCAGTGTCAGATACCGAAGTAGAGGTCAACAGGTGCCCTGGTAGTGCTGATTCTTAGTTCGAATCTGAGGTTCCTTCAAACTGTTTGGGTGTGTTTTAATTTGGTTGCCACATGGAGGTTGACGAAGAATGATGAGGCAGCTATATTCTGTGAAGACGCTGCAAGGGAGAAAGAGATGAAAGTACATGAGCATGAGCATGTACATGGAGATCAAGGTGGGAATAGTTACCAATTGTTAGGTATAGGGGTGCATACTCCTGATGGAGGGGGGGAAGATGCGATATCTCAGGATGGAAGAAAGCCTCTACTTCAGACAGCCATTGGGAGAGACTTTGCATCTCCACACAGGTCAAGTTAGGCTAGCTTAAGAGGACCATCAGTTGGAATTTCAACTGATCCCAAGCTATCACGAGCATGGGAACTGTAGTGCCTCAGGCATCCAAGGGTTTTCCACTTCATGGCCGATCTGCCTCATTTAGACCTCCGCACCGGCCCAAAAAGCCTAAGGCCCAACCCGCAAATGGGCGGGAAGTGTATCTTATTGTCGCTCTTTGACACGAGCAGACAGCCAACGTCGGATCGTATCTGCGGAGTGTAAAATTGGATGGCTTGAGGCCGACTGCACCTGTGAAATGAGGCGACGGAAGGCTGGATTATTGACGGGTTGGAACGGAAGCCGGTTAGTGGTGATGAACTGCAAGTTCAATGTTCCCCTTGACGAATGGGTTATTAGTCTAATTGATCCCAGTCATATCAGTTCAATTGCAAAGGTTGCTCTGAAACTACATTTCTCCCAACCAAAGATTATGCATTCTTGAGACTGCAGGTTCCCGAGAGATGTAACATTATTCAATAGAAACGCTAACTAAATTCTTCTTCATAGGTTCCACTTCGGCTTTACCTCGGCTGATTCTCCAATGATCAGGCGCCAAGCTACAGAATAATGTGGGGTATGGAGTAACCCCACATTCTGCAATGCGATCGGGGTGTTGATCTACCGACAGCGTAGAAGATCAAGGCTTGCCATACCACCTCATTCTCCGCATATCGGGCTGAAATACACCGAGATGAGAAGGAGATCATCAATTTCTATTCTGGAATGGCGGCATCATAGCTTATGTTGGGCATTAAGCAGTATAAAAGGAACATGGAATCCACAAACTGATCCGGCAATCAAGTTCACACACCATTCCTATAGCTTCTTCGATGCTTTGGTTTTATATTTTACTCCCAGTAGTAGCCGCAACGAGCGTGCCATACGAGGAATACATTTTAGCTCCGAGTTCACGAGATTTGACTGCATTATCAGTCTACCAAGTCAATGGGTCTGTGACAAATGCAAAGTCCCTCACTCAGTCTTCAGGTGGAACTGCCAGCTTCAATGGCGCTTCTTCTGTGACCTTAGATTTTGGTAAGAACGTTGCAGGTCTTGTATCGCTAGATGTTAGCTCCTCTTCGTCGTCGTCGGCATTCTTATCCGTCACCTTCTCCGAGTCAAGCCTTTGGATTAGCAGCGAATATAGCGATGCAACGGGTAACTCCGGCTATGATGCCCCTTTGTGGTTTAATGTGGGTAAAGGGGCGGGAACATACACCCCAGAGACCAAATTCCAGCGAGGCGCCTTCCGGTATCTGACAGTTGCGAGCAACACAAGTGCTACTGTGGTGCTCGACGCTCTCCACGTCAACCTCACATCCGCACCAAATCAGAACCTCCGAGAGTATACGGGCTGGTTCCACTCCGACGATGAGCTGATTAATAAGCTCTGGTATGCCGGTGCATATACGAACCAGCTGTGTACTATTGACCCGACGGCGGGGGACGCTATCACATCGCAGACTTATGATATAGTTCTGCCGGAGATGAATTTTTGGTATAACAACTATACCATTACCAATGGTACCAGCACCATTACCGATGGAGCGAAGCGCGATCGACTGGTTTGGCCAGGAGATATGGCCATCTCACTTGAAAGTATTGCTGTCAGCACGGGTGATCTATACAGTGTCCAAATGGGGTTGGAGTCGTTGTTCGCATTACAGAAGGCTGATGGTCAACTCCCTTATGCTGGTACTCCCTTTGATGAGATTGGTATCGTGAGCTACACCTATCACCTGCATAATCTCATCGGAATGTCTTTCTTGTATCGGTTCTCGGGAGACACGGCGTGGGCACTGAGCTACTGGGATCAATATGTTCTGGGAATAGAGTGGGCACTAGACGCAGTTGACACCACCGGCCTAGCCAACATAACCTGGTCTGCCGACTGGCTGCGCTTTGGAATGGGAGGACATGTAAGTTCAAGTCCCCTTCTACTATTCAGTATTACTAACAACACCAGAATATTGAGGCCAACTCAATCCTTTACTTCGTGCTGAACGATGCTCAAGATCTTGCAAAAGAGCTGAACAAAACATCGGTTATCTCCCACTGGGAAAGCACCGCAGCCAACATCAAAGAAGCCGCCAACAAGCTTCTCTGGGACTTCTCAGCAGGAATGTATCGAGACAACGAAACAACCACCCTCCATCCCCAAGACGGAAATACCTGGGCCATCAAAGCCAACCTCACTCAATCAACTGCGCAACGCAAAACAATCTCGGCCGCTCTTCAAGCCCGTTGGGGCCCCTACGGTGCTCCAGCCCCCGAAGCCGGCGCAACAATCTCCCCATTCATCGGCGGCTTTGAGCTCCAAGCACACTATATTGCCAGGCAACCCAACTCAGCACTCGACCTCCTCCGTCTACAATGGGGCTACATGCTTCTTGACTCCAAGATGACCCAGTCCACTTTTATCGAGGGCTACTCCACCGATGGGTCCATCCATTACGCGCCTTACCAAGACGATGCGCGTATTTCACATGCTCATGGCTGGTCTACTGGCCCAACGTATGCACTCACAGCCTACGCAGCCGGGATCCAGCTTGCTGGGCCCGCGGGTAAATCCTGGGTCATAGCGCCTCAGCCTGGTAATCTGACCACCATTGATGCGGGGTTATCTACCGCTCGTGGAGTCTTCTCCGTCGCTCTCCGACGTTCCGGTGATGGGTATAGTCACTTTTCATTCAGTACTCCGTCTTCTACTAGTGGGATCGTTCAACTTCCGGGTGTCAAAGGAACATTGATTTCCAAGACTGGGCAGCGAGTGAGGCTTGTGGATGGTACTGCAAGTGTTTCGGGTGGAAACTGGAAATTGCAAAGCTCGTGAGAGGCTGCATATATAAGTCAATATCCTCAATATTATTGGAGTAGAATAATAGTTCTAGAATCATCAAGTGACGTTTAATCTGAATCATGTAAGACAGTGAAACCAATCAATCAACGATTGGGATCCAACAGCCTCACTCCGGCAGTATTAATTACGGTGGGCGATAGGGATCAGTCCACAAAACTCTTGAAACCACATTACAAATAGTAGAAAATCATGAATACCAAGCTAGGATGACACTACCCTTACAACATGCACCTACAGATGCACCATTCGGCGGTCGCTATACTACCTAACTATCCAGCTCATGAGCATAGTAAGTTATAAGTGGTACAGTAAGAAGGTAGAATATCGAGTGGACTGTAGAGACCTCTAGTATGTGTATATATGGTGGATATAATCAAAACTAGGCGATAGAAATATTGAATACTACTTATCTAGTATGCTGTCCGGAGTATAATAAACAGAATTGGTGAGGGCGGTGAGGTTAAATTATATGACCCCAAGGGTTCTGTCAGACTGATCGCTATTGCCCACCTTAATTTATAGGCGGTGTACTTCAATGTATCCCCTTAACATTCTTAGTTTTCCATTCTTAGTTGATCGTAATTTGGAATCTGTCTGGACCAACATCATCAGACTGGTCGTCAAGTTTCATATTTGATCATTGATTGGTCTCTTTCAGTGTGGAGTATGGTGCATGTCCCCAATTTACCTTTTTGACTATGAAATCGCGGTGAGCAGATCGTCCACGGGTGGCTTGAATGCTTGGTGGACTATTCAATGACTACAACTTCGGTATGGGCCATGCCACCATGGCATTCACCAACTGGATGAGACATGGAGATGAAAAAGATAAAGTCAGAACCATCTCTAAGCCAACTGAACTTGGAACTCCGATATCTTGGGCACATACAAGGGTCAACCCGACCCGTGTAACGAAATCGACAAGGCGGAGCCGCAGCTTTGTCAAATGACAACGCACAAGGCGTCTAGCAGGTTGACGGACATATAGGAGCCAACGCAGTCATATTCGTGGGAGCTCATGATTGGCTTTTCACTTTCTTAAGACTCATTGTGATTCCTCGTTTTCACCTGCACGGTGATGGACCCCGGCCAGACTAAAACCCTCCGTCTCACCCACTGTCTTTCTTTCACTACCTTGTCTCGCTTTCTCACTTGTATGCAAGCTGTGTTGAAAGTGATTCATTCCCTTTGTTTCATCCTCACCACGTTCAACTTGTCCTCAACTTCATGGTGTGATAAAATCACGTCCCCCGCCCAAACCCAAACACCCGCCCTAGCTCCACTAGTCTCCGCAATCCATTTCCCCACTGGTCCAAGCTTCAAGCTCCACCATGACGGAACCCATCTCCATCACCGCAGACATCAAGCATGAGGTTGAGCCATCTACTGAAATCAACAAAAGCGTGAATGGCTCGCCCCCTGCTGCTCCCGAGGCAGCGGTCAAGGATCCTGCTGTCTCTCCCGTTCCGGCGGAGACGCTGCCCAAGACCGGAACAGCATGCAAGAAGCATACGGATAAGGCGGAGAGGAAAAAGAAAAAGAAAAATATTAAAAAGGACGACTCATCGGACTCAGAATCTTCTACAGCATCTCCTACTGACTCTGATTCCGATACCTCAGTCACGGACTCGATCGCTAGTGACTCGGAGCCGGACCGGCGCAAGAAAAATCGGCTGCGTGCAAAGGTTCAGGCCAAGCGATCTCTGAAGGATAAGAAAAAGCGCAAAAAGCGCAAGCAGCGGGGTCGCAAGACCGCTTCGGAGGCTTTTTCAGATACCTCCAGCGATTCGGACACCGAGGCAGACGGCTATGAATCGGATTCCTCATTGGATGAAAAGCTTCTGCGGAAGCTGGTTGCTAAGCTCACCGTGAAGAAGCGCAAGCGCCTGCGTGATCAAACAAGTGATGATGCGGGGTCAATCGATTCTATCTCTGAAACTCGGCGGGAAAAGCGGACCAAGAAGAGAAAGCCAGCCTCCAAGGTCGCCTTCAAGCGTGTAGATCAATGTAAGTCATCCTGATAATTGTTTGTCTGGCTTTGGTACTAAGCATGGTTACCATTAGTGTGGGACAGCACGATTCACAAGTACAAGCTTACCGAGACGGTGGATGATCCTGGTGCGGACGAGTGGGATCAGTACATTTTCACGGTGCGCCGCAAGTTCAATTGGGAGAACAAGTTTCTGGAGACGGTGGTGGACATCAAAAGCAAGCCCCTCCGCGAATCCCTGGCAAAGGTGATGGATGGCGTCAAGGGCGTCAGTCTCGTGCAGGAGCCCGCAGTTGTTGACCCGAACATGCTGTTCCTGTACCTGGAGGAGGCACGACAGTACATGAAGGAACTCAAGCAGCAATCGCGCGACGACAAGAAGCGCAAGGCTCGCAAAGCAGCCGCTACCAAAGCTGCCCATCTCAAAGTGCTGATCAAATACCTCGACACGGACTATGCGACCATTAAAAAGACCCTTTATCCACTTTTGGAGGCCAATACTATCACGTTCGAACTTCTGTGGGCCCTTTTCAAGCCCAACACCATCGCATACACTCCAACGTACGGAAACACCGATGAGCCCCGAGCTTTCAAAATCGAGTATGCCATCAAGGAATCTTCCTTCATGAAAGGACAATGGTACAGCATCGAAGGCCGCTACCTGGAGTATGATGGAAAAGACTTTGGATTTGGAAGCATGGCTGCCGAGGTAGAATCCTTCCAGGGAGCACGTAAGATCACCAGTCTCGCCTGCTTCCCACTGCAATACCACCGTGATGCCGAGGGACTGCGAACCCGTCTCGTCGAGCGTGGCAAACGCTTCGTGGCGCTTCGTGGCATGAACTACCGCTTCCACAAAGGAATGGCATTCTACAAGAAAAAGCGCTCTGTCGGCAAAGTCAACATCGAAAGCCGAGTGATGATTGATCCGGCCATCCACCGCCGCATCAACCCCAATTACCCCATCAGTACAGTCCGTCCTAAAGATCCGGATCTTATCGATGCTTCCGATGCTGGAATCAGTGACCTGGACGACAGCGATAGTGAAGGCTGTTGCTGCGGGGGCTCTGACTCCGAAGACGACCACGGTGGCCAGTCGGATACCCCGCGAACCGTGTACAAGGTGATCGAGGGTGAAGATGGGAACCCTCGCGTCGTGCAGGTAGAGGTTGATGAGAACGGACTGGAGATTCAGAAGGAGAACATCGATCGCATTGAAGGCACTGCAGGTGTCATCGGCCGCGAGTTCACCGAGGAGGAACTCCTTATCGCCAGCCCTGTCGTCCTGGGCTTCGCTTTCAGCGAGAAGATGTGGCTCGAGTTTACCATTTCGGGCATCAGCGACATCGACTGGGACAAAGAGGCTTTTGACTCGCTCGTTCTCCCAGCAAACCAAAAGTCCATTGTCAAGGCCCTCGTCGAGTCACATACCTTCCACGCAGCTCAGAACATTGACGACGTAATTCAAGGCAAGGGCAAGGGTCTAGTTGCCGTTCTTCACGGCCCACCCGGCACAGGAAAGACCCTAACGGCTGAAGGAATCGCCGAGCTACTCCGCCGTCCTTTGTACATGGTCAGCGCAGGCGAACTGGGAACCGACTCCCGCTCCCTGGAAGCAGAGCTGAACAAGATCCTCGATATTGCTCACTCATGGGGTGCAGTTCTCCTTCTCGACGAAGCAGACATCTTCCTTGAGAAGCGTACCATCCACGATATCCATCGGAACGCCCTGGTCAGCATCTTCCTCCGTCTGCTGGAATACTTCCAGGGTATCCTCTTCCTGACCACAAATCGGGTCGAGACCTTCGACGATGCCTTCCAGTCGCGTATTCACGTCGCCTTGCGATATGGTGATCTCGCCTCCAAGGCAAAGCGCAGTATCTGGAAGATGTTTCTGGAACGAGTACGCGCTATCGAGGGTGTTCAAACTGCCGAGTTCTCGGAGAGTGATTATGATGTGCTTTCACGGCACACGCTCAATGGTCGACAGGTAAGCTCTTTCATCTGTCATTACCTCATCCAAAACTATAATCGAATATGCTAAACAAATTCCAGATCAAGAACTCGGTTCGCACTGCTCAAGCACTGGCCGTCAACGAAAAGACCCCTTTGTCTATGGACCATATCAAGCGCGTTCTGGACGTGGCCGAGACCTTCGATCAGGATCTTCGTGGTGGAACCGGTTACCTGGATGCCATGCGCAGTTACACTTAGGTTTGATTTACTCGGAAGTAACTCGATTAAGATTTTGTGATGACTTACATGGCCGAGTAAAAGGCATCAAGAATGGGGCATCCATCTTCCTTTCCTTTTTCGGGAACTATCATTATGTATGCAGCTGTTTATTGTTTAGTGTCTACTACTGTCTACTATCTACCTTATAGCGAATTATCTCTATTTGAACGAAATAGCATTATAACATGAGATTTCATTTACGATCAAATTCACGGATTAGACCGATATTCATTAAGGCAATCATATCGATCTAGAAATACAAGGCCAGGCGCTCTGAAACGCAGAGAAACTGGAAAGGTTATGGTGGTATACAGTGACTTTTTAAGGGTTAGCCTTGACGAAGTCAACACCCTTCTGGATGTTCTTCTTCAGGTCAGCAAGGCAGGCATCGAGGAGACCCTGCTCGTACTCGTTGACCTGGCCAACGGGGTGAATTTCCTCAACACCGTTGGGGCCGAGCTCGACCTTGGAAGCGAAGAAGTCAATACCCTGGTCCTTGTAGAGGGGAGAGTCAACGAAGGTAGGCTCAATGACACCCTTCTCGCCCTGGGCGGCGCGGAGAAGGGACTCGGCGAAGCGAGCACCGGCCATAGCCATGGAGAGGGTGGCGGAACCGGCACCGTCCTTGGCCTTGACAACCTCGTCACCACCGAACTGGATGCGGTTGACAAGGGCGTCGCGGGCCTCACCGGCAATGGAGGGGTGGCCGGACTGGGACAGGAGGGGAACGATGGTCACACCGGAGTGGCCACCAACGACGGGGACCTTCTCGCCGGAGGGGTCGGTCTTCTGGACCTGGGAGATGAAGCGCGAGGCGCGGACAACGTCCAGGGTGGTGACACCGAACAGGCGCTTGGCGTCGTAGACACCGGCCTTCTTGTAAACCTCAGCGACGATGGGGACGGTGGAGTTGACCTAGGAAGATGTGAGAAAGGCTGATCAATTGGTTGTTAGGTCAATTTGGGAACATACAGGGTTGGCGATGACCAGAACCTTGGCCTTGGGGGCAGCCTCAGCGGCGGCCTTGGCCAGGTCGCGGACGATGGAGGCATTGGTGTTGAAGAGGTCATCACGGGTCATGCCGGGCTTGCGGGGAACACCAGCGGGGATGAGGATGATCTCGGAGCCCTCGAGGCACTCCTTGAGGCCAGCAGCATCGGCAGCGTAGCCAGTGACGGTGCTGTTGGTGTTGATGTGGCTCAGATCAGCGGCGACACCTAGTTGGAAGTCAATTAGAATTGAATTGCAAAGCTAATGGCAGTGGAACATACCGGGTCCACCACGGATGTCGTAGAGGGCGAGCTCAGAAACACGGGGGTTGAGCTTCAGCAGCAGGGACAGAGGCTGGCCAATACCACCGGCGGCACCGAGAACGGCGACCTTGGAGGCCTAGGGAGAGGGTTAGCGATAAATAAAAAGAATTGAAGGAATTAATCGTGACTGACCTGGCTGGCCGAAGCGGAGAAGGCGCGCTTCTGGAAGACGTTGAAGGTAGAGCGAGCGGCAAACATGATGTCTGATGATGGGGATGAAGAAAGAAGAGAAATGGGAAGGGGAAAAGAGGTAAGAAGGTTGGGGCCCGGTGAGTTGGGGATCCACTTTAGCACTTCCGATGTCCCGGTCGTCAGCCAAACAACACTGGCATCCTCGGGCGGAATCGCTGTTTTGGACTCGGGTAGAATTGGAATACATTTTGTGTACATGTGAACATGTATACATGTATACTACTTTACAATGTTGTTCAGAACAAATGATATTGTTTTGTCATTTCTCAAACATTTCAACGCCATCGCTGATGGAAAGCCAACCCAATCCGGAAAAAAATGTCCACCATACAAAACGTCCGAGCGTCAAAGTATACAATCAAAAGTTTACCGCAAGAAGTGCAGTACCAACCAACAGAACAGTATGAAAATTATCACGCCGCCCCAGAATATCCATTTGTCTTGTCGAGCTCGTCGCTCAACCATGCGGATGGTATCTCCGCTCATACCCAACGTATTGGCAACACTATACAATCTCCTCTGGGTACCCTTCAATACCTCTCGCTGTTGACCTAAATCTGCCAGCACTGCACGTCCTCGGTCCAAAAAGTCATCTAACTGAGTGTTTGTGTTAGAGAAGAAAGACTGTTCGCGCAACGCATGGCTTTCGCGGGTGTGATCGGCGGGGCCACCTCCAAAGCTTAACCCGGAGGATGGCGCAAAAGAAGATGAGGCTTGTGGGAGGTTGGATTGAGCGTAGGGGTTCTCGGGAGTAGCGGCGTGGTGTGGTCGACGACCTAGAAGCTCACTGCGGTTGGTAGCCGATTGCTAAGAAGTCAGGTCAGTCAAGGAGCTCCTAGAAAAAACTCAATTCCTGGTTGCAACAGATTGCAACTTACTGCATCCTCTCGCTCTTTGCGCAGCCGGTCAAATTGTGTTCGATAATCTGCCAGCTCATTGCGGAAGTTCTTCACCCGGTCAAAGGCCTTTTGTTGCTTCTCCGGAATCAGTTCCTTTTTCGACAGAGCTGAGTAGTCGTCGATAGTTCGCGATATGGAGGCTAATGACGCAGCGATTTGGCCTATAAGTAGTAAAGGTTAGCTACCTGTAGTTTCGACACATAGATCAAGAGACGCACCTTGTAGAGCGGCCGAAGAAGTCGCGGGAGACTGCGCAAACGTGTCCAAATCCCGACGAATGGCAGATGACTGCTTCAATGCGGAGTTGAAAAGAGAATTCTGTGTGCGTGAGCTAGGGTCTCGTGTTGTCTGCGATAGTACATACCATGATGTGGGTGGCGGCAGCTGCCACGTAAAGGTTTGCAGTTTCAAAGTATACAAAGAGGGAAGAAAGTCAATGGGAGTATCAGTATTATAAGAAACCGGGAGTTGGATCCACCTGAACACCTCCAAGCTGAGAGTAAATTGATCCAAGGTTAAACTGAGCCCACGATTCGCGCGAGGCCACATGTGTGTTTTGGCCGCTGACCGCCTTCAGGCGTAGCTTCAATTAGGCTTATAGATCCTTCAGGCTCCTTGCCACTGCTATGTCCTACAATCTCTTTTTCCAATAAATAGGGTTTACTCTTCTTATTGTGAATGAATATAGCTATGGGCAATAAAAAATGACGAATTCATTGACTGCGTTCACGTCAAAATGGTATCGTTGAGGGTACTAGTACAAGCCCGACAGTCCGACTCCGTTCGCGCCAAAAGACAGAATGCAAAGCCACAGAAGAGCAGGGATGGTGATGGTATATTAAACAGAACTCAAGCAGGGACGTGGTTTAGAAACATCTAGCAACCTTATTTGGAAGGGTACTTGTTCTGCAGGAACCACCTAACGAGGGATTAGCACAACTGCCCAGACTCCAGAGACATCACCAGAAACCTGAAGCAAATCCACGTTTCAGGTTGGAAATTTAGGTACTTACTTGCTGGCAAAGTAGTCCACAACACCGAACGCACCGACAGCACCAGATACGAGACCGACCAACTCCCACGAAAGCTTGCCCTGGGCGTGTTTGTGGTAGGCACCGTAGCCCAGACCAGCACCAATCACAGCACCCAGAACAGCATTGGTAATGTAGACAGGATTATCAGAGTTGGCATACAGTCCGCTGTTCTTCGCCTTGCGGGCCTTGGCCTTCTTCTCGCTGGCCTCGCTAGCCTTGCGCTGCTCGGCCTCAGCAGCTTCGCGCTCTAACCGCTCAGCCTGTGTGGTTGTCTTAACTTCCTGGTTCAGGAAATCAGGATCGACAGTGTTGACATGTGGGGAGTCGACGTCGATGAGGGAGGCGGTGCTCTCGGACTCGTCATGGTAGATGCCACCCACGCTGGGGGCGCGGCTGGAGGTTGGTTAGCATCGGTGCGATCTTTCAGTGGAATTCTGGCTTTTGCAACTTACGCCTATAGGTTTCATTAGCTTGCGGTCTATCTGATGGCACATGTAGTACTTACATCCTCGGGAGCCTGCTTGGGGCCCTTGGCAGCAGCGTCGGCGTAAGACATGATTGATGTGATAAAGATGAGTATTTGGTTAAGAAAGGGGGATGGCTGTAGAGGTCCGGCGATCGTGAATTTAGAATATTATGGATGAGATCAGGCGAGGGGGGGAAAGTCATTTTATACCACATGCGCAAGGAAACCTTGGAAGCTCCGCCGTGTGACATCACGTCATTGATTTGGTGGAGCCAAGACCCAACGAACATCTCTATGATACCATAACATCCACGCCTTGTACCTTTATTATGATAGATAGAAGTAACTGAATACCTCTCTATATCTCTTTCATACTTCATAAATTCATCAATTTGCTGGCCTTCTCTATACAATTTGTGAACGATGCTAATAACATGACTCGCAGCCACTGACGTGCTTCCCGCTCTGGTCTCATGCCACCACCCACAGGAACTTTTTCTGGAATTTTTTTCGATTTACTATTTTCCTTGTTCTTTATTTACAGTCTACTTTCGGGGGAACCAGCTAGACAGAGCTCTGCATGCCTGCATGTTATTAGCTGTCGCATTCTTTCGTGCTGTGGGGGCAACCTACGTTTGCGGCTTGAGAAATCCTCCAAAGAACTTGCCAATTTCCCGATGCTCGTCAAGTTTCCATATGGCGGACACATCTATGTGAAATGATCAGCAATAGCCAAAGATATTTATATGGGGCTTGAAACTTACACTGATCAGGTCGGACGATGATCAGAGCCCCTTGTGTCGGATCGATGCCGAGGAACTCATATGCATGCCCGTGGCCCTTGTTGTAACTTTCATCATCGTAGTATATCTTATGCAAATCTGCGACAGTTATAAGCAATTGGTCCAATAACTAATTGGTCCAATTTGGAGGGGAAAACATACCCCTAGTTTGATTCTTGCCAGCCACTGGGTAGAAACATTCGGGGATTTGCTCCAATTCGATATCATGTCGCTTTCCATGGCCAATCACGATAGTCTCGATTAGACTATCGACATCCTGCGATGTCGGTGTGAACATATGGATAGGTCCGTCGCGCGAGAACAGATACTCTCCGATCTATAGGGCATTAGGATAATCATCTCTGGGGTACGAAACAGACTCACCGTCTTCAACTTGCTCCGGTTCTCTGCAATTGTGAGATCACCCACAAATGCCATAATACGCCACCGGCCATCCGACTTAAGTGTCGTCATAAGCTGGAGAGGCTTTGAGTCACAGACCCGCACGACCTGTGCACTGGGCAGTCGCATGCCAATAACAACATTCGAAGCAAGTTCAGACTCCAAAGCAGTGGTGATGGGGCAAACGTCATACTTTGCTGTCAAACCAGCTGTGTATTTTCCTGCTTTGATAAAACCTTCCTGGAATTCCGCCGATGTGTTGGCTCCGGACGAGAATAGCTTTGCAAAGTAGCGATCAAAGTTGATCAGATCGATGGCAGTCTTTCTCCGCTCTAGGACATATGTCTCGAGCAGAGAAGGATCGGCTAGACCTGTCAAGACTTCACCAAGCTTCCAGCCAATATTGTATCCATCTTGCAGACTGACGTTCATACCCTGGCCAGCTTTGGGAGAGTGGGTATGACAAGCATCACCAGCCAAAAAGACTCGATGATCCTTGTGGAAGAAATCGGCGTGGCGCTGACCGATTGAGTACGCAGACCACCATACAGTCTCGGCAAAGTCAATCTGATATGGATGCAGAATCTTCTTTGCCTGACGCTGTAGATTTTCCAGAGTCACATCTTTTGGGTTTGTCCCCGAGGGAAGCTCGGTATAGAATCGTGTGAGATTGTTGTTTCCGCCTTCTCGGGGGATGATCATGATAGTTCCTGCTTTGGAGCGAATGGCCGACTTTTTGCGGAAATCGGGGAAATTGGTACGAGGAACCATGTCCATCACGCCCCAAACTGCATCACTGCTATCTCCAATCATCTTGTATCCCAGAGCCTTGCGAACAACGCTGTGAGCACCATCGCACGCCTATGTTCAAATATTATTAAAAAGGCCTCAATGAAGAAGTTGAGAAATCTGTAACTCACCAATACATATTTTGCCGCAAATTGCTCTGTCTTTCCATCGCGTTCCGCAGTCACAGTAACAGGATAAGAACCAGGATCAGAAGCAGTAGCACTAGCCACCTGCACATCGGTCACATTGTACCCATAATCAATCCGCTGATCATTGTATTCCTCCATCCGCTCAATAAGCAGCCCGTTAATACGCGCCTGATTCAAGATAACATGTGGCAGATGTGACAATCCAGGCTGCGTATCAGCCGTCCGACCAGTCCGCTTGATACCTGCCCCATCATCCGCCCAGAAGCTTACTTCAAGAACATGGTGAGCCTCGCGCAGCAACTCTTCGCCAATTCCGAAACTCTCGAAAATCTCGACAGTCCGACACTGTACACCATCTGCTTGTCCCATCTTCATGGGGCCATCACGGCGCTCCAGAATCTTGCATCGGATGCCGTAACGGGCGAGCCAGGTTGCGGCGCAGAGACCAGCAGAGCCGCTACCACAGATGATGACGTCGAATTTTTCCATTTTGGCGCTGTAAAGCAGTGTATCTGTTTTGTACCTGCATTTTTTCCATGCGAGGGATCTTTGTTAAATAGGCTGCAGATGAGGTGTCATAATTTGGAGTAGATGGGGATCCACAGCCGGGAGTGGCCCGAAAAGTGTTTGACCAGTATGCTTCTTTTTCGCAGTAAAAATGTGCCGTTGAATGTACCTTTTGATTCAAACTTCTTTTACTCTTCCCGATCTATCCCCGCCAGTGCCGCCACACTCAGGGCTCGTACTCGGCCTCCGAGAGTCTCTGCAGTGCCGTTATTACAATAACTTCTAATATCTCGTCCCGAACAATTAGAGGTCCATCGGGATATATTCTTGTCATCTGCCGACGGTGATCCTTGGAAACTGTACTGTACAATTTTACCCGCTCGTGTATATTTGAGTTAATGTATTTCTGCTTATCTAGCCGGGTTCCCCGAAATTGAAGTATGTCAAATCGTAGAGGATACATTTTACAGTACATCATCCATGGAGGGTAATAGAGACGTGAAAATTGCACTCGCCCTCTGGACAGGATTAGGTATGCATCTAAACCCTTACTATTACCTTTAAATGTTCAGATGTTATAATTCTCTCATGCAGAATTGCCTTCAAATGTTGCACATGTGGGCTCTAAATAGCCATTTCATGCCATCCTCGGGCGTTCATTGAACATTGGATTTTCAGGTGCTCTGAAAAGCTCGCAATTACGACCCAAAAAAGAGTCGTAGCCAAGCACATATTATATCTAGATACCTACTTATATGTGTCCCCTTTCCGGTCGACATACTGGTGGAGACGACATGATAAACCTCAATGTTGGAAGCGGCCATGGCGAGTCACGAGGATCGGGCTTACAAACTAAGAAAACGCAAGCATTCGTTCAATCTTGAATATCTCTTCAAACATATAGAAAATGGATTGTAGTTGCTAAATCAAAGACAAAAGGACCGATGCTGGTCTAAGGGGGCATAGGAGATTTTAATACAGATTACAGTAATGTGGGTACTGGAGTCGTGGCAGCTTTTACAGCATAAGCTCGAGGGGGTTCTCGACAACCTTCTTCAGCTCCTTGATCCACTCACCACCGACGGCACCGTCCACGACCTTGTGGTCGAAGCTGCCGGTCACGATGATCTGGTCATCCCACTCGGTGACGGTACCTTCTTCGGTCTCGACGGGAACAGCGACCTTGCGAACGGTGCCGACGGCCAGGATACAGGCCTGAGGGGGGTTGATGATGGCGGTGAAGCGCTCAACAGCGGGGTTCATACCCATGTTGCTGATGGTGAAGGTACCACCCTGGTACTCCTCGGGCTTGAGCTTGTTCTCGCGAGCACGCTTGCCCAGGTCGCGGACCTGGTTGGAGATGCTAGACAGACCCAGAGCGTGGGCGCCCTTGACGATGGGGGTGATCAGGCCGGTGGGGGTGGCGACAGCGACGCTGATGTCGGCGGACTTGTGCTCGCGGATGACGACCTGGCCGTTCTCCTCGATCCAGCTGGAGTTAACCTGGGGAACCTTCAGGAGAGCGGAAGCGCAAGCCTTGATCAGGAAGTCGTTAACGGAAAGCTTGTACTTGCCCTCGGCGGAGGCGTTCAGGGCCTGGCGGAGTTTGAGGAGCTTGGTAACCGACAGGGTGGTGGACACAAAGTAGTGGGGGTTCTCCTGCATGGACTGCTTCAGACGGTTGGCAATGACCTTGCGCATGCCGCTGACGGGAACATCCTCGTAGGTTGGGGCAGCGGTGGCGCTGGGCGTGTACTTCTCAACATCCTCCTTGGTGATCACACCACCCCGGCCAGTACCCTTCAGGGACTTGATCGGGACACCCTTCTCAAGGGCGAGGGCCTTGGCCGCGGGGGAGATGGAAGGCTCACGGTCCAGAGAAGGCTGGAGCTTCTCACCGGAGGTCTCGGGCTCGATGGCGGCAGGCTCCGACGAGGGGGCCGGGGCCGAGGGCTCCGATTTCTTGGGCTCCTCCTTCTTCTCAGCGGCCGGGGCGGGCTTGTCACCACCAGCATCCTCCAGGGAGAAAGACTCGAAGGCAGAGACATCGGCACCCTCCTCAACAAGAACGGCAATGGGCTATTGATAGGGGAAACGGGTTAGATTTCGGATTCCGAGGGAAAGCTCGGGATATTTCTTACCGAGCCAACGGGGACCTCCTTCTCGCCGGTCTCCTTCAGAACCTTTGCAAGGACACCCTCATCCTGGAACTCAAAGTCCATCTGTGCCTTATCGGTCTCAATCTCGACCAAAACATCACCGGGCTGGAGGCTGTCACCGGCCTTCTTCTGCCACGCGCCGACGTTTCCTGCAGTCATTGTCGGCGACAGCGCGGGCATGCTGATGATGGTGTGGGGAGGGAAGGCTATAAGATAATTATAGGTTAGATGAAATGAAAACAAAGGGTTCGTCGAGGATTCAAGTAGCCATACACTTGGAGGCATAGAAGCGGGAGAGAGCGGAGATGGAAGGCAATTGAGATCTGCGCGCAAAGAAATCATCAATATCATTTCATAATAGACAGAATTCATCCGATAGCACATACTGCAGGACTTCCTGGAATTTGTAGGCAGCCTGGGGACGGCGCATGGGGGTGGCGCCCCGGACCATGAACATGGCGCTGGGGGTGCGCATTCTGGCGGCAGCAGCAACCATTTTAGCGAAAATTGCCGGCGATTGTGAAATCAAAAAGGCCCTCGACGCTGGGATTATAAGTAATGAAGAAAGTCCGGCACGGAAGTGAGGACGTGGAGGGCCGGATATGAGGAGTTGGGGAGAAGAAAGATGGCCTCTTAGCGGGAAACTTTTCGTTGAGCTCCTAACAGCCTTCGGTGAACCACTCGAGCGCCGGATCATTGGGGGTCATGTGATGTCATGTGACAGAACCTTGAATTTATACCTTTTCGTGTTTCCTGTTCCTGTCGTTACGTGTTAGGGCCTAGATGTGACATTTATTATGCTTCGATTTGACCGGTCAAATTATTCCGTCTACTCTCAACTGTCTAACCTTCCTTTGAGGTGCTTCGACATGTAGATAAATTGGCTTATCATTGCTTGATACGGATATTGATACGCCCAAAACAGGCTGGCGCGACCGGTCGTAGCCGGCATGGTCACGTGAAAGAGGGCCTAGCTGACATAATCAGTCCCGGATTCATTATGTAAGTGTTATTTAGCGTGGCTGAGTGCTTTCGGTCTAAACTCGATTCGGAGAGAAGAGAACACGCAGCGCCCCCATATGCTTTGCACCATAGCATCCCGCTTCCAGCTCTCATAGCCAATTCTCCCCGTTCGATGTCCTTGATCTTATCATAGATCCCCTCCGCCCGGAGTCTCCTTGACAATGGCGGACGTCGACACTGGCTCTGAGCCAATTCATCAACCCGCAACCGACTCCGAGAAGCCTCCCGTGGATACTACTATCGAATCTCCCCCGGCCCTAAGTCCAGATAAGTCGAATCTATCCGAAGCGACAGAATGGCAAGAAACGACGGGAAAGGGGGATGAGGAGGTTGAAAAGGAAGAGAAAGAACCTCAACCTGAAGAAGAACAGGAGGAAAAGCCCGAGGTCCCGCCAAAGGATACAACAGAAGTCGAGACACCCACGCTTGAAGACGGACCACCAGAGATCCAGGAACACAAACCCAGCGAAGATAATGAACGAGACACAAGAATGCGATCCGACTCGCGGTCCACCACCGCCACTTTTGCGACGGCACGGGGAGGCGCGGTCAGTTCAGCCGTTTTCATTGTGACAGCTCTCGATACCATTGCTGCCTCGCGGGAAGCTCGAAGAAATAAAGAGCTGGATGATTCCGTCCAAGTCGCTCTAGCCAACATCAAGTCAGAGCGCATTGATCCGGAACTCATCTTTCGCCCGCTTCACCTGGCAAGCAAGACCCTCAGCGTGCCCCTTCAAGTAACAGCGCTGGATTGTATTGGAAAGCTCATCTCCTACTCCTACTTCGCCTTTCCCTCCGCCGAGTCCGCAAGCGATGCCAACCCCGAACAACCACCCCTGATCGAGCGAGCCATTGATGCAATCTGTGATTGTTTCGAGAACGAAGCCACCCCCAATGAGATCCAGCAGCAAATAATCAAGTCGTTGCTGGCGGCGGTCTTGAATGACAAGATTGTGGTACACGGAGCTGGTCTCCTGAAAGCCGTTCGCCAGATTTACAACATCTTCATATACTCCAAATCCAGCCAGAATCAGCAAATTGCCCAGGGCTCCCTGACGCAGATGGTGAGCACGGTGTTTGACCGGGTACGAGTTCGGCTGGACCTGAAGGAGCTTCGAACTCGTGAAGTCGACCGTCTCGAAAATGGCTTGGATGCGTCCGCTAGCGATCAGGGTCAAATTTCTGAGGCTGCATCGGTATCGGTGGACCAGTCGGACCAGCCGGACCAGCCGGACCAACCAGTCACCAAGGAACCGACAGCTGAGAAACTCACTCTGCAGAGTTTCGAGTCGCCCAAGGAAGTGACCGGCGTTAATGACAACGCACCGACTACAGTTACCCGTGCCAAGGCGGCGCGCTCAACTCGGTCCATTTCAGGCATCCCCGAAGACCGCGAGGACGATAGTTCTGCCGAGGATGATGTGGATGAGGTCTATGTCAAGGATGCATTCCTGGTATTCCGGGCCCTGTGCAAGCTGAGCCACAAGGTCCTAGGCCATGAGCAACAGCAGGACCTGAAGTCCCAAAACATGCGGTCAAAACTCCTTTCCCTGCATCTTATCCACTACCTGATCAACAACCACACCAGCACTTTTACCTCTCCTCTTGCTGCTATCAAGAACAGCTCGACCAGCTCGGAGGCCATGACACTCCTTCAGGCAGTGCGGCCTCACCTGTGTTTGAGCTTGAGCCGAAATGGCTCCAGCTCGGTTCCTCATGTGTTCAAGGTTTGCTGTGAGCTCTTTTGGTTGATGCTCACGCACCTGCGAGTCATGATGAAGAAGGAGATCGAGGTTTTCATGAAGGAAATATATCTGACGATTCTCGAGAAGCGAGCCGCTCCTTCTTTCCAAAAACAATATTTCATGGAGATCATAGAGAGATTAGGTGGTAATCCCCGCGCCTTGGTCGAGATTTATCTCAACTATGACTGTGACCGTACTGCTTTGGAAAATATTTTCCAAAACCTCATTGAACAGTTGTCCCGACACGCCAGTGTGCCCGTCGTGACCAGTATTGCGCAACAGCAACATTTCCAGGAGAGTCATACCAAAATGTCTAGTACTGGAACTGAGTGGCAGCAGCGCGGAACACTCCCTCCATCTCTCACCACCGCTAATATCACCCCTCCACCGCAGCCAGCTGCTCCAAACTTGCCATCAGAGTATATTTTGAAGCAACAGGCCCTTGAGTCCCTGGTAGAAATCCTCCGGTCTCTTGACAACTGGGGCGCACAACGCCCTGATGATCAGCCCGCTCAACAGGATCCCACCGACTCCTCCAAGTCAATAGATCAAGCCCGCGACTCCATGGATACTAGTGCACTGATTTCTCCACGTCCTGATGCTGTTGAATTCGCCACTGGCCGCTCCACTCCCGTGCCCGACGATGATCCCAACCAGATTGAAAAGGTCAAACAGCGCAAGATTGCCCTGATGAATGCTATCCAGCAATTCAACTTCAAACCTAAGCGTGGTATCAAGCTGTTCCTCCAAGAAGGATTCATTCCATCGGATTCTCCTGAAGATATTGCAAGCTTCTTACTTCGCAGCGAGCGCCTTGACAAGGCCATGCTGGGTGAGTACCTCGGCGAGGGTGATGCTGAAAATATTGCCATCATGCATCACTTCGTGGACAAGATGGAATTCACTAAGCGTCGTTTTGTCGAGGCTCTGCGGTCGTTCTTGCAGCATTTCCGTCTTCCTGGAGAGGCGCAGAAGATTGATCGTTTTATGCTTAAATTTGCGGAACGATATACCACTCAAAATCCTAATGCATTTGCTAATGCCGACACTGCTTATGTGCTCGCCTACTCGGTCATCATGCTTAACACAGACCAGCACAGTGCCAAGATCAAGGGACCGCGGATGACCAAAGAAGACTTCATCAAGAACAATCGTGGAATTAACGATAACCAAGACTTGCCATCAGAGTACCTGATCTCTATCTATGACGAAATTGCCAACAATGAAATTGTTCTGGACACTGAACGGGAGCAGGCTGCGAATCTTGGAATCCAAACCTCTGCTCCGACTGGCCTTGCTACCCGAGCCGGCCAAGTATTCGCAACCGTTGGTCGTGATATCCAGGGAGAAAAGTATGCACAAGCATCCGAAGAGATGGCCAACAAGACCGAGCAACTTTACCGGTCCCTCATCCGGGCTCAACGCAAGACAGCGGTCCGTGGTGCCCTTTCGCGCTTCACCGTTGCTACTTCGGTTCGACACGCTGGGTCGATGTTCAATGTCACTTGGATGTCCTTTTTGTCCGGGTTGTCAGCACCGATGCAAGATACCTCGAACATAGAGTCCATTCGGTTATGCATGGAGGGACTCAAGCTGTCAATTCGTATCAGCTGTGCCTTTGACCTCGAGACTCCTCGGGTAGCTTTCGTCACAGCCCTAGCCAAATTCACCAACCTCGCTAATGTGAAGGAAATGATGCCAAAGAACTTCGAGGCCCTGAAAGCAATTCTTGATATCGCAACTACCGAAGGGAATCATCTTCGTTCTTCCTGGCGCGATATCCTCACCTGCGTCAGCCAACTTGATCGTCTGCAATTGCTGAGTGATGGTGTAGATGAGGGCTCACTGCCCGATGTCTCTCGAGCACCGTCGACAATGGATTCTCCGCGTAAATCCATGCAAAGCACTCGCAGCAAGACTCGCACACGCTCTGTCCATGGCCCCTTGGCTTTCCGCATGGATATTGCCATTGAGAGCCGGTCTGCCGATATGGTCCGTGGTGTAGACCGAATCTTCACTAACACCGCAAACCTCTCGCACGAGGCTATCATCGATTTTGTCCGTGCATTGAGTGAGGTCAGCTGGCAAGAGATTCAGTCCTCAGGGCAGAGTGATTCTCCCAGAACATACAGTCTTCAAAAGCTGGTCGAGATCAGTTACTACAACATGACTCGAGTCAGGATTGAATGGTCGAAGATTTGGGAGGTCTTGGGTCAACACTTCAACCAGGTTGGCTGCCACGGCAACACTACCGTTGTTTTCTTTGCATTGGACTCGCTGCGACAGCTGTCGATGCGTTTCATGGAAATCGAGGAACTTCCTGGTTTCAAGTTCCAGAAGGATTTCCTCAAGCCTTTTGAGCATGTCATGGCGAACAGCACCACTGCTTCCGTCAAGGATATGATCCTCCGGTGCCTGATCCAGATGATACAGGCCCGTGGTGATAATATTCGGTCTGGATGGAAGACTATGTTTGGAGTCTTCACCGTTGCTGCGCGAGAGCCATATGGTAAGTTCCATTTTCCTGACAAGCAGGTCAAGTACTAACCATAAGCAGAGAGTATTGTGAACATGGCCTTTGACCATGTTACCCAAATCTACAATACTCGTTTCGGTATTGTGATTACTCAAGGCGCCTTCGCAGACCTCATTGTCTGTCTTACTGAGTTTTCTAAGAACTCCAAGTTCCAGAAAAAGTCACTGCAGGCAATTGAGACGCTGAAATCCACAGTTACCAAGATGCTGCGCACTCCAGAGTGTCCGCTCTCCCACCGTGGTGGACCTGCGCCCAACTTCCAGGAGGAGGGAACCAACCTTGCCAAGCAACTTACTCGCCAGTCTCAAGAAGAGCAATTCTGGTATCCGATCTTGATCGCCTTCCAGGATGTACTCATGACTGGCGATGATCTTGAAGTCCGATCCCGGTATGTTCTCAACCCCCGCTTCTCCTTCACCAGCTAATCAGTCCCAGCGCACTCACATACCTGTTTGACACATTGATCCGACACGGCGGGGACTTCCCGCGGGCTTTCTGGGATGTGCTTTGGCGCCAACTGCTTTGCCCAATCTTTGTGGTCCTGCAGTCCAAATCCGAAATGTCCAAGGTCCCCAACCACGAGGATCTCTCTGTTTGGCTGTCCACCACCATGATTCAGGCTTTGCGGAACATGATCACCCTCTTCACCCACTACTTTGATTCGCTTGAATATATGCTGGGTCGATTTTTGGAGCTTTTGACTCTGTGCATTTGCCAGGAGAATGACACGATCGCGCGCATTGGTAGTAATTGCTTGCAGCAGCTGATTTTGCAAAATGTCTCCAAGTTCCAACAGGAGCACTGGAATCAGATTGTTGGGGCCTTTGTTGAACTTTTCAACAAGACCACCGCGTACGAACTGTTCACAGCGGCGGCTTCCATGACTAAAATGACAGAAACTGCCACCAATGGTGACGTTCAGGCCGCCGAGGCCGCGGCGGGATTGCCATACACGGGTGACCTGCCCGATGCTCTGCAGGCTAATGGCTCTCAAAGTACTGCCTCACTCCACGACGGAGGTGATCCACCCGCTCAAAGCGAGGCTCGCGCTGAGCTTGAGGACTACCGGCCCCAGGCAGATTCGCAGCAACAACCAGCTGCAGTCACAGTGGCACGCCGTCGGTTCTTCAACCGGATCATCACAAATTGTGTTCTCCAGCTTCTGATGATCGAGACTGTTCACGAACTCTTTTCCAACGACACTGTCTACGCTCAGATCCCTAGCCCCGAACTCCTACGATTGATGGGTTTGCTCAAGAAGAGCTACCAGTTTGCTAAGAAGTTCAACGAGGACAAGGAACTGCGCATGCAGCTCTGGCGCCAAGGCTTTATGAAGCAGCCCCCTAATCTCCTGAAGCAGGAGAGTGGCAGCGCGGCCACTTACGTGCACATCCTCTTCCGAATGTACCATGATGAACGCGATGAGAGGAGGAGCAGTCGCGCGGAGACCGAGGCAGCGCTCATTCCGCTCTGTGCAGACATTATCCGCAGTTTTGTCCGTCTTGAGGAGGAGACCCAGCACCGGAATATCTTGGCCTGGCGACCGGTAGTCGTGGATGTCATTGAGGGATACAATAACTTCCCCCAGGAAGGATTTGATAAAAATATCCCAATCTTCTACCCCTTGAGTGTTGAACTTTTGAGCCGCGATCTCAACCCCGAGATTCGCATCGCATTGCAGGCCCTGTTACGCCGCATCGGTGAGGTCCGACTAGGTATTGCTCCGCCCAATGCATCGGATGCGCCGATCAGCCCGCGCAGTTCCATCTCCCAGAAGACCTCCCGTCGTGACAGCCGAACTGCCGAATGATGATTTTGGTGTTTTCGGGATACCACCCGCGTTTGTGATATACGGGTGACCCTGGCGTTCAAATGTCTTTTGTCTAGCCTGTTTGATTCAGATTTGTGACTTGTTGCCTACGGGCTTGACAGTTGTTTTGTTTCTAGAGATGCATAGCTGTATTGTATAAGACAAAATTTCTTTCCACCAGATGCGAGACTCCTAGATTCCTAGAACACCCCGTTCGTTGTAGCTGCCACTGGCAAGGTGTGCCCTAGCCACGACGAGGGAGGATTGGAAACTCTACTCGTTCCAGTATGTATATAACGAATAAATTAAATTGAGTTCTAATCCAACTCTGTACCGTCCAGACACGGGGTTATCTCCTATGGTGCGGCTTCTCTGATATGCACTAGCATAACAGAAGTAAGTTCACTTAGCTTGTCAATCGATAAAAAGCATCTAGCCCATAAGTCCATTTTCGTCCCTATCTTCCAAGACTATGTCTGACCAAGCTATGACTCTCGGCGATCACCGACAAGCTCTCGCTCCTCAATTCTCGGTCAACGGAGCCTTGATCCCGGAGATCAAGTAGTCACATTGTCTCTTCATCGGGAATTCTCTGCTTTGCAGGGATCGCCTTTGGGGACATCATAACGCCGGTGGTGAGGTAAACCCCAACAACGAAATACTCCATCAACAACCCCATGACCAAAAACGGGGCAATTGGTCCGAGAAGAGCGTTCCATTTGAGATCCGACGTGTGCAAAACAGAGAGGAATAGGTAGGTAATGCGAACGACAATGAATGGCGTGCCAAGTGTCATAGCTTTAAGGAGCTAATGAAATTGTCAGTGAAACTGTCAGCAAAGCTAAGGAGGGATAACGAACCATCCGACTTGTCCCTGAAAACAGCGAGGACTGTGTCCAGAAATATGCCTGGATGGCCAATAAGATGGCTGCAAAAATGACAACGATACTGTAGCCAGATTTGACCAGTTTGAATCCGATAAGGACATCGCTGGTGGTGTCGCTTCCTTCTAAAGCTCCACCGGCGACTGTCAAAGAAAGACCGACTATAAACAGTATGCGAGAGAAACGCAAGCCTTGGCGGATTCGCGGGTCCATGTTTTGTTCGATGGTTGTGCTGGGATACATACGTTAGAGGAATTCAAATACTCATACGAGAACCAAACAATTTGAACATACATGATTCGAATGAAGCCCATTGTGGCTGCAATTAGGGGGAATACACCGGCATTGAGAAGTATGGTCGCTGCAATCATAAATCCGGTGCTTGGTTTTTGTTCTGAAATGATAACGAGGACGCCCGCGGCAATGCGAACTATATATATGTTAGAGTTATTTGAGCGTCGTCGTTGTCCGTGGGGGAGTTACTGCTTGAAAAAAAAATGAGAGTGTTCCAGGCCATGCGGGGTCTCCTGTGTCGATAGCATGCGAGATAAGTTGATAAGATGATCACAGGTATATAGAACACTATTAGAGCAATGCTCATCTTTGAGTGATCGGCAAGCATATTGGGTAGTATATGGTTGAATAGGTACATATGTGGTATGAGTAAATTGAGACATGAAAATTTGGCAATCGGGGGCTCTTATAGACATTTCTCAAGCCCAAATCTGCCTGACCACAAGGCTGTGCTTTTGAGTGTGGGTTTTCATCATCCGAAGTATACAGGAGGTTTCGCAAGAACAACCCCATTTTGGGTTTAGCGTGGGATCCACATGATCTAGTCATAGATACTAGTACTCCGTAGCATACTACAAACTAAGTTAGTGGCTCTCGACTCTTAGCAACAAACCTGAATCCACTGAAAGGACATGTGGAACGCTAGGGTGTACAATACCTCCATTTTCCATTCCTTCTCCATCTCACTCCATGCCCACAATGATATCCACTTTTTTTCGACAGAAGAATCTGACGAATGTAGCCATTTTGATAACTATTTGAAATGAAAACAAGGCTTTGATGACCGTGGTCATGTACAAAGTACTCGGTAGAGATAATTCTCAAAGGTGACATAAACCCTGTACTAATCCTAATTAGGCAAGGCTCACTGTGGCGGGGAGCCGCAGAATAAAAAAATGCTGATGTTGACACTGGAGCTAGTACACTATGGTCGGCGTGGCTGGGAAGTCGAAAGGCTGCAATACCTGTCGAAAGCGGAAAATAGCAGTGAGTCAATAGAGTTTGCCTTCGTACAAGCGCTAATTTCATCTAGTGTGATCAGCAAAAGCCAGCTTGTCAGCGGTGTACACGATCAAACCGAGTGTGTGGTGGATATGAAAAGGCGAGGGTCTTTGTCCTAGTCCAACCCGCCGCAGATAAGACACACACCTTTCTCAGACCATCTGAGCAAGACAAATCTCCAGAACAATCACCAACTTCTTCTCCAGTCACGGAGATTCAACGAGTGTCATTCCTAGAGACAAGCCCCGCCTATCGATTAATCCAGAGTCGAATCGAATCCCACAGTTTGGTTCACGCTTTTCTCTCAAATTGCTTTCCTCCAGAATGGGTATCCTGGATCACCTTACTCGGTCAGCTTCCAACCAAGGCTGAAACCCTCGAGATATCCACTGTGGCAGTTGCGGCGTCGGCGGTTGGAACCATGTTCCACATGCCGGATCTGGTCCAACAAGGTCACAGGTACTATATTCAGGGCCTTCGTCAGCTGCAAAGGTCCTTGAATGACCCGCTTCTCATGCGCGAAGACGGAACTCTCGCAGCTTGCATGGCCCTGAGCCTTTACGAAGCCCTTGAATGTCCCACCGCGGGATCTGAAGGCTATTTCAGTCATTGTCAGGGTATTATGGCGTTGATGCAAGCCCGTGGTGTAAATGCGCATACCTCTGGTGCGGGTCATCAGTTGTTTCTAGGACTTCGGGTTCCAGGGGTACGTCTCGTGCTCCGGGATGATAGACCCTTGCTTACCATTCTAGATTCTATATGCCTTGCAACAAAGTACCTCCACTTCCTTGTCCGAATCTATTTGGATGGAGGAGCCTTGGGCAGGATACCCCAAGTCATCATTTGATCGTGTAACGGATTGCTTTGCCCATGCGCCGGGGATCCTGGAGCGAGTGAAAACAATTCCCTCCTTTCATCTCAATCAACAACTTGCCTTGGTTTATGAGCTAGTTCAGGAATGCTGGCAGGTTGACAAAAGCTTGGACGCTATATATGACGAGATACAGAACGCGCCTGGCCCGCTATACTGGCCGATCCCTTCGCAAAACATCTTTGATTTCGATGCTGATTTTGTTCGGAATGTTTTATGGTTTTCCAACATATCAATTGCCAGAACACTTATACTCTTATGGGCCATGCGGACTATGTTGTGGTCGGGTCTATGCAATCTATACAAGCATGCTGGGTTCCTTGCAACCATCGAGGGCTGTACACCTGTCACTGGCGAAACTGGTCTACCCTCTCTTGGTCATCGCGAAGACTATATTTCCATGGCCTACCATGTCTGCCAGTCTGTGGAATACTTTTTGCAAAATGACATGTTGCTGGCTGGGCCGATATCGGTCAGTCCGGCACTTGGTATTGTGCTTGACGGTCTCCAGCACCGATATCATCCTCAGGAGGTTGCGTGGCTTCAGTCAGCTCTTAAAGTAGTCCGAGGGAAAGGTCTTCGTGCACTGGAGTATGTTACCTAGTTTCACCCAGCTCAACGAGTATACTTGGATGGTACATTCAGTACAGAGCAGTCTAGAATAACGACTTTTATTGATATCTAGGATCATTCCAAGGCGAGCTTTTGTAACGAGTCATCATTGCGCACCTCCTGCAGTGTAGGCACATTTCCTGGATGGAATTGAGATAAAAGTCCATCCATATCATGTTCGGTCATCTCCACCAAGTCATCCAGGCTCCATGACTCACAAACCGACGACATCCATTTCATTCTTTTTGGTCCCTGCTCTTGATTGGGTGCAACCTCCCGGAGCTTCTTGCGTAGCTTTCCCACGTTGACAATTGCAGCTCCCATGTTAGACGGCAAGGTAGCTGCGATCTTCTTGCGCACCAGACTAGCCAGTTTCGGGCCATTGCCATTGGTGCTGACCATAATCTGAAGAGGTCCATCCCGATGCATGCTTCCAAAGTAAAAGTCGCACTCAGGTGGAACGTCTGCGATATTGGCTGGGATCCGCTTCTCCTTGCACAATTTCCAAACTTGGGTTGAGGCTTCGGGATCATCAATGGCACATAGCACCATGTCCACATCATCTAAGTCGGAGGGTTCGAAATTCCGATCGATATGGGTAACTTGTTTTTCGGCGACTCGATAGGCGACTTCTTCGTTGAGTCCAGTAGCTGGACAGACGACTGTGACGCGAGCGTCTGCGTCGAGGACGTTGAGGATACGCCCCGCGGCGACCTGTGAGTGAATATGTGAGCGGAACATAGCTTGAATAAAGTTCATTACAAGGATTTGAACTCACCTCACCACCTCCTACGACTAATACATGTTTCCCTTTGATCTGCCAAGCTAGAATCAAAGAGCCACCACCTTGAACTTCGGGAAACTTGGACATGACTGTTGGCGGGTGAGTGATAACCCATGATCTTTCAACGATAAGACGTGGGGCATACGGTTAGCGTTAAAGACCAACAACGCAAACGCTAGTTTTTTTTCTTTCTTTCTTCCACCTTTCCATTTCTTCTTCTCCTTTCTTTCCTCATCAATCCCATCCGCCATGCGGGGTGTGCAAATTTTCTCGGGCAATTCCCATCCCGGCCTCGCAGATACTATTTGTGAACGGCTGGGTACTTCGCCCGCCAAGGCAGACCTTGGCAAATTCGCCAATGGCGAGACAAGCGTGAACATCAACACCTCGGTACGAAACCAGGATGTCTACATCATCCAGAGTGGCAGCAGTAAGATCAATGACAGTGTAATGGAGCTGTTGATTATGATCTCTGCATGCAAGGGTGGTTCGGCCAAGTCGATTACTGGTATGTCGCCGTGAAAAGAAAACTTCTACCACAAGGATTATGCACTGACGATCTTCAAGCGGTCATGCCGTATGCTACCCGTCTTGTTTGACCCAATCACAGTCGATGCTGACGCGTAGACGAGGTACTTTCCCTACTCGCGCCAATCCAAGAAGAAGAGCCACCGCGGTGCTATCACGGCCCGCATGCTCGCGAACCTACTCTCCATCGCCGGCGTGGACCATGTCATCACCATGGACTTACATGTATGTGCCCAGCCCCCGTCCTATCTAACTGTTGGGGGATGGTCGATATTGATCGACATCGATAGGCATCTCAGATGCAAGGCTTCTTCGGCAAACCCGTCGATAACCTCTTCGCCGAACCGTTTATTGCCCGCTGGATCCGGATGAACGTGGCTGGCTGGAAGGACGGCGTGGTAGTCAGTAAGAATGCCGGTGGTACCAAACGGGTCACCTCGCTGGCCGACGCGTTGAAGTTGAACTTTGGTATCGTGACTACCGATCGTCGGCGACCGAAGGTTCCGATGACAATGTCCGACAGCACTGTTTTCTTCGATGCGATGGACGAGGATAGCCGACCCAAGGATCAGCTGTTTGCAGCTCACATGCAGCGTGTCAATGCCACGCCCCCTATTCGGGAGGAACCTGAAACTCCTAGCACACCGGAGTCTTTGTTGCGTCCCGAGACTCCCCCGGCTGCCCGTCGTCCGTCGGAGTTGGAGGCTGCTTGCGAGTACACTGATGTGCGGGTGCGGGATGTGGTGACTGGCCGTCTGGTGCAGGGTCAGTTGGTAGATGATGATTACCATGCTGACTCAGCCTCCCAGTCTGGCGGCACTACCCCCGGCGCTGGCAGTGGCGCTGGCGATGACGTTGAACACACGGAAGTCCCAGATGCCATGATGAACTCGATGATCTCTAATGTCTCCTCGTTGGCCCCTGATCATGCTCTGGGCGGCTCATTCGATGCAGTTGAATCTGATGATGACGAGGCCAGCGTGGCTGGCTTTGAGCACGAGAAGACCATCACCCTGGTCGGTGAGGTGCGTGACCGAGCCGTGTTTATTGTGGATGACATGATTGACAAGAGTGGATCATGGATCGCCGCCGCCGAGACGGTTGTGAAACGCGGTGGAGCCCGAAAGGTGTACTGCATCGCCACTCACGGCCTGTTTGGAGCTGAGTCCCTTGACCAGCTGGAAGAATGTTCGTCCATTGATCACATTGTGGTGACAAATACTTTCCCGATCCCGCCGTCCATGCTCCAGCGGTCCAAGAAGCTAATCGTGATCGACATTTCGACGCTTCTGGCTGAGAGCATCCGGCGGCATCACTACGGTGAAAGGTAGGTTCTACTGCATTCTGACTGGTTGAATGAATCTAATCCTGGACTATAGCGTCTCGGCGCTTTTCCATCTTAACGATTGAATGACCGGAAAAGAAAATCAAATTTAACCCAGGGCGTTTTACTGATTCGCAGGCGAACTCTGCTCCATGATTTCATGGCATGATACCTATTTTCACAATGAAAAAAAACTTTGACAAATCCGCTCGTCGGTGAAGACGTAGATTGTTTGTTTGTTTTTTTCCTCTTTTTTTCTTTACTTTTTCAGTTACATCACCCAGCGATGCAGTCCACACTGGGTACTGCAGGGGTATCTCGTGATCCACGAGGTGTCCTTAACGGAGCGTTGGCAGAGCAAAGATCGGGATGTGGATTTGTGTTCTATTTTCCTCTTCCTTTGGGAATAGGAAATGAAAACATGACGATCATCACGAGGAGGTACGAAGGAGCCGATTTCGGATTCTTTCCCTTGGGAATCAATCATGCCTTTGGCAGTGGAAGCGGAACCGGAGAACATCTCGAACATATCTAGGGATTCCACATGTAGCAATCAGTCAATATTTGAATAATTGAAGATCATATGAATTTTGACATAAGCCTCAACGGCCATGCGGACATCCGTGTTTCCCCCTGGGCGCGGAAAAGCCGTGCAGAATTAAGCAGGTCTAGACTGGATTACAATCGTCATGGATGCATAAGTTGACAGGTAGACTTCAATTTCCCGACCCAGATCGGCCCAGACCGGTTTCAAATTGTTACTCCCTGACAGGTACTTATGCCGGGGATCTGTATACATCCGAATCGGATCAGTGAAAAGGCCCGAACAACCCCGTGCATTTGTATATCGGTGCATTTGGGGGCTGTGTGGGAACAATTCAATTTTTGTTCAAGCGAGCCCCTACGGATACCGGGGACATAGTTCCGGGCCGACGAGACGACTCATCAATCCCAGTGAATTGGTTCAAGCTAAGCCTATGAGGAATGAAAAAAGTCCCTGCCATGTGGAGAAGAGCCGTGTAGGTCCAAGCGTCAGATCCATCAGGCTATTTTAGTGGGAAAATGGAATTGATGTATCAATTTTCAATTTTCATTTCTCATTTCTCCATCTTAATTTACATGGTTTCATCAAGAAGATCAAATGCATTAACCCGTGATTATTTACTCTAGAATAGAGAATTGACCGGGTAGACGGGATAGACATAGAGTTAGAGATGGAGATAGAGATGGAGACTAGTTGACCTAGTTCGGCCTGACGCAGCGAGGGGTAACTCAGTATTTTAGCACTAAAAACTAACTAAAATACTAACATACTCGTCAAGTACAAGGGGGGGAAGACCCACAGGTTCTTTTGCCAACACGAGTCGAATTAGCATCACCCCAAAATCCCTTTCGGATCGCTCCCTACCAATTACAATCGCTCGATGTAGCCAGATCGTGATTCCGGCTGGAAACTTGGATCTGCCGATGCAAGATGAGATATATGTAGATCTGGTTCCCCTAGCCTCAGCCTTTTAGCCTCTTAGTTCTAGCTTTTAACAGGGATGTATAATCCCTTTTTCCTTTTCCTTTTCCCTTTTCTTTTTCTTTTTCATTTTCATTAATGATCGGGAATAAATCATTTTTTTTAATCCAATCCAAACCTCGGATACCTGCGTCATTGGCATTCTGCAGAATTTCACGGCTTTAGACCTGGACTGGTTGACTGCCGGGATCATTGGTTTGCCAAAGTACAGTTGATAGAGACGATTCAATATTGACTATATAATGCCCACACGTCCATCGACAAGACTTCAATTTCCATACTTCACTCTCTCCAACTTCTCATACTCTCTCCAAGTCGAAAGTCTCGAACCTTGACCATCCTCAGGATTTATTGTCCGGGATCGACCGCTTCCACTCCCTCGGGTCTCATTGATCGTTTAGTGCAGTAGGGAAACACTCTCTCGGGTCCATGAAATACGCTTACTAACCTCCCCCAGTCAACATCTCCAAAATGGCCAACCAATGCTCCGGTCATGTCTTCGCTATCGTCCAAGCGACAAATGGCAATATCCTGACATGGCGATGCTCGGATTGCAATTCCGGCCCATTTGTTGCGATCTGGCGCTGTAAGATCTGTGGCCACTGTCGGTGCAATGCTTGCCACACTTCCAAGGGCTGAGTTTATGCTTCCTATTCACCACCCACTCATGGTACGTTCAATCCTTGTCTATGTTCTTTGTTCTTTGTCATGTACACCGGTTTCTGGTCTTGGTCCTTGATTCGAACTTAATTCGCCTGCTAACCTTTTCCGCAAGTAGCTCTCTGCATGAAAGTTTCAGTCTCTTGCATACCTTGACCGGGGTATCCCTATTTTTTATTCCTGGCTTGCTGGCTTCTTCCTGTTCTCAATCGTCCAAGTTCCCACTGCGTTTGGCGACGTGCATTTGATCAGGTTGGGTTTCCCAAAAGTTTCAAAAAGTGGATGCATTCGAGGAGTTCTTTCCGGTTTTTCTTCAAAATGTTTTAATAGATGCTCTAGGGTTTATGTTCTATATTCGGTGTCACAATAAATTTACTCTTGATATAACTCTATTTGCTGCCTTTTCTTCCTTTTCTTCCTTTTCTTTTCTGTTCTTTTCCTTTCCAGCTTGCTGTAATATCTTTATTTTCTCACTATTCACTTACAAAACTATTTACTTACAACTACAAAATTATTTACTTACAATTACAAAACTATTTACAAATACAAAACTATTTACTTACAGTAGAAAAGAAGGTAGGAGATATACAGGAGACCAATTAGGTAGATTGTGTATAAAATTCTGCTCTAAGACGCGCGTTCCTTGCTAGATAGGTATAGATAATTCCATTCAAACATATGCAGCCAGCCAGGTCACATCCGATTACCTACAGCACTGCACTGCCAGTAAGGACCAATGCAGGGCTTATCCCTTGTCCAGGTATCCGGAATGAATCTCAACTCCCGGCATGAACCAGAACCACCCGATCCACTCGGTCCAGCTTGCCAGTATTTTCCACTTTGTCATCTCATCTCATTGGACCCGGATCGTCGGGTCCAGCTGACGCCTATGACGCCAAGCGGGGCTGACCAATACCCAAGATAGGAAAAGGAGTCCGCACAATGCAATCTCGTGGCGCGACTTCAAACGAATTGACAGGTCGAATGCAATTTGAAATTTGAAATTGATTTCGCTTACACTGTTCGCTTCGATCGGTGGCTGAGATCGGTGGCGTGGTGTGCGGTTTCGAGTCAGGACGGCTCAGGGAACAAATCGCATTTAAGGATTTCCAGGGGCTTGGGTCCGTCTAACTTTATCACTCCACAAAAGCATCACGCAAGGACCAGTTGGTGGCTCGGAGGTGGGTCCGAAGAAAGTACGAACTAGTATAGATCGGGAGAGGGGATCACGGAATAGATAAAATGTACAAAGTACAGGACAATAGTACGAAAATAAAATACAAAGCTTACTGACAAATACTTACGTATTGAATGATTGAAATCCATTTCTACGGAGTACTCCGTACATGAATGTATGTACAAGCATATGTAGGATATACAAAGTAAAAAAAAAAACCTGGAACTTAGAACTGGGTCACCGCTACGTGTAGATACTCTGAAAGCTGTTAGCCATGTACCCACATACCCAGCTGATCCGAAAAAAAAACTCAAATAACAAATACTTGCACTCACCTCTGTAATCTGATTGACTGCCAATCCAGGTTCCGCCATCTCGGCATCACACAAAAACTCCAATGGAAGCCACACCAGGTGTCCCTTGATTCGATCGAGCTTCTCACGCACCTCGGCGATGGGCATATATGGATCAAATAGGTGCCCCTGCTTTACTCCACGCGGGTAAAATTTATCATAATCCTCAAATGTCTTGATGTGGTCATCTGGATCCGCCCGGAACAGCATCCGGTACGTATCCGTGTTGACGCTAGCCTGGTCGGTCCACGTCTTCCAGACCGCATCACCGAGTGGGTCGGTGACGAAGTCGTTCTCGGGACCTTCAAGGATGGAGTTAAGACAGACGTTAGGGGGTTGGGCATTCGGTTCCTCCGCTGCGTTGTAGTCTTGTGCTGGGAGAAGACCGAGGTGTTCGCGCCAGAGTTGGCGGCGGAGTGTGGCAGCGTGACGACCAGCTCGGTAGGGTTGGCCGTTCATTTCACTGTCGATGAAGTCTTGGTCTTCCATCACGATGGCGAGTTCACTGTCGTGGGAGCCGAGTTGGGACTAGACTGGTCAGAGTATACCTGGAAGGAAAGGGACCGGACTTACTCGGTCATTGATATTGGCGCTACCGCAGATCACGATGCGGTCGTCGACGATGCACACCTTACCGTGCACGTAGAGCTCCTCCTGCACGATGTTGGCCTTTTCGGCTTCTGGGTCACCTTCCCACACCTCATCGGACATCTTGCCACCATTCAGCATGGTAACGTGGGCCACCGAGTCTCGGCTAGCATCCCCCTGCTTTTCCTTGTTCTGCTCAACCTGCTGCTCAAACCTTTCAAGCTTCTTCATAGTCTCTTGCCTCTGAGCCTCATCGGCATCATAGCTCTTCTCGTTGTGATCGCCCTCTTTACCAACGGAGGGGTGCACACTCTCACCCATGATAGACTCGGCGATACCACGCTGGATATCCTGGTACGTCACCCCGGCCTTGCTCTCAAGCTCCTCCAGTGCTGGGGTCTTGTTGATTCGATCATAAGCACGTAGAGCAAAGACAAAGATGTGCTCTGTAACAGTTAATATCTATCTATATCATGAGCTGGGGAGACCTACCTTTCGGGTCCACGCCCGCCTTAGCAATTTGTCCCATGATCGAGTCCTCGCCTCGGCAGATCGACTTGTACTGGTAATCCATGATGGCTCTGGTACCGGTCGCAGCAGAGTCACGAAGGTCGCCCGCAAATCCGGGGATAGCAGGAATCACCACAATGACGCGGAATTTGCGGCCCTCCTTGCCAGCCCGCACAGCCGCGTCAACAATGGCAGCGCCAATTTTGTTGTAAATCGGGTGCTGGTTGTCCCCGGTCGCCGTGACTGCAATCGTCAGCTTGATGAACAGAACCCTGGAACATGGATTGGACATACTGAAGAACTGGTTTTCAATGTAGACAAAGTGCTCCGCATTGCGAATGATCTCGCAATACGCATTCTGGATACTATGTTCGTTCAAAATACCACTGCTCCAATCATCACTACTGCGCACAATCTGCGCTCTCACAGTTCCCTGATCACCGCGAGGCTTGGTCGAAAGCGGCGTCAAAGGGTGATGAATATACTCGCCAACGGGATACTTAGGCCGCTGGACAGCAATGATATCCTCCTGCTCACCCTCCCGTCCCTCCATCAACAACCAATCCACAGTATCAACGCGCTTGTACTTGTCACGCTTGATGAAGTTCCAGCGCAGCACAAAGTGTTCCGCAATATCATAGACACAATCGCCAATCAAGCCCATCGCGACATCATGCCACGGCATGCGACCGTACTCGGTTTTGTTCAGCTCATTATTTTGCCAGTCCTGCACGCTCTGGAAGTCCATGATGCGATTATTGTTGAATTCCTGACCAGGGAAAATGTCATCCTTCAGACCGGCTGGGTGGACATCGGCAAGTGGGTGCTGGTGCGCATCCCAACGACCGAAGCAAAGATCAATACCTCCAATAAATGCCATCGCGTAGTCGATGACGATGAATTTCTCATGGTGCGCCTGTACACATTAGGATAGATAGCTTAGCAGTAGGCGATAAGTTACGCACCCAGTAGAGTGTCATATCAGCGCCATTTTCAAAAACATTGTGGTCGGGATGACGTAGGACTCGAATGTTGCCATGTCCTGGTGTCCCCTCCGGGCAAAGATTTTGCAATGCATGTTTGGTGTGAGCCGAATTACAAGTTAAAGCTTGGTTGACCTGGAATCGTTAGTCAAAAACCCTCTCTTATTCCCTCTTTGAAAGGCATCCTACCTCTTTGTACACGATCACGTAGATCTTCACACCCGCCTCCGCACGTCTCTTCAGAATTTCGTCTAACCGCCATTCCTTATGCTGCACAGGGGGTCTCCGGAGGAACAATTCCGGCGACAGCCACCAATCGGCAATGTAGATGGTCTCGGTTGCTTTATCCAGGGCCTCAGAGACGGCCCACAGATAATCCAGCGCATCAACGTACCATTTCACGCGGTTATTCTCGTGAACGGGCGCAAATGAGTGGAACCGATGGGATTCGGCAATTTCCGACCGTTTCTTATCCGTGGCTTGTTCGTGCGCCTCATCATGGCGGTGATTGGGGTTGACGATGTTGTAGAACTTGCCAACTTTGTGTTTTAAATGTGTCGCGGAGGCTTTCACGTCGTTGAGATTGTGTTCTAGAAAGAAATCAGTGCGGGGTCAATCAAGTTGAGGTCTGTGATTTATCACCCTTGAATTTCTCTTCGAGGTTCTCTATTCCTTGCTCGAACTTCTCCTTAAAGCGATGCATTCTGACGCGTGGGGGATTCGGAAGTCGCGGACTCGCGGTGTGGGGAAAAGAGGGGAGGAAAGGTGCAAATCTTTTGAGGAAAATTCGAACCTCCGCTAGTGTGACATCACTCCAGTTCAGCCTTATGTTATGGCTTATCTCGTAAAAATAAACTTGGCGTTGATCTTCACCTGATCAATGATGAGAAGGCGCACTTAACCATGGTAAGCCATCTGTTCCTGACCCGTTCTAGAATTGGGCTCCACATGGATGGCGGCCCAGCTTGGTGGGGTTGAACATCACTTCTATATACATTGGTGTTCCTGATTCCATCCATTAATAGTAAATATACAGTATGCCATCTTGTCGATCTGTGGGGTTCAAAGGCTACATGATCAACACTGTGGAGAATGCACATGTGATCCACGGGTTAACTGCACAGCGATTCGTAACTACGTATTTAATGTTGACTACATGTAGTTAGTTTCAGGTAGTCTGATTCCCCATTTCCTGCTCCTCTTGGGGCTACCCGTGTAATCGGTTGCTCATTTGGCTGTGTCGTTTCCTAGCCTGAAAATGCAGATGCAGATTTCTCGACTTATACGAGAGTACACAGGACCAGATTGACACGTAAGAGAGCAAAATGGTATTTATATGTTCTGACTTTGGTAGCATCCTAATTGATCGGAGTGAACCTTGCCAGAGGCTCCAAATGGTAGCAATATTTAGTGCACTGTAGTTCCAACATTTGAAGGCCAGAATTGTGATTTTAGGAGAATATTTCATGTATGTTAGCAAATATCCATTGGATAGACTTGCCTGACCTGATATGTGTTTTCCGATTCTTACCTGTGCATATGTATCAGTCGAGCCTTATACGTAGGTAACTTCATGTTGCAATCAAGTGCTTGTGGCCTAGACTCGACTTAGACATAAGCATTGAAATGAATGGATACAAGGGTGTAAGTGTATAATGGCATTGAATCGATCTAGTCTACATGTACTACTACCTAGGTATTACTACCCGCCAAGGTTTATCCTGGAATGACCGTGTTTGGAGGGGTTGCAAGAGAGATTCAATGACTGCCTGTGTGGCGGTAAGGAGCTCGAGTGGAAAGATATACACCGCATGTATCGGGGCAAAAAGTTAGATTTATGTACCTATGTAACGTCAATATTTACTATCAAAAATATATATGGCATTAGAAGCCTAAATAGTAACTGATAATTAAATAAACAGCCATTTCAAAATTTCTAGAAAAATAAACATTGGAAGTGTGCAGCTGCCCTGACCTATTGGCGGTTTTCGTTTTCTGGTTCTCTCCGAGTGTATGACGTAGATCGGAGAAACAAGAATCAAGGCCATGCCAATCACCAAACCAATCAGTCTCTTAGATTTAGTCAAAGGAACTGGAGATATTGGTACATTCAAAAGTCAATCTAGAAATGAATTCGTCTTCACGAATGAAGGAGATGAGAGGAGGACAACTTGGCAACAATTGAAAAAACCCATGCTTTTCTGTCCCGGTCAATAAAGATTTCGCTGTTCACGATCTAGATAAGACCATTCATCAGCTTCTATGAATAGTATTCCCTTGAGAAAGGATAAAGCATGTTTCCTTTGTAAGTACTAGTATATGTAACACCCTGCATAGTTCGTTGGTTTGTTTTTGTTTGGCGGAATGCTTACCTCAGGATGCACGTGACCACCCAAACAACGTTGTCTGAGGAACGGCTTGCTCTGTTTATCCTCCCACGCCTTCGACTACACCACGCGGCCAGCGATAGCCCTGCGAATTTGGGACGGCTTTTGTGTGGATTATTGCTGAAAGCACTGCTAGGCATTTCCTCCAGCTTGCTCTCTGGTCCCCGAATGGTCATCGTCGCTGTGTGTCGGTAAGAAAAACACGCCTGTGCAGGAACGGTCATCTCCCTGGTGACGGATCTCCTCCACTTTTTTTCCGATTCACCAACCGGACCCAGAATGCCTGCTGAACTAGGTGAGAAAGCTTGAGCACACTCCACTTGATCAATCTGGTCGTCCATGCTCATAGAACATGATAGTACGCGCCCCGTCGCAAGGCAGCGTGGTCTCGCAGACAACCCAACACATGGGCCCTCAAAGTCGCCCAGGGACGGCGGACCCCTTACGATCTCGGTCGGAGACACTTTCGCGTGGTGGCCGTCGGGCTCGATCTCGAGGCTCAACTGCTAGCATCCACTCGAGCACCACACAGCAAACTCAAGACCAACACATCGATGCATTCCCTCAATTCATGCCTCCTCAGGTCGGCAATGGCATGTTCGCCAACAATCCAGAAGACATGATCATGCGTTTCGGTCATCAGTTCGGTCATCAATCCCATGGTGCACCCTTAAGTCAGGACTTGCGAGACGCCCACGCAGTCATGTCTCGACCGGAAGATTTCCCCCCACATGCTATGCACGGTCACACACTCTCCCACCACTCGTTGCCCTCCGAAATGGCTCACAATGGGGTCCCTGGTGTCCCGGTGCCTCAATACCAGGCAATTTATGACAGTGGAATCGAAAATCACCTGCCAGAGCAAGCCATCGAAGATCCTGATGTCTCAGAACAAGGTGGGAAAAAGAAGAGAGGATCTAGCTCCACGCTGGCGAATGACAATGAGCTTCGTAAATTGCTTCGTCAATACGAAGGTTGGTCGTTGAAGCAAATGGCGGCCGAGGTCATGAAGCACGAAGGTGCTGGCGGTAAAGCAGAGAAGGTGAAGCAGGTCTTCGCCATGATCTGGTAAGCAATCTGAATTTTTTTTTGCCAGGCGTTTGGCTGACTGAGTGGTCAATAGGTTGCGAGAAAACTGCAGGAAGAGTTCAGGTTCTGTAAGACGGGACCGTGTGTATTGCTGCTATGCAGAGAACTGTGGGACAGAACGTGTGTCGGTATTGAACCCGGCGTCGTTTGGAAAGTTGGTGCGCATCATCTTCCCGAATGTTCAGACTCGACGTCTTGGAGTTCGTGGCGAGTCCAAGTACCATTACGTCGATTTGTCGGTCATTGAGGAGAAGCAACAAAAGCCTGCACCAGTGAGCACACACGTTGCGCCAAGTCAACGGGGTCCATCCGTAGCCCCAGAGAGACCCGCAAGTGCCATGCGTTCACGAAGGTACGACAAACCTGACACGTCTACGCTTAATTCCATTACTGACACGTCCTTTAGTATCAGTATCCCCCAGCCCACCGCTGACTCCGCCGTCTTCCCTTCCCCAACTGCAGCCTTTGCCCCCAGATACCCTGCCAACTCTGTGGCAAATTGTGGTTGTCCATCTGATACGCCCACCATGTCTGGCCACGACACCACCGTTACCCCCGAAAATGTCGCTCAACATGCTGGCCGGATGATTCACCAGATGTTGCAGTTCCCAACCGATGAAGCACCGGTTGATAATGACACCCTCATTCTTCCCGATATACGTGGTCATTTGCCTGCCAACACCGATCTGAAGGTGGCAGATGCGCTCGCGGCCCTGTACAGAACTCACTGCATCTCCGTCATCGACAGCTTCCGGTTCTGTAAAGAACGCAACCTTCTGAAATACTTCTCTGCGTTCCACGGAACTTTGACCGTGCCTGTTCAAAGGCTTTTGACCCATCCCAACCTCGCCCCATGGATCAAGGAATGCGACTGGTTGATGTATCAGAAAATGATTCCTTTCGTCGCACCTCTCACTACACAGGTTGTGCCTAAGCCTGTTTTAGACGCATTTCGCTCCATTTCCCAACGACTGTGTGGCCATATTGCGGAAACCTTCAAGTCACAACCAACTCATGTGTCTATCGCTCGCCTGATCCCTGCCCATATCTTCTGCAACCTCCTCAGGCACATGCTTGATGTCAACCAGGCAGCAAATGCTGCTGCTGCTTGGCTCTGCCACCCTGAAAACCGCAACCAAATGTGGGCTGATTTCAAGTCCCTTGTGGACCCACAGGAAATGATCACGAAAGCAAACATCCCCGCCTGCGCTGCACGCGCTACTGAACAAATCCTCAAACACGACGTTCGGGCCCTTCTAACTCCAATAAATGACGTTGACCCAATGAACTCTCTGCCTTTCTATCGCAAACCAGACACCCCTCAAGACATTGCAGCTCACCCATTCCCCGCCGAAAGCGCTCCTGGTGATGAGTACAATTTCCCGGACAAGTGGATCCAGTTTATTCTGAACGTTCCAGCTGTTTTCGCCGGCCATCGCTCTCAGTGCGTCATCGAAAAGGTGGACGCCATGTGGGAAAACATTCTGCATCGTTTGACTCTGGGTGGTGCTGCTAGTTTCAGTGCCTGGTGGATGACCAAGGTGTTCTTCCACGAGATGATGCTTTGGCAGGCAGAGAAGGGTGGTTTTATGCAGAGCAATCCGGCTACCCTGCAAAGTGTTACTGTGGCCCCCGAACCTATGGGGATGGGGAACTTTCAGCTGAAGCACCCCCTTGGGTCCAATCGCAACTCTTTTGATGGATCCCACTCTGGGACCCCGGGTGTCCATGGCCGCAGCCGCGATGCTCATGTGGACCACAAACATACCCCAAGTGAAAAAGAGCTAGCACTTGCGGACTCAGGCTTCCAAGCTCCCAACAACGATGACAGCGCGATTGACCTGGAGGATGACCCTTTGTTGATTGCTGTGGGTAAATATGGTGACATGATGGCTTCAGACCCAGCAGATGCCGAAGGCGATGTGGTCGTTATCTAAGTTTTGCTTTCTGCATGCATTGTGAGGTTTGTCTTTGAGGTTTGGAGTTGAGATATCCCGGTGTACCTATTTCCTTTGTTTTTTTCTTTTGTTATTTTATGAAGGCTTTCCTTTGTCACGGCGGAACGGCGTTTTGACTGTTCTGCATGAAGAGACGAGACACGAGATGGACCCCAAGTTTTGCTTGCGAGACTGTCAGGGTGTCCGAGGTCCATACGAGCATTTAATCGGCGTGGGAAATCCTCAGCTTAATTTTGCTTTTGCATTCTTCCTCTTGTCTACTTTTTGGCCTGCTCTTTCCTAATAAGGCTGTACATACGCTCCTACACGCTTGGATCGTGTTCAACGGAGAGAAAATGACAACTGAGGCATGACGATACTTGAACTATGTCCTACAAGTAGTTACATGTAGTTACATGGTAAACGGTACATTAAAGCTTTACCTAATCGGGCTATCAAAGCCGCGGTGGAGCTCGGAGATCTTATTACGCGTAATCAATCTCCGAGGTCGAGGCAATACTTTCTGCTGTTGACAATCAAGATCATTCCTCATTGCATCCTGCAGAAGACTACGAGATGCGATTTCCTCCAAACTGGGCTGGGACACTGTCCCTTTTGACATGTCTCTCCCCAACTCTTGCATATGAAGATGACCTGGAAAATGCCAACCACATCTTCAACGCCATTCAGTCCACCATGAGACATCATGGTTCAGAAATTAACTACAACGGCATGTCATTCTACCGCGCCACCGTGCCAAAAGGCACCAAATTCTACCACGGAACAGGCCTCAAAGACCCAATCCAAGGAATGGAGTGGCTCGCTTTCAAGCCCGAGCACTCCCTAGGCTTCGCCCACCGCAGCGGCAACAAGTTCTTCGCAAAGAAAGATCTACAGCAACCTCTTGACGAGTTTACAGCCTCGGATCAGGATGGAAACGGGTACCTGCATACCTACGCGGCCGCCAGGGATTTACGCTTGCTGTACGTCGATGGTATGTCGGCTGGTCCTGGTGATGGGAAGGAATCTCAGGATCGCATCCTGTACAACAACACCATCACTGGGGATCAGCCAGTCGGAGGTCCTAAGATTGGAGGACCACCCCAGGAGCAACAGAGGGCGATTGAGGCTTGTCGGATGGCGAAGGAGGACTGGGATGATAGGATAGATGGGATTGTTCGCACGGAGGGTGATTTTGAGATCATTCTGTGTAACTTTGACCGTGATCTTGATGTCGTGCATATTACTCAGACAAAGCCTCAGGAATATTCGGGTCATCCAGGCCCCGGTGGGCCTGGGGGTGGGAAAGGGAGAAAAGGCCATGGTCCCGGTCCGGGTGGCAGAGGACCTCGATCCGGGATTAAATATTGGTCACTGGCTGCACGCTTCGATGAACGTCTTGGAAAGAAAGTTCAAGTTGACTTGGATGACTTCGTTTCGGCTTATACATACGGCCTGGATCTCTTTCCCGGCGACGGCTCCGTTCCGACAGTGAGCCATATCCCAGTTGAAGACCTCCAACCGATCAGGAAAGATGTCTTCAAGATGCTTAATACCTGGAATACATCTATCGATGCATTCGACTGGCAGGCCGTCGCGGATGCGATTGTATTTCTGTATTCTGACGAGCTGAAGACTCTGGCCACCGGGAATTTTACGTCAGCGAAAGAGATGCGTGATCGAATTGAAGGTCTCATGGAGCCATTCGTTGATTACCGGGACTTTTATAATGGCGAGGTCATTATACACCGCTGTGCAGCGGAGTGGATTCCTCATTCGGCTCCTGTTGGTTCATTGGGTGGCAATGCTGTGCGATCTGTTGCCCGGTCTGTCTGCTCTACTCTGGTCTCAGTATTGATGGATGAACAAGATCTTGAAACCTCGGTGAAAATATTTAAAGATCTGGTCTCCTACCTACAGTGGACAACATGGGCAGAGGATGAGTGATTCCTAGATACATCCTCATACCTAATCTAGATCACCCTGCCACCTCAGCTAGGCAAAAATCATGGTTTAGCCTCACTGTTCTCGGTAATTCTATTTTATATGGTACTAAACTTACTAATCCCATCACTTGGGTTTTCTCACGGCTTGACTTTTGATAAGTGGTAAGTGGGAGGTACATGCAGAAGATATTTGTGGGGTAGAGGTATCCTCGGGGATAAAGTTGAAGGTGGAAAAAGCCCCAAAGGTAAACAGGGAGGGGGGAAAGTAACATTGAGAATAAGGTGGAAGGTGGTTGAAGCCTCGAGCGTAAATGGGGCGGGGGGGGGGGCGGTGTTGGAAATAATCCCATTGAAGAGAAATGGGGAGGTGAAAAGCAAAGGAAACGTGAATAGCATCATGAAAGAACCACAAAACCAAGCATTTAGAGAATATGAACGGCCTCACCAAAACGCTAAGAAAGTACCAATATAAGGAAGAGTAAGTTGAAAAAGGTATCCCCCTCCCTCTTGTCCCAGTGGCAAGAGCACCGCTGATGATCACTGTTTGGATCAGAGAAATCTCCCAAATTAGCTGTAAAGCGTATGCGCGTCCGAAAGACAGCGTTGGTTCGATCCTGAGCATCCCAATCAAGTTAGGGATAACATGGCTAAGCAGAGACGGATTATAAAAGGGGGGACACCTTTTTTATATCAGTCAAATGGAGAGATCATCGGGGTCTAGAAGTTAGACTGATATTCTTATTTAAGAGTAAACCTTTTATATGTATTACTCTCTGTCCTTCTTGTCTAGCAGAACTGAAGCTATCCATAATGAATCTCTGTGTAGTGTGTTGTGGTGACGGATGACACACATAAGAAGCAGGGTTTGGAGGCCTGAAACGGCAACAAATTGTCGTTCGGCACAGGAAATCGAGTTTTTTCCTAATCAACCAAGAAAATCTGCCACATATTATCATTTCTTGATGGAATGATGTAGAAAATTTCCAGAAAGTACGATCTCTATTGTCCGGGGTGGAATTTGCAACAGGCCCCCGAGACCTTCACGGTTTCGTAACATTCCATTTAGCGTCGATAAGTTACTCACTGGATTTATTGAATATATCGGCTGTGGAGGAAGGAAGGTGGCTTATAGTGGAGCACTTATAGGCTTTGAAAGCAGATACTCATCTTGAATAAACTCAGTCAGCCCCAGTTGAAAAAGCTTCCATTTGTGCAGGGAAACAGAAGGGGTTGGTCTACTTCAGCTATAAGCTATAGATAGCCACGAGTTGCAATGTCTCCTGATCATCCAAGCTCTGCCTGATTATAATAACCGTGGAAACTCCATTTGCTTGAATATTAAATACAATTGACAGTAAAGTACTACACAGCAATTTCCTTGGACCAACGACCAATGGTAAACTGAGAGTTACACATGTTGGTCAGTTCCCAGCTCTCTGCAGCCAGCACAGCAGGTGTGTTCTCATCCTCAGGATCACCAGCCGCACCCGCCACAAACATCGCCGACATGAAGTGATCATCCGTAGCATGCGCATCTCTAAATCGAGGATGCTTCATAAGCCGGGTCATGGCCGCGCGAAGCTGCGGCCCCGATGTCTTGGTGATGACATCCTCCACTGACTGTCGGAACTCCATTGCCCAATCCTCTGGCGGCGTCTCCATGGCGAAGTTATCCCGGAACCGAAGCATGGGCGCCCAGCGATTGCGGTACAGATTGTGAACTGCACCTCCCGTTCCGATGATGAGATAATTCTCCTTGCGTAGGGGTCGTAGTGTTGCGCCAATCTTCATGTGGAAATGGGGATCGTACCGGGCGTTCATCGAGATCAGCGTTGTTGGTGGACAGCCAGCAGGAAACATGCGGATGAGAATGAGATAGACGTCGTGGATCCAGTCGAAAGTTGGGTTACCGCCGACATTGTATCCTTCCTTGGCGAGCATCTTGATGCATCGATCGGTTGTCTCCAGGTCTGGGTTGAGTTTGTAGTTGACATACTTCTCAGGCTTGACATAGGCGACTGGACTTTTGTCGGGGTTTGGATTGGTTGCTAGTTCGATTTTGTCGCCGTAACAGTCCCAATGCGCGCCCTATCGAGTGTTATTATTATATTATCGATGGCTGGTTGGGAAAATTTACCATGATCACAACTCCCTTGATTCCCTGTGCCAATGCTTCATCTCCGCATTTTTTCCAATAGTCAGCACTTTCGGACTCTTCTCCCAGCATCATGGTGGAGCCATGGGAGAAGAAATGTACTGGTGTGAGGCCTAATCATTGTTAGTGAAGTCCAAACACAACTAAGGACAGAACCTACCCATATTGAAATTTATTTCAAACTTTGAAAGTCTTCAAGAAACCCCAAGGACCCTATTCCAATATATCGTATCTCACCGGAATACAATATTGGCCCCAATCCCGCGGTCGGAAAGGGTTCCCCACATCCCGATCAAGTTATGCGGGGATAAAGGGATTAAGGGGTTGCGTAATCCCCCCAACCTCACATGAACTTTATGCCCATTTTGAGTTAACTGAGGGGCAAAAGACAGGGATTGGGCTTGCCCAGCCGGTACTCAGACGAATCATTCGTTGTCCTTTACGAGCAAAAATCTGGGGAATCCATAAAGTGCGGAGTTGAACCCTATGGCGGTCTTAGGAAAGAAAAACATTGGTAGACAAGTTAATGGAGCGGGGGATGAGAAAGATCGGCAATTTGACTGGCGAGCTTGATGAAGCTATGTGGCAACGGGGTAAACGGTCCCATGATTCCGCTAACTACCGAGTTCCCCAGATTTCAACTCACCAACTTCCCCTCTTCTTCATTTGAAAATAAAACTGCAAATGCCTGGGGATAAAGATGTTCCATGACTCTCCAACCACTGAGCAGTTGAACACCGCCCAATCTCCTACCAAATCCAAAGATGGAGGCTATTTTCAATGTGGCTTCTGTAAACGCCACTATAATCGAGCGGATCATTTAATCCGTCATGTTCGATCACACACGCGGGAGAAGCCGTACATCTGCGATGTCTGTGATAAGGGATTCGCCCGTCCGTAAGTGCTCCTAGTTGGATTGACGACGCGTCACTGATCATCATGCAGAGATCTGCTGAAACGCCACGCAGCGGGACATGCGCACGATAGGGATCGCAAACGTAAAAGAAGCTCCTCCGTTGCAAAGCAAAGTCGAGTATCACAAGCATGCAAAGCGTGTGCCTCTTCGAAGCTGAAATGCGACGAAGAAAAACCATGTAAACGATGTCGCGAAAGGAATCTGCATTGTGATTGGCAGGATGTCGGGCAGGACTCATCACCTGAACCGTCGCAGCAAAATGATGAACAAGAGACTGGGATGTCTAATCTGCCGGTCGATTTGACTGCCACTGTGAATTTTTCGCCTATGCCAACCCCAATGGATGATTTCCTACCCAATGCTGTCCTCAAGACACCCCAGGGACCTGCGCCCGATGTGGTACTCGACCCGGCACTTAACCAGGGACCGTCGCCAGGCACTACAGTGAATACACAGCCTCAAATCGAATATGGTGGTATGTAGGGCCCACCCCAAACGTCGAGGACGAGCTGACAGGAGTAGTCTCCCCAACGGACCAAGAAAGTGGTATTTTCAGCGTGGACGGCACATTCTTCCCCAATTTCTTCCCAGACTCATTCATATCCTCGCTCGGCCGATATAATGACCCCTTTGACCCCTCAAGTCTAATCCCTGAGTTCACTCCTTACGGGGTGCTGGAGAATCCGGCTCTTGACTTCAGCTTGACCGATGGCGACTTTGGTCTAATAGACATGTATAATGCTGGAAGTGTAATGCCGAGGTATGAAAACGAACAACAGGACCGTTTTGATGCCGACAGTGGCATTGGCATCGGAGCGGCAGCCTACCACCGGTCTTCGCTATCGGCATGGAAACCGCTCCAAGAAGATCGTGCATTTATTGATCATGAAAACCTATCTGTTCCCCAAGTTATTGATAGCCCTGAAGTTGCTGCCGACCGACAAATATTAAGCGAGCGACTGTCATCGAGCAGTCGAGACCAGATTTTCGGCCTGGTTCTTGAAATCAGTCGCGAGGCCAACCTGAATCGAATCATGAAGTCTTTTCCCAGCACAGAATTGTTGGATGGATTGATTCAGCAATTTTTCGAAAATCAAAGCCACAACGTGGTATCGTTCATTCACGCGCCGACATTTCGCCCAAGTGGTGAACATGCGAGTATCCTTGCGGCGCTGGCTGCTGCAGGAGCAGTACGCTCACCAGTTCCTACGATTCGGAAACTTGGCTATGCTTTGTTGGAAATTGTGCGGATGTATATGCCTACGAAGGTTCGCTTCCTACCCTTGAACTTAACTTGACTTGACACGACGCTGACAGCACTAGTATGAAAAAGATAATCTCGCCACACGGGACCTACGAACATCACAGACCTACGCCTTGAATATCGATATCGGAATTTGGAGCGGGAATAGACGAAAGACAGAAATTGCAGAGAGTTTTTCTCAACCGCTGATCACCATGCTCCGTCGAGGGTTGAGATATCGTCGGTCGGTATATTCGCCCGTTATTCCTTTCCCAGAGGACACGGATGATGTGCTGGAGCGCAAATGGCACGAGTGGATCGAACAAGAGTCTTTCAAAAGGTAAGCGCGACTCAATCCTTCTTTGATTACTACTAATGCTGTCTAGACTTGTATACCACGTCTTCCTCCACGATGCGCAAACTGCAGTCACCCTCAACGTCAATCCACTGATATCCTATGCTGATTTGGAACTCCCTTTACCAGCAGCTCGGTCATTATGGGAAGCCAAATCAGCCGCCGAATGGAGACAGCTGTATCCTGCTGGTCCTGAACGTGTGCCATCATTGGCAGAGCTTCTCCGCGACATGTCGCAGCTATCAGCGTTCCAAGATCGCATCGATACCCAATTCAGCGCCATGGTTCTTCTCCATGGTCTCTCTGCCCTGATCAATGAATACCACCGACTAAAATTTATTTCAACCAGCAATTCCAAGCACTGGCATGCCCTAGTGACCAACTCCCGTCAACAAGAACTCGACCAGGCCCTCCAACACTTTCGCATGGTATGCTCAGAGCTACGCGTCCCGTGCCGACCTGAGATTATCTTAGTCTGCGAAGTGGTTTCAATGCTGCTTCACATGTCCCTAGAAGAGCTCCAACTCTTCGCAGGCAAAGAAGACAAGCAAGAGGCCCGACGGGTATACCAATCTGCCCTAGAATGGATAGCCAGCACCGACTCTCGAAGAGCAATCTGGCACGCCGGACAAACCATCCGTGCCTCTCGCCAAATGCCCCCCGGGTCACTAACTGGATTCTTCGCTATCGGAGTCTTCTACGCTAGTCTAGCATTCTGGTCTTATGGTGTGGTGTCTAGGGCCAAAAACACCCGACTCCTAGGAAACCCGGTCTCCCCACTCCCTAGTCAAGGACCGACGGTCTTCCTAGATGGAGAGGAAGTCGCGGACGTAACTAAGTTCGTTACGATGGGCTGTGGTCTTCCGGCGTTACAGGGACCTGGCGAAATAGTCTTATTGTCAGACTTTGGGTCTGTCATGAATGTTGGACAGAGAGCACTGAGAGCGGATATCTCTGAGAGCACACCGCCATTGGTGCAGAGTTTGGCTCAGTTGATGGGTGACCTGGGACATTGTGTTCCTGGTGTTTAGCGTATGGCATATGAATCCATGTATAATACGAGCTTTAACGTGATACCCAATGATTGTGATTTAGTCACGCTATTCAATAATGCAAAACTGTAGAACCAACAGCACATTGTAATTCAACGCAAAGCTGCTGATGTTTCGTTAGAGACTCGATGGGGCATCATTCTGAGTCGTCAACCCTGATTTTCATTCTTGCAGGGCATTATGCTCATAAAGTAATTCTTTATAAGTGGAATATTATGTGCATGATCAGCATTACACTCACATGAAAATGCGGGGAAAGGATCACAACATACGGACAAGCGTATTGAAGACATACGCTACGATGTCATTAATTTTTGAATTCGAATTGTCTAGCAAAGAAAGCATTTGATCAAGTAAAAACCTCCTTAAATTGTGCTTTGCACGGCGATTGCCAAAGTCAACGGGACTGGAAGTTGCCAGGTTGAGTTTCTTCCATATCCTTCTCTCAGCTCTTCCTGATAAAAATTCTTCCGCCGGACAACTCTCCGACCAGAAATCCACAGATCGGATACAATCAAGTTCGTGAAGCAATTCGGATCGCAGAACAATGGACTCCCCCACATACCGAGGAGTGGTCTCCACGCTCATCCCGAATTTGCGGGGTTCGAATTGTTCGGAATCGGCACCGAGGCCGATCGAGAGCTTCAGGCGCGTCACAAGACGCGAGATTTATTATAAGTGAAAGGTCGCAGGAATTAATTTTGGAATATCAATATCAATATCAAAATCAAAATCAAACAACTTCACCATGGCCCTCAAGCTCAAACAACGAAATGTGTCTAGCAGTGCGTCCGCACCTACTGTGGACACGACTGCGATCGTGCGCGGAGTCATTGATGATATCCGTGCAACCGGTGATAAGGCTGTGAGAAGCTATTCGGAGAAGTTCGACAAGTGGAGTCCTGCAAGCTTCAAGCTTTCGCAAGAAGATATTCAGTCTATCATCTCGACTGTGCCGCAGCAGATTATCGACGATATCAAGCAAGTTCAAGAGAATGTGCGGACTTTCGCCCTGGCGCAGAGAGCTTGCATTAAGGATTTCGAGATGGAGATTCGACCTGGCGTGCACCTTGGTCACAAGAATGTCCCCATCAATTCAATTGGCGCGTGAGTATCGTCACCCTGATCTAAGAAGTACTATACTAACCTGCACAGGTACATCCCCGGTGGTCGCTATCCTCTCCTCGCCTCGGCCCATATGACGATCCTCACTGCCAAATGCGCTGGTGTTCCCCATGTCACTGCCTGCACACCCCCGATCGCCGGAAAGATCCCCGCGAACACAATCGCCGCGATGTACTTCGCAGGTGCGGATGACATCTATGTCCTGGGTGGTGTGCAAGCCGTCGCATCGATGGCCATCGGAACCGAGACGATGAAGAAGGTGGATTTCATTGCTGGACCAGGCAACGCATTTGTCGCCGAGGCCAAGCGCCAGCTCTTCGGCGAAGAGATCGGCATCGATCTTCCCGCCGGACCAACCGAGATCCTGATCGTCGCCGACGAACATGCAGATCCATTCATCCTCGCCACAGATCTTCTCTCCCAAGCCGAGCACGGCCCCGACTCCCCAGCTGTCCTGATCACCAACTCCAAGACCGTCGGCGAGAAGACCATCTCCGAAGTTGACCGTCTGTTGAAGGTCCTTCCCACCGCCGACATCGCAGGAGTCTCCTGGGACCGTCTCGGAGAGGTTATCCTGGTCGAGGACCTAGATGCAGCATACAAGCTTGCAGACGAGTACGCATACGAACACGTGCAGATCCTCACACAGAACCCGCGCGAAGCTCTAACCAAGATGTCCAACTACGGAGCCTTGTTCTTGGGCGAGAAGACCTGCGTCTCCTACGGTGATAAGTGTATTGGAACTAACCACGTTCTCCCAACTCGTGGTGCAGCCAGGTATACTGGCGGTCTGTGGGTGGGTAAGTACCTCAAGACAGTGACCTATCAAGAAGTCACATCGGAGCAGGAGAGTGGCGAGCTTGGTCGTCTCTGTGGTCGATCTGCACGTGCGGAGAACTTTGAGGGCCATGCCCGTTCGGGTGATGCTCGCGCGCATCAATACTTGGGAGACAAATTTGATTGGATCTAGTGTACCATGCATGTATTAAGCGAAAATATTCGATGCCCAATTTCAAAGTACCGATAAGAACATCTATGTACTGTTTGTGTATATTTTTGTTTACGACTTAGATTTCCTTTGCCGCTTTTTGCCCCTGGGTAGTTAATCTGACCACTTTTGGTTATCCAATATTAGGCTAATTCAATGTAGTTCTGTAGCCCTGGGCTGAAAGGATCGCAGTGGACACCAAAATCCAGTGTCCAGGCGATAGGACTCTCACAACTCCCTTTTCTTTATCTGCCTTCTTTATTTTCCTGATTAACGTAATGAGGAGACTTGACATCGAGGAGCTCTGAGATATCAGTACAGTAGTATTTGAAATCAGATTTACCCCTACACTCTTAGACATTCATTTCCGAACCCTAGTTCAAAACACGTTAGTCTCTTTTTATCTATTCCCCACTAATCCTTTTTAGGCTGTATTGCATTCCCTGGTAACAAACTGGAAGACGCGCGCGGCCGCACGCTGTAAGCCCTGAAACGACGTGGCACTAGTGGTCTTTGATTTGAAGGACGTGGTAGTATTAACATCAGGGATGAAAGTTAAAGAGGCTGAGTCAGATAAGTAAAGCTTAAGCTGCAAGTGTTTTGGCTTCTAATGCACGTAATTTTTCCATTTCAACGATGAGGTCGGGTTCCACCGAGTTTGGGGGTATTCAATGTCAATGCATTGCGGCCCACATTTCATAAGCAAACACGCTGTACAGACGAATGGCAAACCAATAATAATAAAACATTATGACAGTGCGTAGCAAGAGCATTCATGCAACCAGCGTGCGTGACCAACAAATAAGCTGTAAGTAAACTCATGAACGCTAGGGTTAGGGGGTCAGCTGATAGGGTTGTGAGTGAAAGAAGCCACTAAATCACAATATAAACCGCTAACACTAAACCACGATGATGAATGCTTGAGCAGCAATCAGAAGTGGGCGTAGAAGGGGATATAGCGAATCAGAGGATAGAAGTGGGCCAAGGTATCGAATGAGGATCCAGAATCTGGCTAACAATCAATAGATTTCTGAGAACAGGGGTTTGTCCGCGGGCGGACAACGGGTGGCAGACCAATTTAAAGAAGGCTTTAAAAAATTGCGTAGCAAAAGCATGCAAGCAATGAATGAGAGTGTACAACGAATAAGCAGCAAATATGAAGCACAGACACTAGGGTTAAGGAGTCGGCTGTTAGGGTTATGGAGGAAAGAGCCAGTAGACCAGGACAAAAACGCCAACACTAACCTAAGATGATGAATCCTTGAAAAGCAATAAGAAGAGGGCGTGGAATGAGAGGGAACGGAAAAGTAGCGAATCAGAGGAGGACAGTGGACGGGACTAGCGAATGAGAAGCCATAAGTTGGCTACAACAACCAAAAACAATGAAGTTTTTGGAGAACAGGGGTATCCCCGCGGGCGGAGAATCCCTTTCTCTCACTTCGTTCGTTTCAGGGCATGCAAAGAGACCAAACAAAGCGGGCAATCCTAACGATTCATCAAGAATTCCCCCCAATTCTGCTCCCTTACGCTTGATCTTCCCGTCACGCGCAGCCTTCGCTTACACACGTTTGACATCCAATAGAAGGCTACATTTGCTTTTATAAAGAACATACCCTGGTAGGCAAAGATTTATTCCCATGGCCTCTGTTATGTACTGCAATTTCATTCGCTGCCGTGATCGCGGTCAACTGGCCTGAGGCTTGAATGTCAGAAAATCAATGGACCTTTCCGTGCCATTGTTCATCTTCGCCGCTACAATATGCCACATATTTGAGGCTCCTGGCTGGGACCTATTGGACCGTCTAAGATTCCCACGCGTCAAAAGATGAATCAAAGCTAGATGGAACTTGCCCCTCTCTGCTGAATCGGCTCAATATAGAGCTAGGGCAAGAACTTCGACAACTTGTCGGCACAAAATGCTTGAGAATGAGGCCACAGCTCTCAAGCCACTCGACAAAAATCTAAATTTGGCCAAAGTTTCGGAAGAAAAGCCTGCTGTTTAAAAAGGTCCCGTGCGGATAAAGCCCACTTGCAACCAGAATCCTACTTAGACAGCTCAACACATGAACATGGCGTTAGCTTTGTTTGGCTGGCTTGTCTTCGAAGCAAACCAACCCCGTCACCTGGCAATTTTTTTTTTATAAAAAAAAGAGAGAAAAGAACAGAAAAGAAAATGGCTCGAGAAATGTGAGTCGTCAATTTCCGAGTTCACCAAGCGTCGGCAAGATGCAGGACAAGTCCCAAAGAGATACCATTTTTAATTACTCCTTGATTATTTTTTTTTTTTTTGACGAGATGCAAACACCTTCACTGACTTGATTTCCGACAAATTCGAGAATGATCACGCCCTCGGATCCTCATCATGGACAACATGCACGTCCGGGTTTACTCCGGGTGGAGATGGGGTTCTTCTCTATGCTAAGCTCTTTGGGATTTCCGTCTCGGGGATATCGCGGCCCACCTGACACTGCGAATTTTGACATTTGAGAGTTCTTGACAGGCTGGCCCGCATTCACAACTGCTCGAAAAGTGCCACATTCGGCCATGATCCCTGTCAATAAAGTTTGGTGGAGCACCTATTTCGAAGATATTGTTTTGTCATACTCATACGCACTAACCATTGGGTTAGATCTGTATACAAACCCAAAATAACACAACTCATTAAAAGTCAGCCGCCACTGCGGATCATGATTGGGCAGCGTAAGATGAGGTGACAGCCGACAACACAACCCGATACTAAGCTTTGCCATGCTTTGCGGGACATCATGCGTGGAATAAACAACAAAAAGAGTAATAAATAGAGGGTATCGGCTGCAGTAGTGTGGGGAATTCTTTTGATTTTCCCTCTGCAGGGTTACAGGGGAACAGATGGGTCATTACACGTTCAATCCCATAACGATGTGATACGCGCGGGGTCCAAGGGGCTACATAACCCCCACTAATTTAGTTCCAATCCACAAGTCAATCCGAGCGCATCAGCGTGTGTTTACATGATAGATAACTAGCCCCTGGTTTTTATCGAAGTGATTTTTCCTTCCATTCCATGGTCTATCCCGCGTTTACCAACAATATCACCGAATTCATACTTCAAAATGTTTCTTCACGTTCTTCTTGCCTGGGGTGGAGTGTCCGCCGCTTATGCTCAAACTACTGCTAGCTCACCCTTCTTGGCTCAGTGGCTTAACTTGAGTGACTACTCCATTTCTACTGTTGGAGGCGTATGCCGCGCAACCTTTCTATTCTAGAGGGTCGATAACTAATATGAATGCCACAGGATGACACTCATACCACGTACAATGTAAAGTGTGATGCCGAGGCCACTCTTTGCTCGCTTCCTGCGACTGGTGTGACCGTTGTCACTGCCCCATCATTTGTCGAACTATCATATACAATTCCTTCTGAGACATTGTGAGCCATGATATGAATGAAACCAGGAGCAAGTTCCACTCTCGACACGTAACTAACCCCTCAGCAGTACCTCCGTAGTCGATTGTAGCTATATCGACGCTCGAGCATCGGCAGTATGTGTTACTTTACGAATGGCTCCTGGTGTGGCTGTTCAGAGCGGTTCTTCCGTAACACTCTTGGGTATGGCTACCACGACTGTCACCCTGCCCGCCGCTTCCGTTGAACTTGGCTTTAACACGGCTGCTACAACAACTGCCATTGTCCGGACGACCGTGGGAGTTGTTTCAGCAACAGGGACTGCTTCTCACAGCGAGACTGCGACGAAAACTGGCGCTGCGGCGAGTGCAACGAAGACTGGCGGTGCGAGCGAGGAATATGGGCACCGTAATTCTGGCCTGGTTGTGGGCGCCGCAATGGTTGGCCTATCTTTGTTATCCAGTGCATTGGTGTCTATGTTCTAGAAATAATCGAAGTGTCTACCAGGGCCGGCCAATGCTTCTGGATTGGAGCAGTCCAAACGCAGTCGTGTCCTGGATCTCATTAGGTGTAATATTAAGAGCTAAATATGGACTTGGCGGGAATGTCGGCGAAGGAGTGAATCATCAATATCCCAAGGCTTAAGAATATGAAATGCCAGGGTATGCATGTAGAAATTGAGTATTTATGGTTCGCCTTTTTTGAAAAACTATCATTGATCACTCTCTTCGCCATCAAGTACGTCATTGTTTCTTGACTCCTGATGAGCCAATATGCAGGGCTGTTTGCAGAGTAACCAGAATTGGGCAAGGGCGGCTTTGGATGCCAAGAGCAATGAGTCTCAGTGACCTGATACTGTAGGAAATGTATTTTGAGATGTATAGCCAAGGGCGATAAAGGCTAGGCCAGCAACGGTACCGAGAGCACTAAAGGCAACGTGGGTAGGTGAAGTTCCTTCGCCAAAAAAAGAAAAAAAACTTTCCAAGGGCAGTCAGTTCCGCCTGAGCTGAATTCGTCAGGGCAAGGATTTCGCTCAGCGCGTTCGTATCCATGATTGAATGTGGTTCGTGATGATTGTGTCGACAGCTGGATCATGCTATCGTCCAGGAGAAGAGAAGATGGAGAAGAGAAGAAGAGCCGAAGAGGGGAGAGAGATGTAGCTAGACGTGCAAGTGCTGGAGAGTCACTTGACCTCACACTCTAAGAAGTTGTGCAGAATTGTGGAGAATTGGTGAGTGTACAGGATCACATATATCCCCAAGATGATAAAGCTAGACGTTAGAAAGTACTAGGGGTTAGTAAGTAGCCGAGTGAGTAGAACCAAGCATCACAATAGCTGTCCATAACGTGGTTGAGGACGTTGATAAGTACAAGGCTGGTTAAAACTCTAGTAGCAGCCTCAGTTAGTGATGAGAGCGCCAAGTTGACCTGGTTCTCGTTATCTCGGAAGTTTAACGAGGAGTAAAAAGAGGAGATAGTTAATAAACGAGATGTTTGAAGTATTAGAGTTGATTGGAAAACGAAAAATAATAACCAAAGATGGTCTTGGAATGTGTAGATAGATTGTTGGATGAAACATGCCTGTTGGATGATGCCCAGGTGGGTTAGCTATAAAAAAAACAAGGAATATAGTAAAAGAAAAAGTCACCCCTCAATGATGAGGTGACCCCGTCCAAATGCTAGAGTCCGATAGTAGTAGACTAGTTGCTTAATAGAGGCCTCTGGTTAATCAGATATGAGCGTGAACGGCTAATTAGGCATACATACTGACTTGTTAGACTAAATCAATATTATACACCGTGATGGATTCTGATCTTTGTCTTTAATATACTTAAGGTATCTACCAGAGTACCTACTTGGGCACCTACGGATTCTGATTTCCGATTAAAAATCTTTTAGTGTTGGTTCGACCCACTTTATCCACTTTATCCACACAATGGCAGTTGCTTTTCGCCTTCTACATTTCACGGCTTTTCTTTTCTTTTCTTTTCCAATTTTTAAAGGTTTTCAGATTCAGAACCAGAATTTACGAACTTCTCCTAAATACGCCAATTCAACTGTTTCGCAATGACACCGGTGGATGCGGGTGGAGACCCCAAAACGGGCGTCTACACTCAATACGACGACCTGGGATCAACAGCTGCAAACACAAGAGCCAATTCGACATTCTCACTATCATCAATGGATTCTACCAGAAGGAATTCTGAAGAAAATCCCTGTGATAATTCTAAAGATGTCGGCGTCGATGTCGTCGAGCTACACGCCGTCTCTACCCGACCCCGTGGGAACTCGCATATGGGCGAGGCACTTGAGAATCTCTCACGAACAATGTCAAACATGCCAGAGGACCAAGGGAATCTTGACCTTGCTGCCGTACAGTCCCGTCGCTCAAAGCACATGCCTGATCTCGAAGAGGTCGAATCTCCCCTGGCGAAGTATCAGGGCGTTCCCCCCGAACTAGGCAGTCTTACTTCCGAGCTTGTTTTCGTGTTCGTCTGCTCTGCCGGACTGATGTTCTTCGCTTTCCTACTTGGTGATATCACCGTGAACCAAATCGAGCTTCGGCGGGCATTAGGCATCACCAATAGTGAGCTTCCATGGCTCCTAGGTGCCTATACACTTCCACTCAGTCTTTCGGTTGTGATAGCCGGCTCATTGAGTGACCTCACACCACCGCGAATGATCATGGTTGGAGCGTTCGCCTGGTTAACAATCTGGAATATCGTTGGCGTCTGGTCCGTCACTCCCGAGAAGGTGATTCTCTTCTACATCGTTCGAGCGATGCAAGGCCTCGCAATCGGAGTCCTAGTCTCAGGCTCAATGAGCATCCTTGGTCGAATCTATAAACCCGGCTTACGGAAGAATAAAGTATTCTCCGCAATGTCCGCCACCTCGCCTTTTGGGTTCTGGCTAGGGGGTATTCAAGGCGGAGCGTTCAAATCATGCCTGTATTGGATTTTCGGATCAAATGCCATCATCTCGGGGATGTGTCTGGTGGCTGCTTATATGGTCATCCCGCCTTTGCGTCCTATGGCTGATATTGTCGGCACGGAAGCGCCTTCGATTCGTCAGTTTGATTTTCTTGGCGCCGGATTTGCTGTTACGGGTTGTGTTTGTCTCCTCTTTGGACTTACACAAGGTGCTGTTGTGGAGTGGTCCCCATACACATATGCATTGGTAATCGTGGGCATCTTATTATTAATCAGCTTCTTCTTCGTCGAACGCTGGGTTGAGCGCCCTTTAATTCCTAATCGACTTTGGGAGACGAAAGGTTTCACTCCGCTGATGATCGCCTATTTCCTGGGGTATGGAGCTTTCTCTGGCTGCTGGCAATTCTACGCCATCCAATTCTGGCTTCGGATCCAGCAGCATAATCCCCTTACCTGTGCGCTGTACCTCCTTCCGAATGCCATTTTCGGAGTACTCGCTACGTGGCTGGTGAGCAAGACTCTGCATGTCATTCCGGGTCACTATATCTATTTCGTGGCTATGCTCGCCTTTGGGCTTGGACCGGCTTTCTTTCTTCCCCAAACTGCTGGAACGAGTTACTGGCCACTTTCGTTTCCGGGAATTGCTCTCGTCACGTTTGGGCCTGATCTGTCGTTTGCGGCGGCGTCTATCTATATCACGAGTAATGTTCAGAGATCCTATCAAGGGAGTGCTGGGAGTTTGCTGGTCACGATGCAGAATTTGAGTACGGCTGTCATGACAGCTGTTGGGGATGCTATTGGGAACAAGGTGCAGCAGGATGCATCTGGTAGCATCGGTTTAGAGGGACTGCGAGCGATTTGGTGGTTTGCTTTGGCAGCTGAGGTTGTTGCTGCTCTTATTACGCTGATCTGGGTAAGAATTCCCAAGGAAGAAGAGAAAGAGCATGTTACTTAGATTTGATTCTTAATTTGGGGGTACATGGGATAGAGGGATGGTTAGACGATAGATGATTGCTGTCATGAATAATGTCATAATGAGTTCTTAGCATGATGAACATTACCTGATACGGTATTGAACAATACAATACACATACATCGAATCATATCGAGATTGTGAATCCAAAGTGGATCTCATCCATCTTACATAATTGGTTCAGATTTCCATAAACTCCGTTAAAGCCTGCGCCATGGTCAGCAGCCTGCATAAGATTAGCGCCATCGTACTTTCCATATACTTTCCAGACATGGAATCGCAATTCTGCGTGTATGAAATGTTCACCGTATATTTAAATTCTAGTAGATATATCTAAAAATCAACTTTTCCCCCCGTTTCGCCCGCCATGCATTCGTAGAATTCATCAACTCAGGACAACCCCTCACCACCCATTGCCATTTCTTCAAGAATGCCTCAGTTATCTCCCAGTTTTGCACATCCCAAGGATCACCCCAGACCAAAAGCCCCGCCTCTTCAGAAGCACCATTACTCCAGAATCCCATAATATCAATACAAAGCTCTTCATCATCCCACTCTTGCCCCGCTTGAATCAGGTTATCCCGCATCTTGGGGATAGGGAAGAAATCCAACCAGGGGTGATGAGGTACTGTCCGTTGTAGTTTTGTCGGTCGCAGACTAACCGGCAACTCATTTTCACTGTGAATAGGCGACGATCCCTGTGATCCGGGTGAAGGTAGGCCGGTGTTAAATATTGAGATTGCGTCATCATCGCCCATCTCATCCAGGTCCGAGCCGATTAAGCGCATATTGTGCCCGAATGCTCGGAAGACATTGACTTTCGTTAAGGTGAGGAGATGATCCGCTGTCGGAGAACCGAGAATGTAGCTCTGGAAAGCGGCTTGTGCGAATTGGTTCAGGAATAGATCGCGTACTTCGGCCGGTACGCATCTTCGGATGGGATGAGGACTTGGTAAGTCTACGATTGCTGATGATGGGGGTGTTGGGTAAGAAGTCACGAGACTCTTTGGATGGACATCCTTCACCTGGCGCTGACGTCTTCCTGTGCTGGGTTAGCTTGATGTGCAATGGTTGTGCTGGAGCCTGGACGTACGGCGGGCCCGCTGATTAATTCGATTTTGGCGTCTTCGTCGCTCGGCTCGGTCTGTGAGGCCGGCCCAATCGTCTGTCTCGGGCTCAGTGATTGGGGCGGTTATTTGTGGGGATTCAGTCATTGTATTAGATCTGGGCGGGTTGTAGTGTTAGTGTCGTGTCAGCGCATTCTGAAGAGGAAAAGATGTGGGAGGCGACCTGCTTTATGAGACTGATGATCTCGATCGAACGGCGGTGACCAATCATATCTGCTATTGAAGACCCATGCGGAGACAAGGGTTCGGAGATACGAAGATTACAGGTATTGTCATGATATGTTTGTTACAATACACACCGATCAAGGGTGCTCTGCAGCGGTCTAGAGGTGCCACGATCAAGTTAATTCACAGCATAATTGCGCTATGCAACCGCTTCTATCGAAATTCGGCATATGAAAAGTCCGCAGGAGTCATGCATCGTTGTCGCTCTCCAAATGCGTACAGTCCAAACATCATTCCTGTTGTGTGTCAATAGTAATTCATCGCTAGAAGTGGTGCATCATACCTGTAAACGGTGCTCCCACGGGTGGTGCTTGAGATGCACTGAGGTTGTCGACTACAGCTATCCAAGTAATTTTAGGGCTGGTAGACTCGCGATATCCAAAACGATATTGGTCTCCACATTCAATCACAAGCACGACTTCGCCTGAGGATATAGTATTCTCCTCAACAGAGCTGCCAGATTGAAAACGAAGAACTCGACTTGCACCCCGCTTCCGAATACCCAGGCTGCTATATGTGAAGTAGTTCCACCACAGGACTGTTCCTGCCTCGGTGTGGTCTGAATCTGGCTGGAAGGAAAGCTTTGTTTCCCAGGTACAAAAGCGATGGATTTGCTTACGCAGAAATAGCGTTGGGCAAGCGGGAACAGACAGACTGTACGGTCCTCCATAGAGCCGCAGGTAATTAGGGCGTTCAGTAAGAGAGTAGTCAGTTGTCAGCGGTGTATCTTCAGAGGTTAGCCAAGGCCAAGTTAAGTCCCGGAGATCTTACTCTTCCTATACCATCCCATCTGTATTTGAGGGGTCGAAAAATCGTCCCTCCAGGAGACCGGAATTGTTTGATGATATAGTCCAGGCCCTGTCATTTCGAGAGAGATTTTTCCCCCATGAATCAATGGCCAGTCATTCTCCCAGTCAAGCGAAACAAGAAACGTCTCACGACCTGTGAGGGTTAACGAAGATCTAGAGAAGATCATATTTGAAATTACCTAAAACAGACTCTTCCCACTTCTCCCCGCGCTTCACAGGTCGAACACCGAGAAGTACAGCCCACCACTGACCCTGGGCATCTTCAACCAGATCAGCATGACCGGTGTTCTGCACCTCATCTTCCACTCCATTTCGCCATAGCGGGTTGTTGGGCCCGAGCTCCCAAGGTCCAGATGGCCCATGGGAACTTCGGCTGACCCATTCGCAATGCCCGCTCTCGGTGCCCCCTTCTGCCGTGAAAAGATAGTAGTATCGACCGCGTTTGTAAATGTGGGAGCCCTCTGCCACTCCTGAAGCTGACTCGCGAATCAATTTGGGCTCAGATGTAGAATGACCAGTGTCCAAATCAACTGTGCAAATGTGTACAGCAAAATCCTTGATGTTAGCATTCGGGGTTCGTTCAATTTTCCGATAAGTAGACGACAGATAAACCGTTCCATCATGGTCCCAGAAAAGCTGTGAGAATGTTAGCCATGAACTTCATGTTCTTCCAGCGTTTTACTAGCATCTTGATCGAAACCAACTTGGTCAAAGTAAACAGGGTCTGACCAAGTGCTTTCATCCCAAATGTTCGATGTTCGAACATAGAAGCCTTGTGGCCAGACTCTATCATCTTCCTGTGGCCGATAACGAGAAAAACTCGCGGTGGTCACATAAAACACCCCGTTGTGGTAACGCAAAGTGGCAGCCCAGACGCCGCCTCCCGGCTCCGGGGTATTGATCTGGAGCTGACTGGGCTTTGTCAGTGCATGACCGATTAATTTCCATTGAATCAAATCGCGGCTGTGGTATATTGGGATGCCTGGGAAATATTCAAAAGTGGAGGTAGCCAGAAAAAAGTCCTGTCCTACTCGGACAATTGAAGGGTCGGGGTTAAACCCCGGTATGATGGGATTTGTGAAGCTCATTGTGGGCTCCTGTAAACAATCAGCAGATGCTCAACGGTTTTAAAGGTGCGGGATTCAGGGTAATGGGGCAGCGGACTTGATTGGTGGAGAAATCTGTACCGTAGACCCTTTCCCCGCGAACCAAATTGTGTACACAACTGTTCTAGTTTTCCATCGCTGAATATCCGAATGCACAATATAGCTTGTCAATGTCCTTATCTGGCTCTAATTCGACGACTTGGAGGCGCCGTTGCGACAGGAGATGGTCAGTAGAAGATTGAGACTGAGACTGACAAGTGCAGTGTTTAGCCTAAATGGATTGTGCTTTCTGTGACCACTATCAGCCGCCTCAAGATGACAAACTCAATGATAACGCCGCAATCCGAATTCCAGCAAGCAATACGGTTCCCTATGATGTTGTATACAAGTTTGATGTCCCTCCATCAAGCACAAGATCATGATAGTAGCATTTCCAATGCCTGATCCCATAGATTGCTTCCGAAATGCTCTCTGATCGCTTCCGCAAACCGCCGGTCAAAAAGCTTCACTACCATTTCACCCTTGGAATGCAAATCAAGGCAGGCTATCCAAACAAGCATCACACATGACCAGGTGAATTCGAAGAGCTTGCTGATCGTTGTGTCGACTGTTTCAACATTCTCAAGTGTTTTGGTGTTGAGTTTGATGGTATTGCCGACAAGGTAAGGACACCTAAAATTATTGTCAGTCCACGCTTAGTGTTTGAAGGGAGGTCACGTACTGGTACTCCTCGTCAGCCATTTTGCCTGAGTGTCAGGCTGACTGATGGATCTGGAGAGGACGTGACGTAGTGTAACTAGTAAATTCAGACTCCGATAACTTGAGGCTTGGCGTGTGCTTGAAGAAATATTCAAGTCGGCAAGTTAGTGAAAGATGGAAGGCGAGGTAGGGGGGTAGGATTGCCAGCTGCTGGAAGTTCCTGGGAATAGAAAGACGAAGACAAGAAACTCAAGGTTGAAGTAATAGTGAAGGTTGGCAATGAGTAAATTGGTCAGTTTCCATGAATCGTTCAAGTGCATTCCACTTGTTCCGACCTAATTCAACCCAATCTTCATATTCTCTGGTGAAATGCCGATTTTCGAGAAAATTCTGCTTCAAAGATAACTACTAGAGCTTAAACGTGCAAAACCACACACCTCTTCCGCCAAATCAGTGATCATTAAGTACTCAGCATTCAACAGCGAATTTACGCTCAACATAACTGGATATTCTTCTCCCGGGGAGATATTCCGAATTGATGAGTTGTTTTCATCTACAGTTCTCTTGACTAAAGAAAAGGTAATGGGACCTTCAGTGATTTCTATATATTCTGATTGGCTGGAAGGCAAGTAGTGGTGTCCGGATATTTAGGACATTTGATCGGCTTAGCAGGGTTCGCCCATTTAATTCACAATATATGCCTTGTGGTACTTTCGCGGTGGACGCTGGTAGCATGACTCACATGTGCATCTGGGATGAGACAGTGAAGTGGAAACTTCCCCTTTGATCTGAAAATGTGGTTTCCTCCTTTCACATCCACTTCATCCTTTTCCAAACCAAGTTCGCCAGTCCTTACCAAATACCTTTGGAGCATATTCTCTTGTGGCTGTGAGCAGGATTTGCGACGAAACCTACCATGACTTCCTCGCCGCCCGCCCCTACATTGCCAGAAATGGAATCTCTTGAATCGCCGTTCCGCGGCCTTACCTGGGTTGACGAACTTTTCGGTCTTCAACCTCGATGGTCCCTTGAGCCCGACATTGAGGCTATCAAGCAAACAGTACAGTACCTTCGGCCTTCAAGCACGATTGAAGTGACATTCCTCACCCAGGGTAGCTTCAACAAAATCTATGAGGTAAAATCTGACGATGAAATGCTCATCATGCGAATCGCATTGCCCGTTGACCCAGTTCATAGAACGATAAGTGAAGTGGCAACCTTGGACTGGATACAACGCACCACAACCATTCCAGTTCCTAAGGTCATCACTTATGAATCTTCCTGGGGTAATCCGATCGGATTTGAATGGATTCTCATGAACAAAATTCCTGGAAAGCAGTTCGGCGACATCTTCAGAACCCTTTCTTTTGCAACAAAAGAAAGTATTGTCAAAGAGCTCGCAGCATACTCTGTTGACCTTTATCGAAACCAACTGCGAGGAATTGGAAATATCCATGACGTGTTAGCTATCCCGGATGTCGGTCGAATTGTTGCCATGCGTTTCTTCTGGGGTGAGAATGTCCGTCGTGTTATCAATCGAGGTCAATTTGCCTCAAGCAAGGACTGGCTCGCCTCCGTGCTATCGCTTTTTGAAAGTGAATGACGTTCAAAGTTACTACCCCAGGGCGATCAAGACAACGACGAGCACAAAGAAAATCACGATAACAAGGATGAAAAACGTGACAAGAATGAAGACGATGGAGCCGAAGAAGCAAGTAAAACGTTGGAAATGATCGAGAAACTCAGATTGATTCTTCCCTCCGTCTTCCCGGATACATGTGAGCACCCGGAGCCTTCAATGATCTTCCACGACGACCTTTCTGTGGTCAATTTCCTCGTCAATGACAATGGGAGAATTGCTGGTGTGCTAGATTGGGACTTCGTTTCAGCACTTCCTCTGTGGAAGGCCTGTGACTTCCCGAATTTCTTGAAAGAGCAACCCCTGCCCCTCAAGCCCGATATTGGGAGTTACTTCATTGAAGATGAAGGGGAGGTTTGCGAAATGTACTGGGAGGATCTTTGGTACCACGAGGCAACCCTCCTTCGCGATATTTTCCTTGATGAGATGAGAAAACTGGAGCCATAATGGACAAAAGTCTACGACAAGAGTCAACTTCAACGAGATTTTCATTTTGCAGTTCATTATTGTGATTCTGAAATTCTTGGCCGGAATGTGCTTGCGTGGATTGCCGACGTCGATGCAGGGGTGGAAATCATTCGGAGCCTGGATGATAGGCGATGGTCACGCTGAGTTACAGAAAAGGGATTTGGAAGTGCCTGTTAATTATCACCATGCGAGAAAATGGAATCAACTTGCCCACCTCGCTGTCTTGGAAACTTTCTCTTTACTCATCAATCATATGTTCAAGCTTCTCATTCAATTTCTTTGTGTCTGTGTACTCTTGCGCAAGGCCTGATTACAGAGATAAAATTTCATATGGGGGATCTCCCCCGCTAACTGTCATGACGAAGTAGGGACATCAGTCGACTTGAATTCCGCCACAACCAGTGGGCGAGATGCCATGGTCTTATTGAGAGAAATGCGCTCCATTTATCTATAGGAATCGAACTGAGTTTGATATTACCGTGCTAGGCTAGCAAGAAGTCAAAACAGCCATCCATTTCATGCACTAGAATTTTCCTTGTTACCCCAAATGATGTGCCAGAAATCACTGACGAAAGGGCCGCCTTCTTCTAAAATCTCTTGGAAAGACTCATTCTCACCAATTTGACCAAGAACAGAAACAACGTAACGTGTTACGAAATTCCTCATGGCATCAATCTTTCCACCGTAATTTGGTGGTGTGTTCATGTAGACAAATCGAACAAGTTCAATGATACCACTCAATCCCGTATCATAAAGTTTGAAGCTTTGTAGTGTTCGATACATTTTAGAAATTACCAGTTTGCACAATGAGTCTATGCCATACTTGTCGGCTAGCACGTATAGTCGAGCTTGTTCCAGAAAAACAGGGGTAAAGTCTTCCCAAGGCCCGGTATTTTGGGGTGGCGTGAAGGTATAGTTCAACTCGGTAGTTTGTGAACTTGGGACCACTAAGCTTCGTTCAAATGTATCGCGTAATTGCCCAGTCCCCACGCTTCTCTCTTTATAGGGAATTTCTAGATCATCGCAGACGGCTTCGGAAGGAAGCACCTCCGGCTCAAACTCTGGAAACTCTGGAGCGGGTTGAGGCTCGGGTTCAGGCTCGGGATCGGGCTCGGGTGCAAGTTCTTCCCAAGAGCCGTTCCACTTGGAATTCTGGCCCTTCTTTTTCCGTTTCTTCGTCGCTTTTTTAGAAGGAGACTTGCCATCAATCAAGCGAAACGTCGGGGGTGTGTAGTTCCGGAGATATGCAAATTCACATAACCGAGTAAATGTGCCTTCATCGATATCTGACCAGTCAACGTGTCTGGTTTTTGCCTCGATCATTTCGCCGTTCATGAGAGCATTTAAGGGCTGTGACAGTCCTGCAAAAGCAAATGAATGCACGGTCACCTCCTTCTTGTTGTCACCAACAACAAATGTGAACAAGGGGGAAGAAAGACATCTAAGAGTATTAGACTAAGATCGTTTAAGCTTGCAATAGATCACCCACCTCTCAAAAGAACCCTCCATATGGATTTATGACTGCCAGAGTAGCAGATCGAAAGATGCCGATTATCGTGCTAGTGAAATGATAGAATTTTGTAGGATGGCTTTTATGTCTGCTCTTATTCTAAACCACGAGCGTTATGGCCACCTTCACCCTGCGATGTGTTTTGCATTGATTGGCTAAAGAGACAAGTCGCTGGCTCATCTGCATCGATCTTTTGAAAAAAGTAAAAAAAAGCAAAAAAAACCCCTTCTCAAACATGGATTTGAACAATCTCCCAAGCTTTACATTTACAGCACGGTAGCTTATATAACACTAGGATATGCGATAGAAAAGGATGGGTGTTAATTCCCACGTAGAAATTCAAATGAATTTGTTAGAAAGGCGTTGAAGCTGCCTTACAAGTGATCAGACTCTTAGGCGCCAGCACAGATACACGTGTCGACAATTAATGGTTCGGATGTGATCGATCGTGCATTGATCCGTTGATTAAGACACGTACGAGCGTCAATCACATTAGAAGCGGTGATTAACACAAGTATTACCATTTCATTAAAATTACGAAGTAAAGAGCATTTGAAGGGGAATCACATTCATGTTGTTTAGGGTCGTGCAAAGGGCTTGGCTGATGGTCAGACATGCTTATGAACATAACTAGCATGAGGAAACCAACGAGCCATGAGTACAGCATACGCATGGTTTTCATTTACACCTCTGGCTTACAATTATGACTTTGTTCGTGGATTCATGCGCATGGATATCTCGGTTATTTGTGGTAAGATCAATGGCTTATCTATATATGTGCAAGTATACACGATTTGCAAATGACAGTCCTTACTTGTAGCCTGTTCAGCATTCAAATGTTTGAAGACATATATGAATTAGAAAAGTTTAAGAGTTACATCCCGAAGTTCTACCGGGCATTGACCCCAACTGAACCCCACGCCAAGCACCTCCGCACAGGCGGCACGTGTTCCACGGTTGAAAGTCTGGATCTTACATAAATCGAGGCCTTCCAAGGCTCATATCTTGTGTCGGAATGATCAAGTGTTTTTCAACAATCTATATTCATCATGTCGTCTACCTGTGTGGTGCAGGAACAATCACAAGCAGATCTAATTACCCTCGAGGCCCTGCCTCAGCATCTTACAGATGTTACAGATCCCTCGAATGATCAAGTAGGGGCGTTTCCAGTTTTGGAGAAATGGAACTCTCCGCGCATAAATATCTATCGATCCTTTTCCACATTCTGGAGTTTTCTCGTGATGGGAGCCAACGATGCCGCATACGGTGTAAGTCTTGACAAACGAAGTATTGCGAGATCATCTAACCAAATTTCATTAGGCCTTGATTCCATATGTAAGACTACATTCTAATGACTCATGCTCTTTCTGACCATCCACAGCTTGAGTCATATTATAAACTCAGCTACACGGTCGTGTCGCTCGTTTTCCTATCGCCTCTGGTAGGTTATACCCTCGCCGCCTTTCTTAATCAGCGTATCCATACTTCCCTCGGTCGCCGTGGCCCGGCATTGATTGGACCAGGATGTCACCTCTTGGCGTATATTATCAACTGCGTGCACCCGCCCTACCCTGTTCTAGTTATCTCATTTGTCTTCGCTGGGTTTGGAAATGGTATTCAAGATGCGGCGTGGAATGCTTGGATTGGAAATATGGCCAATGCGAACGAACTGCTAGGCATCCTCCACGGGATATATGGTGCAGGTGCTGTTCTGAGTCCTCTTGCAGCGACATCAATGATTACAAAGGCTCATCTGTCATGGTACTACTTCTATTACATTATGGTGAGTGAGAGTTCTTGGTGTTAGGACTCAATACTGACAATTCAGGTTGCGTGTGCAGTAATCGAAGTTGTGGCTTGTGGAATTTGCTTCTGGAATTCCACGGGGGCAAAATTCCGTGCTTCGAATGGAAATGCACTTGATAATAATAAGGGTGGATTGAGGAGTGCGCTTTTCCGAAAGCCCTCTGCGCGAGTGACTTGGCTGTGTTCTTTGTTCTTGCTCGGCTACGTCGGCTTGGAAGTTGCATTAGGTGGCTGGATTGTCACATTTATGATCCGCGTCCGACATGGTGGCGCCTTTGCTAGTGGTATGACGGCGACTGGGTTTTGGCTGGGAATCACCGTGGGTCGAATCATCTTGGGATTTGTGACTCCAAGACTCGGCGAGAAGGTGGCGATTGCGGTAAGATCAACGCCCTAGTCAAGTATTATACATCTGACAGGCCTTAGGGATATATTCTGTCTTCGATCGCGTTTGGTCTGGTTCTCTGGCTTGTACCTCAATTCTATGCATCTGCAGTGGCGGTTTCGTTGCAAGGCTTCTTTCTTGGTCCACTATTCCCTGGCGCAATTATCATGATGACCAAGCTCCTTCCACAGCACTTGCATGTCAGTTCCATCGGGTTCGCAGCGGCGTTTGGTGGATCTGGAGCTGCCATTCTCCCTTTTGCGGTTGGAGCTCTGGCCCAAGCCAAGGGTGTCAGTGTCCTCCAGCCGTTTATTATCGGTCTGTCAGCGGCAATTTTCCTGGCCTGGTTGGGACTTCCACGGGTTTCTAAGCAGAATGTACAATGATGTGAAGGCGCGTGTCTTTCACAAGGAAATAATTTGACATGTGAACATGTGAAAATCGGGATCTCTTATCTGATCCGATCGATTTATCCCCGAGCCGCGTGGTGCCAAGTCGTTCAAGGATTTTTTTGCATGAATAAAAGTTAGGGGCAAAATAATGCAAACTACGGAATATGATGGTTGTTTCGAATTCTACATTCTGCGGAGTTTTGCTTGCTAAAGATTGTGTTCAGCAAACACGGTACCGGCCCGGTATTTCAAGTAGCCCGATGCCCATAGCACTGGCAGCCAACTGGGCAGCTGGTCAGCTAGACTGGATGGAAAGAGTGACAGATACCCAAACCGAGGCAATTGTACATTTTTCTATTCTTCTATATTATGACGCGGCTATCGCCGTATGATCGGGTGACGAGCCCCTCTGCGCTAACAACCGACTTGGGTGGAGCCAAGTAAACTGACCCGGGGATGGACCCAGCCGACACCCACTCGGCTTCCCCCGCAAAACACCTGAACAATGCGATGAAGATACAAAACAGGCATTGAAAACTTCAAGATATAGTCCATGTAGGTATATTTCGATCCCAGCCATCAATATAGTCTATAGGACACAACTCCGCATAATGTAGTGTCGGCGAATCGGTCATCTTCGGCCAAGCCACTGATTGGCCAAATTTGAGCCGAGGCAGTTACCGCATTGGGACCCCCTGGACCCTCGGTCAACGTCGCTCTTTTGTCTGCTATTCCCGGGGCCCCGTAGTTATAACCTCCTCCCCCACGTTCTTTTCTTCAATCCAATCCCTCTTTCCCCAAGTATTCCCCATATTCCTCACTATGCCGTCCCCACCACCTGACTGGGTCAAGGCCCTGAAGCCGGCAGGCCCGCAAGGTTCCGAACTTCTTGCTCAAGAGCGGGCCCAATCCAACGTCAACGTCGAGAAGTTGTCCGAGTTGCTTCACACCAAGGAGGCCTTGGAGAGGCAAAAGAAGATTTTGGCTCTGGTTCAGCCGGAAAAGGTCTTTGACAAGTCCCAGAACCACACTCTTGGTCGCGTCGAGCGTCTGCAGCGGTCGTTGGCCAAGGCCAAACGCCTGCAACAGCTGGCTGAGCAGGAGAGATGGACCACGGAGGAGCTTCACACCGCGAATGACCTCATTGGTGAGCCCACACCATACGGTCTGCATGCGACCATGTTTCTGGTATGTACCAATCCCCGCAGGCAAAGAAGTTAGCTAACCTGCGACTCGTCTAGGTGACCCTCCGCGAGCAAGGAACCCCCGAACAACACAAGATTTTCCTTGAGCGTGCCGAAAAATACGAGATTATTGGTTGCTACGCTCAGACTGAGCTAGGCCACGGGTCCAACGTCCGTGGTCTTGAGACCACCGCCACCTGGAACCCCGACGATAAGACCTTCACCATTAACTCTCCAACCCTGACTGCCTCCAAGTGGTGGATCGGCTCCTTGGGCCGCACTGCCAACCATGCTGTAGTCATGGCACAGCTGTTCATTGCTGGAAAGAACTACGGTCCTCACCCGTTCGTGGTGCAAGTCCGTGACCTCGAGACCCACCAACCCATGGAGAATGTGTACGTCGGTGATATCGGTCCCAAGTTCGGCTACAACACCATGGACAACGGTTTCCTGCTGTTCAACAACGTCAAGATCCCCCACATCAACATGCTTGCCCGCTTCTCCAGCATCGATAAGGCGACCAACAAATATGCCCGTCCCGCTCTACCAACTCTTGTCTACGGAACCCTCACCTGGGTGCGCTCCAACATCGTCCTTCAGGCCGGTGGTGTTTTAGCCCGTGGTGTTACTATTGCCACTCGTTACGCCGCCGTCCGGAGACAATTCCAGGACCGTGATGCGGAACCCCACGCTGGTGAGAACCAGGTCCTCAACTACAAGATGGTGCAGGTCCGCCTGTTGCCACTATTGGCATCTATGTATGCCCTGCACTTTACCGGTCGTGGTATGATGCGCCTTTACCAGGAGAACCAGAGCCGGATGAAGGCGGCCGCCTCGCCAGGTCAGGACTCTCGTGGTGCTGGTCCCGAGGAGCTTCGGGCTGGTGCGGACCTGCTGGCAGATCTGCACGCTACCTCTTGCGGTCTGAAGGCTCTTGCCAGTACCACTGCTGGTGAGGGCCTCGAGGTGTGCCGTCGCGCATGCGGTGGTCACGGCTACAGCAGCTACAGCGGTATTGGACCATGGTACTCTGACTACCTTCCCACTCTCACCTGGGAAGGTGACAACTACATGTTGACCCAACAGGTCGCTCGCTACGTAAGTTTATTCTTTCAACACACATACACTAAGGCTAACATTTTTCCAGCTGCTTAAATCTGCTCGTGCCGTTCTATCTGGCAAGGCTGCCGATAACGACACTGCCCGCATTCTGCGAAACTACCTAAACCGTCGCGATAAGGGTGCCTCCTTCGACGTGCTCGAGGAAGACGCCGACATCGTGGCTGCTTTCGCCTGGCGTACAGCCCACCTGACCTTCGAGGCTCTGAAGCACCGTGATGCCGAGAAGCGTTCATGGAACAGCCTCTTGGTCGACTTCTGGCGTCTCTCGACCGCTCATTCCCAGTACCTTGTTGTGAAGAACTTCCACGATGCTGTCACATCTCCCGAGCTGTCCTCGGCCTTGGACCAGGAAACCAAGACTCTCATGCATGCTCTCTTCCGCCTCTTCGCCCTCCACACCCTCGAGCGCGAGGCCGCCGAATTCTTCTCATCAGGCGCCGTTACCGTGCGCCAGATTACCCTGACTCGCACCAAGGCCGTGATGAATCTCCTGGATGAGATCCGCCCGCACGCTGTGCGCTTAGTGGATGCCTGGGCGATTCCGGACTGGCAGCTGGACAGCAGTCTCGGTCGCTCGGACGGCAAGGTCTATGAAGATCTGTTCCGCCGGGCTAGTGAGGAGAACCCAGTCAACGATCTGGTGTTCGACCCGTACCCGTGGAACAATGCCATTCTCAAGAATGGGCCAGCCAAGAGCAAGCTATAATTCCTTTATCCCTGTTGTTTTAGGATGTACTTATTCGTTTTCTTTAATGGCTCAGATAGACTAGAGATAGCTAGATCTCATAGAACCGATTTATGACCACTCAATTCTTCCCTATCCATGATGCCCTTCCAGAAGTATGGTAAATAAAATCATTTGATGTTTCAATCTCATGTCCTCCTCGATCGCAGGCCTCATTAGCTAGAGTTTTATTGATCTTCTACCATAAATTCCATCTCTTCTTCCATATCCTGTTCCATATCCTCTTGCATTTCCACTGCTATCTCCTGTTCAGTCTCCTGTGTAGTTTCCTGGGCAGTCTCTTCTGCCATTGAATCTACCGTATCTGCCTCTCGCACTTCGAGTCCAGTCTCTTCTCGAAGAAGATCCACCCACTCCTTACTTTGTAGCTCATCCCATCTTCCATCGTACTACTCCCATTAGCGATGTCCCGCCCCATGTTTCAAAGATTGTAAACCTACTTTACTCTTCACTTTCGCAAGGACATCACGAAGATCACAAGTAGTCGCTAAAGGAATGCGGACAATATTTTGAAGATATCTCTCACTCGGGAAATTGTAGGGTCGTTGAGCACGCTCTTCAGATAAATGGTTATGATGAGGTTTGAAATCTTGTGTGAAGGCTGGTCGAAGGCGGAATTTCTCTCTGTATGTAGGTTCTAAGAGTTTTGCTTTGTTTCTGTTACTGCTTAGAGAAAACGTGCGGTGGAGACGACCATAGCGTCTCCTGAGTCGAACCTATTGCCGTATGCATTAGGTACCAGTCGAGTAAAATCTTTGGAAGAAGTTTGATGTTGATACTGTACCTGGATACAGAACTTGAATTCAAGAAGGGACTCCAATGACATTCGGCGTTCATTTCGCCAGTCGGCTAGCAGTTCCTCCCACGCCCGATTCTGTCGTTTGTGCAACGAAATTTGCGCTAATTTCAGTTCTTCTGGTGTATCTGAGTGTTCTATTTTTTCTTTCCATGCCGTTATTCGTAAAACATCTCTCGCACTTTCAAGCCTGTTGATCGGGAAGGTGTGAATAGGTATTATGCGCTTTAGCATAACATGTCGCTTGACAGTGTGCGTCAGATCGGGAGTTAGTGCTGAGATGTCTCTGTAATTTGTGGCCCAAAACCATTGATACCGCGGGATGTTGAGCTTTTGACGCCGCTTTCCATTTTCTACAAAGGTTATCATACTTGCTTATGTTGCAAGTGTCAATAGAACTAACCTGAGACAATGCGGTGAGTACTCACACTCCATGTATTCACGGTGCGCTCTACTGTGCATTCTCTCGAGCGCGAGATACCCAGCGAGATATTGGCGGATGGCACGCCGGACTGCGACACGCCAACATTGCCGGAGACTGTCGTATTGGAAGATCTAGTCACAGTGAATGCGGAAGATGGATCTGACTGTGGTTCAGCAATAAGATCCTCATCATTAGAAGAGCTTATATACTGGAGACAGATATCTTGGAAAAACAGTTCATGGCCTTCCCTGTGATGAAAATGTTGGCTAGAGAAAGACAGAAACTCTCAAGGACCGAACCTTCTATGCAGATTATAGCCAATAATAGTTGTTTCGATGTTGAACCTCGCTGTGATATGGTATTTTCCGTGATGTCGCTCGACTGTAATGAGTGGGTCGAGAATACAGGTTGTCGTATATGGAGCATTATTGGGCCCGGTGAGCGATTGGTCTTTGACGGCAAAATACGCAATACTGCTATTATCTGGTTCGTCGAAAGAAATATTGGATGGAGTTTTGGAAATTCCCAGTGGTGGAATTCCTGGCTCAATCAAGTCGTTTAATATTGACTCCACAAAGGTTTTGCGTAGATTGCCGGAGAGCTTCTCGGAGGCTACATCGGACGCCATTCTGTATGGTCTTGAGCTTTATGAAGCTGGTCCCTGTAGTCATAAATACTGCAAGTCATGAACGAGCATCATGTTGGAAAGGATCTCTTGAGCTATTGAATAATCCAAGTTGAGGTTCCGTATGTTGCAATTTCCGTTCAGCCTCGGACTACCCCTCTCGGAACTAGCCACTAATAATGAAGCGCGTATAATTGCCAGCTGGGATGGTACATAATCTTTCTTCTTCCCCATTAGATGATAGCGCGCGGTGACTGCAGCAAAAAGTCTTGCGATGTACAGCTCGAGGTCTTGCTCAAATTTGATGGATATCAAGCACTAAGTAAGGTTGTTACCGGCATATGTATGTGGTGGGAACATTAATTGTTCTAGGCTCTGCGCATGGGCGGCGAAAAGCCTCTAATTAGTTAATTACTTCTTAGGTAATTATGAGAATACTGTGCCGATGAAATCGAAATTTGAAGATCGCAATGAGTATTTTTAATTGGTAAGGGAGTATAGCACAGATTAATATTGCTTGATATTGGAGCTATGAAGTGAACACGATGGCCTGCCTCCCTGTTCACCTATGAAAAAACATAAAGCTCGAGCCAATTTTAAAAATGAGTTAATAAAATTGAATATAGCACATTCAACAAGGCGCCCACTGATATATGTTCAGTGGTCATAGAATAATATATCATAAAAAAATTTATCCGGACACGCGGAATCGAACCGCGGACTTTCTGATAAACTGAAATTCTATTACAGTCAGATGCGATAGCCAACTACACCATGTCCGGATTATTGAAATTCCAGAACGAATTTCTTACCATAGACCAGCATATTGCTTCCCTAGATCTGGCTTATCACCCGGACCTTCTACTCCATAGGCCCCAGATTCAAAATCAATCAAAACCATTCTCGCTTAATCTCAAAAAAACTGACTGAGGTTACATAGCTATTAATTGTCAATCTGTCAACCCTGCTCTGTCTGTTATGCCTAATAACCACCTGAAACTTACCCACGGTCAAGAGAGGGTGATAATCCACGCCGCCAATCTCTGGAACAACTATAGCAGATATCTAGAAATAAAGAGGATAATAAAGAGAACGAAAAGAATGTCCTTGCTCGAGTCCGGGATGCTTTAGACCGGCAAGGGATCAGCTATACAAGTGTCATCCGCACTTTCCACGGTTTCAAGTCAAAAAAGCTTTTCGAAGCAAATTAACGAAGCCCAGTATGACGGGATCCTCTTTGATGATGCTGCACTATATAATGCTGTGTCTGCCGACAGCCTATAGTCACTGCATAGCATCCTAACCCGCATCCCGCAGATTGTTGAAGAGACGGCACACTTTACCCTCTCCTATAAACACAGGATGCGTGAAGCCATTTATGTGGCCATAGATTAAAATACAGGCAATTTTAACTTTTATTTGGAGTCACTAAGCGGCCAGAAAGACCCACGTACTCATGGACCGGCGCAGGACGGCCTCTTTTGTTGATTTCTCTGACTTTAGCTGCCACCCCACTCATCATTTCTAACATAGCTTTCAGCAGCGGGCTGACCAAGGTCAAGTCTACCTGGATCAACATGCAAGAGTTAACACGACTGAATCAGTAGTCTGACAAGAAACTTGCGGAAGCAAATTTAAGTTTGCCTTCGATGCAAAGGGGAACATACACCTGTCAATGATACCCTTGGAGAGCCGCTGGGTATCTGCTGGCGTAACATAGCCTGGTTGCCTATGGACTGTGGAGTCTATCCACTATATGGCACTATCTAGTAGCCGATCAGCTACCAAATCGATAATGACCTATGCGATTTAACCATATCATGACCATTCTATTGGCTTAGTGGTGGCATCCCCTAACGCGATTCTGGTGTAGCCTACTTCCTGGTCTTCAATAATGAATCCTTCATATCAGCCTATCTACAGCGATATAAATAAATCGGGTGCCTGACCCGATTTAAACATGGATTAATCCTATAAGTATAGGTTCGAAGTGCATAGCACGAATCATGGACATAGCGCGGGGTCAACCAAAAAAGTATTAGCCCGGCGGTGCAGGCCGGCTACAATTAACCGAGATTCGGCAACAGTTATGCCAAACAGCATAGTTTTGACATAAATATTCGAGTTCACATACCAGTTTCAATCTGAAATAGTTTTTGTAATGATCAGTCTTAGATGACGTATCAATAAACCAGTCGGGGACTTACCATAAGGCCATCAAGTATCAAGCATCAAGCCATGTGCGCCAGTGGCGCCACGCCGGTAGGGAAAGCGGCCCGAGAGGCGGTAAAACTACTCTTGAGTAGAGCATGCTTAAGTATTAAAAGTAGAATATCATACTCAGATATATCTATCATACCGTGTTTAAGACTTGGACTTGGTTTTCGGGATGATACTGAAGTAAAATATCCGATGCCAGCTTTGAAGCCCTGGAGGTTGGGGTATACCATGTCAGTCGATGTTTTAGCTTTTAATCCTAACGGTTTCTTGGAATAATCAATTTAATTTAGCGAATGTCTCAAGTATTTGCATGACTTGAAAACCTAAGGGTCTCGTTAAAATTAACCTTGAAATTTACCGAGCATAGGTTTACTTCCATGGATCTCTTATGGCCTTGGGTTTGGGGTTGTGACTAATTCCGGATCTATACATTCCCCATATCTTTTGCTTCCAGACTGACGGCGCAATTCACATTTCAAGTATATCCTGGTCGGCGTCATGACGTCGGCATGCCGATCCTTAACCAAGCCGACCTGAGAGTTCCTCACTAACACGGAAAGCTTCCTGGATAAAATCGGTTAAAAGCAAAGGTCCCTCCATCGGTTAAACCCCCCAACCGACCTAAAATCCCCTCTCATTCACAAAATGCCCCGACTGGCTCGCCAACCCATTTCTCCACCCAATGACGCATCGTCTTTCCCCAAATTCCCTCCCCCGGGATCCACCTCCACACTAACCCCAGGCGATCCCACCCGATTTAGGGAGTTCCCCTTTCGAGCCAAGCCATGTTGCGCTACTTTAGTGCAGCGCCGGGTCTGAAGCCATCCCGACAGCCACCCGCAACGCGTAGACGCATGGACCCTGCCATGATTTATAAAATCGGATGTCCACATCCTGAATCACCCAGCAAGCGGCAAACATGTATCGAGTCTCTAATATTTACGGTATGCTTCATACAATCACTACACGGGAATATACTAACAACCGCAGTACTCGCCGCATTTGGCACAATCGGCGGAGGCCTGTTCGGCTTCGATGTCAGGTTCGTACATGAGCAATCTACTGTGAATAAGAGACTAACAATCCTAGCTCAATGAGCGCCTGGATAGGCGTCGATGCTTATAAAGAGTATTTCGGAAATCCTGACTCGAACCTCCAAGGAGGTATAACAGCTTCCATGTCCATGGGCTCCTTCGCAGGCTCCATACTTGCCGGCTGGCTGTGCGATTACCTCGGTCGACGCCGTTCGTTAATGGTCGCATCTTGGATTTGGATTGTCGGCGCAATGGTTCAATGCAGTGCACAAAATGTTACGCATCTCGTCGCGGGTCGTGTCGTTAGTGGACTCGCCGTTGGTATTACATCGTCGCAAACACCAGTTTATATGTCTGAACTTGCTCCTGCGCGGATCCGAGGTCGAATTGTCGGTGTACAGCAATGGTCTATTGAATGGGGCATGTTGATCATGTATCTCATCGCGTATGGATGTGCGGTTGGGATTTCGGGACCTTCTGCGTTTCGCATTTGTTGGGGTATTCAGGCTGTTCCTGGACTCGTCTTGTTTGTTGCGTTGCTCTTCTTCCCTGAGTCGCCGCGTTGGTTGGCTGGGAAGGAGCGTTGGGAAGAGACGCTTGATACATTGGCTTTGTTGCATGGAAACGGGGACCGGAGTGATCCTGCTGTGCAGGTGGAATTCGAAGAGGTGCAGGAAGCTGCACGAATTGCGCACGAAGCCAAGGACGTTTCTTTCCTGGCGCTGTTCGGTCCTCGAATCTGGAAGCGGACAATGTGCGGTGTCAGTGTGCAAGTCTGGCAGCAATTACTCGGTGGAAATGTGGCGATGTACTATGTTGTTTACATCTTCGAGATGGCTGGAATGGTAAGATTCACCACTGACCGGGAAAACAATCGCTAACGTCTCTCAGACCGGAAACTCATCACTCTACTCCGCCGTCATTCAATATGTCATTTTCGTCTTCACAACGGGTGTCATGCTCCCGGTCATTGATCGGGTAGGCAGAAGACAATTACTGCTGATCGGATCAGTAACCTGCATGGCCGTCCATATCATCATCGCCGCCGTTATGGCTACACAAGGTCACGCCGTGTCCAGCGTCAACGGAAACGCCAACCTGACATGGGAAATCAAGGGCAACGCCGGGAAAGCCGTGATTGCCTTTTCATACATATTTACTGCCATTTACGGTTTCACCTGGGTACGTTACCCCAATCCCTTCTTCAAACTGCACTAACAGTATAATAGGCCCCAGCCGCATGGATCTACGCCGCAGAAGTCTTCCCTTTGAAATACCGAGCAAAGGGCGTCGGTCTCTCAGCATCAGGAAACTGGATCTTCAACTTCGCTCTTGCATGTTTCGTTTCACCCGCATTCCACAACATTCAATGGCGGACATATATTATATTCGCAGTTTTCTGCTTTGTTATGACATTCCATGTCTTCTTCCTCTACCCTGAGACTGCGGGACGTTCTCTTGAGGAAATCGATATGGTGTTTGACACGGATGTGAAGCCGTGGCAGACAAATGTTATTTCCAATAAGTTTGACGAGGAGATTGGGAAGAAGGTAGATGGTGTCAAGGATAGTCAAGTGGATCATCAGGAGGTTGTTTAGATAGATTTATTGTTTGAATTATTTCGAGCCTAGATTGGATGGGTTTATGAATAAGATCTAGTCTTTAACTAGATCAATTTAAGCTATTTTCAATTTCCAAGTGCATTCGAACAACTCCGACGAATCAGAAATTTGTCCTTTGGGTAGACACCCTAGCCTTCTAGAGAATAATTACTTCTATACACACTCTCTGCTAGGTCTTTTTGGGGTTGATATCAACCACATGGACCAATGCATTGGAATTATCACCTAAGCCCATCCACAATTTAATCCAGAGATAGATTTTCTAGATTAATTTGGATTTCTAGAGTCCAGGGCTAGAGTTGATGTGAATAATACAGCTTCTAAAAAAGTATTTCTTAAATAAAGCTCTGCAGTTTTTTGATGGGCCTTTGAAGTCAAATTTATCTACTATAAACTGAAGTCTTGAGTTTTCAAATTAAGTCTAGAACATATCTTTTTCCACGTCATATGAAGAGCCTCCTCGAAGTCAGGTTCAGTGCTCAGCCGCTGTTTGCAGCCTGAAACGCCGGGTGAGTCGGCGAACTGGAACGTCACTCTACTAGTCTTGGCATCTAGGTTATTTTGCGACAGGGTACAGATTGTGGGATAAGCTTGAAGAATGTAAAGGTCATTATACTGAGTTCATAACATGGGTATTAACAGCAAAACGCAAAGTAATCTCAGCGAGCCAAGCGGCATGCCGGCGGCATACTGGAATCGGGTATAATCAATAACCTATTTCTCCGAACTGCTACCTCCATCACTATCCTTGATCTCAGCCAAGTGCTCGTGGTGGCGCTCGGCGGCTTTTCCCTGGTTACTGAAAGCACTAGCACGACGAACTGCCTCGTCCTCAATGTCGTCGAGGGTACGGAGAAGTTCACCATTGGGTCCATACATGTGTGGTTCGCTCCGGGCAAGGGAGACGATGTCGAAGACGTTGTTTGATCGACGGAAGAGGATGTCCATTTCTTCTAGGGATCTGTTTGTGGTCTCTGGGAAGAAGAAATATACGACCGGAACGATGCATGCGTTGCTGAAACGAAATGTTAGTATAGAAATGCTTGGACTTGGAGAGGGAGCTTACATGACAGCGAAAATAACGTAGGTCTTATATCCAATGTTGGCAAATGCGACGGGTGTAATCATGACTACCATGAAGTTCCAGATCCAGTTCGATGAGGTGGATAGAGCATTGGCGGGTGCACGAATCCTCAATGGCACAATTTCGGCTGGGTAGAGCCAGGTCATACCGAGCCAGCCGACCGCGAAGAAAGAATTGAATACGAAGAGGAAGACAACCGTGGCGATACCAGCGGATGTTTTTCTTTGACCGTCACTGGTTTGGGCAATGCTTTCGGAGATAGCCAGGACTGCCATGGAGACAGCCATGCCGACAGCGCCGAAGATCATCAGCGTGCGACGGCCAAATTTCTCAATGGTAAACACTGCTACCCACGAAGCGGCGAAGTACTCGGTGCCGTTGCAGGCAGAGATAAGACGGGAAAGCGTGCCAGAGAGACCAATTTGGTCTTCCAGGATGGTCGGAATGTAGTAGGTGATCAGGTTGATACCTGAAATCTGCTGGAACATCTGGTTGACGTAGGCAAGCATCGTACGGTGGAAGTGACGATCTGGGCCCATGGTGAACATATCGCGGAATGAACCCTTGGCCATTTCCAAGACGGTGGCCTTGATAGCGGTAAACTCGGTGTCGATGAAGAGATCGTCGGTCTCGTCACCCATCAAACAAGCCAGAACCTCACGTGCCTCGTCCTCGCGACCCTTCAGAATGAGCCAGCGAGGGGACTCGGGCAGGAACATGACAAAGCCGAGAATGACGGCTGCGAAGAAGATCTGGAAGGCCAAGGGGAACCGCCAAGCGACCTCACTAGGATCGGTGAACATGAGACCGAAATCGACCCAGTAACTGATTGTGATACCGCAAGTAATCATCGCACCCTCAATCATGACCATCTGACCACGGCGGTGGGACTTGCAGCACTCGGATTGCCAAGTCGGGACAGTTGAGGTGTTGATTCCGTTTCCGAAGCCAGTGACCAGACGGCCTACCACCAGTTGAGCGAGTTCGTAGGAAGTACATTGCAGAATAGCACCGAGAACCATGATAAAGGAACCGAGAAAGATGGCCTTGCGGCGACCCAGCATGTTACCCACCCAGATAGTCGGAATGGATCCAGCGAAACATCCGAGATTGTAGGCAGCTACAGTGATACCCTGTCGAGTGGACGCAGAACTTGTTGCGCTGGCACCGGTAGTGTCGATAGAAGGGAAGTACTTGATGAAGGATTTGAGGGTCAACAGACCACCAGTCACACCTTGATCGTAGCCAAACAGCAGAAAGTCCATGCCAGCCAACAGACCGATGGCAATTTGAAGTTTGGTGCCATTGAGGCCCAGGAATCGCCTTCGAGGGGCCACGGGGGATTGATGAACGTTATCCATGACCACGTCAAGCTCCCAAAGTTATACAAACCGACCCAGTCGGAGAGAAGAAGAAGCCTAGGGAGATGCCAAGGGAGGACAGAAGCACAAAGGTATAAAGAAAAGTTGAGGATCGAAAACGATCAACATGGTTGGGGATCTGGGCGGATTTAAAAAGCCATGCCAATAGGGGACCGTGAGTTCCCCTCAACTCCACAGCTGTGACGCCCAGCGAATTGAACAGGGTCCACCCCCAGACCGCGCGCGCCATGGTTGAACCCAGTCATCAAGGCACAGAACAGGGCAATGGAAAGAGGGTAGGTAACGGCCGACTCATCTCAAGCGGACTCGGGCCACGCGAGGCCGTGAAACCAATCAGAATAAAGTAATCCGGGGGATATCGGTGTTCGGCTTCACCAGGTTGGGTTAGGTTGTGCTCACTAAAACTGACCAGGATGCAGCCCGCCGATCGGCTCTCGGCGTGTCGTTTTATTTTTCTTTCATCATCGTGGAGAAAAACTGGGTCTGGGGGAATCGGGGAATTCCCCTCTGAATCTCCTCTTTCCCCCTTGTGACTAATTTTGGTGAGAGACAAAAGTTCAAAGGTCGACTTTGAAAAGAAATGATGTATGAAAAACCAAAATGGTCAAAAATGGCAGAAAACTGAGGTTCAGCTGAGTGTCCCCATCCACACTGAACAATCCACACAATCCGGTATTTGACTAGTCCCTACCAGAATTCGGAGTGCTCAGCGGGAAAATCGTAATTCTATCTTGGCGTCTAGACAAGTCAAGCCACTGATTCGGCGGCTTGTTTAAATCTTTGTCTAACCTAATCTGGTAACAAAGAGATAAATGACATTAATTTCAACCGGGTGTACTCCGTAGTCACCCGAATGTAGTCACTGTAGCCTATCGTTCTAAAAAGAAACTAGTTACATTGCAACCATGTCATGTCATCTTGTCGCCGTCATTTCCGAATCCTGGGGGTCTGGGGGATCCTCGTCCGACTTACCCAAAGAGGCAGTTCCGGTTCTGTTTCACATGGCACTGCAGCTGCACGCCTTTTATACATTCTACATAGAAATATAACGTTTATGCCCCAATCCTTCCTGATTCATTTACGCCACGAGGCACTTCCCGCCGCCACCAGAGTCATTTGAGGGATTCTGAGTTTGGCGGCGTGTGGGTCAAGGAACAGATCTAGGCTGACCACGGTTGGGTGTGAGGCATATTTGTGGGGTCTGCGGGGAAAGCGAAACAATTGTTTATGGTAATTCAAAGAATTTGATTGCCCAGTATTTTATACAGAGTGTAAATGTAGTCTGTTGCCGCATTGCCGATCTGTGATCCATCTGGTTTCATCTCACAGGATCCATGTGGCTCATGTTTTCTCGAGCGGACCTTCCTGCACTGTGCCCTGCGCTTCTGCATTTGTCCCTATGCATCTGAGACCTCCAGACAAGAATGCGGCTCCAATAGCCGATCGGCATGGTTAAACAGATGATCAAGTGGATCTTTTCATGAACAACATATCAATTGACTGTGAGATCAGTCGTTAGAGTGGTACAACAGGCCTGTTGGTACTGCCCTCGAATCGATAAGCGGAGCCACGCGAAGGTTCGTCTGTAAGGAGTCCAGCGGTTCCACTGGTGCCGCTCACCGATGTTCTGGAAGCCAAACCCACATAAATATGCATAGATTGTCGGGCTCACCGATGCTTGGAAGCTTCAGCTAGGCTTCTTTTGCAGCGACATCGAACTCTGTTCTCAAGTCCGCATTGCTAGTATATGCATGTTGATCCAATAGACGTTGCATGATCGACAAACCAACTAGATTCTTTATTGGAGAGTTTCGCAGAACAAATGCCTGTGGGGGTCAAAGATCAGCATCGGGCGCAACTGATGCGTCAACGTTGATGCCCTGGCGTGTTGTTAGCAAAGTCCTGGACTCCATCCTTCCCACAGGACCGTATCCGATTGGAGTACATGGCAGAGAAGACATACGCTATGGACTTCAATATACCCGGGCATTCCTGCTGCTCCAAAATCAGGCCTGGCCTGGTTGACAACCAACATTTGATATTTGAATTTTTGTTCCAAAGTTGGAGTGCGCAAAAAACTCCCGGTGATTATATATTTCTCCGTCTTTTGGACTCTCGAGTACTCTCCTTAGAATCAATCATTGATATTCTAGGCAAATTTCAAAGTTTTCATAACCGATCGTTTTTTATCTTTCATCCTGGTCATTCAAAGTACGGTTTCCACCTCAGTATGTGATTTTTTTTTCAGATAAGGTGATTGACTTGTTTAGGGGGAGGTTGTACTTTAATGTGCGTCTCCATAGGTTGAAAGTTGTGGGTCATGAAGCCACAATTGGTAGCTGGTCCACATACAAGGCCGGCTGGCCCAATGGCAAGGCGCTTGACTACGAATCAAGAGATTGCAGGTTCGACCCCTGCGTCGGTCAATTTTTTGATATTTTTGGTTTCGTTTTTTGTCAGCCACCTTTTTTTGGTGGATACAAATTCAATCACCTAGCCTGGTGCATGTGTACTAGGTAGATTTATATCATGATGATGTGCCCCTTTGCCTAATATGTTAGGATACAGAGATGGAATACTTGTACATCAATATTGCTATAGATTCCAAGGTTTAAAACCTGAAATCTTTTGACAAGATCATCATGTATAGGCAAGATACTCTACATTATGTACATCAAATGGGTACTCGCAGACTAAAAGATAAGCTACAGGATCTTGATTAGTGCTTTGGTCACTATATGACTTGTAAGGATTCTTATTTTGTCTAGTGTCAGAATTCCCCTCATTATGTTGTTGAATCAATTTATGCAATCTATCTGTTCTCCTCCTCACGTCCAGCTTCAAGTGCTTGCTTCTTTCTCTACGGCCCATGCACTGGCAGCATATTCCTTCACATCATACATCTCAATGACCCTCCGTTTAATCAATAATGAAAAATCACAAGCATGAACAGCTTACATGAATTTACCAAATTTTCAAACCTCCCGACTGAGATACGCTTGATGATCTGGGAGCATATCCCGCAGCCAGTTCGTGTTGTCGGCTACCTGCCATGCGCCGAATGCTGGAATAGCTATAAGCTACAGGAGTCCCTAAGACACGAAACCCGGCGCCACTGCGCCCTGGATCGGCACCCAGAATGGAAGCTGCGATACGTGGTCCAGCCACGCGAGCAAGCCATTTTCCCACCATTACATACATGTCGCGAATCGCGTGCTATCTGGCTATCTCGATACTTCCGTCCACCTCGGTATCCAACCCTCATCGGAGGAGAAGGGTATGCTCTGCGATTCGATGTTCCCTTCATCAGCTACGAAAAGGATATCATCACCTCCTGGAGAGCCTGGACTGGCGAAGACATTGCCGACCGTTTAGTGGACAATCCCTTACTTAGCCTCGATTTATTCTTGGGATTAGACCGCGCAAAAAGTCAACACGTCGGGTTGGGCGAGATCTTCGAACGCTTTTCTCCCGCTGTGACGGCACTGGAAATGCCACTATTTCCGCAGTTGCGTGCGCTGTCTCTGTTGGTTGCTGGGCCAGATTGGGCGGCTGGCCATCGATGGCTCGAGATGCCGATCATATTCATTCAACAGGTTGACTGTGAGTTGCGAAATTTACCAGAGTTGAGCCTGCTGCATCACCCCTTCTTCGGTGAACATTTACTCCGGAATCCCGTTTCGCAGCTCGGTCCCAACATTCGGCCGTTACACAGATATTGGAAAGTATTGAAAGCCTTGTTATGGCATGAGTAGCATGACCGCGTGCCCTACAACCATCTCGCAGATAACGCGCGGGGTGAATTTCTGGACTATGTATTGGGAAATAGGGAGGAGTGTCCATTCGAACAGGTTGAGGGATGGGAGGCGCACAAGCATAGTAAAGAGGATATGCTTCAGTGGGAATCGAGAATCGATCTGGATTGCAAGCTGATATTTGAAAAGAGCGTGATACCATTGTTGGATACTTTATCAATCTTTGATGCCGATTCAACTGGGTCATACAAACGATTTTTTAGGTTCAAGGAGGCACAGATTGCACAGCCTGTGATAAAATGACGTTTGAACAGAATATACGAATCCATGAATGATGCAATAAACCCACATGACGACTGGAACGCGCTAATCTCGGACAATTTAGAGTTAAGAAGTGCACAAGCCCTCGGGAAGTCAGAGGAATGCAGGTACGCGACTCAAAATCGAAACATACCGGAACTCAACCCGCGAGATGGCTCAAAGTACATCCAATCCACGAATCGGTTCTAGAATCGGGACTTTTGTTCAAATTTGAAGATTCCATCTTGCCACGGGAGAAGAGCGCGAGGAGTGCTTGGTTATAGTTCGCGTCCTGGCAAAGCTAGCACATACCTGACGCCAATGGAATGCTTAAGCTGTGCTTCCGCGATTGGGAGCTCCCATAACCCCTTGCTTAATATGGGTTACAATCAAGCTTAAGGTAGCAGTTCTATGGACTTAATTCAGATCCTTGGGTCATGTTTAATTGCTTTCCCTACTTAACTATCCATGTCCCAGATTTGACGAAACACCCACGGTCTTTGGTAGCTGTGAATTATCCTGTTTAATGGCGGACAGCTCAGCGAGGGATTTTCAAAATGAATGTCGAGATGATATCCCTTTGAAAGAGTCAGATTCGAGAGGCGATATAAGTGACGAGGAGATTGAGTATCCGTCCACAATCAAGTTTATGCCTATCCTTATAGGACTCTGTTTTCAGTCATTCTGCATCGCTCTGGTGAGTTCCTTGTCAGTCTGGAAGTTCTTAACTAACAGATTTAGGACAACACAATTCTCGCGACAGCCGTACCGAAGATTACCGAGCAATTCAACTCGTTGGAAGATATTTCCTGGTATGCAAGTGCGTACCTTCTCACATCGTGCGCGGTTACCCTTCCCTTCGGCAAGATATACACCTATTATTCCACGAAACGGACATACATGATCGCTCTCGCACTGTTTGAAATTGGGTCATTAGCATGTGCTGCCACACCAACGTCCAAGGGATTGATATTTGGAAGGGCGATCGCAGGGATTGGATCGGGAGGCTTATCGCCCGGTGCACTGTTGGTGCTTGTTAACAGTGTACCCCTCCACCGTCGCGCGCTTTACTTTGGAATAATTGGCAGTATAAGTGGGATTGCAACCGTTACTGGACCATTGTAGGGACACATTCCAGTTCCGAAGTTGTATATTTGCGCTAATTATCACAGATTGGGTGGACTTTTAACAGATCATCTTAGTTGGCGATGGTGCTTCTATATCAACCTTCCTCTTGGTGCGATAACATGGATTTTTATCGCTATATTTTTCAAAGATGTGAAGCCTAGGAAAACAATTGAGTCTGGATGGATGGACAAGGTGAAACGGATGGATCCAGTTGGGATCTTGCTGTTTATCCCTGCTATTATCTCGATCCTGCTAGCCCTGCAGTGGGGTGGCACAACGTATGAATGGGGGAATTTAAGAATAATTGTGCTATTTGTACTGTTTTTCGTGCTTGCTATTGGCTGGTGTTATGTTCAGCACTGGAGACAAGAAGAAGCCACTGTCCCTCCCCGACTCCTTACGAACCGCAACGTCCTTGGTGCTGTCATCCATGCAACTTTTTTGGGAGGATCGTTCTTTGTGTTCGGATACTATGTAAGTTGAGTTTCTTCGTTAGTTGGAGACAATGGCTTACACGATATAGCTTCCTATCTGGTTCCAGGCAATTGAGCAGGTCTCGGCATCCGAGTCTGGAATCAACAATCTCCCAATGGTCGTATCGATGATCGTCTGCTCAGCACTTGGGGGATTACTCGTGAATTTGATTGGCTACTACACCCCCCTGATGTACGTCGGCAGTGCCCTTCTTACAATCGGCGCTGGTCTTTGTACTACATTGCATGTTCACAGCGGAAGCGGGACATGGATCGGCTACCAGGTTATAATAGGTATTGGCGCAGGAGTCGGGTTTCAACAGTGCATGAACTGTCTACAAACTGTGTTACCATTGGAGGATATCCCGATTGGAAGTGCGATAATCACATTCGCTCAAAGCTTGAGCGCAGCATTATTTATCTCCATCGCACAAACTGTTTTTCAGAATCAACTGGTCGCCAGTATCACCGAATATGCGCCAACAGTGAGCCCCAGGGCTGTTATCGAAGCTGGGGCGGCTCATCTGTCACACAAAATTTCTAACCAGACTCTCCCGTCTGTGTTGTATGCTTACAACCTTGCAGTGACACGGACATTTTATGTTTCTCTCGTTGCTGGGACCTTTTCATTTGTTGGAGCTGGGCTTGTTCAATGGAAGTCCATGAAAAGAACTCAGAAGTATGCATGATATCAAATATTCTAGCGCTCAAATTACTGGGAATATCGCACATATTCTGCCTTTACGAAATGGAAATATACTGTTCACGAATTTTAGGGAGTAGACCATGTGCATATATCCGTTACGCTTAAAATATGATGACACAGAATATTGGTGACATGTACATACAACGAATATGAATTTATTGATAGATGCGAATGTGTTCAAAGCTAATTACCCTGGTCGCCATTAGTAACCTGTGTAGTCTGTATTTAGTTAAACTAGTCTAGTCTATATCAACTTGATGGTTTATTCTAGTGAACCACGCTCAAACCGATGACTTTGGTTTATGAAAAACGGTAGTTATCGCCGAAATTTTGCCAAAGGTCTCCTCAATCTCCTCCAAAGAACGGCCCTTCGTCTCATGCATGAACACAGACGCAACCCCCGCCGTGACAAGCGAACAACCCCCAAACAAGAAGTAGGCACCATAACTACTTTTTGAGAGCAAAATCGGCGTGACCAGGGCAACAACAAAGTTAGCCAACCAGTTAGAGCTATGAGCCAGAGTAGCCGTTGCCGCACGGCATCGCTGCGGATTCACCTCCGCCGCGAAGACCTTCACGCTGACTGCCCAGGTCATGGAGAATATCACTGCAAACAAATATATGAAGACAATAACGACCCAGCGACCAGCGCCAGTAGTGGTGTGGACCGCGCCTCCCGCATAGAGAGATCCAATGACGAACATTGTGACTGCAAGTCCGATTCCACCGTAGACGATACTTGTTTTTCGGCCCCATTTATCGGCGTACAGTAATCCAGGAATTGTTGCAACGAAAATCACTAGAGCGGATATACCCGAGGCGAAGAAGCTTGCATCGGAAGATGTGAGACCAGCCTGCTGGAATAATAGTGGCGCGTACTATTAAGTTAGCAAAGACCGCAAATATTAAGGACATATACATACGTAAAGCACACCATCGATCCCGCCCAGTTGCTGCGCGGCCATCATGAAAACCGCCAGGATTGTGCGGGATCGAACATCCTTAGAGAAAATATCGAGCATCTTCTCCATACTGCTCTGTTTCGAGAGTGCATCTTGTTGCACATCGACCTTTTCGTGCTCGGTATAATCCACCCCCAGCTTATTCCACGTGGCATTCGCTTCTGCATACCGACCCTTCATCGCCAACCATCGAGGCGACGGGGGGAGAAGAAGCAGAGACGCAGCAGACAGGATCATCGCAAGAGACGAGAGGAGAATAAAAGGTGTACGCCAAGAAAGGGACGAGTGGATATGCTTCGAGGATCCATAACAAGTAAAGTATCCCAAAAAAAGGCCGGCCGTGATAACCAGCTGCGGACCAGTCGTCAAAGGACCGCGGTGTTTAGTAGGCGAGATCTCGCAAATGTAAACAACCAAATTCCCCAGAAACAGACCCTCTCCTAGTCCCTCGATGACACGACCCGCGATAAACATTCCGAGCGAGATTGCGGCCGCTTCTATAGCTGCCCCAACGGCAAAGATGAAACACCCGATACTAATCCCCATGGCACGGCCGAGACGATCGGCTAGATGTCCCGCAAAAAGCGAAGATAGAGCAGCGGGGATTAATATACTAGAGACGATCAATCCATGGATAGTCGAGTTCTGACTTCCACCGAAAACAGCTTTGAAGTCTTTCATATCGGTCACAGGGCCTGGAATCATTAATACGCGCACATGCATTGGCATTTCCGATAATTTTACCTATAACACCCGTGTCCATGCCGAATAGAAGGCCATTTGCAGAGCATAATATGCATGCTAAGACATAATTTGGAGGTTTTTGCAGATAGCTCGCCATCTTAGAATGACTTTTCCTAGCTCACTCCGTAGAAGTGCGCAGGAGATTATTGAAGAATCAAGTCTCTGCAGATGAGGGACTGTGGACCTCTAGGGTATATTCGGTAAAATCAAATCTCCACGTCTGATCACTCCGCACAGAGTGGATCAGAACCAAAAGAGTAGTATTACCCGCTGATAGTGCCCAATTCAAGCATGTGCGCTGCATATACATGCAGCTCTTATCGTTCAATCAAAGACAGCATAGACAGCACCTGGCTGATATGTCGGATCATTTCCCTCTGGAAAAATTTCGATAGACATTGATTTTTCAGCCTTATCAGGCATTTCCATGGTTGAACGGTAGAACGCTTATCCAGTAATCGCGGGAAATGTATATGTAGATCTGCGCCCCACATTGAAATCTCCAAGATTTTTTAAATTTCAATTCAAGACAGAATACAAGTGAAACCCCTAGTGTGTTCTAAGCCGAGACCAAAGATCCGCGGTTGCTGATTGTAGGTGAATGGAAAGTCCGCACCAGACTTTTCTCCGTAGAAAGAAGAGACCCACTAACCCAGTTGCCATGCACTTGCGCCTTTACATGCAAAGGAAGCTGAACAAATGCGATCGGTTTCTCAAATTCCTTCGTGTCGAGAACAACAAGACGACAGCTATTGGCAGCACGCTGTTCGACCATCGCAAGAACCCAACCATCACCTTCAGGAGCATCGGCGGAACGAGGAATGAATACCGGTTCTTGCACCAAGGAATCATCTCCGGCATGATACCAGTGCGTTTCTTTAGTGCGGTGACTGCATCGCTAGCCCATTCGTTCCGTGGAAGATATTCTTCTGTCCATCCGACCGGTCAGGGATGAAACCATTCAAGAAAATGAAGTCGTATTCCTTTGTCATGAACCGCTCGTCCATTCGAGGGAACTCCGAGGGTGTATCGAGAATAACCAGGGGATCTGGAATTTTACTTCCATCGGGAAGATTCAAATCGAATTCCCAGCGCACGAAGTCTGCCTTGGCGTCTGGCGATGGCTTTTTCCCACCATCCGTGGGAAAGAAAGGGAATGCGTAATCGTGGACACGTGAAGATTCGAGATACAATTTTCCATTCTGGCCCTCCCATGCTCCCCCAGTGTGGATGGTCATGCAATTCTTCCAGGAATACGTCCTATACTCCCCTTCTTTCCAGCCCGACGGCTGCGACGTATTCCTTCTTGGCACAATGACGAACGTCGCTGGCAAGTCATAATTCCATGTCCAGTGGTGCTTTCCAGCCTTCAAACGCTCAAGACTAGCTTCGAATGGCCATAAGACGAGAATAAGCTAGTTGGGCGTGATAGCGCAGTCGTGGATAAAAGCGCGCCAAGGAGCTTCGATCCACCGCTCGTCGTGCTGCATTCCATCTTTATCAAGGGCGTAGATCACGATGTCTTTGGTCGCGAGACCCTTCGCCTCGTAACCAGAGACGACAAGTTCATCGGTGTATGGATCAACCTTCGGATGGGCCGTGAAAGTCTTCGACTGGATCTGATCACCAAACGGATCATAACACAAAGTCTCAAGCGTATGCGGATCGATCTCGTAAGGAAGAGCAACCTCTTTCAGAGCAATCATACAATCAGCCCAATAGATCTTATTCGTATTTGTCGTCGATTCAACCGCAGATCTAACGCAAGGAGGGTGAGTAAAGGGATTCCGATAGAGGCCGAACAGCGCTTTATTAGCATGTCTCTCTAGTTTGTAGCGTTCTGTCTCAATGTACTTGATTTTCATGTCGACGTGGCCATTGTGAATTCAAAATGCTGATATGTTGCCATCTCCATCGATGGGGACGTTCTTGGGATGTGGAGGCATGTATGGATCACACATGACACGATAAAAAGTTCCGTTGATGCCGACTGGGATTTCACCTAGAATGACTAGATCGCCGACTTCCCCTTCCACTCGGCAGGGCGCAGCGGAGCCTGCGAGATCAAAAGCGGCGGGCCATTTCGAGGAAAGACCTGGGCTATCAGACACAGATTCCATGATTCTGTGCATATATCGTAGTCGACTGTAACAAGCTCTTGGTGAAGGTGGAGCAAGATTCAAAGAAGACGTTGAGATGTATGAAGGCCATATAGCTGGAAAGAGCCTTGGAATGGAAATTCCATGGTGGGGCCGAGCTGGGAGTCACAGTAATCAGAGACAATTGGATTCATTCGCCTTTCTGTACAGTGTACATTACTTTGGATCCACTGACCCCGCACGACAGACAGGTTAAGTCGGCAGATATGAGGAGCTTTTCTCCTGTGAGAGAAAAGGAAGAAAAATTGTTAGTTTACGAACTTTGACATATACCTGGCTATTTGTTCTTCTTCCAAGGAATCAGGGCATGTTTATAGAAAGGTGGAAGGCACCACCAGGTGATACTTGTATCTAAAGACAGAGCCTCTTGTTCCACTAGTATCCCAGACGTAACAGCCACGAAGGCGAATTATTGCTTGCCCAGGTGACTGATCATCCTAGCAAAAGAAAGGAACGAAGTGATCACATCCAGAGTGACTGAATATTTCATTAAGAGTGCTGCGCTCTACTAGGCCTGATTAAAAATATATCGGAATATCATTCTATGTGTTATTATTTTATGCAACAATAGAAGTAACATTGAAGTGAACGACAAAAATATAATTTTGAGGCTGAAACATGTCATTGATTGAAAGGAATAGAGATGAAAGAAATCTCGTAGTATAGATCTGGCTCCCATTGTCCAGGACACCCAGTGCTGTTAACAAGTGCTTTGTTTGGAGGGCGGAGTGAGCATTGAACATCCATATTATCAGTAACAAAGCCTCTATGTATTTACACAAAGTTTTTCTTTGTCATGTATCATATTCGTTCATTTCAAGTTTAAAAGTATAAAAGCACCATTTGGGATCGTTCAATTATCCCAGAAATCAACCCCGAACATTGAACAGTTCATTAACAATGTCCGACTCTACAGCTAAATTCGGTGACATCCAAAATGAAGGAGCTCAGCGCCGACGATGGATCGCCAACCCAAGCGAGCCCGGTTGCTACATTGAAAAATCCACATTGACATTTCACGATCTAGTAAACAGATACAATTCAGGACTAATTACCACCGATAGAGTGGTTTTCTCCCAGGAAATCGATGACCACGTATTGGAGAAAATTAAAGAACTTGAAAAAAGCCGAAAGGTCAGTTCTGACCGCTCGAAATATGCAACTTTCGATCTCAACGGCCATGATTTTAGCTGGTCAGGTATCATCGGACCGGGTATCATTGTTCTCTCTTCTATCTTCCGCGTGAAGAAGGAGCCAGGTACCCAGGTCAGGGATATGGATTTGCCTAGGATCACAGCCTCTGCTGTGACGCAGGCCTTTTACACACGAGACTTCGACATTGAAAGTTTGCGGTGCATTTTTGTGAGTTTTGTTATTAACAAGAGTACTATTGAGTTTATCACTGAACAGCTTTATGAGAATGCTACTTGGGCTGATGATGTTCCAAGGACTTGGGAGTATGGTACGCCGGAGTATGACGGGTTGATTGGGACTCGTATAGGTAGAGTTATTGCTTACTTTGTTCTAGGGGCTTATGATCGAGGTACGCATCGCATTTCTAGTATTGTTACTTACCCATGCCCAACAGGTGGTGTTCATATGCGCTTTGATATTGAGGCTATTTAGATTCTAATCTGTCGCCGATTCTATTTCTGAGATTATTCACTACCAAATGCTAATTTCTTGTAATCGTACTGATAATGAGCTCGTAGATATTTCTTTCAAATTTACTCTATCATATTTAACATTGAAAAATGCTGCCTTAATGAATCAAGGAATAATAGGCAAAGTAACGTAGTTGTCGCCCAATCCGAAGTGGATATGATTTTGACCCTGGAACTTTTCCACAGACCTAAAGACAATTAGCACAGATCATATTCAATAATTGTGGAGGAACTTACCGATCAATAGGTGAGTTATGCTGGAACATGCCACTACCCTGAGTATCCCCACTAGCAATCTCCAAGACGATCTTGGCACCCTTTTCCACAACAACATTGGTAGGCCAGATCTCCACATCAACGGGGTAAACCTCACCAGGAATAACAGGCCGGACATCAGTGGAGTAGTAATCGCGGTGAGGAAGGTAAGGCCGATTCCGCACATGTTTCTTGTTCACCTTGCGCATACTAACACGCAACCAGCCCTTGCACAGGGGAACCGGATCACCTGCGGTACCGGTATAGAATACCTCCTTTCCAGCTGCTGAGATATGACGCATTGTGATGAAGAGGTCAATATCTTGTGGGGTAGGTGCGCCGGGATTCGCGCTCATGGAGACGTTGAGGTGTGCCACGATGTGGCCTGTAATCTCGGTCTCTTTCTCGAATGCGGGTGTGGTGAATTGGATCAGTTGAGGCGAGTCCAACGTGCCAAGGGCTTCGTATGAGATCTTGACGGGCCGTTCGACGGGGGCGTGGGTGAGGAGCTCCCGCTGGGAGGTGAGGTAGTACCTTGTGTACTGGGTACGGGCGATCGGCCACTCGTGCTCCGTGCGACGAGTGTACTGCTTCTCGGCTTCGGCATTGTTGAAGCCGACATCACCCTTTCGGAGGACGATATCAACCTTCGGTGCCTTGCCGGTCGACCAGCCAACACGGTCCTCACCCTTAAGGAAGGCATCGAGGAAACTGCGCTGTAGCTCGACTTCCTCGCTGTAGTAGAAGGGAAGATCGTGACGACCGGTGACGAAACGGAGGTACTTCAACTCCGAGCCGGCTTGAGTATAACCCTCCACATTTCCACGAAGATGAAGCAAGATACCACCCCAGTTTGCAACAGACAGCAATGGAACCTTGATATCAGACATGCTATACTCCTTCGAAGCATAGTACAGATCATCTCGGTACTGGTTCTCGACATTATCGATATTCTGATCCTGTCGATTCTGCACCAGTTCCTCCTCACTCAAGTCACCTTCAATGGTGTCAGGACCCCAGTTCCTAGCCGCACGACCACCAAGTCCGTACTGGTTGCTGACAACCTGACGATCCCACCAGAACTTGATAAACTTGCTTGACAGGATTCCGCCATGGCGACACCGATCCCGGTAATAGTCCGACATTCCCTCCCAAGGAATAATACAAGCGAGACCCTTTGGCTGACGCGCTGCAACTCGCCATTGACTTCCAGCGTAGTAGGAAATGCCCAGCAGGCCTACCTTGCCATTGGACCAGGTCTGCTCAGCGGCCCACTCCACAACATCGAAGAAAGCCTCGCTTGTACCCCGAGACATGGTATCGAGCTTTCCGATCGATTGGCCTGTTCCGCGCTCGTCGGCACGCACAACAGCATAGCCTTGGCTTGTCCAGTACTTCGGGTCTGGAGTTTCCCAAGACGAGTGTTCTGATTTTTGTTTGGGGTTTACCTCGCTGAAACTGTCAGGGTGGAAATCCTTGTAGGGGATATCCTTGCCGTATGGACCGTAGGTGACAATCACAGGCACTGGAGTTGATGTTTTGGGACGGTAGACATTTGCGCGGACAATGCCTGATTCGTCCTTGAGATTGATGGAGACATTCTGCTCAAAGACATATGGGAATGAATCCTCGTCGCGAGTAGTGATATCCTTGACTTCGTTAGGCATTTTGAAATTGTTGGAGGAAAGAAATGAGAGGAAATGTATTCATATACTTAGTAAACATTCTCCCCCACTCGGAAGTTGAATATGTTCCGCGGTGGTGGATGTGGAGCCGAAGACGTCCCGAAACGCGGAGTTCCGACCATCTATGAGGACATCAGTTTATGCGGGGGAGGGGTTGATGCCGAGGGAATTAAAATAAATACAATTCAAGTCCCATGGAGTTATGATATTAAGTTGAAGATTAAATTATACACAGAATGACGTTGAAAGAATTTAACCCTGGTTTGCGCATCTTGATCGTTGGCGCCGGAATCGGTGGTCTTACAGCGGCGATCGCCTTGAGACAGCAAGGTCATCATGTAGAGGTATGTATAAGGCTTAATGTGCATGGCTAGAAAGTATAAAACTGACTTGATAGATCTTTGAACGCTCACGCTTCGCCAACGAAATCGGTGCTGCCATCCACCTGTCCCCTAATGCAAATGGCGTCTTACTCCGTCTTGGAATTGATGCGACCAAATTCGGGGCCGTGCACACTGAGCTAGTAAGACTTTATCCGTACTCTGATTGATCTAGCTAACGGGTTAGTTGCGCGAATATAAACCATCTGGAGAGCCGGTCCACATCACCAATGTGAAGGAGACTGACATTTGGAGACACGTAAGGTATCCTGACATGCAGTTCGGTTCTCAACTAATTCATATCAGCGCTGGCTACTTGTGCATCGTGCCCATTTCCACGAAGGGCTCAAGGCCGCAGCTATCGGTGCAGGCAAAGGCAAGCCCGCCATACTTCACACCGCGAGCAAGATCGTTGACCTGGACCCACACAACGCGACGTTGACGCTTGAGAATGGCGAGATCGTTCAGGGAGATGTTTTGATCGGAGCAGATGGAGTCCACTCGCTGACTCGGACCAAGTTGTCTGACAAGAAGCCATACAGCTCGGGGAAGAATGCTTTCCGCTTCCTTATCAGTCGCCAACAGGCACTGGATGACCCCGAGACGAACAGTATCGCTCGCGACTTTGGTGCGGTCGATATGTGGGACTCGTCTGATCGCCGTGTTGTGATCTACCCATGTGCAAACAATGACTTGCTCAACTTTGTCTGCATTCACCCGGAAGAGCTGACGACCATTGAAACCGGGGGAGACTCTTACAATCAGCAGATTAGTACGGCCACTTTGCTTGATGTGTTCAAGGACTTTAACCCGCAAGTGCGGAAGCTGCTGGAGAAGGCGGACCCACAGACTCTCAAGTTGTGGCCTCTTCTGGACATGGACACCCTGCCGTCCTGGGTGGAAGGCCGTTTGGCTGCTCTTGGTGATGCTGTTCATCCTTTCCTGCCATACCGGGCATCTGGCGGTGCAATGGCAATTGAAGATGCTGTCTCTCTGTCTGTGATGCTGTCTGGTGACATTACCGCCAGTGACGTTCCTGAGCGACTGAAGATTTACCAAAAGGCACGCCATGAACGTGCGACAACCATCCAGCAAATGACTCGCGAATCCGTCAGGCTGATCTCCCCTGAACGAAGTAAGTAACAAACCCCACCTAGATCAAACAATGCTGACTCTCTAGCAATGCAAATGGTCGGCTATATCTATGGCCACGACGAATTCGACCACTCCGCCCAGGTCCTCCGTAAACACCTCTGGTCCCAAAACCCACACATGTACTGGCGTCAGCCCATCGTGTTCGGACCCATGCCTGGTCCCCGACAGGACCACATGGGACGAGACCGCGCGCTCAAATCCCTCGAGTCAACCTTCGTGACAGCCTCGGTCAAATTCAAGACAAGCCGCACACTCCTCCAGAACCTCTTCCCCTCCGACCGGTACAGTTTCATCTCTCCGTCGACCGTCGCGCGGGCGTCCTTCTCGCAAACCACCCTAGGCGGCATGGACTGGCTAGGCGGTGGCGGATACCGACACATCGGACTGTACATCCACGGAGTACAATACACAAAGGAAAACGGCGAGGTCCTCAAGGGTACATACATGCCCATTCTCTTCGAGAGTCTAGCAGACCCGATCGTCTCGGGACGTGAAGAACTCGGCATGCCGAAACTGTACACGGCGATTGACATCCACGAGCGTAACAGCTCCTACCGACTACAAACCAGCTGGCAAGGAGCTGTCTGGGGCCATTTCGAGTTTGAGGATCTGGAGGACCAGGATCCTGCCGCTGACAAGGGCACTATTGGCGGAGAGGACGACGATGGAATCCTGGTGTACCGATACATGCCTAAGGTGGGTAAGAGCACCAAAGGCGAGGCGGAGGCGGAGTACCCAGTCTTTGTGCCACATGCGCAGGAATCCAAGGTGGTTCCGTCGAAAGTGACGCGTCTGCGACGAACCAAGAATGCCAAGGTGGAGATTAACGGACTAGACTGGGATGCACTCCCCACGCTGCATCATGTGGTGTCGCGGCTAGCGGAGATTCCTATTGATGAGGTGATTGATGCGAAGATTACCGAGGGAAGAGGGGTTCCTGACGTTTCGAGCGCTCAACGGATTGAATAAATGTAAATAGTACGACTTGGGACCTTCATTGGGACGAGTGCAGACAATCCATGCTTAGTTGATTTCTTCTTTGAGTTAGTCTGGAGTTTAGCGGGATCATGGGTGATCAGAGAGCCTCTGTAACGCCTGTCAGCTTATGCCGTTAGTGGGATGTAGGGTCGAAGTCAAAGTTCCCGCAAATGGTAGGACGAGGAGTTGTAGAGGCAGACGGGATGATCCATGCGGGCCTTATTTCCGAGAGCATAAAAAGTAAGTCAAATCCGGATTTCTCTGCGAATTAGCAGGTTCTCCCGATGAGAGTAGTGTAGAGATATAACGACATCAATGCGGGGCAGATCCACGTACGTAGGAGGTTCATGGACCTGCAGCTGGTCTAGAACGGTTATGTTGGTTTGAAGCTAGTGGATCATGTAAGGGAGGGAAAACACCAGCCCGCACTTAACACTTACATCTTACTCTCTCCACTTCTACCACTTTCTTTCCGGTCTATTTTCATCATTTCTGCCTGATCTTGATCCTGGATTTCTCTTATAAATACCCCATTTCCTACATCCCATCCCCGCACCTGGACCTCCCGCACCTGACAGTCATGTACCTACCCCTCCTACCTATCTCACATGAACCGAGCTAATATCTCAGGCGTATCACTGTCAGTGTCATCCGCCCCGAGGCGGATTCTGACATCATCAGCCTAGAAGTCGGTGGAGATATGACTATTGAGCTCCTCAAAGCCATCATCCAGAGTGAAACCTCCATCCCACCCGAAGCCCAACAGCTCGTCTACAACAACCAACTCCTCCAGAACTCTGCACAAACCCTAGACCAAGTCGGTATCGGAGAGGGTGACATGCTAGGCGTTCACGTCAACTTCCGCACAGGTCCACCACAGCTACCCCCACGCTCCGGCCCCAGCGCACCACGACAGAACCAGATCGCACCACGCCCCGGCATGCCCGATCCCGAAACCATTCGTCTACATATCCTTGGGGATCCGCGCGTGCGGGAGGCCGTTCGTCGACAGAACCCCGAGCTGGCCGAGGCAGCAGATGATGCACAGCGGTTCCGGGAGGTGTTGGTATCGCAGCAGCAGCGGGAGGCGCGACAGGAAGCGGAGAAGGAGGCGAGGATTGCAATGTTGAATGCTGATCCTTTTAACCCGGAGAACCAACGGGAGATTGAAGAGATTATTCGACAGAATGCTGTGACGGAGAATTTACACAATGCTATGGAGCATCATCCTGAATGTATGAACCAGCATGGGATGCTACGGTGACAAGTGACATAGCTAATTACTTACAGCTTTCGGTCGCGTGACTATGCTCTACATCCCCGTCGAAGTCAACGGTCACCGACTAAACGCCTTTGTTGACTCCGGCGCACAAGTAACCATCATGTCGCCCGAGTGTGCAGTCTCCTGCAATATCATGCGGCTGGTCGATCGACGCTACGGCGGTATCGCCAAGGGTGTAGGAACTGCCCCGATCCTGGGACGAGTGCACTCGGCCCAGATCAAGATCGGAGATATGTTCCTGCCCTGCTCGTTTACAGTCATGGAAGGCAAACAGATTGACCTGTTGCTGGGCCTGGATATGCTACGACGACACCAGGCGTGTATTGATCTCCAGCGCGGGGCTTTGGTGATTCAAAACCAGGCGGTGCCGTTCCTCGGTGAGGCGGATATTCCGAAGCATCTGACCGAGGAATTCGAGGACGAGCCCACTGTGAAGGGATCCGATGGGGCAGAGGTGGGTGCTCGTACGGGAGCGGTGACGCACCAGGCGAGCCGACCGCAGGGATCGAGTGCACCGCCTACACCGGCCCGGCCACCACCCACCTCGCGATGGCCACAGGACTCGATTGCTAAGATCACGGAGCTGGGATTCTCGCGGGACGAGGCAGAGCGGGCACTGGAAGCCGCGAACGGGGATTTGGATGGAGCCATTGGATTCTTGATCTAAATCTACCTAGGGTATGGCGTTCCGGTTTTCAAGCTTTAGCGGATTATATCACAGCAACGAATAAATGTACGATTAAGGTGGTTCAAGTTACTCGCGTTTAGACTTGGAGAGTGAAAGTTTCTCTCGTAAGCGGAGAACCATATCCAAGGCCATCAAAGCACCTGCATATGTTAGCTGACGCAAAAGCAGTGTAGAAGCAGATGTATACATACCCAAAGCAACATAAGGCCCATACAGATACGTAATCTGCACCTTCTCATCCGTCGAACGATCCTCCCAACTCCACACCTCAACCAAACAAGTCAAAGACGTCACACAAGCCTGAACTCCAAAGATAAGAAGATTCACAGGCAAAAGTGGATGATCTATCATACGCAGTGAGCCTTGAACTAAAAATAAAAATAAAAATAACAAGATAGTGTTACCTCGAAGTAATGCCCAAACAGCCCAGGCACTCAGGGGAACATGGTACAGCAGTTCCATCCAAATAAATGTGGTGAACCAGACTGGAGTGGGTTCTTCGAAAAACTTATCACGGTAGGTTGTAATGTAGAAGTTGCGCAGGGATTGGGAGAGGTCGGTGCGGAGGTAGGTTGGTTGAAGGGGAACGGTGTCGATTAGAAAGATGATAGGGATATGAATGAGGAAGAAGATGAGGTAGACATAGTCTCTGCGATACATCATGTCGACGACTATGTATAGCTGTATAGCTGTATACTAGCTGTGTTCTGTTGTGTTGATTGCCGTGTTGTTGACTGTTTACTCCGTCCTGTGTGTTCGGTACTGTCACGTGTGAATTGCACTTTTGGTCTTTATACTCTACCAAAGCGGGTACCAGATCGGCGGTTATCATAATTGCTTTTTTTCAAAAAATAAGCTTGTGGGGACGGATATAATGTACGTATAGATATATACTACTAACTATAATATACTAAATGTAAGAATCTTACTGTTCCCCCCGTTATTCCCCAGTCTTTTACTCTGGTACTGGTACCCCGGCCCGGTCCTTGTTGGTAGATCCACTGAGGGGGATAGTAAATCAACTCGACGGTGATAGTCACACAAGGTACCTGGCGAGATTAGGCGAAGGGCGCTAAATGCCATCAGGATGAGCCGGATGGCATTATCTGCAATACAAAATTCAATCAAATTCAAATTTAAATCCAGGGACGTGTCCATGCGGGATATTTCTGTGGCTACAACTTCCCGTGCGACGTGTCTTAATCTATGCGGACCGCATCTTTTTCCACCCAATCTAATCCCTGAAACAGTTAGACGCCCTGTAATTCTACTTTCTCCATATGGCTTCCCGATCCGGTTGGTGAGAGATTAGCGTGGACTTCCGGGACCGAGGATGTTTAGTTGGCCTTTCGGCTTTGTGTGAATTGACCAATCCTATGCTCTGCACTGATCACGGTAGATAATGCAATTGCCATACTGCCTGCATTTGCCTTATCGGTGGGAAGATAGTGCATGAATACACGGTAAAATTGGCTGATACAGTTATCCCCTCGGTGCTAACCATATGGGATTCAGATCATATTTTTGGAAAGAAAACTTGAATATGACGAGCGCGTCGCACAGGATATACAGGGATTGTAGATCGGAATGCACCGGGATTAAGTTGCTTCTATGGTCAATGATTCTAAATCTTTCCTGACCGCTCATCTGGAGGACACAGACCACTTGCATGAGGCCACTAGTTCAACCCCCGGCCTCGGATGATGATATCAACGTACTATACTCCCGTGGTGGATTAGAACTTAGTGGATTAGTGGGTTATATAAACCCCAATTTCCCCCCCTCTATCAATCAGTACAATTAAAGTCTTCCCCATTTCATTCAGATGCCTTCCTCTGCCCCCCTGATCCGCTCCAAAGCCAACCCCCCAAATGGTCATAAACCTGAAATTCCAGTCAGCTATGACATAAACATCCCCTATGTTGATGTGAATAAACAAACCAAGATCAACACTCCATACCCGGAGTATCTCCCGACCTGGGATCCAATATGGTTTGACCCACTACCAGAATTCGACTACGAAGACCCAGCCCTCCGCGTAAAGGATAAATCCAAATCAAACCTCCTCACCCCAAATGTGAAACTCACCGATATCCAACCCGCAATCGGCAGCATAGTCGAAGGCATCCAACTAAACAAACTCACAAACATTCAAAAGGATGAACTAGCCCTCCTCATCTCTGAGCGAAAGGTCCTAGCCTTCCCAAACCAAGATCTCATCGACGCAGGCCCAGCAGAACAAGAAGCATTCATGCGCTACTTCGGCAAACCAAATTACCAGCCGGTCTCAGGCACTGTACGGGATCATCCCGCCTTCCATGTTATTCACCGTGACGGGAATCGCGAGGAAATCGCTCGTTTCCTCGAAGCGCGTACAACAACTACTCTCTGGCATCAGGATGTCAGCTACGAGATCCAGCCACCAGGCTATGTCATGCTGGGTCTTCTTCAAGGGCCAGAAGTGGGTGGGGATACGGTCTTTGCAGCGACTGATATGGCGTATAAGCGATTGTCGCCCACATTGCGCGGGTTCCTGGATACGTTGAATACAGTGCATTCGTCTGCGAAGATGATTCAGCATACGCGATTGATGGGCGGTTTGGTGAGGAAGGATGCTGTTGATACTGTTCATCCGCTTGTGAGGATTCATCCTGTTACGGGGGAGAAGTGTTTATTTGTGAATGCGGAATTTATTACTAAGGTTCAGGGGATGAAGGAGCCTGAGACGAAGTGGATGTTGGATTTCCTGATGAATCATATTGTGACTGGGCATGACTTTCAGGCTAGAGTGCGATGGCAGCCGAGGACAATTGTGATGTTTGATAATAGATCTACAACTCGTGAGTGCTCCCCCTTCCCTGTCTGTGAGTAGAAGCTAATCAGGTCAGACTCCGCTATTGTTGATTACCTTGATGAGGAATATGGTGCCAAGGCTCGTCATATCTTTCGTTTGATTGCGTTGGGAGAGAAGCCGATTCCTGTTTATGATGAATTCTCCTAGTCCCATAGATAGACTTATGATTTGCTTTTGGCGGGAGTTTTAGACTTTTCGGCTTCAAAATGTTTATTTGCCTAATTGATAATACTTTATCCTTCCTAATCATTGAAACGGGTTCTCATTATATTGAAGATCGATTTTCATATTCACCTCCACAAACGCCGCCTAGAGTACAAGCAATGAGATGATCCTTCCAGGTTGAGACAAGACGCAAAATTGAGAACTTAGTTCAGGAGGTCCGAGATCCTTCGCTGAAGGTCCCGACTTCGGTCCACAATGTCGGGACCGTTGCCCGCTCCCTGCTGCAGTAGTAACAGGGTCTCGGCAACACGTTCGGCAACCACGTCTGACCCGAATACCATCCCGCCTAGCCGCATGGTCTCGTGGAACCATCCTTCCAATAGGTAGAGTAGATCGGTGGCGATGAATCGGCGGTATGTCCCCTGGAACGGCGCCTCGTCGGTGTAGTACATGGCCTCCAGGACCCCATAAATGGACTCGTGTGCAACTCCCAGATCCAGGAAAAGATCGACAATCCAGTGATCAGGTCCAACGTGGCGCTGGTGCTCTAGCGAATAGCGTTCCAGCAACGGGACCAGTTCACGCACGGGGAATACGGTCTCCGACATACGGAGCCGACTGCCAAGACTACGGACTTTCTCAATAACTGCTTCATAGGGTTGTGGGGAGCCCCGCTCCACTGTGACGGCGTGCAGATCGTGAACAAGATGGTGCCAAGTGGCCTTGATGTCGGCTGCATTCCGGTAATCGGCTAGGAAGAAGATCTGCAGACAGATGTCATAGTAACTCGCCGAGTCGGCATATTGGTTGAAGAGCTAATTCTTAGTCAGTGCTGCACAGAGCCGGACTTTTACCGGACTTTGATCGGACTTACTGTACTAATGTCCATCACAGGACCATCCACGTCTTGCAGAACCTCGTTCTTACGGTCCGGTGTGATCCGGTCATCATCCTTCAAGCGCTGCAGGAGGTCATCCTGGATGTTGGCCACATCGATAAGATTGGAAATTTCCTGCAGCAGACGCTGCCGTGCCTGACGCCCCACATCAGGTGTGTAAGTCGAGGCGTTGGCCCGGGCCCGGCCCAGGTACTCAATACGCCGGCTCAGGGAAAGGGTAAAAGCACTCTGTGCGAGCTGGAACTGCACCTTGGCGGCCTCGAAAAAGCGCTGTGATTGTGCGTAGTAGCGCCACAGCAAATCGGCATGGGCGATGTCGTCAGTAGACTTTCTTTCCAGGTAGGTTACAACAAATGGAGATTGTGTCTGCAAGAGACGATCGTTCCACCCCTGCTCCAGATACCAATCGTAAAGGCTGGTCAAGAATACCTCGTCGTTCGAATCGGAGATGATGGTATACGCCTCGTTCTGGCGCTTGGCGATCTGGGTCATCTGGCCATCAACGAATCCGGGGTCAGTTGCGGCCAATGTATCAACTGCAATGATAACATTGAATACGAGATCGTAACATTGCTTGCGGAACAAGTAGACGGTCTTCCGTGGGTCCTGTATGCTGGTAAGTTGGTGTGTGGTGTGATATCTGAGGGGCATCTGTACTTGTTCGGGGCGTCCATCCATGATCCAGGAGAGCGCGAGATTTGCCTTGTCGCATCGAGAAGCAACAGTAAGTGCCAATTGAATTGCACCTAAAGAATTAGCGACATCAAGACAACTGGTGTTAAGACATACCGGCAAAGAATTGATTTCCAATATAGTTCTCCACAGCAGAAACTAAATAATCCATGGGCAGGTTGTCCGCCACCTGCCGGAACAGGTTCAAACTCTCGTTCAAAAGGTTGCGGCCTAGCTCGGAATTGGCCCCAGCCTCGGTGGCCCGCTTGAGTAGTTCTTGCGCCTTGAAGATGACCACATCTTCCGCACTGCAGAAGCTGCCGCATCGGCGCCGCAGGGCATCAGCAACGGTCTCAACATTGGAGCCCTTGGCAATGTTGCGGTTCACAATGCTCTTGACCAGCTCCTTGGCAACTTCGTTGCCCTTGCTAGTACTGAAAAGCTCCTCATAGGTGAGCTTCAAGAACTTTTGCTTTGAATCCTCGGGCAGGGTGGCCACAATCTCGTCTACTCGCTCATCGAAAAGAACAAGGACGAAGGAGATTCCTTCGATGGTATTAGAGACTAACTGAACAAGAGAGTGCAGCGCACGGTGCTCGCCCTGCAGCGCAGTTTCTTCTTGCTTGGTAGAGGCTCGTGCGAGGGCCTCGGGCCCACTGAGCCCTTCGATGAAGCTTTTGTTGGTCTTGAAAAAGTTCTGAAGTGCGGAGAGATCGTGCTGGATTGTCTGCAGTTTTGAGGCAGGCACGGAAGCGGAGACAGTGATAGCACCACTTGGTGCCTTGCCGACCTTGGCAATCTCCTTCTTCCAGATTGACCGCAATAGGCGGGAGAGGTACAGGGAGATACCTGCATGGCGGGGGGAGGGTTCAACAAGATCGATAGCAGGAGTAGAGCTATCAGCCACAATGTTTTCGTTGATCGCAGGGCGGCCACCAAAGTCAATAAAAACCTTGCGGGCGAACTCCAGGACCTCGGAGTCATTAATCTGAGTGAGTCGCTGATCCGAAGAGACCTCCACACCTTGTCCACAAGCTACGGCAAGCGCAGTGGCCAAGGCTTCTGGTCGGCCGTATGTGCGAATGAAGTTTCTAGCCTCTCCATCTAGACCTTCCTCGCCGCTACCACCACCGCGGACTAACGAGGCGAAGATATCCACCAGGCGTCGCCGTCGAATAACATGGATGCCCGTATTTGTCAGAATAGCAATCTCAGCAGCAGGGTGGTCAAATTGAATAGCCAACTCGTTTCCAAACCCTGCAGAGCTTGGTGGAGGAGGCGAGCAGAGGCCAATGGCTTCTGCTCGACCGCCAAGGCTCATCCAAATGGCTGACTCGCCTGTTTTCCCAGTCAAAACATTATCTTGGGCCCTGGAAACCCGACCAGAATCTGGGGACGAAATGAACAGAGTATCGACCTTGTGTGCGGGATCCTTGGAGGCGAAGCAAAAGAAGTATCCCGGTGGGAACCGCGCTGCCATCCGCGTCGGCGACAAAGTTTGAATCGCAAGTTTACCGCCAGGCTGCTGGAAGCGAGGTAGCCCAAAATCAGCAGGAGCATCGACCGGTGGGGTCTTGACGTGCTGGGCTTGCATGCTGGTGGGAGCATTGGTACCATTGGGCACGGGCGACCAGCTGTAGGAACCGGTGGCACTCAGATAGATGCGGTATCCAGTGGCAGTTGTGGCAACAAGATGATAACGAGAGGCTTCTGCTGCAGGGACAGGACTGATGGAGACAATTGGCACTTTAGGGTTAAGAGTTTCGTTAGATGCAATGATATGTCCGATGTTCGAGTAAATGTCCAAAGCATGCTTGGTGATGGCCAGAGAGAGAGAGCCGTCGGGCTTAAGGTGGAACACCCGGATAGTAGAGGTCGAAGACAAAGTGTAGAGCAGGTTCCGGCTCTCGTCAATGACCATCTGTTCTACATTCTCCATGGCCACTTTTGCTAAATTCGTCAAGCTCAGCGACGGTGCAAATGCTGCCAGCCGGGAGCTGGTGTGGTTGACCTTCCCGCAACGACCCTGGAACCATCGCTCCTCTTGTTGGTATGTCAATTCGTAAACATCGTTGTCAGACGAACCGCCGAAGAAGATCCGGCCAGTCGAGTCGAAGGAGGCGAAAACGTGAATATCCAGACCCCGAATCGGAACCGCCATTCCGGTCTGATACAAGGTAACCTGTCGCCCGCCGTTCGGTGTGTTCTCCACTCCCATGCCCAACAAAATCAATTCGGCGGTGGTTGACACCACAAGTAAATGAGTGATTGCTGGCAAAAACACTCCGGCGCGAGGCTTTACGAGCTTGACGGTGTTGATACTGTTTGGCTGGTCTTCAAAACCAACCAATTGAGGGTTCGGGTGTGTGAAATCCCACAGATAGAGCGCGTTGTCGATGGCCACCCACGCGTGGTTCAGCTCGGCGAAAAGTCCCATGCTTGTCGATACCTGGGCGCGATTGTATTGATCAAAGATCTGGTCGGGGATGTTGTACATTTTGACTTTTTGGAATGGCGCCCATGACGCGGATGTGGGGATGTCATATTCAGATGAGAATCCCTCTATTCAACATTAGCACTGATCACGAGGCCCGAATGAAAAACATACGTGATAAATAACTATCCAGATCTGGGTATCTCGATTCTTGGAAGAGGACCTCATTGATGGTACGCGCTCCTCGCTCTTCTGTGCTCAAGTTCTTGTTTTGTGTCGCAGCGATTTGGGGAAGCTTGGGAAGCATTTGAGGCGGGCTCCGAAGAGGGATCGGCGGCAGCTGCTGATGTGGAGGAGATCTAGGACCATCTCGAGGCACGGCTGGCGTTTGCAGGTAAGCTCCCGGTAGAGGTTTCTGCGGCGTCGCCGGAGGTAGGTTTGCTTGAAGAATCGGGTACGACATTGCGCTCAGCTGGGGAGGAGAGAGGGACGGACTCCCCGCTGAATAGACAATGGGAAAGGAATCTGCAGTCTGGATAAGAGATATTGCAAAAGCTGCAAAAATGTCAAACAACGATAAGTCGGAAGTGGAAGGCGCGAACAGCTTTTTGAAGATGATCAGTTTCAAGGTTTCTTTTGCGAGGTCAACAATTCCCGTGCACGGACCACCAGTAATGATCTTCCGCCTTTTCAAATGATTCCCAACTTCAACTTGTTTCAGTTCAGGCCAATTAAAGCACATCAACATGTTCCGTGTCGGAAGATTCACTTGCGCTTCTATGCGCCAGGTGCGATGGAATTCCACTGCTACTACTCCACCTATGATGGCAACACTGAGGGCTGATCTCAAGACCGCTATGCGTGCCAAAGATACTGCCCGGTATGGTCAAATCCTCAAATACAATGGATTTTTAGCTAACCATTGCAGGCTCAATGTCCTTCGTGCCTTGATTTCCGAGACCAACAATGCTGCCAAAACCTCCCAACCATTCACTACCGATCTTCAACTTCTGTCCCTGATACGGAAACGTTCCAAAGCCTCCCAAGAGGCTGCGGAGTTGTTTGCTAAAGAAGACCGCGCGGATCTGAAAGCCAAGGAAGATGAACAAGTCACCATCCTGGAGGAGTACGCCAGTCAGATCAAAACAATGCCCATTGAGGAGTTGGAAGCGATCATTGCCTTGCATATTGCTAAAATTCAGGCCAATGGAGACAAGCCGCGGTCCGGTCCTCTCATCGGAGCTCTTTTTGTCAAAGGAGGACCATTGGATGGCAAGCCAGTAAACAAGGCCGATGTGCCAGGTTTGGTGAACAAGCTTCTAGGATCAAATTGATCGTGTTATATAACAGATGTATTATAATTGAGAGGCATCTCCTCCCTGTATCAAAATAAATTGACTGTCACCTTTGGAGAAATGATCATGGCAAGGTCTGCATCAAATTAGGCCCGTTATCATGGCCAATCGAAATGGATTTTGCTTGCTACAGCTTATAAAATTGCTAGGTTGTGTAATGGCTTGATGGTTCGCGCATTGTGGTTGTAGACATACTCCAGGCTAGTGTTCCATTGCTTGGACGTGGTAAAGGATATTATGACCAGTTCTAACTCGATGTTCATAGCTGAGCAAGATGCCGTTCCTTGGTATAACCCAACCCCTGTATTTTCCTAATCCGAAAGAACTTTAACTCCGTTAAAAGTGGCTTGTCGCTCCAGGAGCACATGTCGAGGAGATCCGGTAATGGCGCATGACTGGCATGACTGGGTTGCGCGCCTGGTGGGTGAGCGGTATCCGGACCGCCGAAATGAAACAGAAACAGAAATCGATTTAAATGGCTTGAATAAGGGAGACGTTGTCGCCCTTAAGGAGAATTTGACCTGTATCCTGATGTTAGCTACCTTTCAATGCTCGGATGGATCTAACATACCCAACGGTCTCCGCTTCTCCTCCTCTGTCTTTGTGGCTAGGCGCACCTCGATCGCATCGTCAATGACAAGGTTCATGAATTCATCGAATCCCTGGAATACGTTAGTAGAGAACTTAGTTGCCCTGGGTTTTCAGAATTACCCGGATCTTTCCCTCAATCCGAATGGCCAACTGCTCGTAAAGCCAGACGGAAACAGTGCTCCGTTTCTGCAGAAGGCTGAAAATAAAGTGGATTGGTGCCAACAATGTCTTGCGGCCAGCCATGGTGAATGTGAAGGTGGTTGGTTGGAGTTGATAAGGTGTTGAAGCGAAAGAGGAAGTCAAGCTCTGCGTCCCGTGATTTGCGGTAATACCATTACACAAGTCACGGGCAAACATCCCACCTTCTCTTATTCTCACACTCATATCGCGACTTCAACCCCCCCTTATCGTATCCCCTACACACTCTCTTTTTCTTTCTTTTTTGTGTCACTCGGGGTATAAATCACTGAGCTCAAATATCTTGTACATCGCAATTCTCGACGATATGGCCAGCAAGGATGGTGGGCAGGCATTCGCCCCGGTCCTAGCGGCCGTCGCGACAATGCAAGGGAACGTTTCCAGGGCTGAAAAGACCCAAGCCCACGAATTCCTTGAGAAGTTCCAGAAATCGGTACGATACCCCTCCTTTCAGTAGGAAACTCTGGATTAACATATGTCAGATCGAGGCGTGGGAAACGACGCATTCGCTATTACAGTCGCACGACGTACCGATCGAAGCCAAATTGTTCGCCGCAACCACATTGAAGGGAAAGGTAAGCTCTGCGACAATTCACAAGATATTACAAGAATGCGCGGGCTGACACCAGTAGATCGTATTCGATTTGGACCAACTCAACCCAGAGTCTGTTTTAGCCCTTCGGGATTCCGTCCTTGGTCTCCTCGTTGCCTTTGCCTCCGGTCCACGACCCATCCAGACTCAGCTATGCGTGTGTTTGGCAAGTTTGGCGATCCAGATGACCGCATGGAAAGACGTGCTCGCCACGGTGGGATCCGCATTGGGTAGCAGTGCGGGGGACAGTGTGCTGGAGTTCTTAAAGATCCTCCCAGAGGAGGTTACAGAAGGCCGCAAAATCAATCTCAGCGAGGATGAGCTTCTGTCGCGCACAAAGGAGCTACTGGAGGACAATGCCGAGCAGGTTATGCAGCTGATGGTTCAATATTCTCAGTCCTCGCCCTCCGCTGCAACCAACCCGCGTCTTCTGGACTGCATTACCTCATGGCTTCGTGAAATTCCCGCCGCTCGGGTCGTCGAGTCGCCTTTAATGGACGTTATCCTGAAAGCTTTGGACAATGACGTGTCTTTCGATGCCGGCGTTGACTGCATGTGTACCCTCTTCCGAGACACCAAGGATGTTGACGAAGCCCTCCCCATAATTCAAACCCTTTATCCGCGACTGATGGCTCTCCGGCCTAAGATTCTCGAAACCGCCGAAGCTGAAGATCTGGAGGCGTTCAAAGGCATTACCCGAATGTTCTCGGAAGCCGGTGAGGCCTGGGCCGTTCTCATCGCTCGCCTGCCGGTCGAATTCCGCGGCCTTGTGGAGGCTGTCCTGGAGTGCTGTGCGCGCGATTGGGAGCGAGAGGCTGTCTCTCTCACTTTCATTTTCTGGTACGAATTGAAACAGTACATCACTATCGATCGATACGCGGATTCTCGCGTCAATTTCCAAGACATCTTCTCCCAGCTGGTGGATATCATGGTTAAGCACTTGGAATTCCCTAGCCCCGAGGATGGTGAAATCGATCTCTTTGGCGGCGACCGAGAGCAGGAGGAAAAGTTCCGCCAGTTCCGACACTCTATGGGTGATGTCTTGAAGGACTGCTGTTCTGTTGTTGGCGTGACCGAGTGTCTTGGCAAGATCTATCACTTGATCCAGCAGTGGGTGGGCAAGTATGCTGCGCAAGCCAGCAACGAGCACGTTCCACACTGGCAGGAGCTGGAGGCCCCTCTCTTTGGACTCCGCGCCATGGGCCGCATGGTTGACCCCGAGGAAAGTACCGTCTTGGGTCAATTGGTCAGTTTGATTGTCCAAATCCCCGATCAAGAGAAGGTTCGATTCCAGGCGATCATGGCTCTCGCTCGATACACCGAGTGGACTGCTCTTCACCCGGAAACCCTCGAGGCGCAGCTCAACTACGTTATTTCTGCCTTCCAACACCCCTCTCCGGAGGTCATCCAGGCGGCTGCTCTTGCGTTCAAGTTCCTTGGAACCGATTGCCAGAAACTGCTCGGTGGCCATATTGACCACCTGCATTCCTTCTTCTTGTCTGTGCTCGACAAACTTAAGCCAGCCAGCCAAGAAGAAGTGACAGAGGGTGTTGCAGCTGTGGTGTCCGTGCAACCTCTGGAGAAGATTTATGACTCTTTCAAAATGTTCTGCGATCCGATCATGCAACGAATTATGAACCTAGCCAACAACGCCCAAGATGAGGAAGGTCAGCGAGCGGTTGCCGACCACTTGCAGTTGATCACAATCTTTATTCAAGTGGTGACCCCCATCGTTGCGCCGGGTGAGGAAAACCCCGCCGTCAAATACTGTGGCGAAATCCTGCCTATCATGGCTACGATCGTTATGAATTTCACATCTTCTACCCCCATTCTAGAGCGCGTGTGCCGGTGCTGGCGTTATATGATTATATCCTACCGGACCGCTATGATTCCCCTTCTTCCCACTCTCGCTCAGAGTATTGCCAGTGGTTTTGAGGCATCCCGAGAGGGTTGCTTCTTGTGGGCCACGGACGCAGTTGTCCGCGAGTACTCTGATGGTGCTGAGTATGTGGACCAGGCGACTAGCGATGCTGTCTACCAGTTCTATGAGCAGCAGGCCATTTCATTCCTCCGCATTTTGAATGATCTCCCCCCGGAGAATCTTCCCGATGGTAAGATCTCCCATCAGTCTGTGAATTTCCCGTCTAACTTGAACAGTGATCGAGGATTTTTTCCGGTTGTCTTCTGACGCCGTCCGCTACTACCCCAAGAAATGTATCAGCTCGTCATTGTCCATCCCCATCTTCTCAGCGGCACTCAGTGCTCTCACCCTCCAACAAGTTGATCCCCTCATTGCCACCCTCCACTATTACCGCGACCTGTTCAGCTTTGCATTCGACAAGCCCATTGTCTCCGAGTTCACCAGCCCCGAGGGCACACCCTACAGCAACCCTCCTGAGATCCGTGAGGCCGTCAAGGCTCTTCTTCTGTCCCAGGGTCAGCTTCTATCCCAGCGCATTCTAACAGGCATGATGTTCAGCTTCCCTGGTGACTGTTTCCCTGATGCATCAGGGGTTATGATGACTCTGTTTGAGGTGCTTCCTCAGGAGACTGGCGCCTGGCTAGAGAATACCCTGCAGATGCTGCCTCCCGGCTCCATGAAGCCGGCCGAAGCGGAGCGACTTCTCAAGGGCATTGCCGAGAAGGTGCAGTCTCATGAGACACGGAAGATTCGCGTTTTACTTCAAGGTTTGTCAATTCTCTAATAGAGTTGTTCCATTCTAACGTTGTCAGATTTCACCAACTCGTACCGTCGCCGCAATGTGGCTCCCCGCGATGGCCTCGGCCGCCTCGAAGCGACACGGTTCCGATTCAGCGGATGAGATATCTTTTTTTTAGTGTACAATTTTTCTTCTCATTTTCATATGTTCATAGGGTCATGCCCGGAACAAAAAAAGATCCCCCGGAGCATTTGCACAACAGGTGTTGGTCCATTCCTCTTAACGCGATATGTGCCATGTATGGTATTGCATGAGGCACACGAATCCGGTCGTGCTCGTGATGATTTATGATCTGGGTGAGTCGGCTGCCAGATCTTGTCTGGCCTTTCGATACATTGAATCTTCGTGATTGTACGAATCGGCATTTCCCAGTTATGTGCGTTATGACAGGTAGAAGATACCAATAGACAATAAGTCGACTTATGCAGTAGAACTGGCAGTTGATCACGCAGAGAACCTGTAAACACAAACATGCTATGACATGGTCTCAATGTCAATTGATGTGATGTCAAAATTTAGTCTGAATTTACATGAGACCAGGCACCTGGGTCTTAGCTATAGCCCCCCTGAATATGACGCACCTGAAATTAGTCCAGCTTGTATGAAGATTGAACATCTGAAAAGCATTTCGCTGGGAATCCCCGTCTTCTTTCGAATCTTCCATCACTCAAAGCATCAGGTGTCATGTACCGTGGCAGCTGGCCCGCTAACCACAACATTCACCCCCTCATCAGGATGCATTACATTACTTCACAGGTGTCAACAATCATTTCCATGGGTAATGACATTATGCTGGTGAAGCCGCCACTTTTACATACATTTGAGAAGATTCTCCATGTTTCTCTTTTACATATCTATGAAATTGAAAGTTTTATGGGATCATCAATGATTGATTATTAGAATGCAACGCTATGTATTAATGAGCTGAATATATATATACTGTACATTAACTCGAAAGGATAGGATCACCCATTCGAATTCCGATTTAAGGGAAGTTCTTCAACGGGGATATTCTCCCCTTCTTCCCCACCCTCTTCAGAAGGTATATTTTTATAAGAGCGCACCCTTCGTCGACGAAGAGTCCTCCACACAAATAATACAGCTACACCAACAATACCAGTGAGCAGGATGAGAACAATGAAGCCTTCTACTACACGCAGGATATCGTATGCCTTGTAGACGGCCTTGGCGACTTCTTTTGTTTCGGCATAGATGGCATCATCCGATTTAATCTTGGCGTTGGTGGAAGTCTTGGAGTCATCAACAGCTTTGGAGTCATCGATCACTTTAGAGTCATTGACTGCGATGGAGTTATCGACCTTGTCCACTTCATCCACTTTTTCTTGGAGATAGAGGATGGTGGGGTCATCGGGGCTTGGCGATGTTCCTTCAAATCCGACGGCGTGCCAATCATCAGGTCTGTTGGTTCGGTGGAGAAGAGAGATTCCTAGGACAAATCCTTCTGCGTCAACCGCTTCAGCAGACACCCAGTCCATGTACCCGTCAGCTAGGTACATAGTCTCGAAATCTGATTTCTCGGTGTGTCCGATCAAGACGTTCTCGCCCTCCTCGCGGGCGCGAGCGTAGAAATTCCATCGGGCGATATCTGTGGCGCCGTTCCAGCTAACGTGGATGATGGTTAGGACGTCCTTGGTATTTGTGCCATACACGGAGGAGACGACGTCGGGAGGGCTTTTAGGGCGGCCGATCCAGTCGAATTTGTAGGATCGGTAGCTGGAGAATCGCTCGGAGGCGAACTTAGCCCACATGAGCAGGTCTCCGTTGGGAGCGTGCTCCGAATGATAGCCCCATTGACTCCATCCGACGAACGTATTCTTGTTCGGGAGTTGCTGAACATTGCCGCGCAGACGGGTGAGGCCCCCGTCTGGTCGCTTGATGCGCTGAATCAAACGAGCCTGCATGGTGGTCGTGTCGAGGTCGATATAAAGAGCTGAGGATGTGGGCTCGTTGGCAAAGCCCTCGTCCGCGCCGTTGTTCATCAGCGAGATGATGTGGTGAGTGTCATGCGACTCGATGAATTTCACATCGTGCTGCTTGTGGAATGTGAAATCCATATCGAAGTCGCTTTCTTCTCCGCCCAGACGCCACATAATCTGACCATCGACGCCGGAGATCATATAGATGGTGTTGGTAAACCGCAAGGAGATAATGTAGTCGCCGGCTTCGTTTTTATCGACGGCGTTGATATGCACATAGTCCGTACCCGGGGCGTTCAACGGAGCATCCCATGGGTGGTAAACTGCGGATTCGTGGATTGCAATTTGATCCCGAGAGTCCCATTCAAAGACAACACCAGCGCTGTTGATATCCAATTCGACAAATCCACCGGTCTGTGCCCAGGTTTCCTCATTTGGTCGGCCGAAATCGGCAAGGCTGATTGTTTGGGTCCGATAGGCGCAGGCGAGCGCGGTCTTACCCCCATCCATGATATTAAACTCATGCATGTTGAAGAACTGAATATCGTTAACCACCCCCACTTCATGCTCGACCTCGTAGTGGTTATTCAGGATTATTCCGCTTCCTTTGGCGATGTCGTCATGCTGCAGAATGAAAGACAGGTGGGGCTGATCGTCGATATTCCAATTCGCTTTGAAGTCGAAGACATTGCGGTTGTCATACATCGGGGATCCGGCCCAGATGAGCATCTATGCGCCAGTAAGCACGAGTAAGCAGGCGTGGGATATGACAAATACTCACACCCTCATTATCATAGATATAAGGGCCAACTTGGTACTGGGTGTATCTATGGGTCGACGCCTCAGGATCAATTTGGCCATAAGGAGCCACAAACCAGTAACCCGGCTGCTGTCGTTCCCGATCAATATGTTCGATTTGGAATTTCAAGGCCCGGACTTCGGGGAGCTAGATGCGATTAGTTGAGAAGTGACAGGCTACATCAGGTTTGCTCACAGTGACAAAGGAGAGAAGGTCACTATCATGTTGTGCGACGGACCCATGTAAGAACATGAGCCCCAGAGTGAAAAGCATCGACATTAGAATGACTTGATGGAAACACCACTCATGATCAATCGAAGCCTTCAAAGGAAAAAGACTTGGGAGCAAAAAAAGGAAAAGAAGGAGAAGAATTAGGAGAAAGAACAGACTTTGAAGAGTGGAGCGGACAACTCTAGAAGATCGTAATTATTGCCGAAAACCAACTTTTCAGGAGGAAACGCCCTCCCACTCGGAGATAACCAGGCATTTCTACATCAACGGCTCTTGATTGGCCAGGACCGCGTATCGAAAGTCAAGACTTGCATGGGATTTGGCAGGCCGAAAAGTGATCGACGCCAGTCCACGCCAGTCCACGCCAGTCCAGTCCGTGGCGGAATACGCGTCTTGTGGAGCATTTCCGACATGAGTTGTGGGGGGCGCTTGCGTCCACGCAGTCGAACTGAGTAAAATGGAGATACAGGGAGTCGGAGTATTAGCTGTATAGGCTACGGAATCGAAAGTCTGAAGACAGGGCATGACCTATGCTGAATATAGAGTTGGATAGGGCTGGCTGTGGTAGCCACGGCTCTTGGTGGAAGTGACAAAATTGAGTGCCAAGACTCTCCGCCGAATGAGGCACGCGAGTGATTCAGATTGAAGACAAGTGGGCCAACTTGCATTGAGAAGAGTACTAGTTAGGTATAAAAATGGAACATATATAGAGCATCTATGAACATATGATGTCAAAGGTAGAGTTCATTCAAAGAAAGATTCATTCAATTTTGCAAGACTTCGAAGGTTTCGTGCTCGCCAAGGGGTTCGTACTCGTATAGGATTCCGTATGGAACATACCACATTTATACAATAGTATCTAGTAGTCACTATGTGTACATGGTAACCTATATAGTACTGCGATATTAATGTACTCATCGGTCAGATCAGGTCATTCTTAAAACATTTGAATGATATATGGATATATAGTCAACTGGTCTGATTTGCACTCAAGTGCTGGAATGTAATATTCTTCTATGCAAGGGGTAGTAAGGATATTGTACATCTGGAACAACTTAAAACATTTGGAGCTTTCAAACTATATGTGCATTCTAGAATAGTTGAAAGTTTATAATCCGAGAGCATCTGCATATAAGTTGTCCACAGCTCTTTGAATGCAGGTCCAAATACCAGGGCAGACGGGAATACCATTTCTACTTAGGTGGTAGGTACCTTCTAGGTAGTAATTATGTAGTAGGCAGCTAGGTATACTTGAATTTATGAATGTCATGGATATATAACCCCTGGCATACGTCATGTTTTGATACCATGACTTGGTCTTTAAATCTACCAGTTGGCAGATAATTGGTGGCACCTGGACTGCATCAAAGTACTATAGATACTAACAAGATATCATAAGGTATACGGTGACTAAAAAATCTCTAAATATTGAAAACAGATGATCAGATATCTTGTGCAGATGCACTACTAATTTCCCCAGGTCGGCGAATATTACCTCCGCTAACTTTATCCAACCCCACTCCAGTTCTCCGCACTCCCCGGAAGTCTCTCTCGTTCCTTGTCAACATCCCTCCGAGATGCTATGGCGCTCAATGGTGTGACCCGCTAAAGAAATGGACGACGAGCAACCCTCCAAGCGACGCCGGCGCAGTCGCCGCGCCCCGTCAGATCGCAAGTTCGAATGTACCCATGAGGGCTGTGGGAAAAGCTATTCACGCGCCGAACATCTATACCGACACCAGCTGAACCGTACGCTCCCTCACTCCTTTCCCTCATACCCAGACTGACAGTGAAAAGATGCCCCAAAACAGATCTTTCGCTGTGACTTCCCCAACTGCTACCGATCCTTCGTGCGCCAGGATCTTTGTGTCCGCCATCGCGAACGCCATACCACCCGCGGATCACAGCTTCAGAAGCGCGACTCCTTCACAGCGGATAGCCACGATGACCTACCGAAATCGATACTCCCAGCCTCGTCGCCTTCGTCGCCTATGACCACCGCAGACTATACATTTATGACCGACCCCGCGCCGTCAAGGTCCCCTCCGAGTACAAACTACCCATTATCTACCGGCATCGAAGGCACAGGTATCCCAGTGCCCGGCTACCCCGATCTGCCGGTGGGATTCACCCAACCTGAAAGTATGCTGGATCTTGACGCCATGTCGAATGCATACCCCATTTTCGGCGGGGAAACGTACAACCGGTCTCCCTTCGCCATGGCTGATGATTTCGCGGCTTGGCTGTTCAGTGAACCGATGGCGCCGCTGGGATACGGGATGATGCCGCTGGTGCAAAATCAGTTCTACATGAACGAGCCTGCCTATCACAATTTCTGCACCGTCATCCCGCAGCATCCGATGAGCGTGACAAGTATTCTCGACTCGGGATCGCTGCCGGCGATTATATCCGCAGAAAAACGACAGGAGCTGCTCCACTTAATGGCGACGCGATTTAACGAGGCCGCATACTCAGCCGACACTAAGCGCAAAGATGCGCTGATGATTGGGGATCTAGATAGCGACAGACATGTGTTGAGTTTGCGCATGATGCAGACGTATATCGGGTCCTATTGGTACCATTTCCATGCGCAACTACCGATTTTGCACCAGCCGACCTTTGCGGCGGATCGCACGCCAAACCTACTCTTGCTAGCGATTATGGCTATTGGAGCGGCGACTCTGGATAAGATTCATGGAACAGCGGCCACTGAGACAGCGGCAGAACTAGCTAGTTTTATTGCGTGGCATCTACGCTGGGAGATTTTTATGGATGCTGATTTCCGACCGCCGGCACGATTGTGGGTGTTCCAGGCATTGCTCCTACTGGAGGTGTACGAGAAAGGATATTCTACCCGGGCGCTGCATGAACGCGCCCATATACACCATGACACAACGTTGACACTGATGCGACGGGGGAGCTCGCTAATCGGGCGGTCATCGTTTGATACCCCCGAGTCCAGGGAGGAGGATGAATCATGGTCACATTGGATCAAGGCCGAAGCGACTCGACGAGCCGCCTTTGCTGCATTTGTGCTAGATTCCACCCATGCCACAATGTTCGGCCACTCTGCCAAGATGGTAGCGCATGAGCTCCGGCTGCCATTGCCGTGCGATGAGGCCTTATGGGCAGCAACCAGCGCCGCGGAGGTAGCGCGTGTGCAGTCGAGTCTCCAATCCCACGGCGTGCGACCCGTAATGTTTCTGGATGGACTGAAACGTACGCTGAATGGCCAGCCCGTCCGCACAAACGCGTTCGGTCGCAGTATCTTGATCGCGGGATTACTGAGCGTGAGCTGGCATCTGCACCAGCGAGATCTGCAGGTTAGTTCACTCGGAGTCGGGCAAACACTCGGTGGTCGTGATAAGTGGCGGACTGCGCTCCTCCGCGCATTCGATAACTGGCGTCGCGACTTCGACGAAGCATTGGGTTCGTCCCCGACAACCGAATCCGAGTCCCGCGATGTGCTTCATGGTCTTGCCCATATGGCCTCTCATGTGGATATTGTGGATCTTCAGATCTTTGCTGGTGCGGATCGGCTAATGGGTCGGTCTATCACTGCCCGCGACTATAGTACAGCACGCGAGAAGACCGGGCGCTGGGCGAATAAGGCCTCTGCACGCGATGCGACGTTCTATGCACTAAAATTCCTATCCACTTGCTTCGTTGAACAGGCGTCGGGGGAGTACGTTGCCCGCGATGATTACCTTCTCAACCGGCCCTGGGTTATGTACTTTGCCGTGTTAGTAGTGTGGTGTTATGGGTTTGCACTGGATGGACCTTTACGACCACCTCCTGTATTGGCAACCCCGACTGAAAAACAACACGATATGCAGATATTCCTGCAACGCGTAGGTGGGGTGCGTGAACCTAATGAGCTGGAGGGGATGAAGGGGCGAAACACATGTTTGGGTCTGTTGATGGTACTTCGAGACTCATTTGTGAGTTCACGATGGGAATTATTGAGAGAAGCGTCACGGCTGCTGGACAGCTGTATCGCAAAATTATGTAGTTAAAATACTGACGAGATTCGTTCAAATTCTCAGTCAAACACACTGTAAACCCCATGTTTAGTCTGATATGATCTCACCCTTATGTTGGTTGCCGCAACAACCGTCGATCCACTTGCCTAAATTCCCACTTCCTCATTCCTCTCCTCTTCTATTTCCCCAATACATTGAACATTGAACATTGACCTTCAAACCAACTCCATAATGGTGCGTACAAGGGATAAGATGTTGACGAATTACCTCTTCCGTCCTTGTCCCGATTGACTTCCCGCCCCCCTTCATCCCTGGATCTCCTACCACATCTACCACAACACTCATCACTCTACCAACTCCACCTATACAATATACCCTTCATCATGGCTAATAAATCCGATCAGGCCTCCACAAACTACAAAGAAGCATTCTCTCTCTTCGACCGCCGTGGTACAAACCGCGTGGCCGGTGAACTGCTTGGCGATCTCCTCCGCGCCTGCGGTCAGAATCCCACCCTCGCCGAGATCGCCGACCTTGAGAAGTCCGTTGGAGCTGACTGTATGTGTCCCCACGGGTGTTACAAAGAAAATACTAACATGATGGTAGTCGATTTCGATTCCTTCCTTAAAGTCCTCAACCGCCCCGGCGGTTTCCGCGAGCCCGGCGAGCCTGAGGAATACTGCCGTGGATTCCAGGTCTTCGATAAAGATATGACGGGTTTCATTGGAGTTGGACAGTTGCGCTATAGTACGTTACCAGATACCAGATCTGTTGTGCGGTATTGCGTTGATTCTAACAAATAATACAGTCCTTACCAACCTCGGCGAGAAAATGTCCGATGACGAGGTCGATGAGCTTCTCAAGGCTGTCGATACTAGCTCTGGCGAGATTAACTACACTGATCTTGTGCGCACTATTCTGGCCAACTAGGTCTACCCGATACCCCCCGCAGTTGCTGCTTTTGATTTTATGATGCGCACGCTTATGGTTATGGAACATGTCTGGAACCGGATCGCTTTACATTTCTTCTTTTGTTCTCTATTTTGTTGTTAGCCCCTACATCTTCACTTCGGCGTGAGGGATGCTTGTATCAGTCCAAATGGATGTCCATATTCAACGTATACAATTCAAGCTATTATCCACCTAGCCTCATAATATACAGATCGCTCATGTTCAAGCTTCATTATTCCACTCCCTCCACTCCCCTTCCCCAGTATCCTTCTCCCCCATCTTCTCCGTCTCAACGATAGCTCCAGGAAGAATATACACTGCAGTCCTCTTTTCACTGTCCACATCCTCACTCTTCCCATAATGCGCATTATCGAGATAATACCCCATTGCAACCTTGCACCGACCACACCGCAGAATAATCCTCTTCTCAATCCCGTCTTCGCGCCGGATAAGTGTTGCCCGACGATCGGGTATAGTAGTAGATAGAAGGACGGTCGCGTGTTTCGTTCTGTGCGCTTCTATATCCTCGTTCGTGGTGTCATCCAAGGGGAGGATTATAGCTTTATCTTTTGCTTCGCCGCCGCGGCGGGGCAGGGTCGATATGTCTCTTGTTGTTGCGAGGAGGAGGTGGTTGCAGAATGCGCAATGTTGGGTTCGGATTGGGAGACGGGGTTCGGATGATGCCATTTTGGGAGAGGCGTGAGTAGAGGTCCGATTGGATTGGTTTTGTGTATGCTATGCTTGCAGCTTGCGACTTCGGTGGTATGCAAGCTTGCTTTTGGTTCTGGTCTGATGAAGTGGGTGGGGTGGCTGGGGCAATCAGGGTCTGTATTTCTTGTTACTTTTGTTTTGTCTGGGAGGGTAGGTTTTCCATAGCCGATGGCACCAGGGAAGCCTTACGTAGAGATCAGTAGATTGAGAATTTGAGATTGGGGTTGAGCTTCGGAGCTGAAAGCTGGAGATTGTATTTGAAGGCGGTGGGTGGGCTTATCGTTATCGATATTTATGGCACAACTACAGACATGTGCATTTTGAGAGTGGTGACCTTAAAAGTGTGCTCAACATCTTATTTATATTTCGTTATGCAAAGATAGCTTAAGCCAGACCCAACTCCTGGTAGAATGCAGTGGTCTGCGGCTCGCGGCCCAGGAACTCAGTCACCGTCTTCATCTCGTCCTGGCTACCTCCCTTCTCCAACACCTGGTACCGGTAACGACGACCAGCAGCTTTGTTCATAGGGTCATCTCTAAAGACGGTGTAGAACATATCGGTGGAGTAGACTTGTGAACTCAAGTATCCGTAGTATCCAGCATCATAGCCACCCATCAAGTGACCGAATGTGGCTTCACCGTGAGCCCACTCGTCACCACCATTCAGGACTTCCGGGCCGTCCATCTGGGTAATCTCCTTGCGGAGACGGTTGTAAGTTGCTGAGATAGGCAGCGCCTCGATGTCGGCGTGACTCTTAGGCTGGTGGATAGTCATATCGAAGATACCAAAGTGAAGCTGGCGCAGGTTGAACAAGGCATCGTTGACGTGCTTGGTGCGGATAAGGTTTTCGATAACATCGTCAGGAATGCGCTCTGAAGGCGGGGCGGTGGCAGTCTGGTCACCACTACGCGCTTGGTGGGCTTCCTGCCAACTAGCGAGGTATTCGGGCGACAAGGTTGTGTAGTGTCTGCTCAGCGCGCGTAGCTGCGAAGGAGTCCAGCACCAGTTCTCTAGCATTTGGCTGGGCGCCTCGACAAAGTCTCGCACGGTGCTGGTACCATGGAAGCGGGAATAAGTGGTTCGGGCGACCAAGTCGTGGATGCCGTGGCCCAGTTCGTGGAACAGGGTCACAACCTCGTCGTGCTTGAGCAGACTGGGCTTCTTAGGGCCGGGCTTGGTGAAGTTGCAGACTAGAGCGGTAGCGGGGAAGCGACGGTTACCATCTGCATCAATGAAACCCTATTATCGTTAGCATCTTGTCGTTTAATTCTTTGGCAGTACGTACCGGTTGCAGACCGAAATTAGCGGCATGACCGTACTTGCCCTCACGTGGGAACAAATCCAAATACAGATAACCGACGAAGCCAGAGCCTTCACCCTCGTCATTCCACACGCTGAACACCTGCACATCCTCGTGCCAGACAATATCACTGCCCTTACCACTGGGGGCTAAGGCCGCACGGTCCTCGCCAACAATTTCGACGAACTCTAATCCAAAGAGCTCCTCAAAGATCTTGAACATACCCTCAATGGTGGTCTGCAATGGGAAGTACTCAGCAATGAGCTGATGATCAAGTGAGAAATCCCGCTCTAGCATCTTGTTGTCGTAAAATCGGTGGTCCCACAGGTAGTAGCGCCCATCGGACTGGGGTTCCAACTCTTTCTTCAGGTTCAGCAAGGTCTGGAGCTCCTGCTTTCCACCGGCAGTCAAGCGGGAGCGCAGATCGCCCAAGAATGTGTTTACAGTTTCCGGGGTCTTGGCCATCTTGTCCTCGAGGCGGAAGGCAGCGTGGTTGGGGTAGCCCAGCAGACGAGCAGCCTCATCACGCAGGATAATAGTTTCGCGGAACAGTGGAACGTTCTGGTTGCACTTGTTCTCGTTGGCGACCATGACCTGCTTGCGAGTCTCCGCATTGGTGGCGTACTTCCCAGTCGGGATCAGATCCGGGTACTTGAAGGTCAGCCAGAGCTTGCCAGCGTTCTCGCCCTCACCACGCTTCAGGCCGGAGACCACATCCTCCGGGACGCCAGCCAGCTGCTCAGGAGTGAACCAGATGCCCCCGTTCTCTTCGTTCAGGTTCTTCTGGAACTCAATGCTCAACTGACTCAGACGCTTCTTGATTTCCTTGAACCGAGCCCGCTGCGGCCCGGCGGGCAGACCCAATCCATTTCGCACGAAATCCTTGTGTTCCTTCTCCAGCAGACGACGAGATTCAGGATCAAGATCCTCATTCTTGTTCAGGACAGCATCCACCAGCTTGAACACATCCTCGCGCATGTTAGCCTCAATAGAGAAATCATCCATGAGCTCCTCCGCCTTCGAGGAAGCATCCCGGAGCTTCTGATCGGTCGATACGGCCTGGTAGAAGCCCAGGATATGTGCCTCTAACATCATAGCATTACTATCCTGAGCGAGCGGGCGCAACACATTGGCAAACGTGGCAGCATCTGGCTTGATCTCGGCAACGATTTTGTCTTGAACAGACCGAGATGTATTGATAAGGCGCTCGGCATCGGCGACAATGGATTGTGGGGTAGCAGTGAAGGTTGGCGGGGCCTGTGGCGGACGTCGGAGGTGAGCGGGGGCCATACTGGAGGTTGTCAAATATCGGAGAGGTGTAGTTCGAAAGTGACCCAGTACAGCTGAGAGGCGGGCGGCGGGGAGACGAAGGAGGGGCGCCACGATGATAGCAGCAAGGAGAATGAGGAGATGGCGAGTAAGAAGAATGGTGGAGAAGAAAGAAGAAAGATGCGGTGTGTTTCAGATTCAAGCTGCAGCTGGGATACAAGCAAGCGGGATCGGAGGTATCTAGATATGGGATCAGGTGATTACAAGGTTTCCCCGCTAAACCCAGGGAAATACGATATCACGTAATACGAACTAGTCAATCAACCCCTCTATTACTTGGGGACACCGCAGACTCTTTGGATAGGCGTTCCACTCCCTATCATTCCACTTCTCTTTTCTTTTCTTCCCAGTTAGCATCTTGAGGAGACCCCTTCTAGAAGACCCTTTTTAATATTTAACTAATACTGTAGGAAATAAGGTAGGAGAAATGGTACCATTTTGAGTGGGATACAATGGGATAACTGTTGAGGTAAGCTGGTAGCTATCAACTCAAATATCTGTCTGCTTTGCTCAACGAGTAGGAACAGATGGGCATCCAAACATTGAAGCATGTGTAGAACTGGGATATTTATAAGATTACGGACTAAGTTTTAAAGTAATGAAGGTTCAATGTTGAAATCTGATGTAAAAATGGTCGTTTCTAGTTCATGAGAAATTATCTATGTGACAGTCGCTTTTCTGATAGACAATAAAGGTTATAACGCCGAAAACACCAACAAAAAATGCAAGGCACGTCATCTGAGCTCACTTAAGCAGCATCAGCAGTGGGGACAGGCTCAGGGATCTTAGTCACCTGCATGCCGGCCCGAATGATGCGCTGACCTGACTCATCACGCACGTACTCGGTGTTCTCCTTGTGGGAGCGCTTCCAGATCTCAACCTCACAGCCACCGCGAATCACACCAACACGCATGGTGGAGAGGAGGTTGTGGGCACCGTTGGAGTGGTAGTAGATACCACCGTTAAACATGGCAGTGGCATCCTTGCCAATACCGGAGCCAATCATGGCCTTGCCACCGGGGTGGTCCTTGATGAAATCGGTAACATCGTGGACAACACCAGCGACAGCAATGAGACCGCGACCGCTCTTGGCCTGCTCGACGTACTCATCCCACTCCATCACGGGAAGCTGTTCCAGAGGAATACCCCAGTCCAGCTTGGCGCGCTTCTGGTCAATCTTCTTCTGCAGCTGCTGCACGCGACCCTTCTCAATCTCGTTGGAGCGGAACTGCTTCAGGTCGTAGGCCAGACCCAACTGCTTCCAGGTCCAGATAGTCCACTTGGTAGGGTCGTACTGGTGCCACTCGATGGCATTGCGGTAGTCCGAGGGGAATTCGTGGTGGAAGTTGTGGTATCCCTCGCCGAGAGTGACCAGGGCGGTGATGACGTGGTCACGGGGTGAGTTGCGGTCGTCGAAAGGCTGGTCACCGAGCCAGTGAGCCAGGGAGTTAACGCAGAAGGTAGCCTGCTGCACGAAGAAGATACGCAGAATACCGGCGTAGACGAAACCACCGAACCAGTCACCCCAGCCGAGACCAGCAACCAGCATTGGGACCATGAGACCCATTCCGAAGACAACCTTGAGGTAGTGGCGGTGCTGCCAGATGACGACGGGGTCCTCGTTAAGATCGGTGATGTCGGTGCGGCCGATACGCTTGGGGTTCTGCTTCATAACCATCCAGCCGAGGTGGGAGTACCAGAAGCCCTTGCGAACGGAGTAAGGATCCTTCTCAGTGTCGGTGTAACGGTGGTGAGCACGGTGGCCGCGAGCCCACCAGCGGATGGAGCCCTCAACGGCACCACCACCAACCAGAGCGAGCCAGATGCGAAGAGGAAGAGTGGCGGAGTAGGAGCAGTGAGCCCAGAGACGGTGGTATCCTGTATCACATTAGATACTAATCCAATGATCTAAAGCACTGGAAACTTACCTGCAGTGATACCCAGACCGGTGAAGAAGTAGTAGATAACAGCCCAGATAGCGGTCTTGAGCTGCAACGGCACCCAGATAGATTGAACGCAGCCGTAGGCGGGAATACCAAGGATAAGGAAGACGTTGAGCCAGTTAACGTGCTTGTACCAGTTGGCACGAGTCATCTGGGTGTCGGCAATGTGCACCTTCTTGGTGTCAGCCGGCCGGGGGCGGGAAGCCTCAGCCTTAGTCGACATGATGAATGTGATTAAAGGTGACCAAAAAGGATGAGAAAAGAAAAGAGTCTGAAGGCGTGGGCAAGAGCTTTTTTTTATATGGGGAGGGCCCACTTAGGACCAACGTTGGGAGGGTCGAAGGGTTTGATCGCCAACGAATATGGGGGTAGGACACCCAAGCGAATGAAAACGAAAAGCCCACTGAATCACAAGATCCCGAGGTAGAGAAAGGAAGCACAGCAGGAAGATCAATTCTATTAATGCCAGTTTATCCTGATCATGGGTGGCGAGATCAATGCTTTTTCCCGAACAATGTTGGGTTCCGCCCCAACGCTTTGTTGCCTGAGGCGGCAACCCATTTCCCCATGCGGAAACGCCGGAAAGATTAGGAATTTCCCTCTTTAGCAACATCCTGATTTGCTGTTCCAAAAAAAGAGTGGCATGTTGTGTATCAGATTTGTATTTGTTCTAGATTCTCATCACTCCATACTTCCTGTGGTATCATACGTTCTACAATGTACAATCATTCTGTAGTTGTATACCCGCTCCTCGAACTGCAGGAATTAAGGTGCAGGGCCTGGGCCAGGGCACGTGATCCCCAACAGGTATAAGGAGGATTCCCATTCTTTACAAAGTACAGCAAGGGACAATCCCTGTTTTCAGACAATAAGACATAGTCCTGATACAATTGACTTGGCATGCTAAGGTTTTTTCTAAGGATTTACCAATGTTTTACTGATATTTACAGCCTCGGAAACACAGGGTTATGCATTCAGCCCCTGCGCCACCAAGCCGAAAGCCTAAAGCCTTATGGTGGCAAATCGTGAGAGCTACTCCGCATGCATCACGTGATAACATGTGAGCCTTCTTAAGGTTTTGATGAACAAGTTAGCCTGAATCCAGTCCCACTTCCATCCAGTATAGATATCAAGTAGATATGAGCCAGGCCACATAAATAAACCATCAAGATAACAAACGTCATCGACTTTTCAAGAGATACCGGACGGCGAAGAGTGTCAATGTAATCAATTCCCAACAAAATTCCTTAACTATAACGAACTATAATCCTCATAACTTTTCCCACGCCTTTCTTATAGTCACTTCAGATGTCCCTTGGTGCATACTGTGCACAGTATGCTAAGAACTGTGCACATTCCTCATAAATATTTCACAACTTTATATTGAGGTGGGTAGATTTCGTGTATAAGTGATTTCGTGTCTACCGTGGAGTAACTCTGGATGCAACGTATTCCCAAAACAGACTAGTAAGAATTTGGGCTTGGGCCCAGACTATGACCTGTCATGTCACATCTCTCATGTTCTTATTTCTTCTCTTTACTGATTCTTTTGACCCACATCATTCGTCAGTCTTTCTCATTGTATACTCTTATCATTGATAGATTTCCACTCATGAGTCATGATCAAACCATAGGACTTTTTACTAAGCACAATCAGGCCAAAACTACCAATTCTGACTATGCAAGCAAAGTTTGTCAACTTGACGATACAATTCGCGCAATGTCGACCAGTACTATCTTAAGGTTTTATTCAATACCGAGTACGCTTCACGTGAAATAACACAGCGCGAGGAAGCGTTGCACCACAAGGCGAAGGGCATTAGGAAAGGCCGCAATTATAAGAGTCGGACAAAACTCAAGTCGAAAATGCATATGAATAACTTGAAAAGGCTCAAGCGCAATATTCAGGCACCCCGGGCAATTTTTCTTGATGAAGTCTTGCTACGAGCTGACGTCAAAGCAGATTATGATAGCTTACGGCGTGATGTCAGATGGAATATGCGAGAAGAATTGGCTCAGGATTGTTCAGATTAAGATGGTTGTTATAGCCAGGGATGTGTGATGTGCGCAGAGGCATCTATCTGAAAGGAAGAAAGGTAGGGGCCATTGTACCGCAGAGTGCTAGTACTGTATCGCCTTTCGAGGCTTCAAACTTCCAGACGAGGAAAAGGAGATTAGCCGCAAAAGTTTCAGAAGCATGGTTGAACATGTTGCACATGATTCACTCTTTTCCGCTCCTTAAGGCGTAAGGGAATCCAAACAGTACTCTAAGTCTGACTCCTTGGTGCGGCGAACTTAGGACGCTGTCAAACTGAAGTTAAAAAACATGAATATATATCTATCCCAAGCTCAATGTTTAGTTTCAGAAAGATCATTTGCCGAATTCATGAGACATGTTATGTAAGGAGAGCTCATCAATTGATTCCAAGTTTAATTCTGAGAGTAAGACATGTAAAGCCGAGCGCGGAAGTTCTGCTATCGGCGGCTGTTACATATATGTAGACTCACGATCTTGTTACTATTTGAGTGCTTGAATTCCTGGCCTAGGCTATTCATTATTTTGGACATGTGGGTCTGTCTATTCCAACATCTGAAGACATATAATGTGGGAAAGGTATCAATTCAACCTCTGAATAGCCATCGTCAAATATACATTTCAGATGTGTAAGAGCACTCCCACAGCCATTTTTCTCGAAATACCACTTCCAAGCTAAAGGACACAATTCTTGTTAAGATGTTCAGAAAATTGCCGTTATGACCTGTTGGATTCTCCCTTTCGGACTCTAGTCATTTCGTGGTTGTTACGTTGCTGATCAGGTTAGACGGGGTATACATCTTCGATCTTTGGTGCAAGTCTAGTAACTCTCTGATAATATGATGCAATCAATCCAGATAAGCGCTCAAACCAAGTCAATGTTTCTTGGCCGTTCACGGGTCACATGTGCAGGTAGGTGGCGGCGAGGCAAAAATTTCCATCGTTCTTTAGGGCTTTATTGCCGAAGACCGCAGTTCAACCCGTAGCTCCTACAACAGCTAATCATGATTAGGAATAGCGGAAAGCTTAAAGAAGCAAAGCTCCACAGTTTGGTCTAGGGCTACATAATTCCCTGACTAAAGCTTTCAGACATACGCCAGTGACTACCAACTACTATATTGAATCAATGGATTTTTATCCGTTGATCAATTTAGAAGAAAGGGGTCATCTACTAACCTAAGAAGTGCTAGTCCGTTCCCTAGTGGTAATAAGGAGTACCCGAGTAGCGAAGGGGCGGATTTGGGCGTCACTAGTACATGCAGGGTACACTGGGAATAGCCTCACATGCTATCAGGGATCAGCCACCATCCATTTACCCCAGGATAGGTACGAAAAAGAGGGTGCATCAAAAATGTCGTTCGATTGAGGTTGTCCTCGATAATTCTGAGAGCCCGATGATTCTGAGAACAGACATGCCAGAGGGAACGGAGGCCTTCACGGCACTTTGTCTGCAAACAATGGAGATTTTCTTCCAATCGATTGTTTACTAAGTTTTTCTCCTTTCTCCTTTCTCCTTTCTCCTTTCTCCTTTCTCCTTTCTCCTTTTTCTAGGTGGACTTGTCACTGAAGTAATATTAGCAATCGGCTAATCACCTATCAATCATCCTTGTAACTCCTGAGTTGATTTCTAACGTGATCTCAAGTCATATACCTCATTCCAAAGCACCGTGATAAGGCATCGGCGCCTTCCATGCTTCACGGGGGACTCCGCCAGATGGTTTGGACAGCAAAGATAAACCCCAGATATCACGATAACTGACTGTCGAATAATTCTCGGGGGCCCCGTGTCCACAAAGTGCCCGAGGCCTCCCGGTCCTATCATATCGTAGGGAAATGCCGTAGAACGGTAGTTAGCCCCACAGGACACGCACGAAATTGGATGGTAAGTTGGAACGGCATTGAGGGCGCACGAACCGTAAATTGAGTGGCGGCTAGAGATATTTGGTCCTTATCTCTAAACTTCGGAAATAGGTTGGACAAATAGAAGATGATTGGTGGAGGAAGGGGGGCGAAGAAGAGTAGAAGCCCCACACAGATAAGAGGGAAAGTGGGTTCGGTTAACCTAATGAAGTTTAGTCTCAACTGGAAACAGTTAGACAAATACTTTATGGAGGAGATTTACTCGATACTCTTGTCTAATGATAGAGAAAATAAATCTTATCTTTTTTTTCTCCACACAACCATGTACGCTAACAAATGTATACCGGGGTTGATTATTAAATTCAATTATCGTGATGGAATACTATATAGAGAAACATCCTCCCCAGGTTGAAAGTGGGTAGAATCAACAAATCCACTTTCAACCATCATGGACGGCCCCGATCAGATTGGTCCGGACTACTCGCCCAAGCGTTCCTTCAGCGATAAATTCCGCAGCATCGTGAGAACTTTCACCACACGGTATGTCGCCAATTGCAAAGTTTGTTTGATCGCGACTAAACATTATTAGTGATGGTCTCATCGGCGATTACGACTATGCCCACTTATTCATCCCAAAGTTACCGTTCACCAAACAAGAACGAAAATCCGCTCCGTTTTTCGGCCTCGAAGATCGCGTCCCTGTGGTTCTCGCCTTGATCCTCGGATTGCAACATGCGCTTGCTATGTTGGCTGGTGGTGAGTAGTATTCCTTTCATCTAATATTCAGCGCTGATCGAAATAGTCATTTCACCACCAATTATGCTCAGTGGTACCTCAGGTGCCAACTTCGGAACTGAAGACTCCCAATATCTCGTTTCAGCATCCTTAATCGTCGCTGGGTTTCTCAGCGCCATTCAAATGTTCCGCTTCCACATTTACGGCACAAAATACTATATTGGAACTGGATTGTTATCTGTGGTCGGCACATCCTTCGCCACAATCACTGTCGCCGAAGGTGCTTTCACCCAGATGTACAAAACAGGCTACTGTCCCACAGACGCGAGCGGAAACAAACTCGCTTGCCCAGAAGGCTACGGTGCCCTTCTCGGAACTTCCTGCCTCTGCGCTCTTCTTGAAATTGGTCTCTCGTTCATGAGCAGTCGCCTCCTCGCCAAAATCTTCCCCCCACTCGTCACTGGCCCTACTGTCCTTCTCATCGGTGCCTCCCTCATCCAATCCGCTATGGAAGACTGGGGCGGTGGTTCCGGTTGTGGACCGTCTCCACGCGCTATGTGTCCCGATGCTGATGCCCCACACGCTTTGCTATGGGGTAGCCCGCAATTCATTGGATTGGGATTCCTCGCCTTCGTCACCATCATTCTCTGCGAACGATTCGGTCCCCCAATCCTGAAATCCTGCGCCGTCATCGTCGGTCTCTTGGTCGGTTCCATCGTCGCCGCTGCTTGCAACTACTTTGAGTCTTCGGGTATCACCGAGGCCCCCGTTATCTCTTTCCCTTGGGTCCACACCTTCCCGCTCAAGGTATACCCACCACTGATCCTCCCACTGCTGGCCCTATACGTTGTTATCATGATGGAGTCCATTGGCGATATCACGGCCACATGCGATGTCTCCAGATTACAAGTCGAGGGTGAGACCTTCGACTCCCGGATCCAGGGTGGTGTTCTCGGTAACGGAATCACCTGTGTTCTCGCCGGTTTGATGACCATTTCCCCCATGTCCGTCTTTGCCCAGAACAACGGTGTGATCGCGCTCACCAAATGTGCGAACCGGAATGCCGGTTACTGCTGCTGTTTCTTCCTGATTGTCATGGGTCTGTTTGCGAAATTCGCTGCTGCCCTCGTTTCAATCCCAGACGCTGTCCTTGGTGGTATGACGACTTTCCTGTTCAGCAGTGTCGCTATCTCGGGTGTTCGCATCATTTCCACTATCGACTTTAACCGTCGCAACCGCTTTGTCCTGACCGCTAGCTTTGCGTTGGGTATGGGTATCACCCTTGTTCCGTCGTGGTGGAGTTACTTCTTCTCCTACTCTGGTGACAACCATGCTTTGGAGGGTCTTCTCAACGCTGTTGACTTGGTGATGACCAACGGTTTCGCGGTCACTGCCCTTGTGGGTGTGATTTTGAACCTCCTCCTTCCTGCTGAGCCAGATGAGACCCCTGTTTTGGAGTCGGAGGATGATGTGGTTGAGCAGACTGTGCCCACAACTTCTGGAAAGTTGGAGACTCCTGCATAATTTGGATGGAATATAATTGATTAGCGTTTTGTATTTTTTATAGCCTTCTCATGACCCTACCTAGCTAGTAGATAGTATTTGCATTTGCATTGATGGAATCAACTGGAATTGATACTGGATTTTACCTCTGATATTGAAATAATCCATACAAATATACAGTAGTCTTAACATTTCTATCGAAAATTACTCAGTCGTCGCGTATCACTCATGAAACCACACATAATGCCAGGCATCATCAGATCACATCACGTCTCGGCGCGCCGCGCGACTGGACCCACTTAAACCACACAACTCGACTACACCTCAAGTGTGCGTGGTACACGAAACTCAGGCTTGATCAATATAAACATGTCATAGGAATAACTCTCGAACACAATAATTCATCATGAGCCAAGCTGCCGATCTGTTTAAGCTGAGCCAAGGTACGCAGGTCCACCACGCATGACGAGGAACCACTCTAATCTTGTTAGTGCCTATCATCTCAATTTCGGCCTCACAGTCTCTTAACGCCTCTGAGATCTCCCGGCAGCCTATCCCGACAGGACTGCCGCATCTTGATCAAGCACTGGATGGCGCGACTGTAGACCGACCTGGTGGGCTGCTGCGTGGTCAGATTACGGAGGTATTTGGGCCACCAGGAGCGGGAAAGACATCATTAGCGTGAGACCCCTCATGTCGTCCACTGAAACAGGTGTTAATTCTTTAGAATGAATATCGCATCACATGCGCTCCGTGAAGGTGGAAAAGTCGTCTGGATCGGTACCTTACCCCTTCACTCATTACCATACAGTGGATCTAAGGTCTAACAAATATCAGACACAAGCGCTCCAATTCCAATGTCTCGACTCCAAGTACTAACTCCCTCCTTATCAAACTTTCATTACTTCCGCACCCCTACCCTCCCGCACCTCCTATCCCTCCTAATGCACCCCCCAAAAGACTTCCCACCACCAGAAACCTCTGTCATGATAATTGACTCCATCTCTGCTCTATCCCCCTCCTACTTCCCCACCGCATCAGAGCTAAAAGACAAACACCAAAAAGGCAAGATAAAGGACAAAGCACAACTACAATGGCTCTTAAATCGGAGGTGGAATGTTTACTCTGATTTTGCAACCCATCTCACTCGCTTCGCGAATCAGGGTGTTGCCGTGCTGGCGATTAATCAGGCTCATGTGAAGATTAAGGGACAACCGCGTGCGACGTTGTATCCTATTTTTGCTGGTGCCGGCTGGGAAAAACATGTGATGACGCGCATTTCTATTTATCGGGATTTACCCGATAAGCGGTTTATGGAGCTTACGAAGAAGGGTGGGAAGGTTCTTCTTGTTAGAAAGGGGGAGAATATCATTCCTTTTCATATTGAAGACGTGAGTGGGTATCCTGGATTGGTTGATGTTATCTGACGGGTTTAGGATGGTCTTCGCCAATGGGCTACTGTTGTTGATCGGAGGTCTTTTGATTTGAAACACTCTTTACAGTCAAGTCAGACATTGCAGCAGACTCAGCCTACGCCGTGTCGGAAACGGAAAGCAACTGATGAGATTGCCGACAGTCAGGATGAGGACTCGGAGGATGAATATGACTGGAACGAGGCCTCTCTGATTGAGGTGAACAAAGACAAGTGATACATTGATTCACATTATATCCATAATATCATGCTTTGGCCTCTCCATCCCCGACTCGGCAAAATCTCTCTTCTCAGCCACCTTCCCGTCCGGGGCTATCTCTTTCGGCTCAGACTCTTCTGGCTCGGGATCAGGCTGTTCAGAAATGCTCGTCTCCGGTGGACCCGGATATGAACAAAGAGGCAATATATCAGCGATGGCAACGGAGATGGGATGCCTGGATCCCTGAATAATATCCACTAACCGACCAAGCACGGCGAACTCCAACTTCAACTTGATGGAGTATATAAAGCCTTTCAACACGATCTGGACCGCATATTGATTTGCATATTCCAAACTCAACAATAACAAATCCATCGCCATGATAGCACAATTGATCCCAATGACATGATACATGATCGTCCGCGAATCAGACCTACTCGTCGCATCCGCACCGAGCTGAAGCAACTTTATAGTATGAATAACGTAGAGTGTCGATATCAAACTCTCCTGGATCGTAAAGCCAGTCAACTGCACTTTTTCCATAACATTGTACCCCCACACCCAAGTCCGACTATCCGTATGGATAATATTAGCTCCATAAGTCAATATGGTAGTGGGTACTTGTAACAGAAAGTAATTCAGCACGATCATCCGTAATACCCAGGTCAAAATCTTCTCGTCTCGAAGAACAAGATGAAGTCGTGAATACAGTACCACCGACTGACCCGTTACCATCGTCCACCACCCGACTGTGAGAATGGTGACAGATAACGCGGAGTCGGCACGGGTGAAGAATTTCATCATGAATCCGATGGAATATGGTACCACGCCGAGACAGCCTGATGTCAACAAGGACCAGAAATAGAGACCGCGCCAGCGGCGGAAGGTGGCTGTCACTAAGACGACTAGTTCGGCGATGTTGTAGCATGATAAGCCGATGAAGGTTACGAGGACCATTTGGAGGATGTCTCCTTCTGCTGCTAGGGCCCCGGAGATACCATCTAGTAAGTCCTGGGGGAGGGAGGGCATGGTGTACTTCTGGTGTATGGAGAAACAAGCAAGTAGACTAAGGAGTCTTTCACTATGTTTGATATGCCCACATCTCTAGACTGGAAATAGAGTGAATAGAGGAAGAAAGAGGGTCGTACAGCTGTACAAATGCAACAACTGCAGGACTGTAACGTTGCAAACCCCTGGATAAATATAATCAATTTTGGTCGGTGCGTGGCTACATCCAGTCTGGCCTAAACCCGGGGTAAGAGATTTAGCCATTGCTCACAGCAGCTAGGAACTTGTCGGGCAAAGTTGTGATTTTGTCTAGTTTTGCTCGGATTGTTCAACAGGGATGCCACGGGCCACTGCACTTGGTTCATGCGGTACACGTAGACCCGCACACAATGCTCAGATGTAGCCACAAAAGTCACTCGAGGCAGTGTCCAACTGACAGATGGCCGTAGATATACGGTGTGAAAGTCTAATGCCGACTAAGCAGCTACCCGGTACTTGCAGTTGTCCGTGTGATTCTATTTATGATTGCGTCTGTCAAACAAAAGAGATGTCATTCGAGTCCTATCGTTTCTGCTATCGTGTCTCTCATAGGTTGGTCAGGTAGTCCTCGATTTGCTCCTTGGTCAATGTCCTGAACCGCGGACCCTGGGCTCCCTCCACACCCTCGAAGCCCAGCAGGTGGTCTGCTGGCGGGCCAACAATACCTATTTGTGTTAGTCAAGAAATAGTACAGTCAACTCGGGCCAGAACTCACCGATTTCTATTGTGTCTCCGTTCATCTCACCCTCAATAGTCTCCTTGAGTGTCAACAGCGCAATGTGGATGGCATCTTCAAGCTCCAAACCCTCGGTGTATCGCTTCTCAAGGAAGGTCTTGGCACTTGTCGCATGCTTGCCGATGGCCGTCGCCTTCCACGGATAGTAGCTACCACTAGGGTCCACCTGGTACAGGCTTGGACCCCCCTTAAGGATCCCACCAGTCTTGGTGGAGGGCTTTTCTTCAGGTGAAGCCTCTTCAGACTGGGGCTCAACGCCCTCATCCCAGCCAGCAATCAACAGACTGACACCGTACGGTCGCACACCTCCAGACTGCGTGGCCTCCTGCACCACCCGGGCGACGTCCTGCACCAGAATCCGGGTCGGAGGGTACTCGTTATAGATGCGCTTGTAGCCAGTGTGTGACACTTTGCGGGCCTTGTCCACAAGCACACGGTAATCAGGGCCCATACCGGCGTAAACCATACCGATGTCCGGGGTGACCAGGGAGATCTTCGAGAGGGAGGGGGGATCGATGAGGGGGGATGAGGACTTTTTCTCAGTTGCGAGGACGATGCCATTGGTGGCTGGGATAATCATTAGCTTAGGTAGTTTGGATGGTGGTGAGAGCCTCACCTTTGATGCCGAGGGCGGTAACACCCTGGTTGACAGCATTTAAAGCATATTCTGTTCCATGAGGTCAGTTTCATTATTTTCCCTCTATATCTCTTGATTCGGTCTTACCAATCTGCACCAGCTTTCCGCTGTTGAGGATGTGTTAGCTCATGGACCAATGCTGGGGGTTGAGATCATCAACTTACCTGGGGGAGAAAGTGGTCAGGGAGAAGGAATAACGGTCAGCCATGATAATGTGTAGAATACAAACACCAAATCACAGAGATCGAAGAGGATGAGAGGAAGGAGATTGATAGTAGGCAGACGGAGGGTGACGTTTGACGCGGTGCTTAGGTAGCTGTGACTGAGCTGCTCCAAGGCGGTGAGTCCAATTGGGTTTAGTCCCTGACTGCCCTTTCCCACAGTTTCTTCATCTGTCCTTTTCTCTTCTCTTTCTTCTAATTTTTTTTGTCTCTGAACTCAGAGCGAATTTTGGTCCAGAGATATGATCCTCAGTAATGATGGACCCCCCAAGCAATGAGCCAGACTCATCGGGGCTTGGGTCCGAGCAGAGCTATCCCCCACGAGTCTGTCGCATCTGCTTGGAAACAGTATGGCCAACCGTTCAGCCCTCGGAATTTCTCCGAAGATCTCGCTTGGTTTATGAGTCCAGCGATCCCGAAGCAGGTCGACTACTTCGCCCCTGCAAATGCAAAGGATCCTCGCGATATGTACACGAAGGATGCCTGCAGTCCTGGCGACTAGCCAACCCCGGCTTTGGCACACGGAATTACTGGGAGTGCCCGACTTGCCATTTTCAATATCGCCTGGAGCGTTTGACATGGTCTCGCTGGATCAGTAGTACTGCCACCCAGCTTGTCCTCACGCTAGCCATTCTTCTATTGACTATTTTCTTACTTGGATTCATTGCTGACCCCATTATTGATTTCTACGTTGGCCCCTTGGACGATACATATCTGGAGCTAGATGAAGAGGCCTCTTGGCTTGAACATTTCGTGAAAGGGTTTGCTGCTTTGGGATTGACGTCGTTCCTCAGAGTGCTGTTTACCTTCTCGCCGCCATACTGGATCCGAGGCTCAGGTGTTGTGAGCAATGGCCGGTCTACTGGACGCAACCGAGCTGCCAATTTGAATTGGCTAGTGATTCTGGCCGGAGTGGCCACTTTCTTTTGGGTATGCTGAGCGTCACTGAGATGCCACTTCATTACTAACCTTTCTCCAGACTGTGTACAAAGGTGTCCGGTCTTGGAGCAAACGAACCTTACAGTGGGCGGGTGAAAAGGTCATGGACGTTCCTTTACCTGAGGATGAGGATGAAGATGATATTGTCCCCGATGAGCCCTTGACCCATCCCAAAGCCGAGTAAAATATCATATCGCACTACTTAAGTTGTCGCCTCCTTTCCAATGAGACGTTGATTAGTCAATGTGCGAAGAATCAGTTTGCTTTCGTTAACTCTTGATGGAATCACCTGAGAGACAGTTCTGGTGACTACTGGAACGTCTTGTTCCGCTGTTATTGGTCTGTTTCATTATTCAGGCTTTCATCTAGGGGAAGGCAAGACCACAACTCGATTGAATCAAGAAGCATTTTTAACTATGCATTTTGGGATTGAGAGGTGGTAAATACAGTAATTATTTAGGCATAATTTCGGAATTCATTTTCTACCCTTGGACGTTTACTTTCCTCATCTCTGTAAATTTCCCTTTCCAGCTTTCCAACTTTCGCTATCACTGCATCATGGATACTCAAACTGCTATGTCCTTGCTCAAATCCATCCGCTCCCAACTCACCATCGACTTTGATGCTGACCTTTCCCCGCCAGTCGCGACCACGCTGGGACCCCAAGACCCCGAGCCAACCGATTCAAGACGTGAACTCATCGACTCCGAGCCATTCCCAGACTACGACGACGAGTCGACCGCAGCAGATGAAGTCGAACAGGCATACCAAGATGCCTTCACCGCAGCCGTGCAGGAAGAGATTCGCACCCGAGTCGTGGAACTGAACATCTTGATCCTCGATCATATACCGGTAGACCAGAGGTTGAAAACACTGGACGCCATGAAAGGATCCCTCTCTCACCCCCAGCTTCGGTCTAAGACCCGCATGAGATTTATTGCGCTAACTAACATGGTCATTCGTCTGGAAAATGCCCTTTTCTCCGTCTCCGATGAAGAGTCATTTCTCAACCCAAAGGCCACGACAAATGCCCAGTCAATTGCAAATGTGATACTCGCTTTTGCCTCATGGCTGGATGGTATGATGCAGGAGCTACTCTCGATAACTGGCTCCGTGGATTACATGTTGGGACTATTGATCGTCGAGGATGTTGCTTGGGTGACCAGATATCGACGGATGGCACTGCTGGTCTCAACGTCAGTATTGCCTCTGATACCAAAATTACTGACTAAATGGCAGCAGACATCTCAAGAAACCACGACGCCTTGAAGAGGTCCTACTGTCCATGTACCTCGAACTTTATGATGAGTGGGTTCACAATACGTTCCTTCGACTACGAAACGCCCAGATCACTCAGGAGGAAAACCTTGATTTTGACCGTCTTCAACTAACTCGCACACTTCATGCTATCTGGGATGTTCTTTCTCGTGCTATCGAGAGGTATGGCATCTATCGGGATGCCCTGCACAGTATCAAGGGTCGATCCTTTTCACCGGCTATAATAGAACTATCTGGTTCTCAAGTGGCACGCTGCTTCGATGAAGATACAGTGTGAGCACAGACCAGGGCCGAACTAAGTTCCAATGGAGCATGATGACCAGATACTTAATTTTATTTCGAATTCAATACTAAGCATGTCACCATAATACAGATCAAGCGGTGCTATCCTTATAAGCACCCAGCTTGAACAATTTCTTAGCATTTTCCCTCCCGATCTTCAACCGATCCGTCTCTGACAACTCGGCCTTATCAAACCACTCGCAAGCATCCTCGAAAGTCTCAAACGGATAATCAATCGAGAACAAAATTCGATCCGCCCCAACCTCAGCCATACAGAAATGCAAGGTCGGGGTCGAGAAGTGACCCGACGTAGTAATCCACAAGTTCTGTGCGAAATACTCCCGAATCGTCTTCTTGCACGTCTCCTGTAATCCAAGCAACTTCTTCCGATCCTCAAACCAGTGATTAATCCTCCACATATCGAAGGGGATGTGTTCACCCAGGTGTCCAAGGATAATCTGCAGTTTGGGGTGGCGGTCGAAGACTCCGTTTGTAACCATACCCAGCGCGTGTAGACTCACGCCTTGTGCAAATGAAAGAGGAGGCCCGACGAGCCACTTCCTATCTGCCCAGAGCTTCTCATAGATAGTACCCGTGGGGTTACGCGGGTGGAGATAAAGAGGCACATCGAGCTCCACACATGTCTGCCAGAAGATATCCCATTTCTCGTTATCATAGAAGATCATGTCATCGCCATCTGGTCCTGCACGTTGGGTATCATTAACCAAAGCGCCGAGGAAACCATACTTCGATACACAGCGACGGAGTTCTGCAGCTGCTTCTTGGGGATCGTGCATGGAAAGGGTACTACAGGTGATGCGGTTAGCATCGGCATCGGCAGCTATGGGAATGTGACGTACGCAAAAGCTGCAAATCGATCGGGGTGCGCTTGCACCTTCTCGGCAATGTAATCGTTAATCTCAACGGCCAGTGCTTGTGCATCTTTTGCATCCCAGATATCCTGTACACCTGGAGCGGTGTATGAGAGAATCTGTAAACCGACGCCGTGCTTCTCGGCGAAGTTCAAGCGGATGGAGTCCACGTCGTTGATCTCGGAGACGTGCTTGTCAACATCAGTAGCGAACATGCCTGCCCACCATCTTGTCTTTTCTTTGAAGCGGGGAAGCGCAAAGGCTTCTTCGAGAGCGATTTTTCCTAGCATTGTTGTGATGTGAAGGATGGTATGGGGGAGTAGGAAAAGAATGTGAGGAGTCTACGCTTTACTTCGGCCTCACGTCACTTTATACTTGGCTCTTAGTTACTTGCCCCGCACTTTCTGCATCAACATTGAGCATTGGTGTTCCAAGTAACCATCGGAAGGAATGTATCGGCTCCTTATCCGACGGTCGGCGATCCGCTGTTGGCGGTTCCTGTAACAATGGGCGGTTCCTATAACATGCGGGGGCGGATCGTCACTTCTCCACGTTTCCCGAGCCGATCTATCCGACGGGGGATTTAGTAGCTATTCAAGCTTCTAACCAACCATTATCTCCTAGTGAAACCCGTACCGTACCTAAGTCGTAAAGGGACATTTAGTTTCTAGAGTAGAATCATGGTCACTTGTCAAGTTATCTGCCATGAGAAATGTACTAAGTTACACTTAGCTCAGCTTGTACAAAGTTCTACTTCAAGCACCCCGTACTTCCTGTCTGAGATCTATGCGTGTATACCCTTGCTGAATTCGCCACTTTTTAGCTCTTATCACTCAAGTTTAACTCTCATCCCTGCTACGAATCGTGATACAACCTGCAGGCTCCTCGTCCAGCCACTTCAATAGATTGCGTAATCCCTGCACTCCAAATGAGTAAACGAGCAGGCGATCCTTTGTCTTTCTGGCCGCTTACCCTAGATTCCCACCAATCATTCAAAAGACTACACTAAATATGTCCCCACAAGGTGGTCCTCTGCACTAGCTTATAGTTCTGGGCGTCTCTTCTTTGACAAGACTCGCACTACCCAGACTCAAAAGTAAGCAACATGGTTGTCTCTGGTTATTTCTTTGTTATGATCCCAGTCCATTGCCATGCATTTGCATTCAATACCGATGCATTCTCGTCATTTTCTTCCTCGTAATCATACCAGAAAACGGAATGAAGCAAATCGCGATTGATGAACAGCCCGGTGAGCTCACGCACAACTTTGGAGCAGCTGAGCGCGCCCGCCGCAATCTCAATGCTAAACTCTCGAATCCGTTGGCTGGGTTTAGCCATTCTGAGCTACGGAAGCGGGGTCGTGTTTTCGCAATCAATCACGAAATAGGTGACGAGGAGGACATTCGAGCCTTTGAGCTAGGCGCGGTGTTGGCCCAGGCGCCAGAGCGGTTTGCGAGCATCGAAGCCTTGACAGCGGAAGAAAAGGCAATTCTGCTTGATGAGGTGAGCACCGATGGTCTCAGCCGAAGAAAATGTACTTGGTTGTTGTGCTGTGCTCGCTCTCCGCTGCTGTTCAGGGAATGGGTATGAAGAGCCCTACAAAATATGACGAGCAGCGCTGACTTAACATAGATGAAACCACCATTAACGGTGCTCAGCTTTGGTACAAGCATCAATTTGGAATCGCTGATAACAGTGCCCGAAGTACTTGGATCTTGGGCCTGATCACCTCAGCCCCATATCTTTGTTGTGCTTTCATCGGTTGCTGGCTCACAGTGCCATTCAATCGATGGCTTGGCCGACGGGGAACAATCTTCATCACATGTGCCTTCAGCGCTCTCTCCGTCTTCTGGTCCGGCTTCGCATCAGAATGGTGGAACTTGTTTCTTTCGCGCTTTGCACTGGGATTCGGTATTGGTCCTAAATCAGCTACTGTTCCCATCTACGCAGCTGAGACGGCACCTCCTTCTATCCGCGGTGCCTTGGTAATGCAGTGGCAGATGTGGACCGCGTTCGGGATCATGTTGGGGTATGTTGCGGACCTGGCATTCTATCAGATCCCCGATGGAAATCCGATCTACGGTCTGAACTGGAGGTTCATGATGGGATCTGCGATGATCCCGGCCATTATCGTCTTGACGTTTGTTTTCTCGTGCCCTGAATCGCCGCGTTGGTATATGAGTCAGAATCAATATTTTCGCGCTTACGAGTCGATGTGTTCGCTGCGACATCATAGGATCCAAGCGGCAAGGGACATGTTCTATATGCATACTCTGCTGGAAGCGGAGAATAGTATGAACCTGGGACGGAATTCGGTCATGGAACTCATCACCGTACCTCGAAATCGACGAGCTATGGTTGCTTCGCAGATTGTTATGTTCATGCAGCAGGTAAGACCATGATCAATAATAAGTTATACATCTATCAAGAAAGAGCCAGCTCTGTGGAGTCAACGTCATTGCCTACTACTCATCCGCCATATTCATGGTATGTCTAGTGTAATCCACCTCTGCTTTCATCAATTCTAATTTGTCAGGACGCAAACCTCTCTGCCGTATCATCCATGCTCACCTCCTTTGGCTGGGGTGTAGTAAACTGGCTTTTTTCAATCCCAGCAATCTACACAATTGACACCTTCGGCCGCCGCAACCTCCTCCTAGTAACATTCCCACTTATGTCACTAGCAATGTTCTTCACAGGTTTCAGCTTCTGGATCCCAGAAACCCACAGCGCCAGAATCATCTGCATAGCACTAGGAACCTACCTTTTCGGCATGGCATACTCCCCAGGCGCAGGTCCAGTACCATTTACCTACTCCGCAGAAGCGTATCCGCTCTACGTCCGACCGCACGGGATGGCATTGGCTACGGCGACGACGTGGTTTTTCAACTTCGTCCTGGGAATTACGTGGCCGGCCATGCAGAGTGCGTTTACGTCGCAGGGGGCGTTTGCTTTTTATGCCGCATGGAATCTTGTTGGGTGGTGGCTTGTTCTACTGTTTATGCCTGAGACGAAGAACAAGACCCTGGAGGAGTTGGATCAGGTATTTTCAGTGCCAACTAAGTTTCATGCGCAATATGGATTGAGGCAGATTCCGTGCGAAGAGGTATGTTTTGCGGAGGGATGTTAAGCCGGAGATTCTTTATGAGAGGGAGGAGGTGGGAGCGGTACAGGAAGATTTGGGGTATAATGATTGATCGGAGGGCTTGAGGGCTTGTTAGGTGGCTAGGTTCTTATATGAAGGACTACTGGATGCGATAATTTACTGCGTGGGCAACAATGGAATGGTAAATAATCATATTTCTATCACTGATATTCATGCATATGGGATCTGGATCTGATATAATCATTAGCAATGATCACAACTTGTTGGCAAGTAATATAGAAAGGCAAAGCTTCATCAGATTTTATTATCGATCTAGTATCCTCAAGGTATTTTGGAACAGGTCTGTGTAAAATCTTACTCATCATTGAAGCGGAGGGACAAAACAAAATCACTTACCATTAGTTGTATTGAAGGTCGTGTATCGGATTAGATCATAATAGAATGGTCAAGATAAATCGCTGTCTAGAATGATCATTAGTAATGGTCAGATAGTGTTGAATGAAACACGGTTGTAAAGCTTCATCAGATTTGAATATCGATCTGGTATCCTCAAGGTATTTTGGAACAGGTCTGTGTATAATCATACTCATCATTGAAGCGGGAGAAAAAACAAAGTGACTCACCATTAGTTTAGAAGATCATTTGAAGTGTTTGGTTTAGTTTCTGTCCTGCAGTGTCTAGAATAATCATTAGCAATGATCAGACAACGTGTTGATAAAACATGATTGTAAAGCTTCATCAGATTTGAATATCGATCTGGTATCCTCAAGGTTTTTTGGAACAGGTCTGTGTATAATCATACTCATCATAGAGGCGGATTGCAAAAAAAAAGACAAAGGACTTACCAATTAGTTGTCGATAGGTTGAGTGTTGGTTGGGATGCAAGGCGAGTCAAAATTAGCTTTGACTCATGCAGGTTGCATGAACAAAGAATCTTCGCAGCATATCATTGAAACAAATTCAAGACCAAATCATGTCTGAGTAGGAGAGAAATTCCATGAATTTTCTTGTAACGAAGGAAAAGGGAAGAAGCGAGAGTTCGCGCGAAAAAATAAATAGTGGAATCACGTGTTTGCACTGTTTGCACACAAACAAAAAAAAGTGATTTGAAGCAAGTGATGGGAGGCTTTTTCTTGGTTCTGCAAACTTGTCGAAATATTAATTCCAGTGGATAATTTCAGTAAGAGTTGTCCTGTCATGACTTTGAACCTTTCCCCTAACTGGTCTTTCAGATCATGGCCGATATCGAGATCCCCAGACCCGAGGAGCAGCAAGGTTAGTTAACCCAGCAAAGCCAATCATCCAGATCTCTAACAGTCATTTAGCACCGAGAACTCCTCACCAGAATGTCCGCACCAATGGTCGTGCCTTCAACTCTGCCAACTGGCGCATGAAGAGTGAAGAAAGCCCGCAACCCCCCTCCCCCTCCCCGCGAACCAATACCTCCCGCACCGCCTTTAGTCGCCCAGGATCTCATGTGCCCCAGGCTATCTCGGATGGTCGCCGTCTGTATGTAGGCAACATGCCCTACACAGCCAAGTCTGAGGATGTCGAGGCACTCTTCACAGCTTCCGAGTTCTCCATGTATGGCCTTTCTAACTTTCTGCTGGCGAATCGGCCTTGCTGAGTCTGAACCTTGATAGCGAGCGCATCGACATTGCCATTGACCCGTTTACCGGCCGTAACCCATCGTACTGTTTTGTCGACCTGCACACAAAAGAACAGGCTGAGCGAGCCATGATCGACTTGGATGGAAAGGATATGCTGGGTCGTCCCGTCAAAATCAAGCCCGGCGTGGCTAAGTCGTCAGCCGAGCGAGCGAGTGAACAGCAGCAGCGATCGCCGATTGGCGTCGACCGATGGCGTCGTTCGGAGATTGAGAGTTCACCCCGGGCCCCCATGGTCAACTCCGATGCCAGTCAACGCGTATACGTGGGAGGATTGCCCCGCGTGGAGGCCGACGTAGCGGAGGCTCAGATCAAGACCTTTTTCCAAGGATACAACGTGTACGTTCCTTGGCCAATCCAATATTGTCCCGTTAACTGACTTTTTGCAACAGTGAGAAAGTGAGCAAGCTGTTCTCCCCCCACCCAGCGAAGCGATTCGATCCCGGCGAGCACTATTATCTGTTTGTCGATCTTAGCAGTGTTGAAGAAGCTCAACGGGCAATGGATATTCTGAACGGTCAACAAGGGCCGTGGGGTGGTCCGATCCGCGTGCAGCGGGCGCGCGGTACCACCATCAAGCCAGAAGAGCGCATTAGCTCTGAACAACTTTAAGAATGATAAGATGAAACGTAAGAAACAAAAAGCAAAAAGTATAGGAGTTTATAGAGGCATTTCAGGGATTGCATTCATATAGAAAAGAGAATCGTGGGAAAATCAAGCATTTGGAAAGCGGGAAAACGGATGACGTTAGTTATCAATAGTGGAGACGAAATTCCAGACTCACCGCATGATCGCATTTCCTCTTTTTTCCTGAAACTTTTTAACTTCTAATTTCTTCTACTGAAGATCACACGGGTCAAAGTGAAACTGTCCTCGCATACATCTGCAAATCCCTGCATGATTAGGTGAAAATTAAAAAAAACCCCCCGAATCTTGCATTCCTCTCGGCCCCGGGTCGGAAAGTCGTCCCTATTCCTTCCGACAACTTCAAATTTCACAATTACCAACAATTACAACAATTACAACAATGTCTTCAAAAAGTGTTACTCGAAGTCAGCAACAGCATAAGGTGTTTATTGCTAGCGTAAGTTATATGTTGGATCAATTGCCCCTCTTTTTCTCTTAGTTGCGGATCGTCTGCTGTCCGGGGATCCTTGCCCCTCCTATTTGCCTCGGTTCAAGTCCTGCCCTTATAATCTGATTGCTATATTGGCCTCGATTGCCTATCTTTTCTTTGTGGGGCAATTCCGATCAATAGAGAAGTATAGTGCTTATTGGAGACCATAAGACCACTCCTGACACTATAAGACCATATGACCGTGGGACTTTTATCACAACCTCTATGATCATCTGATCTGTCTTTCTTCTTTTATCTTCATTCTGCCCTTGTGCTCTGTTTCCATTTTTGTCAATTTCTGATACAGTGTTTTACCATGGCACCAAGCTTACCTCCTATCCAGTCAGATGATTCCAAGATATGTGTGGTCATGGTTGGCCTTCCAGCGCGAGGCAAGAGTCTCATAGCTGGAAAAGGTAAGCTCCCACCACCCCCACTGGTGATCTAGGCTAAGTATTCTAGCCATGCGATATCTGGCCTGGGTGGGCATCCCGGCTCGTGTGTTCAACGTCGGTAGCTACCGGCGTCATAACACTCCTCAACCACAGGCAACTTTCTTTGATCCTCACAATGCCGAGGGTGAGCGTATGCGTCGGGCAGCTGCTGAGGCCGCCATGTCTGACATGCTGGCCTGGTTTCAAGCAGGCAAGGGTGTGGTTGCCATCTTAGATGCTACCAATTCGACCAAGCAGCGCCGCGCGTGGATTCACGAGCAATGTGCCGCTGCCGATATCGAGACCCTCTTCGTCGAGTCGATCTGTGACGATGAAGATCTCATCATGAATAACATTCTGGAGGTCAAGACGACTTCTCCAGATTACAAGGGTCAGGATCCTGAGCTGGCCGCGTTGGATTTCCGGAAGCGTATTGTCAACTATGAAAAGGCGTATGAAACGATTGATAATGGCGAAAAAAGCTACACCTATGTTAAGCTCATCAACGTTGGATCAACCGTTATCATCAACCAGATCAAGGATTATTTGTCCAGTCGTTTGGTATACTACATTCAGAATCTGCACATCAAGCCAAGATCAATTTGGCTATCTCGGGTTCGTTTCGTCTAAAAAAGACAAAAAGCAACAAGATCTGACACTTAACAGCACGGCGAATCGGAATATAATCTCACTGGCCGCATCGGCGGTGACTCCAACATCTCAGAGCGCGGCGAAGCCTACGCCCGTGCTCTCCCCGAGCTACTGCGCAAGTCCGGAATTCCCGAGAACACCAAAATCGTCATCTGGACCTCAACTCTCAAGCGTACTATCCAATCAGCCCGACACTTGAAAGCTGAAACCGGCTTCGAGAAACTAGAATGGAAAGCGCTCGATGAGCTGGACTCCGGCGTCTGCGATGGCCTCACCTATGAAGAGATTGCCGAGCAATACCCTGAAGACTTCGCCGCCCGTGACGAAGACAAGTACAACTACCGCTATCGTGGTGGTGAGTCTTATCGCGACGTCGTCATTCGTCTGGAACCTATCATCATGGAGCTGGAACGCAGTGAGAATGTCATTATCGTGACGCACCAGGCTGTGCTGCGCTGTATTTATGCGTACTTTATGAATATTCCGCAGGAGAAGAGTCCGTGGATGGAGGTTCCGCTGCATACATTGATTAAGCTTACGCCTCGTGCGTATGGCACAGAAGAACAGCGCTTCAAGGCTGGTATATCGGCTGTGTCTACGTGGCGTGGGAAGGGAACTTCAGCGAAGCATCAGGATTACCCGGAGAATGGACAGGAACATAAGTAGGAATCAGATATTAGATACCAAAAATGTCATTATAGCTCCTAATCTGCCTGAGTTTGAACTCCTCAGCGACATAACCTACGTCGGGCTTCCAGCTGGTTCACCATATGTTTGATTCTAGGAAAGCGTCCTTGACGGTCCAGCAGTCTGATTTTATAAAGCCATGTTTATACCACGGGTCATTCGTCATCTCCGTAAGCTGTGTCTCCCTGTTCATACCTGGCATGGAAGCCCGGAAACTCTTTTCAAGAATGACCCGAATCATTCTAAGCGCTATATCATTCTTCTCCCTCATTCGCTCTTTGTTCCCATTTGTTGGGTTGAACAGTTCTCTGTTGAAGATGCTTGTTTCTTCCTAGGTAGCCAAATCTGCCATTCAAATCATGTACAGTACTATGAAGAGTCGGGTCGAGAGTCTGCCAAGGCATACACAGGATAATGCTCCGTTCATTTTCATTGTAAATGATTTATTAACTCTCTTGCACATCATAGAGGTTATTCCAAAACATCATCTCTTGAATCTGCTCCTCTCTCAAATTGGAATTCACGAAATTCTCTCGTTGTGAGGTCCTAATACGACGGTGAACGTCTTCAGCAGTCTTCCAGCCAAAGGATCCAGCCATTTCCCAGTCAATAAGTCCCACAATTATGCCATTGTCCACAATGCAATTTGACGTAGTAAAGTCTTTATGCATGAAGCTCGTATCTGGATCGTCATTGGTTGAAAAAATTATTCTATCTTCTAACGAATTGATTCGACCGTTGCTATGGATATTCGGGTCCTATTCGACGTGAGAGCGAGCTGTAAGGTTCTCCGTGGGTCTGATACTGTGCAGCCGATGAGGTATCTTCCCAGCCTGTTCTTTGAATGAATTCTTCTGGTCTCCAGATAGATACGGCCACGCGACACACAATCCAACCCCTGGAATCCTTTCTTGGACAAGCACTTGTCGACCATTAATCTAAATAATGTGAATTTAGCAAAATAGAACAACAAGACTAACTCAATTACCTTGCCAGCAAAATGAATCTCCGGAACTTTCACATCTTTCACAACGGCTTTTGCTAGAGCAGTTGCTCGAAGCTCGTTTATATCGGCGCAGGAGAAGTCAATCTCCGGTTCACTGTGGAGATGACTGGACTTCACGATCACGCTACCACGAGCGAAAATGTCGCGACCGGCTTCGTCAGCAGGATAGATTCTGATTTCATCGGTGCAAAGACTAACAACCGAGGCCCATTATCTCAGGGAGTCTGTAGTCTGAGAGTTGACACGCTGGGGATCAACGCGGGAATCATTCATTTGGGCAGTATCGGCCATAAAAGGGAAAATCTGCGTACAAGTCGGTTGCAGGGATTCTATCTGGATCTGTTTCATATGGGTTTACCATTGTTGACCTTGGGAGAGGATGTGTGTTTGGGGCCACTCTAGTGCTGGAGGTACTATAGAAGCAAAGAAGGGTGCTCCCGAGGTCGGACGCACGTAGCGCTCCTAGGAATATGACCTCACATAATACACGTGCACCATTTTGAAATTTTGACATGCAGTGCAGATGGTTTCATAATATTTGAAACCCTTCGTCTGAAACAATTCTGAATTTAGGCTTTATCAAAGAATAACTGTTGCAGCTTATTGGCAGGTGGTTCGTCGCCTCAGGCAAAAACATTAGATGACTCAGCAAGACGTCACATGGCGGAGCTCTCGATACGCAAGCACCAGCCCAAGGGACAGGAGGGACAAATTGACCCCTGCCGGGAAGCAATGTTGTCCGCATTCACTGCGCAACCGCTGGTCGAACTAAAGCCACGCGACAAATCCAAAATCGACTCGGTGCTAGCCTACGGTGACCGACTACTAGCCGGCCTCAATAACGGCACACTCCGCATCTACCGCGTGACCGACGATGGCAAGACCGAGCTGCTCCGCGAGGTGGAGAAATTCGCCCGGTACAAAATTGAGCAGCTAGCTCTGGTGAAGGAGGCACACGTGATTGTTTCGCTTTCGGGTGGCTATGTGAGCTTCCACGACTCTCAGACCTATGAATTTCAGGAGCAGCTTGCGCAGACGAAAGGCGCCTCGTCGTTTGCCATCACCTCGAACGTCGTCAATGATCCCGATACAAATGTCCCGGCTATCGTGTCGAGATTGGCTGTCGCTGTCAAACGGAAGATCTTGATGTGGGTGTGGCGGGATATGGAGCTGGAACCGCATACCACGGAGCTAAGCTTGGTGAGCGGGGTGAAGACCCTGACCTGGGTGTCAGCTACACGAATGGTTGTTGGACTCGGCTCAAGCTTTGTCATGGTGGATGTGGAGGGTGGCCAGGTGACAGAACTTCCTAGTCCAGGGAGCTTGGAGGAGTCGGGCCGTTTTACGGGAGTCGGTGCGGCGAGCATGAGTTATATTGGAATGGGAGGTATGGTACCGAAACCACTCGCCTCGAGGCTAGGGGAAGGCCAGATTCTACTGGCCAAAGATGTGAATACCAATTTCATCGACGTAGATGGTCAGCCACTTGGGCGACGACAGATTCCCTGGAGTCATGCTCCGATGGAGATTGGATATTCCTACCCATTCCTGCTGGCGCTACATGATACAGCCAAGGGTGTGCTAGAGGTTCGGAACCCGGAGACCCTGTCGCTCTTGCAATCGATCCCGCTCCCGTCGGCAAATATTTTGCACATTCCACAGCCGAACATCAGCCTTGCTCACGCCGGAAAAGGTTTCTTAGTTGGCAGTGACCGTACAATCTGGCGGATGGATGCTTTGAGCTATGATACCCAGATTGATACGTTGGTCGAAAAGGGGTATCTGGACGAGGCTATCAGCCTATTAGGGATGTTGGAGGATGCTTTACTCCGAGACAAGGCCGGCAGACTACGCACTGCTCAGCTCGAAAAAGCCCAGAGTTTGTTCGCGTTGCACAAATACCGGGAATCTCTGGATCTGTTCACCGAGATTGCAGCTGCACCCGAGACGGTTATTCGTCTTTACCCTCGGTCAATCGCTGGCGATCTTTCAGCTGCCCCAGAGAATGACAATGGCTCGGATTCGAGGAGCTCAGATCCAAAGATCAATGGCCTGCAAGCTGACGGCTCAGCTGATCCTCCAGCCAATGGAACCAATGGGACTAACGGAGCCCCAGCTAATGGAGGTACTATATCGTCTCTTTATGCGCCGTCTGTCCAGTCTTTCCTTCGACGAGCCGACGGGAGCAGCGATTCAGGCAGTATCCGTGACGAGGAAAAAGATCTGAAGAACGCCGTCCGTGAGCTCCAGGGTTATTTGGCAGATGTTCGTCGGCGCTTCCAGAGATTCTTAGGCCAAGATGGCGGTCTCAAAGTTCCCGCGCCAGTACAATCCTCGGACGAAGCTAGCGACTCTGTGCTGAAATTGTTAGACTTCCCAAGCACCGAAGACTTTCTACCTGCAATCCGTGAAAAGGCGCGCCTTGTTGATACAACCCTGTTCCGCGCCCATATGTATGCCACGCCTTCACTCGCGGGATCACTGTTCCGCATTGCCAATTTCTGTGACCCAGAGGTGGTAATGGAGCGATTGGAAGAAACTGGTCGGTATAACGATTTAATTGATTTCCTCTACGGGAAGAAGTTACACCGCCAGGCTTTGGAACTGCTTCACCGATTCGGACAGGACGAGGAGGGTGTGCTTAGCGGTCCTGCACGCACCGTTGCTTATCTGCAAAATCTCCCACCCGACCAAATTGAATTGATCCTGGAGTTCGGAGAATGGCCTCTTCGGATTGATGAAGAGCTTGGAATGGAGGTATTTCTGACAGACACTGAGAATGCTGAGACCCTGCCACGCCCACGGGTCTTACGGTTCTTACAGAGTGTTGATACCAAACTCGCTGTGCAATATCTTGAACATGTCATCCACGAGTGGAATGATATGAGCCCGGATTTGCACCAGCAGCTTTTGGTCTTGTATCTTGATCGGATTACAGCGGATAAGACAGACTCCCAGACTAAAGAAAGGTTTTTGACTATGCTCAAGGAAAGTGAGCAATATTCGCCGGCTAAGATTCTGAACCGGCTGGACCGCGAAGGTAAGCTTTCTGATCCAACTTTTTTTTCTTAAATCTATACTGATGATAATGATGCAGATCCTGAATTCTATGAGGCCCGAGCTATTGTTTTCAGCAAGATGGGCCAACATCGCCAAGTACTCGAGATTTATGTATTTAAGCTGGAAGCTCACGACAAAGCGGAAGAGTAAGTGTCTTTCTTGAATCATTGGACCATACTAACAATCCTAGATACTGCAACCACGTCCATTTGGCCGAAACAACCGAAGAGAAAGAACCAGAACAATCCATCTATCTCACCCTGCTCTCGCTGTACCTGGCCCCACCACATGGCTATCCAGCTCAGAATGGACCGGCATTAGCCATGCTCGCCAAGCATGGATCCCGACTACCGGCCGATGCAGCTCTAGCATTGATTCCTGCGACACTAGCTGTACAGGACCTCGAGTTCTATTTCAAGGGCCGGATGCGTGCGGCCAATTCCGTCTTCAACGAGTCCCGCATCGTGGCGAGCCTGCGCAAGGCACGCGATATGCAGACCGAAGCGCAACTCACACTCGGCGAGAATGTTCGAGGAGGCGGCACCCGAGCGCGACACGTTACGATCACAGAGGAGCGGATCTGTGGTGTGTGTCACAAGCGCTTGGGAGGCAGTGTGATTAATGTATTCCCCGAGTAAGTTCCATCATCCATGGCCTTTCCGAATGGATAATGCTAACTCGTCCAGCAATACTGTTGTTCATCTAGGCTGTGCAAGTCGAGTCGCGGGCGTTCGTTCGTAGATTTGTTCGGTTTATTTTTTTTTGGTCTGCATTATGCAGGTTTGGCCTTTTCGTTGATACCCAGTTGTAGCATAGCACATTATATCATTCATGGATGTTCACGCATCGTCGTCGATGACTTCTTCGCCGTAATTTTCCTCCTCTTTGGATTCCTTTTCCGATGTCTGCCCTTGGGCCTTTTTATCTTCTTCCATTCGTGCGGTCAAATAGACGTTTATCTCGTCCTGGAGCTTTGGTACCAGGGATTGGAGGGCCGTCAAATGGATGTGCTTAGCAGCAGGGTCTGAGGATGCAGGGATTCCATGCTGGAAGGACTTTGTGGCGTCAGGAGCGGTGTAAACAGCTTGAAGGTTGGCCATGATTGTGATGTTTCGAGTGGGAATGTGTTGGAGTTGAAAGTGGCGGGGGAAGAAAAAGAAAAGATCGGCGGAGTGAGAGATGAACTAGACCGAAAGGGGGGAGCTTGTTGATCACTTTAATAGGCATCCAGCCTTGTCAACTTCAACCTTTTTACCCTTCCAGTCCTTATATAAATATAGAATATCAACTTTATAACATGGATTCACTATGAACCCTACTTATCGATCTCCAAGTTCCCCGGGTCGCTCCCAACGTGGCCCCGCCCCAGTCTATCGTCATCATACCCAACCTCCACTCTCCGATGAGGACGATTCAGATGACGACGAATTGAATCGCCCCGGATCTTCCGGTAGTGATGCCTCCTCCAATGTGACCACTGTCTCCGCTGCTCCGATCACCCCGATCAACCCTCCTTCCGGGGGTGGTTATTTCTCTCCACACCGTTCGTCAGCCAACACGTCGCCCCAACACGCAGCTAGAATGCCACAAGACCGTCGGCCGTCGGGTCGAGGCCCCTCGCTCGAACTGGCACGACACAGGTCTCGACATCACTCCCAAGGTTTCTTCGAGCCCTCACTACCCACCGCATCGTCCGATCAGATGCCGGTGTCAGCTTCCCGCATCGCCGCCCAGGCGGCTATGCAGCAGATAAAACGTTCAGACGACACATTACGAAGTGGCAGCTCCTCTCCTCCACCTCTACCCCCATTGGTACCCGCTCCTCTACGAGTGAACCAGCCGCCTCCGAATGTCGCAACAACAGCTGCCAACGTGGTGTTTCCGCGAGCCGGCGCAGCAGTCCAGCCGATGGACCAACCAGAGAACAAGAAGAAGAAAAAGCTATTCTCAAAACCGAAACACATCGTGCTCAGTCGAGAGAAGTCGGATCCTTTCAACCGGGATCGAGGACTGCCGTCCCCGAGTAAGATCGGCAATGGTCTGTCGCGCATGGTCAGCTCGTCTACGGCTAGTCTGGCCGATCTGCCCTCTAACAACTCTTCCATGTATAACCTGTCCAATGCCTCTGTCAGTACCGTAGTGCCGGCTGGGGAGAAATCTACGCCCGCTGCGCCGGAGAAGGACAACAAGGACAAGGATAAACACAAACACCACTTCTTGTCACGGCAGAAGCTCAAGCTGAAGGACCGTGACGAGCACTTGAAACTGCCTCTTTCCTCGGCGTCGAGCAACTCTCGTCCCGCGGACCCCAACGCACCCCAGTCCCTCTACTCTTTTACAGGACCTTCCTCCCCGGCTCCAGGTGCGACTTTTGGTAAATCCGTCAGTGGGCTGGATTTGTTACATGGCGGACGAGCCCTGCGCGAGAAGAAGAAGGAAGAAAAAGGGAAGGAAAAGGCTCTTGCGGAATCCGAACATACTGAATGGCTAAACAGTGCAGCAGCGGGAAATGCCGCTACTGCAGTCTTCAATGGGCCCTCGTCCTTAAACAGCTCGTCCGGTGCGATGGGAGAAGCGGTCCTACGAGAGACTTTGCAAGGATTCGGACTAAACAACATGTCTCCTGAAGATGCATGGGATTTTCTCAAGGCGAAGCTGCTGGTCATTTTCGATGGCGAGGATGTGCGAATCGCCATCGAGGACCTTAATAAGCTCGTTTTGGTACATCTACAACGCTGTGTACAGAAGCGCACCCCGACATCGATTATTTCGGACCTCCAAGAACTTCTGGAGACTGGCTTTGCGACACTCAACCACAGTTCTTTAGTTGGCATTCCTGACGAGAAGCTGGTTCCTCATTTAGTCCAGGTGTGGATGTTAGTTTTTGGCACAATCCTCCCCTTCATCCAGGCTGTGTTCTTGCCTCTGGATCTCGAGTTCAAAGGAGTTGGGTCCTTAATGACCTCTCGTGAGTCTCATGAATTCTGGGGCTCGCTACCAGCCGGTAGATCCCTCGACGTGCGCAACTTAGTCTTGATCGCCTTCCGAGATCGCATGATCCTCAACCGCTACGAAACTCTTAAACAAACTTTCTCCCGCCTCAGTCTCGACAGCATCAACACCGGCTTCTCAACACTAAGCGTAACCACAAAAAGCACCGCTACCGGCGGTCGACCCGGCACCGCTGCCTCATTAGACGCAGGTCTCGGCAGCTACAACTCCCAATCCTCAACTATGCTCAGCAACGTCGCAGACAGCTACTCCTCCGACTCGATGAGTGTACTGGCACCCACAAACGCAAACTTTAGACCCGGGAGCAGCGACTCCCGCAGCCGCGCAGCATCCAACACATCCTCCAACCCCGATCCAATGATCTTCTCATCCGTCTCCTCCCCACCAACTTCCAATCAGCGCCCAACAATAAAGCACCGCGTCGGCTCCGCAGACTCCTCTCACGTCATCACCGAGACAGTCGGTCGCATGCTTCAATGTGTCAGCGTCATCGGAAGCGTCCAAACAGACGACGCCTCACAAGATAGAATCGAGATCTTAAGCAAAGCACTGAAGCACAACTGGCTCGGACGTGGCCGCACAGGTCGTGACCGTCGTGGTTTCGTCGGTGCGAAAATCCGCCCAGTCATGGTTGGTGGACCTGTACCCACAATCATGGATGACGGAGACTCCCTCACAACGGCGGGAATTAGTATCGGTGCTAGTACCAGTACTGGTGGTTCACGTGCTCGAGGAGATTCCTCGTCTTCGGAATGGAGTGGGCAGGGCATGGGTATGAGTATGCGAAGCGGAACAAGTGGGAGGCGGGAATTGAGCGTTCTTTGATCTAAAATATTTATGATTTATGAGGCTGGATGGATGGGTTGGATCAATGGTGTTGGATGGTATTTTAGGATTTGTTAAGTGCACGTGGTTCTGGATTGTTCTTCCAGAATTGAGATCAATGCATTAGCGCTGGCTTATGTTGTATCATACTCGAGGTCAAATGCTTGTAGAGATTTCGACCTAAATTTAGGCCTATGAGATGCAAGCACCTAAGCTTCCATAAGTTGGAAATGATGAATATACACATAATTCATGAGTCCATTATTCTACGTAATCTATCATGTGCTTAGAAATGTCTATATTGTCGATCATTAAGATCCACAGCCAACATTGAAGTCTTTTAACCACGTAGCGTTTCTGCATCGGTGGATCCTTCTCTCTCAATCTTCGGGGGTAACGCGGTCCTCTCATAGAGTTTTTCCATAAATGCATGCGAAGTAGCAGCATAATGGCAGCGCTTGCGAATCCCCGGGCCATAGCGATAGAACAAGAACGGCATCGGTACACACGCAACAGCCAAGAAAGCTGGGACAGATGAGGCCCAATGGATACCGAGGTCCTTATACATATAAGTGGTGAACAGGGGAAATACAGCGCCGAAGATCGAGCGCAGGGAAGCATTGGCAGCCAGAACCGATGCGGCGTAGATGGTGTATGCATCAATCAGATAGTTCAGGACCGGTAGGAAGACCATCACCATACCGAAACCGAGGGGAACACCGGCTGCGATGGAGACCATCCAGTGGATAGAGGGGGAATTTGTCCAGGCGAACCAAAATAGACCTACTGGCAACGCGATGGAACCTATCATAGCACCTGGGAGGCGTTGCTCGGGTGCTAGACGACCACCAGCAGCGAGGGTCTTGTTTTTATAATTGAAGTAGAGCGGGAACGTCGCAGCTACCGAGAAGAGGATACCGACTGTGATGCCTAAAAATGAAAGTCCGCCAAGGCCTTCGCTCCATCCGCGTTCGGTTTGGTAGACAATCGGCATGGCTGCGAAGAGCAGATACAAGCTGGCGAGGTTAGTCGAGTCAAATGGATAGTCAAATGGATTAGGAGAGTATACACACATTCCATAGATGATGGCGAGATATATCGATAATAACAGAACAATGGGTTCCCGGACGAGAAGGACCCACGGTCTCGAGAGTGCCACCTTGAAGATAGCCGCAGGTTTCTTCTTGCCGTCGTCGATTTCAACCTTGCTACGGTACACATGACCAGTAGTAGCAGATAAACGCTCGGCACGTTTGTTCAAAAGAGTGGGTGCAAACGTCTCAGGCAAGAAGCAAAAAATAACAATACCCAGAAATCCAGCGAAAGCAGCCACCAGCCCTTCCACCCAGCGCCAACCAGCCGTTTCAGATAAGAATCCACCGATGATGGGACCTAGCGTGGGACCTAAGAATGGCGCAGCACAATACAACCCACTCGCGAGACCACGGTTGATAGGAGGAAAGCAGTCGGCAATCACTGCACCCGCAACAGCAAACGGAGCCGACCCCAACGAACCAGCAATGAACCGCAGAATAAGCAGACTCCAGATATTCTGCGCGCCGGCACACCCCGCCGTGAAAGCCGCCAATCCGGCGGAGCTGGCAATGAGAATCGGTCTTCTGCCATAGAGCTCACTCAGCGGCGCCCAGACCAACGGACCGACAGCGAATCCCAGGACGAATAGCGAGATCCCGACGATGGCGAGCTCCTCACTGATATGGAATTCCTCGATTACCTCAACGAGGCTACCCGAATACGCAGATGATACCAGTGCGACGGCTAAAGTGTTGATTCCCATCAACACGGTGATCATCCATTTGTGCACGATACCGAAGTTCATAGGATTCCGTAAGTCATTCTCAATCCAGATTATCTGGAAGGGATCCTTCTCTGTCCCCGCGCCTTTGTGATGGTGGGCTGCGACATCGGGCGGGATGGCGCCAGCATCGAAAAGCAGGCGCCAGTAAGGGATGCCCTTTGGTTTAGTCACCTCTCCAGGAAACACAGTCATGGCTCAGTGTGTGGGTGACAGCCAGAGTCAAAGTCAAGACTCGTAGCGCACCAAAAAAAGAGAGGAGCTGACAGGACGAACAATAAACCTGATCAGCGAACTCGGTGAGTTACCGAGTGATTGTGGTTCTCATACCTGACGCAACAAACATTTTCATAGGATCTGATCTGCCCGAGTCCGAGGATGTGATTGGCGCATGGGAGGAACGGGGGCGACTAGTTATCGCGGTGGTATCAATTAGACCCGCTTTGTTGTTTTCCTTGTGCATATTTGTCAAGATCTACATTGCTAGTCCTGAAGAAGAAGCGATATCTGTAGATCTATTGGGCTCCGCTGGAGCTGTGCTGTTCACGCTGACTGGTCGATCGGCAGTTATGTTCCCAATTGACCCACTAGGATCCACTATCCTTTCGATGACGAGATTCCAAGGGTTGGTAATAGGGCTTGTTGATGTGTTCTTGTGAGATTAATTAGAGAATCGCTCCACTTATCCCCCGGAATACTCTTGTACATCATATCTAGCCCGATCAGGAACTTGACCATGGCTTCGAGTCAACCAACTAGATCATGTTCCCTGTAGTCTACCCAATTAGCCTCAATTTATCAATTCCAGCCAGGGGTATGTTCCTGCATATGGGTTGTGGTGTACAAGAGTAATCTGGGGGGTAAATTAACTGGCAGATATTACACATGGGCTCAATAAGATCGTTTGAATTGTACGGACTGGGCTGTTATCCGATCAATCTTATTGGCCTAGTGTGTACCCTTATTTTAACGACAGAGGTCAGACGTCAGTAATAAAGAATTGCAGGATCATCGAAAACAATAAGAATATGGCACTTCATCCCCCAAGCTCTGCTCATAGCAATCCTTCCACCCATCCTCCCCATACTCACACCTGGGATAACAATATTCCCGCTCCATGTGCCTTGTTTCCATCCTCCGCATATTATGCAACATCCCACAAGATTGTATTCTCAAAATCTCCTACTCCTAAAATCCTCTTTCATGATCCTCATTCTTTCGTCTTCGTGGCCCTGTATATTATAGAAAAATTAGCAAAAATCTAGATCGAATACAAATCATGGAAGGGAGACAGACGGGTTCTGGGATGATTCCTCCGGCAGGGACAGTCGAGCCGGCAGTTCGCCCAGACGATTGAAGATTTTGCTGTAACGCTTCGCAAGGGTCCGGTACGAGTACTCTGAATCACAGGCACTCGTCAAACATTCTCCGATCGTCGTCCAGGTTGCCCCGCTCTTTCGCAGCTCAAACATCAGGATGTCCGCTGGATTGGCATCGTCCCAGCTTTCGGGAATCGCAATCGGCTTGCAAGCCGGCTTGGGCTTGATAGGGGGACTTTGGAGTCTACCCCTGCTGTCATTCGAGCTCTTCTGATTAACCTTTCTGCTGAGCTTGGATCCTGAAGCCTGGGACTGGGCTTTCTTGGGTGTAGGCGTAGGGGCATTCATGGTCATAGCGGTGTCAATCAAGCTCTTGCGCTTGTCCTTGCTGGCCTTGCCTTCTTCAACCTGGCCTCTCTCATCCGAGAACGTCTCGGTGTCCTTTGTAGTCATTGGCGCCTTGCCATTTTTCTTGCTGGTAATTTTGTCCGCCGATGCGGGGGTAGTGGCAGAGCTCTTGCCCTTGCCCTTGCCCTTGTTGCTCGCCTTGGAGTATGTCACCCGAGCTTTCTTGGCTGCTGGAGTAGGAGGATCCATGAGCGTAGCTTCTGTATCCAGGCTCTTGCGTTTGGCATTTTTGCTGCTAGCGTTGGCATTTACCGCTTGGGCTCTCTTGCTCACTGGGGTATGAACACCGCTACTGATATCTCTGGGGCCTGCCTCGGTACTTCCGCCTGCGCCACTTGAAAAAGGCTTTTTGGCAATTGAATTGTGTTTCACCAAGCGGTGCGAATAGAGATCCGTCGTATCCGATGCATGACGCTTTCCCAGGGTCGAAGTTTGGTCCTTGGCTTGCTCCGGACGAAAGGATTGGGCCGTCGTAGATTCAGGGTCTGCCTTTATGCCCGCCGCAATCTGATGCAAGGTGCTGGCCAGGCTGTCCATGGTCTTGTCCATTTCAGACAGCTTATCATTCAGTTCGCGCACGGTGCTCAGATCCTCGTTCACTGTACTCTTGGACTTGTCGGGAGGGTTCCAGACCGGAGCTTTGCCTTTGTCACGCTTCGTCTTTGAAGCACTGGGACTAGGGCTTCCATCGGTAGCATCGTCGGTACTACTTTCATGATCGTAAAACTGAATGGAGCTGTTAGCAAGATGCTTCACGTTATGATGGTTGTATTCTTACCTGATCCTCTTCAGTGGAATCTTCATGGTACATCTGAGTGGCCTTGGCTTTGCGCGGCTTAGAAGCCCTTTTCAAGTTGTCCGACTGGGGGAAAGCCTTGAACATGCGCGTCGTAAAGGAAGGTGGGCTAGTGTCGAGCGATATAGTGTATGAATCTTGACTCTTTGAAGGGCTTGGTGTCAGTTGGTATGGATCACCCTCGTCAATAAGCTGGTATTTGCGGCCTCGGTGAATCTCCGCTTGCTGTTCGGCCCGAAGAGAGGACTCCTGGATTTCATTGTAGCCATGTCTCTGCCCCAGGGGTGGAAGTTGGTATGCGCGGCCTTCAAGTGGATCAAGAATGTTTGGATCGTACTGGGAAATCATTTGATTGGAATTGGGCTGCGCAGGAGCTGAAGCCACGTACTCTTGTCCTTGAAGTGGATCAGGCATTGGTGGATAGTAGAGAAAAGACATTCGGTTGGGATCAGGCTGCGCAGGAGCCGAAGCAATAGATTCCTGTCCATAAAGCGGAGCAGGCACTGAAGGATAGTACTGCAAAGGCACTTGGTTGAAGTTAGGCTGCGCAGCAGCCCAAGCCATGTCCTGCTGTCCTTGGACCTGAGTCTCATCATTGCTTCCAGAAGACATAGACTGGTCGAGCTGTGCAGGGTTGCAATTGCGCGCAACAAAACCATCTTCGTTCCCATCAGGCAATCGATTGGGACTGACCTGTGGCAGGTTGGCACTGTCAAATATGACGTCTTCAGGGCGAGAATATTCTTCAAATGAAAATATTTTTCTCTGATCAGAAGCGGGAGTGTACGTGAAAGGTGAGCAATCTGCCACTGGATGGTAATGTAGTCCACCCGGGGGACGCCCTTCGAAGATGGGCCCTTGAATGGTATCGTCTTGGCCTTGGTTCGCACTGTCAAGAAGCATAGGCCCCACTCCAGGATCATATCCTCCCCATGAGGAAAGCTGATCATCTCCAGGAGCTTCCAGAAAGGGTTGAAGTGGTTGATCTTCAGCTGGGGTGTGCCAAGTTGGAAACTCCAAGGGAACGTTTGAGGAAGGCTGGGTAACAGAGCCCGAGATTGGAACTTGAGATAGACTGTTGGAGTCTACAGTTTCTACATCCACAAAAGAATTGGGCGGCTCGTGGAATAGAGATGCTGAAGCGTCATGATCCATAGCGTCAGGGTTCTCAACATCGTCAAGATCCCAATGTGCATCTTCGAAATTGGAATGAACGTATTCTGTATTCTGATTTTCGTCATCGAACTGTAAATCAACGTGTCCAGTATCGCAATCGGCATCAGAAGCGTCCGACCCCGAAGGAACGTACGTGGTGTCCGAGGTTTCACATTTGTGCTTCATCGTGAGACTGAAAGGAAGATGTACACGTAGAGATTGTTCGATTTAATTGGGAATGGCAAATGGCACTATTGCCAGGAATTGGTGATGTAAAGATTCAAAATCAGGTTGGATGAACGTGTAAACGATAGATGAAAGATCAGAATGGTGAGGAAGAAAAGGAACTCTCCAGCTGTAAAACAAGCGTTGTTTACATTCTGATAATACGACTAAGCGTTTCGTTTGATGTGGATAGTACTAGTACTCTATTGACCTTAATAACGATACGGGTGCGTCGAGTCGAAAACTTCAAGCTGTTAACAGTTGTCGTGTTCGAACCTGGCCGGCGCCGTTTATTTTTATTTCTTTTTTCATAGTTCGTGTTCTTTATCCTCTAGAGAGATGTAACTAGTTTGACAAAAGGCATTACATCTGCAAGATATATCTTTTTGAGGTGAATACCTGCGAATACCTCTTCTCATGATTAATATAGAACAACATAAGGGTCACGTGCTGTCCAAACCCTAGCGACAAGATGGTACTCGAAATGAAAGGGGTCAGGGGTGCGTCCCCTCGAACTTCTGCTCTCTCTTCTGTTTTCTCCATATGTATACCCAATACACATACTACTCTGTGAGCTCTCCTGTAGTATCGTAGTCATCTTCCCCCCATGGCTGCTCTAGGCGCCAAGAGAACTGTATCCAAAACTTTGCGCTCCCACTATCCCAATTTGGAAGCGCCAAAGATGAGTCTCATTATCATCTGTTTCATCAAACCACTGGTTCCACTCGACTAGGGAGACAACATGGCCGAATCTTGCCCCATACGCCCCTTTACATCGTGGCATCCACCACCTTGGCGATGTGACCTTCATCCAGTCGAGTATGGCGAACATAGGAAGCCCAACCATAGCCTTCCTGGAGTGCAACTTGTCTACCGTAGAAATGCACCGATCTATTTGGGAATCCATCATCAACGATTGGCTGAATGTGGAAGCAAGACACAGGAAGCTGAGCCACGATCGCAACGGACTGTTGAGAGATGGACAATGTCAGTTAGAGCAGAGAAAGACTGTTGTCTTGAATACTTCTCTAAGTGGTTAAATGGAGAACTAGGTCATGACACAGCTGTGTATCAAGGTGTACTAAAATGAGGAGTTGGGATCCGGGTGATGGTTGAATGAAGCTGGTGCCCCTGTTTCCCAGAGTCAGTGGCCATTGATAATGTATCTGAAGTATGGTACACATTTTACTTTGGGGATAACAGGATGCATATGGGGACTATTCATAAAAAAAAGCGTTTGGGTGGGAAGAGATAAATATGCAGTATAAAAACGAACGCCAGCGACACAGATCATATCCAGGATTTGAAACTTCCGAAGGATCAAGACCGAAACATTGCAAAGATTCAGGCTTTGTCTATCTTGCCGGTATAAACACTAGGGTCAACGGCAGTGGAGTCTGTGGATTCGAGTTGCTTATCGATCTTCATGGAGTTGAGAGCCGTGCTCAGAGATAGCTCTCTCGCGTCAGTGTCATAATTCTGGCGGGCCAGTTCAAATTCAAATGATTGTTTAACAGTACGGGAGTTGATATATCCTTCATCCCACTTGGCGCGGAGTCGTCTTTGGTACTGTTCTCCCAGGCGCTGATGATCCATTAGCATTGTCTTGATCATTCTTGATGAGATGGAGCTTAACTTACAAGCATATCCTCATCTGAGACAGGAAACCCTCGCAATCGGTTCATTTGCTGGGCCTTATCCCTCTCCTACCTCACGCTACATGTTTTGCCCTTGGGCTTAGCTTGTCAGTAGCTGAGCATGTCTTGGAATCACAGTGTGGTAGAAGTCCGGCAGAATACTTCTTACACTGGGAGGCGAAGGAGGGTTCCAGGATGCATTATCGACATTGTCCGTCTGCTTTCCTCGGCTGGTTGATCCAAACATGATCATTCGCAGGAGGCAGGCGTGCTTGGAAATAGTGCGTGGAAATAGGTGAAGGTTAAGTGTAAATACCCACGCGTCCGCAAGGAATAGAAGTTCAATCCTGGTGACCGCCTTTTCACCGCCTATAATATTCAAGCCAGTAACTACGGAATCCAGAGTACGGAGTACACTGGTGAAAACCGAATTCTGCCACTACACACTGGGCGCACATCAGAAAGCGTGGAATTTGGAGTCGAAAGTGCGTGCTTAAGAAGCATTGACACACGTTCCCAATTGCATGAGTTTAAGTAAAATGCTTACTCTAAGGTGCTAAGTTTTGAGTACATCTTTCATTGTAAGTGTTTAAAGACTTAGTAAACTAGAGCATAGAGATATCTTTTCAATGTTTTTACGATTACAGCGTTGAATATGGAAATGTACATGAATATACTGTACACCTAGTGAAGATCAACAGTATGTAACGTTTGGTCAACCTTTTACTAGCCCAATCTACCTCTTACCGCATCCCTCTATAAACAACACGAGAGCTAAACCAATCAATGGTATATTACGCGATAAGAATTGAAGAATAATTCATCTGCACATATATATATGGGGTAGGGTAAACGGTCCTTAGTGTTCTCCGTGTATTGCGGGGTTATATTGGCGAAGTAGATGCCGCTGATCTCGGGACTATGCTGGGGGCTCGCAAGTCTACAGCCACCGCATACAAAATAAAAACATCTTGTCGCCAAGAACACTGAGCTACTCAGGAAAAACACGGGGCCAAAGACTCAGGAACCGGTAGAGCAATTTGATTAATTCCGATATTTAGGGTCTGTCATTCTGATTCCTGCGGTTCGAATGTGTAGTCGTTGAGAGAAGGGATAAGAAAGCACATGATTAATCTATTTAAGATCCGAGGCTTAATCGTTGATATTAATGAATTTAAATGAAGTGTTTTTGTTATTTTTACATGCTGACCCCGCAACTCGGCCGGCAAAATAAACCCTTAATCTACGTATGATCGAATGAGGCGTCTGGATCGGCGAGCCTGAACTTTTGACACGAGGCTGTTAGGTGAAAATCCTGAAATGACGCCTTGTTCCCTGCATCATTCAGAGTTTGCTCTGAATTTTCATCATGCAGGGCATCTCAGATAAGAGTATAGCAAGAAGCTGAGACCCAGGATCTGAACAAACCCATTAATAGAAAAATGCTAGACATTATTGACTGAAAATGGAGAGCCTCAAGGTTGCTAATCTGGGCGAATGTCGTTAGTGGGAATATTCGAAATTCAGCCAAGTTGGCAATGTCGGGACTCAACAAGATTTTCTAACGAGGTTTTTACGAGGGTCTGTGCCTTTATAGTAGCACGAGCACATTAGACATCAGATCCAACGTATATAGAGATTTCCATGCGATCGATGAGGTGACCAGAATCAGAAGAACTCCCAACTTGCAGGACGAACGGAGTACTCCGTCTTATGTTCCACAAGACACCAGCAGGTGGATCCCGTGACTTGGAAGACGATCATCGAATGGGTACAGATTGTTCAATGTTTATTTGTTTGTCATAATCACGGAGTATTCCGTATAAAGGTGTGATATATGTCTTAACATCGGGATCTTAGAAAGAGTCCAGATCGTGCAGGACTGTAATAGATCTTTTCGAGACATGAAGCCCGAGCTGAACTATAACATTCTAGTCTGCATGCAGGTTTTAGCGTGCGGGTCTGTATGTCGTGCGAGATTTAGCCCAGCTCGCTTGCATGTACCACGGCTTCGAAGGTTGAGTATGACGTGCAAAAGCAACCCTTTTGAATGTGCTCCATACTCCTCAGATTACTCGCGTCGAGGCTTCTCCTCGGATTCTTGGCAGCCTCTGACGCCAGTGCCCTTCCCCTTATTCCCCTGAATCGATGATTCTACCCGTCCCCCAAAATTTGTCCTGACAATCGTAGTAAAATAGTTCGTACCCCATACCATTTTTGATGCTCATCTAAAGTAAATTCTCCACATGACGCAATCAAAATAAGAACCTTGGAAAGTAGGAAATGAGGATTAGCGATGAAAGAGACGAGCCCGGGGAAGTGGAGACAATGATTTGGATTCGACCAATCACAATCCAAGCAATCCCGAGGAACGTGACCATGATCATGTCTTAGATGATCCACGCTACTATTCTACGCATTTGGTGAGAATTCTGTCGATCGAGTAAGAATATTAAACTCATTCACCAAATGTATAGAAATGTACTGAGTAGGTAGAATAGAAAAGAAGACATACAAGAACTAGGAGAGAGTCTCGATGTTTTGTAGCATCCACTGAGGAATATAGTTGAAAATGGCGCATTTCAGGAACAGGCAGGGTCTTTGGTCCCTGGTATGGGAACCAATAATGGCAGTTTCTTTTTCTTTTCTCTCCGGCGTATTATGTTCTTGTGGAGTAATGATCGGCGTCAATAATCATGAATGCAGGAGAAGCCACACCAATTCAAAGTCTTTGAAGCCAATATTTGTCTCCACTCAAGCCCCGCCCGAGTTGGTCCGGGGTAGGTTTTGCTTCCCTTTCCAGCTCTAGCTCCGAACCCCCTCATTTTGACCTTTTACTCTGTCCACTTCGGTCCAACAATGGGCATCGACATGGAGTCAGATCCGCCATTCTAGGTTTAGCTTCCTGCCGCTAACCTCTTAGCTCCTTCTGCACTTCCCGCAGGTCCCAACGCGACCCATCTTTACCAAGCCACCGAGTCCAAGCCCTGCCAAATTACTTGGGACATGTGAACTGGTTCCCCTGCTCCCCCGGTGGCGCTCAGGCCCAGGAACCCGAGTAATGTCAAAGATCCAATTCTTAACGTGGTGTGACCGAGTTTTGCTTATCACATGGCGAGCTTGCTGCCTCGGACGTCGATCCACATCTCGGTTTTCTTTCCAGGTTAGCGTATGAAGTAGGTGGAGGAGGCTTCCCCGAAATGATGCCCCAGATGGTCGATCTCACGACCCGCCAAAAGAAAGAATAAAGAGCTGGCGCGACCCGGACCATGGCTTTTTCTGTTCAGGCTCTCCTTTCGCGGTTTCCATCTAGCCCGACGCCCATTGTGACTGCGGATCTAACGCATACACAAGATATTGGAGCCACGACAAAATGCGTTTCATTCCAGTCCTCGCGACTGCCTTCCTGGCCATCTCCTCGGTCACAGGCGCGTCGCCTACCGCGGCGGCTTCTACTGCTGCAGCTGAAAGCGAGAACAGTGCAGCTGCTGCGGTCAACAATGTAGCCGATACCATTGCCAATGCGGCCACTACCGCTGCTGCAACGGCTGCTGCAACAACTGCTGCCGCTGCTAGTGCTAATGTGGTTAATGCGGAGGAGGACACGGTTAGCAGCGAGGCTGCTGATGCCACCACCGCCGCAGCTGCTGCTGCCAATGCCAACACGGCGAACTCCAACGCCGCGACTACCAGCGCCGCTGCCAATGCCAATACCAAGAGTGTTGCTGCTGCGGATAGTGCCACTGCCGCTGCTACTTCCGCCGCCAGTGCTACCGTTAAGTCTAACGCGGAGGACACAACTACTACCTCTGCTAGTACCTCAACTACCGACTCCAGTAGTAGCAGCAGCAGTAGTAGTAGCTCACTTCTGAGCACCCTCGAGAGCCTTTTTTCTGGCTCTGGTCTCACCACCGTTGGTAGCGATTTGGAGGATCTTATAGAAGGTCTCGAAGGCGTCTTGAACCCAAGTTTCCTCAAAGATTTCACCGGCACCTTCGAATATCTTTATACCGCCTTGGCCCCCCCTGTGGATACCAACATTCAAAAGCTGCTTTCAGACGACAACACTGCGGCTATTGTTAACCTTGTTACCAACGCCAACACCCTGTTGTCAACTAAGAACACCAACACCTTGAGCAACATCTTGAGTAAGGCTGATGCTCTGCTGTCTGACCAGAATTTGGCTGGCATTCAGAAGCTGCTTGACAACATTGACAAGGTCAACACCCTTATTGACAATGCCGACGACTTGCTCACTGCTAAGAACGTCGAGTCAATTGAGAACTTGGTTACCAACGCCAACGATCTGCTGACTTCTGACGTGACCGCCGCCCTGAAGAAGATCCTGAGCGACGTTGTTACCTTGCTGCCTAACCTGGAGACCTTCCTCACCCAGGAGACCTTTACTGAGCTTGCCAGCCTGCTCAAGAACGGCAACTCTCTCCTTACGGCTTCATTCGTCACCGAGACCCAGAACTTGATTACGAGCGCCACTTCTCTTCTAACCACCTCTGTGACCAATGCTCTTAAGGAGATTCTCAGCGCTGTTGTGCCTCTTCTGCCCCAGCTTAAGAACTTCCTCACGGCCGACACCTTTACCGAATTGGAGAACCTGCTCCAGGGTGGCAACTCCTTGCTCACTACCAGCTTTATCACCGAGACCAAGTCTTTGGTGGCTGGTGCTTCTGCTCTTCTCACGACCTCGGTCAGCAACTCGCTCAAGGAGATTCTTACCGCCGTTGTGCCGTTGCTGCCGGAGATCAAGAACCTACTCACCAACGATACCATCTCGGACATTCAGACTTTGCTCACCAACGGCAACGACCTTCTGTCCGATTCGTTCGTTTCCGAGACCAAGTCTCTCGTGGCTGGTGCTTCTGGTCTGCTGACCACGTCGGTGACCAACTCTCTCAAGGAGATTCTCACTGCCGTTGTGCCCTTGCTGCCGGAGCTCAAGACTTTGCTCACCAAGTCTACCATCGCGGATATCCAGACTCTGCTCACCAATGGCAACGATCTTCTTTCAGATTCATTTGTCACCGAGACCAAGTCTTTGGTGGCTGGTGCTTCTGCTCTTCTCACGACCTCGGTCAGCAACTCGCTCAAGGAGATTCTCACTGCCGTCGTACCACTGCTGCCCGAGATCAAGAACCTGCTCACCAACGACACCATCTCGGACATTCAGACTTTGCTCACCAACGGCAACGACCTTCTGTCCGATTCGTTCGTTTCCGAGACCAAGTCTCTCGTGGCTGGTGCTTCTGGTCTGCTGACCACGTCGGTGACCAACTCTCTCAAGGAGATTCTCACTGCCGTTGTGCCCTTGCTGCCGGAGCTCAAGTCTTTGCTCACCAAGTCCACCATCGCGGATATCCAGACTCTACTCACCAATGGCAACGATCTCCTGTCCGACTCCTTCGTTTCCGAGACCAAGTCCTTAGTGGCCAGCGCTTCGGGTCTCTTGACCACCTCGGTGGCAAACGCCCTGAAGGAGATCCTCGCCTACGTCGTTCCCCTGCTTCCCGAGCTCAAGGGCTTCCTCACCAAGGAGACTATCACCGAGCTGGAGACTCTGCTCACCAACGGCGGTGCGCTGCTCACCAGCTCCTTCGTCAACCAGACCCAGAGCCTGGTCAGCAACGCAGACGACCTTCTCACCCCATCGCTGGTCTCTGGTCTCAAGAGCATTCTCAGCGAGGTGACCCCGCTCCTCCCCGAAGTCGAGAAGCTTCTGACAAAGGACACTATCGAGATGATCTCGTCTCTCTTGACAAATGCCAACGATCTCCTGTCGCCAACCTTCGTCAACGAGACCGAGTCACTGATCTCAGGCGCCCACGATCTACTCACCCCCTACGTGGTCGGCGGTCTCAGCGACCTGCTCAACCACCTCGTCCCAGTGGTCCCCAACATCACTGCGGACTTCCTCAACGCTACGACCCTCAAGAACCTAACCTACCTCTTGGGCAACGGAACCACCCTCCTCGACACCGCCTTCGTCACCGATACCAAGTCGCTTATCGAGGAGGCTGGCGATCTGCTCACGCCCTCGACCGTCAAGTCCCTCACCGGCCTGGTCAGCAGTCTCGAGTCGTCCATGCCCGAGCTCGAATCTCTCTTGCAACCTGCTACCATCAAGGAATTGCACACCCTTCTGACCAACGCTGGTGATCTGCTCACCTCCAAGTTCGTTAATGAGACTGCTACGATTATTGATGACGTCTCGAGCTTGTTGCCGTTGGTTGAGGATATTTTGAATTCTTTGTAGGATGATGACTATGTATTCCCATGATTGAAAGGACTCTATTATTATCCTGGATATGATTAATGCGTTTAATGAAATATTATTTTATTCATGTTTCCAATTTCATATTCTATGACGACAACCTTGGAAACCTTGGGACATCAATAATATTAATTTCGTAATTCACTTTTATAGCCTGCATACTGTATAAAAACTGCATACAGTGAGCTGCTAGTATACCACATCTGGTTTCACCTTCTCTTGAGCGAGAGCACCTGCTGTCGACAAAACCAGCCACATGGGCCTTATGTGCATTTGCTGCCTCTGTCACGACCCTGCAGGTAATAATGGGGATAATAATGGGAAAGCCTGGGCCTCAGGCCCTCGTGTTATGTGATGGACATCCTGACAGGCCACTGTACTCACATGATGGCTCGGCAATCCCAGAAAATCAACGCCCTGGTGATATTGAATTGGCCTATATTTTAGTCTAAAAAATTCAAATAGTGCTCTGTATATATTATTCGAGATTGTTAAGTTGATTGTTTTTTATCTGGTGGAATACCCTGAAGGGCGGAAAGAAAGTATGAATGAGCCTTGGCCGTGGTCTTGAAAATGCTGGAGCTGTCTAACAAGCCATCGATTTCTGCAGCGAGTTCTCTCTCAATAGCAATTTGGACACGAAACCGCCTTTCCGCATGATCTTCATGTCTAAATTCTCTGGCTGGTGATGTTCTGTCTCCCTTCGATAAATCCGACGATAATCCGTATATACTACTTATGTCGGAGAGGGTGTATGGATACGCACTATATAAAATAGTTACACCGGTCCAGAACATTCAATGTTGTGTCGTGCCTGAAGCGGTGAGTAACCGACTCTCATCTACACATTTCTCATCTCCTGATCTTAGATGCTTTCATCAGGCACGCATCATAAATCCAATGTCCTGCGAAACAAATAACCAAGGCGAATGCCCCCTCCATAGTGATATCATCCTCGCAATGAACGATCCCTACATGGAAAAGATAATGAACGGAAAGAAGACCTACGAATTCAGATAATAGAAACTCGCATCTGAGGTAAAAAGGATCTGGTTCTACCGGACTGGTCCTCATTCTAGCATCACTCATATCTGCGAGATCTTTCCAGCGCGGACGCGAAACCCAGGCGATCCACCACTTGAAGAGGAAGGGCTTGGCACTATGGAATTCAACACGAGGCATGAGGATTGGGATATGTTTGATTTTGCCTACAAGATTGTTAGTGTTTATGAGCTTCAACAACCAATTACACTTGACGACTTGAAGAAGAGCCATGGGTTCGAGGAAGCACCTAGAGGGATGATATATTTGCCCAGGTCTGTTGGGGATGCTTAGCAATGGAAGATGCAGAAATTGATATGTTTCTCACACATATTTTGGCGATGATACTAATCTATGTAGATTCTTGGTGAAGCCAAGCAGCATTGTTGAAGGGAAATCCTTGTGTTGACAGTCATATCGAATTGTTGATCGCACAAATGCTAGAATGTGTTTTGTGGCCGATAGCCAACATCAACAGCAAGCATACCTACACACGTGGACTTCAGTGAAGAGATCCTACAATTGGCAGGCATTGATTACAATCTTCAATATCAAATTATCGCCACCTCCACTGAACTATTCGGAGAACAGACATGATCACCGGTAGAATTGATTCCCTTGAATGCATCCCGCACTATGATTAGTCCCCGCTTCCCCTCACCGGCTATCAGTCCGGCGAAACCGGCGAAATGCCAAAGATCACCGATGATAAGAGCTGCATTAAAAAACAAAGATATGCAAGCGTGAGGTCTTGCGACCGGGTCTTATTGATAATTTTCTTCTTCGCATTCTCTTGACCCTGAAAGCCCTCACAAAATGGGCGCACCGGAGATCACATCCACACTCCCGAAACCACGCGAAAGCGTGGAGACTCTCAAGGTCCGTGATGAAGATGAACTTCGTCTGGCTCAGATGGGTAAGTGACGTTGAAAAAGACTCACATGAAGTACTGCAGCTGACAAGAAAAGGCCATAAACAAGAGCTGAAGCGACATTTCTCCGTGTGGAGTTTAATTGGTCTGGCGGCAACTGTACTATCTCATGGACGGGTTTGTCCATCTTACATCTTTGAACTAGCGCCAGATGCTCATATAGCTTCAAATCTAGGTCTTGGGTTGGGCTTGATCACTGCCCTGAATTCTGGTGGTCCTGGCGCCCGTAAGCCGGCCAATCTACACACCACAATTCCATGCTAATGACTGTAGTGATCTACGGGTTCATTCTGGTTTTCATCCTTCAGTCATTCGTTGGCGCCTCTCTAGCGGAATTCGTGTCCGCGTATCCTACAGAAGGAGGAATGTATCACTGGATCGCGGCCATCGCCCCGAGACGATATAATAGTCTGTTGAGCTTTGCGACAGGGTGGTGCACGGTATTTGGCTGTCAGTTATCAGCATTGAAACATAAGCTGCATGGGAAGAACTGACATCGCTTAGGGATTTTCACCACTGCCTCGACCAACCTTATCTACGCCTCGACAGTTATGGCTTTGATTGCGTTGTACCATGATGATTTGGTTGTGAAGCCGTGGATGACATTTGTTGCATATCAGATCCTCAATATCTTTACCTCGGCGATCGTCATGTTTGGGAATCGCTTTATCCCAGCTATCAATAAGTTTTCTCGTGAGTATGATCTATTTTACATCACACATCTGGATATTGCTCATGCTAGTGGCAGTGCTGTACCTCCAGTTGGCATGGTTCATTACTATGGTTACGGTAGCTGCAGCTGCGCCTGCACACAACGATAGCACATTTGTATTTGCGACGTGGATGAATAAGACCGGTTGGGATAACAATGTGATGTGCTTTATCACGGGCTTGGTAAACCCGCTATACGCATTGGGTGGACTGGATGGGATTTCGGTAAGTTACCAGTACAATGCTATATCTAGATGCTAACAACATTGCAGCATATTACTGAAGAAATGCCAAATGTAAGTCACTGAGCTTTTCCATTGTTTTCTGTATTAACAATCAATACAGCCTGGCAGAAACGCGCCTCTTGGTCTTGGTAAGCTTGCCAGCCTCTCAGAATCAACATATGCTTACGTACAGTAGCAATTACCCTCTCTATTGCGTTCGTCACGGGAGTCTCCTACTTGCTCAGCTTGATGTTCTCTGTTCAGAACTACGATACATTGGCAGACACCAGGACAGGTCTACCACTGGCTGAGATCTTCCACCAAGCAACTTCAACAAGAGGTGGAGCCTTCGGTCTCGTGTTTATGGTTTGGGTAGCCCTAGGACCGTGTGTGATCGGTTCCCAGCTGAGTAAGAATCGACCAGATGGATTACGTTTCAACTTCTAACCAAATCATAGGCACGGGTCGTGTCTTTTGGGCATTCTCTCGCGACAATGGCCTCCCGCTATCCCACATGTAAGGTCTCCTGTCGAGAACGATTGCATCCTACTAATCTCGTGCAGCTGGGCGCGCGTTCATCCTAAACTCGGATCTCCGTTCAACGCCCAATTATGTGTCGGTGTGATTATCGGTTTACTAGGCTGCATCTATTTAGGATCCAGTACGGCATTCAACTCCATGATGAGCTCCGCAGTGTATGTATGGCAAGATAAGTGGCTTGGGCATGAGCTGACAATATACAGAACGATCAATAATCTTGCATACGTCGTTCCGATCCTCACGAACGTATTGCTTCGCCGGAAAACGATGCATCGTGGACCATTTGCAATGGGCCAATTCACCGGTATGACGGTAAATATCATCTCTGTTCTGTGGCTGGTCTTTGCGATCGTCTTCTTCTCTTTTCCTTTTGAAATGCCTGCAACTGGTAAGCCGACCTTGGACAGGTTCCCGAGATATCATTCGTTTGCTAACAATCACCTAGTTGCGAATATGAATTATACATGCGTTGTTGTAGGTGGATTTTTGATTATAGAGCTTGGATGGTGGATCATTGCGGGCAAGAAGTATTCGCAGACTGTACAGCGTGCGCGAGAGGAACATGATACAGCGATGGTTGTTGAGGATCAACAAAAGCCGTGATCCTCCTGAGCTCAATGCTTTCTGTTTCTGTATCCGTCTACTCGAATTTAGGTCAAAGTAGAAAATTGCAAATAAATGGTATCAATCCTGTGACAGATTAGCCTTGATAAATTAATGAAACTTTGAAAAAACCTACCAATAACCTCTTTTAAACCCAACCTTCTCTAGTCTGCCCTTTTCCACAAATCCACGTTCACAGTACCACCTTCTCAATGCCTCCCCTCCGTCTTTACCTTCCGGATCAACCGCCATAACCGCCATGACATTCCGAACCACAATAGCCTCTCCCCCATTCAAGTCAACATTCCCAGATTCATCAAGAAGAGCCTCTTCAACTTTATGATGCACTGTCTTACATCTGATCATGTCGAGCAAACTATCCAACAGAGCAGAACCGATCGAACGAGACTGATAGTCCGGGTGAACGAAGAGACTCAGTTCAACAGTCGGTCCATATGAAAGAAGATGTCCCCGAAAAGACGAGAACGACGCATATCCGAGAATGATCACCGTTTTATCGCTTTTCGTTTGCGTTTCCTGCACCGCAACTAGAAATGGAAGTCCGCGGCTTTTGAGATCATGCCATTTTGCAATATATGTTTCCAGTGGAGGTGGGGTTGTCATGAATGTCAGAGACGTGTTGGTAATATAGTGCGCATTGATAGCACGGATCTGAGGGAGATCGCTCAACTCCGCTGGGCGGTATGTTGACATCTCTAATCAAGGGTGGCCTAGGAGATCTGTTCGTTTGAAAGGGATAACATTGCGCGGGGCAAGGGGCGGGCGGATAAGTGGGTAATCAGTGGAGGAGTTTGAGGAATTTTATTTCTTGTTTTCCGCCAGCAACATAGCTTTTGAACTCAGTCTCCAGTCTATAGATTATTTCAAAGAAGAACAATTTTTAGAACTTCGAATATCATTCATTATTCTATTTCATTGGAAATCAATCATTTCATCAAGTAAAGTACGTCGTCCGGATCATACACAATTATCTATCTTTGTTTTCACCACTTCACCAGTTCACCCTTCTAATCTTCAATCAAGACTCTAAACAGCATTGGCAAAGGTGTGAGGGTTGGTCAGGGTGGCGGGAGTAGAGTCCCGAGCCGTGGGACCAATCAGGTGGTCAAAGGCAGGCGAGTGCGAGACACGAGGAGTGAAGTCCTCCAAATCCCACAGGTAACCGAGGGTCTTCAGAACAGAGGTGGCACTGTAAGACTCAGACTTGCCAGTAATGGGGTTGGTACCGTAGTTCTCAACGTAGCCCTTAGGAGCGTAGGGGGAGATCAACCAGGTAGGCATACGGCCACCGAGACGGTCGAAATTCAGGGTGTAGTTCTTGCCGTTGGGAGCGGTCTCAACGTAGGTCTTGTCATCGGGGCGGACGGCAAGGGGAGGAGCGACGTGGTCGAAGAATCCACCCGTCTCGTCGAAGGTAAGGAGGATAAGGGTCTTGTCCCACTGGGGTCCGGTGCGGACGGCGTCGTACACCTGCTTGACCAGGACCTGGCCGAAGGAAACGTTGCCGGAGGGGTGCATGGAGTTGGTGTTCAGGCCACAGCACGAGGGGTTGATGTAGGATAGCTGGGGGAGCAGACCCAGGTATGCGTCCTGGTAGAAGTTCTCCAGGGGCACGACGTTGCTCTCTGCGTTCTTGGCGGTCCAGTTGAAGAACAGGGAGTCGGGGAGGAAGTCACCGTTGGTGCCGTCGTAGTTCTTCCACGAAATACCCTTGCTGGTGGCCTCTTCGAAGATTCCCTTGATCTCAATGGTTGACTCAAGGAAGCTGTCGTCGTTCTCGCCGTGACCGTCGGAGGTACCGGCGAGCGCGCAGAGACGGTTGGGGTTGGTAGGCTACGAAAGGTCAGCATATATAGTCAGGAAGGATCTGTAAATGTACTTACACCGGGCACACACGAGTGCCAGTAGTTGAAGGTGGTGAACTCATCAACCAGGTCCACGAGTGTGGGGACCTCATCCTCGGAGTAGTATCCGAGGACCTCATCAGTGGCGCGTTGAGCAGAGATGGCCGGGTATGCGGCCATCTGACGCTCGACAAAGCCCTTGAGGCTGGGCTTCAAGGAACCGTTGGCAATGGCCTCGTTGTCGGGAGTGTAAGTGCCGTACATCTCGAAGTTGACACCAGTCACAGAGTGATCCGGGTCATGGGCAACCGAGTCGTAATCCTTGTACTGGCTGTACCACTTCTTGCTGTTGGTCTCATTAACCAGCTGGGGGTTCCAGAAAGGACCGTTGTTGACCACGTTGTCCAGACCATCCTTGTGGATACCACCGAGAATGTTATCGAAACCGCGGTTCTCCAGCAGGATCCAAACAACATTCTCAATCTTATCCTTCAAGTTGGCGATGGACTCCTCGGAGCCAGACTTGTATCCCCAAGGCTCCTGGGTGCTCCGGGCAACAGCAGCACCAAGAGCGGCACCCGAAAGGCCAAGGAGGGGAATCACAGTGTTTGCCTTCATGATTGAACTGGACCTGCAAGGTATAGAAGGAACTGGGCTGGAGAAGCATTTTCTAAGGACGAAGCGATCTTATTTTATACCCTGTGCCGGAGAAAATCCGCATGGCCCAGTCGCGCTTATGTCGGTCATCAATCAAGATGTGGTTAGCACGGTCATCTCGCAAGACAAATGACAGATGTCAATTGTATTCACATGCCTCAGAGGTAGGCCGTCATAGGTTGATATTTATTTATCAAGGCCCCGCCAAAAGAACCGGGAAGTTGGTGGAGAATGTGATCTCGCCTATTGTATCCGGGGCGCACGTTCCTGCAATGTTCGATCAGCCATGTGCGAGACTCGTGGAAGAGGAGAAGGGAGATGTGGTGCCTGGCGGTTTGTGGATACTAATTCCAAACAACCGCCAATCAAAAGCATTTAATTCCCCACCGCGGGTTTGGCTCGAGCTCAATTGGCCAATCAAAGTTCTTTTTATGCCCATGCTTCATCCAATGCCGATTATTTCCTAATTGAATTCCTAGGATGGAGATAGCCGATGAAGACAAGAAGACTAGTATCTTTTTAGATTAGCAATACTTGAATCATGTTCACATCAATTGGTGCGATGATCCTGCAACTTTGGACCACTTTACTTCAACATAGGAATTCCTCACTGAGCTCCGGAACCCTCCCGTAGAAATATCCCAGGTCAACCATGGGAGGATCTATCCAATCATCGTCAGGCCGGATACCTAAGGTTGCTTAATTACTGCAGCCTGAGGGATCTCCTCGTGCTCTCTTGTGTCCTCCTTCAGCATTCCCGTATGAATAAGACTCGTTGCTACGTCCTTTGTTGTTTTCCACACTACACCATAGCGAACCAGCCGCCATATCATACTGATGGTGCTTTGTGAAGCAGTTAGCCGCAAGTCGGGTCAACTTCACATAATAATAGTCAAGACAAATGTGCAGGCAACGGGTAGGCCACTTCTGAAACTCAAGACTAGGCTTATATAATAAAAAGCAAGCATCGATGGTTAACATTGATGGTCAAAAGAGTAGCAAATATTGAATTCTAAATAAAAGAATCTGCAGACTTCTCGGAATGTCGGCGATCATCGACAGCCTTATGACTAAGAGAAATGACTTTAGGCACCCTGCAGCTAAATTAGCTTGGTTGTATGATGCAGGATTGCTGCAGTAACGCCCGGGGCCCCACAAATGACAGGGCTGAAGGGTTATATGGAGCATCCAGGGAGATATAAATCAACAATACCTATAATACACATGATCGGCCGAAAGCTCGGTCCCATAGCAGCCTGCTTCTCAAATGTATGCTTAATTAGAAAATCAACTAATTACAGGCCTATTACATAGGAAAAGTTCCAGTGGGGGCGTGTCAGGTGCGGCATATATGATACACCAGGCAGCAACCAAACAACAATTTGTAAGCTCATCGGGGACTCCGATTCTGGTCTTATCAAACATGACCAGTCATAAGATCTTATTAGATCCAGGAATTCGGATTCTAGAATGCAAGAAAAGACCCTGATTCACGCCAAGCGCCCCACTTGATGCTTGACCTAAACGTTAATCTCAATCTAGGCGTACTTATGCCGTCACTTTCACTTCAAGTATCTCAGGCACCAGCATTCTGTTTGGCGTGTATCACCCGCTTATTTCCCTCTAAGATAATGAGGGATATTTTGACTATGACCTTACTTTACGCCACTACCGACGTAACCAATTTCTTTCTTTTCAGCCCCGTCTTTATCATATCCCATCCGGGTATGCATCTCGTGCATAGGGTCCGGCCGTAGAAAAAAATCAAAAATCAAAAATCAAAAATACAAAATACATAATACCATACAAGGGACTCGGCCGTGGGGTCCATAGTACCGTAGGACACAAAAACGTAGAATTGGAAGTGTCATGTCGTGTAAATCTCCAGGGCTGTGCTTGCCTTTTCTTCTGTCATTCACCATTTCTTCCTTGGGTGTCGGCATTCAATTCTAATCTTTCCCCTCCATCTGTTCCTCTCTTTTCTTGCATTCTAAATCGCTGTTCCATTGCTACGATGCTCCCAGTCTCTCCATTCCCGGACATGGCTGTACCATCCCTCGTTATCACCACGCCTGATTGTGTACCATCCGCCCGCACATCGTCACCCCCCGAGAAGAAGAAACGGATTGGACGCGTTCGCAAAGCCAAGAGTTTGGATAGCGGCAAGAAATCGAAGAAAGCCATCCTTCTTGATGAGCTGAGTGATGCCCTCGTCGACAAGCTCTACATTCCCAGCTTGAATGATCGATTGGAGGTGCCCAATGTGTCTGTTGTCGATCATTTACGAACGTCTCTCAACACAGCACCTTTCTCCGATGCCAGCTCGGTCAGCAGCAGCCGCACCTTGACCCAAGTCGAAAGCCACGTCCAAAGTACAGCTGCAACAAGTTTAGATGATCGCAATACATGTGTTCATGTCCCGAGTATTCCATCTTCCCCATCCTCTACCGTGATCGGACATTCTGAACCAAACAGCGAAACACTTCACGCCAAAAACAGCCAACAAGGAGATGTGTTCTGCTTGGACGACTTCTCCACCATCACCGCCATCCAGCGTTTGACGGCTCAGTACGGTCGGGTGGCGCACATGGGCATGCTGGATCACAGTTATCGGTTCTTTGTGAACAAGGCGAGGACAGCAGCGTTGTCATTCAAGGTTCAAAACCGCGTGGTGATTGTAGGAGGAGACCCTCTTTGCGACCCAGATCCAGTCTCTATCACGGAACTGTTGGACGAGTTCGCAAAATATCGAGAACGCCATCATTGGGGGATAGCTTTCATGGGAGCGAGCGAATCTTTCGTTCGTGATTATGTTCAAGCACAGCCGAGAAAGTGGACAACCGTTCGCTTCGGTACTGAGCGGGTCCTGAATCCCCAAACGAACGATGTCCTTCTCGAACGAAGCGGGAAACGTATCGCTGTACAAAACCGACAGCTTCTACATCGCGACAAAGGTGGCGTCACCTTGGGTGTGTATGTGCCAGGTGTGCACGGAACAGATGCGCAGCTCCAATCAGATCTGGTTGCGATTTATGATGCTTGGCGTGCAGAGCGCAATCATTCTACTGGCCCCCAGGCGTTCATCACAGTATACGATCCCTTCGCGCTGCCAGCTCTGATGACATTCGTATATACCCGTGGGTCGGACGGTCAAATAAATGGGTTTGCTGCCTTGCGGCGGCTAGGCTGCGGCGGCTACCACGTCGACCCGTGCATTGCTGCTCCTGGAAGTCCGAAAGGGATCAGCGACTTGCTTATCGTCGCCGCAATGGCTCTGCTTAACCGTGCTGATGTATCATATCTGGGATTTGGCTTTGAGCCTGCCCACACGCTCCTACCTGAAGATGTACGCGGCATGCGAAGCCCACTGGCTAGTCTCACACGCGATCTATATGGTCATACCTTCACCCGTCTTCCAATCCATGGAAAGAAGGCATACCATGACAAGTTCCGACCGGACCCAACGCAAGACTCAGGATTGTATCTTGTTTTCCCGGATGGTGTGCCAGGGCCGAGACACTTGCTGGCTATGATGCACATGGCTAATATCAGCCTGCGAAAGATGCTGTGGACTGATCTGCGTGCCATACTGACCGACCACAAGTTGAATTCAAAACCCTCATCCCAAGAGGTTTCGGCTGATGGTGCCGATCAAAAGACCATTTCTGTGAACGGGTGATTCTGTTTCTTTTTCTAACCCCCTGTCTACCAAGGCATCTGATGAGTTCTTCCGCCAGATTCAGTGTTGTAGTTCCTTTGTTGCAATATCATATTGACCGTTGGGACGCTGTATAAAAGTACGGGCGTTGTTTTCGTTACTTTGAAATTCGGTCAAGATTTCAGACCTCACCTTCATTCTTTGCATTTCTGTCGAATCGCATTTTAGCACTTTAACTAATGATTTTCAAGCTGACGTTGTCTCTCGTTTTTTTTCAAGGCCAATAGCCACGTCTTGCTGCTCTGTTATTCCGACCTTCACACGTGCTCAATCTAGTCATGGAAGAATGGAAGAATGATGGTTGGGATTTCTGTATTCAATCCGCAAGTTCCTATACAATGAGTTCTGGCTCCAAACTCCAACGTAAAGACAGTACGCTCTAAATCATAATATGCTACACAGATCAAAACCCGCAATATGTTGAGAAGATCAAGAAAGTCGGCCAAAAAGGAAGTCTTTGACGACGGGTGAGCTTGAGAACTCAGGATTCAAGAGCACGCAGCTGAAGACCATTAGCTAGGATCAAAGAATGAACTTCCACCACTTACTTGAGAAAATATTCCAGTCCAACTCGTCGTTGTTCCAAAAAATCAGGCCGGAATTTATCTACCATAATTAGCAAACTTCCCCGGGAGAAAAACCATATAGACATACAAAATACACTCTTCGGCGGAAGACCAGGAAGAGCACTCTTAGCATGCGGGAAAGAAGAAACAAGCCGTTGTCGCAGATCATCAAACTCGGAATACCTACGACTGTCAACACAATCCTAAGAAACTCAAGTCTCGAACATACCTCATACGAACAACCATCGGACCACCCTAGCAAATCAAATATCAATATATAGTACCAAAAAGTCACTGCAATCCAACTCACATCCAATGTCTGAACCCTACAGTTCCATACTACATAGGCACCGACCCCCGTCTTTCCCTGAACAACAACATGGTCCTCGATCGAGACGCTTTGCGCCCACAACCCCCTACTCGTTTCGCATTCCGGATCCGCAGTGTGATCCTCCAACGTGATCATCGTCGACCGAGCGAGTGAGGTTTGTGATGCGCGGGATGCATTTCGTTCGTGCCGCTGCCAGTATGGAGGGATTACACCGGATAGGGGGCGTGGGGATTCGATGCCATGATCAGACCCATGCTCATGCTCATCGCCATCATTTTCATGGTCAGAGATATTTTTATCTGTATTCTCGATGGGCTGGGCGCTGTGCTGGATATTGTGCGGAGAAGGGGATGGGGAACGAGAAGGGGAAGAAGGAGAAGGGGGTTGCGCCGGAGCTAGACCAGCCTCCTCAGGAGCTGACTCCATCCATTAGATATTACTCGTTTGTTTCGGGTATGCTGCATTGGCGTTAGCGTCTTGTTTATTTTTTGGGTTCATGGGCGTTCGCGTGGGGAGATGCAAGTGGTCGGACCCTCAATGCGGGGAGATGACCGAGGTGAACGGGAAACCGTTCGGGTGATTTGAGTTGGGGTGGATTGGGGTGGAGGTAGGGAAGCGATATCATCGTGTGGATTATCGCGGATAGACTAGGGTGGTCCGAGACTGACCTTGGAACGGACCGAGTCCAAGCGGGCAGGAGTTGTTTTGGTGGATGAAAGTCTATCGAGGAGGTTCCGGGTGAGGTTTGCGGGGATGTTATGTAAGCGCCCCATTGTTGCGTTTGGGGAATGCCGAACGATATTATTGGTAACTGTTATATTGTTGGTAGAGGACTTATAAGACATTTATATCTTAAAGGTCTATATGCTACACTTCTAGATTTATTGTAGTTTACGGATCATTCTCAAGGATTTTGCTGTCAGAAATTAACATCACGCTAATCCTTACCGGGTAAGCGTTGGGTGATCACTTGGGTGACGCAACTGAGACATACTCCCTATACACTCTTGTCGCGATCGTAGTAAGAGCTGGTCCAAATGAGAATCATAAGCGGTAAAATTTGTTTAATCTGAGAGTGTATGGGCCAATAAATGCCATCTAAAGGGAAGTCACCCTTCCGTTTGAGGGGAGCTACAAACCTATATCCCCGGATTGACGTGTCCATTAATCTGGTCTCATACTCCTTGATCGACCAATAGCAATGAAAGTGTCTCGGGCGGATACTGAGTCAATCTTTCAATCTAGGCTATACAGGCAGATCTTATGCCTAGTCACGATCCCCTACAGCTGAGGAGCAAGCTCGCACAGCCTATACCCTTGTAGATAAGTTACCTAGATTCCTAGATTCCTAGATACGAAACCGGGGTGTCTCTATCTAGGGCGCTTGATTTGATTCCCGATCGCCCTTCGTGTCCTTTATATCTGCTGTTACTCTCTGCTTTCCAAGTCACTTAAATATTCTGTCACACTTTTTTTGCCTACTCACCTCTTCCATTGTCTACTCTTACTAAGATTAATTTTAAATTATTCACGATTTATTAGTGAGTTCTAGACATCGTGGTGTCAAAACCCCCTTCATTCCGTTCACAGGCTATTTTTACTTCGGGAACTGATTGCAGTTAATCAAGAATTTAACAAACTCGCTACAAAAAAACTACCTAAGTTCATCTTCACTCATCATCAACTTCACTAAGCCATCTATCCTTATCCAGCAACAATGTTGTCAATCATTATGGCAGTCCTGGCCTCAGCCACCATAGTCAGCGCTCAGTACACGCCCACTATCGAACCAAGCTCAGTACCCCTAGTCCAGCGTGGTATGTAACACCTTACAAACCGAACTACTATATTGACAACTAACATACTACAGAGGGATGGTGCAATTCCCAAATACAATCCTGTCCACTCCTTTGCCTCCAAATGGCCAACACCACTGGCGCGCTGACAAACGACTGTTCTCCCGTGAGTCTACCACCAAACCCACCTCAATCCTGAGTGAATCCTAACAGTTTCCAGAAAACCCTCGACTACCAATGCATATGCAGCAACGGCATCTCCCCGAACTCCTCGGAGTACTCCCTGACAATGCCATACTTTATCTGCACTGAAGCCAATAACCAGTGTGTTACCAAGTGCACCGATTCTACATGCCAGGGTGCTTGTCGCTCGGATCACCCTTGTGGTGCTCAACATCCCGTCCGCGTCAATGTTACTAATGCTACTGCTACTCCTTCGGCGAAGGTTGCTGTCACTACTACGTCGTCGGTCGCGCTTGGGACTTCTACTGCGACGGGGATGGCGTCAAGGATGTTAGCTGGGGATATGGGGTATTTGTATGGGCTCTGTGGTCTTGTTGGTGGATTCGTCGTGGGCTTTTCTGCTTTGCTTTAGGACCCTGGGCGAGGCTGACAGCCGGTCCATTGGTTACGGATTTTGGGGCTTGATCGCTTGGTCTCTCTTACTGATTTATTTATTTTCTACATTTGCATTGAGCGTGTTATATGATGGATTCTTCGGGGCCAATTTGCATTAATCTCACAGCTATCGACTGTGTATATGGACTTTCAATGAAGCTCTTACAACTTCGATCGTAGTTTCGTGCTGTCCATTCTCTGCCCTTCGTCGTCCTGTTCTGCAACCTCCAAGACTGGGAACTTGGCTGGCATAATTCGACGTGGTGTAGAGCCAGGTATGACAGAGTATTTTGAAAAGTCAGTCACTCCGCACTTGCGAAGGAAATCCTCGTCGGTATCCAAGACCCCGTTCACGGTGGTGACTGGAGCCCGGAGCATCTCCAAAATCGCATCGGAGAAAATGGCCTGTATCTGGTAAGTCGAGCTGCTATTTAAAGTTGGGGTGACTTACCGGTTTTCTAAGATCTTTCTTGTGTGATTTATCAGACGCTTTATTATGTTCAGTGGCAGCTGATTCAATGGACTGCATTCCTAGTTAGTCAGGTCAATATCGTTCAGAACGTCAACATACCGATGCTGGCCAAATACTCGTGATAGCCATCTCTGTCCGACCTTGTCGTACAAAGTCCATAGCCAGGCCTTTGACCAAAACACTCATTCCAACTTTGCCTGTACACTGTTAATCAAATGCACTCCATACAAGTGGATGACATACCCATAGCATAAGCTGTTTTTCCACGGAAGAACCTCGAATAGATCGGAGGCGAAACCACCACAATCCGACCTTTCCAGCCATTCTTTTCGAAATGTGGCAAAGTAGCGTGCACAGTGGCATACAAGCCTTCCGGGTTAATCTGCTGCATCAGCCGGAATCGTTTAAGTGGTGTATTCTCGACGGAAGACCACCAAATAGCCCCAGAATTATACACCAAGACATCCAACTTTCCAAAGATCCGGACGGTCTCATCCACCGCATGTTGGATTTGCGCCGCGTCCCGAACATCCACTGCGATGGCTGCAGCGCGCCCTCCTGCTTCCATGATCTCTCGCTCTACCGTATTGATTGTAGACTGCGAAGAGTTGGGATCTGGTGGAAATGGTGTAGTCTTGGTGGCGTCTGATGTTGTTTTGGCCGCCAGCATCACTGTTCATTGTTAGTTTTTTTCGGCCTATTGTTGAGTGTGGTCGCACCTGCATAGCCGTTTTTAGATAGGTCAATGGCTACCTGGCGGCCTATTCCACGGGATGCGCCCATAACGAGGGCAACGGGGGTTTGGTTTGTCATTGTGTGCTTGATGGGTACTGGTTGTGGATTTAGAGAATGGCAGGGGGATGTGAGGTCTATATGCGGGGCTTTATATGCGGGGGTTTCCAGAGCTCTTTCCCGAGGCCGAGCTTGATAATCAATAAATTCAAACTTTTAATGTTCTAGATTCTGTGTCTTGGGCGATCTCAAATACGCTGGTAGATGCAACTCCGATGATTTAGTGATTACTCACGGTCCCGAGGCTCGACTCCACTCCCGAGGTTCAGTCCACCTGACAAGCTTCTTAATTTGATCTGATGCGTCTTTTTAATTCCACCTGAAATCCATAATGGTTCTCCGCAATTCTATCAATTTTGATAGCTTTCTAAGACTTAGCCTCATATGTACTCTTAGATCTGCCCAGATAGGAGGTATCTACTGCACGCATGTTTCTTCCATAAGGAATCCGACCGCCATAAATGACTGGTCAACTTCCATCTCATTGGAGCATGAAACCTCATTTTATATCCGACATATACTAATAATACTGAAACTCAGAATTAGGTAGCTGTAGGTTACAAAAATCACTTATGCTTGCCGGATTGAGCCCCATAGGCGGTATATTAGGCGGTCGTATACTGCTAGCTTTATACTGGTCAACAGCTAACCATCTGGGCGCGATCAGTTCCTCTTGTCAACACTACACCAACCTTGTTCCTTTATTTGATTCTTCGGCTTTCTACGGAGTCCTTTCATACTCTACTTCGGCTCCATATTTCAATCCCTCCTACTTAATCGGCCTTTGACCCGTTACAGATCGGCTAGTGGGGGTCTCCGTGACACTGCAACGACATGGACACCCTTCCCGATGCCTTTGCCCCAGCCCCCTCTGTTGGATATGGCACAAATTCAGCCGTGATTGGTACAGATGGGGAGGTGACCGCGTCTCAGATCAAAGTTACTGGTGCGTGGAGCCTCCGGCGGGGTACACCACAGCCTGCCGATAAGAGCTCTGAATATGCTGATAGTGGATTCTAACAGAGGCTCCTAAATTCGATCTCGAATCATACATTGACAATTACGCTGGTAAGTCTACATACCTAAAATGTTAAGTTAATGTCTAACTTACGGATAGGGCGAACCCGCTTTAACCGTCTCTATCTCATCGGTACTACTTCCACCGTGCTCGCCGTCGAGGCACTAAAACAAGCTGAGGCTGAGGCTCTATGTGGGAAGGATGTCGACCTTTATGAAAAAGCAGTTCGCGCCTTGGCCGAGGTTGCTCCAAATGACGAGAGTGCCTCTCTGAACTCCGCGTGGGTCCAAGAAGTTCAACGAAACGTCATGGCTCAGACGGATCGTTTGGAACATGAACTTCGTGGATATAAGAACAACTTGATTAAGGAAAGCATTCGGGTATGTGCAGACTGTCCCTAGAGGTATGCATTCACTAACTTCAGTAGATGGGCAATGAGGATTTAGGTAATCACTACTACGAGACAGGTGACTTGATCGCAGCATCCAAAGCATACACTCGTATGCGTGACTTCTGTACAACACCAAACCATGTTGCTTCTATGCTCTACAAGTTGATCAATGTTTCCATTGAACGTGGCGACTGGTTAAGCGTCAAGTCTTACGTGCACCGGCTGCGCAACGCCGTATCCAAGCCCGAGGACCTGGCCCAGAACCAGCCAAAGATGTCGGTCGCACTTGGTTTGGCTCACCTGAACCAAGGATCCTATAATGAGGCTGCGAATTGTTTCCTCGCCGTGCCTGCTACCCTGGGTGAATCATACAAGGATGTGATCAGCCCCAACGATGTCGCCGTTTACGGCGGTCTCTGTGCTCTGGCCTCCATGGATCGGTCTGAATTACAGCATCTCGTGCTAGACAACATCTCTTTCCGTCCTTTCCTTGAACTTGAACCCCACATTCGACGTGCTATAGGCTTCTTCTGCAACTCCAAGTTCCGCTCATGCTTTGATATTCTGGAGACCTATCGCAACGACTACCTTCTTGATATTTACCTCCAGCCCCATGTCTCTGCCCTCTACACTAAGATCCGCGTGAAGTCCATGCAGCAATATCTTGTCCCCTTCAGCAAGGCTACCCTCGACTCCATGGTTGCCATTTTCGCTCCGAACGAATCAGGCCAACAGATCGGACTCGAGTCTCCTTTTGTGCAGGAGCTTATCCGGCTCATCATGGATGGTGTCCTCGACGTCCGTATCGATCTCGAGCATAAACTGCTGGTCAAAAACCAGCATGATATTCGATCCGAGATGCAAACTGAGGTTTTGGAGAACGTGACAAAATTTACCCAAGAACTTCATTGGCGCATGATGGCGGCAGCTGTGACCGACGCTGGACTACAAGTTCCAGGGCCCGCCACCAGTGAAAAGGGCTGGAAAGCAGAATCTAAGGATCCCCGATTTGGGCCCCCTGGCTCCGGTTGAATGCAATTGGTCACAAATTTTCGTGGAAGACGCATTCATGGGCCACGTAAATGAGAAACGAGATAATACCCACACCGAGATTTGTATCTATTAGGTCATGGTCGTCAGAGGACCTCTCGGTCAATCAAAATGCAATGGCTATGTTTATTCCCTTTCATTGTATTGGCTTAGGTGTTGCGCTTAGACAAACCTTCGTTTGGGGCGAACCCAACGGAGTGGTCGAGCAGGTGAGTAATCCTGGCAAACAAAGAAATCCAAACATCGCCAAAATTTCCAACTTGTACATATCTGCGAGCGCATTTCTTTTCAACATGCTCATCATCGACTCATAATGACGTCTACATCATAGATTGAATGATTTGATCAAGGCGGCTTGATTTCGACGAAACTAGCTGGATCAGGACGGATTGAGCCAGGTTGACAAACCCCTGTTCACATCATGATTTCACTTTCCTCGGACCAACCAGTCTCTCGGTACGCGCACAGCCAAAATGGCTGATCGCTACCAACGCGATGGGATACAAGGTCGGGGCTTTTGCCCTGTCCTACATTCCCGATTCCCCCGATCCTCCCTTAATAACTATCTGCCCAGGCAAACTGGCTACCTCAGTCCTACCCTCCTGGAGAAACCCGCTGAGTGGACAGAACTTCCCTCGCGTTGCACCACATCAGGCTCGTTCGCTATCTGATTGTTTAACAAGAGGAACATTACTGTGAGACAGGATGTCTTCATTTGCTGTCCGTGATGGCACTCGCGCGCTCAATTTCTCGGTGCCTCTCGATTCTATGGAAGATCAAATCGAATTTTCTGATTCTTCTAACATAGATCTTGATATGGCTCTGCCCTCTTTCTCGATTCCTGAGTCTCCTTTGAGTACTTCTTCTACTGGGAGCGACTCTCGGGACCAGTCTCCAGACCTAGAGCCTCAGTCTAGGAAGTCTGGTCATGGGTCTGAGCAATTCATCTCACCCCCGTCACCGCTACCTCTTCAGCCGCTACAGGTAGCAGAAGATGCCAACGCGGAGAATTTGGCGTTACAGCCGTCTTTTGATCCAGTTTCGACATCCCGGACCGACACATGTCGTGAAGAAGCAGGTACCATGGTAATGCCATCTTGCTACGGGCTTTATTCTCAGACGATCAGTGAGAATGCACCGGGCCATCCAGAGCTGTCACCTCAGCTTACATCAGTACCTGAAGAAGCCATTCAAGATGACGATGGTGTTCAATCTTTGATTCCTCGATCAACTTCAGCCTTGACCCCTCCAATTTGGATGTCAGATATCGCTGGAGATGAAACCAGTGTGCTACCAGTGACCACGGAAGAAGACTTTTTTCCTATAATTTCTACCTCGGACATCGTGACCAGCTCAATTCTATCACCCCCATCTCCAGATGGGCATGTGCTACAAAGCGCATATAATCAAGAGAACACGCACTTTGGGTCTTCACTAGCTTCCCCGGATTCTCAGCCTCAAGTAGAGGAAGACGTAGACCCCGGGAACGCCTCTGATGGATCCACATATGTCGCAAGTTCCGTCTTCGATGAGGACTATTACTCGGATACATCTAGCCACACAGCTTCCCTACTCTCAGATGTGAAAGACTACTCATACGAGAATGGCCGACGATACCACTCCTACCGCGAAGGCCACTACGTCCTACCAAACGATGATCAGGAACAAGACCGCCAAGACCTCCTCCACCACGTTCGCAACCTCGTTCTAAACGGGGCTCTCTTCCGAGCTCCAATAAAGGACAACCTTCAACGAGCCCTCGATATAGGAACAGGCACAGGTATCTGGGCCATTGATTTCGCCGACAGCTACCCCGGCGCTGAGGTTGTGGGTACAGACCTCAGCCCGATCCAGCCATCCTGGGTGCCGCCCAATCTTCGATTCCTCGTCGACGACGCCGAGTCGCCGTGGTTATTCAACACCAATCGACCTTTTGACTTTATTCACGCCCGGGACCTCGGCGGGGCCATCGCCGACTGGCCCCGGCTACTGCGACAGGCCTACACACATTTGCGACCAGGTGGTTGGGTCGAATTACAGGAGTTTGAGGTTACGCTGAGGTCGGATGACGACTCGATGCGTCTAGCACCGACGTTAAACGAGTTTCTCGGTCACCTGCATAAAGCCAGTGAGGCTTTTAACCGGCCTATGAATATCGCCGAGGGGCATCGGCAGCGGCTGGTGGAGGCAGGTTTTCAAGATGTCAGGGATGAAGTCTACAAGGTACGGGTGATTCCCATCCACGCCCCCTCTGTTCTTGGTTTGTTTTCGGTCCTTGGCACATGCCGTTCGGTACAGATATGGTTATCTGATTGCATTATGACTGATGAATATTTATAGGTTCCCTCTAGCATGTGGCCCAAGGATCCCATACAGAAACAAATTGGACGATACAACCTCTGTTCCCTGTTGATGGCAGTGGAATCCTATTCTTTAGCACTTTTTACCCGTGTTTTGGGATGGTCGAATCTACAAACCCAAGTGTTTTATGCGGGTGTGCGTAGAGATCTGAACAACCCCGATGTCCACACTTATTGCAATCTGCATATCGTATACGGTCGGAAGCCGGAACATGATTATCATGCCGATTAGTCGGGTGGAGAATCGGACTAACGAAGGGCAATTCGGAGATTTAGATTAATTATGGTCAGTTTAGGAATATCCATGTTTTTCTGTTTCTCTGTTTGTTTTTCTCTCTAAACGTCTCAACGCTAGCTTCCATTCCATGATTTTCATAATAAGCCTGAGGACTCTGTACGGACTAAAGAGGGGGGCAACGAAGCTAAGGCAAGAGCAAACATGTCGACGTATCACACTCTAGCGCCATCGGGATTCTTTGTTTGGGAAACGCCCGCTCCCCTCTTTCCTAGAACTGCTCCGTCTTTCTGACTCTGGTGCAACTTCGGCTTCATACTTGAAAATCGTTTTACAGGGAAGACCCAACTCCATCTCTCTGACTGGATGTCACCCGGGAGTAAATAATATGGTCTTGGAAATTCACAAGAATCTGTCTACCTGATAATCGTCCACGATGCTCTTAACCTGGACATCCAGCACCCTATTCTGGATCCTGTCAGCATCATGTCTGGTAAGTTGCATGTTTCCGTACGTCCTCAGCGTCTGCAGGACCCTACACAATCCTCAGCCAATCCTATCCTGATTTCATTCTATACTAAGCTCCTGCTACCCATTCCCATTCCCTCGGGCTTGGTTTCAGCTGACATGACACTAATCCTTGTCCGGAAAGTAGGTCATTTTCTGGCTCGCCAAGTCAGTCCTCTATGAGCTCTACTTCTCGCCACTGCGCCGCTTCCCAGGTCCACGGTCCTGGGCCATTTCTCGCATTCCACTGCAGATCTCTGTCTTGCGGGGCCACAATCATCTGGATATCACCGATCTACATGAGCGTTATGGTCCCGTTGTGCGCATCAGTCCTTCCGAGTTGGCTTTCAATACTCCGCAGGCTTTTCGAGATATATATGGAGCTCGGCCTGGCGGATGTTTTCCTAAGGATCGAAGCCACTATATCCCGCCGGCGAATGGGGTCGATCATCTCGTTTGTGCGATTGATCATGGCGTACATGCGCGACAACGGCGACTACTGGCTCATGCGTTTTCTGAACGCGCTCTCAGAGATCAAGAGGGTTTAATTACTGGGTATGTGGATACATTGATTGGCAAGTTGCGGGAAGAAGTGGACAAAAGCCCGAATTTCCAGGTGGACATCAAGAATTGGATGAACTTTACTACTTTTGATATCACGGGTGATCTGATGTTTGGCGAATCATTCGACTGTCTCAAAGATAGTCGGCTGCATCCGTGGATACAGTTGATTTTTAGCTCCATCAAAGCTTTGTCTATAACTGGTGTGGCGCAGCAGTTCCCTATCTTGAAGGTAATGCTTGCTGCCCTGATTCCTAACGAAATGAAGCGCAAAGCGAAAGAACATTTTGATCTCAGTGCGAGGAAGGTTGACCGTCGGTTGGATGCGAATATCTCTCGGCCGGATTTCATGTCCGCTATTTTGCAGAATGGGCTGAGTGAGACCAAGGGGCAGTATGTGGATGGCGAGAAGATTATGAGTAGGGCTGAGATTCACTCAAATGCCTTTATGTATGTCTCTATCTTTGCTATACCAGAGGGCCGCTGACGATATCAAGTCTCATCGTCGCAGGTAGCGAGACATCCGCGACTCTTCTGTCCGGCTGCATGTTCTACCTATGCACCCACCCACTCGCTATGCACCAACTAGTCACCGAAATTCGATCTGCCTTTGCCAAAGACACCGATATCACCTTCAGCGGTGCCGCAAGTCTTGCCTATCTCGCCGCCGTCATCGAAGAATCTCTTCGAATATATCCGCCGTTTGTCACCAGTCTTGCCCGCGTCGTTCCAACAGGAGGGTCTACGATCGAAGACCATTATATTCCCGAAGGGGTACGTTTCACCCACAACCCAAAAAACACATACTGACCCACAAAAGACTACAGTAGCATGCCACCACTACGCATCCTATCATTCCGCATCGAATTTTGCATTCCCCCACGATTTCCTTCCAGAGCGTTGGCTTGGTCAGGATGCGCGGTTTGACCAAGATAGAAGAGATGTTCTCCAGCCCTTCAGCCTTGGACCAAGGAACTGCCTTGGAAAAAAGTAAGCACAAAGATATCGTTCGTTTCTTGAGCCCTTGCTGATCATTCATCCAGTTTGGCATACTGCGAGATCCGCCTTATCCTCTGCAAACTTCTGTACCACTTTGATCCCGCGTTATGTCCAGAAAGTGCCAATTGGACAGATCAGAAGGTTTATTTTTTGTGGGATAAACCTAAGCTTATGGTGACACTGCAGCCCCGGTTCTTGGAAGAAAGCTAGGATGGTATTTAGCGTGCTTTTCAGAAACGTTTGGTGAACCTTGGAATGATACGTAGGAATCAGTCCTTAGGCTGAAATATTAAATCTACTTTTGAAAGCGGGATGGTTTGATGGCTACTTGGCTTTGAAGTATGTTTGGCCATTTTATTTTTTTAATGTGGTGGCTCGTGTTGTTTCAGCGTTGAGTTCGTTATTCATATCTTGTTGGTTAAGTTGATTTTATTTTTCAAGTCTCGATGTCGTGATGCATCAATCTGTACACATTGTACTAGGCAAAATTGAAACACGGTGTAATACTCGTAGTCAGTGATGTTGTTCCAAGCGTCAAACGAGAGATCCGGAACATGTCGTTTCAAACATTAGACAAACCGAAACCATGAAGTGGGTCTCTAATTTGTCTCGGGGAGCACTCCGTAGGTGCACGGGCAAGTTTCATTATAGTGGAGGCTCAAGACCACCCAGCCCGGATCCAAATCCGAAGTATAAAATGCCAATTCAAAATCCCAAATCCGAACTGCCCAATCAAGATCGAGTATAAAAAGGTATCAATATAAATCATTAGAAAAGAATTAGATGTACATATAAGTATGTCCACGGTACATGACAACATCCACAGAAGCAACGTTACAACCCCAAATATTATTCACAAGGATGCAGATTTCCCAGGAAACCCGAATCAGACATCTAGAATAGAGCCAGAGAAAAGAAGATCAGATCGGAGTAGATCAGAGTAGACCAAGATCAAGAACAGGATCAAAAGGGAATATCTCGTTTACACGAGTGCGTAGGCAAGTGCCAAGGCACCACCGAGGACCCAACCGTTACGGGCGATAGAGGCAGCGCCGCCTGTAACGGGGGTTGATGGAGCGGCGGTAGTGGGAACAGGGTTTGCAGCTGTAGCGGTAGGGGCACCGGTGATCAGGGGAGTAGAGCTAGGCATGCGAGAAGCGGACTTGGAAGGCGACTTCTTGGGGGTTGAGGCCGGGAAGGAGGTTGAAGCTGAAGATGGAGTGACGGTTGAAGTTGAAGAGTGGGTCGAGGTCGAGGTCGAGGTCGAGGTCGAGGTCGGGGTTGAGGTTGGAGTTTGAGTAGGAGTTGGAGTGGGCGTGCTGGTTGAGCAGGGGCCGGTGACTGTCACGGCCATCCAGTTGATGTTGCTGGCGGCGAGGGTTTGGTGCACGGTTACGGTTCCTTCTTGCGCGAAGCAGGAGGCGTAGGTGGTTCCGGCGACATTGCAAGAGAGGGAGGCGGTGCTGAGAGGATTAGCATTGGTTTGGGTGTTCGGGTTGAGTTGATTGCTTACTTTGCGCCGTTGGTGTTGATCAGTTGGGCGGAGCTGGGAGCCGAGATTGCCGTCATGCCCTTGCCGGGGATACCACAGGCGGAGGAAGCCACGCTGGTAGGGCAGGTGATCAGGTAGGTGGTCGCATCGCCGTCCTAAAGAAGGGTTTAGATCGTGATGTGGCGCATGGTGAGGCTGATGTTGATGCTCATGTTGCGCTGTGTTGTGTTGTTGCCCTGAACAACCTTTTATCGCGATCGCAAAGAAAACAACATGACACAACACAGCACAACAGCAATATCAAAACGAGGGAATTTGCTTACCTGACCCAAAACACCAGCTTGCATATCACGACCCTGGAAGCCAGGAAGCAAAAGGTTGGCAGTGCTACCAGCAGTGGCCGCAGTGGCACCAGTCAAAAGAGCGACAGTGTAGAAACGCATTTTGATAAAGAATGACTAGAGTTAAAAATAATGCGTATGCTTAAAGAAAGAAATAACGAAAGACTGGAAAAAGAATGGCAGGGTCGAACCCAGAGAGAGAGATGCAGGATGAGACTCGGGGCGATACGCTCATTAAGGGACTAAAAGGCCCCAGGTTCAGGACCAAACCTGCAGGGACGGGACTGATTACGGGGTAAAAAAACATCAAAACCACCTTTGATAGGTTGCCAAGCACAACCCATTAGGAACTAGAGCAAGTTTGGACCAGGAACCCGTCAGGAACCGGTGTTTGGCCAGGGGTTCGAATGAGAGAGTGAGAGGTTCGTGCTCCATTAATGAACGCCACTAAACTATACTCGGATTAGCTGTTGAACTGTTTCGTTGGTTCAAGTTGATCTTTCTGGATGAGGAAGGTTGTTGGTCGCTCCTGATAAAGCGAAATTATCATATCAATGCGCGATTCGTATCCATTTATTTTCAGAGTATTCCAATGGATGAATACTTATAAGGAAATTCAAAACATTCTTCATGCTTTACCCTTTGCAGACCCTGAGACCCCTTTTTCCTGCGGGGGAAAACGCCAAGCGGGTCGCGTACGCTAGTGCAGCCTTTCAGATCATCGCAATTTACGCGCCCACGTTCCCAGGGATCGTCATGTTCATTTCCTTTGACCTAATTTGTACTCCGTAGATTCATTTAATTTAGATCGGTAATTTGAAAGATCGGACTCAGTGGATACAGCAATGGATTGAGTGGAAACGTTTCTTAACTATACCGAGACCTCCACCACAGGCACAACTTGATTTAGGATCCCAGCGAGGATGCCCACAACGAGTAAGATCCCGTTAAATGCCGCCATGATATAGAATGGGGCTCCCGAGGATACTTGGTCGAATAACAACCCTCCCAGCTTGGTGAGGAGTAGGATTCCTGCGCCACCGTATAGCGAATACACTCCCGCAATAGACCCTTTTAAATGCGACAGATGCTCCAGTCGTCGGTTTACAGACCCCGCGAGAAGCGGTCGACCTTCACCTGACTCGTCCACATCAGCATCCATCTCGGCTCGTTCGTCATAGATCTTGCGCAGCGTGTCGTCGTCCAAGCTGACCCGCAGGATCCCGTTGCTGAGTACCGCAAGACTGCACACGATAGCCCCGATCTGGCTAAGGCCGATCAGTCCCATCACGAGGAAGACCACCGCATTGCCATCCGGACCGTTGAATTGCGGATTGGGCATTTGTGCAAACCACATATACCCAATCACACCAAGGAAAGCCGCTAGCAGTAGTGGCACATTATATCGTCTGGATTTGTCGGTCAGGAACCCGAAGGCCGGCGCCGCGCATAGAGCCACCAGCTGAGAGACGCCGGTGAGGATAGATGCAAGGATGTATGCGCGTGGGCAGGCGCGTTTAATGTCCGACAGTCCCGATCCCTGGACGGGCTGCTCATCACAGAGACCCGAGACACGGAAATAGTGATTTACCGCCAAGGGGATGAACAGAGAGATCCCCACTGATGATGCCCGAGCGACGAATCCGCCCATATACCCCAGTCCAATGCTGCGGTTGCGGAATCCCAGAAGCATTGCCGTAGTCAATTGCTTCCAGTATGGAAGAGTGGCAGGTTGATCATCTCGTGCCGAATGGCAGGTCCGCAAAGAAGACCATCCTTTACCTTCTTCCCCGGGGAGACGACGAAGCCCAAGAAAACTGACCACGCTGATGATGAATGCGACAACAGCGACAAGGTAATAGCTTCGTTGGATAGACTCGGCGGGGGAGAGTCCCAGCTTCTCAAATCGGGCAGGGAGAGGAAGAAAGACCGCGAGGGAAACAAGAGCCCCACAGCCAGCGAACAGCCCAACAAAGCCTGAAAGTCGAGCCGAAGGTGAAGAACGAGCCTTGGAGTCCAAGTTTCCATTTTGAAGGCCACGCAGCCGCTCAGGCGTGATGGTCAATTCTGACGAGACAGAGGCCCGGTATCCCTGGTTGTGGAGGGCCTTACCCGTCACAGTGGGCAAGACTGCCGTGACCATGGTAGATACGGCCGAGCCACCGAGACTGAAAAGCAGCCGACCGAGGAGAAGCTGCGGATAGACATTCGTAGCCTGCACGAAAAGAACCAATGCGAGAGCAATGATGGCATAGCCAATAGTACAAACCTGTTCTAATCAGCAACCCGAGCTTCCAAAGCTCTATAGATAAGGATCTGATAAACTTACATGACGTACACCGATCCGATCAGAAAGCACGCCCCAAAGAGGACAGGCAGCTAGCGCGAGTAGCTCATCGGCAAATCCCAATGTCCCCACCGCATCACCCTCTCCATCTTGAAGTCCGATCAGATCCGTTACCACGAAGGAAACCGAGGAGTTGATGAAAACTAGGAATGCGATAGAGAAGGGGCAAACCGCTAGCAGGTATGTCAGGGTCTGGCCCCTTGAGGCCGTGAACAATGCCGGATCTGAAGCCATCACCAGTATCAGGGCATTGCTCTGAGAGAATTCTGGAGAAGGAGGATTAAGAATGATCGGCGAGCATTCAGCTTGTGTCGCCTGGGGGTGGGGGGTCACGTGCGATCAGATAAACAGGGATGCGGGTCACAATGTAGTCGATAGATGACGAGGATGAAAGTTAATGGTTCAAGGTCAGTAACTCATGTCATTGATCAGAATTCGATCGAAATATCCCCGATACATAAACAAATTGGGACGTTCATCATAGATTGTTAGGGAAATACATTCGAACATTTGAAGCCACTCGGGATGGATCTGATCCGGGGCCCCACCTATAGCTTTATCATGCCCTGACGAACCGAAGTATCTGCTCTTCAATTTGCCCATTTCTATTTGATTTGGTTCTTAAGTAGATAAATTTGGGAAACAAAAATGAGTTCTTTATGTTCGTATTGAATAATAACATTGAATTCCGTCATTGGTACTAAGTATGAGGTTATCTAAATATAAAGCGTAATCACCGTTGTCCACTGTTGCCGATTCCAAGTTCACCAAGGCAAAAGAAGAAGTTCAAACGCTAAAGAATAACTCGCTTGAATTAATATGAGATATGAATCACCTACTAATTATTCAATAACTGTTACTTAGCCTAGCAGTTGCATAGTAGACCTTACGGCACATACTTGACATTGTAGACCCCAACGATCATGAAATGAGAATTTACGCTTCTGCATTCGAGAATTTATTATTCTGGGGCTTATATCCCATAATTAATCCGACATTGATGTCCAATTTTGTCTGTTATAAAATCACTATCCAAGGCACGTGCAGATAGCTCCGCTGACGTAAGATGCGGAGGCGGCATTCTGGAAAGCTGTCCAGATCGCAGTATACTTACTCCTGTGACGATACCCCAAGTCTTCCCCACTTCATCTTCTGATGATCCTCAACCCGAGTCTCAGTTGTTCGTCATGAGACTGGCCGCGTATGCTGGGGTATGTATCCCCATCATCTTTCCGAGACGCCTGCTGACTTCTCTAGGCCTCGGTGGTCCTAGCCACCGGTGTGTTCTTAAAAGCTCTACATCAGAGATCGAACTTCTACTCGGCTTGTGTTTATCTTTCGCAGAGTAGTGCCAATCTCATGGTAAGTCAGTTGTTGGATCAGTCCTGGACTGTGGGCTCAGGCCTGTCCGCCTTCCCCGCGTTGGAACCAGGCTAACATGCGCCGAGCGCTGCCTCTAGATCCTTACGAATCTATGCCTTCTCATCACCGCTTTTGTTCTCTTCTGGCTCCAGCGACTCCTTTACGGTCCTTTGCGTCCCATCGAAACTGAACAGCTATACGAACGGGCGTGGTTTGCCATCACGGAGACATGTCTGGCAATGACCATCTTCCGGGGTGAGCTCGGGGGCTGGTTCTTGGTCATGTTCATCTCCCTTTTGGTCGGAAAGGTCTGGGGCTGGATTGGAGAAGGTCGGGTGGAATATTTGGAACAGCAACCCCCCGCGAACCCGCGACTGTTCCATTTCCGATTGGCGTTTTCGCTGGTCTTGTCGGTGTTGTTCAATGCCTTCATGCTGCGGTACTGCGTCAACACCGTATACCATCAAGCTCGGCCCGACATGATGGTCATGTTCGGCTTTGAATTTGCAATTTTGACCATCCTGTCGAGCTCAACCACTGCTCGGTATGGGATCGCATTGGCGGAGATCTACATTACACACCAGCAGGTGAAGGCGAAGATGGAGGAACGTCGAGCGGAGATTCGGGAGGCTCGTTTGGAGGCTATTCGAGCCAACGCACGGGCTGGGGAGAGCTCGCCTCCTACCAACCTGCCAGATGAAAACGATGCCAATGAGCAGGAGATCGATATTCCCGGCTGGGAAGAGAAAGGCCGCTGGGTTTTCTACCTCGATCTCTTGACCGACTTTGTGAAACTTCTGGTCTACCTGATCTTCTTCGCAATTCTCCTCACTTTCTACGGCTTGCCTATCCACATTTTGCGCGACGTCGTTGTCACCATCCGTTCTTTTGGTCGTCGAATCATGGATTTCATTCGGTACCGCAACGCAACCCGAGATATGAATGAGAGATACCCGGATGCAACGGCGGAAGAAGTTGGAAGAGAGGATGTCTGCATCATTTGCCGAGATGAGATGGTCCCCATGCAGCCAGCTCCGGCTGAAGGTAATGAACAGCCTGCAGCCAACACACGGCGTGTGCCTGATCGCTTGCGCCCCAAGAAGCTGCCTTGCGGCCATATCCTTCACTTTGCCTGTCTCAGGAGCTGGTTGGAGCGGCAACAAAATTGTCCCACTTGTCGGCGCCCAGTGGTTGGAGCGGGTGCGCAAGGCGCCAATGCCGGTAATGGCCGACAAAATGGTGCAGGTGGAAACCAGCCCGGTCAACCAGGCCAAGACGGATTACCCAGAGCTCGTATCTACCAGTTTGGTCCTTTCCGAATTGGCTTTGGTGCTGTACGGGGTGATATTTTACACAATCTGCATAACCAGGTCAATCAAGGCAATGTGCCTCCACAACATGTTGCCAATGCCAACCCACAAGGAGCACAAGGAGCGCGCCAGATGGGGCTTGGCTTTGGATTCGATCGCGGGGTACCGACCCCTCCTGGAGGTGCTCAACCCCAGTCCACTACAGTCCCTTCAAGTCTCACCAGTATAAATGCTCAATTGCACCAAATTGAGCAACAAATTGCCCAAGAGATTGCCGCTTTGCGCGCTACGACAGAGCAACTCCGTCATGTACGTGCTCTTGAGCTGGAGATGAACCGACTTCGCCTTGTCCAAAACTTTGCCCCTACTGGTGCCACATCGACGCTTCCAGGTATCTCCAATAGCGAAGGTCGACATCAGTTCGTGGCAGGCCCAGGCACCGTACCATTGAGTGCCGGAGATCCTCGCTTACCAGAAGGGTTGAATCTTCCACCTGGTTGGACCGTTATTCCGCTTCAGTCTGCCAATCATAACGTTGCGAGCCCTCTACGAGGCAGTCCAACCCCCTGGGTTCCCAATTCACCACCAGGAGTTTCTATCCCGCACATGACCAATACTCTTCCACAAGACCACTCCCTCTTCAATAGATCAAATGGGGTCCCAGCCCCAACCCCAACAATTCCTGTGGGCAACAACGATCAGATCGAGAATGAACCACCTGCTGCATTTGCTGAAACCAGTGCCACCACGGCTGACACAACTCAACCATTGCCCAGCTGGGGAGCAACAAGTACCTCAGCAGAGAACATCCACCCGGCAGACTCCCTATCCCAAGAATGGACTGATGTTCAACGAGACCATGTACCCGATGCGGCCTCTAAAGCCACTACATACCCCGGTAATGCAAACACTGAGACTCCAACGGAGACACCAACGGAAAGCACACCTGAATCTGTATCCAAAGGCAAAGCTCGGGCCGCCACAGTCGAGGAAGCAGAAGATGAAGAAGCACCTTGAAAATAGATGAAACAGAAATAATCCACTGATAACTGTACTTTTTTGGCCATTCTCCTCTTGTTTCATTGGCTCGGTTCTTTCTTTTCTTTTCTGGTCCTACTCCCTGTTCGGATCAGCGTTGCATGGCGTTTTTGAGCAAAATATCATACCCGGCTCCTAGCCTTTTTCTCATTGCAGTCAAATTCTTCCGGATTGTACTTGAATCGTCATTTTCGAATGATGCGCTGTTAGACTGTTTCTATAATGAACTAAATGTTTGTACTGCACAAATTGAGTCTTTCTTTACCTCCGAGACTAGTATAATTCAGTTTCATCTACGTATGTGTCGGAAAAAAGAAAAATCGGGGGCTGGGGGTTTCGAATGTAACCAGATCGCTATGTATATGCATCAAGCCTTGGCGTTGTCAACAATTGATAGGGGTACACTGGAAGGTTTTTGGTGCATTTAATGTTCAATGTATTTTTGATAATGACAAATGTTAATATGGTACAAGTCCCAGACAGGAGATTCTATTCACAGTCCCAAAAAAACCCATCCTAACGCCCTATGAATACATGCAGATTAAAATCACGGGCTGCCCCGTCTAGCAAGTGTAGCAGAAACCAGGGATGATAGTGTACAGTGGTGTCAACCACGACCATGAACACAAAAGTTCATGTTTTATGAGGTGCCCACGAATCTCAGGACAAATTCGTAGACTCCGAGGGTGATGATGGCGGAGGGGATGGAGCGCACCATGTGCGGCATCAGACCACCGTAAAGACCTGCCATTCCTTCTTCCTTGGCGATCAAGCTAAAGCACTGCACCAGGCCAGTATACTTGGGGACGCCATTCTCGAGCGGTGCCTGACGGAGTCTTGTTCGGATGACCTAGAAGAAATTCGTCAGTAATGATCCAGCATTGGATTGGCGCATCTCATACCTCGTGGGGGTATGCAATCAAAGCAGCGGCAAACTTGGCCGAGCCCGCAGCTCCGGTAGTACTAATCCAGCTAGTGATCTCCTTCTGTGCGGCCGTGTCTTTGCCATCTGGTGACCCGAGCGACTGAGCCATCATGGTTTTCAAACGCTCGTAGAGAACCAGGTGCAATGCAGTCTCGACGGAGCCCAGGTAGCTAGCGCTCAACCCCTTGTACAGGCCGCGGATACCTTCATGGCGAAGGACCTGTTGCACACAGTCGAGACTGTTGCGGTAGCGGCGAGCTCCGGTGGCCGTTTGGGCGCGGTCAAGTTGCAGCCGTGTCTTGACTAGCCAGATGGGGTTGGTGGCAGTGGCAGTTGCGATGCCGGCGGAGATGGCGGCCTGGGCGTGAACGAGGGTAGAGTCTTCCCCGAGGCCGAGGACCTGGGCACCGATGCGCTTGCAGTTTCCGTAGACGTAGAATTTGATCGCGGTGGCTGGGACCACGCCTGCAAGACTTGGACCGAGGCCGCGGAAGAACGCGCGCCAACCTTCAGCTTTGTAGATGTTGCTGATTATTCGGAGTGTTTTGTGGCTTGTTTTGTGAGGGATCGCAGCGGAGCCATGGGGGTGGGAGATGGGTTGATAGAAGTCCGATTGGAGACGTGTTCGAAGGACATCGAGAGGGGATGTGACAATTGCGGTCGCGAAACCTCCGCTCCTGTGGCAATTCTTAGGGGGTGGTTGGGTTGCGGACAGATCTCGGACAACTTACGCGCCGGCTATGAGGTGTGTCCATGGATCATGGGACTTTTTGGGGGCTGTCTGAGAGGTCCGTAAGGGAACACTCTCTTCAGCAGGTCGACCGTGAATCTTGGGGCTTTGCTGCATCGTCAAAGCACATTCTTTGATTGAAACAAAAGTTGAAGATTGGCAAATTTCCGTCTGGGATGCGTCGGATCCACAAGTTTTCACGTCATCACGTGAGATAACAGATCCCGATAAGCGCCACAGACTTGAGATCTTCCTGATCTCCCCGATTCAAGGGCATTTAGGTTTATATTTCCATTACTTCCAAGGTTATATAACAGCTATTTCTTGATGTGATGGTTCTCAACCTTGGAAGCCCAACATTTGACCATTTGAACATATCTACAGTATTCGCTTTGCAAAACATATATCCGTCCACCACGTTCGCTGCGGACACATTCGAATCTTATTGCACATGTGGTACGATGGTTCTCTATCTATAATATTAAGGTTCACCACAGTCAAACTTCAAAATGTAGAATTCTTATGTGAGGGCATCCAATAAACAATGTTTTCCATATCTCAAGTGCTCATCAAGTACCTCAAAAGTTCGATCTGACAGAAGTAAACTCTGCCCAACCTTGACCGCTCCCAATAATATCTCACAAATCCCTTTGACTTGAAATAGACTCTGAGATGTAGGCCTTAAGAAAAAGCGTGCACATGTGGGTGGGGATCAGCGAGCAGGACAGGGAGAAAGGGACTATGCGGGAGAAGTATGACCTCGATGTGAAGGAAGGAGTGAAAAGCGAAGGAGAAGTAGATGGAGAAAGTTATGTGGTTGTTTCAGCTTACAATTTTCCAGCATCAATGATTAAATATTATATAGACAAAAGGAATGATATGAAGTTAAACTAACTACCGTGCGCATATCGGTCAATCCACCTCATAGCCGACATTTTCCGCATCATTCATTCAGCACATGTTCCATTCCAATTCCACCGTCCATAGACCTCAATTCTACACTCATTTTTCACAGTCCATGTAATTGCTGTATCGGTGTGTTTCTATACCCGGAGTACCCGACTCAAAGATGTGGGCAGCCAAGCCTGGCTTGATCATGCTATTGTCCTCGGACGAGCTAGCCTTATGTGTGTTGTGCGTGTTATTCGTGTTGTTCATGTTGCTCGTATTGTCAGAGTTAAGGTGGGCTTTACTCGATCCCCTGGAGGATCGGAGTTGTGTCCAAAATCCGCGGGTGCTAAACTTGAACAAGGGTCTCAAGTTGGGGAGACATGCCCCGACGATCGCGACGGCTGCCTCGAGACATGTCCACATGGCGGTTGGGGCTTGGTTATCTGCAAGATGTAAGGGGGCTGTCTTACAGAAATGAATGGAGAGGCTTACAGGTAATATCCGGGCCGGCCTTGGTCAGTTCGATCATGACCCACAGTCGGACGATGTCGAAGATTAAAGTTCTGAGGCTTGTTAGAGAATCCCACCAAAATCAGCGGACCGACACTTACAAGCCACCGATGAGGAATACCCCGGAGAGGAGAATCTTTTGGGTTTTCGGGATTGGCAACCCGACCACAACCTCAATGGGCAAAACAAGAATGATCAGATCAGAGACAATATTTGGGATCTGCATGGCGTAGTTGAAGGTTGCCGTATTGATGCAGTTTCCGTTGATTGACCTATCCCAGAAACTGTTGACAGGAATGCAATTCAAGGTCGCTGCGACCATAATACTGACAGCCCAAAGCACGACAATCGATCCCATTACATTCACCGCCATGACCATATACTTGACGGCGAACAAGCGCTTGTAAAGCGCCAGAATAGATAGCTTAATGAAGGCAACGCATGTTGTATACAAAAAGGGGTTTGCCCATCCAATCTGTCTCCGATCAGCAATCGTATTCGTAGGATCAATATAAGGGCGGGCATACTTTGAAATAGATGATGAGATTCTTTTCTGGGACCATGGACATGTGGGATCCCAATCCGTTGTACAGAACTGATTCTTCATTAGCCCGGTCCCGCAGCGGTTCATTCCAAATCACTCACGCATCGTGACTCCGATGGAACATCCATACTTGAAAAGCTAGTAACATGATTAGCTCCCCACTGTGCAATGGCCCCGCAGACGTTAGATGCATACCAGAGCAATCAGAATCAAGTAGTCATCCAAGAACAACCTGCAGCCACTCAATTTTCGCGCCCAGATACGCAAGCCAACAGCCAAAGTTGGGAATAAAAACGAGAATACGAGTGAGATCTTGACCGATCGTTGCAACGCCTCGTTGGGGTGGTCAAAATCACCCGCCACCCCCGAGGATGTCTGGTTGGAAGACATGACAGCCGTGCAGGTTCGAGGCTTGAAGGAGCGCCAGGAGTGGAGAGAAACTTTGATGATTTGGAATCAATGTGCGGGAGTGGCCTTTATAGCGGATAGGGCTGCTCGCCTCCTCCACTTGATCCACCGAGATATGTCATATTGATATGATATACTGCGAATAGACATATCTCAGAGGTGTCAGAGCGGAATATCCACCAATCATGCAGAACGATATGCATGGGGGCTTCAGCATATCTTGCTAAGGCGATGTTTTGACGTCAATAAAAGCCATGGGAATTGATAGCGCGATGTTTGATCTCAAGGGGTGGATCGACATTGCCTATTGAGTGACTGTCATTCCCGGAATTCATAATTCGGGGAACCTAGATGGGAATCCGCTGTCATGAGGAACGGAAGAAGCTTTCCCGATATATCATGTTGTGGTTGTACATGTCAGATTGCCTTGATGTATCATAATTCAACCTTGGAAGTCGCCACAACCATGAACTTGACCTGGCAAAAAGCTTGGTGTTATCTGAGCAATTTCCGGCAGCTCTACACAGTTCGTTAGACCTACAATGTATTAAAAAAAAAGCAAGGTGAAGTTTCCACATTGTATCGAGAAAACTTAATGTGGAAAGTTCTAGGAACGTTCGATAGACTGAAGCAAGGGATCTGATTCGGGAATCCCCTCAGCGGGGTATTCCCGAGCAAATTAACGGACTTGATCTATCATAACTTGAAACCTTGAGATTGAGAGTTTCCAATGATTGACCACTTCCGGGTGAAGATGGTCCACTGTGGGGCGGTAAAAATGATGCATCTAACCCACAGCCCTAGCTGATTGTAGATCTCATCGTTGCTCAGTTGCAGTTTTGTGCATTGTGGTGACAAGCTGATGAATATGCAGACATTTTCATACGATTTGTTTGATCGGTCACATTAACATTAAATTTTGAGCTTTCTCTTTGCATTTCAGTGTCTCTTGATTCGCTTTTGATCACCGAGCTTCACTTCGCACGCTGCATGACAGTTGTGAATGTTCGGCTTATTCATAAACATGGAATCAGGACCGTCAATCAGTCGATAAAAGTCCGCGGATACCTAATACTTATATGATACGGCTAATATGCTAATATCATTTCCCAAACCTCAATCTCTACTCGACTCTTATCTAGGTATCGGTATCGGAATCATTTTCATTCGGTCAGGATGGCGGGTTTCCTCGCATCTCTGGCTACTTCCCGTTTTACTCCGTAGTTTTTTCCAGATATCGAGCGCCTGTGCTTCATCCATGTTATTTCCTTGTTCTGCGGCACAAAATATTTCATATGGTCGCAATGGTCTTTACCGACCTCTCTTCAACAAAAAATTGGTCGCTGGAGGAGGAGGATTATAAAGATGATTTCGACAAGATGGAAGCATCCACTATAGGTGTATTAACACCAGAGCTCGAGACATTCCTTGCTCTGTCAGGAGCAGAGGAGCTAGATAAGAGATATATCAAGGAAATTGTTTCAACAAAAATTGCTACCAAAGAGCCGGAGCGATTATCCTGCCCACTGACACCAATCGTCGGATGCACCCGAGCGAGAGTTAACAATAGATCATCACTCCACCATCAGTCGGGGACTCAATTAAATTCCGGGAGGAGTGGTTTACATCTTTCACTTCACATTTGCCAAACCCACCGCAACAGTGAACAAAGAAATGGCCTTTGAATTTATGAGAGACGAGGTAGCTCCGCATTTCGGATGGCTACAGATTGGCTACACCGACGACGGCAGGCCATTCATCAGTCTGGACCTAGCAACGGCTTCCGAAGAATTTGGAGTGAGTAGATTTTTGCCCGAGCAAAAGCACCCTGGTCAGTCGGGCTAGCAGCGTGGTTGATGCACATTATGGTTCGAGCCTTAGAAGCAGCGGTCATCGACAACATTGACAACACTTTCAACTGGAGCAAATTTGTCGGCCCGGCTCAGTACAGTAATACCTACAGGATCGATAAGCTAGTGCTCAGTCCAGCCGAGATCATATCAGAACTTCATCACGATTTTAAAGGCAAGAGCTATTCGATGACGAAGTCAGCTCAGTTCCTAATGAAATTACGACCCGCACAAGCAGAGAGGGAACCGGCGAATTTCACGGTCCATAACTTCCATCTGGAGACATTGAACCAAATCTGAAGACAGATCTACAGGATAACACAGGAGCAACGGGACCAGGCGTTATCATAACCAAGTGTCTGAAACTTTTGTCCTCCTTATTCCTGTCTGAGACTACCAAGCTCAACTTTACTAGGGTGGAGTAGACCTCAGTATTCGGATTTATTGCGTATATTGTTATGACATAGTGAAAAGAAAGCCACGGCGCAGGATCTTTCATGTAAAGAATGAAATGAAAGAAGACGAATAATATTGAAGTCATCAAGGAAATGATTTGCTGAAAGCGTGTATAAACAATTTGTTGTAATTTCATTTGCCTCTTTGAAGTAGACCATTCAGAGGATTGTGATATTAGTCCTCGATTTCCGCTACAAATTAGCCTTTTGTGTTTAAAAACACGTGCATGGTTAAAGTTTTAGCAATTCTCATCAGAGACCGGGGTGTCGTAAGGAGGATCAGGTCCCAAGAAGCACACTACCAGCACTGCAAGAAGAATATAAAGTATACCTAAAAAAATTAGAGTGATATAAAAGGGCAAGAGCTAGCCACCTACTCCAAGTCCAACTCATACAGTCATAACCTGCAAGTTCCTTCAAGGCACCACCCAACATTGGGCCAATTATCATTCCAATGGAAGACACAGTCTCCACTAAGGCAAACACCCGAGAGAGTCCTCCCTCGGGACCGAAAGCACCTGGGGTCTTTTCCTGGTGGTCTTCAACAGCAGCTGCAATGAATGATCAGTAGCTGCATATGTGTAGAGAAGTCAGGCTCATTTAAGGAAATGCAATACTCACCAGTCAGCTCTACTGGCCCCAAACCAGTCATGAATGGTCGCAATACCCCCATGGCAATGATAGACACAATGTAGATTGTTCCACCATGGCGCTGGGCACTAAACCAAGGGATGCGCTCGGTCCCAGCTAACCCCAATAGTATGAGCACCCCCGCTTGTAGAATCAAAGAAACCACAGCTGGGTATTTTGCACCAATGCGTCCCTGTACCCAGCCAGCAAGAGGACCGATCAGGAGCACAGGGAGGGATAAGCAGGAAAAGATGCCCCCGATAACCCCTGGACCCCATCCAAAGGTCTCTTGAACATGGAGAGGGATAGTCGCGTTGAAGCATGTCCCCACAGTGATACTCGATACTTGAAGGAAAAGAACCGTCAGCACCCGAGAATCATGGCATATAACACGCCAGAAGCCCGTTGTAGATTGAATGTGAGAATCGCCATCCGAAGACAGTAGACCCGTAGTCTCCGTCGGCTCTGCCTCCTCCTCAGACCCTATCGTTTCTGTATCGGGCATAGAGAAGTGAATTGGCGGTTCCTGAACCATCAGGACGCGAGCAACAAGGTCAATCACCAAAATAACCAGAGGTACTAGCCAAGTCATCCAATACCCCGCATAATCCAATAACAAGCCCGAGATTGCAGGTCCACCCACAACCGCCACGTTGACAACAGACATTGTAATCCCCATAATCCTCGGCAGGTTTCTCTGGTCTGCTGTATCTGCGATAGTTGCGTAGCCGATAATCCACGCGGCGGATCCTGCAAGCGCTTGTAGCACACGGCCTAGTAAAAGGACGAGGATCGAGTGGGCACAGGCAATAAGAACAGTGCCAATAATACATCCGAGAAGGGATATCAACAATGGCATCTTGCGGATATGTGATTTGTCAGTAAAACGCCCGATGATAGGGCCAGCGATAACGGATACTGCGCCATGGATGGCTAATATGATAGAGCTAGCGGCTTGTTGTTTGGAGTGATCGATTTGCAGACGGTTTTCTAGCATGTAGTTTAATATTGGAAGGATGAATGCATATAGAAAGGTTTCTGGTGTCAAGTGTTAGCGAAGGACTTGAATTGGAAAGATGGTAGACAAACCAGAAAACAAGGCGAGTGTGATGGTGGAGATAATAAACCATTTTGAGGAACGCCATTTAAAATGCCGTATCTGTGATCTTTGTGATTGCGAATCACCCGTGTCCTCCATTTTCTAAAAGCCTTGTAAGCAGGAAAGAAGTTAAAGGTAAGATCACTGAAGAATAATTTCTTCACCAGGATCTCAGCCCTTGCACGTTGCTTGCCGAATATGCTATGTAAGGGATATATCATTGTTTTTTGATTGATCTGTAGGTGCATATGCAGGATAGATGCATATTGTCTCATTATGTGGAGTCAACAATCTGCTGGGGTTGGCTGATTAAAAAAAGTAATGATACATGTTTAAGAATTGCATACGGAGTAGAATACATCCTTTCAGATTGATAGGGAATCCGTAATTATGGAGCTCCGTTATCTTTACGACAGTACTTAGAATCAAGACTTAGTAGACCTTCTAATATACGACAGGTCCACTTAATACGAATACGACAGTATTCTTCGTTTTATCAAACTGACTTTTTCTCTAAACAGAGATTCTACAGATCACCATTTATTATCCAACTAGCTGCCACTTATATAGACTGAGCGAACATACAATTGTAACTATAGTGGAAAGAACGGGTTTTAATGAATGTTTTACCTAATTATTTGAAGGTAACAATTGTAACTGGCAAGGGCCGTAGAATCCAAGCCACGGAAGATCAAAGGAACTGCTTGACTCTAGGGGTAAAAGATATCGGCCCGCGAACCGGAAGTCAAGCAAAGTCACGGAAATTTGAAATGACCAAGCAGTCTGGTCAAGCAAAAGTCATAGCTGGAAAGCGGAACGAGCAACTGGCCCATTGAGAAAGAAACTTGGTGGGCGGCAGGTATGTGATGAAAGGTAAACAATTATGCAAAGGAAATCAAAGAAACTCGTTTCGCATCAGTCATCTCATCACGCATCACGGTCATATATCGTAAGAATAAGTATTAGGAATCAAAAGAATGGGTAATGATGCACAGGAGTGGGGACCGAAAAAATGGCGGTTATCGGATCAATAGGGCGTAAGGAAGATAAAACGCGGATCTGCTGGAATCCACAAAGCCCGAATTATGAAACCCTCCATTAGCGGTTATGATAGCGGGAGTAAGTTTTAGTTTCCATTGTATGCTTGGTCGGGAGTCAGGGTGAAATCTCCCTTTGCGATCTCGGACCGGTTGACGCTGTCAGGCTTGATGTAGCGAGCCGTCAGGGCAAATCGCAGAAGATCGTTGGAGATAACGGAATGCTAGAATGGTCAGTATAAAAAGGATCATACAAATACGGCGCATCATACGAACCTCGTAGTATTTCTGCAAATTCTCTCCATGCATGACTACCAGGTCTCCGTGGTGTAGATTCATCACAACCGACACAGGTGCTTCTCCGGTCAAGTTCTCGTGCTGGAAAGCGGTGGCACGACGGCGATCATACGTATCCCGGTCAATGGTACCTTTCTTGAATTGTTTCTTCAAGGTTAGACGCCGTTTCTCAAGTCTGCAGCCGGGGAGGACAATGTCATCCTTCGGGAGAACGCCACTCTTGGATCGGCCATGGTAGTATTTGGGCTTCATGCGGAGGCTCATTGTTGATGACGCTCCAAGAGACAAGGTGGCAATTGTCGGTCCGAGGCCATTCTCGCCATCATCATGGTACTGTCTGGTAATTAGAAACAGCTCGTTGACAACACTTTTTAGACAGGTGCACTTACTCCAATCTTCATTCCCTCGAAGTACCCAAGGGTGAGTAACTCATTTGGCGGCTGGAAAACTCCACCAGCAGCTGTGACTGCCTTCTCAGTGGCCCATGTCAGTCGCCCAAGAGAACGGAGGATGGCATCTGGTGCCTCGCTGAAGCCTTTCGAGGCTACTGAAACCACGTATTTGTAGGGCATACCCTATACGACTGTCAGTCAGCTGAATTCTCAGGGGATCAGAGAAATGAGCGAGACCATACATAGTTCACAGCAAAGTGAGAGGTCAATATACCGGTAACTAAAAATAATATATTAGTAATCTGAGGTATTGTAGAAATTGAAGTGAAACCCACCAACACTCGATTGAAGAGGGTAGCGTTTCAAACCCAAAGGCTCCTTCTGAAGGTTTTCGAATAGATCGTTTGGGCCTCCTGGAACCTCTTGGATGGATTGGTTGGCCCGAAATTGGGTCAAAGAGCCAACACCCGGAAAGTCGTAGGTGTATTTGTGGTAAGGGAGGCAAGAAACCAGATCAACATTCAGTCCAGGACTGGGTATTTCAGGCACGGGTTCATGTTGGCGAAGAACAAGGCTGGCTGGAACTTGCATCAGCTGGATCATCATTTCAAACTTGCACGTATCAGGTAAATCTTCGAGTTTAGGATCACTGTTGCACTTCCATCCTTCCCATAGAGTCCGTGACATGCACTTTCTGCACCAGGGGCATACAAGGCCACGCCAGCTCAGCCGATGCGTAGTGTCAAGTTCGTTGGACTCGCGCAAAACTTGAGCATGATCTGGAATCAGAGGGCCACTAGGCTCTTGCATAGGGTTCTGAGTGTTCTCATCATCTCGAGGATTCTGACGGGTTGACAGCCAAGCGGAATGGTAAGTCAGATTTTCTGGCTGATTGATGTTGCCAATCTTCCAAAATCGAGCACAATCGTGAGTCAGGCACATCCAGCCTCGCTCAAAGGCACGTGGGCTAGGTTGAAGGCAATGAAGGCATTTGATGACTTCCGGCTTGGCAACAGTAAGAGGGTTTCGAGCTTCGTATGGAAGAGGGTTAGGGCTATCCTTTGCGGCCCACCAGCTCTTTTCCAAGAGGTCCAGCTTCTCAAAGCGGATCTTAAGTCCGGCATAGGTGTCAATTTTCTCAAACCAGATATTGGTGATTCGGAAATAAGCCAAGACGGTGTAACGGTGCTCGAGGATGGGGCCCAGCAGGGAGTTCTTGTTTCCTGGATGAATTAGATATTGACCGCATCTTTTATAATCTGTCGACTTACCAATGATCATGCCCACGGGAAATTTGTCAACCATGCTGCGTTGGAGTGCCATGGCAGGATATCTCGTCAAGCTTTGATCTTTGTTCAATCGAAGCCCTCCGTCTACCTTGCTGTAGCTTCCACCGCTGGTGAATTTAGCAATGGAAACATAACCACTCGAAGCATATATACTTACACTCGAGTAATGATAATTTCTTCATCCATGTAGAATCCAGAGCCGCAATCCTCATCAATAAGGAAACCGTAGCAAATACCACCATGGTTATAGCAAGACCCTTGGACTGCTCGATACCAAGGAAGGGAGTCACAGAGACTCTGCCGGGCCTGCAACACGTTAATACGTACTCATCAATTGAGGGTGTCAAAAAGCTAACATCAGCCCATGCTGGAAGCTTGTCATGAAAATCATCATTTTTGATCAGATCGAAATTTCGAAGAATGGGAAAGGCAGTAAGGGGACCTTTTCCATTGGCTTGGTTGGTCGTGATCGGAATTGCTGATTGTATAATCTGAGGAACATCAACAGGAGTGGATGTGGCGTAATTTTCAGCTATATCAATGCTTTTCCGAATACGAAACGTGACAATCAAGGATGGCCTGGTTGAGGCCTTAGGAATTGATTGCGTATCTTTCGGGGAAGTTACTATATCTCCTTGTAGATGAAACGAGCGACCAGGGGTAGAACAATGTAGCTTGCCTTGCGTATCATGAGTTGCCTCGCGTTTGCTCTGTGATCTAGTCTTTGATCTGGTACTGCCAGTATAGTTCAAAGACGGGACAGGACCTTTCTTGGTCCCCCGGTTTGGCTTGTGACGCGTCGTGACCGCAGACTTGCGAGCAGCTTTCTGATGATTTACCATCTGTTCATATATTAATATCGCTTTCACACATAGGCTTGAGTTGAAGAAACTTACCTTGAACTTGGGATAAAAGAAAAGGGGTTGGGTGGTGAAAACGTAGAGCCTTGAGGCCAAATTGGCCGCAGTGGATGAAACCCAACCGACGTCGCCAAAGAACAGACGCGTCGATCGGTGTAAGGGTTTTTAAATAGAGAAAAAAGTACTGAATATTCAAGAGAGAGTAGATAGACTGTTGAATTTGAAGTATTCAAAGAATTTCTTTCAAGAATCAGGAGATGAAGTTGGATGGTGGGGGGGAAGAGAGTGTATGAGATCAAAACGCGTATTTGGATTGAGTGTTATGAGATTCTACTGGTAAAGTGAGTTGAGCACCAGTCTTTATGACTTTACTCCGTATCTTTCATGCCATTCCTAAAATATTCTCTATTTATTTTATACTTGCTTGAATATTTTTTTAGTACCTTATACTGGGCCAATAGAATGATTCAGCCCCACTTTACGACCAGGTATCAGTATAATAAAGGATTCACGATTATATAGTAGGTATTAAGAAGAATGGAGAAACTTTGGAAGGGTATGATAGTTTATGACTACTAAATGCCAGGCATATATTACGATTCTATATCATAGTGACAGTCATTAAAGTAGTTAGGCTTAACTCAGGGGATCCTGATTTGGTATGTGGGGACTGATTTATCCCTCGGTCGGAGACTCGCAGTATATCCGAGGCTCTTAGAATTGATCTACATATTATATCATAGGCACCATTTGCCCTTTACTATACCCTAATACATTCATTAAAGATCCCAATTAATCTCAATGTTTATGGATAACTTCATTAAGATCTCCTTGGAGTGAAATTCTTTTTCCTTTTGTAGAAAGTCAACATCTGTGACTATGAACACCGTATACTGAACTTGATGGCTATTGCCGATTTCCCCGCACGCTTCCCCAGATTCGGTTATGCCTCCGGGGTTTTAAAGTCTCCCCATTTTCTCCAACATTATTCTGTTACTTCCGTATTTAATCTCTTGTATGTCAATTTTCTCCATACTACGCGTCAATATACTCATCAAACGTACTATTCTTAGGTACCTTCTACAGCCCGTTATATATTGTGCTGAAAAGCGCGTCCCAGAAGAATGGTCTTTCTACCTCACCCTCAATTCGGCCAGCTAGGCACTGTTCCGGATAATATTCCGATCGGGGAGTTTATGCTAAATGAGCAATATGGACGAGTACCACACGATAAATCAAAGGACCCTTATACATGCGGAATTACAGGGAAAACATACAGCTCACGACAAGTTGTTGACCGTGTAGATCATATCGCGAGAGGTCTAGCAAAGGAGTTTGGATGGACTCCTAATCAGGGTACAGAGTGGGATAAGGCTCTGGCAGTCTTTAGTTTGAATACGGTACGTGATAATTCTCGTATCGTATTGCCCTGCCACAGTACGCGGTCCATTTCTAACTCATCGGCTGTATAGATTGATTCTTTGCCGTTTTTCTGGGCAACTCAGCGTTTGGGTGGCCTTGTCTCTCCTGCAAATGCGGCATACTCCGCCGCGGAGCTAAAACATCAACTGGTGGATTCAAAGGCAAAGGCCTTGTTCACCTGCGTGCCCCTGTTACCAGTTGCGTTGGAAGGCGCTGCATTGGCTGGTCTTCCACGGAGTAAGGTATACCTGATCGACATGCCGATGGAGATACTGGGTGGGGTCAAGCCTCCGATTGAGTACAAGACGTTATCGCAGATTGAAGAGGCAGGAAAGACGCTGCCTGCTTTAGAGGTGCTGAACTGGGGCCCCGGGGAAGGAGCTCGACGAACTGCGTTCTTGTGCTATTCCAGTGGTACTTCAGGGCTGCCTGTATGTGAAACCCTGACCCTGACCCTGATGCATATGACGTATTGATACGCTGACCTGTCGTTCTACAGAAAGGCGTAATGATTTCACACCGTAATGTGATTGCCAACGTATTGCAAACGAAGCTGTTTGAGACAACCTACCGCGATGCCCGCTCAAAGGCCACTGGTATATCTCCGTTCACCGAGGTCGGCCTTGGCCTTTTACCTCAAAGCCACATCTATGCTCTTGTGGTTATCAATCAGTCCAGTGCCTACCGTGGGGACCAAACCATTATCCTTCCCAAGTTCGAGTTAAAGTCATACCTGGCCTCTATCCAGAGATTTAAGATTACGTCGCTCTTCCTGGTAAGTTCCTCCACCATATCATAGATCCAACAGGAGCTAAGACTATACAGGTTCCTCCAATTATTATCAACATGATTCGAAGCTATGATGTGTGTTCCACATATGATTTAAGCTCGGTTAGAACACTTTTCACTGGTGCAGCACCACTAGGCATGGAAACGGCTATCGATTTCCAAAAGCTGTACCCAGGTGTGATCATTCGGCAAGGATATGGTATGAAATAATTCACGCCAGTAACCAGAGACAAATTGCTTACCGTTTTCATAGGTCTGACGGAAACATGCACTGTCGTCTGCTCTACCCACCCTGACGATGTGGTACTTGGCTCCTCCGGTTGTTTATTCCCTGGCTTTGAAGCCCGAATTCTTTCGCCCGAGGGCGAGGAGATCACCAGCTATGACACCCCCGGTGAATTGGTGGTTCGATCGCCTAGTATCGTCCTCGGCTATCTGAACAATGAGAAGGCCACCAAAGAGACATTTGAGGATGGATGGATGCGTACTGGTGATGAGGCTGTTGTCCGTGTTGGTCCCAAGGGCACTGAACATATCTTCATTGTCGATCGCATTAAGGAGTTGATCAAGGTCAAGGTTCGTACACTCCCTTGCCTTCTTTTCGCCTGCACGCATTGTGAATACATCTTGAACAACATGGATGACTGACATATGAAGTAGGGTTTGCAAGTTGCACCAGCTGAACTTGAAGCACACCTTCTTACTCACCCCGACGTTGCAGACTGCGCTGTGATTGCTATCCCAGATGACACTGCCGGAGAGGCCCCGAAGGCTATCGTTGTTAAGTCTCCATCTGCTGGTTCCGACGAGGCAACTGCTCAGTCTATCAAGAAGCATGTTGAAGATCACAAAGCTCGTCACAAATGGCTGAAGGGCGGTGTCAGGTTTGTGGATGTCATCCCAAAGAGTCCGAGTGGCAAGATCCTGCGAAGACTGCTTCGTGATCAAGAGAAGGAGGCTCGGAGAAAGGCCGGTGTTAAACTTTGAGTGTAGACTTTAGACATTGTATATAGATAAAGGACATGTATTCTTTTTGTATTTTCTTGCAAATGTTTTCAATGTCCTGAAACACTTGGATTGAGCCGTGGATATGATAAGTGGGGAAATGCGCAGAAATATAATCTTGTTTGCAACGTTTGTTCCTGCGGGGAGGGGAGGATAAGATTTCTAAGCGGGGGAAGTTCGAAAAAAAAATAGTTGGATCCAGTTCAAGCTCTTCTATTCTCCCGCTTTCCACGATCAGTCAGATAGAGATTATCCATAAGTCTCTTGATCTGTTCCTAAGACGGTTCTACCCACAGTTGTTATCTGCGTTTTATTCCATATCCTACACACCAATCTCAAAAAACCTCATACAACGATCCCTCCAAATATCCCCAAATCCACCTCACAATGTCCCACGATCTCCACGAAGAGGATACCTACGTCGGCGCCGATGAGGGCGAGGAGGTCTTCCAGAATGACGATGACCACCCCATGGAGTCCGACGGCGAAGATGAAGATCAACCCATGACCTACGACGAGCAGATTACCTTCCAGAACGACTCATCCGCACACTTCGATTCACACACCGATTCCGTCTTCTGTGTCGCACAGCACCCAGTGCACAATAACATCGTTATCACCGGAGCCGGTGACGATACGGCCTACATTTTTGACTCTACACCCGCCCAGCGCCCCGTTCTTCCGGCGAGCTACGAATCAAACCCCCAGCCCCGCGAGCGCGAGTCCTTGAAGCCCCTTGGCAAACTCGATGGACACAGCGATACAGTCAACGCAGTGGGCTTCACCGAGCCTGCAGGAGATTACGCAGTGACAGCTGGTCTGGACGGCAAGCTTCGCGCCTGGCGCGATTCCACACCCGATAAGACGGGTTACACTTGGGATTTTGTCGCAGAGGCACAGGAGGTGGAGGAGATTAACTGGATTGCCGTTTGCCCTTACCAACAGGGAAGCGAGGAGAAGCGCAACGTTGTTGCTCTGGGTGCCAATGATGGTAGTGCGTGGGTTTTCCGTATCGATCACACCGACTCCCAGCCTATCTCTATCATTCAGACATTCTTCCAGCACACCGAGTCCTGCACTGCGGGTGCCTGGACACCCGATGGAAACCTTCTGGCGACTGTTTCCGAGGACGGAAGCTTCTATGTCTATGATGTATTTGGAGCTGCGGCGGCGGCGGGTATCGCCGGGTCCCAGGGTACCAGTACTGTTGTTGCTTTGACTGCAGAGGATCAGCGCTTCGCGGTCGAGGGTGGCTTATACAGCATTGCCATTTCCCCCGGTGGTGGCATTGCAGCGGTTGGCGGTGCTGAGGGACACATTCGAGTTGTCGGTCTTCCCCGGCTTGCGGGCGCCGGTCCCGCTGCAAAGGGCAAGGGCCCAGGAGCCCAGGCAGCTACTGCTTCTGCCGCTGGTACCATTGTCGCTGCCTTGCAAGCCCAGTCGGATGGTGTTGAGACCCTGTCCTTCTCCCAGCCCCCGCTGACACTTCTGGCTGCGGGCTCAGTCGATGGAAGCATTGCGCTCTTCGATGCCGCTCACCGGTTTGCGGTCCGTCGCCACATCCGGGAGGCTCACGAAGGCAGTGCTGTGGTCAAGGTGGAATTCTTGCAAACCCGTGCTCCTGTTGCCCGGGGGCCCGGAAACGCTCCCGCTCAGGGACGCTCATGGCTGCTTACCTCTGTTGGCCTAGATGGTGTTGTTCGCCGCTGGGATGCACGTGGTGGTACCGCCGCGGCGGCCCAGGGTCAATTGCAAGAGTGGAAGGGACACATGGCTGCGGTTGAGAACGAGGCCGGTGAACAAGCCGGTGGTATCATGGGCTTTGTTCAAGGATTTGATGGCAAGCGCATTGTCACTGCTGGTGATGACGGCATCTCGCTGGTCTTCGAGGAGCAATAAGATCAAAGGTGCCAGTGTTAGAGTTGGATCACCCACGGTCGATTGATTTATGATATCATGTTACGCATATAGAGCAGGGAGACCATGAATTCCCATCCCCAAAAATATATTACCATGCTTGTTCCAACGATTGACTTGAAAATCCTCTGATCACATGTAAGTGGAAATAGAGATATGGTGTGAACCAATAAAAAGACACCTTTAGTAATTGAACATAAACTATATACATCTGACAATTCAACCTAAAGCGCCGTCTGCAAGCCAATTCTTCAGGGAAAAGCTTGCATCTCCAATCAAAAACAAGAATCGCTTCTTAGAGTGTTCAGACCACAGTGACCGTGTTGAATCTCCCGATTTTATGTCTTGCGCTGAACTGAGACGAGGCAGGTGCCTCTCACCTGCCGGGGTATCCGTCCTGCTCCGCTTGAATGCTCTTGGGCGAGTGAAAAATCATTCAATTCTTGAAGTTCGCCCTCTAGTGGTGGCCCTCGCCGTGGTGTGCGTCACCGTGGTGGTCATCCTTCAGGAAGAAGTGCTCGTACGCGCAGTAGGCAGTGAAGGCAACGGTCGCAATGCCGAGACCGGGGAAAAGTCCCTTGAAACGGTTCCAGCGGGAGAAGGGACCGGTGTAGCGCCAAGTCTCACTGGGTAATATCAGTAAATGGAGTGCATTGTCTCTCTCTCATTTGAAGGAGCCAGGGTGATCGAACGTACTTGCGCGCCCAGGGATCCCGCTTGGCGAAGACAGAGGAGGGGGAGGCCGCAGCCTTGAACTGCTTGATGTCGAAGCCGGTGGGGTTTCGGGCAGACATTGTGATTGAGGGGAGGGCTGGAGTGAATAAAGAGGGATTCAATGAGGTTCAAGTCCAGAGACGAACCGGAGCGGTGCGCTTGGCAGAACGACACTCGCACTAGTCCCAATACGGTAAGGCTGTAGCTCCTCCCGCCTTCGACGAAACTGTGATAACCCTCTCCACCACACATCGTTACAAAGAAGCTCACAACCATGCCCCCTCCTGTCGGCAGATACGGGCCTTCGGGTCTCGGTGCTCCTTATGCTATCCAACAAGCTCATCTTCAATCTCAACATCCCCACGCTCAATCAGCCAACTCGGCTCTCCCGCCCCCTTCACTTGGTGGCCACCCTGGTTTCGCCGGTAACCCGAACACGAACATCAATCCCTTCACATTATCTAGCGCAGGCGTTACGAACGGCATGTCAGTCGCTGGCTTCGGGGGCGCTGATAGTGGTGGGACCGGGCTCGCTAGCCACGCGGCGCAGATGGGGTTCGCGCGGGGAGCGCAGATGCAACAGCAACAACTACACCAAGGCCATGATGGACGGTTAGCACTGGAAGCGAAGGCGGGTGCAGTGAAATCAAGAATACGAGATGTGTGGAAGCACAACCTGGCCCACGAAATGGCGGTTTTAAGATCATTGGTGGATAAGTACCCATACATCAGCATGGTGAGTACTGTCCTGCAAAATACACTGCTGAGGTCTTCAGATTGCGAGAAGATATCCACAGTACTATAATCTTCAGAATGCTTATTGGTTTTTAGGACACCGAGTTCCCCGGCATCGTTGCTCGACCGATCGGCTCATTCACCACCAAAGCGGATTACCACTACCAGACCCTTCGATGCAATGTCGACTTGTTGAAAATGATCCAGTTGGGAATTACGCTGTTCAATGAGGATGGAGAAGTCGCCCCAGCTACATCTACCGATGCCAACGGTCAACCATTCGGCAACTCAATGGTCCCAGCCCCATGCACATGGCAGTTCAACTTCCGCTTCTCGCTGGAGGGAGATATGTACGCTCAAGACTCTACGACTATGCTGGCCAAATCTGGAATTGACTTCAATCAACACGAGAAAAACGGTATTGATCCGTTTGAGTTCGGGTCATTGTTAATCAGCTCAGGTTTGGTGCTCCTGGATGATGTCCACTGGGTCTCCTTTCACTCAGGATACGATTTCGGCTACCTGATGAAGATCATGCTCTGTTCCCCCTTGCCGGAACGTGAGGAGGAATTCCACGATCTTCTAAATATTTTCTTCCCTTCTCTATACGACATCAAGTACCTTATGAAACACGCCGGTCGCAACCAAGCCGTCAATGATTCGCCCCTTACACCCGCCGCCATGCAAATTCTCAACAATCTGGGCCAGAAATCTGGGCTACAGGATATTGCAGACGAACTTGGTGTCAAGCGTGTCGGAATTGCTCACCAAGCCGGTTCCGATTCCTTGGTGACAGGCGAGATCTACTGGAAGATGCGCCAGATGGTTTTTAACGGAACAATCGACGATAGCAAATACTCTGGCCAGATTTGGGGTCTCAACGGACATATGCCCGCTATGACTTACAACATGGCCCAACAAACGCCCAACCTTAATGGCGCAACCATTTACTCTGGAGCCGGCACACCAAGCACCCCCAATACTGGACACCTCTCAATGGGTGCTCACACCCCTCAACACCCTGGATCCGGTTATCACACTCCTAGCGGGATGACAGGGAAGGCATGAGGCGGAGCATGTGGACGAGGTTTCCAATGATACGAAATGAATGCATGTACATAAGCACGGGGCTCTTGTGCTGGTCAATGTTTCTCAATCTTCAGCATTGTCCTTCTTGCCTGTCGCGTTGCATAGGTTCCATTGCCGCGGTTTCTGTCTATGGGGGTGTTTCGGAAGAGGGTGTCCGGTGTTGGTAGTTTTTTGATTCGGCTGGTATCTCAATATACTTGAGAGGCGTTCGGGCTCTCGTGGTCCTTTTGCCATGTTTCGTTCATTTTTTCTTTCAGTCTTTTGGTCGTGGTCGATTTCTTTCTAGATGGACTGGGCAAGGAGTTGTGATGTACAGTGGGATCTTTCTGATTTACATGAGTTGTTACTAGGAAGTATCTTGAACATATGTACCTTTATTTTCAAAGCCATAGTTCCTTGTCAAGTAGATCTCCCGTCAGGGGTAGAACATCTAAGTGCAAGAGCACATGGAAACATCGTCCGCCAACAGAGCATTCTCACAGTAACTCAGCAGGAGTGCCCATCTCGCCGAGGCATCCCAGCCAGTGTAATCCACGCCTCCACCAGTCCTCAAGAGACATCCTGTATAGCATTCCTCTAATGACCATTCTCTGTAGAATGAAGAAGCCAAGAATACGCAACATATTAATGATCTTGCCTGGCGCACTCATTCGCCGAAATATTCTGACTTGTATCTTATGTTCGCTCCGACGACCTTCAACGCATCGAGACTGCGCATGATCAGGACAAGATTGAGGTTCTCTGGCAAGGTATGTGCGAAATCCTTCACAGTGCTCTTCTAATGCCAAAAAAGGCGCAGTCACAGGAATTATCCTGCCGTCCAGGTACTTCGTCATTGCGGAGCGATCGTTCATCGAATGGAGGATAGGTAAACGGTCTCACACTGTTATCATCAAGCTTTGCATTATCAGCATATGAGGTTTCTGTGAATTTTTAGCTTCACCAAAGGCTTAGTCGTGTAAGTGCCACTAAATGGCCTATGCTTGACGCTGTTGACGCTGAGTACGTCAAGATCACATCGCTCACCCGTGAGGGAACAAGTCGGCAAACTGATTTTGCTCCTGTCTCCCCATATCGCAAAACCCCGAGGATTATATCGTAGATCAGTGTCCGTCTGTTGTGTTTGTTTTTGTCTCCGTCTTAGACATGTGGATGGAGCAAGGTCCTGTGTGGGGCACAGAGTCCCTGGACCCCACTTGAAGTGGGGTTAATAGTATAAGATAGAATAACGAATTTTCCATTTTCAAAGCTGTCAAAATGGTCGAAATGGTCGAAGAATGAAGATGCACCACGAATATGAAGCTTCTTATTCTTATCCAATACGCTGAGATACCTAACTGGGGTTGGCAGGCCGGGGAATACCTTCCAGCCCGCCTAGCCCATGGACTTTGACAGATAATCGACTAAGAAAAACTACTATACGTAACGCATTCGGACAAATGAATACATTGATTAAACGTCAATATTCAGGCAATACAATCTTGGATTCTTAGTCAGTAAAGCATTGGCCATTTCGGTTTTTGAGGAAGTTCGTATTCAGGCCCACTTACCTACCAGACAGCGTAAATCAAAGACCATGCCTTCAAGGAATTGAAAACCAAGTTCCTTAATTGTAAGGCGGTTGTTCTTTGGACTGATACCTCAAATTATTGTGATTGGCCAAAGAACAACCGCCTTACAATTAAGGAACTTGGTTTAAGTGGTGATCCTGAGGACGTGATCTTGCGACTCATTCACTTCACCCCAGTGATCCCACTCACTACTATAAATACTTCTTGTCACACCTCCCAATCTCTCTTTCTTTATTCGTTCATCAATTCTTCAACTTCAAATTTCCATCTCTTTGACTTTTATCTTCCATCCTCAAGTCCTATCTGGTGTCTTCCATCATCTCAAGATTCAACTTCAAACCTCAAACCTCAAACAACAAACAACAAACAACAAGTTTCAACTTGGGAACTTCCATCCATGTTTTCATCAAAACAAAAACCCTTTACCTCAATCCATCATGTCAATCCCCCTTAATGCAGTGATCATTCAATATGGTCAATAACTCGGCCTGACGAGTTCCAAGGTTTGTTACAATACTTGTGCCCTCTGACTCCCCACTAACCATTCAGACTTTGCTAGTCTTTCTTCCGGATGACCTCCCACAATCTGCTTCCATACCAATTGAGTCTGCTGAAAAGCCAGTCTTTCCTCTTGAAGTTTTTGCCCTACATCTGCGAATACAATTTTCGAACTCGTCACCGCCAACAACCTTAGCTTATGCTCCTCAATGAACAGGCGTCACTTTTGTGTCACAACGGACTCATTGAGGACTGAGTCACGAAAATACTTGTTTCTCGATTCATGTGGTGTGGAGGGACAACCCACTGGGCAAATTCGCGGTGAAGAAGCACCTGTTGTGGCAAGGAGGACACAGGCTCAGCTACGGTTCAACAACGGCTTGCGGTGAAGAAATATCGGCCAACACAAGGGGATGCGCCGCTTTTAGCGTTCAATGGGGTATCTGGGATGGTGAAACAAAAAGACAACAACAAGCTTTTTGCTATGTCTGATACGTGGATGTTTATCAAGACTGTTCTTACCTTTGCTTGCATTGGAAATGTTGATGCTGGGAAATGCTCTGAGACTTACAAACTTACTTGATGTGCTACATAAAGTCACAAAATTAGCCTATCAATGCTCATAACAATCACTTTCTTACAATCATTACGATCAGTTGTTTCAACTAGATTCCATGCAACAAGTATACTCTTGATGTGATACGTTCAATTGAGTTGGCTCCCTTCATTTGTGTTCCCTGTTGACAAGGAACATCGGAGTCTTGCTGCTGGTTGCATCCATAGTAATGTTCCACTGAATGGATTATCTTAACCGGGATTTGAACGGCATCGGACGGGACTACTACCTGAAAACGATCTTTCTTGAGCGAAATTGGGTACTCATTTCTGCTTGACTGCCCTGATCCCAGCGTATGCAACACAGCAACCGGCCAGAAAAGCCCAAATCCAAGCGATCCACCTGGAAGCGTGCCAGTTTCCAAGTTGACCTCTATCTTCCAGGTCTTATGAGTACGAATTTCACCTCCATCAAAACATCAACAGAGACTATGGACTTCCCTTATGGCTCAGATTCCTCCAAAGGCAACCTTCAGATTGAAATCAACAGTCCACCTGGCTCATAAGTCTATCCGCACACATCCATGGCTACTTTAATTTCCTGCTGTTTGGAAACGACTCGAACGACATCTGCAATGAGTATTCTCTACTCTATCTTTCCCATTCCGGAGGCGGCGTCGCACCAGGAGGCGGGCAGAACCAGATCGTCTCATCGGGCGATAATGAAATGCAGGCAAGGGTACTCACGATGCCAAAATGGCATGGCGTCTTGCCCAACACCACCACTTCCCAAATCCTGAGACAGCACAACGAACCCGATCCACTCATCAATACCTCTGTTCGGTGGACCCGCTACAGACTCCGAAAACGACGCATTACCTCTCATTGCTATGCCAATGCTTAATATAAGCAAATATCCGGAGCAGTACCTTTCTTCGTTTTCTGTCAAATCAAAAATGAACTTCTCTGGGATCTTGATTTAGCATGATATATACGTCTGGCACCCACCAGGCTTATGTAGATCGCATGTCCATCCACACGTGGTACTCAACAGATTGGGAAATGATCGCCATCGCCACATCTGAGCACGTTAAACCCCTGGTGCCAGATCGCGCGCTCCTGAATCCTTGGTTTCGAAACCCGATTTCCTATGGTCCAAATAAGAGAGGTTAATCCAGCCACGCTCACAGGTCTCCACCACATGTGCATCAGAGCACAGTAGCCTGGTCGCTTCTTTCTGCAAAAAAAAACCGAAGGGATGTAAGGGGCCGTGAAATTACTGAGCTCAGATATAGAGAGAGAAAATTTGTCAAGGGCAAGGAATGCTGAGTACGGGATCTAGACTTGTCTCCTGATGTCGCCATTTCCTCATCTTAACATCGAGTACGCATACCGATGGGACAGCGAAGCTCTAACTAGGGCTTTTTTAGCAAATCCCTGCTATTGTACAGTATGTGTTACACAGACAATTTCAGTGTGTCAAGAAGGAAGGGGGGCTAGCGGATATGGATCGGCTATTGGACTCGTCAACGACGGCTGAACTACAGCATTCATCCCGGGAGCGTCATGCACATGACGTTTGTGCGCATCCTACAAAGGCAAAATGCAAGTATGCTCAGCTTGTTTTGCCGCTTTGTCTCAATGATTCGGCAAAAATGGCTGCCTTTCATGCATACCTTATGGTCTGAGCTTGAGGAAGAGGGGATATAGCCAAAGGGTTCGCTCACTGACATCCAATATTCTTTTCAAGCTCTACCTAAATCATCTACAGGTATCAAATAGCCAGTCATGTCGAGGGAGTCCCCCAAAATGTACTTCGAATCTCCAGTTTCAATTGACAAAAAGGACCCGGACGTTGGCGAAAGGTCAATTTCTTCATTTTCAGACTTGGAGACGCAAAGAGCGATCCAAGGAAGCGACAAATTCCACCGTCTTGGTTGGAAACGTCTTACGATTGTCCTAATTGTCGAAGCTATTGCTTTGGGAAGCCTCAGTCTTCCCGCAGCATTTGCGACACTTGGCATGGTCGGAGGCGTGATCGCGACTGTGGGAATTGGCTTAATCGCGACCTACGCCAGTTACATTGTTGGTGCGGTCAAAATCAAACATCCCGAAGTTGAGCACTATGGCGATATTGCAAGACTGATTCTGGGAGAATGGGGCTTCTGGATCATCACTTTTGTCTTTTTCCTCAATATACTACTTAACGTGGGCTCGCATTGTTTAACGGGTATAATCGCCCTTGTTGATATCACTCAAAGCAATGTTTGTACGATCATATTCGGCTTGGTCTCCGCTTTGGTTCTTCTCTGTTTATCTATTCCACCAACATTTGCCGACCTCGCCATCCTGGGTTATATTGACTTTGCGTCGATGATGATCGCCGTCGGCATTACCATAATTGCCGCGGGTGTTCAGCGCTCTCAGACTCCGGGTGGCATATCAAGTTCAGATTGGTCGGCATGGCCAAAACAAGATACCAACTTTGCATCTGGCATGTAAGCTACTGTTCGATCTCCGTTGATTCGCAGCATCAGGTCTAACTAAAAAAGGGTGGCTATTAATAACATCGTCTTCGCGTTTTCATTTGCGCCCGCTTTGCCATCATTCATGAACGAGATGAGAACACCGAAAGATTATACCAAATCTGTGTGCACTTTGGGAGGCATTGAAATCGTCCTCTACACGCTTATTGGATCGCTCGTGTACCTTTTCGTGGGACAAGATGTACAATCTCCCGCTTTACTATCTGCAGGGCCACTTGTATCGCGGATCGCCTTCGGCATTGCTCTTCCAGTCATTTTTATCTCCGGCTCTATCAACGTCAGCATCCTTGCTCGTTATCTCCATACGATCGCCTTTAGGGACTCGGTCATACGTTATGTGAACACGAAAATGGGCTGGATCACCTGGATTGCGCTTGTGTCAGTTCTAACTCTGATTTCGTGGGTGGTTGCTGAAGCGATTCCGGTGTTTTCCAACATCCTGTCTATCAATGCTGCTCTATTCTCGTCAGGACTGTGCTTTTACCTGCCTCCTGTTATGTGGCTTGTTCTTCTGAAAGAAGGGAGTTGGTCCTCGAAGTATAATCTTCGAACTGGGTTTTATAATGGAGCCGTCTTCCTGTTTGGAATGGGTGTTCTCGTCTGTGGCATGTACGCCAGCGTCGTCAATTTGGCAAGCACCAGAATGCATGATGTGTCTTTTGCTCAGTTTCATTAACTACTTTGTGTAGATTAAAGCGAGCGAGGATGGGGTTGGTAGGCCCTTTTCATGCTCATCTACTTAGCTACTATTGGATCACTACAGAAGATTGGAGATTCATGCGGGATGATAAAAAAAGAAGCCTCGGAATTGACACGGACCTTGCAACACCACAAAATCAAGGCTTTACAATTCGCCTGCGGCCATGCCAAGCTTGCAGCTGAGCCATTCAGTCTTTGATAAGGTACTCCTAGCGATATGTCCAAGAAGAATCACAAAATGTCACTAGATTGTTATGGGAATTCCACATAACCAAAAGCTCCACTACCACGCGAACATGGAGCACCGCCACGGGCTTTCGCAAGCTGCGAGATCATATGCATGGGCGCTGTAGATCAGAATCTCATTTATAGATCTGCATAACACGCTCGCCGCAAGACAACATCGCTTTCAAAAATTTTCACCCAAAGAAGCCGAGAACGAACGCACGTGAGTCTGATACCTTTGTTGTTGTTTTCTCACCCACTGCATGGTTGCCACTCGGCTTCCCACCACCCACATGGAATTATAAATCCTCCGACAATGCTCATGTTGATTGATGAAAATGATTGTTGAAAATGATCGACTGGTGTTGGTGTTTCAACTACCTTGCTGTAGCAAAGGGGTGTGGGGTACACTCCGACCGCTGAGATTAAGGGTTGGAATCGACCGCGGGAGATATGATCCGATCAAATACAGGAGTCTGTTGGGACTGCGTCAGATTGCACATGGAATATGATTCTTTTCCGGGATTTACCATGTTTAAACCTGATCTTCCCTGCAGCAAAGTTAATTCTCGGCGCCACCGAATTCTCACACATAATATAAATCCTTATTATGGCTAAAGAGTATTTGGCTCCTTCGTCATTTTATGCGTCAGGCACCAGGGCGAATAGAAGCAGATGGCCAACCCCCCAAGAATCATATGAGAAATGGCAGGAATTCCATGGAGACAAATTTGGCAAGTATGGAGAGGAAGGGTGCATGGGACTTTGAATTCTTATCTATTGGTCATTGGAAAAAATCTTAACATCAATATTCTTGGTAAGGTTCTGACCATGAGCAGATTGGAACTCCGCAGGTGCTACTTAGCCTCAAGAGAGACTCAAAAGTCACTCTGGCTGATGCCTGGCAATTCGTGAAGCGCTTCAAGTTTTATTCAAAAGTATTGTGTTTTCAGTCACAGGGTATGGTGGTGTGGTGGAACTTTTTCAGTGCTTTATTTTGCTGGAAGAAGGCAGAAATGAAGGCCACACCAAAGGAGCGATGAGCAAGGAAGTCTGTTAGATATAAAGAGCACCAGAATATGAAAAAGAAAATGCAAAACATAATCTCTATATTGGTAGATGGTCTTTACCTCGTACTAGGATGTATAAGAATCCTGGGGATTGACACGGATCTTGCACCACCAAAAAATCAAGGCTATATAACTTCTATAATATTAAATGGGGGTTAAGAAACCTACACATGCGACCAATGGAAACTAAGCACGACTTCAGCCATACCAAGCTAGTGGATCACTCCCCGTCAGCACTATGTATCAGCTAATGCGAGCTAACTTCTTCACTTGGACCCCTTTTTCGAGGCTGAGCCGCTCCACCCCACCAAAGTTTCCCACGGTCCGAGTGGTCCTTCCGCGCTTCGATTTTCTTATAAACAGACCGGCGCTGTCATGATTGCACTCATAATATTCTTGGGGCTCGTAATCCCCTCATTTGCTCAATCAAACTCGACGGCTCTGGAAGGCTGGCAGTTCGACGATGATTCACGCTCAAGCTGGGACATTTTGTGGACCTGTCTTTCAACAATACTCGCCTGCACATGGACAGCGCTACACATTTCGGCTCCAAGAAGAGACGAGTCTGACAATGCGTACACCTTTTTGAAAATTGTGGGATGGATATTCGCAATTCTCGCCCCAGAACTAATGGCCGGGGTTGCGGCCGAGGAGCTATGTAGGGCCCGGGCTGTGGTTGCGCGCTGCAATGATGCGCTCTGCAAGCTGTCCAATGAGTCAACACGTTTGGTCTCTCCGCCTCTGGATACTCCTAAAATAGCGGAACAGGGCTGTGATGGAGAAGCGACCTCACCTGAGAAAGCTGCGTCAACTCAGGAAACGGAGGCTTCAATACGAGATAAAGCACAAGCGATCCCTCGATGGTCTACTGTTCAAGGCTTTTGTTTGACTATGAATGGAGTCCTTCTGCAGACTAAAGACGGTTGGACTTACCCAGTTCAGCCGAACAATGTTGTTCAACTCATCGAAGCCGGCATTGTGAAGCACTTTCACTTGAGATCCCGCGACATCAAAGATCGCGCCAAGGCCGACTCCCTTGCAAAAGCCTTTACCTTACTACAGAGTCTTTGGGTCACATGCAATATAATTGCAAGACGCGCATATGACTTGCCAATCTCCCCACTGGAATTTTCAACGGTGGCATACGTTGCTTGTGCTGCCGTTACTTATATAACATGGTGGCACAAACCGAAAGATATGGTAACGCCTATACTTGTATTTCTACCATACGTCAAAGATGGCACCGACATGCCACTTCAGATGAGGAAGACATTGGACGAGGGACACGGGTCTTGGGTTCGATTACCGGATGCTGTGGATGGAGATTTTCTCAGTTGGTTGAAAGCAGCGGCGCATCTGCTGAGAATGCCATTTACGGTCAAAGGACGAAAACTTCTCATCGAAGGAATTACAAAAGGCTATGCGGACGTAAAGGAAGAACTGTCAAACGACGATCCGTCCCCAGTCAATGACCGTCCTCAAGATGAGGAAATCGCTCAGCCATCGAAGCTGGAGGAATCCCAGAGATCCACTAGCAAGATCAGAGATCCACCTGAGCTACTGAGTATTGGGAGCTATATTAATCTTGCCAATCTCTATATGTTCGTGGCCTTGTTATTCTGTGGAATCCATGTCGCTGCGTAAGTCTCACTGTCGCTAGTTCTACTGTTGCTTTTCTAACCATTTGACTAGCTGGGACTCGGATTTTCCGACAAAAGCCGAACAAATTTGTTGGCGAGTGTTTTCGCTCTCTGCCTTTTGTGTGGTCTGGCCAATCTATCTGGTCCATATTTGGAGATTTTGGCGTCTCTACCGAGCAGCAGGCGACAAGAGGGCGCTTATAGGAGCTTTGGATATTTCTCCGGGTCGAATCTTGATCATTTGGGCTATCTGGTTCTGGGTCTATTCCATTGCACGATGGGGAAATCTCATTCTCATGTTCACTTCCCTCCGAGCATTGCCTGCTAAGTCTTATTTCACGATAGATTGGATGGCAACAATCCCCCATATCTAGATTGTGTCATCACGAGGCAATTGATTTTCTAGCTACCTAATATATGCAACCAGAAAGGCTTAACGCGATTATCACGATATATGCCCCGCTATACCTGCTTATAAACTGGCTAGTATCAATCGTGCATACAAAGGATTTTAAGATAAGCTAGGGCGTTAAGATGGTTGAAATTTTCGTTGAGGAGAAGGGCTTATATTCTCTTCGCGTGGTGACTATCAGAAGATTCCAATGCTAGTCAATAGAAGTCGTAAGGGATAAATAAGATAACAGTGCAAGATGATGATAAAACGAAATCTGTTTTCAAAAAGATACTGGTTGAAAGGGCCTTTGAAGGTACTAACTAATTAGTATGATGTGGATGAAAACAAAAAAAGAAAAAAGAAACTCCGATAGGGGGAATCGAACCCCCGGCTGTCGTGTGAGAGACGACGATGTTAGCCACTACACCATATCGGAGGGGGACTGCGAATTTCTCCTTTATGTTTACTCTTATCGCTTTTGGTTTAGCGCCACCGGTCTCTGTGCGTGTGTTGTTGCATGTGTATCTCAGTTGTATTATTGTGGAGTTCTGTGGGTCACGACCCAATACTATAGATACAGGTCTAACCCTAATGCATGAGTAGTGCGTATCAGGGTGACAGGACAATACCATAAATACAGGTGCTCCAACAGCGTGCCTGTGCGTGGTTGTATATAGCCCCCAGTTCCCCCTCCTACCTGGTATCCCGATTTCTCTTTTCTCGCCGCTTTCCCCTTTGCGCGTCGCAGTTGAGGCATTTTTGCTATTGATCCGGATCACCGAGCTCCTGAGCTCCCCTAATACTTTCCTCTGTGTGCGACTCGTCGACTCTGCGATTTTGTGCTAGCAATCTGCACTACCCTCTCTTGTCCGGTCCTGTTCTATTCCTTAGCTCCGGCTATGGTACTTGGGATGAGACAGCCCTTCTCCCTAGTCTGCGATACTGACCTGCTAGTTGATCTCTGCGAATGTAGCGCATTCGCTCTATAATTCATTCGGATAATCGTCCCTGTGTAACGAGGCTGTAAATCTGCCCTAGGGCCGATACACTGCGTCAGAGCCTTGTCGACCTTGGCTGGCGGTGCTTACCCTTGTTCGAAACTGAAGATTATCGGTATCGGATTACTAAGCTCAATTGACTGATTAGACTGGCTATGCCGTGATTCGTGTTAGCTGGTACTAGCTAAGCTAGCGCAGCTTCCGCAATCAAAACAACAAATCCCAAATTCGCACCATGCCGCCAAGATGATTCTTGACGACTGCGAGTCTAGACTCGATGTGTTTGCAGGCAAGTTTCCCCAGTCCAGGCCAAAAGACGTGCAAGTATAGATACGATGAAAGGTATCGGCATCATCAACGGGATCGAGAAAGAGAAGGAGTAGAAGAGTGACTCTTGGCACGAGGAGAATTGGTCGAAGTTGTGGTACATAGACCAATTCGCAGGGTTAGGTCCTGATACAGCACATCGGGTTGGACAAGCACTAGATCTGCCTTGGTATCCGGGACTCGCAGGGAGTCGCTGGCTAATGGGCAAATTGATGGCAGAAGATGGAACAGAGAAGGACAAAATTGCAAGAGTGATATGAAGGAGAGTAAGAAAAGCATTGCGAGGCTTAAGCCAGGCAATAGAATTGGCGCACAACCTGTGTTACAGTGGGGGGTTTCCACTCCACACGTTCAAGTTGTGATTAAAGAGAGGAAGGAAACATATGATGAGCTTGTCCAATCTGTAAAAAGTGGTGATGTGAGTATGGACTTTATACCTTTGAAGGATCGAAATTGTAATGAGTGGCTTCGTGAGGACCGCCATCGGAGGTGTGCTTTCGCCCCCAAAAGCGACTTTAGATGAATCATTAGCAATTGGATATGCCGTCGTGGAGACCACGACGACTATGGGGAATAACTTCAATATCCGAGTTGCAACTTGAATTTTGGAAGGATCGTGGCGTTGAACCTTGGAAGTGTACCTGAGTCGTACCGGTACTAGCGTAGATTATATTATAGCCTCCTGTACCTACCGTACGGTTTTCTCCACTCTTTGTCTTTTCCACGTTAAGTCTCCGTTTTTGTTCGTTTCTTCTTCTTCTTCAATGTCTGAATCCTGAGCCTCGTTCCCCCATTTGTCTTTCTCTTTTCACATTCCAGCTTTCTCGGCACTATGCACTCGCAATTTAAACTTCTCCAAGCCGCGCTGATAGCCGGCTGGATGACCGTTGCCACTGCTAGTTCTGGCGTCTTTGAAGTGGACTTGATATTCCCACGCAATGAAACGTACACTCCCTCACCGCTGATGCCTATGGTATTTGCGCTTCAGAATCCGAGTATGGCTGTTCCGATGGAGGCTTTAATCGAATGGCAACTTTTGGAGGGAGGCAACATTAGTGCCCCAGGCTCCATTCTAAGCGGGGCCCTTGAACTGGACCTGATGAGCTCGTTGAACGTCTCGACTGACTTGGATAAGGCTACGCTGGACCTCCCTGGCTACCCTCTTCTGGTCACCCGTTACCTCGACACCTTTTCCTACCCCGACGGCTCTTGGAATTTTGAATGGACTCTGCAAGTCTCCAATTGCACTTATGGGAACTACGCGCCAAATGTCTTGCAGATGACGAACAACGTCACCTTCACCACCAGCAAATTAGGGAAAGCGCCCGATCTTGTGGCGGCAACATCTGCTAGGACGTGCGACACCGCGGAAGGCTATGCGTTCAACGCGACTAGTATTGAAGCAACTTGCGGCGTACTTGGGCCTACCCCAACCACCAACCTGTGCGCTATCACTATCGATTCGGCAGCTGAATCCAGTTTAATGGCATTGGCCACCGCCCAGGCCTGCTCGATTCTACAGCGCCCGATAAACCCCAATGTTACCTGTCCGTCTTCAACGCCCTTAAGCAATACTGCGGGTCAATCTCGCATTACAGCGGTACCAGTATTGCTTATGGTGCTCGCTATGCTGACCATAATGGCTTATTTTGGATGAGAGAGATATACGCACTACAAACCTGATCTGGCAAAGGACCGCTGGCCTTTCCACCTATGTAATAGTTCATGTAGTCTATCTATAGTCTTAATATTAGAGTTAAGTACTTTCCCTCCTTTAATGAACGCCTTTGCTGTATTTTGTAACATTGTAACCGCCTCCTGATTAATGTTGTTCTATATAAGTATGTAAGACTCAACAATAAATATTTTGGATCATAAAATGCTACTAGTAGTAGTATGTAGCCCTAGAGGTAGACCGTAGCAGGACATTGGAAATCCATACCTGTGTACCTAGGAATTATGCCTAGGTGATACTAGGTACTGTAGTACGAAATACATGCTCTGTATAGTAATATATAACTTTGAAAAATGTAGTACTAGTAATTTTAGGGCGTAATACCATAAATCCGAATCCGAACTTTCCAAATGGTCAAATGGTATGTCATACTTAAAACTTGTTAGTGAATTATAGACCATGTTTCACGAAGAAAACCAATCGGGATGGTACGATGTGGACTTTTTTGCTAGCATTCGAACTACTTTTTTCCCACCAATAGGCAGTCCAACATTCCCCCCACTCGCGCAGAGATGTACATATCCGCACTAGACTAGATAAGCTTCGGAATACCCGGGCTGAGCCTCTGCTGGAAACATGTTCTCAGGGTCCTAGGGTCTCAGGGTCTGGGGGATTCAGGGACTCAGGGACTCAGGGATTCATTCAGGGACTTCATTTAGCATCCTCAACACACTAAGCATGCACTTACAATGCACTAACAATGGTAGCGCCGCAACGCTGTAAAAACAACGTTGTGAATATTAAGCGAGCTCAACCAATTGTTATGACAAATAATTGATTCCCTTCCTAGGGTACGAAATTTGCCCTTCTCCCCCCCACTCCCCCCCTCCCTCTCGTCAGTCCAGTGGAGGCATTATTGGCAAAACGGCTAGGGATCACGCTAACCTTGGAAGCTTAGTATGTATTTAAAGCAACCAATGAGGAGAATTAACTCCTTGCAGAGTCATCACATGTGCCTATGCTTTTTGTTCTTCTCTGGGTCTCTGAATTGACGGTGTATCCGTGTATCCGTGTATCCGAGTACGAAGCCTGGTCCATAATCACATAATAATGTTGTTGATGCGGAGGCGGCCCGCTTACACGGTTACAGTACACTATCTCCGAATTGCCAAGCTGTTCACATCTGAACCTCCACGGCTACAAAGCTTCGCAACGGATTCTCCACTCTAAAAAGGCTTCGCAAAAGCTTCGGACGCTTACCTGAACCAGAAGAAAGTAATCTCCGAAATCGCACTCACCACGCTAGCCCTATGCCAATAGTGCTCTAAGATTCTGACAGTGTGTATATCTGTGAATTCTTTCAAAGTCCCGCAGTATATTCCTTTTGGAGACGCCAATTAGCGCAGTATTAGCGTGACATGGAAAATTGGAACCTAACACCTGGGCACTATGCTGCCTCATGAAATGGCTGTCGAGTTTGCACGCTAGATATCCAGGGCATTTTTCACCAACCGTCGCCTATGAGTCGGACTGTCTCAGTATTAAATCGCTCTATATTGCCCGTCTGTTGTGAAGCGAGCATAAATCTTGGAACAATCGCAATGGCACCGACTTCAATCAAGACTAGTCTCCTCCTCATCGCTCAGCTGAAGCTGGCCTTGGATTTGGCCTTGGCCCCCCGTGCGGTTACTTGTAACTATGAAACCACTGCGAGCTCCGGGGATACCTGCACATCCTTCGCCGCTGATTAGGGTTTGACCTTAGCGACCTTTGAGTCCCTCAACTCAACTGCTGCCTGCCCGATTTTCGTGGTTGGTCAGAGCTATTGCGTGGTTAGCACGGTTACAGCCGCGACCACGACTACGAGCTCTACGAGCTCTACGTCTTCCACCACCTCTACGACCTCCACTTCGTCGTCCTCCACCTCCACCAAGTTCCTCGCCTGGAACCCCTCCATCAACTCCAGGTAGTCCTATTCTTCCAATTACCTATGCTCATCAGCACCAAGCGAGAGAGAAAATAAGACGACAGAACCCGTCGACTTTTCGCGGGCTGTATCGAGCTTCTAGGACCCCAATGCTAAGGAAGCTATAATTACCAAGCTTCAGGTGAAAAAAGTCGCCTTCATCAATTATTTAGTTATACACCAGATTATGCCTAAGACAGAGCTTTAGAGAATTAAAAAATCCTATAGATAAAAAGCTCTGGAGGCAGATAATTAATTATCGAGCTCTAGTACCCTACTTATCTACCCAAAATATCAGGCTGCGGTTAAATCGAGAACTCAGGATATAAAGCACCGGATGGCACACCACTAGGGTAGTTAATAGAAGGAGTGAGGGGTAGGAGGCTTACCCTAAGATACGTATAACCTACCACAAACGTAATACAGCTCCTCCTGTACAGCATCTAGGCGCTTACCGAAACCACGCGTGTCTATAATCTATTTAAAGAATGTGATAGTACTGCATTAGTTCGTTTTTTGCGAATCTGGAAGTAAGGCGAGAACTTTCATTCTTAGATAATCTTGTCTTGATGATATAAGTTTTTTTGAATCCCGCTCTCGTTGATATAAATGACTTTCTTAAGAAACAGAACGCAGTACATAGTAACCGGTAAGGCTAATCAACTTTACTCTGGAGAGAGATAGGAAGCAAAAACTAATTAAAACATAGTAGGGTAATAGTCCTTAAGCCATTGGTGCAGCTGGTATTGCCTTAGTTCGGTGGAGTTAAAATTTAGGGGAGTATTGATAGATGAAGGGTGGCTATTAGTTTTGCACTAACTATATGTTTCGCTTGTGGTGATTGTGTTCTTAGTGTGGTGGTTGTCGCTAGATTTCTTTTTAGGTTGAGTACAGCATAGACTGTTAGTGGTTTTTTTGTCGCTTTGGTGGCACTTCTGTGGATATATATCACCTGAATACTATGTCTTCCTGCTAGATTATGGTGAGTATTTAGATCGATTGATTGTTTGGAGAATACCAATCTGTTTCTTTGTCACTCTAGCGTGCCTGCTGCTAAGGTATTTACCATTGGATAGTGGAGTAACTGGATGAAATCTTAGAAATATTGATAGTAAGAGGATTATGCGTAATACTATAGCACCTACCCTTATGCGCGTCCAGCAGCATTGTTAAGTTATCTCGCATATATAGGGCTCTAGTATAATTTCACGGACCCATAGGGGCCGCACCAATCAGAGAACCATCGACACCTAATCGATTGTTGAACGTATTGCTCACGTGAAAGGCATGATTCCCAGAAGCCATGGCCTTTCCGCTGTCCCCTAATAATACAGAATATTCTATATCGGATTGTAGATAAAAGGTTTCTCAACTTACACTTTAATAAGTAGGGTTTAGCGTCAAGCTTCGTTACGCCTCTCTATTGATGCGTGGTGGTATATAGTCCCCTGTCCCCCTAGCCCAACATGTATCGTCTTTTTGATTCTTCTCCTCCGTGTGAGGGATCTCTGCTATTGACCCAGAGCACCGAGCTCCTGAGCTCCGCCACCCTTTTACCCTGTGTGACTCGTCATCACCTCTTCGTAACTTTCTTTTGCACCTCCTGCTTTCTTGGGCTCATCTTGTACCTGACCAGGTGCTTTCTCTGAAGTTCTGACGCTGGCCCTCGAATCTTAAGGTTTCACGTGACTACCTATCCGTCATTCGTAAGTCCCGTCTTTGACGTGTTTTGCACCTCCTGGACAGTTGCCCATGCGAAGCGTGTCTATAGACTGCAGAATATAAAGAAGGGTCCAAATGTGTAAGGAAATAGAAGGCTAGGTAAGAAGATAGTGAAAGGCAAGTGAATTAAATGTGAAATAGTACTAAGTCAGGATGGAATTATAGTCTAAGGCAATATGATTTATATTGATTACAAAACTAATTCTAAAGGAAGGTAAGAATCTGTCGGTGTCCCTGGGTCATCATGTGACCTGGGCAGCGTGTCGCTAACTATGGAGAATCATAAAATTAGGTAATCTGCTTTGTCATGCTAGCCTTAGTCAGGATCCGCACATAAGAACCGTGGTTCGAGGGCGGGTAATAATTCAGACAATTACACGATCGAGTACGGACCCTATTGGTCGATAAAATACGTCCGTTTACGTGAGCCGACAGTTATGAGCCCGGATTCCTATAGATCCTGCCAAATTGAAGCTATATCCGACCGAATTCAGGCGTATTTGACCTGTTTCGGCCGATTTTGAGCAAGTGCGGCAGCCCCTGAAAACCTCCGCGCACACGAATTCGGATATTATTGACCATGGACTCGATTGGTTCTGTCTCAACATGGAGAGGAGAGAAACTGAAGGGCCCTAGCCAATGGTCTTCATGGTATCAGGCCATGAAACGTCTAGGGCAGAGCCTAGACGTTTGGGACCTTTGTGACCCAGATCCAGGTCGCCGGACCCCTCGAACCCCAATCGAACAGCCTATCATGCCGGCTGCACCGGTCCTGGATATACCGGACGATGCAGATAAAGAGGAGATACGGTCGATTAAGGAGGATTATCGAGAGGAGAGAACCGCCTGGCGGGACGAAATGGATATCTTCAAGATCCAGCTAGCTGCGTATAAGGAACAGCAGCGTGGACTTCGGACTATTGATCAGGCCATCACAGCATCCGTGGATTCGGCATTAAACCGAGTCCTCGACCGGCTGGATACGCCCTGTGAACGGATTTCCCTCCTGAAAGAGAGATTCGGCAGGACGTATATCCATGGTGTCGAGACCCTCTGGAAATGGAGGGAGGAGTGCATAAAAGGACCCAGTAAGGGTCAGGACGTTCTCCGCTGGCTGGACGAGTGGGAGGAGCTGCGTGAAGAAGTTGTTAGTCTGGAATATGAGGACTCGACCCATCATGCACTACTACTGCTAAAAGCTGCCAAATACGTCCTACCGAGCTGGTGGGAAAGCCGATTCCAAGAGATGGTGGTCAACCGAGAATCGATAGATATACAGTCTCTGATCGATTCCCTCAGGGCCACGTACAAGGAATTCCAGCTGAACAAGAAGCCCCAGAACTCGAGCTCAAGGCCTGCTTTTGCGACCTCGACCTTTCAAGGGCATAAGGAAGCAAGGCCAAACAACCAGGGTCCACCGGCCAAGTCCGGGGGATTCGGGGACAGGAAGCAGTGCCCATGCGGGGGTGCCCACCCCGTATTGAAGTGCTGGACCTTGAATGAAGACGAGCGCCCTGCCGAGTGTCAGGTCTCTAACCGCCGCCTTGAAGCTGTCAGACGTGCGTATGAGAAAGAGCCTGAATGGAAGGTATGGGTGGACATAAAGATGAAGGAAAACAGAGCAAATTCAGCGAAGTCCGACGACCATATTGCGTATGCCACCGCCTTGGCGACCCTGGACGTACGGTATCAAGATCAATGGGTACTGGACTCGGGGGCGAGCGTACATGTCTGTAATGACCGATCCAAGTTCGTGGATTATCGAGAAATGGCCACATCCCTCCGTACAGGTGATAGCCATACCCCAGTCCAGGGGGTGGGTACAGCGACCATGATGGGCGTAAATCCTGCTACAGGTAAGAAGATGTCAGTGACCTTCTCTGACTGCCTGTATTCGCCCACTTTCCACTGTAACTTGGTCTCACTAGCACGCCTAGAGGACCGAGGGTCATGGTGGGATATGAAGAAAGGATATATCGTGGATAATGGACAAAAGCCGGTTCTGGCGGTAAATCGCCATGTGGAGCATGGGATTTATGTGTTCAATCGGCCGGAAACCCCCACAACCGCAGAACTCGCTTTTACCACAAAAACTTCAGCAAAACCGCTTCAATCTACTGCTACGGCAGCGATATGGCATAGACGGCTGGGTCATGTCCACCATGGTATCATCAAGAAGCTTCCAGAGATGGTCGAAGGTGCACAAATCGAGGATGGGGAAGAGCAACCGGGTTCGGACGTGTGCAAAGTTTGCAACCTGGTCAGGGCACCCCGCCAAATATCTCGAAGACCTATCGGCAAGCATTACGGGCGGTGTGGACGGGTCTACTTTGACCTGATCCAGATGACGATGGGCTACAATAGGCACTGCTGGATCACTCATTTCTACGTTGAAGGGATTCATCTCCACTGGGCAGTGACCCATATCAACAAGAACGGTTGTCAAGATGCGATTTTGAGCTTTATTGCCTACGCTATTAACTGGCTGAAGCTGCCGATAAAGGTATGGCATTCGGACAACGAGAAATCCGTGGATGAGAGGATTGAAAGGCTAATTGACTCAATCGGATGCGTCCACACGTTCACGGTGCCGTACACACCTGAGATGAATGGACCCGGTGAGAGATCAGGGGGTGTCCTTATAACACGAGCCCGAGCCTTGTTAAAGGAGGGGCAGCTGCCAGGGGCCCTATGGCCCGAAGCCATCAGTACAGCTACCTATCTGCTCAACCGGACGCCTACACAGGTGGATGGTAAGTGGATTATACCATGGGATGAGGCACGGAAGTTCATAGATGATTCCGAAAAGCCAAGAACCTCGCTGGCGAACGTCAGGATGTACGGGTCGCTAGTATACTGCCGGCTGGATGGTATTCCACGCCTGGATAAGATGAGGTCGAGGGCAGAGATCGGCTACCTAGTGGGCTACGTGGCCTCAAATATATGGAAGATTTGGATCCCGCACAGGGGCCAAGTACGCATGGTTCGAGATGCAGTTTTCGATGAAAACAGGCGGTATTCGGCCGATATCAGGGACGAGGAGGTACAATTGCCGATCGTCACCGGTATGCCGCCTACGCTGATCGAAGAAAGTGCAGAATATGAATTTATTCTGCAGGGGCTTATAGAGCCTATGGGATCTATTGATTTTATGAATTCTAACAACAGGGATGACGTTCGAGGACTCGCTTCGACGGCAGGGGGTGCCAGTGCACCAGATCTTGCCACGGACGAAGTGCTGGCACCACCGGCCGCGGAGGAGCCCGCGGGGTCACAGAACGAAGGTTTAACATATAACAAGGGGACCGAAACACACGGTTGGACACCGCCACCTGAGGACGATTCTGTTCCAGATCAGGGGGTGGAGGATGGGCATGAAGCCCAGGATGAGCACGGAGCTCAACTAAACATGGATCTGGCACCAGATTCGCCAAATTCACTACCACAAGAGGATCCGGTAGCAGATGTCGATACTACGGATCCAGGGGCAGACACGGACGACCATGAAATCGAATCACAGCTCAACAGGGATATCGAGTTTAGGGAGATCGAGTCCAGAAGGATCGACGGCCTAGATATCGGCAATATCGTACAAGGACGGAGGATTCGGACCCAAAGGAGGGATAGAGATTTCGCCTATAATACCACGTTAGCAGATGATGATACTACGTCGGTGACCCTTCAGGCTTTCTCCACTGGCCTTTTTACTCCGAAACCATCCTCCCGCCAGCATAGGGACGATTTACCACCTGCACCTGAGAGATTCAAGGACGTCTGGAAGCATCCACTTAGTGACGGATTCAGCAAGGCTATGAGGGTCGAGTTAGACGCCCTACAGGCCAAAACCACATACCAGGTGGTAGATATGCCTAAAGACAAGGGGATCCAGGTCTTGCCGCTGATGTGGGTATACGCATACAAATTTGACCAGGACGGCTTCCTTATCAAGTGCAAAGCGAGGATTTGTGTACGTGGAGACCTACAGAGGATATCAGCAGAAGAAAAACGTGCAGCTACGCTAGCAGCACGAACAGCGAGGACACTCTTCGCCTTGGTGGCAGCTTTTGACCTCAACTTACGGCAACGTGACGCAGTTAATGCATTCTTGAATAGCAGGCTGCGTACGGAAGTCTACACCAAGATGCCAGACGGTTTTGCTACCCAAGGAAGGTGTTGGCGACTTATTCGGGCCTTGTACGGCCTCAGAATAGCCCCTCGGCTCTGGCATCAAGATGCTGCGTCTGTTTTGAGGAAACTCGGCCTAGAACAGGTGGCCGAGGACCCCTGTGTCTTTGTGGGTGAGGGTGTTATCATATTCTTCTATGTGGACGATATTCTCATCGCCAGCCATCATATGGCTAGGGAGCGGGCCTACCAGCTGGAAAAGGAACTCGAGAAGCACTGGCAGCTTACCGATCAGGGTGAGGCTGAGTGGTTTTTAGGCATCCGGATCCTACGAAATCGCGCAGAAAAGAAGCTTTGGTTAGTGCAGGACAGCTACCTTACAGGGGTTGCCGAGAGATATAATCTTACCGGCCGGACGCCAGCATGGACGCCTGGGGCCGAGGACCAAACCGACTACGAGGGGCAGGCTACCCCGCAGAGTATTCAAGAGTATCAGCAGAAGATCGGCTCTGTCCAGTATGCCACCACCATAACCCGGGCGGACGCGGCCAAAAGGGCGTCCGTCCTCGCTCAGTTTATGCAAAATCCGGGTCCAAAACACCATGCCGCCGTCGACAGGCTGATCTGCTACCTGTATACCACACGGTACTGGGCGATCCAGTATGGGCCGGTCGAGGACGACAGCGAGGTTGTACGAATCTCCAGCGACGCCTCGTACGCAGATCACAGCGACCGGAAAAGCTCGGCGGGGTATATCTGTCAGATCTTCGGGGGTCCTGTGGACTGGAAGGCCACCAAGCAGCGGACGGTGACGACGTCGACGACCGAGGCCGAGCTGCTGGGACTATCGGACGCCGGAAAAGCCCTGCAATGGTGGAAACGGTTATTCACGAGGATAGGATTCGAGTACCCAGGGTCGTTGATGATCGAGTGTGATAACAGCCGGACGGTGGATTTGATAAACGCTGAGGACGCACCTTTTGATACCAAGCTGCGGCATGTGGATATTCATGGTCACTGGCTGAGACAAGAGGTCAAGGAAGGGAGGATACGTATCAAATGGGTGCCAACGGCTCAGATGGTCGCCGACGGGCTCACAAAGATGCTGCCGCGCCAGAAACATGAAGCTTTCGTGAAGATGCTGGGGTTGACGGACGTACAGCACCTTGTTGAGACAGAAGGCTAGTCCCAATCGGGAAATAGAGGTTGTTTGGCAAAGAGTGCAGAAATGGAGGATTTGGGTGGTTTTGTGCGGATTTCGGCAGGCCCGCGCGGGATAAGCCAAAATTCGGCAACACCCGTACGTGCTCTACCCGGTGGTTCGGCCATGTTTATGCGCAGATTCCACTAGGTGCAGCGCTGCCAGAGAGTGTCACCGCTGAGGGGGTGTGTCGCTATGGAGAATCATAAAATTAGGTAATCTGCTTTGTCATGCTAGCCTTAGTCAGGATCCGCACATAAGAACCGTGGTTCGAGGGCGGGTAATAATTCAGACAATTACACGATCGAGTACGGACCCTATTGGTCGATAAAATACGTCCGTTTACGTGAGCCGACACAGCGCTGGCATCCCGTTTAGGACTAGCTTAGTTTGGGTCCGGGGGCATATCCTCCAGACCTTCTGCTCCTTCTCTCTTTTCTCCCCCCATCCCCAATATCACATACGTTTTGTGTGAAGCTGTTCATCCTGCATACTGTAGTCATCCTCCATCTTCCCCGCTTGGCGGCCTATTGGCGCCAAGAGAATCTAAAAGAAAAAGATTCTTCTTATTATAGAGAAGTCAGAGCTAAGTGAGTTATACACAATGAGCTCACTCTTCGTATACCACTCATCATGGACTTACTCTTGACAATTCTAGAGCTCACTTCCAATCTAGATACAGAATCAGAATTTAGTACCATTTCGGGGTATATCATATTTCTGCCTTTAAAAAATTGGTTTCCAACTTTTTCTTTGTAATGTATATCATATAAACCTGGGTTGCCTTACCTTGGCCCAGACCTAGGTCCTGTGGAAGCCTACTAACAGTACTCGTGTCCTATAGAGATACTCCTATAGGTTAGGCGGCATCAACTATCTTTGATATCTTCTTGATTGATTCTTGATCAGGCTAAAGACTATCTTTAAATGTAGTATAGATGTCATCAATAGCTAGATATAACCATACATTATACAATGCTATATTGATAGAAGCTCTTTCTAAAGCAATTTTTGCGTTTTCAATTTAAGCTTTAGCTTCTTTGAGAGCTCATCGTCGCATATTCTGATGGCATTATTAATTTCTTTATTGATTTGGATCATATACGCGCTATAGAACGCATTCGCCTATACTTGTAACAAGGATTCCCAGAGCTGATGCTAGACTAAATATTTATATACTAGTCGGTCAGTCAGACACACGGAAATAATTACCGAACGTAAGTACTTAAGGAAGAGATCGCTAAACGATAGAACCGCTTCCAAGTAGTCGAGCAAATATAAGCAAAGCTTCCCCAAGCCATAATAAAAGCGACAATACATTTTAATTCTCAACAGCAAAGAAAATAACGAGTGACTAAAGTTGGACGACTTTAAAGATTCACACACGAACAACTTCCTCTGGATCTAACGCCTATTCATAAAAGGCCCTCTGTCGCTTCAAATTGCTTACCTATGTTCAAGTTACTTTTAGTGGCGTTTTTCTTTTAGCTCTAAGAGCCCCTTTTTTTATGAAGAAAAAAGACCTGCACCTAAATGAAATCCAGATTTTTTAAGCAACAATAACGATACTGGCAGGCATGAACTCCCCCACTTCCAGGTTGCTAAGCCTGAACAACAGTGATATTAGCCGATCGCAGTAATTAACCTCCAATAGTGTCGCCATCGGGCTTGCGCTTTCCCTGTTCCTGTTGGGACCGGCGCTATCGGCGAACACTAGGCCAGATTGAGAACGAGCCTTCCATGCTGTTTCTTCCTGTCAAATCCATGCGCCTTTTCCTAATACTCCAATTCAAAGGGACCCTTGGAGAATGAAGTGAGGCGACTTTATCATTACGGTTCCTATTACAGCTTGCGTGCTTCGCAGCTGGTTTTTGAGATTCGTGCTCGGCTATAATTCCCAGGATCGATTGTGTGGCGGCAGCTCCGGCCTCCACGGGTCGGATAAGCTCATTGAGAAACCTGGAAATGGATTCGTGCGTGATTCAAGTAGTTCCGGCTCCACAGAGCAATTCCATACGGCCCCCACAACAGGGTCCCATAGCCTCAAAGGGTCTCCATTTAGGGTCTTTCGACTTATTGAATCTCCGCTACCGGCAATCATGTCCATCCCTAGAGTAGGAAAGCCAGTCAACCGACTTTGCGCCATGTGGCAGGGAGGTGGGGCTGGCCCAGCTGCATGGGAGATTCAAATCTTCGCTTATTTCTCGCTTTAGTTCTTCTCGGGATCGCCGCCACATAATTATGTACTATCTCAGAAGCTTGCCCCCCCAAAGATCCCTTAATCGCATACTACTTGACCTCTCCTAGTCCTTCGTTCTATCTTCGCGAGGTCGTACACTCTTTTTTTCTTTTTTGTTTGTTTGTTTACTTTCCTCCCCTTCATTGGGAGTTCCCGAAGTCTTTCTTATATCATCTTGCTCGCCTTGGACGATAATAAGAAGGTGAAGATGCTCGCTTCATCCGGATTTATTCTCCCACTCTTCGCTCTCTTGAACCAAGTCGCCCCCGGATCCGCGAGCGGCGTTCCTATTGTCTCATGCTCTACCAGCACGGACGTCCAAATTTTCCAGAATCCCAGCTTTGAGTCCGGATCACTTGATGACTGGACCTTCAGCAATACCTACGCGCGGTCTTACAGCGTCGTACAGGTTGGCACATCAGACGCCCAAGGCTCAGCCGAAGATGGATCCTATTACTTCCAAACGTACGGCTACAATCACGCGTTTCAACTTTCTCAAACGGTTTCCAATCTTGTAATTGGCTCTACATATACGATCACGTATTGGAACCACCTACCTCAGGCCCTAGGTAATTTAGGTGATTGCTGTGATTCTGTCTACTTGGATACCACCGCCAACAAAATCGCCTATATTAGCTACGACCCATCCACTACATGGACAGCACATACCTTGACCTTTGCAGCCACAGCGACCAGTCATACCCTGATCTTCGCTCCAGATTGTGGTTCCGGTCAAGATTACCCATGGTACATGGGATGGGATAACTTCCAGATCGAAGGAGAAACCCAGGTGTGCACTACTTCCTACTCGACTATTCCATCTTCGACACCTACGCCAACCCCCAGCTCAGTCTTCTCGTCCACAGTTGCATCCACTACACCCTTGGTTGGATCATCTTCATCAAGAGTCATTGCATCCTCAGCCACACTCGCGTCGTCCTCATCCGGAGTTGGATCATCTTCAACCAGAGTCATTGCATCCTCAGCCACACTCGCGTCGTCCTCATCCGGAGTTGAATCTTCTTCAACCAGAGTTTACCCGTCGTTCAGCACTGTCAAATCCTCGGCCAGAGTTAAACCATCTTCAACTAGAGTTCGGCCCTCGTCTAAGGCATGCAAAACTAGAACCAGGACAACTTCATCCAGCGCTGTCCAGTCATCGTCCGGAACTACGCCATCCTCGGTCGGAGTTAGACCATCTTCAACCAGAGCTGTATCCTCGTCGGTGGCTGCTACTTCTGCTGCCTCTTCCACCACAGCATCTATCACTTCTAGCAACATTGACAGTGGAAACGGCTCATCTTCTGGCGTTTCCTCCAGCATGACCTCCGCTCCCGGCGGTGGAAACAGCTCAGGTTCCGGCTCCAGCACGACAACTGCTCCTGGTGGAGGATCTGGCTCTAACACATCCAAAGGTGAATCTGGTGGCGCGGGATCTACTACTTCGACCATTCTCTCAACCCGCACCGCTACTGTCACCGCTTGTCCGTCAACAGTCACCGATTGCCCAGCAAGCGATAAGACTACGTATACCACCACTGAGGTCATTGTTGTGTCGACGACAGTTTGCCCCGTGACTGCTACTTCAACCTCTGAGCCTACCAGTGAGTCTGGTGGCGCGGGATCTACCACTTCGACCGTCCTCTCAACCCGCACCGCTACTATCACCGCTTGTCCGTCAACAGTCACCGATTGCCTAGCAAGCGATAAGTCTACGTATACCACCACTGAAGTCATTGTTGTGTCGACGACAGTCTGCCCTGTGACTGCTACTGCTACTTCTTCTTCTGCAACTACCACTGGCTCTGGCTCTGGCTCTGGTTCTGGTTCTGGAACTGGAGGAAACTCAATCACCGAGACTATTTACTCGACTCGGGTCTTTACAATCTACAAGTGCGCTTCGACTGTTACCAACTGTCCCTATGCCTCGAGAACTGCTCATGCGGTTACTGAGACCACTGCCGTTGGAACTACAGTTTATCCTGCTAGCTCTGCTCCTACAAGTGGCTTCAGCTCTGGTTCTGGTTCTATCACTGGCTCCGGCTCTACTGACTCTGGCTCTACTGGCTCTGGCTCTACTGGTTCTGGCTCTACTGGTTCTGGCTCCAGCTCTAGTTCCATCACTGGCTCCGGCTCTACTGGCTCTGGCTCTACTGACTCTGGCTCTACTGGCTCTGGCTCTACTGGTTCTGGCTCCAGCTCTAGTTCCATCACTGGCTCCGGCTCTACTGGCTCTGGCTCTACTGGCTCTGGCTCTACTGACTCTGGCTCTACTGGCTCTGGCTCTACTGACTCTGGCTCTACTGGCTCTGGCTCTACTGTTTCTGGCTCCAGCTCTAGTTCCATCACTGTCTTCGAATCTACTGGCTCCGGCTCTGGTTCTGGTTCCTTCACTGGCTCTGGCCCTTTTACTAAGGCCATTGTTGCTGGAACTGCGGTTCATGCTGCTGGCTCTGTTCCTACTAGTGGATCCAGCTCCAGCCCTGTTTCTAGCCCTGGCCCCCAAATCGGCTCCCACTCTGCGCCTGGAAGCAGCACCTTGGTGTCATCTCCTCACGCTGGTGCTTCGTTCACAACAAGTGCAAGCCAGCCAGTCTACACAGGCGCCTCGACCTCTCAATCTGCTTTCCTTTCCGGATCGCTTGTATCCATCTCCGGTCTTTTGACTGCCTTGCACCTTCTTCTTTAAGCGGAAGGCAGTACTTCTTTTCTTCTCGAATGAACATATAGCCTGTCTTTCATTGTCTAATATTCCTGAATATACTCTAATTAGCTATATATTCGTTCATGAAACTGACCTGGATTCTTCTCAGAACGATTGATTACATTTTTTGCAAGACCATACACTGCCATGATCAGTGGAAAAGAAAATTTTATGTGAATTGTAATTATAGATAGATTAAAAATACTTAATGCTATATAGCTAGCTCAAACGATGCTAAATAGCCTAGGTAGCCAATTTTCGTCTAATGATATTATAGTAACCAGATCTCATTTCAATTTTCCGGTTCTAAAAGTTTCCTAATCCCACGGTCCCAAAACTGAATTGAAGAATCCTCTATGTTGAGCATGATTAGCATTACTTGATTGGGTTGCTTTACTACGCACGAAAGGTCAGGACGATCACGCGCTAATCCTACTTAGATTTATGGCGCTAGTCCTGATTAGCTCTATGAAAATCGACTAAACGGAAACACCACGGTTATCCCTCACCAGCACCACACATAACCATGATCTTTCCGCTGTCCCCCTGAATTCCACTATATCGGATTGTAGATAAAAGGTTTCTCAATTTATACTATAACAAGTATGGTTTAGCGTCAAGTGTCCTTACGCCTCTCCATTGATGCGTGGTGGTATATAGTCCCCCGTCCCCCCAGCCCAACTTGTATTACCTTTCTTCTCGCCCCCTGTAAGCTGTAGCTGAGGCATTTTTGTTATTGATCCAGATTACCCAGCCGCTAATCTCCGCCAGCCTTCCCCCCGCGTGACTCGTTATCACCTATGCACACTTCCCTCACCCTCTTGGTGCTTTTTTGGGCTCTTACCTGCTTCCTTATCAGGTCCTTTCTCTAGGACCCTAACAACAGCGAACGAATTTATACTAGAAGCAGATCCATAGATTTACTACAGGATAGAACGAGAGGTCTGGCAGCGCCTTTACTGTCCACCGAGGCTGACTGGAATCCGACGTGGGCTTACCTGATCGAACGAACTGTCCCAGCCGCGAGCCAGTGAATGCCAAGTCCACGAAAATTACTACATGATCGGCCAGCTCCTGGCTCTACCATCAAATTCGCCATGCCAACGGAACGCTTGGTCGGCATCATGATTGATTGGTACAGAGGACGAGGTGGCGGCACACGATAACAGGCCTCCTACTGGAATATCAGCGTCACATTTGTTACGGATAACGAGGCAGCCTACAAAGGCAGGGGTACCACATATCTAAATTTGCAATTACAATGAACTGGAACGTCAAATTCGCGCCAAATTGGAAGTCTCGCAATTAGCACATCCGTGTGCTGGGAGGGGTTTATCGTGTTGGGGGAGGCTTCCTAGCTGTCTTATTCTGTGGATATAGGTTCTAGAAGGATGTGTGCTTCATGGCCTGCAACACTACATGTAGCCCTCTATGGACCTCTGAGTGGCCTCGACTTCCTTCCGATTCCCTCAGCAGCATCCCAGTCTCCCGGATAACATGTGTACTTCTGCTTTGCCCGAAGTCTGCGTGAAGCACCGAGCTGAAGTATCTCCATGCTGCTAGAAGCATCCTTCTTGCCTTCTACCTCATGACATTCAAATGGCGAGCCGCTAATCCACCCTGGCGTGTCATCCAACGCTGAGATCTCATCTTCTCGGTATGTGATAAGCAGCGGAGCCTTTTTCGTAGGTGCTGAGCCAATCCTCATCATCGCAAACTTATTCATCGTCTCCGTCCACTTTAGTAAGATAGTCGTATAGCTCGCAATTGACAGTATTGCAATAAGGTAGATAGCCATTAATGTCGAAATAGCAATCATTCCGCCTAAGGATATACTGGGCACTATCGTATCTTGTCTAATATCAGAGTATACTGTCACCGACCCACCGCCTAGGGGGCCCTTGACGCGGTCTATCTATACTTCGTTGGTAAGGAACAGGCCACCAGTGAATGCGTTGTTGAGCGTCGAAACATTCGTTCTATTTTGACTATTCAGTATCATTAGCCAGCTGAGAAAAGAATCCAAGTCCCGCCTGGTGCCCGCTGGGTAGGCCCATTCCGCGATCAGGTCGACAGTAGGGTAAAATATCGTATATAGGAGATCCCAGAGAGGCGGCAGCGAGCAAAAGTGTACATCCATCACGTTAGTATGGTTCACAAACTCTGCATCGTTCAGTACAGTTGTATATGTTGCCATCTAGGAGCTTGGGGATGCAAATATTGCCTATGCTATGGTAAGGAGGGGGCTAGGGTGTACCAATCCTTTGCTTTTGGAGCCACTTCAACCCTTCGTGGTAGCGAATTGATAGATCATCAAACTTGGCCTAATTAATACAATCCCACTGCTTCCTAAGTCCTATCCGGAATCCAGCCCAATATCTTGTCTTGAAACGCTGAGCATGCTAGGGATATAGCTCAAATATTTTCTGCTTCAGAAGATGCTATAGGAAGCTAGATTTGGAGGAGCAAATTTGGCCTGAAACGACCACCAAAGAATCGATGTCCGCTTTTTAATATGATCAATACATGAAAAGTTGTCAAATACCATATGACTGCTAGGGTATGGAACTTCAAGGACAATCTTCTCTGCTTTTTGACAAGCCCTTAAAAGCTGACACTTATCGTGGACGATTCCGATGTCTACACTCTTATCAAGTCACGCGCTGCCATTGTACAGTTCATCCCGAAACTGCTGCGGCAACCTATACTCTTCAATTGCCAAGACTTTCTATATTATATATAGAATAGCCCCAGAATAGCGATTGTCCTGTATAGTCACCCATACAGTCGTTTTCTTTTTTAACTTCATGACATCATGTCTTGTTACTTTATGAAAAAAAAAAAAGACATGCCGTGGTAGTTAGAACTTTCTATATGAGTGCAAAAAGTAAGTCAAACATGAGGAGCCAGAGTAGGCCCTAAGAATATGGCAAGGTGTCACCTTCCTTTGCCATTCCGCATGCAAGTGACGATTTGGGAGCCAAACAATCTAGCTCCACGAAAAACAAACGAAACAAACATGATGCCAGAGTGGGTCTTGCTTGATCCAATGGCTATCGATCTTGGAAGCGAGATAAGAGATACGAAATACGAAATCCGCCACACGGGATATCCATTGGAAGTGGAGCTGGGCAATATGGAACATGGTAATAACAACACCGTAGGTTTTTTTGCAATAAATTAGGTAACAAGGTCAAAATTCAGAGGCGCTGTAGGTAAGGTCAAGAGTCATTCTCTTAAGAACCAAGCTTTCCCACTCAGTCTTTCCACTTCCTCTAAGAAGCTCAATGGTATCATGCTCAAGACTCTACGATCACTCCAGATACAGTTCCCTCACAAAATAAGAATCATGGGCCTCAGTAACTTTGCTCTCATTATTATCGTGCTTGTGGGTGCCCTTGCCTCGGTCACCCTTGCGGCAGCAGTATTCGGCAGCCTCACCACTCCTCGGGAATCTACTCTGTGGTCCCCACCCGCGGAACAGCAGCAATATATGCGAAAGGCTAGAGACATATATCGAAGCCTACTTATGGAAGAAAACGGAATCAGATACCCAAATTCTCAAAGTAAGTTTATTCTCCTCTCAAGATTTGCCCTATATTAACCATTTACTAGGGCTAGGGCGGAGCGGTTGACGAATAGCGATAGAAATCTGATGCGGGAAAGTGTCCAGACACAAGAGTTACAAGAGTGATTGTGGAAGCACGGCGTTGAGATTCTACGAACAATAGGGTTACAGGATTCATCACTATTTTTAACCGTACATTTCTTTTCTCTGTATCCTCCACGGTTTATGACCAGGGAAGAAGACACAAGAGCAATTTTGTTGTAATATGAGGCTAGCGGAGATCAGAGAAAAACCGCATCATCGGACACAATTCCCGAAGTGCCTATGCGGAGAACACTTGGATTCGTACAAAAAGCATTCTGTTCTCCTTACGAAATCCCAACAGAGCATTCTCTTTTCTGAACACGACAATTTTCACTTGTCTGCGGGCCCCCTTTCTTACTCCGAGTTGAGAGGCAAGATTAATTTGCTCCCAAGAGCTATATGCAGGCAACCATATTACATTCGCTTTATGTGTATGTGGACCGTACCAATTCTCGAAACCAATTTTGGAGCCTAGGGAAGCCTTATGGAAATTGTTATTTTCTCACTCTTGGCATATTCGAGGATGTGCTTGATCTAACCTTCTTGACTTCTTGAGGTCCTCCCTATAGTAAGGACGCACTGCGAAACACACTACCCACGATCCGTAGAAGCTTTGTCGCAACTCTCTCAATCTTGGCCAATGCACCATTATAAGAAGCGCCGTTTCCCGTACACCACATGCACTTGTCTTCCCCTTGGGACTGAAATTGCTTCGCACATGTCGGCAGCCAGGAAAAAGGCGTCCGCAGTTGTATCAGAAGAAGAATATTACCGTAACAGCAAGCTATACAGTCACCTTGCCGAGGGATAAGGTAGAAGTAGTGTCTATCTTACAAAGGTTTCCCTTTTCCGAGATGCTCCATCGATGCCCCCACTTAAAGCATTTAATGCCGCGAATGAATACTTTCTCCCTACAGAATATGGTTTGGGGAAGGGAAAGGGTATTGAGGCGGAAACATCGCCAGATCATTCGAGATAAGCGACTAATAAAGTGTAACTTCAAGGATCAACGCCAACGGGAGTGGGATTAATGTGAACTGAATAATCTTCATGAAACCTCCAATTATGGCTTTGGCACCGCGCCAGAAGATCATACAAATTGCATGTAAACTATTTGCCTAGTGAAATTTCCCGACAAAATGATCAAATTCTACTCTATAATTTTGTGATCAGAGTACGCGGTGGTCTTTCATTCTAAACTCCAGCTTGATGTAACTAATTGAAGTTACTCACCCCCGCGGCCCAACGACAATGAACCACAAGTAAGATCAGAATTGTCCATGAACTCGCCCCTGATGGATCTAAAGATGTCCAGCCATTCGGGAGGCACGATTTCATCATAAGGGAAAAGCTCATAATGAAGTTTCTCTCCAAAGTCACCTAGGTGCCATGAATCTTTGTAGAAATGTAACGCCAGGGGGTAGAGAAGAAATATGAGACGCGCTACAAAATCCCTTGCCTGAAGCAGCTCCACAAAAGCGTCCTGGAAGGAACTAGGCCAGAAATACATCGATGGGTTCCTTCCGTTATTTTTTTTTTCATCATACATATCGACCAGAGATTGGACAGTGGCCATATACGCTTGATGATTCGGCGAGGAACCTGCATTGGTCGTCTCAAGTTGATCAAGTATTCGTGATCCGAAACTAGCGGGGTTCGTTAGTGAGGTCCCGATTAAGTTGTTGAATATAGGGGGCTTACTAGTGCAGTTTTGAATTTACATAATTTCTTTTACTGATATTCTGAGGACCCTCGTTCGAGCCCTCAATTTCTCCAGCTTTGCTCGCTGATGAGCTAATGTCCGGATAAGATAAGTTGGCCTCCATGTAAATAATTTTACAGCCATGGATAAGACTCTTGATGTGCATGACCTCGCACAGATAGCTCGAGGGAGTTGAGAACTGATGCCGCGCCATTACGAAGAGCATGATGAAAATGGAACATACCAGGGCGGGTTGTGCTGTGGCTGCGGATATGTGATGGACTATTTTCGAAAGCTCCGAGCAGGCTTTTTCATGGTAGCTCATCGCAATCATTATCCAGAAACTTCTTTGATTGGGCTCGATATATGCTTTGTGAAGGGCAGTGAATGACAAAAGGCCATCTAAAGCGAACGTCTCCTTCATAGCATTTTTGGGTACCGTGACATGCCAAAAATTGTGAGTGGGGTCGTTGTCTTCTGACTGTATCAAGTTGTCGGTATCGGTGTAATAATGATGCAGTAGGTTTGCTTCTAGGAGTCGGGTGGTAGAGAGCTGATCTCGAATCTGGGGGCTTGAATCTTCGATATGATTCTCTTGTAGCTTTAGCCGAGATGGTAGGCGCCTATAATGGCAATTAAACCGGCGGTGCGTGCAGAAAGAACATGCTGGCAGCTTTTCATCACACTGTGCCCGAGAAAGGACGTCAGAAGATATTTCTTAGAGTTATCTTTCCTGTGTAGACCTGAAAGAGAATCAATTACCACTTGCAAAATTACATACCTTAATATGTCTTTCCTTACACTCGACGCAGCCATTTTTTGACTTCTTGTGCGGACGTCGATTTGACATTTCGGTGTGAAGATGTGGAGTGGAATAAAGCGGGAATAAAATGAAGAAGCATCAATGAGAAAAAAGGAAATACGGAATTTTTCGTATGCACGGGCCTGAATTAGATACCGAAGTTACTCCCCCAACAGCAAAACTTAGTATACACGCCTTACGGAAAAAGAAGTTTGTACCTTAGCCGATTGACTAGTGACGTCGCAAAACACGGAATATGATTATTTTTGATTAGTCTTTTGTTCTAATGTTTTAGCTTCAGGTGTGTAAATACTAAATAATATGAGGAGCACGTGCAAGGAAAATTTCGCCACTTATATCGCGAATAGTACGAAAGAAATACGTTAGTGGGTCCACAATCCCCACCGTGAACCTGAAAGTATGCTACTGGCTGCCTCCGAAAAGTGAGTCGAATTTTAAGTTAATACGTCGAATTCCTATTGTTTTCTGGTGGGCCTTATGGAGTTTTAGGTCCGTTGAGAGTGCTATATGTAGTAAGTGAATTAATTTCACCAATCAACGTTATTGAGCCTGGATAGATGCGCATTGATGATTCTTTTGAAGACATTTCATCCGCTTCTGATATATTATTAAACTGAATTACAGAGTTTAGCTTAGACTAACCATGATAGTTACTGACTTAATATTAAGCCAATAGTTGGGTTCACAAAATTTACTGCTTTGTTATTAGACTGTGCTTCACGGCCACTTTCGATCATATTATTTTTCAGCACTAGGAACGCTTAATTACTTTAGTAAGTTATCTCAGTAGCACATCGCTTGGAGACTGGCATAAAACATCAGAAATAGAGGCCTATAAGGCGCTACCACCATGTAATTTGCACTTGTTAGTATCCACTGGAGTGACTTATAAATAGTTTCATAATTGAAAAAGGAGAAAACACGCCTTTTGATTTTCAAAGGATATTGTTTTCACCTCAAGACCACGGATTTCGCTCGCAAACGTCTTAAAGATGAAATGATATTTCCTCTCTTTCATGAAGGAGCTTTCAAGATTTATGCTAAATCTCAAATATATTACTGCATATTAATATAAAAGGGTGACTAGTAGGCTAGAGTCGGCCGTCTGATTATACATACCGATTCTTCTTTTTCCATTGGTAAAGTAAGACGCTATGTACTAGATAGATCTCTAGTTTCAAAGATCTCAAGAGATAGAGGGAGGAAGTGTAGTCGAAAGTATCCCTTAATGTGTTTCTAAGTCAAAATAATATCTTGTGTATTATAGCTTGGTTAACAGTTTGCTGTAAGATCTTTAGAGATCCGCTAATTGGATTGGTATCCGTCACACTCTCCTCGACATATGCCTTTTCCCCTTTTAATATATAAGCTTTAGTGGTATATACCTCGAGACATCAAGACAAATGCTTGCAATCCCACTATTGTCAAGTTCAACAAGGACAGTGGAAAGCCATCAGTAAATTGAGAACATATCCAAGGTCAACTCGCCAACGACCGAATCTTTAAAATTCAACTTATATCAACTTTTTTGGAATGGCTTTGCAACACAGGTGAGCAAACCAAGTACGGTGGTCTAGGATTCATCCCATTTATTACAGGCTGGACGCGCCCGGACGTAACATGGTGCGCATGCGTGTTTGGTTGTAAGTACTTCGACTTAAATCCTTCATAAGATAATAATAATCCGAAGCTACTACGGTAAGCAGGGGATACGGTAACAGCAGGTTTTGAAGTTCCCTGGGATTCTCAGAATGCAAATCTAAGCAACTTCATCGCGAACGCTGCCATCATATTTGGTTCATATGTAAACACGGAGCTGGTGGCTTTACTGTGATCAGCGGGAAATGGCGTCAAGGGGGTTTAGATTGGTGGTGGTACTTCACAATAGGAGGACTTTAATAGAAAAATAGCTGTGCATATTGCAGAAGCCAGTCAGACTGTAAGGACTACCTGCGCACCGTGGTCGTTGAATCTACTAACTTTGCCCCTTTTCTCCATCAAAGTGCTAGTGTTTTCAACTACCTCAAGATATTACAGACCACTAATGCCTGGCAGACGCCCAGTAACTCAATGGAGGCCATTTGTGACGCTTTCGATCGGAATGTCTGGGAATCTGTATTTTCCAACGCAGCCCAAGGAACAGCGATGACAGGTCCTGCCAAGCCGACTGGGTTATCCAGCTGGGAACTGCGGACTGCTTGGTGCTATTGGATCGATAACCACCTCGCAAAGATTGGGACCAATGTTGGCTCTCGGTTGAACACCGGGAAAACCTACCTAAAGCTTTGACTACGGGTTCTAATCAGCTAGAATCTCGATTCATTACCGCGTATATGGGCAGCAATGGGGTAGCGAGCGCTAACCAAATGCGCTTTTCTCGAGCAGCCAAATTTGGCTCTACTCCCCTTCCAGGCACTGCGGGTAATGTTGTCGCAACGAACAGCATGTACGGTACGTGGCGAAATAATGGCCTAAGGCCTTGGGAATATGAATGGAGTGAGCGAGACTCTTAAGTATTAAACACAACCTATACCAGTCAAGTGAAATATCAAAGAAGTCATTTTATCATCATCTGAAATCATTGCGATTGATCTTTTCTTTGATCCAGTGTCTTCCAATGGTCTACGGCTGTAAATGACGCGTGAAAACTTTAAAGCTAGCTAATCCATTTAATTCTCAGCCCCAGCTAGTAATATTTGTAGGCATCATTGCCAGCCTTCCTGCTGTTTCACGCATTCCTGCGCTCCGCAAAATCTTGTATATTCGGTAGTCTCCACGTTGGTCTTGAGGCGAACCGAAAAAGTTGCTTTCCAACGCCTCATCTGTGACTTCGTTTCCGTCGGCGAGGAAGAAAAGCACACCAGGCCCAGTGATGAAATCCGGACGGTCAAGGATGACAAAGAAGGTATGGTATGGATCCCTTCCCGTTGGAACTTCAATCTCGGGCTCATATCGCGATTGCGGGAAACTCCGACAGCCTTGATGAAGCGCTCCTATGGCTATCTCTGGCCGAGAGTTGATGAGATCCCGGTGCGACGCTAGGATAGCAGTTAGGGATTGATCCGCTGAGAAGAACTCGAAGTTGAGTGTCTTTCCCGGAGGAAGGTTGTCGAGAATCGCAGCAGTAAAGGCTTTGGCGAGTAGAATGAGCTCTAATCCGAGTCGCTTATAAGGTAAGGCGATGTGAATAATGTACTGAAGATCTGGTTCGGATATCGCGGCTGTATGATTCGACTTAATGACAATAGCACCATCGGAGGGCACTAGTACATCAAATTGGTTAGGATCCAACGAATCAGCCTGGAGCTGTAGCAATTGAATCATCTCCGGTGATAGCGGTTGATTAGATAAAGAAGGGTCTCCCTCATCTTCATTCAGACCATAGTCGAAATCATGCCCGGCCACATCACTCGCACTTCGAGTCACCAGGGAACTTAGTTTCCGGCAATTGTCATCCACATTTCGGCATTTTCTCACGACAATTTCTTCTCTCTCGGAGTATACTTGATAATCAGTACTGATAATAGAGGGATCAAATCCATACCGTATATCGGAATCAATTCGAGAGGAAAGATCAACTTTAGCTCTAAGCGGGAAACTCCGATTAAAATTCACCCATAGCGGACCAGATTCAGTTTCATACTGGGGTATGAATGAATCACGGAAGCTATAAGATACCACCACTAGTAAAAACCCTTGCAAAAGCATATTGCGGTGATCGGGTGCCACTTTTGCGATACCTGGAAAAAGTTCTCCTCCAGGAAGATTATTCTTTCGGTGAAAAATTTCCCGTCTTTGATGCTCCACACAGGCGAACACATCAGGCTGGGGGGCATAGATCTCATATGAGCAAGCTTCATCGGGATAGGAAGATTGCATCGAAGAGAGATATCGACAGAGAGAGATGTAATCATCTTCTGAGCCTTCTCCAGAATCCAAGCCTATAGGGACGGTGCTGTAAACCTGGATGGCGAATTGTGGAAGATGAGCTGGTAAGGCTTCCGGGTTGGTCTCTTCGAGTGTCATGAAAATCGCAGGTTTCTGTGCGTGGTCTCGGTAATGTTGGGCAACCCATTCAGTACGCGGAGTCTGCCGCCAAGCTTTGATTCTAGCCATTGTGCTGTATCTATGGTGGATGGAGGGGGGTAATAGGATAAATAGGCGCACTCTGCTGAAAACATGATTGTGATACTAACCCCCTCCGGTTAGTTATGATTAGTAATATGCCGCAACGATTTTGACCATTCATCTAGTTATGGATCACATTAACCACAATCAAAACAAATTGAGTGAATTCTCAATGCCAATTTAGTTTGACCACCCTACAGCTTAAAAAGTATTGGATGTCGGGCGGGAGAGGGGAACTAGGACTATAAACAACGACGCACGGGCACGCACAGAGACCGGTGGCGCTAAACTTTACTTGGTATAGCGTAAATTGCTAGAACTTTGCATCTGCAATCCAATATGGTGTGGGTAATCCAGAGGGACAGCGATAAGACCATGGTTGTGCGTGGTGGGGTGAGGGAGAATCGTGGTATTTCCATAAAGGCGGTTTTGTCGATTCGAATAGGACTAGTGCTATATATCCAGCTAGGTTTAGCGTGTGATTGTTCCGATATATACTATATACCCCGGCGGCTCTATTATGGCGAGAATCACTGATTACAAGTCCGGGCAGATGTCTTTACACAATATTTCGGCGAAGGTTGGAAACAAATTTCGATGAGATGCAGGAAGAAATTGGGGGTCATGCGCTATATTAGACCCCTGAGGCAATCAATGGTGGCAGGGATTGAAAGAAAGATGAAACCCCGATCCCTACCCGCATAAGATCGCGCCTTGGCGATTTATGGGCCAGCTTGCTATAGGGTCTAAGACCCTGGTACTCCGCCCACATGAAGTTCGGAAAGGAGCGGATTTTAATAGCGCCCCTGCCAAGGTCTTGGCTTAACACCCTGTGACCAGATGATTCCAGTGTTACTGCCCAGTTTATATTAGTTATCAAGGCTAACAGGGAGTTGCATCTCTCTTCGTCCATAGACCTCTCAATCATCTCGCTTAGAGCGTTTCTTGGTTAAGCTTGCGACCCTGCGACTCTGCTCGGCCAAATGGTCCTCATTCTGTGTGTATGTTCGTACTTGGCACTTTGATCTCATAAAAATATTTACGGTCTTCCATTTATCTCACAATTGCCTTTCTAAAATGTGATGATCCGCTTCTTACGCTAGTCATTGATACCTATTGGAGTATATGGGGTCAGCTGACCCCATCCGTTTGTCAGTGCGTGCATGTCTTTAGCTAGATCTCTCTCTCTCTCTCTCTCTTCCTCTCCTCCATACCTCTCGGAATACAGATCTTGTCCCCTTCTTCTGTTTCCACGCTACTATGTAGCCCTTTCTTCCCCTGGGCAGCAGATCAGCTGCCGACAATGCAGTATAATAATAAGCGTGGTAATCTAACACTAAACTAGGGACTTGAGGGTTTCATCTAGTCCGGAAGTTGTCGCGAAGTACATGATGTAGTAAATCGAAGTCAAACCTGAGGGTGTACTTGTACTATCTTCAGATTTGCCAGGGCCCCAAAAATAATATAAGAGGCTCTATAGAGGCCCTGGTTTGATATCAAAGAACCTCATCGTGTCTAATCTACAGGTATGGGCCTCCAATTTTTGAACAGCAGACATTTGGCGCTGACAATTTAATTGGTTGCATATTCCAGATTCAAGCTCACGAAAATGCACTTTCCAGCTTTTCCCGCCGTCGGCGCATCCCAGCAATGGCAGCTCTCCGTCGATAATCTGAAGCGGCTCAATTCCGGTATCACCTGCCCCAATCTCGATACGAGCAAGCTGTACTGCGTGATTGGCACCGCTACGGATGAGTAGCACCAAATCGAAAATCGCAACAGTTACCACCAAGGCTTCAAACACCACTGAGACCGCCCCGACCAACTCACCTACTATGCCTGGGACTGCAGCCAATTGTGATAGCTTCCACCTGGTCTTATCCGGTGACCAATGTGACACCATTGCTGCCAAGTACGGTATCAGCGAAGCCCAGTTCAAGAGCCGGAACAGTAAGGTTAATGACCGTATGTCTTGATCTACTCTTTCTATCCTCACTCTGTGACCAGGAGTTGGATCCACCCTGTTTAGTCAAAATCTAATATCTTTCAGAATGCAGAAACCTTTGGCTGGACTACTACGTCTGCGTGCACGTTCCTGGCGCAACCAAAAATTCGGCACCCAAGCCAACAGCTGATCCTACGGGCCCCACGCCCTAGATGCCGGGGATTGTCAGCAACTGCAAGGCCTATCATCTGACCAAGGACGGCAACAGCTGTTATTCAGTCCATACGGCCGCAAAGATCACATTGGCTCAATTTTGTTCTTGGAATACCCAAGTTGATGCGACGTGTGGCAACCCGTGGCTGGGATATTATGTTGGTGTTGATCTTTAAATCTGTCAGTCGCAATTCATGTTGCCACTCAATTATAGCAAAACAGGGAAACGGATCAGAAAGCGGTGGTTAGCAGTAGGGAGAAGATTGGATGATTGAAGTTATGAGACACTATACTGCCGATAAACTCCAAATCATCACATTACGTCGCACTGCAAGGCTGTGCCAATATTTTCAAGAAAAGGTGCCTAAACTAGTTTCTGGGTATTCCCGCTAGGACTCCCAACCCCAGGTCGCATTCGGTGGGGCTGTTCCGCTAGCATGAGGGGCTGTGAGATGCCAAGAGGCCGAATGTTTCAGATGAAAACAGTCAGTCCAATAATTCCCCCCAAAGCTAGACTATACTGGGTCGGCGCGACTCAGCCTGCTTTCAACTTGCTCACTTGTTGGGCAGCCAAATTGACGGCCGTGCGCGCGCTCCACCAATTAACACATGCCCTATTCGTCTTTAAATTTAGTCTTAAAGTTACACGACTGGTTTAAAGGCGACCTCTCGCTAATATCAAACCTTCCCCAGTCTTGGCTCTTCTACCTTTAGATGTCGATAGACGCGATACCCTTGATCTCGCTACGGGATAAGATATCCGACCGCAGAAACGATAACAACCTATCTGGCTGGTTAAAGGCACGGGCGCTTCATGCATGGAGACTGACTGTAGCTAGTGGCGCAATAGCCGCTATTATCATCCTGCTGATCAACATAATCACCATCGCCGTAATTTGTGCCAAATATCCGATATCTGGTAACAGTGTGGCATTTTACACCGGAAGTTGCGAAACCACGAAGAAGGTGACCACGGTCATACATTTAATCATTAACATTCTAAGTACGATCTTACTTGCGTACAGTAATTTCGCGATGCAATGTTTGAACTCGCGGACACGCGCAGAGGTGGACGCGGCTCATGCCAAGCAGCACTGGTTGAACATTGGCACCCCGAGTATCCGCAACCTGTTTTTTGTTTCGAGATCGAAACTATGTCTCTGGCTCGTGCTCGGCCTAAGTTCCTTTCCTCTGCATATGATCTGGAACTCGACTGTCTTCGAAACTCAATCTACAAACGACTATCTTGCGGTCGCTGTTACTCTAGACTTCGGAAATGGCACGGAATGGACCGTCGCAGAATCCGAAGATTTATTTTGGAAGTTAGACAATGATACTGCTGCTAGGTACCGTGCCATAATCCTAGGTCTTCAAAAGAAGATGCAAGGCATTGAACTCGAACATCTGAGTGCCGATGAGTGTCAGCGGGCCTACTGCAGCAGCGTTCTCCCTAGCCGAAGCAATGTCCTCCTTATTGATTGGGAATCTTCAGCCATCCCTCCAGTCCTCGCAATATGGAGAAATCAATATGTTTTGGACAATGGAGATACATACGACTGGACAGGATGCAGCCAGTTTTCTTATCTTGGTTTCCAGCTGAACGATCCAGACTTCGGGGGAATTCTCACAAGCCCCGTTCACGAATGCTTTTCGCAAGAAACAGCAGAGGAATGCAAAGCTAGTTTGGCTCCGGTTTTTTTGATCATTGTAATCCTTTGCAATGTCATCAAGGCATGTTGCTTTATCCTCGCTCTTCGCATCACACAGAGAGACCCACCTCTATGCACACTCGGGGATGCAATACAATCATTCTTGAAAGAACCAGATGTCTATACCCAGAGACGTTGTCTGGTATCCAAAGAAGATTATGATGAACATTGGTTAGGGAAATCGCGTAAATGGGGCTCTCGTCCGACCAACATAGGAGATATTTGGAGCGGCGGCCGTGATCGATGGTTTCGATCCGTGAACAGGCTGCAATATGTCCTTTTGTCCCTCTCAGTGATCGCCATTGCAGTTACTGGCCTAATATTTATCGCCCTTAACGGAAGCATGCTAGATGTTCCCGGGTTTTCCACACCACTTGACTTTCTGGGTAAGCATAATACTGTTTTTGGCCTTGGTAGAGCGAGTATATTTGCCGTGTGCCTCCTTGCCAACATTCCACAAGTCTTGATATCCTACGTCTATCTTGGACTCAACAACATCATAACTACGATGCTTGTGATGCATGAATGGTGTGGCTATTCAGCAGGTTCTCGAAAGGCCGCAAAAGGGCTTAGAGTGACTTGGCCGATGCCTAAGTCTGAGCAACGGTCTACATATTTCCTGTCCCTTCCGTACAGATGGAGCGTTCCGATCACTCTTATTATTACTCTAATCCATTGGCTTGTGTCAGCGATGTTCTCCTTCGTCCAGCTTGATGTTCACGGCATTGATTCGGGAACTACTGTCACAGCCATCAATTATGTTCTTTTCTGGCGCGACATCTTGATCCTTGTGGTCCCGATTGGTCTTGGGGCATACGGTGTTCTCATTCTGCTTGGCTATTTCAAGAAGTTCCCTGAAGGAATGCCTTTGGCAGGATGCTGCAGTGCAAGTATTGCAGCTGCCTGCCAGCCTTCACTCTTGCATGGAAATGAATTGGGCTCAATGACGGTATTTCCTTCAGATTTGAGCAGCCGGAAGTTATAGTGGGGAGTAGTTGAAAGACCCGAAGAGATGGAAAATGGGATCGGACACGCAACATTTTCTGCTGATATCGTAACTCCACTGAAGGAAGAAAAAATGTATAATTAGAATTTGAAAAATTCAGTGATACTTTTTACTCTTATAAGTCATTATAAGGGGCGAGAAATAGGATAGGAAGAGGGGCTGGAATTTTGAATTGAACCTAAATAGAAGCTATAGTCTTTCGAGTAATCGCCATGCCAGGATTAGATTGGGCGACTTCCGCGCAGTAAAATTGCGGCTGGCGAATGCAGGACTAGTGGAGGGCTTACTCTAGTCGCTTGTTCTGCTCGCATTCTTCAAATATTTTCTGGGAGCGTGGAAATGTGCAAGCGGAAGCTGGCACTATAATTGTAAAGACTGGTCGATATACGGAAGCTAAGCTCACGCAGGTCGTCGCGTAAGCAAAATAACAGGGGCAGTGTAGAAAACATTTGAGAAACATGTTGAATTGTAAATTGTTAACAATGTGTTGAACCTGAATGGAAAGACATTGAGATGCCTGAAATACCTTTCTTGAATTACGGCACAGGCATTGAGTTGAAAAGTGACCGTAGACGTCCAGCCCTTAATATCGATATAGCTACTCGAGCTTCCCTTAATCTTTTTAATAATTCAAACCCTGAAATAATTCGAATGCCGATTCGAGACGCAGCCGGTATCAATGTCAGGGATGAGGATAAGCCTAAAATTCGATCTAGGAGCCAATACTTCGTGTGGCCTCATCTGGACCACTCACCTCCCGAGCAGGCAGTGAATGTGTGTGTGTGCAGCCCAGTCTGCGTGGTCAGACAGCCACCGTGCACTTCCCCCTTCATTGTCCATTTTACTCAGCCGAAAGCCCTTAACCTTGATCTGCCTAGTAGAACTCCATTAACTCGTTTTGTCTTTTTTTCAATTTGATCATCCACATATATCTCTATATAGTATACATGGAAGAAATTGAGGGAATAGTTGAGCAGAGGGGGATTAGCGGCATCTTAAGCGCTACACGTAATTTGCGGTACCATCATAGTTGAACTATCCATGGCGACATCCCTAGGCGTTGACTTACTGTAATACGCGAGTCAAGAGCGGGGCAACAGCAGGGCCAAGATCATGGCGTGTAATGCAGGGGGAAGGCTGACGGGTCTGAGCCACTTTACTTCTTCATTCGTTTATCTTGTTGTCAATCAGTCTTATTTTAAGCCCAATCAGCCAGAAGGCGCAGAAGCAATGATGGTAGCCAAGGGCAGCAATGCCAAGAAGAAGTTTCGGCCCCATCGCCATGCCTTTCTAGCGCTGGCATTTTTATTGGGGTGTGATCGGCCTTGGCGTAGCCTCATTGTCCACGGCCCCTTTGGGCTGTGCGGAGCTATGCGAGGCTCCGCGGAATTCTATTAATTCACCCGTCTCGCCTCTTTGTATTGTTGACAGAGCCTTTTTCTCCCTATTTCTTGGAACGGGACATCGGGAAGCCTTGGATACGGCATGAGTCGTCAGACTTATTCCCCGGTATCTTCTCACAGCAGAGATTCCTCTGAAATCGTCCATTCTCATGACCATCCGTGCTCAGAGCCTCAACCACCAAAGCATAACGCAGGGACAGAGAACAATAGATCAACGTTTAGCTACATCGTCTTGGACTATTCTGTGCATCCTCTCTACTCAGCCATGAAAGTCTAAGTCATACGTCTAAGTCATACGAGATCCCAACTCATACGACCCCCCGGGCGTACCAGCCAGATACAGCGGCCTATGCATCAAATGAGAAAAGGTATCAAAGGGCCCGTGTCATCCAGTCTGTTGTGTCGATTTTGACTATTCCCCTAACGTCGGCTATCTGTTCCGCCGCAGCGGTCGTATTCGTCCAGCACCACGGAAAAGCATACAAAATGACCATGCGGCAGCTTCTTGTTCTCGCAGATAAAGGATGGACTCATACAGGTCTATACTTCGTTTGAGGGCCGAAACGCTGGTGGGAACGCTATTGTAGCTCGCTTCTTTTAGTTGCTATTGCGCTCCATGTCATTGGAGGTCTTATCTCACCTCTTCAAGCCTTGCTTCTTTTCTCAAAGACGATCAAGGTCGTGGGAAGCCTCTCGCATATCGGGGTTGACGACATCTTTACGAGCGCAAAGAATGATACTATCGTAATGGATAGCAGCACTACAAACCCTAAGACACTAAATGATCCGGCAGGAAAAGCTATTCCAGTGCTAAGCGCAGCTTCCAGAGACAGGTACGATCAGCAGATTTGGCAGTCTACCAATACGAGCTATCCAGTTGGCCAAGCGCACTGCGACTCAGGCAAGACGTTAGCCAGTCTATCGTCTATGACCGATCCGTTTCTCAGCCCGTTTCCCATAGGATACAATACTGGAGTCCTTAGACCGTTCGCACCTCGCATAAATTCTAGCGGGGAAGTTACTTACATACAGCCCTCGGACGTTCCCTCGAATTGCTCTACGCCTAAACATGGACTCCATATTCAGTATAATAGTACCGGGTAGGGTGTAGAAGCCTGTGCTTCCGTCTATTTCAACTATACTTAGAATTTTTGGAAACCCCCATAAGAAACTATCGGAGACCGTCAGGACTTCACCAAGGTACTCTATATCAACGTGACTCTGGAATGTGACAATGAATTTACTAGAATACCACCGAGTGAAGCAAGGGAGTGTTGTTATGGCACGACACTTCTGAAAATCACAGGACGCACGATTGCGGGCTGGTTCGAGTTACCCAAATACTCGAATTGCGGGTGCGCCAGGTCCGCTACAGGTGAAAGATCCAATAGAACTAGATCGCGGATCTTTACAGCAGACGTGCGTCTTCTATCCACTTTACCTTTCGGTTAATCACTGACTGGCTATAGCGGAGGCTCCTTAAAGCGTGACCTCGACCACTCATTCCTGATTAAAAACCCAGAGGCGCTGCGAAACAACTTATTCATATATGACCCAGAATTCATTTGAATGTTTATATGACTATGTGATGGATATGTGAAAGTTTAAATATCATCATAATATCCAAGATTGAAAGTGTACAAACATTTTTGAACACCTATGTATATATTAATCAAGTAGAAGTATAAGAGAACTCACTTCTCACATGAATTGATGCTCCCGCGCCACCTACCAACCCGAGTGACTTGCCCTCGCACCCTCCTTTCCAATTTTCCTTCCACTAGAATAGAGGTTTGCACTTCCAACTTTCCGCCTTGTTGACATCACCGGTGCCATCATATTGAGCTTCATTGGGGTAAATACAAATTGGACGTTGTCGGTACACTTTGTCCTGGAGGGTATCATTGTGCCATTTAGTGGCGATGATCTCGTTGGGTGCAGTGCCATTCTCAACCCACGCCATTAGAGAAAGCAGTGCGTCGTGACGGGAGTCGCAGAAGCCGGGGACACTGTGAGCGCTAGTAGAAATACTACCGGCTTGGTTGGGACCCGCAAAGTACCATGGCGCCTCCATATTAGCGGGAGTGCTTTGGCAATGCCTAGATAGTGAGGTTAGTTCGGACTTGTGGTTCTACAGGATTTAGGGACTCACTGCATTCCGGGGACCAAGAAAAACCGATAGAAGTCGCTGACATCAATACCTCTCGGAATCAGTGTTCGCAGCACCTGATCATGGAAATAAATACTACTGCCTGGTGCAATAAGACCATCGGATAATCCATGGTAGTGCAGGAGCTTACCGCCCTTCCTTTGGAAAGGAGAGAGATTAAAGTTGTCGGCCGTTGCGTTTCCAGGGTTCATTCGCTCGGAGATCAAAACGCTCTCATAGTCAAACGTTTCTGATGCAGATTTACCCAGGCCCAAGAAGTATTGAATGTAATTTGTTCCAAGGGCAACAGGGGTACCGTTATTGACGAGGACGCTCCACTGCGCTTCGCTACCGTGTAGCAGATGCGGGAAGATAAATGTCTGATTTGTCTCAACCCAGTCATTGTAAATGAGGTAGAGAGTATCAAGTTGGTCGCCAGATAAACAGCTATCTGCTGCTCGGTTTGTAGTATTGCAAAGCAGGGTCTCAAGCCTCAAGTTGCAACGCCAAGGGTCCTGAATAATGCGGTCAACGACTCCATCTTGTGGGTCGCACTGCCTGAGCACCTCATCGCCGATGACTGAGAACATGGACTCAGGAATATGGTGGGCTGAATTGACAGGAGCGTTATAAGTTCCCACTTTGCCGTTCCAAAGTTGCAATCGGTTGGTCCACCACGCCGGGGCACCAGCAAGGACACCGTCAAAATCATCCGGAAACTCCTCAGCCTCCTTGAGTCCCTGTCGCCCGCCGGTGGAGCAGCCACTATAGTAGTTAAACCGAGGCTTGGTTCCGTAATAGGCTTTTGTCAATTGTTTGGCAACAACAATTGATCCATGCATCGCACGCCAACCCCAGTCAGTAACCGACTCAGGGTTGGTGGCCCAGGAGCCATCGTCACTTGTACTGTTATGGCCAGTGTCAGTTGACATAGCTGCAAAACCGTAGCCTACACCGGCTGCCTATATTACAGTGAATGGTCAGTCAAAGATAGCGTTGCCAGGAAAGAAAATCGAGTATACCATATCGATCCAGTTGATACCTCCCGTAAAGCCCCCATTGCCTACAGTACTGAAAAGCTGTGAGTGATGATACAAAGTATCGTGAATGTCAGTTTGCGACTCACAGGAAACGATGATTCCAAGAAGAAGGCAAGAATAGGCCGAAGCTGAAGGCAGAGGTGGGACTAGAGGTGACATTGACCTGCACTGCGCAAAGCTGTCTCAGTTGTGTCGGGGATTCTGGGTACCCAATATCACTAGAGGGGACGTGGAATGTGCCGTTCGACTCGACTGGGTAAGCGAATGTGATGCTTGCGTTGGCTGGAAGGTGCTTGGAGAACGCCTCGGGATGGCATTCAAAGGCTTTAACAGACCTCAGGAGCAAAGAGAGTCCGCATATGATAAATATTTTCATGGTAGAGAAGAATGTAGGTGGATGTGAAACGACCAACACTCAACTGAGGGGCAACTGGTGTTTATCTAAGATGAGATTCGTTTCTCTTTCGGAGATAAATCACACGGCATTTACATGAACCTCTCTAGCTGTGGGTCTCTTCCCAGTTGCCACCGTACACCGTAGATCACAATAACCGAAGAAAGAGAAAGGAAGGCCGAGAAGACAGGAAAAGAGATGATCAAGACCCATTCCCGCCCCAAATATCGGCTACATACACATGTACCCGCATTTCAAATACATGACTGCAAATTTGTGCATTAAGGGCTCGATTGAGATGTCCTGCGATAATTACACATAAGTTGTGGCGTACTGAATGTCGCTTTTTTCGGTTAAGGAGTGACGATCTTCAACGGAAACCCGGGCTAGCGCACCCGGATCACGGATTGAGCTTATCCGGCTCGCGAAACATGGAACAGTCAATTAAAGCCAAATTGAATTACCGCATTGTGGGTCTCGGCATATCTTAGTCTCTTTCCCCCCATGAAATTCCGCATGTATTTATGGAGCCAGACTTAAGAGCCGGTGGGGTGGAAACTTATTTGGGGTCCAGTAGACCAGGAGTCTATTTGTCATGCAACCCGTACTATCGCTTCTTCAACTTCTCCAGTCTACCTCGCCGTTTCAATGATTTTGGGATAGCTTTCAAATACCAAGCTGGCTGGGAGTCGGATCTGGGGAGAAGAAGCAGCTCCACTGCTGCTAAAACGCCCTGGTCCCGAACGCGCTTGCAGTTTCCCGATTTGGTAGATTTTTGCTGATCGTACCTTGCTTACCAGAATTGGAATAGAGGTGCTCTGGTCATTGGTTTCATTTTACGAGCGGTCCGCCGTAGATCTGCCGACATCCTGCCTCATTCCACGCAGCCCTGACCTGATCTATCGAACAAATCGCAGACCGATGGTGGTCTATGTCGGCATTGGTGCTTCGCTTCTTGCAAATGCCCTTTCCATTCAGAAAAAATGACTCGAAAATTTACTCAGACCATCATGAATCCAAATTCTTGAAAATGAATAGAATATCTGATAGGCTTTCTACTTTTTAATCTTGTCTCCGCTATCGATATCCTCTGTCCCTCCTACGATTGTGGTCGCCCATGGTGTGCAACATGCCTCTCCACACAGATTCACGATGCTCCCGGGATCGGCTTTGACCTGACCCCCTCATATGGGTGAGCGATTGATATTTCCTGTCAACGTTCTGACTCATCTAATATTTGAAAAAGCACAGCCTCAGTACACTACTACAATGGAACCGTCGTTGAAGTAGCCCATGTCCGGGGAAATCCCGAATACCTCGAGCTTATGAAGCGACTTGCACGAGATTCCAGGCTATCGTACGGTAGAACCAAGAAGTCTCGTTATGAAACCATTCTTTCCCACTTCTCTCTGTCTGATACGACTGCATGGGGCGCTTGGTGGCGTTGGCTTAACAAGAAACTCGGTTCCCCGATCAAAGCGCACAACGATGTTGAAATCATCAGCGAGTTACTCCAAGTACTCCAAATCTCTACCCAAGTATCTCAAGCGCTTGATAGAGTTGCAGTTACAACTCCTGATCTCAGCTCCATCAGTTCAATAATCAACGCTGCACTCGAGGACTTGGATCTGCGCACATGGGTAGGCGACAGTGACTTTTACCCCAGGAGCTTGGCGGAGGCCAATGCTGTCTTTGCAGCCAACGGATATGGTCTATGCATAAGCTATCAGGATCTGTGGGATTGCGAACTAGGTTTTTGCCCACCGTCCTTTTCCCAAGTTTTTACTATCTTCTACAGTCGGCATCTTCTGTACACCAGCATCATGATAAGTGGGCAGGCTTTAGCTCGATGGACTTATGATGACGCACAACTTCTGAATTTTGATCTGGGGCTAGATAACCTTCTCCAGACAAAAGGGTCCCAGGACTCACTATGGCCCCGCCTCCGTTCGCAAATTATTGGTCCTTCCTCGAACTTACTCGCGTTCTATTACACACATTTTTCTGGCCGGGGAGAGTGTAACCCACCCACTCTTTCTAGCTACTTTTAAAGATGCCATGGCTGAGATTTGGCCTACATGGCCTGGGAATCTTCAAACGATTATCCCGGATCATGCAGGTCCTGCTGTCGTCTCCAAAATCATGAATCCAACATTCGCCGCCTCTCGAGGTGCAGCACTACATGCCCGAAGGCGACAAGAAGTGCAGGCTGACTGTACTGAACGTTCTACATGTGAAGCGATAAGGAATGAAGAGCGAGTCCATCTTTCATTGAAAGAGGATCTACGTTAAATCAAATGACACATCTTATTTTCTAAAGCCCTTTACTGTCCTGTTCCATCTATCTTTTGCATCAAAAGGCCAGAACTACAAATTGATACAATTCAATACAGCGCAGGCTTTGTTGGATACGAAAAAAAAAAAAAAACAATTCCAGCCTGTGGAGACAAAATGAATCAGGAGTTTTAAAGACGGCACACACACTTACATTCGAACCTCGGCCCAACATAGGGAAATTCTCGCTTGGTATGTTCTATTCGAAGGCCATCCGACGATTGCCTATCGATGTTATAATATCATATCACTTCCAACAAAGCACTTTAAGACCCTGAATCAACAACGGAAGGCACTCGGCAATGTATGTCAATCGTAATTCATAGAAGCCAAGGCTCCGGTGGCCCCACTTCATAAGTACACCCATCCACGCCTGTGGGGGCGGATGAGAACGCCGGGGATCCAGGGACCAAGGGGATCACGACGGAATCCGTTATCTTACCGAGTGGCGGGACTTCCCGAATTGCGAGATTGCTTGATTATACTGTATGGCCTGTGGTGGGGTGTGGCCCAGCTTCGATAGCTGGACTGGTGCTTTCTTGCTGCCGGGCATTAATGTTTCATGGATTTTTTGGTTCCCCTATTGGTCATTATAGCATCGTCTCGGAATGAATAAATTCCGCCGAGGGTTTTAATTAGGTATTTGGCTCGGCTAGACCAAAAAGTGTGTAGCATGGCAATAATCTTAGCACAAGCCATCAGCCATCAGCCATCAGTTACAACAAGGCCCTGACCGGCATCTTCCGCGGCGCTGGCGGTCTTAGGCGGCAACGAATTTGGGACAATTTTAATGGCTAATTCTTCCATTACCTCCAGAAAGTCTTTGGCGTCTGACCGTGTGTTGGTAGGTATTAGCTGCCAGTTGCAAGAAAGAGAGGAAGAGCGTACCATTTCGAGTAGAAAATTTGAGGGTATGCTCCCCGCGACTGGTCATCGGCGGATTGTAGTCTTTGGCCAACATTAAAATGATAAGTTTTAGATCGCGTACGACGACGGTCCGATTGTCGACAAGTTTCAGCCAGCCGCGTTTGTGAAGGTAATGTGTTACGAACGCGGTCCATACGGGAGTTCTGTAGCCGCGCAAGGGTTAGCTCGATGCCATGTGAAAAAAAGATCAATTTTAGGTATTTCTGACCGGTCCATTATTCCTTTGTGAACCGTAGCCTGTATTCGGACAGCACCTGACATCTCGTCGCGGTATACGCGTAGCGCGTGTGGGTAGCCGTCGTCGATTATCAAACTGGAGAAGTCAGTTTATTCCACCTGTGAAGGAATGGGAGGCATCAGTAAGACCCACCCGCCAAATAACTCCTGTTAAATACATCTGGCGATTGACCGACAAGAATCACAGTTGAGCGCACGATTCGTGAAAATCAGCCCTAGACCTGAAGAGGCAGACTATCTCTGCCACCACTTTTATTTCACAGACGATAGAAGGATTGCTCTCACGGGGATGAGGAACATTTTCTGCCTGTTCCTCTCCTGTCTGCGAATACGCAGGATGAGTGGTTCTCTTAATCTTAGGCGTGAAGTCGCCAGTGGTTGGAGCGACCCTCGACTAAGAATTGTGTTCCACTCGGAGAGCTATAAACGGTCCATATCATATATGTAGTAGCATGGATCGAATCTCTGAGTATAGAATGTTCGCGACTACCGCAAAGAACCACACCAGCTATAAGCGAGCTTGTGCGCCTCTAAAATCAGCATTAAAAACCAACCTCCAGCAGGTCATCAAGTTCGAATTCCACCTCTCGCCCTTAAGCCTCCAGGTTCAGACACCCGGGCGCACTCTGCTCGATAATGCGCATCTATAGGTCCCGATTACCGTAGCCTTCGGAAAGGAACCTGTTACTCTATCGGGTTAACTCTAAAAGCTTAATAATAGGAAGGACCATGCCTAAACTATTTCTACTAATAGAGAATTCTTGTTAGAAGATAAAAGGCGCGCTAGAATTATAGGTAAGAGAATATATGGCTTATTATACTAACCCTAGTCCCTAATATTACTAATTCCGAGACCTGCTGACCTAGTATCTAGCTAAAGGACATTATCTAGCCTATATTCTAGGGTCGATAGAGGGTAGAGGCGCGGACTTAGCCATTAGAGCTAAACTTAGCTAGGGTCATCCGCCCTATCGCCAGCCCCTACTCATCGATCATATACCATATATAGTCCGGCCTGTCGGTGAACACCACCGTGCCGTGTCGGGTTATCGAGAGGGCGTAGAAATCAGCTAGGGTGAGATATAGCTCAGAGAGGAACTCGCTAAGCGTAATAGGCGTGGTAGGGCTAAGGAACTCTAGAATATGGTAACGCGGCACGTCGCCCGCCCCCGCTAGGTTGAAAGGATACGGCCTAGTCTATTTATCTCAGTAAATATATAGTAGAATCAGGAACTTTATAAGGTAGATATATAGTTCTAGGGATAAGTCTACCGGCCTATAGATACTAGACATAGGAATTACTTATCGGTTCGCGGGGCTAGCTATAAGAGTACCGAGGCCGGGCAGTCAACAGCTGGGGCGCATTATAGGACATAATTATAGTAAGACTAAACTAATTAAATTTCAATTTTGAGTTAATAAAGCGGGAGATATAAGACGAATATAAAGTAAAGAGAGCACTTAGAAAACCATCAAAAATGGCTGTACAGACCTCGCGGAAATCCTGACTAGCGGTGGCCTATTTCTCGATCAGGGCGCGCCGTTAACGCAGCCCATCTTCCGGGTTTGAGGCTGGCTGGTACTCTTCCTGCAGTGATTTAATCCTCAATGCCACATGTGATTATACAAGTGCACTTAAAGGACTCCCTACCCGTACGAATAGCAGCCATCCCTTTGCCTCTTCTGGGAGCTCAGCTCGGGATAAATCCGTTAGATGTAGGTGGATCTCGGGAATGGCTGCCGGCCAAAACGCTTGCGATGTCAGGTGCGACATTTTTGAGTTTAATTTGTGTTTGTGGAGGGAGTTGACTGCCAGAAATCAGATTGATAAGAGTCAGGTGGGAACTTCTTCCCAGTCCACATAAAAATGATGAAAAAGGCTTCGTAAGCTTTTGCGGTGAGATATATTGACGAACTTGTCCGAGATAAGTCAGTCGCCTTATGAATACCGCTCACGGGCAAGCCAATTACACTAAGGCGACGGACTCCTTTCTCCCAGGGTCCAGGCTAGTGCAAGTACAGTGGCGTTCCACAAGTATTTAACCTTCGGTACTTCAGCCCCCTGGGACCCACTTTGAGTATTTCCAGGCACAAATCGCAGAAATATATTCAAATTCAATAGCTAGTATGCCAACCATCATATTTAACAACATCAGTAAGATGACGAGGTATCACTTGCATGTCATGGAAGTTAGAAATTTCAATCTAGGAAGCGGTCTCAGAATTAAAGCAATACTAGCGTGTTTCGGACATAAGTTTATAGATTAATTTGAAAGAACAGAGGTAAAACTGATTTCGAAAACACTGTACACTCATTTTACGTTCGGCGATATTAGTTGCGATCAAGAGAAATTCACTCAAAGCGATAGTGAGCGGCAAGCTAGATATATAACTACGGATTTGCGGGGTTCTGTCGATGAAAAGTATTTAGAAATCCTGGAATTGATGGAAGAGTCGAAACAGGAAATGTCGCTTCCGCATTGTTGCCTAGAAAGGAGAGGAAAGGTGACACCCATTACCGTAAACAATAATGACACTGATGTTCAACTGAAAAAATTGATGTCGGGGGCCAACGGGTTTTTACAAAGAAGATGAGTCGCTCATTTTGCCTGCTACTTTGACCACGAGTCAAATGACTGATGCTGCTGACTGTAGAGAATCGTACGATCAACAAGATAAGAGCAAATATGACACAGAATAAAGAGATAGCACATGATAAGCTAGATAGTTAGAGATAATAAGAGATAATGACATATAATAATCGCAGAAATGGACTTACAACAGCCGAAATAATGGAGTCAAAGGAATCAAAGGAATAAATCGTTGCTGACGAGATGAAAGCCACGCGGCTCAGGTGGTCCCGTGACACGAGTGCTGAGTCACCGCAAACATCCACTTGAGGACTACTAATCGATATGTGGCCTGTTGTCCATTTTCAGCCTCAGAGAGTGGGGTGAGAGATCAAGAAGATATGCTCGTCAAAGCATGTTTCCCTGGACTTACTCTGGGGTTGAAGGAGTATTTTGAGGCATGGAGATTTGGTTATTTTTGAAGTTTGGTGTTGTTTTTTGAGTCTCATCGTTGGCAATGCCGGGACGGCCGCAAGTCGGGCAAACACCACAATTCAAGCAAACACCAGACTTCGGAGACTCGCTCTGAGGATTTTCTCCAATTCTTTGTAGTGTTCCAAATACCGGTTGTATCATTACCGACCCTGTGTACATCATGACGAGGAATGTGGGTATGGCGATGATAAGAATAGTCTGGAACGGAGCATCATCTATGCATTTACTCAAGTATGCGAGAAAGGCATCGGGAAAGGACTTCATACTGGTGATTGTTTTGAATGCTGGGAACTTTGCGTGGGTAATGAGTTTTGAGGAAAAACAAGAACTCTCCTGCTAAAATCTATAAGCTTGACATGCCTCGTGATACTCTACTGAGTAAACACTAGCGGTCCCAGGTTAATGCTTCTGCCTAGTCAGACCCGTTGTTATTTTATCTTGTGCGAATTACCAATAATAAGCTAATCTACTACTAGTGGACATCAATTGCCGCCTCAAAGTGCCCGCTATCTTCGGCCCCACGTCGTGCCTTACCATGCTCCGAACCCTCGTTCTCCACCTCCCTACGGTACTTACTTTCAAAATTTTTTACTCTCAGCAATCATTAGATCTTACTGTCGCAGGGCGAGGTACACGTGTTGTGACTGCCCACCATATCAACAGAGTAGCTATACTTCAAAAAATAGTTATATGAATTGATAAGCATTTTCCAGCCTTATGGGGTAGCACCAAGCTTTTCTAGGATGTTGAGCCGGGCTCGGCAATTCCACTTGCGGAAATTTGGAATAACCAATGGATAAATCCCGCTAGTTATGCAACGACATAATTTTCGATAGTATGATTATCCCCGGTCCCTGACCCGATCAAAAATTGAACACATTTAGTAAGAAGTTCGAGGAGTCGATGGTGCCGACTCCCGGGTTGCTGTGTCAGAAATTCTCAACTTATCAACTTCGCTCGCTCTACTTTGTAAGAAACGCAATTGACGCAGCCAAGCTCATTGTTGCTTTTTTTTTGGACTCTTCTACCTGAATTCAAGAAGCGGGAGCTACTTGAAATATTCAGTTAAATGTTCATTCGAAGCTATGGAGAACAATTGTGAAAGCAAAGACATCCCGTTGATGAGATCCAAAATTCCTAATTACATCCTAAATGCGTAGGGAAAATTGAGTCCTTTCGACGCGGATTGTCTGTTCTCGAGTTATGACGCTGATACTCGTGCCTGGCTCATTTCCCTTGACCCAGCCTCGGCCACTACCGACGAGGGAAAGGCAGTCATAGTTACTGAAGCGGCCTATCCTAAGAAGTTCGACGCGAATGACTTAGATATGGTTGAAGATGTCGAGTTTATGTTGGCTCAGGTTGCCGGCAATACTACTTCTCTCGGAGAGCGTACCGGCTCTAGCACCTTTTCTGCGAGCTCACGCCACGTTGTGTATGGAGCGCTTGCGCGGCCTTTCTTTCATGCATTAGTGGAAAAAGCTGTAGCTTTGACCTTTGATGGACGAGGCTCCTCGCAGCAAGTGTGTGTCCCGTGGAAGGAGTCACTGCTGTATAAGCTGGTCTATTTACAAGGTGCGGGCAGCCTTCTTCTCTACTACCTGGAAATCGTGCAACTCCGAGGTCGAAACGTAAGACATTGTGAGCGCCTCTTGTGAAGGTCACGACAGCTCCTCTCAGGGTGGCGACGTATGCCTCAGTAACAGAGCCACTCATTGTGGCTGATATCCTTTCATGAGGCCTCGATCCAACGTCTGTGCTTGGGTGAAGCTGTTGGCGACAAAAGCACCGAGGCAGGAAGAAATACAATGTACTACGGAAAAAGAACGAGAGAGTACACAGAAGATACTGTATTGACTAATAACAATATGTTGAAATTAATTCTTAGATATATATTGTTTATCTATTTATAACGGTGATCTAGGAATTTAGTTAACCCTTTTTACTCTTGTTGAAATAGGCTACTATTTATTTCTATGTCGCAGCTCATGGGGGGAGATTATTGGATTGCCTGAAGTGGAGAAAAAGGGATCCCTGGAGAGGGAAAGGAATTATAGTCCCAGTTGGTCGGGATGCCCCGTCTGCCATCTAAACCATTGCTGTGGCTAGCGTAAGCATAAACCCCATTGTATCAGCCTCTGCATTCCAGGAATCCATCTTATGAATGATGCTCGGGTCACTGTTCGCCTTTTGAGCCTCCATCAAGTCACCAAAATACGTAAGCTGCATCCCTGGAATAGTTGTCTGTGTTGCGCTGTACTCCGCTTCCCAGCCTTTATTAGTTCGGCATTCCCACAGGGATCGGCCACCCGGCAAGGGAAGACAATGATATTCTTCCGACGTGTCGCAAGGGATACCAGTTTTGGTGGATATGACCTGTCCGATCAGGAACCAGATGCATGCGACCCTAATGATTGCTTTTGTCAGGGCAATAAACGAATCCATCACACATAATCCACGTACCTGCGCCGAGACTCGGCAAATATCCAGTCAGACCAGCCCCGGCTAGGGTGTGTTTGCTCTGGAAGACTAAATGGGCCTTGACAAAGCGCGCGAAAGCGACCGCAGAGAGTCTGATTATTTCCTGTTAGCCCCATATTCGTCGCCCTATTTATAGGAATAGAAAAGGAAACCCACTGCGAAGGTCAGTAGCATATTAAGGTCACGCTCGCTATGATATGCCGCGTCGTCGACCACGCGCATGATAATGTAAATAATGTAACATTGTATTGAGGCAAGCAAATCATCCGGCCCAAATGATTCAGACTGAATGATTTCCATCAGATTAAGTAGTTCCATATAAGGAAAAGCGCAAACTTAGGCTTACCTGGTCCATTAGTCGTCGCTGCTCAGTCCTAATAGCGTTCCAAACAAAGGCTCTTGTATCGGGTGTTCTGGAGGCGAACATCTGTGCAATACTCATGCAGTTACCAATAGGCTCGGGTAATGTCTTTCGCACTTCAGGCTCATCTCCACGGTGCCAGTTAGGATGAATGAAGGGAGGGAAAACCGCTCTGCGGATCATCATTTGCGGAAAAGCTCGCAGGATTTGAATCAGATGAGTGGCGTGTCGCTGTGCAATGGGATCATCAATAGGTAGCCTCGTAAGAAACCCCGCATCGGCCAAGGGTGAGACCTTTGGCGGCGCAGAAAGTGCAGTAAGCAGCTCCGGTGGATCCATGCCCCAACTTTGCAAGCCGAATGTGAAGTCAGGAGTGTTTGCCACTATCGGTGCAGAAGCTTGTGTGGTCCTGGGAACAGCGAGACTTGAATCCATTAAAAGAAAGTCTGTAGAATTCGACTGCCCATCCCAGATCATATTATCTGCCAACTGGTCGAGATTTGCCATCAGGCTGACTGTATTGCCGTCATCTAGATTAGTGCTAACTGAGGTTGGTGTTCGTGTTTCCATGAGAGGGGTCTCATCAGCGCCGTTTTGCTTAGGCAGTTGCCGCCGACCGGGTCGCTGTTCATATACACATTCGATGCCGCGTCGTAGACATCGAGTGCAAGATGGATGAGTGCTGGTGCATTTTGTCTTGGCAGCGCTGCAGGCGCGACACGACAGAGTTCGCGCGCGAGGCCGGTCTGTTGTCTGACGGCAATATTCCAGGTGCCGGTTTCTGGACGACACTAAAGAAGTATTAGCTGTGTCACTCCTCAGGACGCTCAGCAGTATCAGTTTGAGACCTGTCAAAAGTATTCACTTACGTTGTTTAAAGGGCTTCGAGCAGAGGGTACATGCGTACATGGCAGCTAGTTAATAGTAATGGAATAAATAGAACAGGAATTTATGGCTGATCGGCTAGATCAATACTTTAGAGCTGAGAGCCTCAGAACGTGGAACATTTGAACCATTAAGAAGGGAGGTAGCAGTCCAAAACGCTGACGTGAGGGAACAAATGTCCATTAGTAATGGGACGGCGAAACTGGCCGATGCTAGTATCGGCCAGTTTCGCCGTAAAACAAAGAACAAAAGTCCAAGAATGGAAACAATCCAGGACAAAAAAAATCAATAATATGCTTGAAAAGAAAGATCTTCAATGGAGAATATATTGCTCAATGCCTTTAGTATTAAAATGCGAATAACCCGAAAACTAGGTGTACCAATGAAATGAACCTATCCATAACCAATTTCAGACCCGCTTTAACCCCGCATCTGACTCTAGGGCTTAACTATCACAATTTAAGTATGCCCTAAAATCTGAAGGACAGGGGTTTGGCTGTGAACTCGTTGATCATTGCCCACTAAAGCGACACAGTTATGCTGCGATTGCTGTACCCTTAGCACCCTTGGTGAAAAGCTTGTCTTTCTGTAGAAAGAGTGCAAGTCAGTATTAATACCATGAAATTTTGCTCGGAATTTGCAGAACATACCCCTAGGAAAAGAGACAAGACCACACAAATGCCACCAGCAACAGCGAGCAAAATCCACACTGATCGCATAGCAATGACAATAGCATCTATCACGGCGGCCGATTGGGCGCTTGTTAAGCTAGCACTGAGGGAGGAGCTGGTTCCAGCAATAAATTCACGGACATCGACATCGCTAGCATTAGGCAGGAGCTTGTGAATCTTCTCGATGACCAGATTTTGGTAGGAAGTGCCCATGATCGCCAAGAAAAACAGAATGCCCAAGAATTGCGCTAATAAGAACGTCAGTATGCGTCTTCCGCTGCAAGGCTGAAAATCGCCATGCGCTTACAGATACTCATCAAGCCGACGACATTGGTCAGCTCGGTCATTGGAACCAATTGCTGGGATACACTGTAGCTGGCCTGGCAGTAGGAGCCGACGCCGATTCCCATCAACACGGTATATCCGTAAATAGTAGAGTTCGAGGTATTCGCATTAACAGTGCCTGATACATATTAGTTTCATCAGCGCTGCGCCCCGCATTCAGATGTTTCATATGTTTCAGAACATACACATCAATGCTGAGCTGATTACTACCAGCGCGCCACCACCAAAGTACCAGGGCATGTAGTATCCAAACCGGACCATAAGAGCAGCGTTAATCAAACAACCAGCGACCAGCATGAAAACATAGGGTAGAAGCCGCACAGCGGCTTCAAGGGCTTTGTCGGCCTAAAGAATTGTAATTAATATCGACGTTCATGAAGAGTATCAGGGGAAGTAATTGGTAGAAAGACGCATACCTTCGCAAACTCAAAGAACAAAGGGATATAGTAAATAGCACCTTGGAGCACACCTGATGACAAAAACATTTGGACAGATAAATTGAGCATCAGAGGGCTCTTCAGCAAATGGCTGGGAAAGAGAACCTGTTCTTTCTTCACAAGCGGGTGGAAATACTGCACCAGAATAAATCCGACGCAGATGACCGCCGTCATGACCCAAAGTACGATTTCCTTGGCAGAATTCCAAGCATAAACGGCACCTCCGAAGTTGATGGCCATAACGAAACATGCGATGAATCCATTCAGGAAAATGATGGACACCCAGTCCACTTGCTTGTGCTTCTGAAGCAAAGTTGCTGTTGGCTGTGCGTCGATATTAGGGAGCAGGAAAAAGTAAATAGGGGCAAATAGGGCGGCAATTAGGAGGTTAATATAGAAGGTCCACCGCCATCCTGCTGAGCTGTCTGCGAATGCACCGCCGACCTATATAGCAAGTTAGATTATACCGTGTATGGATGATATCGAAGGAATCATACAATTGGTCCGAGGACAGTGCCAATACCCCAGACAAAGCCGACGAGCCCGATATAATGCGGACCTTCCCGAGGACTAGTTGTCATCGCGAGGTATGTAATGCAACCGAGATACATACCCGATCCCTACTTTCGTTAGTCTTTCAAAAAAAAAAAAAAGTCCTAATAATTCAGTGGAGACCTACCCCAATTCCACTAGTCATTTTATTAGCAATTACAAATGAAAAGGAAGAGGAACCAGACGTACGCAATCACTCGTCCAATGATCAAGGCCGTCATATTCGGTGCCGCGCCACAGATAGCACTTCCCACCTCAAAGAGGGCAACTGTGAGGATATATGTCCATTTCAGGTTGAAGACTCCGAATGACTTGCCCCAAGGAAGAATGTTCATGGCTCCAAGTGCATAGCCAGAGCTCAACCAGGGAAGCAAATCTGCCTGGCCAAACCGACTGATCATCGCAGGGGAAATATCCGCAACCTGAATACCACAGATTCCATAAGTAATTGGGATCAAGGAGGCTAAAATTGCGGTGGAATCTTACTGCAGTCGTATCCAATCCGAACAGAAAAACGGACGAGAAAATCGCCAACACAGCTAGAAACCACTGCAATCGTTAGAAATTGCTGAAAGCCGCGCGTCGAAAAATTCTCACTTTGACACCATGAATTGACCTGTACTTGTTTCGCTCATCTTCAACCTGCACAGTATCTTTTGAACTGTCTGGCGTGGAGGCCCCAGAGCTCAAGTGCCCATGGGAGTCATCAAAAACGTTGGTCGCGTCCAAAGACGGTCCTTTTTCGCTAGTTTCGGCCATTTTGATGGGCGATACTGGAATTTGAGACGAATGACTGGAAAAACTAATATGAGGATAGAAAGTTAACAGTTCTTAATACCATTCCTTAAGTATTAGGGGCGTTCTACTCCGGTTCTTTCGTGCCGGCGAATTTGGCCGACAGCCCGGCGAGCGGCGCCGGTATCTCGTCGTTGACAATAGTTTGCGGGATTTTGCTATCAAAAAAGAAAACTAAAAATAAGGGGGTATCAGGGGTTCAACTTAGTTTTTCAAGGGATGTCTCCCGTTTGTTTTGTGAAGAATTGTAATTCATAGGAGCCAATTTGACCGAGTGCCACTGGAGCTTCCTGGACTTTCTACTTGGTTTGGATCCAACTCTGGAATACTTTCTGGAAGACTAGAAAATTCAAAATAATATTTAAAGCGATCAGAAGATGAATTTAAGGTAGCCACAAACCCTTGTAGATATCGTAGTAGGACTGATATATATATTAAGTGGTGATGAACATAGTGCACATCCAGCGAGGGATGCTATTCAAGGACTCATTTGGCCCACCTAATTTCATCATCGGGCAATCCATCGTCCAGAAAGTTTGATTTTGATAAACAACGACCGTTTCCAAAATCACGATAAATAATTCCATATCTTCGACTGGGCGGAACAGGTATATAGTTATAGTATGTAGTCGTGAATGAGAGAGCACAAGTATGTATGATAAGGCATTTAATAGAGTCTGAAGTATGGGATGTAAACAGTGGTGACCAACAACATTGAATAAGTGACATGTAAGTGGGAACTTGAAAAGGGAAAGAAGGTAAAGTGTCATCTTATAGTACGAGCCTTTATATCTTTCCTCATTTAGTAAAATGTTCAAATTTAGGAACATTGCGGTTAATAGAGGGCAATGTAATTTGTATTAATCTATAACTAGGTACAAGCTTCAGGCAAAAATAGTTCAAATTCAAGAAGTAAAAGTATGGCGAGAGCATATTGACTTGTCTGTATCGATCGTAACAGCCAAAACAATCGACAAACAGGTGGAAACTAATAACAGCGAGCTGTAACCTCAAGAGGACACAGAAAGCAAGCCCAGATTGGTAGCAATGGCCGTAGCTAAAGTTTTGATGCTCATTTTGGGTGCCAAAAGCTCCTGGAATGCAATATCCAGGGTGTATTGCTTGAAAAGCCAATTGCGCAGCTCTGCTCCAATCATGCTATCAATGCCGTAGCTTGCAATTGAGTTGCCATCATACTCAAAGTTTTCCAATGAAATAAGCAGCATTCCAGCGAGCTTCTTCATCACATGTTGTCCGACTGCTTGTAGCATGGCCTCAGGTCCTTCTTCCTTGAGAATTTTCAAAATATCTCCGTCACCAGAATCGCCTGATGGGGAATCCTGACCCATAGACTCAATCGTATGACGAATACCTTGGAATCATGCATCATTGTACCAGTAAGCGTCGGCAGACTCAGAAGCCGTGAGAGCGGCCTCCAGGCGGGCAGGCTCCATGCCGAGGATTATCTGAGCATCGCCAAGAATGTGTGGGCCAGCGACTTGGGGGACTGGCTGCGCCATCGAAACCTCAAAGCCGCGCAGCATCTCCCGTTCGTCAATACCGTACATGGCTTTGCGCGTTAGGGAAGCTTCGAGACTTTGATCTTCTGAGACCACACCCACATCAAGGACCATGGGAAGAATAAGAGAGACACCCGGAAGGCCAAGCTGGTTGCGGTGCCACGCGAGGCCATCCAAGTAGCTATTACCAGCACAGTAATTAGCTTGACCGGGATTTCCGAGAAGAGCTGAAATAGAGCTTGTCATGACAAAGAAGTCCAGTGCGTGTCCTTGCAACACCTCGTGCAAGGTGCGAGCGCCAGCCATCTTGGGAACCAAGGCCGCTTTGAACTTGTCATAAGACATGCCGTTGTATATTCCATCCTAAGGTTTGTGTCAAAATACATAATTGATTGTACAGGGATGGGATGCCTTACCTGCAGTACCATCGCGGCATGTACCACTCCACGAAGAGGCCGTTGAGACGTGACTTGATTCACAGCCTCTGTGACGCCCTTCACATCCGCAGCATCGGCGCGGAACACCTGCACCTGAGCCCCCGCTACCCGAAGAGACTCGACCAGCTATTAAATATCAGCAACAAGACGCTAGTGTAGTGATATCATGAAAACGTACTGATTTCGCTTCAGGCTTATCATCACCAGACCGGGACAGAAAAACAAAATCCCGTGCTCCTTGTTCCATCATCCATGTCGTGAGACTTCGGCCTAGGCCACCAAGACAGCCGACCAAAAGGTAGGCCACGTTGGGTAGGAATCCCAGCTTTCTTTCAGCAGGGTGAATCTATTATAATTGTTGATCAGTTTTAATTTTCATCAACTAAAGTTCCAAGCAAGTGGGTAATATACCTGAACTGCAAGATCGTCGTAGTTGAATTGAAGATAATTGAGTCCAGTAGACCATTTTACAACGTTAGCAATGCTTTCAACAGGCGACGTGATCTTGTGCCGCATGGCACCATTGAACGGGATGTCAATTTGTTCTTCCAGCAAGTGGAGAGCACTTTTGACCAGAGAACCCAAGATTGGACCTTCATTCTTGTAAAGGGTCTCAATACTTGTAGACTGGAAAGAGGCACCGCGCTGGAAAGGAACCACATCAGGGGCTTCGCCCACAACAGCACCGTTGAAAACAAATCGGCCCATCGCTGGGACGGACCGCCATGCGTCCCGACTAAGGGTGTCCCATTCGTGGCTGACAATAGAGACAGGAGTGGTTTGCTTAGAGGAAGCTTGCAAAACTCCACGCAATTCGTCCATGTCAGTAACATTGAGTTGGATTTCGGCACCAAATCCTGGCGCCGAGGAAATCAGTTGCCGTTGCTCCTCATTAGCGCAGAAAATGGTTAGTTGAAATCCGAAAGCTCTCTGCAGTCGGATGGCCGCTTGAATGAACGAGTAAGGCGCCGGAAGAAGGATCAGATGGTCTGCCTTGCCAACGACCCGGGCAGCTCCCATAATAGAATTGATAGCGGAAACAACGCCGGGAATGACAGTAACTGCATTTGCAGCACCGAGGTTGGAACTCCTTTCATGGTAAATACCAGCCGCCATCGACGTGGTCCTCACAAGTGTGCTGAGTGGGCCGGAGGTATATGCGACAGCGGTCGATCCAATCAGGGAGTTATCCACCCCAGCTCCAACCCGGATAACAGTACCTGCAACCAATCGCGGCTCAACTGACACTGTTCTCAAATCAGTTTCGAAGAACTGCGCCTGCTGAACCTGAATCTCAATCTCATTCGCGACAACATCGACGGGCGCAGCTTCATGGAAGATAAATTCTCCGGCCACCGGCTCAGCAACGAGTGATTGAGTTTGAGGGAGGGGCGTGTGCTGAATCTTTTCATCCCCTTGACCTGACCAGGTGCCGTTCAGGTGGACATTAGGTGTCACTCGTGGGATGTGAAGGATGCCCTTGTGAAGCCAGAACTCGGTCTCCTCTCGCGAATCCTTCGTCGGAATTTGGTCTAGCAGGCTAGCAAGAGTCTTAGCAATCATTCCTTGATCTTCATTCCTATCCACATCAAGAAGAATGATTCTGGCCTTGGCTTGCTCAGATCGAATGGCGCGAAGGAAGCCTTGAGAAGATGTTCCCTCAATGCACTGGCCTTCATTGACGCCAGAGGTCAACCAAATAGTTGGAACTCCAGACTGAACAATCTGCTTCAGGGAATCCCAGGTCTGTTCCGTCAAAGTTGACAGCAGTTTGCCATTCATATCGTGGATGAGGAATACTTCGTTCGGCTGAGGGATCAATTCAGTGACCTCCGACAGGGGCCATTGTTGCACCTTTACCCCTGCCTTTGAGTCCAATCGCTGCCCTAACGAGATAGCCAGATGCTGTTCGCTATCATCTCGATAGAAGGTGATCACCCCGGACGTGTGTGACGAAGTGCCATTGGAAAACTCGGGGTTCTCTTCCAGTTTATGCGAGAAGACCACAGACACTGTAGTGAGCGGGAAAAGCAGCTGGGGCTTTGAGAATCCAGTAATTGTGAGCTGCTCAACAAATTCCGGGGGGAAGAAGGAGACACCAATGCCAGCAAGCTGCCTTGTCCTGCCAACAAGCGGCTCACACCAGTTAATAGCTGGGCATTATCGACACCGCTTTCTAGTCCCGCAAGGACAAGATCTGCGGGGGCGAGTTTGAGAATGCTCCACTCTTCAGATGGGTCCACCGTCACCTTGGAGATATGACGCAGAGATTGTCCTACCGTAAGATTGTCCAGATATTCATTTGAATGATCGAGTATGGTCACAGTAGTGGATAAGTTGATCCGCGACAACACTGCCTCGATGACTTCGTCTCTAGGCCGACCCAGGACAATGAGATGAGCTAGAGAGTCGCGATGTTCCATGAGCTCAACCACTGCAGCCACTGAATCGGCATCCGACTGCACGGAGGGGTAGGCGGCTACCGCTTGAGAAGTATCAAGTGTGGAGATGTCAGGCCTCCAAACAGTCTGCATATAAGGAGCGCGCTCCACAGCCTCGTCCACCTGCGGAACTGCGGCCTCATAGGAGACACAGCGAAGCTTATGAATATCAAGAACTAGCTGACCCGAAGGGGTAAATAACTTCGTGTTGGTGTCAAAGTAGCGACCGCGAACCTGGTCAGTCCATGCCACAGCCTGGCCAATATGTCCGATGTCCTTTTCGTCAGGGAACCAGAGCGACAACTCCTCGATCTCAATCGGTACAACACCATGGTGCATCTCCTGATGCAAGCCCTTGTTGATAGAGATGATAATGAGCTGCAGGCAACCATCAATGGTAGATGGGTGTAAAACATATCGAGATTCGCCAGTGATCAATCCGCTCTCTGTGTTGATTTGCACTTGTGCGGCGGCATGGTGATCGCGGCCGTTGCTTCGAATGTTGCTTACTGGCTGGAAGCTTGGGCCATATTCAAAGCCGACGCGGTGGAATGCATCGTACCAGCGTTTTCCCGGCACCTGATGGGGGAGTTCTGATGCTGACGTTTGGACAGGGTGCTGATGCTGTCTTGGAGTAGCCTCAGAGCTATTTATCGCCGCAACTCGGCCTTCACAGTGCATCGTCCATGCGCCATCACGAATGGATTCAACAGCAAATTCATACCATCCGCTTGTGGAGGCATCCATACCCTTGTATTTCGTGATTGCTGAGAGGCGGACTTGAATTTCAGCCCCGTCATCATTGTCCGGGACCACCAGGGCAACTTTGATCGCCACATCACGGAAGGTAATGCCGGTTATGGAGACATCTTTGTTTTCGCACACCTGGCGCAGAGCTTCAGCTGCTACAGAGAGATAGCCAGCGGCGGGGAAAATATCGGCATTGCCCAATTTATGGTCCACCAGCCACGGAATGTCGCGGTGCCGAAGGACATTGCGCCACACGCACGAGCTATCTGATAGACCTGCAACACGACTACCAAGTAGGTCGTGACGCGCATGTGTCATCTTGCGGATCTCTTGACTTGGACGAGGCTCGGCCCAGAAGGTTTTATCGTAGTTCCATTTGTAGGGAGGTAGATCCACTAGTGTGCGGGGGCGGCGAACCTTCAGACTAGCATCCATTGCATTGACACGGCGAAGGTCAAGGGGATAGTCTTGAACCCACAGGAACCCAGCTGTTTGAAGAAGTTGGACAGCACTATCTTTTCCACGAATCAAGGTAGGCAGATAGTTGAACCGTGCCATTTCCTTCACGGCCTTGTTAATCTGCTTAAATGGTCCACCCAGGGCAGCATGAGGACCAATCTCAATCATGGTAATGCTCTCATTCTCTTTCAAGACACCTGGGATGGCGGTAACGGCCGTGTTGAAGCGTACACGCTCTCGAAGGTTGGTACTCCAGTAGGATTCGGGGACATCGTTCGCGGTGAATTCTTGGCCAGTGACTGACGAGACCCAGGCCACCCGGGGTAGGACTGGCTTTGCATCCACTCCCTTCACGGCCTCTGCAAGTAACGTATCATAGACACGTGAAACGGGGTCCATCTGAGGGGAATGATAGGCCTTGCCAGTCTTCAGCTCTCGTGCGAAAACCCCAGCTGCATCCATTTTGGATTTGACTGCCTGGATAGCTCCCATCGAGCCACTGAGGGTTACGCTGGCAGGGCTGTTCTCACACGCGATGACAATCCCATCTTCAAGGTATGGGAGTGCCTCTTTTGCTCCGAGACCGACGGCCAGCATGCCACCAGGAGAAGCATGCTGGGCCACAGTCAATCCGCGCAGATAGGCGGCGATGATGGCGACCGAAGCAGAGATACGACCGGCAGCATATGCGGCGGCAATCTCACCCGATGAATGGCCTACGGTGACTTTGGGTGTGATATTCCATCCAGCAAAAAGGTCCACTATGGCAATCTGCACAGCAGTGCATACTGGCTGGGAGAATTCTGCCTCGGACACACGGCTAGTCTCAACGGGGGCCAGCAAAGCATCCTCAAGCGTCCAACTAGGGGTAGGCTGCAGGATCTGCAGGACTTTATCCAGGCGTCTAATCGTTTCTCGGAACGAAGGGAAAGCTCGCATCGCGTCAACTCCCATACCCGCCCACTGAGCACCCTGCCCCGTGAACAGAAAACCAACACTGGGTGTGACCTTTGGAGAAACTCCATAGTTGAACTGTGTGACATCAAATGCATCAGCCAGGTTGGCCTCGGAAGCGACCGTGAAAGCGCGTTGGGTGAACTTGGTACGATGATGAAGCAGCGTGTAAGCGACGTCTGCCAGATAGTAGCGATCAGCGACATGGCCGTGTGCCACGATGTTCCGTGTTAGGGTCACTTTTTCGTGAGCTGAAAATCCTAGCAGGAAAGGGCGAGAAGCCGAGTGGTCATATGAAGCCTCAAGCTTTGTTTTACCATGCTGCTGGTAGTTGGGGAAAAGTGAGTCAATGCTCTCCACAATGACATGGCCGTTGGTGCCACCATAGCCAAAGGAAGATACACTAGCACGGCGCTCAGAGAATTCTGCTGGCCATGGAATGGTGTTGGCGTTGACTTTGATATTCCACTCATTCTCCTTGATTGCTGGGTTGAGGATCTTGAGCCCACAAACGCCCGGAATGACGGCAGCCTCTGTCATCATAGCAGCCTTCATCACGGCAAATATACCGCTGGCAGCCTCACTATGGCCAATGTTTGCCTTAATGGCTCCAATAAGTAGCGGCTTCTCCAGACTGCGAGTGTCATTCATGGCCATCGAGACAGCATGACTTTCAATGGGATCACCGACTGGAGTACCTGTTCCGTGGCATTCGAAATACGCGGTGCGGTCGGGATTCAGACGCGCCTTTTCATAAGCAGAGCGCACGACACGCTCTTGACCACGTTTGCTTGGGTGGGTGATTCCCATTCCAGGGACCTTGCCGTTTGTGTTTACAGCGGAGGAGCGAATCACGCCTCGAATAACATCACCGTCGCGAATGGCGTCCGACAGTCGCTTCAAGTAGAGAGCACCAGCACCTTCCGCACGACCATAACCATCGGCCGAGGCGTCAAAAGTGTGGCATGTCGAAGTTGGTGACAAGATTCCCAGCTTTGCGGTGTTCATGTGCTGGTCGACTGTCATAATCAAGTTCACTCCTCCCACAACAGCGGCATTGCAGTCTCGTCCACGTAGTGCATGGCAAGCATTGTGAATGGCATAGATGGATGAAGAACACGCGGTATTGATTGTGAAGCTGGTAAGAAGGGTCAGACTTCCATTTGCCTAGTAAGGAGGCAATAGCAGACTTACCTTGGTCCCTGTAGATTGAAAACATTTCCAATCCGAGCACTGATGAGGCCCGTATCCACACCGGTGGCAGCATAGTTGTGGCGAAAGTCCGGCTCGCGAGTCGACATCTGCTGATAATCACTGGTGAAACTGCCAACAAATACAGCAGTGTTGCTGCCTGAAACTTGATCCAATGTCAAACCAGCGGACTCGAAGCACTCATAGACGACTTCGAGAATCTTGCGCTGTTGAGGGTCCAACCACATGGCCTCAATAGGCGTCATATTAAAGAAGCTGGGATCGAAACTTTCAATCGGCTTGTCCAAGAAGTAACCTCCTGGAACATTGAAGCTGCCTGGGCGCTCAAGGTTTGGGTGCAGGTAGGCGTCAATGTTGAATCGCGATGCTGGGACTCGTGGGGTTTGGACTGATCCTTTCTGAACGAGTAGGTCCCATAGGGATGATGAACTGTCAACGCCTCCAGGCAGGCGGCATGACATGCCTACCACTGCGATGGGCTCAAGCGGACAATCCTCTCCTACACGATCTTCGTTGAAGTGAGGCATTTTGATGGAGTTAGAATAGGGCGGTTTAGGGGTGTTTCAAATCCAAGTTGAATTGATGATTATTAGAATAGATCCAACTTGAAGCTTGAAGTCATCTTCTTATGCACGTCATGATTTTCTCTTTGAGACGATGTAAAGTTATTCTTTATGCTTGTAACCTACTAGCGGCCTGAGTTCCGGTATAGCAGATTGCGAGGTATGGAGGCTCGGCCCGGAGACCTTCCTGATCCTCCCGGGTAACCCGCCACGTCAAAGATAGCACGCATTTCTGTCTGATAATTTCGGCGATCACGGCGAGGTTCTGGCGGAATAATACCTATTTCCATACTCCTCTTCAGTAGACCTGCATAATTCTTGGCATTTTACTCATTATGCTCCCTCGCCGCAACTTCGATCACACAGATCAGTTTCAACCTTACCTTCTTCAACATTTTCACTTGCCACTGCTTCCGTAAAACAACGATCTCGTTACCGTACCAATGTTGACGGCTGAGAGTTACTTCATCTCCCTATCAATCGTGGCAACGCTGCTGCTTTGGGGGGTCAGTCTATGGAACGGCACTGTCCTGGAATTAATCCTGACAGTCTGGCGCGGGCATTTCGAAGACGGGACCCCCTTTCATGCCAGCTATACCGGAATTTTCCCTCTAGATTTCCCCATCGGCCTGCTAGTTGCTTTCTTCTACTACGGGACAAATGGTTCCCACCCCGGGTACCAACTTTTCCTCATAGACGCCTATTCAACATTGCAGTCGGCATTTGTCTGGTTATATATCGAAAGTTACCGACCATCTGCAAAGCCTTCTGCCATCTCACGTCCCATCCTCTGGGGCCTATTATGGCAGGCTGTCGGGGCCGCAATATCCTTGCCTCTATTCTATTACCATCACCTCAAGTGGATTTCCGGCGTTGGAGCTCATAAAGTGGAGGCTCCGAATTCCACTTCGGCCAACGCCTTGTCATTGAGCTTCCTCTTGGGTGCAGTTGCTCCAGCAGTGATCGGAATGCTCCCTACTTGGGGCCCTCGGGATCCTATTCTCCATCAAAAAATCTTGGCCGCTTGGCAGCCAGATCCGGTCTGGGTCTCAATCTTCCAATTCGTCTTCGTGCAAATCTTAAGCCAGACAAGATCTCGAAACTCCGATACACACCCCAAGCGCCGTCGCGGCGTGTACTGGGTATACGGCCTTGCCGCTCTCTCGTCAACGGTTGGCCATCTTTATACCTCGATCGCGCTTTTTCGCTCCTCCGCTCTAGAATTGACCTGGAGCCGAATATATATCCCAAATTTGTTCCACGGACCACCAGATGCTGTTGCATTGCTAGCAAAGGGTCCTTGGCTGTTTCTGCAGTATGATTTAATTATAATCGCTCTGTCTAGCTTGTCATGGGCATATGTGGTTGCATGTCGCACATCGCAAAGTCGATCGCCAGTCAAATTTTTCCTGCCCTTGCTTCTTATCATTGGCCAAGTAGTTGTCGGAGCAGGAGCAACTGTATCACTTGTACTGCTTTGGCGGGAAATTGTGATGGAACGCGCGGAGGATTCCGCGAAGAGCGACCGCTTGCGCACTAGGAATATCAAATGAGGCGCTCAGACTGTCCACGTCGTGTTCGCTACATAAACAATCACCGCAGGCACAGCTCTTAGAATGGACACAAGTGAGGACAAAGAAGGATTGAAACCTATATCAAACCTACACTATTTCATATAGCCGGTAGACCGACTTTCATGGGAATTAGTTATACCTCGAATGACATCAATGACTTCTTGTAAGACACAGAATGTCCCCAGCCTGTCTCATATCTCTTTCAATGTTTTTCTTCATCATGTGAAAACTTTCAAGAATTTAAATCGAGCGGGGATGCTAGTGCCATGAATCTTGGCTAAGACGGATCCAGCGACACAGCTAGTGTCTCCTTTATCTGAACAACAATATATTGTGATACGTTGAATATTGAATACTTCAAAACTATTAATTACGTGCGAGATGTTGTTTGAAATATGCCAGGTGGTTTGTCATAATGAAGAGAAGATAAATACAGTCAAAACCAATGTCTTACTAATTTCCCGTTTGTACTGGGCATATCAAGTTGCGTGACCTATCAGTCAACAGAGAATGCATCAATCAAAACCCCTCCGAGGATGATTTTTCAACTGGCTGTACCATTTAGGATGCACAGTTCATTCAGTACTGCATGAAACCAAATGTTCTAGAATCATCTAACAGCTAATACTCGGTCCGGGACTGCGGAGTGATGCGCCACACACTTCGGGCTGACGCCGAATAGCCCGCCGCCCACGGCATTGCCGCCGTCAGGGAAGAGAATACCGGAGTAGGATCACCACCAAATCCACAAGTCCCTTAGGGCTCTATTACAATCAAATGAGCCTGCTTCAGCCCTCTTTTTTTCTCATGATGTATCAACTGCTGCTATTACGACGGTCGCTCCAAAGATCATAACTGCTTTCTTTGGCGCTTTTTGGTGCCTCTCAAAGTGCCTCCAAACCCGTCTAAATGGGGTCCAAATCTATTGAAAAAGTCGATGTGGCCATCATCGGCGCAGGTAATACCCTCTACCGAATCAAATGAAATATGATTTCTGATATATTCGATGAAAACAGGATGGTATGGCCTCGTTGCAGCACGCACATACCTGCGCTTGTGCCCGAATGTCAATTTACTGGTAATTGACTCCGACTCGACGGTTGGTGGTGTATGGAGTGAAGACAGGTTGTATCCCAACCTCGTCGCCCAGGTGAACCTTGGATTATTCAATTACACCGATACGCCAATGCCCAGTGTAGGCGTTACCGGCGAGAGACAAGTGACCGGGCGTATGATCCATGATTATCTCCAGCAATATGCCGAAGACCATAACCTTCTCCCACACATCCGTTTCAACACGTTCGTTACTCAAGTTGATCGGACCTCCTCATCGGGCGGATGGCGGTTGACACTCCGCGACTCTTCGAAGATTATCGAAACCGCCAAGCTGTTGGTCGCGCCCGGAGTCACTTCGATTCCGAATATGCCTGATATTCCTGGGATTGAGCAGGATACCTCAAAAGTGCCAGTGATCCATTCGATGGACCTCGGCAAGTCGTTCTCTGAGTTGCAGGGCCCTGAAATCAAAAAGGTCATCGTGGTTGGTGCTGCCAAGTCTGCTTACGATGCGGTGTATCTCCTGCTCACCATGGGGAAAGAAGTCACTTGGGTCATTCGAGGAGATGGAGCAGGGCCCTTGGCCATCCTGCCCTCTACACTACTTGGAATATGGACCAGTATTGGTGTGGCATCGACAAGACTAATGACCGGGTTGAGTCCCTCCATTCTCAACACGGAAGGATACCTTTACTGGATATTTCAGAAGTATCCCATCGGACGCTGGCTGACTGAGCGGTTCTGGGACACTGTTGCGATGCTGAGTGACCTCCATGCTGGATATCACAAAGGAGGTCATGTCGCTGGTCTGCGCCCTGAGATTGAAAACAAGAGGTAAGCAAGCAATTTTCCCCCTTCAAATCAAGTACACAAGGTGCTAATCTCTTACCAGTATATTCTGGGCAAACTCCGGATTAGGGGTTGTTACTCTTCCAGACTTTTGGTCAACCATCCACAAGGGTAAAGTACGCGTGGTGCGAGAGAGCCTGAAAAACATCGATGGCAATGCTCTAGTCCTGCAGTCAAATGAGAGAGTGCCCACAGATTACATCGTGATGTGTACTGGCTGGGGCGATCACTTTGCATTATTCGACGCAGAGACAAAACAAGAAATCGGGCTTCCTGTCCACCCCGTGCCGAAGAATCAGAAACTCGATCAAGGCCCCGACCGCTGGGCGCAGGCTGATGAAGATGCCGATGCAGCGGTCAATCTCAAGCTGCCGTTCCTTGCACACGCGCCCGCGGTACGGAACCCAGGTAACCTCCAGCGACCTCAGAAGAAATGGCGTCTCTACCGACGCACTGTCCCTCTTGAGTTGGCTGAGAAGGGGGATCGCTCGCTCGTAATCCTAGGCCAGATTCATACTGTGCAGACCCCGCTAGTGGCCGAAATGCAATCTTTCTGGGCTATTTTGTATCTTCTTGGTCGGGTTACTCTCCCAGATAGCGACACCATGGTTCGAGAGATTGCCGAGTGGAACGCTTGGACTAGGAAGCGGTACCTGAGCCAGGGACAGAAGTTTCCTTACTCCCTTTACGACTTTTTGCCGGTATGTTAGTCTTCCAGTCTGTGATTCATTGACAGTATGCTAATAGCTTCAAGTATGTCGATACGCTATGCAAGGACTTGGGGATCAACTCTCGGCGAAAGTCGAACCCTGTAGCGGAGATCTTCTCCCCGTACCGCCCCGAAGACTTCAATGGTTTCATCGACGAGTATTTTGCCAATCAAATGAATAGTTCGGTCTCTCAACCCGCAGTTTCGACTCGACTTTCGTCTACATTGGGAATTTTCGGGTTCAGTCTCGCCTTTATCATGATTCTCTCTACTATTGCCATCATGGTGTGACACCAGCATCTAAACCTTTAGGACTTGCTTATACTAGGATGGATAGACAATGCAAGACATATGTGTTTGTTAGGAGTTTTCAGGAGAAGCCGCACTTGACGCCTTTTACTCGGAACTTTTTGTTTTCTATATATGATACGAAGGCTGTCTCCAATGATTGCGAGAGACTTCCACTCATTTTCCACTTCAAACGTTTGGTATGAATTGGCTTTGGTTACTTCATTCAATTTCTTACAGGTTAGTTATCAGTGCTAGGATGGGTTGAAGAGTTTTCAATGTTACGAATGAATGTATGCGATTTGAGATACTAACGTGACTATGTTATCAATTCTCCCTCTCTGTTTACTCAAATGCTTGTCAGGATTTAACCTTAGGAAATTCCTTGTATCCCTGACCAGCAACAAAGGTATCCATCCACGGTCTCTGTTTACGATCCTGGCTAAGCTCCCAGTAGCGCTCTGCATGCGCCACGCCGCTAATAGCGCCACTAGCAAAGTCGCCATTGGCAAGGCGTTCGTCGCCATAGTAGAAGCTTGGTAAACAATTAGCTTGGCTCCGAGTTGAAATCCCGAACATGGATGCTTACGTGTATCCTTTGCCCTGAAAAGAGAGGGTAGCATTCTCGATGACGTGGCCAAAAGCAGTCTTACCAAGACCAAGGCTAACGAGCCGAGGCATAGGCATCATGTTAAGGCCGTTGGCAGTGTAAATGAACGACTTTGGTAAATCGGCTGGAAGGGTCTCAAAGCCCTTCACAGCCTCTTGTGCGGCGAGGTAGGCTGACGTGAAGTTCACGGCCAGATCGTAGTTGAGCTGACCAAGACTAAGCGTTAAAGGATTCTGCGGCTGCGCCGGGAACACATGGTACGCTGTAAGATAGATTGGTTAGCTCTTGACCGGTTGGAACTAATTTGACGGATTCCGCGTATTTACCGTTGTGGATCACCACGTTTGGAGACCCTCCATACTTCTTCTTGACTTGAGCAAACCACTCGGGGATTTTCTCCGGGTTAGACAAATCGCCCTGGATGTAGAAGTAGGAAGGATCGAAAGAGGTCGAGGTTCCGCGGCTGACGAGAGCGACTTGGTATCCTTGTTCTGCAAAGTGCTTCGCAGTTGCAGTGGCAACATTAGGCCCTGCGCCAAGAATAAACAAGATTTTGTTGATGGTCATTGTATTGGTAGTCTAAGATGCAGGTACGAGTATGAATAACGAGGAATAAGCGACACCGATCAAAAAACACGGGGAGAATATTTTTCTATTTATGAGTTCCGATGGCCTAGGCCCAAGACAAGATACCGGAGTAGTTTCATAGTTTCTTACATTCTCCCGGGGAACGGGCCGGCGGGGACATTGTCTGCTGCGGCGAATTTCGCCGCACCGGCCGTAGCCCGAATCACAATCCGCTGCTAATGTGAACCAATCACTAATCAAATCCAGTGGCAGGGACCACGCGTGAGATTCGAGATTCCACCGTAATAACGCGCGTTTCCTCATCTACCAGCATACGTCCATTGCCCACCAGGGTCATGTTCTGCAGCTCCTCAAGGGCTGGATCACCACTATGGAATTGATGGGATCCCGCTGTTCGCTCGCATGAGTAATCACCACATCGCAGGAGCTGTTATGGTGGAGACTTACTGCTGAACCCGAATGGAACACTGACAGAATCAGGCTCCATGTTGAAAATCTTCATCACTGCCTCATTCAATTCGATGATGCCTTCGTATCCGAAACTGATGTCTTTGCCGTCCTCGGTTCTATATACAGATCAGTGGGAACTCCGGAAGGATTTAGACTGACCAAGTAGTAGACTGACGTGGCAACAGCCTTCATGTTAATGCGCGCATGTTTCTTGTCAGGGTCGAATTCAAGCCAGTCGGCACCAAAGACGACTTTGGCGGAAAAATGGGGTTCAAAACCAGGCACAGTCTCGATAGTCCCAGAGGGGGTTTCCTATTCAAGTCTACGTTAGTCCAATGTAGAAATTCCGCAGCAAAGATCAATCAATTCATACAAAATGGATTAAAGTCGAGCCACTCTGACGAGGTCCAACAAGATGTGCGGCCCCGGCATTCACCTTCCATACAATGGCAGGTTGCAGGGTTGCAAAATTGATCGTAGGAACAGACATGGTCAGAAGAAATCAGTGGAGAGATTGCGTTTGTGGAATAGAACCAATAATTTCGTCTTAAAAAGTTCTCGAAGTTCTTATGGTCGTTTAAATCTTCTCCACAAACCCCATTGTGAAGTGTCTCCGGGACATAATCCATCAAAAATGTGAGAAGTAAAGAGTCCGGCCCGGACGCCGGGAACATACGACCCGAAGCTTCGAAGGCCCGGGGATTCATGGCGCAACCTTCGTTAGTCTCACGGCCTCGATTCCGTGCAGTGGTTGTGGGATGTAAACAAATAGTGAAGAATTTCTGTCTTCAAGTTTATTTGAGCCTTAGAGCAACTTCCACTACTCATCTCAGATTCATGTTCTAGCCATGACTTCTCCAAAAAGACCATTCCGTGTCATCGTGGTAGGTGGCGGCGTGGGAGGCCTGACAGCAGCTCACACCCTCCTCCGGGCCAATATCGACTATGTGGTCCTGGAGAAAGGTGTGATTGCTCCACAAAAAGGGGCGAGTATTGGTATTTATCCACAGGGGTCTCGTGTTCTAGACCAAATTGGATGCTTGCAGTCCGTTGAAAATGAATGTTACCCGTTGGGAAAATCTATCAATATTCTGCCTGATGGTAAGATCATGGCGAACAGTGACTTCTTTGCTCACTGCCGGAACTAGTAAGAACTCAATCCCATGCATACCCAATCACTTTACTAATTCTATTATCAGTCATGGATACCCCATTCCGGTGCTGGAACGTCGGCGATTTCTCGAGATCCTCTACGAAAGGCTGCCCGACAAATCCAAGGTGCGCACCAAGGCGGGTGTGGTAGACATCATCGATCGTGTGGATGGGGTCAAGGTTGTCCTAGAAGACGGCAGTGTTGAAGAAGGTGATCTCGTTATTGGCTGTGATGGCGTCCACAGTGCTGTACGCAGTCTGATGTGGCGCAATGCCAATGCAACAATTCCAGGCTTCATCACGACGGCTGAAAAGAAATGTGAGTGGTCCTGCTCGTCCAAAACCAGATTCACCTTGCTGACCTTCATCCCCTCAGCCCTCTTCTGCGACTGGACTGCCCTCGTGGGTCTTAGCCCAACTCTGCCCGGCATGAGCAATTGCGACATGACCTGCACGCATTATCCCGCTCGCTCCTTTCTCGTCATTGGCCAGAAGGTATACACCTTTTGGTTCGTGTTTTTCAAGAATCCTCAGCGCCTTCATTGGCCGAGCAGTCCCCGCTGGAGCGATGCTGATGCCGAAAGACGGGCGCTTGAATGTGCCGACTGCCCCATCTCCAGCACACAGGTCTTTGGCGAGCTTTGGAAGACACGCCTCCGGGGAGAGCTGGTCAATGTCGAAGAAGGTCTCTTTGACCATATGTATTTCGGGCGTGTCGTTCTCGCTGGCGATGCTGTCCACAAGATGACCCCCAATGTCGGGTTGGGTGGTAACTCAGCTATGGAGAGCATTGTGCTTCTGTCCAACCAGCTCAAGCGGGCCATCGAGATCCACCCTGGTGGTCATCCGGATGCGAAGATAGTTGAGCAGATGCTGTCAGAGTATCAAAGTTTGACTAAGGAGCGCATGCGCAAAATCATCGACTTTTCTAATCTTGCTTCGCGCATCCAGGCTTGGGATACTCCTTTCCACAAACTTTTGTCACGTGTGGTCCCCTATCTTCCTGATACTACATTCGCCAAGCAAGCTGCTCAGTTGATCAAGGCATCGCGCAAGTTGGAATTTGTGAAGTTGCCCAAACGTTCTGTCACTGGAACTATGCCTTGGGACGATGAGGTAAAGCTGGCTATGCATGAGAGAAAGGCAGCCAAGGGAGAAAGTACTATTTCTTTCATTTATACTCCAATCGTTGGTTTATGTTTGGCTCTCTCATTCTTCTTCATCTCGAGTATGTTGTCAGCATAGGAGGCTTATGAGGGCAATGGTAGCTAGTAGTAGGAGTCGCTCGTTCTAGAAGTTGGATTTCATTCGATATAAATATAACCAGTGATTCAAAGAGATCGTCGTAATTTCTTTGCCTTGTATATCTAAAGTTATGCTCTAAGATGACAGGTTCCATAGATTGGTATTATTAATGGTCTTGACCAAAAGCGAAATTCCTTTCACCCCTGAACGATGTCTGGCGCAGGTATCATGTTCTCCACTCGACCAATGAGTCGAAGATCTGTGAAAGGCTTGCCTCCCAAGATCTCGAGATTAATCTGCTGCATGAACAATCTGGCGATCGGGTTATGCACGGTAAGGATTGACAACGTCCCCAGAAGTCGCTGAGTAAAGTCCAGAAATCTGTGCTGGGAGGTACCCAGCCCCGGGTTCGCAGGTAGCACTTTGTCTTGCAAGGGGTCTAGATCAGTTGGATTTGGGGAGATACCGGAGCGTTGAAAGTCTCGCACAAATACCTGGGCAGCAACATAGAGCGCCCACGGGATATAGGGGCTGATCTACATTCCAACAAAGATGGTCAGGCAAGTTGGCGGAGATATTGATTCATTCGTGGGGAAAGTGAAGGAACTTACTTTGCCGCGGTCCATTCGACAGACTGCAACGGTGGTCTCGGTGATCCTGATAGCCGAGTCCAAACATTTGGTCTCGTGATCGATGAACACATGCACGGATGAAGTTTTGCATTTTGCAATCTGTAAATTGGCAGCAAAGTGCAGAGTGATGTTAGTGGCCTGCAGGTTTAAAAACATGCATAACCGATCCGAATCTCTGCCATCTATCAGAATGGGCCGATCCATCCCAAATGTATCGAACACATGAGCTAATGCCTCGCAAAGTTGGTAGTGTTGTAGCCAGAAATCTCCTTGTCCAAGGGCGGAATTGAGTCTTGCAGATGAGTTGCCCAGATGATCAAAGGCAAACCCTTGGACAGCGAAACTGACGATAAGCCCGTGTGTAGTAGATAATGATTTTGGGGAAGAGGATTGATAAAGAACTCCCGATAGTGTGAGTTGGGATGACGACACAACTTGGTCAAGAGGCAATGAAGTCGGCAAGAAAGTTGTGATCTGATATGGCGAAATCATCAGTTTCAGCAAATGGGGCCATTTATTTACATCAAAAAGCGATGAAAGTTGAATTTGATGGAGGTTACCTGGTTATGGTCGATCAGTGCGTGTGCATTCCAGCCAGCTGTGATGCTAGCAAAGCAACTCAAATTGAACACAGTCCAGAACGTCCGTCTCTGCTCCTCCAATTCACTTTCCGTGGCATTAGGCGCTAGATTGGAATCTTGTTGTTGATCTATGTGGTTTAGTCCAAATATCTTGGTCATTAGCACTGCGCGATTCAGGCTCGCCCTGGCGCTCCCAAAACGAACATGCTGTAACTCATAAAACGAAATGAGAACGCAAGCCTGCAGGGCCACAATATTTCTAAGCCGATTCGACGCCTTGATCTGCTCGAAGAATTTGCAAGCCAGCTTGTAGAAGTCTTCCTTGTATTGCATGTATGTGGCTGAAACAGACGCTCCTTGAGCCAAGACCGCATATTTCAAGCTATTGACCTCTGGAGTTTCCGGGACTTCTCGTAGTCTTGCATGAAAGACATCAGGGTCAATCATGAAGCAGCCGGAGTGCGCTTTGGTAAAATAACTCTGGTATCTGTGTGCCCAGTCGCGTCATCAGTTGCTATAGCGCTTGGTCTAGATTGGATCTCCACTGCGCGGTGAAACATACATGTTCTGTAATGCTGATTCTGATGAAACAATTTCGACGGTTTTGGGCTTGGTAATCTTGTTCGAATCATACCAGGACATGATTGGCGCCGGAAATATACCCGCAGAAATCGGCGGCGAAGCCACCTCCAAGTCGTCCAGTATCTGTTGATAGTCAAGATTCATTGCCTCGGGCATCGTGAAGATATTGTCATCTAAAGTCAGCCCGGCAGTCCCCAGATCCCGAGGTAACATGTCGTCCGATGAAAAAAAAACGGGCTCTGTCGCACCATCATGCTCAAACCCCGGGGTTATCGGTTCATACTGAGGGGCAAGGTTGCTTTCAAAGACACCTGCATTTAGTTGACGCGTTAGCGGGGCCTAGGCAGGAATTGCAGAAGTCGAACTCAGGGTCTATAGTACCCACTCAATCGTTGAGTTAGATCTTTCAGCAGGCCTAAAATTTCCTGCTGGTCTTGCACCTCGGGGCGAACGTAGCTGCAGGGACTGTTTCGGGTGTTACACTGGCTGCAACAGGGTTGGTTTCCATCGCAGCGGATCTTCCGTTGGCGACAGGAGTTGCAGGCCACATGCCTAGCCTGTGGAGGCATGATCGTTCAGGAGGATAAAACAGAGTTAAGAACAAGAAAAAGAAAGACACAATTTCTATGTCAGAATATGCTAGACCTGGGCGACCTGGATGAATAGCCGCTGTCACTTTGCACCTACTCGTCACTTCATAAGGCGCAGCACAGACTGGGACAAGCAGAATCGATACACATACCGACATGGCTCCCTGTGGCCCCCAACCCTCACCACCCGAAGCTGCATGTCTATCTCGTGAGATTTCTAGGTCAGGATAACATCATTCACCACGGATTTGACGGAATCCAGGAGCTCGTAACCTCAATAGGCCATGCAGCGGCGGGGAAGGGCATTGTGCCTCCAGCCATGCATTATTCTGCTTGTCAGCACCCATAGTCCGCGGAACACGACGAAGGATTCAATCTTGCACCATGAGAAAATTTCATCAGAATGAGGGATTTAACCTCACGGCTGCAGCTCCTTTCATGAACTTGGGCCGTGCTGCATAAAAAGAAACCACTGATTTGAATTTTCGAGCCCACAGTCTCTGGTACAGCCCAGATAGTGGCATTCAGTAAAGCGCGCGAGCCGACTATTGTTGGTATCCACGCAAGAATCTGCAGATCAAAAGTACAACTTAGCTTTTTTTATCCCGAGGGCTTGTTTCACTCGCCTTTGACAGGTCTCCACCCTCACTAGTAGCGTTACAATGCATTTGAACCCCCGTCGATAATTGGGGGAGCCGATCGCTTACCCGACTCTACTCCTTATCATTCAATTTAATTCTGCTCCTGAATATTAAATTTAAACTCAATTTCTGAACAATAAAAATTAGAGAAAAATTGGAAAAATAAAAAAATAAAAGGAACACACTGTCGATAGATCTTCACCAAAATTCATGACAGTAATTTCTCAACTGAGAGTCCTGAGAGCTAGAGATGATTCAATTTTAATAAGCTGGACCTCACGAATATGAGACACAATGAGTTACCTAAGTTGATGAGGAAGAGTGCTGAAGTGTACAAGTGGCCGGGGTAGACTGGGGCGGTCGAATCAATCGAGTAGTGTGACAAAGTCGCCATGTCGTAGCAAAGAGGCAGTACATTCCCTGATCATGACCAGCAGAACCTTCTCAGATTATAAATTTCACCTGTTGTTGGAGCAGAATGGTAACGAGGGCAGGATAGGGCATACTAGCTAGTAGATGGAAGCGGTAAAGATAGCCGGACTTTGGATATAAACCACATTTTCAATTAGTGACCTTTCTCCCGTTCTCTATCCACTACTGAATATGATTTGTTATCCTACCCTTACACCTTAGATGATTTCGTATCACGTATCCAGACCGTTATCTGAGTATCGGTGAGTACCACTAATTTTCTCCGTACACTGTCCTTATCTCCACCTTCAGCTCGAATCGCGGGTCGGCCCGAGCTTAATAATGTTGATCCTACAATTCCTTTCTCTAGAGTAGGATAGTTATGGTATGTCTTTATTGAATGCTGGATATACCTGGAAATATATATAGAAAACCCCAGAATAAGACATGATTATATTCATCACTAAGATAATTACCTACTATAAGTGATAATTATTTCGAACCTAACTTATACTATACATTGTCTGATATATACTCCTGTACCCTAAGTACTACTTATAAAACTATTAAAGATTGTGTTGAATATTTTGATATATGACCCTAGCTAACCTTATTATGTGAGTACAGGTATAGAGCCTATGTTTCTTTTTAGTTATCCCTAATTTCTTAAAAAATCAGTTTTTGAATCATCTGATTCCTAGTATTTTGTGTCACATTACCTGCCTGACCCTGGATAGAAGCCTGAGGTATGAGACCCACTACCTCTTCCTCTCCCCGCGCCCCCCACTATGTAAAATAAGGCTTCCTTGGCTGACCGCAAACGCACGGGTCCCCAGAAAATATCTTGCTCTTTAATCAGCCAGCAAACGAGTTGAATCTCCTCGCAAATCGTCGCCTAGCGCGATTGAGACACCTAACTAGGTGAGTTGAGGAAGAAGTTCCCTGGCTCAAATATCAAATCCAGCAAACCCAGCACGAGCAAGTCATTCACCTGCTGCAGGCTACTCAAACCACTAAGATGGCATTATTACTTCCCGTTGGCGACTTTCCATATAGCTTGAAATTTCAATTTTGCTTCCGGGATCAATTATTGATCGAAATTCGCAATAATCTAGATCCTGGCACGTCGAAAACCACGTTGCGCAATTCCAGCCTTTTCGGCTGGGGCGTGGTGGGTAAGACTTAGATTGCACCCGAATTTGCATACCGCCATACTCATAATTTTAATGCAAGTTTCTAGGTCAAAGCAGAGACTGAGGCCAAGATTCGCGAATGAATCTGCAATTAGGCTCGGGATATGCAAGAAAATACACCGTCTGAACCTCAATAAGACACAGTGGTGATTAAGCGGTTTCAAAGCTGGCTCATGATACCTGCTTTCCAAGGTCTGGAGAGCCCCGACTTAACGTGCCACTAGTAGATTGACAACAACAGGCTCAGGCTCGAGTTCGGTACTCCTTCGGTGGCCTCCCATCTTCGAAAATGTCAATGATGTAATAACCTTACAGCCATTTTGGCCTGGAAGAGCTCATGGATCTGTGATAATAACAACCCGCGATATAACGAGGACAGCAAGCCATAAAGTCCCATTAATTTTCAATGATGAAGTGTACAGTTCATATTCAAGATCAACCGTGGCGCGGAAATGACAAGTCCCGAGGAACTGAAAGCTGTTAGAATGATCACAGACCGTTTGGGCCATCTGCCGGTGGTGTTGCAAAAGATTAGATCATATACAAGCAGTATAGCGACATCATACCGGATCTTCCTACAGCACTACTCCGATTTCGAGCACAATTTGCTTTTCCAAAAGGAGACTTCAAACACTGCCTCTTACGAAGCATCAATTAGCAACACTTGGACGATGATATTATCCCAAATCGACCCAATGGCAAAGAAATTCATGGAAGTCATAGTGTTATTTGATCCAGATAGCAGACCGATTGACCTGATAAAATTGTGGGACATCGTTGATAAGTACGCTGGCTGCCAACCTGTGCAGGCACAGGGAATTGACCAAGAGCCTTGGATGTATAATGGACCAAGTGATGAGTTTTCAATTGAATGAATGTCTCAAAACCAGGTTTGCAAATAGACAGTTTTATGTCCCGCTGGAACATAACACATTGGATTAAACATCCTGACCAGATTTCAGCACTGACAAGGCCATCTCAATCCTGTTGCGCGGCTCTTTGATCAGTCGTTCCTGCGAAAGCAACCGGTTGAGCTGTCATCGAATTCGTTGGCTGCTGATCTGCCGGACATGGGGGAAAAGGCCTACACGATAGTAGCGTGAAAACAGAAGAAAGGGACAAGATCTGTATTCAGAGAGGGATGGAGGAGAGAAAGAGAGAGAGAAAGAGAGAGAGAGAGAGAGAGATCTAGCTAAAGACATGCACGCGCTGACAAACGGAGAGGGTCAGCTGACCCCATACTCCAATAGACTTTTTCGTGAAGCTGTACTCCAGTCCCTTGATGCAAACCAGTTTGTGGTTCTATTTAACTGGGCTGTGTTTTCCCTCGACGCATTCTTCCCAAAAACACCTGGAGGTGCCTCATATCTTGCGGAATGGGATGCGTGTGCCATCTACCACAATCATATGTCCCTAATTACTCAACCTCTATATCGCTGTGCATTTCCTTAAAATCACCAGTGCTGATTTGCGAAGATATACGTCGCTGCGCCTGGTAGGCGTTTGCCTCTCAAATCGTTCCCGGGCGTTGTTGAAAGTAACATCTTGATATCTGCGAGCGCAGACACTTCACAGACGCCATTGAAACCATAAAGACATGTTCCACTTTTCTTGAAGATGCTACTGCAGCATGTGAACATCCACCATGTTATCCAGAATACATGTTTCCCGGGCATATGAATGGCAATTGTACGCGCCTCACTTCATATAGTGGGGCAGTACGCCAAGTCGATACAGGCGCAGTAGAAAGTAGCAAGGAGAGGTGCAACTAGATCAGAGACCGCCTGCAGCACACCTTCGATAATACATTCGGGTCCAGAGGCTTTAAACTCACCTGGCTGGTGGGAGATTGAAGGAAGATAGTTATGGGTCTGGGTGGCTGGCGGTTTACGAGAGGTTGAGCAGAGCAAAGGACTTCGGTTACCATGTGGCGTGTTAATGGCTGAGGATGTCGACCGGTAAATGTCTGGTATAGGGGGCGGACTGAATCCCTCACCCGTTGTGTACAGCGACTCCGAGCTACGTTGTAGCCAAGGAACTAGCCGCGCACGGACCCCACAAGTTGTTTCGAACACTACCAATCACCGGGCATATCAGGACTAACGATAATTCAAAGAGGCTACGGCAGGAACCACTCCAAGAACATTTAATTTCCGATCATTGGCTTATGTATTCCCGAGGATTTCTGGATCAATTCCCCGCAATTGAGTACTTATATCCTCGTCGACCCCATTCCTACCTTACAATTGGCAAAGTTCCTGTTCCAACTTCTAGTCATTCATTGTTTTTTTTTTCAATCATTCTCTTTGGATCATCATCAGTCACTCCTTGGAAGTACGTTTCAGTAAAAATTATTGTTTTTGTTTTTCTTCATCTGCCAGTGTTCCCCGATAGTGGAAATCAGGATTCCTATTCACCACAAAAAGAAACAAGCAAAAGAATACGACAATCAAGATGATGCGCTCTGTGATCCCTCTGATCGTGTCGTTCGCTTCGCTTGTCGCTGCCATCGAAATCACCAGTCCTGCAGCCAACACGACCTACGCAGCCGGGTCCACCATCACCGTCGAGTGGACCAGCGTCGATACAGATCCCACCAACTTCAGTCTCTATCTCTGGAACTTTGTGTACTGGCCTCCATCCTATGTTCCACTGGCTATAGACGTCCCCACATCGGATCTGTCTCACTCTGTCCAAATCCCCTGCGACACCGACCCCGAATGGGGATACCAGATCAGCGGCATTAATGGCACCAACGTCTACATAATCTACGCACAGGGAGACAAGTTTACTGTCTCTGATCCCGTCAATGGCACTGCCTGTGTGGACCCTACTCCTTTTTCGACCACTTCCACCTGCCCTAGCGCTGCGGCGTCTACCGTTTATGTCACGGTGAGCCCTACCGGTCCCAGCTCCCGTCCTTTCCATCATCATCACTCCCACGTCCACCCTGCTCCGTCACCCAGCACTGCCAGCACTTTTATCTCTGAATATATAAAACCCGGAATCGTGCCTAAGACTATTGGTTGGTGCTCAGACTATTCCCACCCTGTAACCTTGGACAAGGTTCCAACCCCGACTCTCTCAGCGGCGAATGATAATGGATCCGATGCTTCACCGGTGGTAACTACGGCACCGAGCCAGGTCACCGATTCTCGTGGCCTTCGCACAACGACTATCACTAATACAGTGAGTGTGATGGCTTGTTTGAACGAGGATGCGATTTGATGATGAAAGATTCTTTATCGGAGCAACCCGGTGACAAGTTCTCTATGCCGATGTACTTTGTATAATATCTATGTCTTTAAGTGCCTAGTATAGTGGGATAGGCTTATACCATAATAGCCACGGTAGCTGCTCACAATTACTTTATTCTAACCTGCCCTGGTCTTTCATCTTGCATGTCTGTAATATCTATTCTCCTTGATAGCTGGTATTCAAGCTTTTAACTTCAGTAATCTCTTAGAAGCGCGCTAATACTACTAGTGAGTCGACTTTTAGCGATGATGTAATAGTATAGATGACATTGATGTGTTGCATTATCGACAATGTTCATTATCTTCAAAATATGCCGAAGTACTGGATCATTTTGCAATCGCCCTCTTGGTCATCTCCCTGAATGGGCAGCCAGGACCGGTAAGTCCCGTATCAGCAAGATGGAATGGCATTTCATACAAGCCAAAACCAAACTTTTCTGCGTTATGAAGGATTGTATCCATCATGCTGCTTTTTGGTAGCAAAAAAACTCCGATAGGGGGAATCGAACCCCCGGCTGTCGTGTGAGAGACGACGATGTTAGCCACTACACCATATCGGATCACGTGATAGATTGCGAACATCTTATGTACTTATATCTAGACCTCGCCATATTGCTTTTTTGGGTACCCGAAGGAATACCCGCGAACCCGCCAAGAACCCATTTACCTGTATATTACAGTATTACTGTTGAAATACAACCAATACCAGATATAGAGTGATGTAATCAGGTATATGTTACGTGTATTTTAATCTCTTGGCGGGTTTTGGGTCAAGGGTCGAAACCCAACCCGCCCATTTGGCGAGGTCTACTTATATCCCTTTTATTTAGTGCCAATGTTCTGTACCCGCGATTCCAACAAATGAATCTTTCCGCGCGTCCTGCAACAATACCTAAGCAACGTTAAGAATCTACTTCCTGGGCTGTTTGGTGCATGTAGCACGATGATGGGAAAATGTGGTTTTGAGGGACTTGTAGTACCGATAAAGCCTGTTTCAATTTTTTTTTCATTTCAAATAGAACAATAATAAAGCGAAAGGCCAGATTCCATTAATGCGCCAACTCGGGATCTCCTTCAATGTGCTCCGTATGAGTGTTATTGACGCCGTTCTTTTCACCTCGTTTAGCCTGAGAAAGTCGACGTTTTCTGTTCTTTTCCATCATGATCTTTGCAAACGGTGACCTTTCACGAATTGCAGGACCATTTCGGTAGAAGAAGTAGATAGGAGTTGTAACAAGGATCGAGATGCAAGCAAGAATGGTTGAAGCATATTCGTACGGATGTGTGTGGCCAATGTTCTCGAACATTGGAGTGGAATACATAGCTGCAATCCCTGCAAGAAAATCACGAGCAAAATCATTGCCTGCTGTTGCAGATGCTGCATATTCTCCGTAAGCAGCGACTGTATAGTCGATGGATGATTGGTAGATTGAGTACTGTAGAAGTTAGATAATATCTCTTTATGTTTATGAGAACTTATTACATTAGCAATACCTATTACCATCGTGAATAACATGGGGGCGATCCAAGGGACTTGTGGTGGTCCCAAACTTGTCCATGCGAAGCCAAAGAGGCCAATTGGTAGACAGGGTATGACTAGGACTATGGTTAGTAAATTGAAAAATCAAACACACCGAGCCCAAAATTGAAAATCCCCACTGACCATAGAGCAGCCACCACAGCCTTTTTTCAGGGGAAACAGATTCAGATCCTAGCTTGCGTCGTCTTTGTCTAAACATATGAATGGAGGGTAGAAAAGAGAGATATGCGAGAAAATATCCGATGAGCAGCCTAGAAATAACACACAAAGTTAGTCCAGAAGATAGGATCATTCTATATCCCTTGAGAATGGAACAGAGAATACTGACGGTATAAAGGCGAGACTGATCTGAATCGTCCCAAAGCCCCATTGTTTGTAGATTGGCTGAAAACCTTGCAGAAAAGTGAAAATTAAAGAATCACTAAACCCACTTAGCAGTGACAGCCACAAAACAATAGGCTCTGTGAGAAGCATAACAAAAGGCCGTTTCCATACTGTCCAAATATCTCGCGGAGAGAGGGAAAAGCCATGAAGCTCATGAGGACCCCAGATATTAACATTCCCCGGCCCGGCCTTCCGCATTTTCCTCGCCTCCCTATCAAGAATGATCGTAGCTCTTGTCTCAGGCACGAGGAAGAAGTGCATAATCTGGACACATCCTCCAGCAAGAAGTTGAACCCAGAATATCCAAGGTAATGGGTGACGGGCTTCCACAAACCCGCCGACGACCGCACCAACAACCGAGCCTCCAACAGACGATAACACGAGGAATGCAACGGCATATTCCTGGTCATCGGGCTCCCACATGTCCGCAATAACACCTAGTGTCACCGAGCCACCAGCTGTGCTGAGTCCCCCAAGCAGACGAACCACGATATAAGTTGCAAAGTTGGGGGCAAGAGCACAGGGCAATTGCCAGATGTTGACGAGGAACAAACTGAGTTGCTGGGTTGGCCATCTGCCGAGTTCTTCACTCCATGGAGCCCAGAGCTCGCATCCGAAGGCATAGGCGCAGAGGAAAGTCAATTGTGGAATTCGGGCGACTTGTTCGCTGACATTGTGTTCTTGGGCGATAGCTGAGACGCCATTGGCATAGAGGCTTGCGTTTAGATTGATTGATATCTGGATACAGAACATAACGCAGAGGATCTGCCATTTTCGCCAGACGGGGTAGCTGTAGCCCAGAACGTGGTAAGCGGCTGATTCGGTTAGTTCGATCCTGTTGTCAGTTTGTGAGGATCCTCGGTCTTCTCTGTGGTCTGTTGCGGCTCTTGTGGGATCCGAGGGGATCCCGTTGTTTTCGTCGTTGGTGGATTCCATTGTAGACATTCTTAGTTTTATACAGAGTAATGTATAAAGGATTACTGAAGCTGATAGACTGCGCAGAACTTGTTTTTAGGGCAAGATCATTGCTTAATGAACTTGGAATTCGATGACGTTGGTGGTGTCTTTCGCCCATGGTATAGTACGAACCGTTTCTTGTTCAAGATCGTTGGTGTGGCAATTCATCCACCATTTACTAAATTGCGGGGTAAGAATTAGTTTGGTAGATATTAAGAAGATTCCAATACCTTGGAGAACTAAGTATTGGCTATTCACTTTGCCTGAAATCTATGGCCAATGGAGAGATATACTACATACTGATAAACTGGTCGTAAAGTCTACTTTATCTTCTATGCTAATAGTTCAGCGGCAAGTGATATACTCTGGCTGTGGGATGAAAGGTCATACATATATATCCTAGATTCCCAAATTTATTTGTAATAACTAAATTTATGTTGTTTTTGTGGTCTTGAAAGTGGGAAAAGATTTATGGTTTTCCAAATCTTGGCTGGATCGCGCGAGCGACCCCAGAGAACCCCCACTGTCAATCTCATAAAAGCAATCACGCGAGCGGCCGCCACTCTGAAGTCTACTAATGTATGCGTCAACTGTAAGGCTCGCGGGACACGATATGATAAGTCTCTACTACTTTGTAGCTATAGAGAAGTAAACATGAAAATTTTGATATCATATGCCCGACTTCAGAAGAGCATCTCCATAGGTCCTTTTTTATTTACCTGAGGGTATGGTATAGGAGGCAATAAGTGGATTAATCATTATTTATTGTACACCTTTCTTTAGTGCTAAGTAGGAGAGAGAATCTCTCTTGTAACTGTAATAACAGAAGCTAGGGGGAAAAAAAGAAAAATGAGCAGCGACCGTGGTTCGAACACGGGATCTTGAGATAGTTTGCAATTATTATTGCAATCTCACGCGTTACCACTGCGCCACCGCTGCTGGTGATGACAAATTTTTGGGCAGTATGCTACTATGACCTAGGATCATTAGAGCGCGACATCGATTTTTCCAGACAAGATTTTGAGGATCATTATTCCTACTGGCCCCTTGAATAGTTCTACTTCCGTTACCTGACGATTCCTAAGGATGCCTGAATATTAATAATGATCAAGAGAAAAGCAGTAAGGACAGTGGTAATAGGGTACATAGGATCAGGTAAAAATCAGACAGGGGCAGTCGAGATACTCACATACTAGATATTAGTATGCATAGTAGGGGAGGCAGACTGGCGGTGTGATTCAATTAAGCAGCGGTGTATAAGTGATAAACTTCAGAGATTAGACCCTCGGAGTCTCTTCTTTTCTATAGGCCACTCCTATGTTGTCTCCTTCTCCATCTCCTATCTAGGCACTACCCCAGTAACCCCCACATAAAAATACTCATTGATTTGCTAACAGTTATACACCAAGGAACATTTGAATAGGTCTAGCGTCATTATTGATGCAAAACCAATCTGCCTTTTGGTTACATCCGTGGAAACTCCTTTCGCGAAAAGCGAGAAATATGATGGGAAGCCGCCGTATGTGCTTCCCTCTGTACACTACCGATGGGGAGATGGCAAGAACAGCACAAGGAGGCCACAGAGCGCATGGATGTCTACAGGGAGTGGTTGCTTAGCACAATGTTGGCCGAAGCTAATAGTGAGGCTGGGACTCTGTTTGTTCTTTCAATCGCAAATACTGCTCCAAATTATAAGAACGAGAGAGACGTCGCCATTTCCCTGTTGGCAGTCTGCGCTAGAGCAGCTTTTTCTTGCATCAATTCCCGGTGCCCCTGATATCATCGTTCCGATTGACGAGGTACCTTACGAGTCAAGGATTACCATAAGAGCAGAATATTTGCCAGTTGGTATTGACATACTGAGCGCCCCAAAAAAGAGCTTTTACAGGCCATTGGAAAGACCATGGACCCATCTGGCCGGCCCACTACCGTTACAACAGAATTGAGAATCTTCCAGTGTCTCAAGCACGAATAGTCAATTGTAAATGATTTTCATCATAAAAAGCAATTTCAAGAAGCAGTGCTCGAAAGACTGAGACCTTGATGTTATAGCCTTTATCGAGACTAGAGGTTGACAGACAAGACAGTCGAAAATGGGTACAGTCAAGTACATTTCGTCGGGTCTTAAGAATGTTAGTTTGCGGGGTATTGTAACCGCATTTCGGAAGAGCCGGGAGAATTACGTGCTAGATCTATTTAGATCCATAAATCGCCTCGCCTATATAGAAATACTATGATTATCACTCACAACACCACGCACAACCATGAACATGTGGTCTTTCCGCTGTCCAGTTGGATAACATCATATCGGATCTTTTACCGACGGATGTGAAGATTATAATAAGTACTATCTGCCCGACTTAATTCAGATTCTCTTGTATGAGGATAAAAAAATTGTGCAAAAAGCAGCGACCGTGGTTCGAACACGGGATCTTGAGATAGTTTGCAAATATCATTGCAATCTCACGCGTTACCACTGCGCCACCGCTGCTAGTGATGACAAACGGATAAGCTTTTCAACACTATAGACTAAGACAATCTAGAACGAAGAGAGAGGCAGTTGGATTTGTCATGCAAGACCGCTTGAAGGGTGGGTTTGTTTACCGTCAGTGTGATTTGCTCGGCTCCAGCTGTATTAGATCACATTTTTCTTGACACTAACAGTCAGAGAAGCATCTTCATAATATCTCTCGCTTTTGAACTGTCTATTCTCGTTGATCATTGTGAAGTATGTCATCGTAAATGAATTAGTCCTTGAACCAGAGGATTACGGCCTTTCTAAATAAGAAAGCACATTCATCCAACATCGTGTTGAGTTGTATGAATCAATTTCGATTTTCTGCATTTCAACCTGTGTTTCAAGAGGTTTTGACGAACAAACCCCTAGTGCCGACCGTAGGATGACCATACAGAGCCCTAGTGGGCACTTATTGGGTGTACAACATTGCCCGAATAGTCACGCCAGAAGTTAACTGGGTCATATTGACTATGTGAAAGCCAAGCTTCTGATACAACCCCGCGCCTTTAACACCGGCCTCCAACCCGACAGGAACATGCTCTTGCCGTGCCTGCTGCAGTCCCCAATCGACCAATTTTTGGCCAATGCCGCGACGCTGATGAGCCGGGTCGACAGCCAATTGCCCCAAGAACCATATTTCGGGGTAAGTAGAGAATGGAAAGCCGCCATCAGCCGCAGCCGTCCTGTAGTGTTGTAGATGATTCATATTTAAACTGCGGTCCGGGTAGACCAGAGAGAGATATCGGTCCTCTAAACTTAGCAATGTGCGCTCCAGGGCTGTATATACTGATGTTAGCCAGATACCAGTCCATAAAGACCAGACAAGGTCAATTTCAATGAAAAGGGACTACCACCATGGAACCAGTCATTGTTGCGGCGCTTCCATTGTCTTGCATCGGCTCCGGTCCCCAATCTCTTCCATATACTATACCCACGGATCTCCTCACGGTCTTCAGAATATTCCACCGCCACAACCGTAATATAGCCCGGAGTGACGAAACCTGTCTTCAGTCGCCAGAGAAAGGAATATCGAAAATCTGCATAGTACTCGTGGCGCCCGGGATACATCCAGGTATAGAGTTCATCGTCCAGCATGGCCTGTGCGAGGAGGTCGGCAATATGAGGCAGATCCTGGGCTCGCGCGGGGCGCAGATGTATCCCCGAATCCATGAGATATGATTCCGAGGGTACAGGTGCGCTGCGCAGTAAATAATGATGTGGGAGATCAATGACGTAAATCAGCTACTCCAATTGAGATGTATTGTTTATTCTGCAAAGCTAAAAAACATCAACGAGTGAAAGTTCAGAGAATACCCGTAGACAGTAAAGAAATCACTTTGTCTCACGTCAGATCGGTGTTCGGAGCTCGGACTCCCGGAGTTGTATTACAAATTACCCCGAGCTCGGAGCTGGCAAGCGCTAAGTTATCGGAGCATGAGCTACCACTCAGATATCCCTCCAGCTTTCATGACAGCTTTTTACTGATTCATGCAAAAGGTCACAATGACTGACAGGGTCCGACGAAATGGCCAGCTTTCATCATGTGAGCCATGTCGCAAGTCCAAATTTCGATGCGATCACAATCGACCAATCTGTGGGAGGTGTGCGCGTCGCCGCCTATCACAGCAGCAATGTCATTACCACCCAGCTCCGATGGCAAAACATTCCATGCCCCAAAGCGATACAGGGACACTTCAACAACAACATGTTCCCAGGTTTATCGCAGCAAGCTCAAGCCCGCAGACAGAAGACTCTCGACCTTACGAGCCAATCAATATGAACCGGAACTTGATGTGCTTTGCTGACCCAAACACTCCTCACTCGAACCGCATATATACATCCCTGACAAGGACAGGTATAGCTTTACCTAGGCCTTCTCTAGCTAATCCACAAAAGGTTTCCGAAGGAGCTGAATTGTTGAATAACATCCTGGAACTTGTCAGCGAAATTGGTGACCCTCTTGAATACTTTTCCTTTGCTGACGCAGAACTATGTGTTCATGGACCTCTCATTGGGCTAGCTTGGACCGCAACGAATAATAGCATACGATGTCTGTTAAAAAAACGCTCTAATATAAACCTGGAATCGATATCGCAAGCAATATTCGAGCGAACCTCTTCGCCCCCTGTCTTTCCCCTCACTGCATCTTCTGGAGCATTAGAAGCAGCACTCTCTACAGAAGCTTTGCGCTGGGAAACAATTGGCTTATACTGTGCGCAAATCGGAGTGTACCTTGGCGGAGAAAAAGACAAGTCATTCAGCCTAGCTGCCCATGAAACCTGGAAATTAGACCGCAAAACATTAATGCAAAGAGCTTTTCGAGCCTGCATCCAATGCGAAGCCTTTTGCGACTATCTTGGTGCTATCAACGATCTGACTTTATGGTTCCTCCTGCCAACTATACTGTTCGCGACATGGTGCTTTGGGGATGACTCGTACCATGTATTACGACTCATAGGTAGCATGTCATCCGTCTTTTTGGCCTTGGGCTTTCATAGAGGCATCCACGATGCATCTCTGCCGTTCTATCTCGTCGAGATACGGAAAAGAGCGATTGCTTGGGCACATGATCACGACAAGGTGTTGGCCAGTTTTACGTCACGGTAGGACCTTATCCTCAGCCTTCAGCCCATATAACCTTTGCTGACAGTGCGGCGACTATAGACCAGCCCGTCTTAGTCGGCACTTTTGCGTAATCGAAATGCCCCTTGATCTACCAGACTGTGTTTTAACGGGCACAGACGAAGACCTCTTCAAAGCTCGTGAGAACTTAGATGCAGACGGTTGGAATAAAGACAAGGCCATACTTCCAGTTTCCGGTCAACGTGTACAACTCATGCTTTGTATGATTCGTGAAGAGGTCCTAGAGCTGAAGCTTGGACCTGCAGCGCTAGACCTTGAGACAAAGGCAGAGTAAGTATTGTAACGATTTTGCATCAAATCCATTATCCACATTGACAATAGCTTCAGATGCATCCTACGAAATTTGAAGTCAACCTGGCAGTCAATTCCATCACATCTAAAATATGACACAACGAAACAGTGGACGGGCCAAACTGAATATGGCATGATGCTACTAGCCGTGCGGTTGGAATATCTTTACACGGAGTTCCTTTTATACACTCTACTTGCGTGTTACAGTGAAGATAGTCGCGAGAGGTTGATAATAACGGCACACGAGATTGTTAGCATTGTCCTCTCACCAACGCGAAAGAGGGAACTACTGCACATTTGTAGGGCAGAAATGGAATGGACGGTAAGTGGCGACATTCCAAGGGAAATCAACTCAACTTTCTCATACTGACCAACATCGCAGCTAGTATTTTACGCCATGCCTTGTGCAAGCGTTCTGGTCTTGGAGCTTCTGAGACAAAACCAGCATCCTACAGAACAACTCAGCATCAATCGAAGCGGTATAATCCAAGATATCAGTATCCTCATCTCATGCTGCGACTCTTTGACCGAATCTGGGCAAAGCAACTACCAAATCTGCAAGCAAACTCAATCGATTTTTTCCAAAAGCCTGGATTCCATTCTGAACCAGACCACGCCTAGCCAGAGAAATATTGAAGAATTGACGGTGCACCACGAGCAAAATGGTTACATGAGCCCCGGGGAGTCTAATGTTGCCCAAGATCCTGAATGGATGGCATGGCTCGACTCATTAGGTTTACAAGGAGATCCGTGGCTAGAGTCGATCATTCCTACTCTGGAGTTTCCATGAGATGGTATCAATCTCAAATCAAGAAAAGTTCACCTTCACATTCAATGTTGGGAATTCCAATTAACCTTAGTCTATTGAAAACTAGTAGTAATCCTTGATTGACAAAACTTCCAAACAGCTTAGATGTCGATTAGGGCTGGATATCTTCTTGCACTGTGCAAATATCCTTTGCTGATCGACAATGAGGAGATATCAATTGAAGATTCTAAAGCTTTGAGGAAGGGGCCATAAGGTTCTTCATGTCCATTTGTATCGAGAATTTCGAAAGGCGAGGTTTGACCTGACATGCTGAGCGCACTTCTGCTCAAGCCGGGGAATGAAACTATTCTGGGGATGATATCGTATGAATGGTTTCCTGCGACTGATTTCTATCAGGTTATATATAGGACCAAGATAGGCCACAGGGTGCGACGATCAAAAAGAAACCAATGGCGTAGATAGAGGAGAAAGTATGGATATTTGAAACTCTGGCTTCAATCCTACTTCGACTTTGGAACGAGAAGATATAATAAGTTAAGGGACCTAGATATTTGCAAACTGACAATATTCTAGCCCTTGATTGTAGAAACGCATACATCTCATTCAGACATTAACGAGAGGCCCGTAGCGATATTGGTCTTCAGCTCGCGAATAGCAACATGGAGAAGCTTTGTCTCATTCTCGGAGATCTTGCCGATAGGCAATGCTCTTACGGCACCCTTCTGTCCAAGCTGGACCTTGACGGTGAAGAAATCGACGCCAAGCTCAGTGGCAATCTCTTTTCCTCCCGGAAGACCTGGCAGGTAAACATATGCCTCCTCCGTCACAGTAGCACCATTCTTGCCTTCCAATATGGCTTTGACGAAGCGGAAACCGGCATATGCCATACAGGTCGTAGCACTGCCAGCACCCTGCTTACTCTTGACAATTTCATCACCACCAAACTGAACGCCTTTGATTGTTTTAGTAAATCATCTGTGACAGGGAGCTGTGAGCATTGAACTAACGGTTGATAACGGATGCCATGGTTTCGTCATCCAGGTTGACTGGGGGCTTAGCCTGGCTATACAGGGGCAGAATGGTAGCTCCACTGTGGCCACCGATAACCGGGACTTTAAAGTCCCTGGGATCGGCGTTTCCTCCTAAGGCATGCGCAGCAAAGGTAGAGGCACGTACCACGTCCAAGGTCGTTACACCGAATAGACGCGTAGGCTCAAAGACACCGGCTTTCTTCAGGGCCTCAGCTGCAATGACAAGTGTTGAGTTGACGGGGTTAGTAACGACACAGCACATTGCCTGGGGACATGTTGCAGCAATTTCATTGAAGATGTCTCGAATAAGGCTGGCATTGGTCTAGGCCTGTCAGCAAATGACTGCTGTATATCACTTACAAGGTTGAGAACAAGTGACCAAGGCACTTACCTTGAATAAATCTAAAGTCCTCGTCAGTGGCTGCTAATGAAATTAGGGATATCATTTATATTACTTACCATCTCTCGTCATGCCCGGCTTTCGAGCAATACCGGCGGTTACAACAACTATGTCTGCGCCATCGAGGGTCTTCTTGAGACCAGATTTATCCGGTAGGTAGCCATGGACCTTGGCTTTAGTGTCGATATGCATCAAGTCGGTGGCGATGCCTGGCGCATGGACCACATCATATAGACAGATTTCGTCAAATAGATCGCTCTGTAACCCGAATCAGCCACAAGTGCTTTGATACGATGTCTTTAGAATTCACGATGCGTACTTACTGCTTTACACAGAAGACTGAGAGGGGTGCCAATTTGGCCGGCCGCGCCGATTAGTGCGATTTTGACCATGTTGAGAGGTTGAGCTGAAAGAGGGATTAGAAAGGAATATTTTTTAATGGATGATAGGAATTGATCTTACAGAATTGAGAAACATGGGGACTTTTTATGACGGATTGCCCAATTTGACAGATTTGTGGATCTTCGGCTCCTGATTTCCGGCCAATTTTCTAGATGATGCAGTTTTGCATCCTGGAGAAAGTCTTGGCTGAACTTTGAACCGCACGGCTCGAGACAGCCTACCGGGGAAATTCGAGTTCACTGAATGGGAAAACATGAAAGGTGGATCATCTGACTTAAATCCCTCAATTCATGAGTCATGGTCAATGATCAATCCAGACTGCTAGGAGATTCTCCGTTGAAAGGGAAAGCGACGATAAAACGATATAACGATTAGATATTTCTCTTCGGGATCTGCTAAATTCACCCACATTTTAGCTAGTTTCACCTCCCAAGCTATCGACTGCTTCGTATTTCACGAAATATCACGGTGCTTGATCGATTTAGGTAGTCGACCATTTTGAAAAATCAATGTGTTCAGAAAGTAGTCATATTGAGAAAAACTCAATTGAAAAATTCTCGCATTTATCACGCATGATTCAGGAAAAGACGAAGTAATATTAAAGGAACTCTCTTTGATGTCAATCTCCTACACATCAGAGAGTCCAAATCAGAGTGATTACAAGGCACGTGTTATCCATGAATTTCCAACTGTCGAACCTTGGGACCAATGGAAGGCTTTGACAAAAGACCTGCATTAATTGTCTATAGCAAAGGTACGTATGGATGATTAATTCGCTCAGCCGGACAGAACTTCAAATAAGCCCCTGGTGCTCCGGTACGGGTGACAGGAGCGGCTCGCCGAGGATCGCCCGTCGCGCATTCTCCATTGCCCAAGTCTCCATCTTTGCCAGTGTCTCGACCGTGTGGGTTCCTACGTGTGGCACCATCAGAGCACGTTGTTGCTTCATGAGCTTCTCATTGATCTCGGGCTCCCGTTCATAAACATCCAAACCTACAGCACCGATATGATTGCTCTCGAGTGCGTCAGCCATGGCAGCCTCGTCGATGACGGCACCTCGAGCTGTGTTTATAATGACCACACCGGGCTTCATTTTCGCGATTTCTGCTGCCCCAATCAAGTGCTTGGTGTTGTGGTTCAGAGGAACGTTGAGGCTGATGATGTCACTCTGCGTGAGTAGCTTCTGGAAGGAAACATATTCGGCACCTGCAGCCTGCTCAACCGACAGAGGGTTTCGGTTGTGGTATACTGTCTTTAATCCGAAAGCATCACAGCGGTGTTTGATTGCGCGGCCGATTCGACCCATTCCGAGAATACCCAGGGTCTTGCCCTGGGGGTCGTGGCCAAAGTCGACTCCTCGTTTGAAATTCCCTGCACGTAGAGAGAAAATTGATGGGTTTAGCTGCCGTAAGGAACCTAGCAAGAGAAAGACTGCCAGGTCGGCGGTTGCATCAGTCACTGGGTCGGGAGCATTGGTGACAATGATGCCTCTCTTGGCACAGGCACTTGTGTCGATGGGGTCATATCCTGTTTTACCACAAGTTATTTACAACATTATTTTTGCATGAAGTCTTGAAACCTACCAGCGCCGTTATGGAAAATGTATTTGCAGCTTGGCGGCAAACGCTCAATGAACGCCGCGTCAAATTTACCGGCCACCTTTAATAATTGTCACATTAGCATTGATGCCTCTCAAATAAAAAAAAATAGGGTTTCTCAAGGGCTAGAGACTCACAGCGCCACTAGCGGATGTTCGGTATATGGCAAATATATCCTTGTACTTATTTTTGACATCCTTGAAAAACTCCTCCCTGGTCTTGCTGGTAACGACTTCCGTGCGGGCAACTTCTTGTAGCTTCTCGTAGAAAGGCCTAGCATGCTTTACCGGGTTGAAGAAGAGGACAAAGGGCTTACTTGGCGACATCGTAATGTGTCCAATATAGATGAAATTGGACTAGTGTAATAAAGTTTTTTGGTCAAGAGTTATCTCAATCCAAGCTCAGAATATGACTGGTCGAGCTGTGCTTTAAATAATTTATCGGCTCGCATGTCTTTGCGAGACCTTCTGGAGCGGAAGTAGCCGACATTGGATACGTTTGAAGAGAGTATTCCAATGGGAGAAAATTGCGGCTAAACCTTTCGGCGCGAACGGTCAGGGTTGCCACCAATTCTTCCCCACAAGTCCAAACTTGTATTTGATCTTGCTCCGGGGGTTAAGTTGCGGGGTATGGGTCAATACGGTTATCATACAGAGCTGACGTGGAATACTAGACTGTTGGGGACTTGTTTTTACACATGATTAAGTCCAATGGCAGAAATGCCTTTCAGAGAATAGGTAAAACCTACATCTCTACCCTTGCTTAGACGTGGTCAGCAACTTTGTACTATATCTAGGGATTGATTTCCCCCGATTCTAGTATTCTGTTATTCAAATTGATTTTGAATACGAATTGTTTTCTTTGACTTGTCGTTCTATGACATCTTTATCGCTCTATCATCTCAAAATAATCCTATCTTGAATTATGACCTTCATGGGTCTCACCGGCATGCCCTTGGCGAAGGCCCGCATATGCCTGATCGTCGTTCCTGCATTTCTGTTGTTTGGCTACAATCAGTCGAACATGGGTGGTGTTCTCAATTATCCATCCTTTATCAAGGAGTTCCCGGCCATTGACACCAGTACCACTAAGGGGGATATCAAAGCCCATAATGCCACAGCTCAAGGTATAATGTTAAATTCGAATCATGTGGATAATATCATCATGATCTTGTGGTTAAAATTATCTTGTCTATTACAGGAACCGTCGTCGCCGTATACACTCTCGGATGTCTGGTCGGTGCCCTCGGAACATCCCAGCTTGGCAACCGCATTGGCCGTAGAAAGTCTTTGGTCACTGCTGCTGCCGTTGCCACTGTTGGACTTATCATCCAAAGCACTTCTTATAGCCTTGGTCAACTTGTTGTTGGTCGTGTTATTTCTGGTATCGGTAACGGCAGTGTTAACGCTGTCGTTCCTGTGTGGCAGAGCGAGTGCACAAATCTCAAGAGCCGTGGCAAGAGCGTCGTCATCATTGGCATTTTTATTGCTTCCGGGATCGCAGCCGCTGGCTGGATTAACGTGGGCCTTTCTTTTATTCAAGACAATCAGGTCGCTTGGCGTTTCCCCCTCGCTTTACCGATCATTTTTACCTTAATGCTCATGGCTTTCGCCATGTCTTTCCCTGAATCTCCCCGCTGGATGATCAGTCAGGGCCTCAGGAGAGAAGCACACGCGGCCATGCGCGCTCTTGCCGGGGATGATAGAAGCGATGAAAGCATCGAGCTTGAAATCGATCAAATCTTCCATAATCTTCAACAAGCCTCTACTTCAGAACGTGGCTTTATTGATCTCTTCAGGATTGAGCCTCAGCGACTCTTCTACCGCATGTGTCTTGCCGTTGGCATCAATTTCTGCGCCCAGATGACCGGCGCAAATGTCATCTCTTATTACGGTGGGACCATTTTCCAGGAGTCTCTCGGTCTAGGGGCTGAGAAGGCAGCGTTGCTGAATGCCGGCGTCCTCACCTGGAAAATATTTGCGGCCCTTTCCGCTTATCTATGCGTGGACCGCTTCGGTCGTAAGCCTCTGTTCATAAGCGCCAGCTTAGGCATGGGTCTTTGTATGGCCGGTTTGGCCGTGAGTGTCTGGGCCATAGGTAACAGCCCGACCAATGGTGCCTCTATCGCAGCGACCATCTTTCTCTTTCTCTACATGGGCTTTTTCCCGCTTGGATTCTTGGGTGCCAATTTCTTGTACAGTGCGGAAATTGCCCCTCAAGACTTGCGGATACATTCGGCAGCTATTGGAACTGCGACCCATTGGCTTTTCAACTTCGTTATTGCGGAGATTACCCCGGTTGCATTCACTACAATTGGGTGGCGCTATTATATCATTTACGCCGTGATAGGTGTCTCCGCTGCTTTAATGGTTTACTTCTTCTTCCCGGAAACGAATGGGGGCTCCTTGGAAGAAATGGATGATTTGTTCTCTAACCCAGAGCACTGGTGGGAGGTCACTGCTTACGCTTCTAGCTTGAAGAAGGCCCGGGTGTCAGAACTGGAAGTTATAGCCCCTTTGGAGGATAAAGGGGGTATAGAATCTGCGAACCATCTTGAGAGGGTCTGAGACGTCCCGATGGGTGATAAGTCCGGAATCGGTGGCTAGGATAATTGCAAGATTTTTATTATATTGGCTACATCTTGGAGTAAATGAACTGTTCTTCCAGTCTCAATGATCAAATCTAACCGGGGAAATTGAGGGTATTGCGCCGGTAGAATAGCGGCCTTGAAATATATTTCGGATTTGGCTGGCAGAATTGAGTTTTACCGACTATATGAGTATGTGGCGCTTCTTGGTCGGGGCTAATAAGATTCGCAAAAGTACTACAAGGTACCTATTTACATCTCTATTTACCATGAACGACTAGCTAGCAGTTACTGTTGTCAAGTGACCCCCTCCGTTTGCACCAGCGCTTGCGCGTCTTAGCTTAATGGTATCTCTCTCCCTATCCCTCCCTCTTTTCCTCCTCCATTCATTTTGAACTACAGATCTTGTCCCTTTCGTCTGTTTCCACGCTACCATGTAGCCCTTTCTTCCCCTGGATGACAGATCAGCTGTCGACATATTGCTTTAATATATTAGAGGCGGTGATTGAGGCGGTAAGTTAAATCCCTTGATAACCTTAAAACCTTAATCAGCCCGTCGGTAATAACGCATTCTGAGATATACTCCGCAATTCTCAACTCTGCACACGGTTACCGCCGTCGGAACCCCACCATCGAAACAGAAAGTCGGCCCGAAACCATGAACGTCAGAGCTCTTTATAGATCCGATTTAAGAACTTAGCTCCCCCGTGCTTATTCCCTCTCCTCAACTCCAAAATTGACCTTCTTGTGCAATCTATATCATCATGCCGTTTGTCCAAGCCAACACCCATAGTCTTCACTATTCCGACTCTCACCCTACCGGCCCGCCAACTCCAACTGGGCTCACATTTATTTTCATCCACGGTCTGGGGTCTTCACAAAACTATTACTTCCCTGTGCTCCCGCATTTGACATCAAAGCACCGATGCATCACTATCGACACATACGGTTCCGCGCGTTCCACATACACCAATGACCCGGTTTCCATCCCGGGGATCGCAGCCGATGCTATCGCTGTGCTAGATGAACTGAAAATCCCCAAGGCTGTCGTGGTCGGTCACTCCATGGGTGGATTGGCAGTCACGGAGATAGGAGCGCGGTACCCGGATCGGGTGCTCGGTGTCGTAGCGATTGGGCCGATACATCCGTCCGAGATGTTAGAGTCAGTTATGAGTAAGAGAGCGGAGACTGTTTTGGAGAGTACGTCCTATTTTCAGATACTAATAAGTAATTTCGATTCAAATATCGATACTAACTTTTTTCTCCAGGTGGCATGGAACCCATGGCCAATTCTATTCCTTCTGCAGCCGTCGGATCCCGCAGCACCCCACTTCACAAAGCCTTTATCCGCGAATTGCTGCTTGGTCAGGATCCGAAAGGATACGCGGCACTTTGTCGGGCCATCTCTGCCGCTCAGCCGGCTGATTATGCTGCTGTGATGGCTCCGTTCCTGCTTATCGCTGGTGAGGAGGATAAGTCGGCATCTATGGAGGGGTGTGAGCATATCTTCCAGCATGTTTCGAGCGAGAAGAAGTCGCTTGAAGTGTTGAAGGGAGTGGGACACTGGCATTGCATTGAGGCTGCTGATGAAGTTGGCTCGCTCATTGCACAATTTGCGAATGGGATTGTGGTTTGAGTTGGATAGGTAGCGATAATGGACATCTTATGAACTCCAATCTAGTCTTCTAATCCTTATGCTTTGAATTAAGTTATCATTGTATGTGCGGTAAATTGATGTGTAAGTTAAAAGTTTAAAGTGAAGTATAGATTAAGGTGTAGATTGAAGTGTAGCAATTTGATTGATTAAATTTTCAATATTGCGAATTCGACTTAGATATGTGACAACAACGCTCTTCAATAAGACAGTAAAACAGTGACTAAAGCCAGTCAAGTATGCAAATTTGGCCCTTCCTCATGCGTCAGATTGCTCGTCTTTCACAAGCTTAACATCGTACTTCAGCTCAAGCCCCGCGCGGGGGTCGCCATCGCGAGGAACAAAGTCTACAACCAGAGAATCCTTGACTGCGAACACAGAGTCGTTGTCAAGGTACTTGCCACTTCGATCGAAGATCTGGGTAACAAGAGGACGGTACCCCTTGTGAGTAGCCTAGCAACAGGAGTCAGTACAGACATCTCTCATTCAGCCAATGAAACATACCATAATATGAATGTGAGCAGGGCGGTACGGGTGACGATCCATAAGCTCAAGCAGCTTTCCAGCGGGGCCTATATAAAGCATCAGCTTCCACTCCTTGAAAAACCAGCATAAAACACCACTAACCATCGTTGGGAACAGGGTACGGTGTTGGTCGCAAGCAGTAAAAGTAGTACCGTCCCTCGGAATCAGTCTGGAACTTGCCACGCAGGTTAAAGTCAACCTGCTCAGGATCCTGCTGCTCATACAACCCATTTGTCGACGCCTCCCAAACCTCAACAGTAGCGCCAACAAGCGGCTTCTGAGTAGTGAAATCCATAATCCGGCCGTGCATAAACGCCATCTGCCCATCCTTGGGCTTATTGATGACAATATCATCACCGTTAGAGCGGTACGGGGTATCCGCACGGAAAAACGGTCCAAGAATAGCAGTAGCAGTAGGCGCATCCTTAGCCTCCTCAGCCAACTTAAAAGTGATTTCATCAACGAGCCTATCGCGAAATTAGTAAGGTTATTTTCGGCGAGTGTGTAATCTTACGATTCAAGTCCAATCACGTCGCAGACCAGTTGGCCCTCATTGCGCTTATCGTCACTCATCTGTCCGGCCCAGTTGAGCATCTTCACTCCTGCCATCCACTCGTCGACGGTAAGCTCTTCCTCGCGCGCGAAGTCGTGCACGTGTCGGATCAAGCCGGTCATGAGCTGGCGCATACGCGGCGAGGTCTTGGGACCCATTGAATTGATGACATTGTCGGTGAAATTGGGGTCAAATCTGTGTGCCGCCATGTTGAAGATTCGTAGTTCGTTGAGAAAATAACGTTAAAGTAAAAGTAGAGTTAGGTGGTGTGTAACGTCTTCTTCTGGGGTTCAGCTTTAAGTTAAAAGAAGATGCGACACGCTGCTACAGAGCTCGAGTATTTAATTGCTACAAGATCCGACGGGAATTTGTCTAGCGGCAACTTACGGCTGCACGGATAGACCTAAATCCGGTTCCCCCAGACGGAGTAAAGTCTCTTGACTAAGTTGATGCTCATTAGAGGGTGACCCCGCAAAATTGCGGTGGCATGATTGGTTCAGGACGGATCGGATGTTGAAGTCGAAGGCGTCGGATGCTGTTTCGATGCTGAGTCGGATCGGGCGGGTCGTTTTAACGTGAGGGAACACTTCCGAATTCCCCGCACTTCGGATATCAAGAGGATTTCATTGGTTAAGGAGCTCGGGGAGCCTATAAGGGGAAATTCATAAGTAATACGGAATATATTCATGCCATTTACTGCGCGTGAGTTATGTCGTCAGCGCCGTATACATGCATGGTCCTGCTTAACTAATGCATAAAGAAGTATACATAGAGTCAAGCTGAATGTCTCGAATTATGAATTTATTTCATCAAGACTTACCTAGGTAATCTATGAAATCATTGGACAGCATTTCAATATTGAATGAAATAACATTTATCGCCTATTCTTCGGAGTTCCCTTACTCGTCAAATTGGCCGGCAACTCCTGTAACTCCTCCCCCTTCTCCCAAATCTTGCCCATCTTAAGCTTCCGCTCAATGACAACATCAAAAAAGTCCACGGGAACCCTCTGTACGCCAGATTCATCAGGTAATCCCTCGCTCAAAATAACCCCATTTTCACTGCGCCAGAACGGACATCCAGCCTTGAGCGCTTTCCGAATATCAATATAGATCAAAACCTGAGCATCCCCCCGCATTCCCGAAATCACCGTCTTCTCCGCTCCCTGCTTAAAAGTCGCCGTCTCCTGAGCCGCAAGTACTGATTCGAGAGATGGGCCCGTGGCGAAGTGTACATGGTTGCGATTCATACAGCGTAGTCCGCCCGACTGCAGAATAAGAGGCCATGCACCATGGAAAGTTCCATGGACAACTGTCTCTGGGAGCTTGGATTCGTCGTCCAGGGAAAGGGGTTCGAGGAATGAGGCCGCATCTACGCTTTTGATGCTGTGGCCTTGCGATGCGCGAATGAGGTAGTTTGCGGGATCGGTATCTGTCACGGAAAGTGCCTGCTGTGTTGCATCGGTCTGCTCTTGGCTTGTGGTGGGTTTTCCTAGGACGGTCGTGTCATCGATGGGATCTGATCCGGGGACTGTAGTCGCCTGGGTTGTAGATTCGGTAGGATGCGAGGAGGGGATGTGGAGGAGTGCGAAGCGCTTCTTGTCGGAGGAATCGACGGCATGTTTGACTTCGTCGAAGGTACATTTAATGGATTTCAACTTCCGCCATTGCAGCTGTAGAGAGATCTTGTTAGTTCAAATTAGGATTCATGGGGAGTAAGTTGGGGGGGAAGGGACCATACTACGTCGGCTACGTTTGCGTAACCCTGCGCATTCATTTTGAGTCCTTCTTTCTCTGCTGCGTGTCGCAGGAGCAGACTCAGCGCCTTGGAGATCTGCACGTCGCGGGACTGGCCTTGGCCTCCTCGACCCTTGCCACGATCACGCTTTTCCTGGTCTTTCGCCATGTTTCGTGTGTTGGATGCCGCGTTGCGGTGCGGGGAGCTTGTTGAAATTTGCGGAGCTTTAAAATGTTGGTGCGGGGCAAAGTAGAGCCGCAGGTCGCAACTATGGACACCTGGAATGACTCACCATGAATCACCTTTGTTACATTCAATTACAGTAAAATATGCTTGCCAATGTATTACAAAATTTTGTGATGTTATATAGTGCTTCCGAAAATCGGTGTCACCACCTATACTCTTTGATAGTATCTCTAACCCTAATGCCAAAATCCGATGGTCTATACTTATGAGATGAACCGGAAAATTGATACTCCGAAATATTGATATTCCCGTGTCTTACACGGACAGTATTTTACAAGGATCAATTACATGACACATTTCTCGTAACTATGTCGATGCTACTGAGAATCTCCATGGAAATGCAATCTTACCAAAGCGAAAGAAAGGAAGCAGATCTGGCAAGCTCAAAGCGGAGCCACAACATTCTTCCTCCTAGGGTTATCCTGTATAGTGCTATATAGCCTTAATTTTCGAAATCCTCTAGGTCACTGAATCCTGTGTGTTCTAGTTGGTAAGATGCCTGAAGCTGCGTTCATGCGATCCCACGTTCGATTCGTGGCTCAGCGGTTCAGTGGCCACAATATTTTTGACCTAAATACATATGAAACGATCATACTTGTTACTTTATAGAGGGTAGCTGAATAGTCAATAATAACCTTATCATGCCTAATCTCCTGATATACATATGAAACGATCAAAACTGCTACTTCAAGAGGGGTATTTATTTATCAAAAACAACCCTATCATGCCATAATTCCTGCTGCATTGAGGGTTTCAATAACTTGAGCGTGGTCAAACTCGATGGCTCGACTTAGAGCAGATCTTCCTCCACGATCTAGGATCGACGGATCAGCTCCGCGATTAACAAGCAGCTCAACTACCTGAAAACGATTACGCTGCGCAGCATAATGTAGAGGTGTGGCCCCGGAATGGTCTTGGGTGCAGATATTGGCACCAGCATTGATGAGTGACTCTACCGCCTCACGATGGCCAGCGCTTGCCGCAGCATGAAGTGCAGTATAGCCTTTTACTCCCTGGAAGGAAACTATTGCACCGGAAGAGATGAGACTGTCAACCACAGCCACGTGCCCACCTCTGGCAGCAATATAGAGTGGAGTGTATCCGTGTTTGTCGTAATCAGATAGTTCGTGGCCCCTAAAATCGTTTTCACGAGAAATATCGGCTCCAGCCTTGATAAGCAAATCAACCACCTCCCTGTGACCCTTCCCAGCTGCTCTGTAAAGGGCAAAGTCTCTATCAAAGCGAAGGTCATCTGGTGATACGCCGACATTCAAGAGTAGCTCTACTATCATAGTATGGCCATCGTCGGCTGCTCTCCACAAGGACTTCCGGAAACAAAGATTGTACTGAGGATTCTTGTGGAAATCTAGGATAGCGCGAACCCTCTCAACCTGTCCAGCATAGACAGCAGGATAAAGCGCCAGAATGTCAGACTGAGCCCCTGGTCCGAGAAGTAAATCTAGAACGGCTAGACGACCAGCCGTAGACGCCCTGGAAATGGCTTCTTCTTTTTCTTCTTTGTCAAACGCAAGACCACAGTCAAGAAGAGTTTTAAGCATGGTAGCATCAAGGAGGGCTCGCCTGCGCATGTCAGGGCTCAACCATCCTGGATAGGCCAAATGTTCAATCATTGCAGTGTGGCCACGGCTGGCAGCACCACACAATAATGAGAATCTGTCCAAATCGACACCCATCTTATCGAGAAGTCGAAGTATTTTGATATTGCCTAAACAGCCGATCAACCGTGCCAGCCAGGTGTCCTCACCCGAGATATTCAGGCCGGTCCTAATTAGCAAACGTGCCACCGAATTGTACCCGAGCTGGGCAGAAAACCGCAGAGCCCAATATCTTACATCCTCTGAGAAATCTACTTGATCAAGAAGGATCTTGACTATCTTTGCTCTTCCTGATGTGACGGCAACGTGCAAAGTCCTGTCTGAAATCTCAAAGCCCGCCGCAATAAGATGCTGGAAAACTGCCGTGCGGCCATATTTTGCCGCTATATCCAGACCGCTACTCAATACGTCTGTCGTATCTGGGGGCTGTCGCATCCTGCTCAGAAGTAGTGACGTAGTAGAAAGATGACCGTTCTTTATGGCCATATTTAGTGCGGTGCCATGATGATGAGAGGTCCTATAGGGATTCGCACCGGCATCAAGGAGTACTTGGACTACCATATCTGATCCATGGTAGGCCGCGGCATGTAGGGGAGTGCATCCAACTTTATCCGATACATCGACCTCTGCTTTAGCGGAAATAAGAAGCTCCACTATTGCTCTATGTCCTCGACGTGCAGCCAGAGCTAAAGGTGTGACCCCACGATTATTCCGGACTTCGAAGTTCACGCCCTTGGCAAGCACGGTTTGTATGAATTTCTCATCGCCTTTGCTTGCGGCCAGGTGCACAATGGTATCTCCAGTCTTTCTTGCCTTCTTTGTGAATTCTTCAGGCGCGATAAGTCGATCAAGACCATCAAGGGCCTGGATGAGCCGGTAACATGCATCAGGCTCTAGGTACGCTGTGATCTGAAAAAATATCTCGGCAGGCAGCTTGGTTATCGTCATGGCCACAGCCGAAGGTCAAAGGCTGGGTGTAGAGCCGCGCAGTGCAAGAGACAGTGTGAAGAGATGGCAAGCCCCAGCTGATACCAGGTTTATAGTTGTTTCGCGTAAAATAAATCGTGACAAGTCCTAGTGTCGGTGATTGATCGTAAATAAATACATTTGGATGTGATGGAAGTGTTGGAGGTGGGGGTGCTGGATGACTCATTTTACTATGCTAGGAATGGCTAAGTGCACCTTGGCATCGGGGCTCGAGAAACACTGACAGATTGTGGGTGGTGACACCGATTTCCGGAAGTACTGTATCTCGACTGACTTCTCTGTAGTTCAAAGGGATCGACTGTATCAATACGGGAAAACAGATATCAGGTACCCGTTTGTGAGACCGAGGAGCGCCTTTTTGTGCCACGTGGCGAAAATACCGACCTCCCGTATCGAGTGAGTACTGACGGGACGGGCCGCGATGCGAACCCCTGATTCGCCCGACCGCGATGAACGCGAGGATTCGCCACCGCGACTGTCGAGACCGAAGCGCACCACCAAACCACCGAAAAACTATGCTCGAGAGCAAGAGATCGACAACGAGCAGAGGAAGACGCGACCGCTACCAAAGAAGAGAATCGAACCCGAAAACCAGCCTGACGTGGCAACTTCGGACGACTCCGCAACCGAGAGCGACGACCTCGATGTCAGCAATCTGGTGCAAGAGATCGCCAAACTCAGGAGGGAGATCAGACTCCGCGATGAGATATATAAAGAAGAACTACTAAAAGCCCAAGCAGAGTTTGGTGCCGCTCTCGCCGAGGTCCGACACGAGCTACAGAACCTGACTGATAGACCCTTGACACCGCAATGCCACTCCGAGGCATGCTCTCAGAACAACCATGATGCGATTCTCCGCGAGATTCAATCCTTGCGCGAAGAAATCAGCGTCCCCGCTCCCACGAGTGCCCCATCCTATGCAGATGTCGCGCGCACTCCTCCAACCAGTTACCCAAGCAACATACGGACACTGTCAACGCTGGGCACGACACCGACCACCTTTACCGAAACTTTGTACTGTACGATAGACACCTCGAAGATGACCGAAATTGAAAATGAAAAGATATCCGCGGGGTCAATCAGGGCCGCAATCGAGAAAGAGATCCGAACGATGGATGATCACACCCACTGGCGCTGCCGCGCGGTCACCGTGAGTCCAAGAGACCCCAATCGGATCAGGATTGCGTGTCGTGATGAAGCCGAGCACCAGCTGGTCAAGAAAGTGGCGGAAGACAAGATCGGAACAGGATCCCGGGTGCTCCGGGACGAGCTCTACCCGATCAAGGTCGACGGCGTCAAGAGGGCTGCGGTGCTGGATGACAACCATGCCATTCTGGCTGGAGCAACCGTAGCACTGAGTGAAGAAAACGAAAGTACAGTCGCCAAGATGACGTGGCTTAGCAGCAAGGAAGCCGCGAAGCCATATGGCTCGATGGTCGTGTACCTCACTAAAGGCTCCGACGCGCGGAGGCTCCTGGCCGATGGATACTTCCACGTTGGAGGGGAATCCGGGACAACCAGCGTCTTCGAATATCGGCCACGACCGATGCAATGTTATAACTGCCAGGAGATTGGTCACAAGGCATTCCAATGCCGGAAGACCCAGAAGTGCGCAAAGTGCGCCTCGGAGGGTCATCACCACAGTCGCTGCGATCAAGAGGTTCCAAAGTGTGTTCCATGCGGTGGGCCACATGAGTCGTTTAGCAAGAATTGCCGGAAGCTCTACCCACCACGTCATGAATAAAACACTTCGAATAATCCAATTGAATGTGAGGAAGCAGGGTGCCGTGCATGAAAGCTTAATGAACGACGAACAAACCAAGGACGCAGTGGCGTTAGCGATTCAGGAACCCCAGGCGAGGAGGATTCAGGGACGACTCTTGACCACCCCAATGGGACATCACAAATGGACGAAGATGGTACCCTCCACCTGGAGGGAAGGCAGATGGGCGATCCGGAGCATGCTTTGGGTCAACAAAGATGTAGAAGCGGAGCAAGTGGCCATTGAGTCCCCGGATCTGACAGCAGCGGTCATCCGACTACCCGAACGGCTGATCTTTATAGCATCGGTCTACGTCGAAGGGGGAGATTCCTCGGCTCTGGATGACGCGTGTGGTCACCTGAGAAGGGCAATTGCGATGGTGCGGCGAGACACGGGCGCGGTGGTGAACATCATGATTATGGGAGATTTCAACCGCCATGATCAACTCTGGGGCGGAGACAAGGTGTCCTTGGGAAGACAAGGCGAAGCGGATCCAATCATTGACCTCATGAGTGAATTTGCTCTAAGTAGCTTGCTCAAACGAGGCACGAAAACATGGCATGGCGAAGGACAGTACGGGGACTGCGAGTCCACAATTGACCTCGTCCTTGCCTCCGACAATTTGGCAGACCTGATGACCAAATGCGTAATACACGGGACTGAGCACGGCTCGGATCACCGGACGATTGAGACGGTGTTCGATGAACCGTGGTCAGCCCCGAAACATCAGGAACGACTTCTTCTGAAGAACGCGCCATGGAAAGAGATTAATGCTAGAATCGCGAGCACCCTGGCCACCACTCCGTCGGAAGGCACAGTGCAGCAGAAAACCGACCGACTGATGTCCGCAGTCTCGGATGCAGTGCATACTTTAACTCCAAGAGCGAAACCATCGCCACACGCGAAGCGGTGGTGGACAACCGACCTGACACAACTCCGCTACATATACACACACTGGCGCAATCGCGCTCGCTCGGAGCGACGGGCGGGGCGAAAAATACCTCAGCTCGAAAAGATGGCCCAGGATGCGGCAAAACAATACCATGACGCCATCCGCAAGCAAAAGAAGAAGCACTGGAATGAGTTTCTCGCAGACAACGACAATATCTGGAAAGCCGCTAAGTACCTGGAATCGGGAGAAGACGCGGCATTCGGGAAGCTACCACAACTCGTCAGAGCAGATGGGACTACCACCGCTGACCATAAGGAGCAAGCAGAAGAGCTGTTGTCTAAATTCTTTCCCCCTCTACCGGACGTGATTGAAGACGAAGGGACGAGACCACAGAGAGAGCCGGTGAGGATGCCTACGGTTGGCATAGAAGAGATCGAAAGACAGCTTTTTGCGGCTAAATCATGGAAGGCACCGGGTGAAGACGGTCTACCGGCGATAGTCTGGAAGATGACATGGCCGACTGTCAAGCACAGGGTTCTCGATTTATTCCAGGCGTCACTGAGAGAAGGCGCGTTACCGACACAATGGAGACACGCGAAGATCATACCGCTCAAGAAGCCGAATAAAGAAAATTACACCATTGCAAAGGCGTGGAGGCCGATCTCACTCCTAGCGACACTAGGAAAGATACTCGAATCAGTGGTTGCTGAAAGAATCTCACACGCAGTGGAAACGCACGGATTGCTCCCGACCAGCCACTTCGGCGCCCGAAAGCAGCGATCCGCAGAGCAAGCACTGGTGCTCCTGCAGGAGCAGATCTACGCAGCCTGGCGCGGCCGTCGAGTATTGAGCCTGATCAGTTTCGATGTGAAAGGTGCCTACAACGGAGTGTGCAAAGAACGACTGCTCCAGAGGATGAAAGCGCGAGGCATACCAGATGACTTGCTCCGGTGGGTCGAGGCATTCTGCTCAGAGCGAACGGCCACCATCCAGATCAACGGGCAGCTTTCTGAGGCCCGAAGATTGCCCCAAGCTGGCCTGCCTCAGGGCTCACCCCTATCTCCGATCCTATTCCTTTTCTTCAACGCAGACCTCGTGCAAAGACAGATCGACAGCCAAGGAGGAGCGGTCGCTTTTGTGGATGATTTTACCGCATGGGTGACCGGGCCAACCGCGCAGAGTAACCGGCAAGGAATCGAGGCAATTATCAATGAGGCGCTCGATTGGGAAAGGAGAAGTGGAGCAACTTTTGAAGCGGAAAAGACAGCTATCATACACTTTGCTCCCAAGATGCGTAAATCGGACCATGAGTCGTTTATCATCAAGGGACAGACGGTGGTACCCAAAGAGCACGTCAAGATCCTGGGTGTCTTGATGGACACGAGACTGAAATACAAGGAACATATGGCGAGGGCCGCGTCCAAGGGCCTGGAGGCAGCGATGGAGCTTCGGCGACTTCGCGGCCTTTCCCCAGCAACGGCGCGGCAGTTATTTACATCGACGGTGGCGCCAGTTGTGGACTACGCCTCCAATGTCTGGATGCACGCGTGTAAGGACAAGGCCATGGGGCCGATCAATCGAGTCCAAAGAGTTGGAGCACAAGCCATTGTGGGGACATTCCTCACGGTCGCGACCAGCGTAGCGGAGGCGGAGGCCCACATTGCCACCGCGCGGAACCGATTCTGGAGACGGGCCGTGAAAATGTGGACGGACATGCATACCCTTCCTGAAACAAACCCGCTCCGCAGAGGTACAGACCGGATCAGAAAGTTCAGACGATATCATCGCTCGCCGCTGTACCAAGTGGCAGATGCGCTTAGGCACATCGACATGGAGACACTGGAAACAATTGACCCGTTCACGTTGGCCCCATGGGACGAACGCGTACAGACCAATATTGACGGACAACATGAACCCCAGACTGAAGCGGGCGGGTTGATGCAGATCGCGGTCAGCAGCTCGGCACGGAACGAGCTGGTGGGATTTGGAGTCGCAATCGAGAAACAGCCACCTCGAAATCGAAAATTGAAGCTCAAAACGTTTTCTATCACATTGGGCGCGAGGGCAGAGCAGAACCCGTTCTCTGCGGAGCTGGCAGCCATGGCACACGTGTTGAAAATGATAGTGGGAATCAAGGACTACAGGACTACGTTGCTCACAAGCAACAAGGCGGCGGTGCTCACGCTAAGAAACCCCCGACGACAGTCTGGCCAGGAGTTTGTTTGTCAGATGTACAAGTTGATGAGAAGGTTGCGGAGGGATGGAAACCGCATCGAGTTCCACTGGATCCCTACTACCGACGACAACAAGCTGTTAGGTCTGGCTAAAGAACAGGCCAGAACTGCAACTCAAGAAGATGCTCTCCCACAAGAACACGTCTCGAGGATGAAGTCGACAACATTGAACATCGCACGGTCCCAAGCAGTCCCCAGCAGTGAGCTACCAGAGAACATAGGAAGACACGCAAAACGAGTAGATGCCGCACTGCCAGGCAAACACACCCGGCAGTTGTATGATCGCCTCACGTGGAAAGAAGCGAGCGTACTGGCCCAGCTCCGAACCGGCATGGCTAGGCTCAATGGGTATCTCAATCAAATTAATGTAGCAGAGACGGATCAATGCGATTGCGGACAAGCAAGAGAGACCGTGGAGCACTTCCTCTTCCGATGTCGGAAGTGGATGGCGCACCGGACGGAAATGTTACAATGCACGCAGACTCACCGAGGAAACATATCTTTCTTCCTGGGCGGAAAACAGCCTTCTGATGATCAGAAGTGGACGCCAAACCTAGAGGCAGTACAGGCCTCCATACGTTTCGCCATTGCGACGGGCCGACTCGAGGCCACTTGAACATATCGACTAACATAACCCCCACCCCTTCTTCCGACCCTACTTACCCACCACCTCGTGCTACACATGGTAGACGCGCTTCAACTGCCGAAGATAGGATGTTGAACACTTGGAGAAGCACCTTCAAGCCAGCCTACTAACCCACTTACTAACCCACGAGAAACTCGCTGCGATACTGCGTTCTGGAAATGTTATATGTTATAAGGTTTTATGTATGGGCTTTCAGGAGACACAGCATACACAGATGGACATGTACAGTAGATCAGTGATAGTTGCCCTTTCGGCTCAGCCGCCGGGCGTTAATGAATTGTTTGTTTGTTTGTATCTCGACTGACTATATAACTCCACAATATTAACTGAGTCGATGGGTATATCCTTCAAACAAAACAAAACAGCTCCCCGATAATCTTTATCGATCGCAGATACAGCTGCATTCCGCTACTGGACACACCTTATGTCGCATAAACCAGCCACGGGCATGATGTGCATGAAAGCCGTGGTTACAATGAATACAAAACACCACAAATCGCCGCATGACCTCGGCCTCGGTGGCCTTATGCGTGGATTCGGCATCGGCAGCGATGCCTGAGCGAGACAGTGGGTCTGGCGATCCTAGCCACAGTGTACATACACCACAGCGAGGCATATGGCGACCACAGCGGGGACAGACTGTTCCAGACAGAGCTGCAGAGCCAAGGGGGTTGCCCACAGTTGGATGAACGGTTTCCATCGCGGTAGATGGAGAGACTTGGGAAGAGGAATCGTGTTGTGTGAGGGGACGCGTACAGTAGTTGCAGGTCAGGCTTACTTGCTGAGGTGGTGCGGGGATGAGTTTGCGCCCGTCGACCGTGACGGCAAATTGTCGAGAGCCAACATCAAAGCGGGCTCTTTCGAGTTGCAGTTTCCAGGAATTCATCTGCCGGCGGTAGGTCTCGCGCCAGGCTTCAAATTGTGTGATGTATGTGTTATTGTTGATTATTCGGGGGATGGTGTGGCTCATGGCAAGCACCGGAGTCTGAATGTCATTGAACTTGTCAATATATGACTGAAACAGACCCATGGCCAGATGACCCAATCCCGTAAGCACCACACCCTCAACGTCACCTTGTTGGATTGCTTCTGTTGTGGCATCTTTCAGATATTCGCTCAACTCATCATCCGGAAGCCAGCGTAAGGCAACCTCAACGCGGTATTTCAAGGGGAGGGTAGTCTCCTTGATGACTGCTTGCCAGTCACCTTTGCTAACGAGAGCAAGAATGGCGCGTGCGTACGGATCAGTGAGCTCTTTAGAGATCTCGGCGCAAGTTTCTTCCCAGTCGGCACTGTTATCTCCCTTTGCAGAGCCAGCAATTGCCATTGCTAGCATTTTATGGGCCTGCTTGGGTTCATTGCCTCGAAGTGCTAGGTAGGCTAGTTTTGGTTCGGTTTGGAAGACAGCTAATGCAGCGGCTTTGGTATGTTGACCCTCAGTAGAGAGGGTCTTCACCAAATCTTCCAGTTCTCGGTGCGATTGAGCTGCCCCACAGAGGCGAAGGCAAAGTCGGCGATGCTCGGGATATGCCGTCTCACAGCCCTTCGTCTCTGGTAAATTTAATTGCTCGACAAGCTGAACGATTGCCTCGGTTGCAAGGTTAGCATCCTCTCCCTTGGAGCCGACGCGTCGTCTTTCAAAGCCATGGCCTATATAATTTATTAGCGAAGATTAACCAAGTGAGAGGGAGAAAGGCGAACCGAGATCATTATGCCACACACTGCTCACACCAAGATAATTCAAGTCCAAGCCATTCGTCACCATGGCCATTCCTGACGAGTCAGACCGAGCTCCTAACACGCACATTAGAGTCATTCTCTTTCAAACCTCGAATAACTTACGTTCAATCCAGCCCCAAAGATCTTGGAGAGCAGCATCATCTGCGACAATTTGTCGATTTCGCGCTTCATCAAAAAGATAACCCTCTTTACACCGGAACCGGCCCAGTGTAGAGAGTGTCAAAGCCTCTTTTGCAGTGAGCAGAGTCCCAAATGTGCCTAGGGATAATGCACGCTCCCGACCTTCCCGGCTTGGTACAGGATCAGAGGTGATCGCCTCGGAAACGAACGGCTTTGATTCGTCAATTCTTGACTCTCTTGAGCTCGATTGAACGCGTGACCTGATGTTTCCAACAAGCTCAGAAATAGGAGAAATCTGCTCAGACATAGGGCGAATGGATCTCAGGTCTGATTCAATGGATGAAATACCACAGGCCAGTGTTCCTTGTGACGATAGAGCCACCGGAGGACATGGCGGTCGACCAGTAATGATCTGCGGTATTCCATGACCATCGATTGCAATAGCACTGGGTTGTGACGAGAGACTGAGATTCAAAAAGTCGAATGCTACCACCCGGTCCTTTTCTCCATACCCACGAATAGGGTGGTCGAATGGTGTGGCGACATCTCGTATATGTTTCGTATGGACCGGCTCTGGGTAGTCTCTGAATGAACCCTGGCCGAGTGTTTCGTCGATTGAGGAGCGATACTCTTCTGATAAATGATCTTTCGCAATTTCAAAGATTTTCAGATGGCCAGTGCTGGACAATGCGCCCAAGGATCCACGGTTAGTCTTGGAGAACCGTAGACTCCAGATCGAGCTTTTGGGGTCAAACACATGCTTGAGTTGCAGGACAGAAGCGGAAGTTTGACCAGCCTCGGGATTTGTCGCAGAGGAGCCTAAAGAGGGTGACGTTAATCGATTTCCGACACGCCGATCCCATACGCAGACGGTGCTCTCGTTGGATGTCGCGCAAGAAGCAATGTAGTTCTCGTCAAGCCAGTCTATGGCCAAATTATGGACGCATCGAGTTGGAAACTGTAATGATGGATTTCCAGGGCCCTCTGAAAATTAATTAGCAAGGATTCACTAGTGCGACGCGCAGGCAAGCGAACCTCGCAGATCATAGATCCGAACAAATTGGCCTTTCACTCCTGTAACTAGGGTATCTGGTTGGTCTCGAAAGAATTTTATACTGGTTATAGGCTCGGAGCTAGCCAGCTTTCTCAGAGGCTCGTGGAAACCTTTGGTAGTGCCGGCAGGACTAAGTCGTTGGTTGACATCCCAAATATTCAAGCAGAAGTCATTGCGCACGCGATCCAGACCCGAGGCCACAAGACCATGTGCACTGAATGCTACTGCGTTACAATATCGCTGATTTCGGACAGGAAAGGAAAGTGATTCCTTCTGATCGGTGTCAAGTCGTAGAATTGTAGCTTCACCGGATGATTGGCCCACCGCAATAAGGTTCTCGTTGGACGTAGACCAGTCAAATGCACGGAATAGAGGGACATCCCTGAGATGAGAGAGCACTTCATGTTGTATATTTCTGCCATCAAACCCCGTGATCCTGCACAGGCGAAACGCTTTGCCTGTGACGTCGACAGAGAGAAAGCGTTGTTCCGCTGCGGTCGAGCTCGGTGACCAGCGAATTGCGGACTCCATGCTGTATGTGCGCCACCTTGAGAAATCACGAGCTTATTAATTGGAGGCCGCGGCCTCGCGTCGAGAGGAAATGCGGAAGAACGAGGGGAGGTTGCTAATCGTCATGTCCGATCGGGCGGGCGCTCATTGGCTGCGGCGATCTGGGGTGCACGGGCCGAGGGTTGCGCCGAATCGAGCTTTGTAACTTTTTTTTTCTTCAACAACGGTTGCCACAAGAACCAACAATGTCTGACTCTCGACGATCCCGCGGGGATTCTTCCAAGCGTAAGAGCCATCATGTCTCAGAAGACACGGCACCTCGCAAAAAGCAACATCGCCACGACAGTAACGAAGACATGCAACTTGACGGCTCCGAGGCTCAGAACCCCAAAGGCAAATTTACCCCACGAGACAAAGATTTCACCTCCGTCAACGACCTAAAGCGTCGCATTCGTGATGTTAAGCGCCTCCTTAATAAGGGCACTCTACCCGCAGATGCTCGCGTGGTGCAGGAGCGAGCCCTGGCAGGATATGAGCAGGATCTGGCGGACGAAATAACGCGGCGCGATCGATCACAATTGATCAAGAAATACCACTTTGTTCGATTCCTGGGTACGCAAGTCATGATAATCACTGTCTGGTTGTTCGATTGCTAACGATTATCTTTTCACAGATCGCAAGACTGCAACCAAGAACCTGAACAAACTCCTCCGTCGCGAAAAAGAAGAAACCGACGCAAAGCAGAAGGCCCGTCTTGAGAAAAAGATCCACGAGGCCCGCGTCAGCCTCAACTACACAATCTACTACCCCCTCACCGAGAAATACCTGTCGCTCTACCCCAAATCGGAAGAGAAATCCTCTAAAGAAGCTGGTGCAGAGTCAGGCGCAGAGTCAGAATCCAAGGATAAGAAACAAGAGAAAGGCGCTAAACCTCCGCTCTGGGCAGTGGTGGAGAAGTGTATGGCAGATAATACCATGGATCTGCTCCGTGAGGGCAAGTTGAACATTGCATTCGATGGCCAGCCAATCGCCATCCCAGAAAAGCCAGCGCAAGATGCCAAAGGAAAGAAAAGCAAAAAGAAGGAGTCCGATGAAGCTCAATATGGCTCGAGAAGGGAAAGACGTGCTGCGGCGAACGCTGTGCCCAACGGTAGACGGGACCACAAGGACTACTACGGCCGCGAGAGAGATCGCCTGCAAGATGTGGCACCTGTCCAACACACAAACATTGCGGACGATAGTGATGGCGGATTTTTTGACGAGTAATCAGCATAACATGTATGGGGCCCGGTGCCTGGTTTTTCTCTACCTGATATCCACAATAGCATTGCATAAAATGAGATTCACCTGCAACGTATTATATTCGAACTTGAACAAGTACATCTCAGCTAGCTACATAGGCCATTGTAGGATGACTAGCGAAATCGAGGTATTCAAAGAGTGAGACCGCCGGCCCATGGCCCACCAACGGCCCGCTTCCCCTACCAAAGTTTCCCCATAAACAATTCCAACCATGACCCCACAATCATACTGGTCACCAAGCCCAGCTGGATCTCAATCAGCATTTGCTCAGTGGAAGATCCAAAACCACGGTACGATTTTGTACGTATTTTTACCAAGCTGCGAGGTGAGACCGTAAAGTAGGGTGGCATAGAAATCACCCTTATCCGGCACAACCCCGAATTCCCTTTCGAATGTAACAACTTCGTTTATTGCGTCTCCTTGCCTTCACCCATTGTCTTAGACTAATTGTTTGAAAAGAATGGATCTCTTCAAACGAGCTGCGTCGCTCTTTCACCGACGCCACAGAGTTTATCCTACGTTTGACGAACCCTGCCTGACGCGGAGGAAATGAACCAGCAAATCCGTGTTGAGGATGAAGTTTCAATTATTCAACTTGCCTCCGCTGCATTTTAAAGTTTGGAGCCCCATTTTGTGCCTGTTGTGTATGGTTGGGGTAGTGCAGCTGCGCAATCCTCCCCGGGATATACCCTCCAGGGGCGGATGCCAGGAACTCTCTGGAATCTCTGTTCGGCAGTATGAATCCCCCCGAGAAGAAACAAGTTCTTGGACAGATTGCCAGGCTGATAAAGAGCCTACGGGATCATCAAATCCCAGAATCTAACTTTCGGTGGAGTCACATTTGATGACGTCGGTAACATGGTCAGCACTGCTATGGCCAGTGTGAGTACTGGTCCCTGGCCGACTTACGAAGCGTCATTCAAAGGAAGACTCCAGGCAGCGCTTGAAAATGCCGACGCCAATCCTCACATTAGCTGTTGGCGTGAAATGGTATCAGGAAACCGCTCGATGCTCTGGTTGAGCGTGGTGTTCAGCGCATTTCAGCTCCCTCCATATCGCTCACAAGAGGGATATTACACATGCCGATTTTTGTGAGTGACTCATGGATCTTTACTCAGTTCTCTTATGGCCTAGCTAAACATTCTACTACCTTGAAGGCACGCGCAACATTCTAAAAGATACCGTCACAAAGCGCATCACGGCACTAATTGACTACGATTTCACATGCATTTTGCATCCTTCATATGAGTTTTTTTTGGCTCATTTGATAGCGTCGGAGGCCAGTTTCGAGGCTAATTAGCGGATGAATATCATGAGGAGTCGGTATTAGTGGACGCAAAGCTTTACGACTTTCTGTCTCCTTTTTGCGTCCACGATGAGCGATGGAATAGACTGGGATGTCGCGAAGGTATACGAAGCGGAGTTGGAGAAGCTGTATATCAAACGCCCAAGAACCACTTTGGGAACTGACAAGGTGGCAGATGTTGATACTGTCCTTTGAGCAATGCTGTCTTGGCGCCTCGGTAATTCGGACATCTTGAAGAGGCAGCCGGAGGTAGCCTTTCGTCCTTCAGAGAAAATTTGAGAAGAAATTAGTCGAGATACCTATCCGTCTAGGGATTAAGAGTGGACTCAGAAATTTCTGCCCCAGCAAGCAAACCAAATATCTGATCAATATCATGTTCTGGAGTTGTCTGTGAATCCTTGCGAGTCGAGTCCCATCGGTAAAAATTACCAATTTCAGGGCCTTCCATTACTGTATGGCGGTCATGTTGTGGAGTTGTCTGCGAATTGCGAGTCGAGTCCCATCGGTAAATATCACCAACTTCAGGGCCATCCATTATGGCGGCTAAATCGTATCCGTCGGCTTGTCAAAAGTGTTATAATAGAGAAATGCCGGCCTCGGCTTCTAATTCTTAGTGCCTTTGCCGATCTACACCGGGACCTTTCCATACCATGTTCGCCGTATTTCCGCTTGCCGATCCGGTGTATCCCCGGACCCCGGAGATTAGTCAACGGACCTCATATCACACATTTCCGAAAATATTCTCATGAAAACGGGCTTACTCCGTTCGGTATCTACTCCCACCTTTCCACATAGATCACATAGATTAGCCCATGTACAATTCACGTCATGGAGGCCTGAGGGTGGCAATGATCGTTAACCGAGGGACATTGTCATTGCTCCCGACCCACTTCAAAAGGCTTCATCTGACTGGACCTTGAACCTATTGAACTCCTCTGTCCCCACTAAATGGGTCTCATCCAGTCTGGATAGGTTAAACAGTCTAGTTCATTGGTTGGTATTTGCATCATCCCCAATGGTGTATCCATCTGCCTTTCGTTTTCCCAGTTAAGGCGGGGTTACCCCAGGGGGTTGGAACTGGGGATTTTCTTTCCATTCCCTAGGGCCTAGGATCATTCCAACCTCCAGACGGAAGTGTCTATACAATAACATTCGTCATGGCTTCATCCAACACTATATCACTTTCAGCTGGTGATTTTGAAAATGCCCACTCAAAATATGACTGTGATTTTGTGGAAAGCGCCCCGATCTCTGCCCAAGGGCTCGATTTTTCCACGGCAGCATCGCGACTGTCCAAATCACACCGTGATTATTTGATGGAGCGTCATGGCACGTTGGAGCTTGATCCCCTTCCTACAATGGACCCTGCGGACCCTTATAACTGGCCCGAGTGGAAGGTTAGTACAAGCCAAACGAAAGATATCTGCAAGAAAAAAAACTGATCCTTACAAATTGCAGAAAATGGCCAATCTCTTGCTTGTGGCTTTCCATGCCTGTATGGGGTAAGCTCACACCCTCACTTCTAAATTTTACAAACTTTGATCGATCCACTAACCACTACGGTTTTGACCAGAACCTTCGCTGCCGCTGGAATTATCCCAGCTTATTCCGATATCATGGAGCTCTATGGTGTCTCCAATCAGCAAGCGAGTTACCTGACATCACTCCAAATCGCGGTATTAGGTGGTGCGCCACTCTTTTGGAAACCCTTGTCCCACCGCTTTGGTCGTCGTCCTATATTTCTTCTATCCCTCATCCTCAGTCTGGTTTGCAATATAGGATGTGCGAAAAGCACTACCTATAGTGCGACCGCGGCCTGTCGAGCGCTTTCCGCATTTTTCATCGCCCCTGCTTCTGCCATCGGTAGTGCCGTGGTGATGGAGACAACTTTCAAAGTGGACCGTGCTCGGTATATGGGAGTGTGGACACTCATGATTACATTGGGTGTTCCTCTTGGACCATTTATCTTTGGTTTTGTGGCCTACCGAGCAGGTTATAACTGGATATACTGGGTTCTCGCAATTGTCAGTTCCACCCGGGATGCTATATATGGAAGTGTGTGCTAATATTGTCCTCGACTAGATCAATGGTGTACAATTTATTTTGTATCTCTTCCTCGGACCGGAAACTCGCTTCATCGACGGCGAGGATAGCGCAAATGGATCTGTCTTTAAGAGAGAATATATCTATATCCGGCGCATTGACCCTACCCCTTTCACCTGGTATGAGTTCGTCAAGCCTCTAACCATGGTCACTCGCCCTTTCATCGTCATCCCCACGTGCGCATACGCCATGGTCTTCCTTTTCGCCAACATCATGACAACCGTCGAGATTCCCGCTCTCCTTCAAACAAAATTCGACCTCAACTCGGAACAAGTAGGACTCCAGTTCTTGGGCCTGATCATTGGATCCGTGATTGGTGAGCAAGTCGGCGGCGGTCTATCAGACTACTGGATGAGAATGCGCACGAGACGAACACTCAGCAAACCAGAGCCTGAGTTCCGTCTATGGCTCAGCTACTTTGGTTACACACTTGCCTGCATTGGCATGATCGTTTTCTTGGTCTGCACGCAGGAAGCTACCGCTGACCACTGGGTTGTGAACCCTATCATTGGCACCGGGATCGCTGCTGCGGGTTCTCAGATTGTCACCACTGTTATGGTCACGTATGCGGTTGACTGTTGTCCGCAGGATGCAGCTAGCATTGGAGTTTTCATTACTTTCGTTCGACAGATCTGGGGCTTCCTTGGTCCGTTTTGGTATGTTCATCTTGGGAGATTTGGAGATAGATTGCGGTTGCTAATTATCAAATTAGGTTTACGCCAATGTTCGACAATGTTGGAGTGGCTGCCAGTTCGGGTATCGTTTGTGGGATGATCGTTGCTGTCAGCATCCTCCCGACTATGTTCTTACAAATGCGCGGTCGTATCTGGCGACGAAAGGAGGAGGAGATGGTTTCTGAATAAGCTTCCTTCTCCGAAACTTTCTGATATGACTGAATTGACGATATGTCTGCTTCATGAATTTAGAATTAGAAGGTCGGTTGATCATAGAATTAGAGACTTAGAACTATAGAACTTATTACATTTAGATCTGAGAGCAACATTTGAATGAAGGGCACTCAACTCTATCAACTTGTACAATCTCTCGATCCTGTCCATGATTGAATGTTATGATTGGTGACTATGTACTGCAATTTTTTCAGTTTTATATCTACGTTCTGGAAGGTCCGATGGAGCATAGCACACTTGAAATGAATGCAAAGGAGAGATACAATGGACTATCCATAATAGAATATGTTTTCGTGTAAAGACAGGGGAAATTAACAGCCATAAAGATCAAGTGCACTCTGTAAATTGAAATGGCAGATCCAAAAAAAGGCAAAGTGTCACTTAAATCATAAAATACCTAAAAGCAATCAATTTCCAAAGCTGGGATGAGCATGCGCATCTTGGTCGGAATTCACAGCTTCCCTGTTGATAAGATGTACGCTGTGAAATGAAATGGCACCAAAAGAATCAAATTTCTCGAATCACTTAGTTTCCGCTGGGGTGGGCTTGCGCGTCTTGGTTGGAATCCAAGGCTTCCTTGTCGTTCAAATCCCTGAACAACGCGAGACGCTCGGCATTTTGGACATCTTTGTCTCCATCACTGTCTTTTTCCTGGCCCTTGTCTTCTATATTAACAAATGTTTCGTTGACGTTCACGTCCTTGGGATCAGCATCGATGCTTTCAGCGCGGGATGCTTCCTCAGGCTTAGCAGGTGTTTCGTTGATGTTCATGTCCTCGGGATCAGTGGTGTCGATGCTTTTGGCGCAGAATACTTCCTCGGACATGGCGATTTCAGGAGCTTCGATGACCCGAGCAGTCTCAGGTTGAGCGACGTGAAAGGTTTCAGCGTTGGAGGTTTGCTTGGGCTCGGCGACATGAAGATTTTCGATGGGAGCAATTTCCTCCTTGACCGGCTCGGTGATCTCAGTCTCCCCTTCGACATCGCAATTCATGGTCCAATCTTCAGGAGCCACGATCTGGCTATCTGCCGTCTCATCCATGACATCGGTTTCATCGGTTCCATCGGTCGAGTTTCCATCCACTTCCTCTTCCTCTTCGTCGTGATCATCATGTACACCACCATAGACACGGGGAGACTTCTCATTGGCAAAATTCACCCTCGAAGCAGCATCGTAATCGAAATTATGTCCTACGAACTTTGCAAACCAATCCTTCGTCATGGTAACAGGCGCACCTCCAACCGGGCCTGTGGGTCCAACATGGATTGAGTAGCCCTGAACATTGTAAATAGCCGTGATCATGACACCCTCGTGAATATCCTTCGGCACAATTGACCCTTCATCGTGAGCCCGAGAAACGACATCGCGCGCCTTGGGATGTTTCTCGAGATTTCTCACGCACTCCTTGGCACTCGCAATCATATGAGTGTGCAATTGGCGATCAACTGACCGATGAAGTGCAACCGCAGATCCAGGAGCAACAACGGGTCCGATGGTCCAAATGGGGTATTTCCTCATCACGGCCTGACACTTCTCATGCAGAATCCATCCAATCCAGTGTGCGTTTGCCCTTCCGCAAAGGATATAGTATCCTTTATAGACGGGGAAGAAAGGCAAGCCATGGGCCCAGTCGAGAGGGCCGACACCTGAAGGAACGCGGTCAGGATCGATATCACCGCCTGGAAGGAAGTCGTAGGGATAGTTCCGGCCACGTTCAGTTGATGAGAGGAATTTGGTGGCCAAATACACGAGTTCATCGCTAAGGCGGACGAACGGGGGTGGGAAATCTGGTTTTCTGTTCACTATGGTGACTTCGGTTGCTAGCGGGAGGAGGGCTTTGTCCTCGTTCAGGTCAGGCTTCTCGGGAGCATTGTCGCCTCCCATCCAGTGGGTATTGGGAGTGTTCAGTTCGTGGTTCTTCAGGAGTTTGATACATCCTTTGCGCAGTTTCGCCAGTTCACCTGCGTATTCATGCATGTAATCCTTGGGACAGGCCATTGGCCCTTCCTTGGTTGGACGGTTGACCATTTTGATGAGCTGGTCACAGAGTTTGGAGAGTTGCGTTTAGTTAAGAAGATCTTGGTGTGAAGCTAAACGTCAGAATTTGAGGATTCAAGTAATCTCGATTGTTAATTTTTTCTGAAATGTCCGACTTTCGTAAGAGGTCAAGAAGAAAGTCAAAAATTTCAAGTGGTCGAAAACGGATACTCAGATATCTGAAGATCTGTTAGATAGGTATTCAATAATGGGAGTGTAAGACTAACAAGAAATGAGAGAGCTCGGAAAGGGTTCTCCAAAAGATGGAGAGATGATTTAAGATGATGAGGGTGAGAAGATAAGGTGAGGAGATGAGGAAAGTAAAGTTTTGAAGATGTCGAATTATCAAGTTCTCAGGATTGATGGTGAATCTCAGTTACAAGCATGCAAGAAAAGAGATTGAGAGATCATTGAAGGCGATTTCGAGGTGATGGGAAAGGAAGATGAGGGAGGGTAAGAAAGGAAGTAGAGAAATACTTTAAGGAGACGAATCCGGGGGTCAAAGACCTGAGCACATTTACAGTGAATCCCATGTGTGGATCTGGGTGTTTAAGCTTAAATGACTCCCTCCCCCTTCCTCCGCCCAGATTCTACTTGCGCAATCGACTCCTAGACAGTTTATACTTACAGTACCTTCAAAATTTATAGTACACCGTAGCTAAATGGGCACGCACCCGATTAAGTACACTCCGTTCAAATACTAGACTCACCTAGAACTCAAGAAGAAGAAGACTGGGTAGATACACTCGACGCTACTTGGTATCCAAAGAGGTGATGTTGATGTTGATCTGAGGATTTGGGAAAAGATCAAAGATGTTGTTCAATTGAAATGTCCAGAGTTCTCCTTCAATTTCGTTGAATGAGGATTTGCCTGATTGTACTGTAGGTTCCTGGGTAGGAATGCAACAGCAAGATACAGGAGATAACAGAATTATTTTAATCGGTTACAAGGTTGACTTGACTCAAACGAGTTCTGTCCCTGTTCTAGTGGTACGGTGTACGATAGCATTTGGGGTATATATTTGACAATGCTTTATTGGAATCTTGGAACTGAGCTAGTACTTGCACAATCTTAGAAGAACCAGAGCAAATTTAATGAGGGAATGAAAAGGAAAAAAAGCAAACTCCAGTATCCATCCCTCTACATATGCTAAATTGATAGAAACTAGGCCGAAAAAACCAAGTAATGAAACGGAGATTGAAAAGCTGATCAGGAGCCAATATGAAATGCAGGTTGGTCTGGTCTTATTCCTGACGCCGTAAATGGTGACCGAAATAATATCCAAGGGCTGAAAGGTGAATCAAAGTCAGAAAGAATGCCGATTACGCGGCAGATGAAAGGGAAAGGGGAAGGGGAAGGGGAAGAGGAAGAAAGGAAGAAAGGAAGAAAGGCAGAAAGGCAGAAAGAAGAAAGAAGAAAGAAGAAAGAAGAAAGAAGAAAGAAGAAAGAAGAAAGAAGAAAGAAGAAAGGAAGAAAGGAAGAAAGAAGAAAGAAATCATGGACAGGCGGACCATCGAGGTTCCGAGGCCCATTTGTAGCTCAATCTAGTTGAAGAGAGGAGAGGGGAAATTCGTAACTCATAAGTTGACACGTTCGAAGGATGTTTCGTTGCAATGTCAGCGATCCGGCGCTGAATTAGAGTAGAATGCGCTCGTCGCTTGCGACATGCATACTGGGACTCTGCAAGGGGGGCTCTCTCAAGGCGCATACAAGACTCGAGAGGAGGATCTCCGCCAATTCAGAATCCAGACTTCATTTGTACCCAAACAAGAGTAAAAAGTGCAGTCTGAACACCACGGCTAGCAACATCACATCAATGCACAACTACTACCGCTCTGAGCGCGTCGTCTTCGGCCCGAGCCACTGACACCACCAACACCGAAAGAATCGTCCTCATCCTCATCAGCATTGTAAAGTCGTTCCGCTTCGCGTGCTCGGCGTCTTCTACGCCGAGCCCCAGCACCAGCAGCACCAGCTTCTTCCGTCGCCATCATGTAGTCCGCCCATTTTCGATCCAATCGACTCGCAGCAGTGAGGTCACCACGAAGAACCCGCTTGGTGTGCTCATCAACGGTCATCTGCCATACATAGAAGCACTTGAGCTGGATAATCTCACTCGGATAAGTGGGCGGAGATGGAGACGGAAAAGGCGTGGAGGCTGGCGTGACAAAAGTTGTGGTCGTCGGGGACGAATCTGCGTCCGATGTTTGAGTCACGGTCACGACTGCCGATACGGGTTTGCGGGTGCGGGGGATGTATGCGTTGCTGGAGAGGACTTCTTTGACTCCTGCCCAGGTAATGTTGGCGCAGTCAAATACGACTAGGCGGAGTCCAACTTGGGGGCAATCTTCGCCGTAGCCTCGTCGGCGGACGCGGAAGCTGGCTTCCATAAGAGTTAGATCGGAGACTCGGGTGTTATCCATCTCCACGGAGCGTAGCTTTGGGCAGTTCTTCATCACCTGGAGCATTCCGGTGTCGCCGAGGCTTTCGCAGTAGCTGATATTCAGGTGCTCGAGGCGCTGAGCGCATGGTGACTTGGCGAGTTCGACGAGGGTGTTATTGGTCAGCTTATCCAGATCTTCCACTTCCAGGTGGGAGAGTCGTGGTGTGGTCCGAATAACATGAATGACCGATGCATCGCTCAACTCTGGGCATTGTGAAACCTGAAGACCTTCCAAATCTGGAACATTGAATGCGAGGCTCTTCAATCCATCGTCAGTCAAGCTCGTGCAGTGGTGTAAATCAAGGTGTCGGAATCGTCGAGGTGGCACAATGGGACGGTCGGTCAACACGTCTATATCTGGATCCACGCCATGTACCAAAATCCGAAGGGTCTCATCGGTCAGGTTGGTACGGCTGATGACAAGTCGTTCCAAAGTGTTACGCTTGAACAGTTCCTGGGCAAATTCTTCGTCGTCAAAGGCCTGTACTTCACTGGCGCGAAGATCCTTAAGTCGGCCACAAGTCTGAATTACTCTCCGAAGGCCCTTGGAGTCGACCTGCTGGCACCATGAGATATTCAAAACTTCAAGCAGTGGGCAAGACTGCGCAATGATTTTCATTGCGGAGTTCGTCACACTCTTCAGCCCCGACACATTGACGTATTCCAAGCGGGCGTTCCGCAGCAAGAAGTAGTGCATGGATGTCTTGTCGATCTTGCTCCCCTCTAGCGAAAAACTGACCACGTTCCGGCACAAGTCAGAGATCCGCTCTCCATCCGAGGACCACTTCTCACGCAGCTGGATGCAGCCTCTCAGGTTCAGGTCACGCACAAAGGGTCCACCACAGGTCATAAGTTTTACCAGAACATTACTAGGGATTTTCTGATAATAATCTGTCGTATCAACCTTGGACCACAACTGACCATCATAGCACATCTCATGCCAATTTTTGGAAACCGATGAGCAGCGCACGATCTCCTGTGGTGTCAGATATCGAAATATCTCCATCTTCAACTCCAGCGGCATGTCGCCCCAGAAATCCAGCACCCGCACCGGCTGCACTTTCAGCACCACCTCCTCATCTACACCCGTCTCCAAAATCGCACTGCGACGAGGCGAACCCCGCGAAGCAGGTCGTACATCGAACGGCAAAGGCACGGTACGCTGTGGGGACTCAGTACCCACAACCCGAATGCGAGCATTATCAGCACCCGAATACTCAGCCGGAGAACCCGAGCAGCCCGGTGTCGCGGGTCTGGGGTTCAAACCTCCGTAAAATTGAGAGGAGCTTCCATTCCCCAAACATGGCGAATATGAAGATGATAACGAGACACACGATAAGGACGCCTTGTGGTCCCGCCGATAACCGGTTGATGCCGATCGCCCGCGGCGGGGCAACGTCGGGCTGGATGACATGCGCTGGAGGCTCTGCAATAATTTCTGACGACCCTTAAGCTTCGGGGGTTGTTCGAGGGGAATTTGACCTGTTGAGGACATTGGACTCGCCGGCGAGATCTCGGGTGAGGGGATCGCCTCGTTGGTTGGGGAGGCCATGGTGAGAGTCGAATCGGGCACGGTGTAGCCACGTGCTGTGGTCTAGTATAAACGGGGAAGAGGAGAGAGGACCACCGATCAGGACCGGAGTGAACGAGACGACGCTCGATACTGTGTGATCACTTAGATAACCATAGCGATTCTGGTCGGGATCAATAATACTTTTGTTTCGAGAGGAGCTGAACGAGGCTGAGAGGACCAAAGGTGGTAAGACCCGCGCCGAGTGAACCCGTGGCACTGGCCAACCTCGACCAGCGGGAATTTGGATCTGTAGCCAGACGTGACGTTTCTAGCGAGAAATAGAAAAGAAAGATAGAAAAGAAACAGAAATAGAAAAGAAAAGAGAAAAAAGAAAAGTAAAAATTTAGTGGGAGAAAAAGTGGAATGTAGGACAAGGAATGCGATACATCAATTAAACCTGCTTCTACTATGAGGCAACCAGGAATGATTAAGTACATTTGAAGTACCTTTACTAATAGCTTTTATCATGCTTTATCTTTCACAACTTCATTGGTGCTATATGTAGATCTACCATACTTTGGACGAGGTCATTCACTACATGTAACAATCCCACATGTGCCCAGGTGCATCTCCTCTTCTAATGCTTATCGTTTTTCCCCACTTCATCTTGGATTGCGTATAAACGTGGCACAGACAGTGTGACCCACGGCCCCGTCGGCTGACGACGCCTCGAAATGGCGTCAAATGTCCAAAGGATTGAAGTTACATTTAATCTTAGGATGAGGGGCAAGGCTAGCCGATCCAGGTACAATTCTCAACGTTCCTGAACTAATCATTGGGTCGCGTAATCGCCTTTGACTAAGAATGCGGGGGATACATGCGATCCACGGGAATTCCGGAAATACATTGCCACGTTAGAGGCGGTGGCTGATATCTAGTAAGTTCCCATGCGAAATTACTTAAAGTGGTTAGAATGTGTTTGGACCTTCAAATGGTCGAGATGGCTCGGTTACTTCCAAGGTTTACACTAGACCTGTTTGGCCAAGGGGTCACCTCGATCTTTATCCAGTAGAAATTCGTATATAGATTCTTTATGCCATGCTTATGGTCTTCAGAAGTCTAGGTACATTCATGGGGGATATATGAAAAAAAAGGCAATGCAAAGGTATCGAAGCTAAAGCTAAGGCCAGAGTCATCACATGTGCATGGGTTAGGTGAGATTTTTGTGCAAAACCCCAAACGAAGATATCCGACTCAAGACCCGAAAGAAAGAGAGAAGTTATTAAAATCCCCCAATGTCCCCAGCCCCGCCATCAAACAAATCAAAACGTCATGGGGTATCGTGTCTTTTTGTGGTCATAACAAAAAAAGGGGTGGTCACTCCTCTGTCATCCAGGGGTGTTCGAGCACCTCAGTGATGGTAAGGCGGTTTTCCACATCGCGGTCAAGCATATTGCGGACCAGGTCGAGGCAGTCCTCGGAGGGTACGAATGGAATTCGAAGAGGATGGTCGAGGATCTCATCGACGCTGTAGAATGGGTTCTCTTTATAGACGATTGTGTAGAGTAGGATTCCGAGTGCCCAGATGTCCTGTTCTTTGCCACGGTATGATTTGCCTTGGAGGACCTCAGGAGCGGCATAATCTATATGAAAAGAAAGTTTAGCAGAAGCAAGTTGCAAGGTTTGAGGTGGTATACACATACCGATGGTACCGACAAACACATCAAACGGTCCGTTCTTGATATAAGCAGCACTGCCAAAATCAATCAACTTGATCCGGCCTTCTCCGTCAAGAATGACATTCTCGTCTTTGATGTCGCGATGCACAACCAGAGCTTTCGTGTGCAGATGGTGGATGGCGCTGACAACCTGCTTGAAGATACTGCGACACTCGGACTCCTCCATGTTGGTCTTTAACTCGATGTAATCGAACAAATCCATGCCTGGCAGACCATGCGGGATCATCTCAATATAATAGTTGATGTCGTCCTCGAAGAATCCTGACATTTCCACAATGTTCGGATGCCGGAAACCATCTCGGCGGAGGAAGTCAAGGACGTGAATCTCCAAAGGCACCGTTCCCAGCCGTCGGTCACGAGTCCATGTATCAACCAAGATTCGCTTCTTGGTGACGAATTTGAGAACTGTCTTCTGGTCGATGGGTGCCTTCTTGAGACGTGCTAATTTGACCTGACCATACGCGCCTTGTCCCATTTCCTCCAAAACCACATAGTCGGTGATTATTCGCTTGTGCGGAATGTCCTGTCGGGTAGTACCCGAAGTCGTCCCATGAACCTGTGCGGGCCGATCCGTTAGCGGCTCAGATGCAGCCTCGCTGAGTTGTTGGCTGAGGGTGGAGCTGGGGGCTTTGATTTCCACGGAAATCTGATTGGTGTCAGGGGTCTGTGAGTTATAGGCAGGCGTCGAATTGCAGTCAGATGTGGCTGAGTCTGGGCCAGGTGAAGTCGGTTTCGAAGTTGGCAGTGAAGAAGACAGATTTGTTGCGGGGCCAGCAGCATGAATTTGTCTCGAATAGGTAACCCATAAGGCATATACCAATTCTGTGACTGCGATAGTATCATCGCTATCCTCTGAATCACTTGATCGCTCTTCAACCAGCTTCTCTGCCTGCTCTCTCGAGAAGAAAGTGCCGCTTTTCACCACGCGCAATTGAACGTCCACAACAATGGTGGAGCCATCCCGGTGCTTGGCCAAAAGCCCACTGGGCTCGGTGAAGACAGATGCCGCATTGGCCTTCCCATCCCGAAGAATGGACAGGGTTCGCGCTCGGCGGAAACTGTGTTCAGGGATGACGATCCCATCGACCAATGGCACGTTGTCCTCCTCGGTTAACACATCCAAGATCTCATCAAACCCGGGTATCAGCTCCGTGATATGGCGCCCCTCGGGGCGGTCTTGGCCGAAAAGTGCAGACGAAAATACGGAGTTGGAACTTATCACATTTAGCGACGCAGATGACAAAACCATCATGCCAGCAACGTGAGGAAAACTTGACACTTGTAAAGTGCGGGCACCCTCGGCATTGCCCACAGTCACTGGAATACACACACCCGCCGCTGTGTTTGCAGCGAAGTGCTTCAGCTCCACGATCCGGGCCAGTCCCTTCTCCGGTGTGGTTGCGAGAGACTCGGATGGTAGACGGGGTAAAAGTTCGGTAATCGACTGACCCTTGCGAACTACGGATGGGCCCCAGATCTTTTCCACATCACCATTGACATTCACAACATGCCAGCTCTCATCGCATTCAACAGAGGCCGCATTCTCCGTAATTTCCTCCATCACCCAGATCAGGCCACCGCGCTTCTCCATCACCCACACGCTAGCTGACCCTTTAGCGCCATTGCGCTTTTGTATGGGTACGACATCACCACAAAGCAAAACCCCTCGGGATTTGTTGCCCGGATGATTAGCGTTGCGCGGATTTCGCGTGCTAGAACCATATCCATCATCAGTTTGCGCCCGGCGGGATTTCTCACGCGATGACGGTTTATTAAGCAATTGCGCAGTCACACCATTGCCCAGGCCACGAAACTTTGGGTTTACCGCCCGAATATTGGGCCGTTCCGGTTGAAGTGGTGTGCGGGCAGCGGCATCAGTGCTGGGATCTCGAAGCTTGGCCTCGAGCCACTGTCTGTGCTCCTGCTGTACGACCTCTAGGATACTGAGCCGACGGACCTCAGACTGTGTGACCCCGAATACAAGACAGGAGAGATCGTTGGCCGCGAATATTGTCCATGGTGCCTGGGCTTCGGTGCGGAAGACGGCCTGGGAAACCGGTGTCCATTTGCTGCTGTGGGTATGCAGGGCCGGAATCGGGCATCCCAATCCATTGGCAGAGGAGGCGAGAGAGGCAAAGGGGTCCGTGGAAGAATATGGTTGCGCTAGAGTTTCCATCAGCTTGCTTCTGAGGGAAACAGAGTTCAGGTCCGTGTATGTACGTTTTAAGCTTACGCGCCTGGACGCCGGTGCCGATTTCAGGTCCGTCCTGGATGCCGGGATACGGTCATTGGAGCCGATGGGACTTATAAGTTTGGGGCTGCTGTCAGATGTGGTCTGTGATCTTGCAAGAGGTTCCAGGTGAAGGTCCCTGGGAGATGATCCGTGGTCCGAAAAGGCCCGTTCGAAAATGTTGTCGCCATTCACTTCCGCCGGTCCAGTAATGGGGCCTCGTCCGTTGTTGACAGATTCCTCATCAAGAACATGGGCCCGGGTCAGCAGGTCCATCATACTCTGGATGTCCGAGTCACCACTCATGTTTGCCTGGGCATGGGCGATCGCAGAACTACTGGCAGCCCATCCCATGCGGTCCCTCATGAAGTCGATCGAACGTTTGAGAATGTTTTGCCGACTGTGCAGCAATTCCTCGGACTGCTGAGCGAAAGAAAAAGAATGTAATGATTCCAACGGGAATCGGTGCAGGTCCTCCAAGTCTCCGAATTCCTGGCTCATCGACATGCGACCAGTATGGGCTCGTGACGAGGAACTAGAGCGCATCGACGGGGGTGGTCGGGGGACGTTCATGGGCGTTAGAGACGATGTCGACAGGTTCGGTAGTGTCAAAACCCGCGAAGGTTGCTGGCGTATACGGTCCAGCCCAGACGGACCCAGTCCATGCTCGCTTTCGAATAACGGAGATCTGCTGGAAAGTGCAACGACATGTCAATTCGCTTGGTTCTCCATAGGTTGTGTTTTTATTTTTTCCTACCAAGGAGAAGAGAAAGGAGAATCGAATGCGGACCTTGAAAGAGGGTCATATCCCGACGACACGGAGCTCCTTAGGGTACGGTCGGTTGTTTGGAGTGAAAGTTTCTGAAATCCCGACGCTGATTCCGGCGACTCGGACAGAGGACCCAACGGAGACGACGAAGGACTTGGATCGCCTACAAGAGAATGATCAGCGCACTGCGCCCGTTTATCAACTCAATCGGTAAGTGTTTCAGCTTCCATGGGGGCTCCCCAGCGTGATTGCTTCCCGTGATGTGATAAGGGGAGGATTAGATCTCCGCGGGGTCAGATGTATTCTTTCAGCATGTGAAGAGATGACATGTTCTTTCAGAGGAAACCGTGAAAGGAATCATTCATTGAATTCCTCCGATGTGCCTTTTTGCCCTTCCTCTTTTTTTCTTGGTCCGACGTCCTTCCCCTCCCCATCTCCCTTACTGCGAACCCCACTCATGGAGAAAAAAGAGGTCCGTGGCATGTGAAACAAGAACTCACCATCGGGATTATATGCCGACCCCATGCTTGAAAGAAATTTGAATCGTCTCGTAAATACGTAAATGAATGAGGCTCAAGATCGAATCGGCATAGAAGTCATAAGTCATTCGCTCGAGTCAGGCAGATGGCAGAGGGCAGCTGCCTCGTAACGCGCCCGGCATACGTGGCGTCCAAGGGCACGCGTAAGTGCAGATGATTCGAATTTGGAGGGAAAAGAGAAAGGAAAGAAGAAATGGGGTTTCAAGAGAAAAGAGGTTGTTAGTGGGGAGGGAAAAGAACGCCAAAAGGGGCGGGTGATGTAATAGTCCCTTGTTCACGTATGCAAGCCTCGAGCGTTGAAATAGATCAACATCCCCCGCTATCGGCTCTTTTTTCTCTGATTAGAAGGGAGGGAATGTCTTTTAAATGTTGGAAAAAAGTATTTAAAGGAATTTGGATCGACCGATCGGCACGGGAGTCGTACCATGTGGAATGGGAAGGCTTCAACCTTACCATGGGTAAAGAGCGAAGTTCGAGTCCTGCAAATCTTATCCTTGTTAAGTGCTTCATTCCGATTACGCCAAAAACCCACAATCATCTCAATAGTTCATTATGGTACTAGAACTAGATACATATGATCTCTCTTTCTCTCTTCACATCTCACTTATTCATTGCAGCTTTATCCTTGGCCGGTAGTTCCGAGTGCGTGGAACATAAGAACCTTGGATCCCCACCGCCATTGCCGGGAATAGATTTCGGCGAATGACGATCGAAAAGTATCTATGACAACGCCCCCACGATTGGCACCGATTTTTATCGATAACCCCTTACAGTGGTCCTCGGGTGCCCCCGAGACTATGCAGAGCCAGTTCATCATGCTCAGGATCTGATGCTGCTTTCTCATCTCCCCCAAAGAGCGGATTGCCTCTATTTCGGGTGTGGTCCTGGTGTCGAGTCTTTCGAGTCTGCTCAGGTGGAACTGATGCGGAACTCACAAAGCTGGAGGCATTTCGACTTCCATCCAACATCCACGAAAACCCTGCATCAGACAGGGATGGCCGCACAAGGGACCTCGATACCCGCTCACCGTCGGCCTGGCCGTTTGTCGCGCGAGTGGCAACCACTACAGGCTTGGAAGTTTCACTTTCGGCATCCGCCTTAACTATGCCCTGCTGATCCTGCGCAACTTCTGCTAGGCCGTCTGCTTTTGAATTGGCTGGTAGCTCGGTGGACTTAATAGGCTTGGTCGGCTCGTTATCTACGTGGACAGGCCGCGCGGTGACTACTGGATGTAAGGGGTCCTCAAGACAACGTCGAACTTCCTCAGCTTGAGTCAATGCCTGCTCCACGGCCTCGTTTGCACACAGTTTGCAGTCCGCTAACTGAGACCGAAGGCTCTCCAGGGCTTCGCCTAAGGCAGTGGACAGCTCTTTGTTTCTTTCCTCCAGGCGGCCAATCTTACTTTCTAGCCCAAGTTCAGTAGCCGTAGGCTTGGCCGTAGGCAGCCCAGGTTTGTGATTTGCAGCATTCATCCGTGGACCGGGTTCATAATGCATCGTTTGCATGTTCTTCCGGGCTTCTGTGACGGCCCCGCGGACTGCCTTGGCCACTCCCCAAGACTCTGTGCGGCGTTGGATCCCTTGAGAAACATCCTGGAGTAGCGCTTCGAGACTTTTGGGGCTGTTCCTCGCGGAGGAAGCTGGTGAAGTACTGTTGCTGCGACTTTTGAAATCTTCCCAGAGAAAGGCTTTGCGAGCCGGCCGCAAGCCAGACTGGCTGTGTCGGTTTGGAGATTCCGGTGCTCTGCCCGAGTACTTGGCGATAATAAAGCTGCCTCGCTCTGCGGTAGGGTTTTGTTCCAAGTATAGGGCATCGCGCACGAACTCGTGGGGTGCATGCGGCTGGGGTGAAGGATAGCGAAGTAGCAGTGTCAGGGCACCGGAATAATCCGCCTTGAGCACTTTGGCGTTTAAATTAGCTCATTCTGCACGTAGTAAGGCTTTGAAAACTTACAGTCCCAGCGGATTCGAAGCATCATTGCAATACATGTAAAGTCTACGAGGTCAGACCTCAGCCCATGCGCAAATAGCACGTCCCACATCATGAGCACATCGTTGAATGGGAACTCTCGACCGAATAAAAGACGCATCCAGCGGCTGCTCTATCAATTAGTGTGGTCCATGCTTTCCTTACTGGAGATACCCACGTTAAGAAGATCTGGGGGAGAACATCCACGGCCTGTAAGTGTTCAGCTAGTTCATGATCGATAATCATGAGAGCCTCGGTGTGAAGATACTGGCATCGATTGACGATTGGTATCACATCGACCTGGCCATTCGCGGATTTAGTTTCTCCATGCTCGTAGTATATGCGTGTCGTCTGCATAACGGAAAGAAACAGCGTAAAAGAATCATGCTCCACGAAATTGGAATCAAGGAGATCTAACATGAGCGGGTCGTCTTTATTATCTGTAATATTCACCGAGCTCCCTATCTTTTCAACAGAGTCTCGATCGACTACCCAGAGAATGGGGGCCAGTAATTCATGCATGCCTTGTCTGTAACCGACATCGGGGTTGAGTTTCGAGTACACAAACAAGACGTCGATCAATATGGACTTTGTGGTGGGTTCCCGGAAAAAGAAATTCTCTTGCAAGCACCGGTCAACATCCTGGGAGATTTCGGCTCGTAGGTTCTCGTCATTGCGAAGGGCTTGCCATGGGGACTATCAAAGCCAAAGTCAGTTAAGCGTCCCGATATATGCAAAGCAGCGTAACTCTAAAGTAGCCACATACCTCTTCATCGTCTGCCAGTGGGTCCACCGTTGACTCCAAATCATCTGGATGTTCAATGTACTTCATGAAATGATCACGGATAGCAGTGTAAGCATCTCGAGACTCGCCAAGCTTCTGTGACCATTCTTCGCGATCGAGACCCTCGAAAAGTAGGAATACCTGCAGGCGGAATAAGTCATAGTTCAGATCAATTCATTGTATATGTCCATGGACTACCACGGACCTTCCAGCAAATCGACCTCAGCCCTTCGTTGCACAGCTTCCCATCCTGCTCCGCCCGCAGCGCCGCCTGGAGATCGGAGGATGTATCATTGCCGAGGAATAATAATTCCCATCTCTTTCTGCAGAAGGTCAGTTCGGCTTTGTTGTGAAGGGTCGGAAATAAATACCGAGTCTCCTCAATGGTTCTCATGTCATGCGATTGTTGGGAAGTGGAAGAGGTGAGGGTGAGGGGAAGCGATAATGTAATCCGCTCTTATCGCGATCCTGCCTCGCGCACGCATGACAGCATCTCCGAGTCTAAATCGCAAGCAAAACTGAGCTTTCTGAGTTTCCCGCCCCTCGATCTTATGCGATCTCGCTTAAATTCATGATAAGATCTAGAGATGTCTGCAGACTTACTAGCAGAGTTCGGCCAGGACTCGGGGCCTCCGCAAAGGTCCGCAGGGAAACCACAAGCTGGACAACCACAAACAAGCTTGATATCTGGTCCAGATCATCACGATGATGATTTCTTTGCTTCCTTGTCGGCAGGCAATCAAAACAAGCCCCAGGCCTTCGTTACGAGCCTAGCAAACCAGCACCCAGCTCCGACTTTGCGACAATCACCGGGTTTCGAGCTGTTCAAGCTGCCTCGACACGAGAACAGCGATGTGCTTTTTGACGCTGAAACCGACACACCGGCCAATGACACAGAAGATGATTGGGGAGATTTTGAAGAACCGGAAACCACCATTAACTATCAACCGGAACGTCCCGAAAATGTTACATTGGAAGTCAGGCCGCCGGTAGCAGACTTGTTGGACTCGCTGTCACTAAAAGACTCGGTATCAAGCGCAAATATAAATAATAGTGCTCCTGAGAAAACCCTGGCACCTGTTGTTAATTCATCGGAGTCTACTTGGGACGATGATTCATTTGGAGATTGGGAAGATTTCACGGACGCACCATCTACTGCAAAAGATGTTTCAACGCGAGGCAATCATGCTGCCAAAGCTGCCAAGAAGGTCAGCTCTTTTCCTCAGAGAACTTTGCCACGCGCCGTCAATGCCTCGGAACCAATATGGGAGGATGGTTCGTCTGGAGAGTGGGAGGTTCTCACAAACGCACCCTCTGCCAGGCGCACGAGTCAACATGCGCCAACAGAAATTCGGAAGAAAACAAAACCTGCCGCCAAAAATATCAGCACTGCTCAACAATCAACCCATGAAGATGATTTTGAAGATTGGGGCGACTTCGCCGATGGGCCAGCAACACCACCAATATCCAAACAGAAACCCAAACCGGCATCATCAAAATCAGCTACACCAATACTAGACCCTCGAAGTTTTATATCGTCCACACCATCCCCAACTCCCACAGTTCGACCAACCAACATCCCACCGCCATCCGTCCTTCTCTCCCTCCTCGTCGAAATTCTAAGTGCACTACAAAAAGAAGCTCTCAAAGCTCAACCTCGCAGCACACCACCCGCACAAAAAGAATCAATCGCAATCAAAATCCACACCACGCTAACAACATCAGCTCGCATAATAGCAGGCCGCAGTCTCCGCTGGAAACGCGACACAATCCTCAGCCAAAGCATGCGTATCGGTCCCGCGGGTAAACCCGGCGGAATGAAACTGAGCACCGTGAACAAACATGAAGATGTCAAGGAGTCACAGGATGCTGTTGATGTGTTGAGGTTATGGCGTGAGCGCGCTGTACTCTTCAATGCTGTTGTTCAAGGCGTGGGAAGGAAGCCTGTTCCTGTTTTTACGGATCCGACAGCGTTGAAAGTTGTGTTGGCGCGTGCTGAGGAGGGCGCGATTAAGGCTTCGCATGCTTGTGCACTTTGTGCACTTAAGAGGGATGAGCGGGTTTTGAGGGTTGATGAGGGGGATGTGAATGATAGTTTTGGTGAGTGGTGGACGGAGCACTGGGGGCATACGGGATGTAGGTTGTTCTGGGAGAGCAATAGGGCTTTACTTTTGCAGAGATGATATGCATCTTGAGCGAATACCTGGATGTAGATTGGATTGGTTTGCAAATGCAGTTTGGCTTGTGAACGGCGAATAGGGCATTGCATACAGCCTTATAGACGATTGTGAAGTGGACTATGTACAGTAGATGTGACACTGTAAACCCACATTCGGTCTACGAAAGTCAAGAGATTTTTTTGGCTTACGTCTGCGTCTATAGATTTGTACCATGACAAGAAAAGAAAAAGAACCGCGAAGAAAAGCTCAAGGAAAGTTCAATTCTGGATCAACGCCGCCTAAACGACATAATGGAGTAAAGGCACAAGGTCCCTCCAACACCAACTTCTGTCAGACAAAAAGAGTAGATACACAGAAAAGGAAATTAAGGAGTAGAGAAATGCACTGCCAGCAGCGAGGAAGCCCAAGGGCGAATCAGACCAGCTGAGCTGGAAGGGCTTATCCTCGCAGACGGCCGGAGTGGACTGAGAACATATGAGTACCCGGACACACCAGCATACTAAATAGGTGTCCAAGATACAATCTGGGATAAACCCGAACTGACTCCTGCGTGTGTGAGGAAAGAACCTCTGTTCATAGAATGCGCTAGGTTGCACACATAATGGAGATTTTTCCTGCGCGGGTCGGAGCAAAACGGATTATTTTCCATGGACTCTCACAATGGCCGGATGGAATCTGAGGCTCTAAGGCTGGAACAAAAAGTTCCTAATAAGACCTCAACCTGGGACCATGGCCTAAAAATGGCTGACAGTGCAACCACGCGGACTGGTGGAGTGAAGATCAAAGTCAATTTGTGTCGATTGCAGCGGCGACTTTGAAATGGCAATATATTGCGATGCCTTAGCGAAGACCAGTGGTTCGAAAATTATCAACAATCTAGAAGCTCTGGGCAGAGGGCGCCGCGGGCTGTAGTGAAGGGAGTTAGCAGCTGAAATGGCAAAAACGCGCAGGAGATAAGGATTTCGGCGATGCCAAGGATATTCAAGCAAGGAGGCACTTACAGGACTGCTCAGGATACTGTTCCTCTCTTTCCGACCCTTCTTGATGTGATTCTTCAAGGCCGTTGAATCCAGGGGTTTCAATAACTCGAAACTGCAAAGAAGTTCTCCAGAAACGGACATGATAGCTCCCCAGTTGTCGAACTCGCCACAATACTTTTGCAAGTTAGCCAAGCACAAGAAAAAGCAAAAACATGGCAGGAACTTACATTGGGCGCAGAAAAGACTGTCACCAAGATTCGATCCTGGTAAAACTCATAACCATCCTCCACAACCATATGAGCGCGACAGACCAAATCGAAATCGTGCCGCTGCAAAAAATTCATGATGACCTTCTTCCCAAAGCAATAGCTCACGCCACGTTCGTTGGGTTCCCAATCTTCCTCCATATCTGCGGGGTCACTCCACAAAAGGTCATTCAACAATCCATAATCAGGAACATCGGTAGGCCGGGCAATGCCCCGAATATCATCCATATGCGATAAACTAGGCGAAAGTCCGCCATGAACGCAGAAGATCTTACCGGCGACAATCGCAGCAATGGGAAGGCAGTTGAATGTGTCAATAAAGCCCTTCCAGACTTTGATGTTGCACCGTCGCTTACACTCGTCATAAAATCCATAAACCCGAGTGACGTTGGCACACTCGTGGTTACCGCGAAGCAGGAAGAAGTTCTCTGGGTACTTGAGCTTATAGCAGAACAAAAGCAAGATAGTCTCCAGACTCTGCTTTCCGCGGTCGACATAGTCACCTAAGAAGAGGTAGTTCGACGCCGGTGGGAATCCACACATTTCGAAAAGGCGAATCAAATCGGTATACTGGCCATGGACATCGCCAACAACCTTGACAGGTGCAGACAGCTCCAATAGCGCAGGCTGAGAAAGCAAGAGTTCCCGGACCGCCGAGCAAATGGCCGTGATCTCAGCATTCTTTAGACAGACGGTCTTGGTGACTTTAGTGGAGTATCCAGCATCCAAGAGTCGTGTGATCATGTCATCCAGGTCAATGGACTTCAAGGCGCCCATTCCCATGCCTGGAGACCCGGAGGTCTCAACCGGAGCATTCATGATGAAATCCAAGATTGGATTGAGCTGGTTCTCTCGCTTCATCAAGATGGATTCGCCGACAACAGGAGTGGTGGTAGGTGCACCTTGAGGCGGGCCATCAGACACATGATCCACCTCGCCACTCTGCTGCATTGCGTTCACATCTTTATGACCTCGCTTTAAGCTTGAGGATAGGGATGGGGATGGCGGAGGCTCGGGGGAGCCTGTTCGTGAGGGAAGTTCAGACCCAGGAGAAGGAAGACCGGCATTGGAGCCCGGTCGGCTGCCAAACGACTTTGTCGACCCCGCATCTGATTTATCCGGTATACTATCGGTCTGGGAGAGGGCGGTAGTCGAGCCTCGGGGGCTATCGGAGCCGCGGCCGCCAGGAATCTTCGAGCGAATCGAACCACGGAAGGAACGAATTGATTCCTTGGTGTCTGATTTCGAAAAGGACGGGTAGGATTGCAACGAGTCACCGGGGCCCCCGTTGCTCTTGGAATGCGACTGACCCATAACTGCGAGGCTGGGATGTCTGCCAAGCTTGGGATCGCACGAACAGCGGACGTTCAAGCCGCTATGCCGAGAAAGAGCCCCCTGTGTATTGGAATGTCTTGGCTTCCAGGTCCCAGCAAATTCGGTCTCAATGAGGGGTATATTAAGCTCGTAGATATCCCCCTGGGTGGATATGGACTTAAATTTTGGCTGGCGGTTCCACGAGGAAGTTTTCTTTGTCTTGTCTTGGCGGGAGCTCAAGGTCTTCGGGTTGTTCGGGAGAAGAAATAACTAAGCGAGTGGGCGCTTTCAAGTAGGTAATGGCAAACAACAGGGCTAGCTGGAGCGCCTACAAAGGATAGAGGTGGGTGGAAGGAGCTTGAGGGGGCCTGAGGAAGAGGTGGAAGGCGAAGCTCCGAGGCTTGCGGGCGTGGAACAGAAGCTTCCTCCTACACGAAATTAGTCGGCGGGTTGGTTCTATGATGACTCGTGAGGGGACAGGGCTGAACTCCACAGAATCCAAGTGAGCATGTGGAAGTTGAGGCGAAAGCAAGGGAGGTTATAATTGCTGGGGAAACTCTGTGGTGGATTTGGGGTGTGGACGGGGCGGGTGGAGGAATGCGTCATTATGTACGGGGATTTTGAACGAGGTATTTCTCCCACATAAATTGACAAACCAGGAACGTCAACAAGAATGAAGCATGACTCACCTAAGTTATTGATTTCCCACTTAATCAAATGTAAAGGGATGATGCCAGGGAAAAGAAAAATGGAAAGAGGGGAATATGTGTAGAAGGGGGGGGATGGAGTAAAACCTAGGTCTAAGTAGGGTGAAAGTACTCCGCCACCGCTAATGCGTGAAAAGATACTTAGACGATACACAGCTGTCGTCCGGTTCTGGCCACAGCTGGACTTGTTTAGCTAATCACGGATCATCGCCGGGCCGATGGCTGCCTAGATGGCCGTTTTTTATTATCTTGTGATATATTTATAGCGATGAGTTCATGACTTTTTTTTAGACTTTGTATTGATGTCGTTAGGGCATTTAAATTTTGTGTGAAATAAAGATACACAGTAATTATTATCAATATGAAGATACAATTCTGTGTGGCAAATTGAGAATTCCACCACTCCTCATCCTTCCGATAAGCGACCACGTCCCAGATCCCCATCTTACCACACCTCCAGATTGTGATTCGGCCTGGCCTGGGACTGTGCGAAGGGTAGTGCAGGGCCAGCATCTTGGTGGCTTTCTCGAACCAACCGGGGGGCAAGAGGGGATTAAGAGCTTAGACTCCACTAAGGCTCCCTATCAGAAGTAGCGGGGAAAGACAACACTAGCTTCTCCGTGTCTATCTCGCGCCACCATCTCAAAAACCTAATGACACAAAGAAGAAAATTATCAAGTCGCAGCAGGTTTCACACAGTACACTGCAACCCTATAAATTTCCTGCAGTGATCAATGAAAATGGGGATGAGTAGAAACACGCGGAAGCCTCTTTCTCCATGCATGGCTCGCACGTTATCACACATTTTGGGCAGGAGCCGCAGACAATCTTGGTACTGCATAAAAGATGATAGCTCCTGCATGCATGCCAAGGTGGGGAGACTCTCATGGCAGAGACACCGCCTTTTCGCCCTCCATCCATAGCACTGAATATCCAGGATTGACCTTCCAGAAATGGTCCCAGTGGCTGGCCCTTGACATCGGGGCTATTGGCCAAGATCAGTTGCTGCGATGCAGCTGTCGTGTCTTCCATGCCACTTTGATAGACCATCAAGCATAGACGCTTCCCAAGGCGCCTTGGCAGCCCCACGTTGAACCTCGTGCTAACCGCCAAGCAGGAACCAAGGTAATGCACTGGGTGTAGGGCAGATTCTGGGGCCACCTAGCAAGGGTCTGACAAATGATTTTCGATTGGTGGGGTCCCGATGTGTGATAATATTGCCAGCCTACTCTGATTGGAATAGGGAACGTATCAGGCGTCTCGTGGGCACGAGCTCAGGCTGAAAGGATCTATTCCAGCTCGATCTTCGTAATGTGACGACCTGGCACCACAATGAGTCCAATAAGTCGGTGGGTCATGTTGACTTTCAGTGTGGCGCTTTGGGCTCCGGAGTCCTTCTCCCACGAGTCGGCGGCTGCTTGTACGGCAGAAGGGGAGGGAAGACGATATTCGAAAGAGTTGGCAAGAATAATGTTTCGGTCCTGTGACGTCGTTCCAGTCAGCCCATGGTCTTTGGTCTCACGCTTCACCATGATGTATCTCCAGCTGAGAAGATAAGAGGCTTACCGCATCAGTACACTTGAAGATGCCAACAAATATACGGCTGTCCGTCGCGTAGACTCGTAGCTGCCGACCGATCAATCCTTCCAGATATTGGACAGCTTGGTCAGCAGTCATAGCCATGCTTGAATTTGTCGGGCGCTTGTGTCGTGATTGGTACGAGGGCGAGAACTGGTGCGGTAAACCTCAAGCTTGCAAGAAACAAATAGCCGAGTTTCAGGTCTCAGCAAGATTTTGTAGTTCGGTAGGATGCTGTGGTTGTCAGTTGTGTAGCAATTGTGGGATCACAACGCGGGTTGTTGCAAGTAATGATGAGCAGCTACGGAGGACAAGTTGGATACATGCCTGAGGCCACAAATTGGTGGGGTCCACTGATGCAACAACGTCTGTATACCAGCCTCGGCAACTTGAAACAAAGAACAATTAGCTCAGTATGCTCAGAATCCACTTGTGGACTTTAGACCAGATAGCACCTGCAATTAAAAGAAACATGCATGTGCTCAATTTCTTGTTATGCCAATTCTTCTCTAACATGTGCCCAATTACTCTATCAGGTACAGGTATCCAGTACTCCAGACACATTGAATTTCTGTTTATTTTTGAAGCCTCTCCGTACACAAAGTATGCAAGGCGACAACTTTAATCCCACTTTTGTCTGAGAAAATGCAGGCGGATAAGATCACAAATAATAAGGTCTAATTCGAGTATTAACTAAGTATGTTCATTTGATTATTACGCCACACACCATCCTAGCCCACCAAAAAACACCAGATGAAAACACAAGTTCTCACAGTTAACGAGAAAAAGAAAAGAAAAGCAGCAACGAGTATTCCTCGTCTCCTGGACGACCGGAATATAGCAGCCGAGAGCAATAGTTTTTCCACCAGCGACCAGCGCCTAGTCGACGATATAAATCTCACATCCATGCCATACCTCCTACATTGGGAGACAAATTGGAGCCTTCACTGCTCTCATCTGTGTCCATATCCATATTCATATCCATATCCTGGTTGAATCCAGTACTTGTCTCACTTCCAGTCGATCCAGCACCAGCATTCATCTGCTGGAATGCCGCGCGCCGCAGGGCCTCATCCTGAGACATAATGGTCTCATTTGCACGGGGCACCAGTGCCTCACGGGAGGGTTTGAAACGGGGTACGGGTTGTGCTCGGGGCTGGAAGAATCGCAACAATGTGTGTTGTCGTGGATCAACGGTTTCGGTTTCGGGTGCGGGTGTTTGAAAGGATGGGTCTTCTTCCATGATTTCTTCACTTGTGTCCATCGGAACGGCAGGCTGTTGTTGCTGGGCTGAGAAAATCCAGCGGAGGGTTTTGGCTGGTTGCTGGTCAGCTTGGCTTGTTTTGGTGCAACGCACTGCATAGCAGTCGCGTCTGGCGATTTGCTTTTGCAGGGCAAGGTGGGTTGAAGTCTTACCATATACTACCTCCTCATTGGGGCGACCATCGCGAAATCGCTTTCTTGTCCGGCTGTTGAGGTGTTTGGAGCTATCGACCATGTCCATTTCACAGGACACGGGTGCAAATGGTATGGATGGGGTGGAGAAGGAAGCCTTGCGTTTGAGAGACATGATTATTTAGGAACAAGGCCGACCTGAAGATTGTCGAAGGGCTTAAAAGAGAGTGAATGGTTTGGCTATGGTAGAAGAGTAGAGTTGCATTTGAAGACAAGAATGGCTGGGGGCGCGGGAATGGAATTGGTCGCGTGGATCTACAGTCGCGTTTGGTTCAGATCCACGCTAGTCCGTATATGGTAATATTACCAATGGTTGCATTTCCTGGGAAGTTGAAGATTCAATTAATTTTTAATGTTTACACGGAGTATAAGTATGCTATATTAGGGAAGTAAAAAGGTACCAAGGGTGTTGCGATTACGCCCCTTACAGGTTGCTATCCTGGATTCTTTGTCTGCCCCGAGCAACCCTTCCGCAAGCAATGAAACTATGGACAAAACTCAATAAAAAATGACACTGATATAATGAATACAATACGAACTTTGGACTTTTTCGAGGTTTCAAATTATTCCAAGGTTTCTTGGGCTTATCAAATATTGCATATAAACCGTAACGACTGGCTACAGTGACCAACGGGTTCATGTATCACTTGTAATGACCCAGTCACCGGTTCCATAATTTGAGAATATCCATTTACCCCGTACCGTAGCTATCAATTCACCGAAATTAGGCAAATATTTGGACTCATTAACTTTGAACTAACCGGCATCCCGTTGGCTGGAGCGTTCGGTATCCCGCACCCTTGCTCCGCCATGACGATGGTCTCCCCCGCTTCTCCTCACTCAAACTCACCTCTATTGACCACCACTCAGCAGCTATCTTCCTCATCACCATGACTTCTAGACGCGCTTTTCACGCTGGGTCATGGTACTCGGATAGTAATCAGACCTTAACAAGACAGCTAGATGACTGGCTAGCACAGGTACCTGATACCCTGGACAATGTGGGTTCACTGCCAGTCTCGGGGGCCCGGATCATTATAGCACCGTATGTATCAATTCCTTAACAGAATCATTTTCATGGTTATTCGTTGCTAATTCAACTAGACACGCAGGTTATTCTTACTCCGGGCCTTGTGCAGCGTACGCATACAAAGCACTCGATCTGTCCAGGGCGTAAGCATGCCATCCAAGGATTTCCTGAGGTTTACTCTCTAATCCCACTCCCTTGTAGTAAACGCATCTTTGTCCTTGGTCCATCTCACCATTATTCGCTCTCAACTCTAGCCCTTCCGCAGGTCAAATCCTACTACACGCCACTTTCGAACGACCCTCTCCCACTAGATACCGAACTGATCGCCAAGCTTCAGAACACGCACACAACCAAGCCAAATGGATCCAAAGTCGGCTTTACAACCATGTCCCAGTCTGTGGATGAAGAAGAGCACAGCATCGAGATGCATCTCCCCTACATCCATCGCCTCCTCCAGCTGCAATACCCTGACACCCCAACAGCTCAATATCCCCCACTAGTCCCAATAATGGTCGGCAGCACCTCTCCAACCACAGAACAAGCGTTCGGTGCCATTCTAGCTCCTTACCTAGCTGATCCAGAGAACGTATTCGTCATCAGTTCGGATTTTTGCCACTGGGGCCTCCGTTTCCGCTACACATACTACGTCCCAGAGGCCCCAAAACCGGGGCCTGACCTTCCTTTGTCCAGTGACACTCTCCCACAGCCAGGACAGGCACATGATGACGTTCTTGAGAGCATCGCGTCCGTCTGCACAGGACATGCCCTGCGGCGCGGGGATCGCATCTCTAGCAAAGAGCCCGCGATCCACGAGAGTATATCGGCTTTTGACCTTGCCACTATGACAGCCATTACCACAGGGTCGGCGAGTACATTCCTGAATACAATTGAGCGGACCGGAAACACGGTCTGTGGTCGCCATCCTATTGGCGTTATCATGGCTGCGCTGGAGATCGTGACAGCAGACCTACCGGAATCGAAGCAAGGCCTCTTCCACTTTCTGAGGTATGAGCGTAGCTCAGATGCAGTAGACGTGAACGACAGCTCTGTGAGCTATGTTTCGGCTTTTGCGGCTCTCTAGTGGGGAACCTGGTGGATGTCCATTTGATCTTGCTGATTTTGTTCCGACCTTGAACTGGGTATCATCGTGCTGTTAGAGTTGCTCAATATAACCTTGCTGGTAATAAGATCTGAGAAACGTAGTTCAGGTTGTCTCATGCTTTCTTGGTGTTCATTCGCCTGGGCTTACGTAGATGATAGATACTTGCATTAATTGTGACTTGTCAGATGACTGTCAGGAGATATTCCACGCTTGTAGACATGTCATGTAAGTGTTAAACAAGTGCATAATTTTCCGATGACGAGCCAGCGAGGACTTGAAGGGCTTTTTGACGTGTGGAAAGTTCATCACGTCGATGCTCAAGTAAGTTAGTTTGAGAATGTTGCATGGAAACGTGGGAAACTCCGAGATGTTCACCCGTCATCCAGCGGAGCCATGGGAGTCAAGTCCAATAGGCTCAAAGATACCGATATCGCCCTTGGAATAAAATGAGATGCTGGACCTTGCACACTACACCGGTGACCCATATCCATCCCATGGGTACAACTATGTTTTGCAAGCCCGACTTGATTTAACGTCTGATCGAAGTATAAAAAGTTCTGGGGAAGGGGTTTCAACTAGAAACTTGTATTGGCGAAACGTCAAAGGCTGAAACTGATAGATTCGTTATCGATAAGGCATGAGCTATCTCGTAGATACCCGGGGCCCGGGGCCAGGGGTTACGTATGTTCCTGAACCACGATTCGTGATTCGTGAACCAGCGCATCGTAGTCGAATCAAATTAAAACTTACAGCCACTAGCAGCCATTAGCAGCCACCGTCATCATAAAACAAAGTAAGTCTGAAACACACCGATCGCCCTAGTGTTGGAGATTGATTAGGCCATAAATGCCGTTCAGCCCTTTGGCGCTTAGATGCCGAGCCCGAGCCCGTTCGTCTGACAGGTCACAGCGTGATACTGTAGCAATTGGGTTGACACTTTTTCCGGATCTCTCTAACATCGGTGGCGGCGCATACACAGGGTAGGTGTCGTGTTGGATGTTTGCCAAGTGGGATATGGAGATAACCGGTTCCTTTCAGTTTATTAGGCGCCTTCTCCTTCCTCTCCTCCTTCTCGCCATTCCTGTCTTCATTCACTCCTTCTTGATTCAAACTTTGGTAGATTTCCACTCCTTCATTCCTTACCCTACCATATCATCACATTCATTTATTCTATCGCACTCATTTATCTTACCACACTCATTTATCGAACCACAAACACCCAGTATGCTGACACGGGTCTTGTTAGCTCTTGGACTTCTAGTATCAGCCATGGCCAGTCCAGTCGCCACAGCTGCCACCTCTACAGTGACTACTTCCTCTATAGTGACTACATCAGCCGACGATAAACTTGTATTTTGTCATTTCATGGTAAACGCATATTCAACCATGTCATGAATTTTTTCATTTACATAGATCTAGGTTGGAATCACTAGCAATCGCGTAAACTCCAGCGAGTACGACGATGATATGCAACGCGCCAAAAATGCTGGCATAGACGCGTTTGCTTTGAACATCGGCACGGATACATATACCGACACTCAGCTCAAGTTTGCCTACGACTCAGCCTATAGGAATGGAATGAAGGTGTTTATTTCCTTCGACTTCAACTGGTGGAGCACAGGACAGGGTAGCGCCGTTGGCGCCAAAATCAAGGAATACGCCAGCTACCCAGCTCAGCTCAAAGTCGACGGCAAGGTCTTTGTCTCGTCGTTCTCGGGCGACGGGGTCGATGTCGATGCCATGACGGCTGCGGCTGGCCAGAGCCTGTTTTTTGCACCAAATTTCCATCCCGGGGAAGGGAACTTCAGTGCCGTTCAAGGTGCACTCAATTGGATGGCTTGGCCGAGTAATGGAGATAACAAGGCTCCAACTGCTGAGAAGCTTGTGGAAGTTCCTCATGGCGATCAGTCATATCTAGATCTTTTGGGCGATAACTCATACATCGCGCGTATGTTATCCTTTCCTCTGGATGGGACTCTGCTGACTGTTGATATAGCGGTATCGCCGTGGTTTTTCACTCATTTCGGATGCGAAGTCTCTTACAGCAAGAATTGGGTCTTCCCCTCCGACTTACTCTGGTATCGGCGCTGGCGCCAGATCCTGGCTCTTCAGCCTCGTTTTGTGGAAATTGTCACCTGGAACGATTATGGAGAGTCGCATTACGTTGGGCCACTGTCATCGCCTCATACTGACGATGGATCATCCCAGTGGGTGATGGATATGTGAGTACCTATGAAGACCTCCATAATGTTGACATCAGCACCCTAATACCAAGTCTCTCAAGGCCCCACGACGGTTGGCTAGAAATGGCCAAGCCATTCATCGCCGCCTACAAGGCCGGAAGCCTCATAGCACTCCCCTACATCGAAGAGGAGAAGTTGGTCTACTGGTACAGACCCACACTCCGGGATGTCAACTGCGACGCGACCGATACAACAATGACTGGCAGCGCCAACAACGCGAGTGGCAATTTCTTCCGCGGCAAGCCCGACGGATGGGAAACAATGGAAGACGAGGTATTTGTCGTGGCGCTACTCAAGGCCCCCGCAGAAGTCCACGTGAAATCTGGCAACAAGTCGCAGACGTTCCTGGCTCCAGCGGGGATCAGTGCATGGTCTACGCCCATGGGGGTGGGTCGACAGCATTTCGCGGTGAAGCGGAGTGGAAAGACGGTGTTGTCAGGAACCAGCCTGAAAGATATTGTTGATCATTGCATCTGCGGGATCTACAACTTCAATGCCTATGTCGGGACGCTCCCTGCCCCAACCAAAATCGACCAACTCCAGCCGGCTGGACTGGCTTCGTTATCGCAGGGGTTGAAGGTGGCATGTCCGACAAATACTTTGGGGATGACGAGTGCGTCAAGTGCGATGAGCACTCCCACTAGCGCTTGATAGCGGTGTGAAAAGGGGGCTGGTTGAGATTGGAACACATTGAAACCATTGAAATCTTTCATTTTTACTCTGTAGACTAGGGCGTTACAGTTTCAATAGGTCAGTTTAAGTGATCAAAACAATACCAATAGACCGGGTTATTATCTTGACTCCACTCGTTATCTTGATCCTTTATCATTTACCGCACACCGACTCATATCCGCGGTTGGACGAAGTTTGGCTTTGTCCTTTATGCGCCCTTTTTGTGATTTGTTTGATTTGATTTCACTCATATATGACCCCTGTTGCTGCCCATCCGGATTGATGGAAATCGTTTCAGACTCTGACCAAGCCTATGGCTTTAATCACCAGGACACGGATCCCAAGGACGAACGGAACTATTTACATATATGAATTGTCAAATCCATTTCATTGAGCATTGACAGCATTCAATCCATACCTTTATATCCCGTGGGAATCTACAGCAATGGCCCGCATAAAAGCAGGTGTGTTCTCCTGGGAAGATGTCCTCGCCCAACGATACCAGAGTCAGTACCCCCATGCGCTCTTACAATCTTACAATAACAACCATTATTACCTTGTCCACTACCCGAAAACCATAGAGCTCCTTGGGATGGAAACAGCTAAACGGGACTACTAGGCAACAAACCCCCTCCCCTCTCACGGTCTCGTTGCCGAATTCTCCCGACCACCCAACTACAGCCCCAAAGCCGTTTACTATCGCGCCTCTCCCCAGAACTCCGCTTGATGATATGGGAAATGGTCTTCGGGGAACAGCGACTACATATCATCCAGCGCAACAACCAACGCCTTGGCTATATCGTCTGTCCACTCGGGACCCACTCTGATAACAGGGCACGCGATCGCGATCGCAATCGCGATCCCTTCTGCGAGATCTGTCACGGGCATGGGATTCCCCAACCCGTGAAAGAGGGCGATCTCACCCATAAAACCAAGCTCCTCAGTCCCGCATTAACATGTCGGCAAATGTACGAGAACAACCCCTGATGCACTCCATTAATTCGTTTTCGACGGAAACATTCCACAGTCCACAATTCACAATAAAAACAAATTGAACTAGAGTTCATATTCATATTCTTATCCTGACCCCAATCCAGGTACCACGAATCCATCCACCTCCTCTACACACTCAACACTTTCGAATTCAGTAACCCCTGGTCCCTACCATATATGCGCCCTACCATCCCCGCAGAGCACTGGGATTGCATTCGCAATGTCGAGCTACGCTGGTCTTTCCAGGGCCACTGGCTCCCAAGTAAAGATCCCGTGCGCACAATCTACGTCTCTGCCGGACGGGCTCAATGGCTTGAGACATGTCGCGCATTAGCGCGGCTGCCTGCATTACAGTCATTTGTGCTCGTCTTGGGTGGGACATGGTTTAGTGAACCGATAGAGAGATTACCGGTGTTTTTGGAGCCGTTGAGGGGATTAAGGGTGGGTTTGCAGGGGCAGGATCAGTATAAGTATGAGGGGATTGAAAATGAGAACGAGAAGGTGAGCTTGAGCTTGAGCTCTAGCTCTAGCTCTAGCTCAAGTTTCAGTTCCAGTTACAGCTACGGCTCCAATTCCAGCTCCAGCTCCAGCTCCACTGTCAGTCTTAATGTAGATGGGGATGGGAGTGGGGATGTGGCTGTGGACGTTGGTGAAGGTGTGGGCGTGGGTGAAGCGAAGGCGAAAGCAAAAACAACCACCATCCTACACTCATACTGTTCATTCTACAACTCGCTACCAGCACCATCCGCAGCTAACATACCAGCACCATTCAAGACAGACGGACTAACGGCTTGGGAACTGCGTCTACAAGGGCAGCCGTACTATGTGCACGAGCTAGGTCGTATGGGCGATGATCTTCGACGGAGGGGGATCGACTGTTGTATCCAGTCGACGTGAGGGCTGAGAGGTGCTGTTGTGTAAAGGTTTTATTCCATGTGGGCACGGATCACTTTATGCCCGATCACCTCGTTTCGGCTTCCCTGGATTAGCGACATACCTCGGGGACGGCGAGTGGATTCATTCGAGTATGCAAACTGAGCTCATCATTACTCTCTAGGGCTCTTTGTAGGGTTCTAGGGTTCCAATATAATGGATTCTCTTCGATCATACGTGCCATTGATCTTGTCTATGAAATGTGGAGAATGGATTCTTGGGTGCTTATCTTGACGAATAACCTTGGAAATACAATGCAAATGCAAATGCCCTGCTACCTAATGCAAGTTCCATGCTGTATAACCTCTACTTCAACAACCAGCCCGAAGGATTGCGCAATATCATACCGGAAATATGGGTCCTGGCGCAAGGGATTCTCTACATCATATCCGTACATTCTCGTAGAACATTTTGGAATCGGAATCCTTGGAGAAGTGTTGGATCAATTGCTTGGCCCTTTCTGCTTAATCTAGCCATGATACGTACTTCAGAAAACAAATCAAGGAAATGGACAACAACGCGTAACCCCTATTCCGTAACCCTAAAGCCCGTTTCTGTGAGACCCTGGACCCACTTGGATTTCGTCTATAAATAAGTGGGGCCGTGCACTGCCTTATGGGTTCCACCAGGGCTGAGATGAAGATACAGTGAAGGAAGAGAATATTATCATATAGTAAAGTTAATAGAAGGGAGATGAGGGGAGAGGAGGAGAAGAGAAGCAATGGAAACATTGGAAGAGTTTTGTTTATTCTCATGAATTGAAGGATTACGTGCTTCGCATTGACTCCACTGAGTCCATCGGGCCCACCGGGTGTGGCAGGCGCTAAGAGTCTCATCGCGGGGGAGGATCGCACATCCTAATCAAACGTATTTTTGGGTATTTTACGGTTCCTGGATAAGGTCCTGGTTAATAATTATTATGACCAGGTCCATGTTTATGTATACTAGTTTCATAAGGGGTTTGTCAAAATTAGAATATTGTATTGTGTAGAATTGTAGGTATAAAAGAAAAGTTAATGTCTGAAAAGATCGCTATAAAGAAAAAGAGAACATGTCTCGTGTGCCCGAAGGCTAATCCCAAAGTCGTCACCACTGGCGCCGTGCAAAGCCATGCCCAAGCCAAATCCATGATGCGAAACCAGATGAAAATGAAAGACCCATTTGTTGGTAGACCGGTATAAAAATGCAAGACTCCATAATTATCTTGCTCCAGGTGATATCCAAATATAAGGAAATGATAAAAAGATAGATCGGATCAAAGACCGTCAAAGGGGTGTATGATGGTAGTGATCAGTGTGAGCATGTTCCGCCAACTCGAAGTCGGTCATTTGAACAAGCCCGAAGTGGTCCGAGTTCGGGGGTCGCTGTCGCACTCTGGTATCTGACCAGTAGTGCCGTGGCCACAAGTCGAGAGGATGCTACGACGTTGTTTGTGACCCGGCGCGACGTACCCTCCGATCGGATGAGGGTGAAAGGGGTGAGGCCGTTCGATATGGTCGAAGGCGTCCGGCCAAACCTCTCATCAGCTTAGCTGAGGAGGCTGGGAGGGGATCGGGTCGCTTGAGCGGTCGACAAGATTAAAGGAATCCAAGGAAATTCAAAATCCCAGAAAAAAGAAAGTTCTATCCGACTCTCTTGTTTTCTTTTTACCTCCCGCCGGGCGACCGGTCGGGGCCTGAGTGACCGTGGCCTTGAGTTGCGAGCCATTCGGTGGAAGTTTCCTGCAGGGCATCGGCGTGCTTCTGCTCGTGAGCCCGGGCAGTCATGCTGCGTGGAAGAAGGTTGTTAATCTCAGCCGCCATGGCAGCAGCAGTGTAAGCTCGGAATTCGCGCTCTTCCCGCTCGTCCTCCTTGATCAAGCGAGCCTGGTCGGCCTTGGACATATTTTCTCGGCGTTTACGTCGGATCTCGTTGATGGACCAAAGAACCACTTCCTCGGAAGTGCGGTTGCGAGGGCTCCCATTCTTGTGGAAGTTTCGAACATAGCGGCGGGTGACATCAGTGGCTCCGTCAATGGAGAAAGCCACACAGTAAGAGATCTTGCGACCCCATCCCTCGGTGTATAGACGAGGCTGGTCCCAGGCGCCTTCGCACGCATCCACGTGGACCCATCGTCGCTGGTGCTCAGAGTACACCTCAGTCCAGACGTGATCCTCCGAGTTCCAGACCCAACGGACCCGAGCTCCGACCGCGCGACACAGCATGCTGAAGCAGTTGGCCCATTCGCCAACTCGGCCTCGACGCGTCTGCAGCAATTGCCAGACATCAGAGTACCGGGGGAATCGTTCGTAGGCACCGCAGGACGCTTCTGAGCAGCGGTACAATTCTACGCGGGTGGCTCCACGGGCGGTTTCATCGGGGCTGGGTGGGGTCATGCCCTGAGCGATGGTCGGCATGTAACAACGCGAGCATGGGGGGTTATTGACGAATTGGAAGAAAGACGACTTGAACCATCTGCGAAACAAGGGATGTTAGTGGCGAAGGTCAGGGTGGGTCGATGGGGGTCTAGAGTTCTCCACGAACCTCAGCAATGCTCGGATCACACAATCCTGGTATCCCCATTCCGGCTTTCCATTCGTACTAGCCGCCTGTGCTTGCATAATCGAGCTTTCCTCCTCGGCCTCCGAATACAGACGATCAAGCGGAATGATGCAAAGGGCCTCATCCAGTAGTCCAGGGTTCTCGTATTTGGTGGGAGTGACGGAAAGACCCTTCAACAGATTAAAGAACTTCAATGAGGCGGCATCCTGAGGTGGTGAAGGCATAATGGGAAGACCCTTGAGCGCATTAGACTTCGGGGCGGGTGGTTGTGAAGACGGGTTCGGCGAAGCGCCAAAGGGCGGCGGCGGAGGTGCTCGAGAGGGTGGCGGAATGGAAGAGTTGGTGGGCGCTGGTGATCGAGAAGCGCGAGATTCTTGTAACTGATTAAATCGTTTTTCGCGCATCAACTGTTCGAATTCACGGCTCAGGGCGACAGCGTCATAGTTGTTAGAGCCAGGCTGGGGAGCCTGCTGTTGTCTGCCGTCCGCCATGGTATCGGAGTGGAAGAGTCACCGGGGCGGCAGACTCGGGAAATCTTCTACTCCAGGGTTAAAAGACAAAAAGACCCTAAGGGGAGGGTTTTGAAGAATAAGAGGGAAGAAGGAGGTTTAGGTAGGAAGAATAGAAGAATATGTGGGCAGGTATTACGGAGGGATACAGCGGTATTACGAGCGTCGTCAGCGCCTCGCCCCAATCATGGGCCCCGCGCCCAAGCCGCGTGTGCGTAACGGAAAGGAGCCAAGAAAAAGACCCTTTTTCCCGTAATTTTCCCTTTGCACACGTACTCTTTCTTGACTTGGCACCTTGCGACGCACGGGGGTTAACCTCTCTATTTTTTCCTCTTTTCGGCTTGTTCCGATTTTAGGTCTTTATTCTATGCCTTCACTAATCTACTAGTAGACTAGTGAGCTAGTAAACTGGGTTAAAGTGGGAAATTAATGTATACTGTGTAAGATTCCTCTATACAGATCATGTCGTCAGTATGAGCATATGTGAAGATCTCATCCCGTGTCTTGAGTACAGTATACGCGTTCGAAAGCCTCCAATTTCCATTTTCCATTTTCTCTTTGGGGGAAAGTTAACTGGTGGCGGAGACGCGCAAGCATCCGTCTTGGCACTTGGTATGATCGGGCTAGAGCCTCGTTTGGGTTCCACCAAGCTAACCCTATTTGGGGAACAAACTTACTTAGTCATGCGAGATGATCCAATCTAGACATGCTGACAACGTAGTGGACTAAAGTGGATCCTGAAAGACCCAGGGGGCTTGGCATCGTCGCAACTCCATCTGTGGTATGAATGTTCCTAGGGAGATGCAACGTTATATGTGTAATTGAAAAGTTCTAGATACGTCTGAGCTTATAGCTTTTCCCATGTTATCATTCCCTTTTTTTTCCCCCTGGTTAACCCCAAATTGAACCCGCAGGAAAACCTCCGGTTAAATTGGACCCTGAGAGGGCACACTCGGTCAGGGTCGACCCATCTGGTTATCTTCCCATGATTCGCAAGCTTGCGCTTCGTTCCGACAATCAATACCCACCGACACGTTTCCCTTGGAGTCATCGATTACTCATCCTTAACATGGGGAATATTGGAGTATTCATTTCTTTGGTACTGATGGAGGTGTTCGGTAGTCGGTATTTTATGTATTCTAATTTTAACATGATCTTCATGACTCGGTCCAAAACCCGACCGGCGTTTCAAGTGTTTCATGCTTAACCCGAACATAGCCACCCCATCAGCTCATGTTCAAATTCCTATATAAGTAGTATGTGAGTCTTTCGTTCGTAGTACAAAACTTGCATTTCTTCACCCCAGAAACCCGATTATGCACGCTAGTCATGATGGCGTGACGGGCTAGCTTACGCAAAGCACCACACAAGCGCATTCTCTGTACTTCGTACGTCGTACACCGTATAACTACGTGCCCTGTCCACGCCAATCCTATAATTTACGCGAGGCTAAGCCTACGTATGATGCTCTGGGCGAAACCTTGGAATTCATGCAAGGAACTGTGCTAGTGTAGCCTTAGCAGGCATATGGGGAAAGCTAAGCAAGCCCCTCTTCTTCCGGGAAAAGTCAACTCCGTCTGAAGTTGGGTTCATCTTGCCGACCGAGCCAATTCGATCTCTCCCCACGCCAAGAGCCAAGAGCCGTCATTACAAAAACAAAACGCATGGACCAAATTCAATCCGGCTAAGAGACTGCTTGTCTTCGTGATGTGACGTATGAAACTTTGCAGCCATCTGAATGCTTGGAAAACTTCGAATTCGACTACGACTACGCTGTCTGACGACCGTCGTGATGGGCGCTTGGCACGGGATCCTGTGACTAATTTAGCGAATCTTCCTGGATTTCTGCTTGGTATTCACGGCATTTCACCGCAATTTGACGCGTTCTTGTGGTCCATCTTGATCTCCATGTCATCAGCCCAGCATAAGACACGCAATACAGCGGAGATGATATGCAAAGATTGACGGTCTACTCCTGATCAACCTGGGAACATCCAATATGTGCACCGTACATATACTTATACAGTAGGTAACCCATTTGCATGACGTGATTCCAATTATTGAAGCATGCAACAGATTCAATATCTGCATGTTTTACAATTTTTTCCTCCATCGAGTCATGTGGCCCACTAGTGACACTACCGCGCGTTAGCTCTGCGCTTCCGCGTCACCCACCGGGTCTGCGTCGACTTACGTGCTCTTTGACTAACCCTTTTCTGTGAATGGATCCTAAAGATTTTATTTTTATATTTCCTACTTGGGAATGGTTTGTCTATTTTTTCAAGCCTCCTCATCTGGATCCACGGTACTCCGTAATAACTATATCTTTGCGGGTCCCTTCGCATATCAGGGGTGATTTTTATCTCGCTTGACGACGAAGCCGATGCCATTATTAGTGGATTTCGGTATTCGGCATGGGCTTGGTGAACGAACACCTAAGCTCTTGATCTCCGTACCTGGATGAGTCTTTGTGAAATTCAACCATGGTCTTCAAGGCTTGGGCTTTGTTTGACTTGGATTGCTTCGACGCTTTTGTTATTAACGGAAAGTTTCATGATAGCTTACGCGCTGGCCAAATGTTGGAAGTTGTCTCCAAATTGAAACTGATACTTGCCCCACTCGTCAACGATTTTTGATGTCCGAGACCTTGTTTCCTGGCAGGCTTGCTCCGCGGAGGCTTCCTGTTCGAAATATACTGAGTAATATGAATTACCTTGGTTATTTTCCTTATTCTCAATCTACTACAGAGTACTCTACTCTACTGACGCAGGTCAGCACGTGAAACAGATAGGCTATCTGATCCGTTGCCAGTTGGGAAACTTCATACTGTGCAGTCGAGTATCCAATCGATGTGAAGACCTTAACTCCTTGTACAGAGTCAGTTATATGACTCATGTTAAGGCTTTTCAGCATATGTACACCTGGCAGGCTTGGCTATCACCATTGGGCCGCTTTAAAACCAGGGTATGGTTGGCCACCAGTACCCGGGGGAATATTCCGAGCTGCTTGTGCCTGAACTGGGGTTGGGCCACATGCAAGACATACAGAGAGGATTGGATATGGTTTCAACAGCTGTAGGCTTCCCCATCGAGTATTTGGTGAGATTGCGAAATGAAACCCTTCTGGCTTCAACGGTAACATCGTTGGAATGAGCCCGATTCAACCCGAGCATCATCTATATCTCTTTAATATCACATTCACCTCGGGATAATTTCGGACTACAGCAGTCCGGGTCTGCGCGCGACCATTAGAGGGTATAGCGCTGTGAGGTATATGCACCCTGCGCAAAATGTCGGGCAGCCAGAGCCAAAGCGGAGAGGAACTACAGCGGCCTTTGCTCCGATATATAACATTTGCCGTCACTTCCTTCATAGACCCTCACCTAGAATTGAGACTTCACCTTCATTTTCCCCTCTTATACCCAAAATGCATCACGCGCAACAGTAGTCTCGACTGTCCACCCCTACAAGGCCCACATCATTCCCAAGATGACGGTTTTTATCGCATCCCTGTAAGTCTCCGCTTTCTCGGGACCCCGCAATTCGGAAACATATGAACTAAACGTTACACATCCATGTTTTAGGTTCCTCCCTTACACCATTGACTTTAAGTCAACGGGTTTGAAGAGCACCAAGTTACTTCGTCGGAAGTCTTCACATAGCTATGCAGCCGTTGATGGGTCCGGTGCTATGCCCATTATTGGTCGCCTGGCTGAATCCCACAAGCCTCGACAAAGGTCCGCGAGCCTGGAACTTACCCCTGGAGCGACCACGGAAGATGAGAAGGTTTTTAAAGCATACGTATCACATTCAGCAGGGGAGATACCCTTGGCCGATGATCCCAACGGTCCAGGCCCCAACGAGCCTCGAGCCGTCCCGTGGGGCCAGAGCCGCAAGTTCAACCAACCTCGCTCAAAGGCGATTATCCACCCCGAGCCGTCTATTCTGAGCCGCCCAGCCTCCCGACAGGAATCAAAGGAATCTGCCTTTTTGAATGGTGGGGGCGTCCTCCCCCCTGTCCCCACAGAACTAGGCAGCCCTCGGGCGCTACTCTCTGCCGAGGACTGGGTGGTCAAGGCAGCAGAGCAGGGAAACGGAGGTCTCCACAATGCCATAAACGCTGCGGCAGAGGCAGGCTTCCTCGAGAACAAGATGTGGGTGGGGACTCCAGGCATGCCCACAGACACGCTGACAGACATGACGCGACACCTCATCGACGAGACCCTCAGGAACGATTACGAGTCCCTGACTGTATTCGTAGGCGACAGCGAATTCGAAGGCCACTATACGCACTTCTGCCGCTCTGTGCTCTGGCCTGCTCTTCACTACCAGATGCAAGAGAGCCCACGTCATACTGCGTACGATGACTACTCCTGGAAACAGTACCTCAAGGTGAACGAGGCTTTCGCCAACACCATCGCGAACCACTGGCGCCCCGGGGACACCATCTGGGTGCATGATTATCATCTTCTCGCACTCCCTGCACTTCTGAGGAAGAAGCTACCTCGGGCGAGAATTGGGTTCTTCCTTCACTCGGCCTTCCCCTCGTCTGAGGTCTTTCGTTGTTTGAATTCGCGCGATGCGTTGCTGGATGGTCTTCTCGGAGCGGATCTGATTGGTTTTCAAACCGAAGAATACTGCTATCATTTCATTCATTCCTGCAGTCGACTTCGACAATTGCAGGTTTCGGTCGATGGTGTACAAGTCAATCATCGATTTGTGCGAGTCAAGAATTACCCCTTGGGAATTGACTATCAGTCGCTCAACGTATTACGTCAATCCATTGAGGTTAAAGACTGGATTTCAAGTATTGACGAGAAATACCGAGGGAAGCATTTGATCGTAGCTCGCGATCGGCTCGATGCACCCGGCGGTATCAAGCAGAAGCTTCTGGCCTATGAGCTCTTTCTGGAGAGCTATCCGAAGTGGAGAGAGAATGTAAGCTAATATCAATTCCTCGGTCTCAGTTGATCTCGATTTCTAACCTCATTTACACAGGTGGTCCTTGTCCAAGTGGCATCGTCGGCATCGGAGATACCTCAGCTAGAAGCTCAGGTCTCAAAAGTGGCAATGCGAATCAATTCAATCTATTCAACTCTCACCCATTCACCTCTTGTTCTTCTGAAACAGGACATCAGCTATTCTCAATTCCTGGCACTGCTGAGCGTGGCAGAGATCTACATGGCCACTAACCTTCGTGAAGGAATGAACCTCACAAGTCATGACTTTGTTCACTGCCAAGATGGCCAACTCGTTTCCCAGAAACACGGCTCCCTAATATTGAGCGAGTTCACGGGCAGTGCATCCATCTTCCATGGCCATGAGCTCCTCGTCAACCCATGGGATTACAAACAGTGCGCCGATGCGATTAACATCGCACTTGAAATGTCACCGGAGCGGAGAAAGCAAAACTGGGAGTTTCTCCTTGACCGCAAAGCCCCCCACACAGCACTGGCCTGGTTCTCCTCCATTCAAAGCGCACTCACCGAAGCCCACAGCATGCAACAGTCTCGCGAGACCCACGCCGTTACCCCCCTCCGCCTAGACACCCTCCAAGAATCCTACCAAGCCGCCCAGAATCGCATCTTTTTCCTCGAAGACGGCGCGACCTTCATCCCCGACAAAACTCACCCATCCACAGAAGCAACTGACCTTATTCAAGCCCTAGTCCTCGACCCCAAGAACACAGTCTATCTAACTAGCAAGAACAGCCCCGAGCATCTGGATGAAGCAGTCCGCACCCTTCCACCGTGCATCGGGCTAATTGCCGAAAATGGCTGCTTCGCTAAACCCAGCCGCCAACTCACATTCTCCCCAGAAGAAAAAGATAAGAATCCATGGGAGGCCCTCGTCGACGTTGACAGCACAAGCGACTGGCGCGCCGGCATCCGCAAGGTAATCGAGTACTTCCAAGAACGCACAGAAGGCAGCACAATCGAAGAGCGCCGCTGTTCACTAACATTCGACTACACTCACGCGCTTGATCGTGACACCGCCGCCCACCAAGCCTCCGAACTAGCGGACCAGATCAATGGCGCACGCGGCAGTGAAGCCATCCGTGTCGTACGGAACACGAGCGCCGTGAGCGTTGAGCCCCTACATGCCTCCAAAGCTGCTGCGGCCTCAATGCTGCTAGATCGCGTACCGGCTGAGAAGTCCCCAGACTTTATCTTTGTGGCGGGCGGAGCGCGTGGAGATGAAAGCTTGTTCCGGTGGGCGAATCAGTTGACTGGTGTGCAGGAAGCCAAAGCCAAAGCCAATGGCAATGGCAATGGAAATAAAAATGGAAACGGAAACGGAAACGGACATAGAGAGATGACTGTCACGACAGTCACAGCTGGCACACATGCTACTGAAGCGAGTGCCATCCTGCCCACTGGACTGTCACTGCTGGATGTGTTGCGGCTACTGGTGTTTCCGTATCTTGTTGACGTGGCTTCGGGATGCGGAGATCTCACGTAGGAAAGATGACTGATACTGATAGGATGTCTCCAGGGTTCATTACTTACTTGTTTCTCTCTAGTCTTTTTGTGTCTTTTCTTATCTGTCGGTCTTTTCTGGGTTTATATCTTAGTCCAGATGTCTGTTACTGGAATATGTATATTCCTGCTGTATTATCGAAGCAAACACGGACATGGTTATGGATATGGAGACCTTTACCCATAGGAACTATTTGAAAGAAATGGTTGAGAATCGCGCTTGTCTTGCGTAATGTCTGGTAATCTCCAAGACTGTTAGGACGTGAAAGTAACTGTGTCTGAGGGCCGAGGGTCGCCCAAATACTTAACCCTGGTAGCCCTGGTCTAACCGACCCTACCCATAAGTAGAGGGAGCATATGCACTAGCGTATTCCTTCAAGCGAGCAGACATAAATCAATCAACATTCAATGACTCGATTTTTAGTGATCACTCGAATGGTATCAAAGTAGCCAATCCCAGAATTCCCAGAACCTAGCGTCCCTAAAATATCGAACATCCGAACTAAACATACACATGGAGCAAATACATGTGGATCGTCAGAGAAAACAACATAAATCAGGAATCATCCTCTCAGGAATGAACATGAGTAATAATGACGAAAGACCAAAAAGCAGGGGGTAAAACGCGCCGCGCCAAATACAAATGAAACCCACCATATGAGAACAAAGAAATCAGATCAGATTCAGGCTCGACTTCGGGTTCAGGTTCAAGTTCAAGTTCAAGTTTAGATTCGTCCCTGAGTGAGCGCAATGCAGGGTCCTAACAGAGATATGGATAGGGATAGAAATGCGAGGGGCGCTATGTATGGCAGTGAATGTTGAAACAAACTGAACCAAGAGGATTATTCGGGGTAGAGATCCACTCTACACGCGAAATAGCCCTGAGAAGCGAATGGGACATGATAGAGAACAAATATGCGGCAAAATGCAGGGCACATGACACGATATTGAGGATTCAAACAAGCAAGCCAGATGCAAGGAATATAACTCCGGCAGTAGTGGACGGTCGCTGGTGTGAGAGTCGGGATGACTGTAGAAAGGATGCATCAAGAGCAGGGAGTTGTGTTTAGTTGCTAGTTCCAGTGCTACCAGCGTTGTCTTTTGATGGTGCTGGGTCAGTGCTGGCTGAAACAAGTGTTGGGGCAATTCGGCGTTTCTTCTGTTTCTGGGGAGTGGCTTCTGGACCCTTAATTTCCTCCTTCTCGGACTCGCTGGCGGTTTTTATGTCTCGTTTCCCAAGGACAGTGCCAGTAAGTGTGTTCCCACCTTGCGATCCAGGTAATGGCAAAGGCGTTTGCGGTGGAGTGGTGAGTGGAAGTGTGGAAGGTTGCGCAGAGTGCGTTGCCGTCACCGATGGGACAGAGCCCAGAGTTGGGGTTGGGTTGTTGACTACGGCACCAGTCTGCTGGTTGGATGATTGCGTTGCAACCGAACAAGCTGAATTGGATCGTGCAGGGCTCGCCGGGGGCGCTTGAGAGGTGTTTGATGCGGCGCTGGCCTGGTGGCTAGACTTGATAGGGGACGGGGCATGACTTGGGGTAGGTAAAGGTGTCGCATGGCTTAAAGGAGTGCTTGAGCTAGCATGGTTGGCAGCTGCAGTTGGTCCCGTATATATCTGACCCAGATCCCCGGGTGAGAACGAAAGAGTAGAGCAGAACCCATCGGAAGAGCTCATGAGTAAAGTCAAACCATCATCCGACCTTTTTATTGTTAGATTTACCCTGAGTGGTCAAACGAGAATAGAAAACTTACCAGGTCAAGTCAGTGAAAGTCGCGAAATGCAGATTACTTACCACACACAGAGGAGTCTGCTGCTGTGTATCGTAGATCAGAACGGCATCCTGAGTGGCCACAGCATATACAATGCGGTAAGGAAGCGCAAAAATGGGGGCTGTGGAGCCGGCATTGTTGCTGTCGGCTTTTTTTAATGGCTGAGATGTCGGGCGGTCACCTGCCGGTACGGATAGCGAGTCCTTGGACACTTGATCTGTATTTCCTGATACAACTGGACCCGGTAACGGAGGAAACATTGACTCTTCAGACGAGGTGTCGATAGTGAGATGCTTGGCAGACTGGTTACACTGCTTGAGAGTGTAGAAAATCGGAGAGCACTTGACGGCAACAGAGGGCTTCTTGTGACCAGGAAGGTGAGATACTGGTGGCTTGTTGAAACCGGCGCGCGTATAGACATAAACGGTGTTAATAATTTCGTCTGTTGTCTTGGAAGGGTCGGTGGGTGAGACATGAGAAGTTTTGTATTGACCAGCCGGCGTGAACAACAGGCTTCCATCCGGGGCGAAGGTCAGCCGTCGGAAGAACGAAGTGAATGTTTCGTTGGCATAGATACTAGCATTCCTCACGCCTAGGCCCCCAATGAGGCTTGGGGAAGACACTTCCAGAGGCTTCACAGCAGGCAGTGGCAGGGATGGAGCGGGAGATGCTGAACGTCGAATCGATGGCGATGAACCAAAGGAAGAGCGTCGGCTGTGAGAAACCGGCGGTGGGTCCATGGGTAAATTGGATGCCATTGGCGTTCCCGGTGTAGACGGAGCCGGTGAAGCAATTGCAAGTTGGTTATTATGTTGAGGCCGGCTTGTAGGCTCCGGAGCAGGACTGCTGGATGCGATCCGTTTGGCGGGTAGATCCATCTTGAGAACCTTGCCATGGGGAGTAAGTGTGAATTGGCCATCTTTGGTCTTTAAGCTGTAGATGTGAACTGATCGATCAGATGACTGAGTAGCCACAAATTCATTAAGCGGATCCCACGCAACGCCTTGGACGTAGTGTGAATGCTCTGCAATTTGTCGGACCATTTGACCTGGAAGTTCGATCAGCCATACCGCATCAAAAGAGGATCTAGACTGAAGACCAACCAGTTTGCGCATTGTATATGCGGGCAATGTTGTCCATACTGCCGGTCATAATAAACACCCCATCGGGCGACCAAGCCAAATCGTAGATCTCCGCACCGGACGAGCGGCACATGTGTTTCACTCGCCAAGTCTCTTTATCGTCTGACCGGTCCTCCCCGAGACCAGGCTGTGCTTGTAGTTCCGATGGCACCCAGAGTAAGACATTGCCGTCGTCTCCAGCAGATGCCAGCATCTCACCTATACCAAGTCAGATCAATGGCCGATTGGCGTAGCGCGGGTAACTATACCTTTTGGACAGAAACGAACCACATTGACGGCTTGTGTATGTTTTATGAGAGTACTCAGGTAGGTGACTTTTCGTTCCTCCCCGGTAGATTCGACTTTCCAGAGCTATTATGGTGTCAGACAGGAGTTCATAGAGGGCAAGATAACGGAGGGTGGAAGTTGCGGAGGCGTACTCGGACGTTGTTATCACTAAAGAACCACTGTTAGACATGAACATTGACCGGCAAATAGTCCGCGTACTTACTTTCCACCAGTTGCTAGGCGACCCTTGCCATTGGGGTCAAAGTGGACGGAGTAGATTGGGACATTGTCATCGTGCCATGAGACCAGTAACGCGGAGGCCTTCATAATGAACTATACAGCCCAGAAGCTGTTCTTCAAAACCACCAGTCCCGTGAATGGCGTGCTGGAAGTTTTCCACAATAGGCTTTTTTAACAGAAACCCGAGCCAGTTGAATGAGGTCTCTTCGGCCGATGAATGGGGGGGCAGGGAAGGAAAGTGACCTGTTTATCCCGAAGCGGAGGTGATTTGAAAGAGAAAAGATCAAGAGAATTAGAATTAGGTAGAGAAAACCGATGGCAGAGAGTAGTAAGGGGGAAGCAGTTAAGTTGATGAAGGGGAGTTTCGATGATGCTTCGAGTTGTTTGCGCGGGAACGCGACCGACGAGGCCGATTAGATATGAGCCACTAAACGGGCACGGATTGCAACGCAGCACAATGGAAATAGTCATCCAGTAATCTAAGAATTAAGAGTATTAAGTACTGGATTACTAGACTAGTAGAGTAGATGAGTTGGCTCTTTTAATATATAAGATCTTAATTACTATAATACACATACGAGTCAAATGGTACATAAAGAGCCCTTCAATGACCTGGGACTAGAAGTACAGGAATAAAATAACTAGGACACCCACTTTCCAATTGTCTCGCCAAACCAGCTGACGGCCTTTTCCTGTCTCTTCGACCGAGCATCTGTTTGCGTCTTCATATATGGACTGGCCTCTTCGGCATACAGCTTTGTCTGCTCAAGATGAGCATTATAAGCTCGAATCTCCAGTTCCCGCTCATGCGGTGTGAGTTTCTGTAGCGGTTTGGATGGCTTGAAGCCAGCTGGGACAGACTCGCCGCCGGGGATCTCAATGACCTGGGATTTGTCTGTGGAAATTGAGGCCTCAGGATTGAAGAGGGACTGAATTGGTGGTGGCTCTGTTCCCGCGGCTTTGGCTTCCTCCACTCGTTTCTCATAGTCCAACATCTGGTGGTAGAGCTTGTCGGCATGCATCTGAATTCGTTCTTCTTTCTCGGCGTCATATTCGAACGATGATGCATAGCCCAATGCTTGAAGGAATTTCTAGCGAGATATTAATATTGGGCTATTGTGGATGATCGGATTCGGAGGACTTACACTCTGAGTTGTAAAGCATCGTGAGAAGGTGCCATTCTCCGCCGCGCACATGGTCAATCGCGATTCAAGTTGCTTGCGCCAGTTTCCGGTCTGGAAGCATAACGTGAGGGCCTCATGCTCCATGGCGCAGTTCTCCATCGCTGCCCGTTGCACTGTATCGCCACGCTCCTTGAACTTCTCAATCACTCGTGCCGCTCCGCGGACCCCATCGCCTCCGTCGGCACTGACCGGGGGCTTGTATGTCTTCCACAGATCCGCATAACGACCATCGGGATAGAGTGATTGTGCAGGAACGGTTGGCTTCGAGGGATCGGCTGGCTCTTGCTGCGGCGACGGGGTAGGCGGTTTCACGTCCGGCGCAGGAACATATTTGTCTGGTCGCTCTTGTTCAAGGTACTCCCGGAGGCCTGGGTCAAGCTTCTTCACAGGATCGTTTTTGCTGTCTCCTGAAAACCAACCCATTGGTAATTTAATTCACTGGGATAATTGAGGGAAAGGCGTATGAAGGTATTTCTTAAAGCGTTGCGGAGAAATCGGGATAAAAATGGATCTGCCCTGATACCGATAGGAGCCCGACCGCCGCGGTCTTTACTTTCCACCATCATCAAGACGCGTCTACCTCGACGCCGTTCCTCCACCATGGAATCAAGTATGTTTGGAATGATTAAGACGAATCGCGTACTTTGCAGCTAATTGTTTACAGCGAGAGAGGAGCGATTGCAAATGCGACAGCGTGGAGCTGGGTACGCGCTTCTACCCCGCGAAATCATAACATGGAACCGTGAGCTGACCAGCAATTAGGACGCGCCAAATTAAAGCTGTTGATTTCGGCTTCTCCTTTGGAGCTCCAGCGCCTGGACCAGCAGGCTCTGCTTCAATTTCACTATTCCCCGAACCCGAGATTCCGTCGCAAACACAGTCTGCGCCCGCGCCCGCGCCGAGCGCCGCAACGCCGCCACTGAATGTCTCCTCGCAGCACCAATCGCAGTCGATAAGCCAGCCCCAGCGCACACCTGGAAGCGCACGTAATGATCTTCCTCGACGGCCCTCGACATATGATATACCCTCCGATGAAAGGCCCGAAGAGCCGCGAAGCAATAAAAGGAGAAAGATAAGTGCGTTTTATATAGCAGAGCTCGTGAGTGTTTGTACTGATGCTTCAAAGACCCTCCTACGACGGATGACACTCCTACGAAGCAGAGCGGCCGTGAAGCTAGTGGCAAAACCTCAGGGCCAAGTCAGAATGGCGGCTCGCTGGTACCACATGCGTCACCAGCCCCCGAGGTAGACGTTTTCATGCCTGATGCACCCCAAGACACCCTGATTGCGCCCGAACCTTCAATTACAGCAGAGGATCCCATACATATTGAAGTTCAGGCAGATGTTGCAGGGGGAAATGGCGACTCTAGGGCACAGGCTGTCTCTGAAGAGCAAATTCAAAGTACAACACGAAGTCCGATGCCGGACGCCACAACAGAGACCATTGAGAGACGTCCTCGACAGTCTCGATCACCCAGAGACTTGCTACCCGAAACGCAACCCATTCCCGAGCCTACCCATCCCCTAAGCAAGAAGCAGCGTAGAGGCCGATCACCAACACAAGCCGAAAAGCTTCCAGTGGAGCAATGGAAAGAACAAAAAATTCAACCACCGAGAAGCACATCGCCATCCTCCCAGGGAAGTCGTCAACTGAAGACAAGGATTCCGCGACCCAAAGCTACCCCGATTGATACCCCTGCCAATCAACCGGAAACTGCCGTTCAACCAGACCGCAGTGACCTAGAACCCAAACATGATGCCGTGGATGCGAGCCAGATTCCGTCCGATAATGCAGCCCTAGCCCAAAACTTAGCCGAGACGACAAAGAAGACTCGGGGTCGCAAAGGTCGCCATGAAAATGGCGATGGCTTGCCCGCTCAGATCGTGGAAGAAAGGGTTCCAGAAGTTGAAAAACAGCCGCAATCTGACATTACGCAAACCAAGACCCCTTCCAAAGAAAAACGTCCTCGTGGTCGGCCATCACTTTCTGGAAAGAAACTTGATAACAAAGCACAAACAGAGCCTGACACAAAACCCGGGCCATCAAAGCGCCGTGGAAGGCCGTTGCTTTCTGGAAAGATGCTAGCAAAGGAGCAGGCAGATCCCCAGCCTGAATCAGTTGGACCGGCACCAGATGCAGGAATCGGCCCATCCAAGCCGCGCCGTGGAAGACCGTCGCTTTCCGGGAAAGCACAGGAGCCTAGAACAGAGCCCGAAGCGGAGCTTGGATCGTCAAAGTCTCGTCGGAGACCTGCTAAGAGACAGTCGACAGTAGAACTCGAGTCTACAACCACAGAAGAACAATCGAATGCTACGAGTGAGCCTCAACCAGAACCAGAACAGGCTGAACCTGCATCGAAGGCACGTCGGGGAAGACCTGCGAAGAATAAGCCGTCAATAGAAGCAGAGTCCACAGCCCCGGAAGAAGAACCAAATGCCGAGGATGAGCCTCAACCAGACCTAGAGCATGAATCTGCACCAAAGGGGCGCAGAGGAAGAACCAAGAAAGATAGAACGGTGGCAGAGGAGTCTACTCCTCCCGAAGAACAACCGAATATCGAGGATGAGACTCAACCAGAGCCAGAGCCCGAGGAACCTGTATCAAAGGCACGCCGTGGAAGAAAGAAGGGCAAGACGAGAGCGGATCCTGAATCCACAAGGGAAGGCGAGGCAGATTCCGAGGCAGTTCAAGAAAGTCGAAAACCAAGAGAGCCCCGGGGTGAAACAGTTCCTGTTACCGTGCACCGTCTGTTCAACCCTTCAGCCCTCGGTGCAATGTATGCGTCAACTGCCTCTGACGAGGACGAAGAATCTGCCGATGAGCTCTCAACCCGTCATAAGACCAAGTTGCCTAGCCGTGGTGGTGTCAACCCCGCCGACGTTTTGAGCCAGATTTGCCGTGAAACCCTGGAGAAGACGCTCACGGCTCTCAAGAATGGAATCGCGAATGAAACTAACGCACAAAGGCGAGCGGAGTGGACGCGCAAACGAAAGGCCGTTGAAGCCTTCGGCTCTGAACTTGACGGACGTCTGTTAGACCTGAGTGAGATGCTTGATAGCAATTTCGTGCTCGGTGTGCAGCTTAGGAAGACAAAGCGCGACATGATGGATATGCGGGCCCATCTCTACAAGGTACGACGGGAACGAGAGAGTATTGCTCTACAGATGGATGCAGTGCGTGCTAGGCATATGGAAGAGGAGAATGCGAAAGCCGTAAGTCTAAAGATTTAAATTGAACCGAATCGTCCACTGACAATGACAATGGCAGTCTCGCACCATCATCAATAATTCCCTTCACAGTCTTGAGCTTGCGTTAGATCGCAGCCAACACCGTGCTCCATCTACTACGGAACCATCTTCGGCAGACTTAGAGTTTATGCTCCGCACCGTAGCTGAGGATGTCAGTTGTCGAGCACCAGGAGCCCAAGGAGGACTACTTCACCAGATTCGCGCATTTAATGCGCAACTAGAGACTACGGCTCGAAATTTAGAACGGTGAAGGAGAGGAGATTAATAACGGTAAATCGGGGTTATAATTAACTGATAGCATTATCCCATGGCTGGTCCAAGGATAAAATTACGTGATTATGCATACTTGTACCGGATATAAGATAACTATGTCTCCGTGATCTTATTAATACTTTAGTAATTATGCAAACTAGTAACTTTAAATCTGCGCGTGGCGAAAAGCTTGGAAGTATCTAGTTGTTGGCCAGCCACGATCCACTAAACCCACTAAACCCACTTTCTTCATTGCCGTGAACAAATCAGAGGTCAAGGTCCCTCTCTTCGGAGTACGGAGCAAATTTTTGAATAGAATCTCTCCGTATCTCCAATTTTGCTTGGAAATCAACAGTGGGGCTAGGAAGATATAAAGTCGTTCCCCTGACCCATGTATGTACTGAAGAGAACAAGTTCAAACTACCTGAATTGCTCGCAGTACAACTTAACTGCCTCAATCTCAATCCTCTATATAACTCCATTGGAAATTAAAAATCCAACAAAATGACTAAACTCTTCGAGCCCCTTCGCGTTGGCCGCGTGGAGCTCTCCAACCGCATCACCCTAGCCCCTCTAACCCGCTTCCGCGCCGACGACAACCACGTCCCCCTCCCCTTCGTCAAGGAATACTACGCCCAAAGAGCCTCATTGCCAGGCACCCTCCTTGTCACCGAAGCAACACTCATCAGCGCCCGCGCAGGCGGCTACCCCAACATCCCCGGCATCTACAACGATGCCCAAATCGCCGCCTGGAAGGAGGTAACCGACGCCGTGCACGCAAAGGGCTCCTACATCTACATGCAGATCTGGGCTCTCGGCCGAGTTGCCCCACCAGATGGACTTAAGACCATGGGCGATTTCGTCCCGGTTTCCAGCAGCGCCACACCCTTTGATGGCGGCGCTGTTCCGCATGCACTGACGGAATCCGAGATCCAGGAATGGATCCAGGATTATGCTCAGGCAGCCAAGAATGCTATCGCGGCTGGATTCGATGGTGTTGAGATCCACGGTGCGAACGGGTACTTGATTGATCAGTTTACTCAGGACACGTGCAACAAGCGTACTGATGCATGGGGTGGAAGTGTTGAGAACCGTGCTCGTTTCGCGCTGGAGGTTACCAAGGCTGTTGTTGAGGCTATTGGTGCCGACCGGACTGGTATTCGGTTGAGTCCGTTTAGCATCTTCCAGGGGATGCGGATGGAGGACCCTGTCCCTCAGTTTACGTATTTGGCGGAGCAATTGAAGAGCTTTAAGCTTGCTTATGCCCATGTTGTTGAGGCGCGCATTGCGGGAAATGCGGAGATTGAGGCGAGTGAGAAGCTGGATTTCTTCTTCAAGGCTTATGAACAGGCTAGCCCTATTATGGTGGCTGGTGGATATAAGCCTGATTCGGCGCGTGAGGCTGTTGATGCCGTGTATAAAGATTATGATGTTTTGATTGCATTTGGCCGTTCTTATATCGCCAACCCGGATTTGCCTTTCCGGGTGAAGAGCAATGTTCCCCTTACACCTTATGACCGGGATATGTTCTACCGGCCGAAGGACCCTGTGGGTTATATTGACTATGAGTTCAGTGATGAGTTCAAGGCTGTTAAGGTTGAGGCTTAATTGGGATTACGAGTTTTGGCTTTTGCATAGCGATCTATAAATTATCATTAGAATTAATTGATTTATACTAGAAATCAATATTCCACATGTTGAAACCAGAATACATACTAGTTTCCACTCTTCACTTCTTAGGTCTATATCAATTGGTTTAGATATCCACTTCTTGATCACATTTTATACTATCAGAAAGTTAGCAGAAGCCTAGACAAAGCTTCTTGGATCAGCAAAACTTAGCTGAGATTACCTATCACTCGGGTTTCTCTAAATCTAAGGTCTTCAGATCCTTTGCTTGAAAATCCTCTATGGTGGGCCATAGCCATTGGTGCCTGTTCCACGACTCAACGACCGTCAGTCTTTCACGCTCACTACCAAGAGAGGCTGAAAAATGCATATGGAACTTATCAAGGTTGGAGCAGTTGCCCTTATGACGCCACTTTTGATTAGTTGGAAGTATCAGAGAGCATGACCTGAATTTACTCAGACAGATTTCGAATAGAAAATTCATATACTTCGAATGTTGTAAAGAATGTGCTGTTGGCGAAGAGTATACATTTCCCACATACCTACAGGTCACGAGAAATGTACATCAGTCATTGACCCACGCCAAACCTCAACCCAGTTGTTTTGCTGACATTATATTTTTCGTGAATACTTGATCACTTGAGAATCTACATCGGTTTGAGTTTGATATCTCGGGAACCTTCCAAGGTTCTAAGACTGCTAAAATGGCGTCCCAGCATCTCGGGAATCGATGATTCATCACCAAAGTGGCAAAATCGCGACCTCGGATCTTTATTCCCGTTGATACAGTTGATATTCTCCATTACCATGTGTATACCGGGCCATTTTTGATGAAATGATTCAAATGCTTCGCTGGTCTATTGACCGAGATGATCCGGGTGACTAGCGACATCCTAGAATTGCTAGGAACGCGCGACACCGGCAATTACACACCATGGCTGCGTACAGCGAACCGAGTGGTGGTTGGGGTTGGACTGGCATTTAGCACTAGTGCTCTCATTATGCGAATTTATACCAAGGCACGGGTGATGAAGAAATTCTGGTGGGACGATGGTTTGTGACTCTTGAATAGGTCTTGTCTAAGATGTGACATTAACTTTCCGCTGATAGTATTGATCATCATCGCTTGGGTATGGCTCGATATGGCATGGTTGCCGAATTCGACTGACTCCACGCTTCACAGATCCTCATCGCGGGTGTTCAAGCAGGACTTCTATGTAAGATTTATGAGACAGATCTCGATGAACATGGCTTACCTAGTATTTACCGTTTAGATTCATTCAATCATCTGGGCTTTGGCATACACATCACCGACTTGACACCATCCCTTATTGATCAATGTTTGAAGGTATAGATGAATCAGACTTTACTTCTACAGGCCTAGAAGATTAATATCCATTACTAGGCCATCCTAGGATTGTCCGTCACCTATCTTTTCGCTCTCGCATTCGCGAAACTGGCCTTGCTTATGCTATATCACAGAATATTGCATATAGTTCGCAACTGGGAATATTTTCTCTACATTCTCGCTTTCATTGTCGTTGGATACACACTGGGATTGTCTTTCGCCATCATCTTTGCTTGTAGCCCGGTACAGAAAAGTTGGGATGTCACCATCACCTATGGTTCCTGCATCAATCGTCCAATTCTCTACTTGATGACCACCGTCACAAACACCGCCAGTGATGTGGTACTCATTCTCGTTCCCCTCTATATTGTTTGGGGTTTACGATTACCATTAATCCAGAAGATAGGGGTAGCTCTTTTGCTTGGGCTTGGAAGCTTGTGAGTACTCTCAGCAATACGAATCTTTCACATGCTGCGCTTTACCATTGTGATATGCTATTAACACCAAAAATAAGAGCCCTCGCCACGAGTGTGCTTCGGTTAGCGACTATATGGCCTCTAGTACATACACCTGACCTGCCGTACCATATTGCACTTGCAAGTCTATTCGTGTAAGTTATCTGTATGTCTTTGCTATTTTTTCAAAGGATAAATACCAATGACAATTCTCTAGCAATATCGAAGGCAATTTCATTATAATATGTGCCTGTCTTCCTTATTTACGCCAATTCCTTCGCCATTATGTCCCCAAATTCTTTTCTAATGAAAGATTAGAAACGAATTTGGAAACTCCGTCTCCTCGATTCACACCTACGAGGAAAATGCAAACCCCCAGAATGACTGCAGCCTCAGATGACCTCGAGCTGAGTAGAATCGCGACTGATGGAATCGAATCTTCTTACTTTCCAAATGCCACAGATGATGCGCATACAACAGATTCAAGTGAATCATGATGAATCCAATTGGGGAATTTTGGTCGCATCCACTTGATTTCATACCAACGCATTTTCGCTCTAGAAATACTACAGTACCTCACTTCCAAAGGTTACTAGATCTGTTAGCTCCACTTGTAGGTCATGCGCTCGGTGCTCCGACGCTTGCCGCAGATAACCACAAACCAGCCAAGACTACATGCCGAATGCCGAAATCGCTGTATAAGTGAGTCAAGTCCGAATAACAGCATTCATATAAATCCAATGGTTTCAAATATTGGCCTGAAGGCCCGCTCAAGATTTTCCGCAAAAGACAGTGTAGAGTATCTTTGGAACGGCCTAGGCCTCCCAACAGAGTCCTTGAAATCTCTCAATATTAGCGGCGATGGACCGGGTCTTCCATCATCATTCAAAATCGCCGATCTCGCCCAGGCATCAATAGGCTTGTCTACTCTTTTAGCAGCCCAGATACATGCCCTGCGCAACTCAACCCCAATTCCTGCTGTGACGGTTTCACGAGAACATGCAGTCATCGAGTTCAAATCCGAAAGACTCTACACCTTAGCTGGCAAAGCAGTATTCACTGCCTGGGGCCCTATTGGGGGTCTTCATAAATCCGCCGATGGCTATGTCAGGGTCCATGATGGCTTTCCGAATCATAGAGACGGTACAAAGGCGCTGCTTGGATGTGCGCCTGATGCAGATCGCAAGGAGGTTGCATCTAAGATTGCCTCTTTGAATTCACTAGCACTCGAAACAGCCGCTTTTGAAGCCGGGTTGGTAATTTCTGCTTTGCGAAGTTACTCGGAATGGGATTCTCTCCCCCAGGCGCGAGCTGTGTCCGAATTTCCAATCACTCTCCGCAAGATCGGAGATGCACCAGTTGGGTTACCGCGAAAGATGCAAACAGGGAATACCAAGGCTCTACAAGGACTACGGGTTCTTGAATTTTCTAGAGTGATTGCAGCCCCGTTATCTGGAAGGGCTTTGTCAGCGCATGGCGCCGATGTTCTCTGGGTGACAAGTCCGAATTTACCTGATATTCCAGTCGTCGATCGCGACCTCGGTCGTGGGAAACGAACCATCCAGCTTGATCTGCTTACACCACATGGTGAGCAGGATCTTTCTAGACTTCTAGAGGGCGCCGATGTCGTTACCCAAGGTTTCCGCCCAGGCAGTCTTAAGTCGCGTGGTCTGTCGTCGAAACTTCTAGCAAGCCGTTTCTCCAATCGAGGTATCATTTGCGCCAATCTCTCGGCATACGGGCCTGATGGTCCCTGGTCTGATAGACGTGGATTTGATTCGCTTGTCCAGACATGTTCCGGTATGAATGTTTCAGAGGCTGAGCATTACGGGGCTGGGGAGCCTGCACGGCCGATGCCGTGCCAGGCTCTGGATCATGCAGCAGGTTACTTCCTTGCATCGGGTATCCAGGCTGCTCTATACAAGCGAACCGTTGAAGGTGGATCGTGGGAGGTCGATGTGTCTCTCGCCGGTGTGATGAAGTATCTTAGGTCCCTAGGACAATTTGAAGGGAGATCAGGCTTCCAAGCACCGGACTATAACTTTGTGGCGGATGTGCCTGTGGAATACCTGGAGACAAGGGATACTGGCTTTGGCGAGATGACTGCTGTGCGCCATTCAGGTTCCATTCAGGGAGTCCGAGTGGGATGGGACATTATGCCAAAGCCATTAGGTTTAGATGAGAAGAAGTGGCTGTAAGCCATGGATCTAAGGTATCGTCAACATTTGAAAAGTTTAAGATTAAGATCTCAAGTGCTCAAGCGCTAAATTCGTAGATGGAGACGAGTCAAACATATTTTCTCTCCCAAGTTCTTCCCTCTCCAATGGTCTCCAATCCAGATTACGTTTTCAAAGTTCCTCCAGGGCTCTTCTTTAGGCTACATAATAACCCCCTGGGAGACCTGTCAGCAATATCAGCCACACAGCACCAACCCAGTAAGCCCCAGTACTTTTCATCGATTATACCTGCTATACGGGGTAAGCAAAGCTAGTGTTTCATCGCATCACCTTCTGCTTTGAGTTTCGCTAGGACCCACTCTACGCACTAGTGGAAACGGCCCCAAGGGCACGCAATCTGGTACATCCTTAAAGACATTATGAGGCTAGACAGAGCTAAGACTCTTATTTTGTTTGCCAAGGGACGGGAAGATATCTGGTTTACAGTTTCAGATGGAGAAATAAATGGAGAATTAAGTTTCGGAATAAAGTGTTGAACATTGGAAATCTTCTAATTATTGACGAATTTATCATCAATAATTAGTGTTTATTTGCTAAGCCATGAGAACCATGTACAGTATCAAAAATGCATTTGCAAATGCGTGTGCAGGCGTAAAGTCATCAAAAGGAAATCGTCAAAGATGCCAAGGAACAATAAAACAAAAGCCAGTCCCAACCAGAAAAGCCAATTGAACGCCTTGGTATCACTCTAAGAACGCTTCATATACACGTAATTTTGTTTCACGTCGCTTAGGAGTGGCGGAAAGGCTCGTAAGGGCTCGCATGATGCTGCTGCTGGTGGGTCATGGGGTAGGAGTTTGGAGGAGGGGGAGGAGGGTACGAGGTTGGCTGCTGGTGGCCGAAGGGAGGCTGAGCACCGGCACCAATAGGCTCGTAAGTGTATGGGGCCTTCTCAGCAGTCAATCCCTTGCTGCGGATGTTTCTGTTCTTGTGGTTATAGGGGGAGCGACCAGAGCAGCAGCAGACGCTGAAGACCCAGAAGATCAGGGCAGCGAGGGAGAAGGCGACGGCGAGCCAGGTGGCGGCGAATATGTTCTTGCCCATGGTCAATTTGATGCCGTAGGCTTTCAGGGTTGTTCCCAGACTACTCTTAAAGATGGAGAATAGAACGGTGGAGGTGATGGAGGCGGCTGCGGTGAAGAGGAAGCCGACAATGGCGAAAATGGTGGTGACACAGCTACCCCAGCGGCTGCAGATGGCGAAGATGCCGACGAGGATCTCGATGATGGTGACGGCGAAAGCGACGACGTAGGCGATAAACATCCACTTGGAGACGGCCTTGTAGACCTTCATGACCTTGTTGTAGTCGTCCGGCAGGAGATCCTTAACGGAGGTGCTGTTGAGATCCCAGACGACAAGGGGGTCGAAGTAGAACTCGGCCTTGGGGTCGGAACAGGAAGTGGTGTTGAAGTTCTTGTTGTTGATTTGACCATCGCAATAGCCCATGAGACCGATGTCGTAGAATTCCTTAACCAGGCTGTCGACCTCGTTGCTGGCTATATCGTCGACTAGGGTCTTCACATCCGACGAAGTGACATCGGTAATGTCCAAATCACTGAGGATACTCTCGATTTCGGAAGTGGTTTTTGTGCCATTGGTGATATTCGATAAGTCGATCTATTGGCGCAGTGGTTAGTCGCGAACAGTGGAATATGATGGGGAGTATGTCTTACCCGCATGAAGTAGATGTTGTTCAAGGTGCTAGAGCTGGCCTTGGTACATCCCAGACCCACGAAGATAATACAAATCAATGTAGCGATTGTCAACAGATAAGGCGTGATGATACACGCGACACGACCGGCTTTTCCCATGGTGATGAGCGTAAAAGGATGTGGTGTGGTGTGGGAATATATGGGTAGGCCCTAAAGGGAAGGAAGGGTGTGTAAAAGGAATACGTGGACAAGCGAAATGGGAGGGGAAGATGGCAGGTTTTAATCTCAGACGATCTGCGCCCAGAAAGTGTACAGCCTCTAATGTTGACTAGCAACGACACCAGCCTCCCTGTTAAAGAGGCGCAGGACACTGGCCCCCACCCAATCAGAGAATGAATGAACCCACAAGTGGATCCAATTTGATTTCGCTCGCCACATTGAGTTTCTATTCGTGTCAACGCTAGCCCTATTTAGGTAATACTGGTAGGATCCGTATTGGATTCTATAGACTATAAACATCAGAAATTATGGGTTTCTTAACTTCATACTATGAAGTAAGCAGTAAATCTATCACAGAGTATTTAAGCACCTCTTTCCTACTGAAAGCCCACGTATAATCACGTAGACCCGTCAATTAATCAATATATAACACAATAATTACACTTACGTAGGCGGTCACTAGTGCTCAGGGACAGGCCTAGTTCCATGGTCGAGCGCAGGATCAGCATACCATGCCTCGTCACCCTCCCAGCCCTGTGAACTTTGCTCTGCCCAAATTGCACCAAAAATAAATGAATCAAAAAATCAAAAAATCCTGTTAACAAAATTATCACATTACTAAGAACCCAGCATCAGATTATACAGGAACAGCTAAGCTTGCGTAAAAAATTCTCTAATCCTAGGCTTCTGCATTTAAACCCTTGGCGTGGAGGCCGCGCCTCAACCGCACGTTTTCTGGGTCGTTGCTGACTTTTTCGGCATCCACATTCATAACTGTTCTAAATTTATTTCAAACTTTTCTGGGGCGGAGTATCCCTGGATACTCAATTTATCCCAAAATGCACCCAAGATCCTAAACTTTAGGCAGCTATTTAGCAACTGCGCCAAAACTTGCGTGGACATCAGCCACGCATATGACATGATGCATGCCAAGATGATGCGGTGGCAGCTTTCCATGCTTCTTTCATGTTAGTCAACTGGAGTGTGGCTAGCATGACCTATTTGGGTTTAGCGCAGTTTATCCTTAAAGGTGCCGGTTGTCTCCCTCACCAGATCACCCACTCTATCTATTATTTGGGTCCCATGCTCTTTGAGGACACGCGTTCGAGACCCTGTCCTTCCGCGTCTCTTTTCTTTTATTTCCGCTAGCTACTTGTGGAGACCCCCGGTAGAAAACTAACATGGTGGTAAATAATGTAGGGGATATGGTAGGAGACTGGTAGGTAAGTGGTATACTTGCTAACTAGCACATTCGAGGTCTTTGGAGCATACTCAGAAGTCACGGATGTCAGTTCAATAAGACTAAATCCTCAAACCTATATCCGTCTCTGCAGTACATCCTAAACCTCCTACGCAAAGAACGGCTCCAGCGTCGACAACATCCCCGTATAAGCAACACCACTCGGCGGCTCCATACTAAAGATATAACTCCCCCACCAAGGACCCGCAGCCCACCACATAGCACCTTTCCAAACCGCTGAATTCTCCTCCAAATAAGTCAACATCCCCACAATCGCCTCCTCACACACAGTATTCACCCCACCCGCAAACTCCCCCAAGATACCAACTTTGTCATTATCAATGAGCCACTGCGTCGCAGACTCCACGCGCTCCTGCCCGATCGTGCTCGAGACGCAGGTCGCGCTGGTTCCTGATCCGTCCGAGTCGAGGTACTGGTGCATCTCGTAAACGATCTTGTTTTCGGGATCGGTGAGATTGACTAGGTTAGTGTTGTATTCTGTCCATGTCCAGGCGCCTGTGTAGGAATTTCCTTCGACGAAGATATATTGGCTTGTTGCGCCTGCTGCGCGGATGCCGTTGATTGCGGCTTGATTGAGATCTAGGACCAGGGTTTGGTCCATGTCGTGGTATTCATTGTCTGTGAGTGTGAGTGTGAGTGTAGACTTCGGTTGTGGGGATGCTTGGTGCTTACTGGTGTCAAAAATCACTAATGAGTTGGAGGCGAATTGCTTCGCGACGTTTTGCCAGAACGTTTGAAAGTTGGACGTGCTTGTGATGATTGATCCATAGCTTTGATATGTTAGCTTGGATACTTGGTCTTGTGGGGTGAGAGATGCTTACTATCGACCAAAGTTATGTGGGTCCAGAACTGCGTGGGCGCCTTGTGAGGTGATGTAGTTCACCACCTGGACTAGTCAATTTCACGAAGTGCAGAATCGAGTCTGGGTAAGCACGTACGTATGTCAAGTTGCTCAGATACTCAGCGTCAAAGGATCCTGTCATCGTAGTTGGGACTAATCGCTCCATGAGGAACGTCACACGGAAAATATTCATGCCATTGCCAATCAAGGTTTTGATGGTGGTTGTGCTCGGGAAAATATAGTCGGTTCCCTGTCAAGGATGAGAATCGATAAGATTTGGTATCTCATAGATAATCTACTCACATACACGCCTGGGATATTGCCTGAACCAAATTCAGCACCAGACTCACTGGCTCCAAACCCTAAATCGGTCATCAGTCTTTGGAATGGTCTTTATTATCATGAATTGGAGACCAACACTCAAACGAAGAAGATTTCTTAGCAGTCTTCAGCGGAGATGCCAATGCAGATGCCAATGCAGCCAAGAGAGCAAAGTAGCCGAACCTCATATTGAAATCTTCAGATATTTCCTAGGTATACAGTCGCGAGTCTGTCTTGACCTTCAAACAACCTACACTCTAACAGCCAAGTCTCCATTTTATAGCCCAAGGACACGATTAGTCCATCTACCCAGTATTCTAGCGCATAGACGGAGTCAAAAAGAGACACGGAGCATACTTCATAGGCCCGTCACCCCGCAAAAGGCTAAATATTAAGGGGTACCATGCTGACGATCGAATTTGCGGGGTATGCACCAGAAATCCAAGCCCGAGGAAGATTCACAACAAAGGAAAAGTCTCAAACGTAGGCCATTTCAAGATTCTTGGACGGATCCTGTTCTGAGACGGAACTTATTTGCAATCTATATACCGAAAACGATGCCAAGAGGGGCTTTCTCCGCAAAGCTGTGTAAGTGTTGTTCTTCATGGCTCAGTGGCGTATAATTAATCTCTTCATTTCCGGGTATATTCGCGTAAAAGGGCCCCGTGGCTTTTCGGGAATCGATCTGCGGTAGCCGTGAAGAATATCGGATGTGGATTATACATCAGTTGTTCGGGCGGGGACTTATTTATGTGTGCACAATGTGGACATGTATTGAAGCGTATGCAGAGGTCATGAGGTGAATTTCTACACCAGGTCTATACAGGTGACACTGTCCTAGAATGACTGTTTTGGGGTTAATGAGACTGATCGGGCTTAAATACTTGTCAAGGGCAAGGAATCATGCTGCTACTTTTGGGCCAATGGCAGCCTGAAGGGGAATGAGTTCATGACCTTATATATTCATATTCGAACACTTGAATCTGTCAAGTATAAGACAGGACTTGATCAGATCAGCCGTGGAGCCTGGCAGCTCTCGAGGTCTAATAGCAAGTTGGATTCGAAAACGCCACAATTCATCGGTATCCACTATGGAAATGTGGCTGGGAAAGTCAAGGCAGGACATGAACTATGGGGTACACCTAAAGCTTATCCTTCGGATATAGACGCGTCACAAACACGAGCATAAGCATGAGGATGAGAATGAACATGAACATGAACATCTTATTTTCCCTGCAGTTCGTCGAACTGACGAGGTCAATTCTTGGAACCGGATCTGCCTATCCCCCACTGATCTGCCAAATAAGCTGATCCCATAGATCGTACCATAATGTCGATGAAGAGTGCCTTGTACCTTCCAAGCAAATTCTAAAAGTGCAACATGAACTTTCATGACATGGTTGAGTCTATACAGGAACGAGGTCCATGACATCAGTGAAGGAACGATGACGTCGGTGATTGAGTACCCCAAAAATGCAACCAAAACGATGAGAAATCAACGCTATTGACTCTTAGCGCCTAATTGAGTTGCCCAGGATACACTAAAACCCCAAGACTTACAGTACTGGGTTTGAGACAACTTTCGTGTCTTTTGAACTCCTCTCTTCACCCTCTTCTACTCAAAACTCTCCCAAATCGGGTTAAGCTCCCGATTGACGACGTCACCATCAATCCAAAGCTTCTTCCTTCATATAATCCTCTCATCAGGAAAAGACAAGAAAAAAATTCCAAGGCTCTCTCCGGTTGCAGTGCAGCTTCCGTCACATCCCGTGTGTGAGTTCCCCCCCTCTTTCACATTTACCACACGTCACTACTGCGCAAGGTCGCAAGGAACTGGGGAGTTTTTTTTTCCTTTTCTAACTTTCTCGTGCTGCAGGTACAACTTATCTCTTTAAACCAAAAAGTCTTCCTTCATCTCCCCCCTGACCTTATCAACACCTTTCACCATGCATCGCACCTATTCTATGCGCCAGACGCGCGCCCCGACCGCTTCCCAGGTCGAAAACCCTCCACCACCATTGTCGACTACCAAGTCGAACCGCTGGCTCGGAAAGGGTGGCTTAGGTGAGTAAGAAAAGTTGACATTCCGATCACGATCGGGTTTGCGGGCAATTGGGAGCGCGAACTTGAAGCTGCCTGATCGGGTACTTGCCGACCGCCCCCCCCCGCAAAAGCGAACTACGTCGACCTCGGCAGAATACATTTCAGCACAGGCTAATAATTTCATCAGGCCATGCGTTCCGCAAAAATGCCGCCGGTGCCTTTGGCCCCGACCTTGCGCGCAAGCTGTCCCAGCTTGTCAAGATGGAGAAGAACGCCATGCGCAGCATGGAGCTTGTCGCGCGGGAGCGTATGGAGGTTGCGGTATGTGCTCTATTGCCATTTAATGGATCAAAGCAGCTAATAGTAGTTAGCAACAACTCTCCCTCTGGGGTGAGGCCTGCGACGAGGACGTTTCGGATGTCACGGATAAGCTTGGTGTCCTGATTTACGAGATCGGTGAGCTTGAGGACATGTTCGTCGACCGCTACGATCAGTACCGCGTCACCATCAAGAGCATCCGTAACATCGAGGCCTCCGTGCAGCCCAGCCGAGACCGTAAGAATCACACCCCCAGCAGAGAAAAACAGCATTAACCCCCCACAGGCAAGCAGAAGATTACCGACGAGATCGCCAAGCTCAAGTACAAGGACCCCAACTCTCCCCGCATTGTCGTGCTGGAGCAGGAGCTCGTCCGTGCCGAAGCCGAGTCCCTAGTCGCCGAGGCTCAGCTCTCCAACATCACCCGCGAGAAGGTCAAGGCCGCCTTCCAGTACCAGTTTGATGCCCTCCGCGAGCACTGCGAGAAGGTCGCCATCGTCGCCGGCTACGGAAAGCACCTCCTCGACCTCATTGATGACACTCCCGTGACTCCCGGCGAGACCCGCCAGGCCTATGACGGCTACGATGCCAGTCGCGCGATCATCCAGGACTGCGAAGATGCCCTCGGTAACTGGGTCAACTCAAAGGCCGTCGTCAAGTCCAGCTTGTCGCAGCGCTCGCGCACTCTCTCCCAGCGCCACCGTAACAACCTCAAGAATCGCGAGGGCGTCGACCTGTCTCAGCAGGATGCTCCTATGGCCGGAGATCGTGACTCCTGGTTGCCTGCCGACCAGCATCCCAATTACGAGGAAGAGGACGGAGCCAGCACCTTGGAAGGCGAGGTTCGTGGTCGTGAGGAGGAGCGGGAGCCTATTGCCGCCTAGATGAAAAAAGAAACGATTTCTTTTCTTGTCTTGTCTTTCGTTTCCCCCACTTACCCTCCAAATTGGCGTCCTAGCAAGTTCTCACATGTGACCGATCAAATATGTCGCAATTGTCATCCCAGGAGCCTGAAGAATCCATGTTCATGCTACGCTGACGCATTCTTGGCTACGGTTGGATGGCATTTAATCTCAAATTGCATATTGCAATTGCACAATCCGGTCACGCAATGGTTTACCTTTTTCCTTTACATGACGACCCCTGCTTTATGTCGATGTCGTGATACTGTACCCGTTGGTCGTGCTCGATCTGCCCCGGTTTGTCCAACCTGGTGTCGGTCGAGGACCCTGATTCTCCAGTTTTTTTTTTCTTGTTCAGGGTTGGATACTGAAATACGTACGGGTATTTTTCTGTTTTGTCTGTCTTGGTTTTCCCTAATGTAATACCATCTTGTGCTATTCTGTGTTTTCTTGTTCGGTCTTCGGCCTGATAGGAGGGTCGGGGCTGGGTAATTTAGGTGTTAATGGAATTGTTCTTTGATGTATACTTTCTGTCGTATTGTACTAGATATAAGGTGTACCAACTTAAACCCTGAAGCAGCACTCGAGTGTCCATGGATAGCTTAAGGGGAATTGTTACCAATTAGCCCTGGTAAACCCCAATTGATCTAATCTGGGCGTGACAAGTAGAGGCATATCTACGGATAGAACTCTAGTACTCGAAGTAAAAAATCCGAGGACTCTGTTTCCGGTCCAAGCAACGAAGGTCTTTCTGTACCTTGTATATATGCATGCCAACAAATCGAAACCCAAAAAGCAAAGATAAAATGAAAACAGCAACCGGGATTCCCTCAAAGTCAAACACAAATTAAGCCCCCTTCCGAGAAAACGCATTCTTGAGTAATTTGAATTTGCGTCTCACAACACCGCATCGTATCCGTAATATCTCATCTCTCGTCCCTATGTCGGACTAAAGGACACATTTTCGGACAAATGATCAAATCAAATCGCAGACAAGATATACCAGCATGAGCAAGGGCTGGGCAGAGAAAAGAGGCAGTAGAGAGGAGTGGAGAAAGCCCAGGGGGTGGGATGGTCGGATGATAGAAATAATAGAGGTGATATCAAAGACCTTGTCTTTCAAAGCGTAGTAGAGACCATCCCTAAGAATCGCAGAAGTCGTAGTCGGAAGGGGAGGTCCGAGTCGCGAAGAACGAGAATAAGAGAGAAAGGTCGTGACGTCGTCATGGGGTTTGATCTCTCCTTAAGGTCTGGTCCATTTTTGATAAATAATGGGATGTCGAGGGGAGGAGAAACAAACTCATATCGAAAGAACAAGAACAAGAAAGAAATGGCAAACACCAGCGTAGTCTTTCGAGAGTCGACGATGATCGCGGAATCAAGAGATGATACATGAAAAGAAGTAGGCCAAAGGAACAGCAAAGCACAAAACTTGACTTTAAGCGCTTACTCGTCAGTGCCCACACCCTTCTTCTTAGGCTGGATGTTTTTTTGGCCCCGGCCACCAGTTGATTTGGGTTCTAAGGCGCCGCTATCCACGGGAGGCGGTGGCATCCGAGTCGTGGCTTCGTGCTTTTCAGTCAAGAGGTTCTTCAACCAACGGTTCTCCATCTCAAGTTGAGCCACGCGAGCCTCGAGAGAGGCGTTCTTCTCGGTGGTCTCGCGGACAGTGCGCTCGAGGACCTGCTCACGCTGCTTCTTCTTCTGACGGAAACGAGCACTGGCGGCCGTATTGCGGCGGCGCCGGTCCTCTTCAGCGGCATAGCGTACACCTTCCTCCTGGCCGAGGGCCGCAGCGATGCGGTCCCCAGGGATTGAGGTGCTGTACTTGGTGTTGCCCATCTGGCCATTGGGCGGGGAGATGGACGATGAGACGTCCGAGGGAGTCATCTGTCCCGGAGCGTGGCCGAGCTCGTCGGGCGCAAATGGGACAGGCGGGTAGATGGAGTGAGCCGAGTACGGCATCATGTGATCGGGGATAGAGTAATTGATGGACTTGTCACCAGTAGGACCTGAAGAATGGAGTAAGCAGTGGTCTTGCTTAAGACTGAAGTTCAATATCGTGGAGAGGTTCATCCGTAAGCTGGGGAAGAGATCCGCAACCCTATCAAGGGAGCCGCCAGGACCATGCACACGATCATTATTTGCATCAAATAAACTCTAGGGTTCACATAAGAGGGGGGGAGGGGAAGTGATGTGTAAGTAAAACCCCGGTTAACCAAGGCAGCCGTGGCTTCTGCACTCATATTCATGCGGGATTGCGTGCTCGCTATCGAGCTGGGCAGAGGGGCCTTCGGGAGCAAAGCACGATGATCTCATTCCAAAAATGAGATAGATCACTCCGCAACAGTCCAGAATGATTCTGGGGCTGCATCTTGTGGGCACGAGCTTTTTGAATTCAAATAGACCATGAAGATCTGGAGAAAGTTGATGTTGGGCCGGGGAAGAGAGCAACCAGGCCAAAATTAACTGAGGGCCAAATAGGAACGCCCTCTCCCCGGAACTCCGGGCAAAAAATGAGATGTGATACGGGGATATGGGATTGAATGGAAATGATTTCAAGGGGGTTTGGAGCATTCAATCTTGCCCAGGGGCCCCTCCCAGCCCAAGCCAAAAACGCAAACACGAACCACAACGCAGGATGATGGCGCAAGAGATGCAACCTCTCGCAACAAAGTCAAAGCTTCAATGGAAATTAAAATATTTGCACGTACCATGATAGGGATAACCCCGAAGATCCAAAGAGCGGTCATCGTCTATGCTATCGTAAGAGCTAACGGACAAGCCTCCCATGCCTTCCGTTTGATCGTAATCCATATTCACGTTGCCAAACGGGACCAGCCCGGTGTCAGTGTCAAGGGAATATGGTCGACTCTTGGTTGATGGATCGTGTCGACTAAACAAGAAGTTGAAGTTTTCGATCTTGTCAAAGGCAGGGCCAGAACCAAGCGGGCGAGGATGCTCCTCAGGCATGATGAAGGAAAGAAGGTTGCAGGTTGAGGGGTATTGGAATGTAGAAATAGGAAAAAACAATACGAAAAAAAAAAAAGCAAAAAAGTCCCAAAAGTCAAAAACAATACAGAAGCCAAAGATCTTGAAGATGGCGTATGGTCTTGCGTTTAGGGCACTTAACCAAGAGGGGGGTGGGTGAGCACAAGGAAGGACGTGAGTGGTTGTGGGTTAGGGGGGAAGTCTCAAGTTCCAATGAGACTAAACCCCAGATCAGATGGAAAGAGTGAGGGGACGATCCCGGAACAAGCAAGTATGAGAATGACAAGACCAATACACGGGGGGATTAGGGCGAAGTTCGGTCTCGATCACCTTACACAAGAATGGAGACTCGCATAACGCGCCACGTTTCTTCTCACGAATCACAGGGTCAGAATTATAAAAATTCAGAAGAAAAAAAAAAAGGGGGCGTCTGAAGGAAAGAGGGGGAAGGGGAAGTGCCTTGAGCTTCAAGCCTCGAGATCAACTAGTCGATGATCTGATAGAATGGAGAAATGTCGTGATCGCAATATCTGGTTCGTCGGTTGAACGCCCCCTCTTTCACCGCTCTGGTCGGGGCGGGAAAAGCATGGTATAGATTACGTAGTACAGAGGTATATGTATTGGGGGGAATAAATATACAATCTTGAGTATATAGTCCTGTGGTAAAATCCCAGGTATAAATAATTAGTAAATGAAAATGATTTATTAACATTCTCAAGTGACAATTCAGAAAGGTCCGCTCAGTGAAATTTGACGGGGCCGCGGAATTTGGGAGGAAAAGATCCACTTCTAAGCCTACAGATGACGCGGACCTAAATTACCCGATACAAGCGTAATTACAGAAGCTTGGCACTGTCCCGTGGTCTCCATCTGGTTTAATGCTTGTCTCATAACGTACGCCGTACTGGGTACATCAAAAATCTACTTCTGGTTCAGGTCCCGAAGGTTGGCAAATACTCTATATGGAGTCCACTGTCGGCTGAGATCGTCATTTTTCCCATATTGCCCAAAAGACCTATGACATAGGTCCGATGTCGTGATCCTCGACTTCTGACTGCTGACGTCTCGCTATGATCGTGGCGGCATCTTCCACGGTAGTCCCGCGTTGCCGCGACTCAACTCGTTCATGACCGAGAAGGGTATCTTCGGCCACGCTCCGGTAAACTTCTGCAAAGCCTCCATAAACACGGCTACCGACACCATCCCATCCGCCTTCACGGTCAAAGGCTTCACCGATGCCGCGCATCTCGTCCACCCATCGGTAGGCCTTGGGACTCATGGCAATAATGCCAGACTGAGTCAGCGCAGCTGTATGCGGTGAGTATTGTTGAAGATGGTCCAGTAATTCCGGCAAGAGATCCTCGCGCTGCGCAGTGGAGAACGACAAGATCGACAGCGCCGTGAGACCTTTGGTCAGCGCCGCAAAGGAAAGCTTCAGGGTGGACGCCGCTCCAATTCGATCGGACACCAACTTCATGTTCAAGATGTCGGTGAACGCCGCCCATGTGGAGGGCAGGTCCACCGCACCCGAGAGTACTATACTGGGTTTCTTCCACTTCCCGTCCGTATTCTGTGACGGCGGGCCCCCAATGATCCCACCGTCAAGGAAGTGGCACTTAGCCGATGACCCGATTGACGTGTCCACGTTTGTTTCAAAGAGTGCAGCTTGCTCCTCGGCCAATCGGGCGGGTGTTGCGTTGAGCTCGAGGAAGTAAAGTGGGCTGCGACTCGGCCGGCCATTCACTTCTTCGAGACCTTGTCGTTTCGTCACCGTATCTGGTTGTTTGACAGCCCTTGCGATACGCTCCGCGGTGGATAGCGCGTCCCGAGGAGGCACAATGGATAAAATGAAGTCCGCCTGGACCACTAGTTCCTGGTACGATTGCAACATTTCTATTTCAGCGCTCTTGATTCGTGCAAGAGTATGCTCACTGTAGGCGGATTAGCGTTTGTATAACGTAATGAGCATAAACGTCGACTGCCCACATGTGCAATGAAGTACCTTCTCCCTTCTGCGACCGTGATCACTCGGTAACCGTGGGCTTTGAGCAGTTTTGCCATCCCCAACCCCATATCTCCAATGGAGACTATCCCAACAGTGACTGCACGCATTTTTTGAGAGTTTTAGCGAAATATGCTTTCAATTTGTAGATAAAGCCCTTGAGGCAACAATTTGAATCTCAGTGCTTGACATCAAGTCAACAATTGTACTCAAGCTGTTCGGATACATATATGTATATGAACGGTGCGGGGTCATTTGTCAGCTTCAGTGGCGCCCTGTAAGTCATTGATAGCAACATTTGAATATTTAAGCTTAGTCTTTTTGAATCAATTGATGTCTGTGCCCAGACCAGATCTAGAAAACTAGTTAGTTCCATTTCCCCCATTCCCCATTTTTGTCCGCAGATCATGATCCAACATTGAATGTACGCCTTAGACCACAGCAAATTAACTTACCTTCCAGAAGGTAGACGGTTGGCTGGCATACAACACCTTACCTTCAAATGTTGTTATTCACCGGTTTTCATATGAAAAATATACAGTCAAGCGGTACCTAAAAGTACAAGTGAACCCCACGTTATAACAACCAGGGTCAAAGTCCCACTCAAGTACCCCAGAGAATCGGCAACACACAAAAAAATCCCGCCCGGCAATCTGAAATGCCGAGACTCCGACCCAACGACAACTCCTAAATGAAAAACCACCCTTCTTCATAAATCAGGACATTCACACTAAAGAAAAAAGCCTTGCAAATCAGCATAAGGCCAAAGAACCGAAGAGCCAAAAGGCCTTGGCATGACTTCCGCGGATGAAACTCCGTTATGGGGGAAATGCACAACGCCATGCGACAGCCGGGCATAATTTCCCGTGATGCAATGAGCGTCGACTCCACCGCTCTGCCCACTGGCTCCACGAGGTCTAACGGGCGGAGACGAAGTCAGAGGGTACTTGACACTGTTACCCGTGGCCAAGCTTTTATCGGGCGATGCTGACTGAGGGGGTTTAGGCCTGTGAGATGTGTTACCAGAAAAAGACCAAATGTGAGGTTGAGGGGCCTCATAAGGCCTGTGTTCAATGTATTCGACGTAATACCAAGTGTTTATTTCCTTCACAGCAGCCGCAGCTGCCGTTGCAGGAGAAGGAGAATGAGAAAGACAGTGAATTCCAGAGGTATTATGCTACCGACCCATATGCTATGTTCTATGTTCAGGTATTGGTCGTTTTCACATGATTCAACCAATTCTCTGATTGCTGTTTACTGAGCTCGACTGATATTATTCTAGTGGTGATCAGTATGTTGAGTCTTTAAAAGATCGCTTACAGAGGGTTGAATCCCTGCTGGTGGCGGCTGGTGTCTTGCGCGAGAGTGATATCGGTGAAGACGCCGTCTCAGATGAAGATGAGTGGGAGCACAGTATCCGCTCTGTTTCTTCGGGTCAAGCATCAAATCTCTCCGGGCCCTCGGAGGGTCATGAGACTGCACGTTATGCCAGTGGTGGCGACTTCGCTGTGCCCATGTTTAATTCCCACGAGAATGACGAGTCTAGATACTTCGGTTTGTTCTCCATTCCAAGCTGTGCATATTTGAAATCTCACTAACTGCATACATCAGGACGCTCTTGTCAACTATCCATATTATCACGGGGTGGAATCGAGTGGATCAAGAGCAAGACCGGCGAATCCAGCTTCGTGAGCATTGTATCTCCCGATTCCACCTCCCATGACCCGTGGCATGATTGGCGTCCAGATGTTTTTCATGATCTGTTTGCCTCTCGGGTCTATAAGCCGCTTCCGCCAAGGTCTGAAGTCTTTTCTCTTATCAAGGACTATTTTCGAACTGCGAATCGATTATTCCCAATTTATCATGAAGCCTCCTTCATGAAGATGGTGGAGTGGCAGTACACACAGCAGACATGCGATGACGCCGCTCGATGGGCCAGTATAAACATAGTGATATGTTTGGCTTATGAGTACCGATTCTCCAATAGCCTGAAACCGGAGAAAGATCGAGAAAAGGCTCGGTTATACTTTAAAAATGCCATGTCGGTTTTCACAGAGCTGGCATTGCGGCGCACCGATCTGCTAAGTGTGCAGGCTTTGATCAGTATGGTAAGTTCTTCCAATCCGCCTTCTCCATCCTAGTATATCTAATGAACCAAAGGGTTTCTTTCTTCGAGGCAATTCTGGCACACAGTCTGCATTGCCTTTTATGACCGCAGCAATGCGGTCATGCCAGAGAATGGGACTCCACCGTAATATCGAAAGACCAGACTTGAGCCCTGCTCAGCAAGAACAAAGGCGACGTGTGTTCTGGGTAGCATTTACTATCGATCAGAGGTAATTCATCTTGACCCATTCTATTATCTAGATTTACTGACATCTTCCCTATCTAGTGCATGCTTAAGAGCCGGAAATGCACCATCTCAACACCCTGACGATTTCGACGTTCCTCTTCCACAATTAACAGAGGAGGACAATGACCCAGAAGTGGCCCCAAATATCCACTTTTTCTGCCAGCTGTGCCGCATGTCTCTTATCAAGAGTCGCATTTATTGCCGGCTGTACTCCGCCAAGTCCTTGTTCAAGGACCCTCGTGAGATCTATGAAACCGTCAAAGAGCTTAATGCTGAACTTGAGAAATGGAAGAAAGACTACCCCTTCTCTGAGATACCAAAGTTTAGGGGTGCTGAAACCGATTTTCTGTTTGGATTTGCCTCTGTTGGTCTCCATTTCGTCTACTATAATGCCTTGATCATGATCCACCGGGTACCTCTCCTTCTCCACTACCTAATAACGAGGCGCGAAGAAGAATCGGACGAGCTGAAGTCTCTCAGCAAAGCATTCGCTGCAAAATCAGGCCTCATTTGCACAACAGCCGCACGAGACACACTGAGAATGGTGAATAATATGCCTTGGGGGGACATTGCCTGGCTCTGGTAAGTGCAGCACCACTCAACTTTGCCACGTTTCTAACAAAACGCCAGGTCTTTATTGTATTACGTCTTTCTTGCAGCAGCATCCATTTTCTCCAACATTCTCCGAGATACTCGCAGTCCGGGGGTGAAAGATGATCTTAAGTCTCTCAACATGGCAGCGACATTCTTTACGAGCCTCGTTTTACCTAGTGATGGTCCAACAAGCTATGCGGGTTTCATGACTCGCATGAGTACCACGTTGGAGCGCATAGCAAGATTGGCTGTCGAAAGAGATGAGAAGCGCGCTCGAAGCCCCGATGACGAAGACGAGGACGACCAAGGAACAAAAAGACACATCAGCCGAGCTTTCTCGGAGTCACGCCCGAAAATGCGCCATCGAGCTCCGACATCTACAAACCCCCATTCAAAAATTCACCCTCAAGCACCTGCTCCGTCCATATCAAACTCATCAGCCGCCATCCGCTCAAACCTGCCAATCGGCATGCCCGAAGCCATCGAAGGTTTCCCCTCCGTCAATTCATCCGGATACGTCGTCCCGATGAGTCCAGGCGATCCCAACTTCCCCACGACGGCCAACCTCCACCAACAACCCTCCTACACCCAAGGCCTTGGTCTTAGCAATCTCAACGGAACAGACGCAGATTCGTCCTTTGCAACAGCAAACTACCCAAATTGGCAACTATCTCAAGACTACACTGGATCAACAGCATCCCCGCTCGACACCACTCAAAGTCCCTACTCCCAAGCCAGCAGCAACGGCACAGGAACCCTGATCCCAGAATCATGGCAAGTTCCCCTAACAGCAGACTGGCAATTCGGCGAGAATCTATGGGCAGGCCTCATCCGCAACGAGATAGGAGATTCAATACAACAAACCTCCCTGCCAATCCTTAATTCGGACTCATTTCTCAATGGTCCGAACGCAATGGAGACTCAGACCCATTCTCAGAGTCAGAGTCAGACTCAATCTCAGAACTTTGCAAACGACCCGAGTTTTTACATGAACTACGGAGCTCAGTCCATGGGCTATAATTTTATTCCCCCACAACAGGGTCCAGGTCCAGGTCAAGCTCCTTATCAAGATCAAGGACAGAATCCCAACCAGGATATGGATCACACCCAGTCGCATTTCTCGAATGGATTTATGGGCATGTTCTAGTGTTCGGATCATCGGATAGGATATTTCCGGAGGAATTGTAATTCCCTTCCGTCATTTCGCGATCTCCGGCGAGTCTGTAATATTGTCTTACAATTTTGTGGAGCGGAGCTTGCATGGGTTTTAATATGGATATAAACATGCATTTTGGTAGTTTGGGGTGATAGATTGCATAACATGGATTGTTTACAAGTATCATCAGTGAATACTTTGAATAGAGATGCCCTTCTGGTAGTACCTTGAAGCACGAATTAACAGACTGATTTTGACGAGAGCTGGAAGCCGGTCAAGTACACTAGAGCCGTCCTGATTTAGCAAAAGTGGTCTTCAATCATTCAATCATCATGAGATTATAGACTCCAATCATCGTCACTCTTAATAATTCTCATTCCTCAGATTTCTTTTCCAGTTTTATTTGCATAAATCAAACATGCCCATGCAGTCGTTCATCAATATTTGCTTTCCATTAATATCTAGAATTTGGGAAGACATACTCCAGATCTATATAGATTCCCAAGTATGTCCATACTTTCTATTCGTGGTGGAGCTTTTCTCCACTCATGATTTCCGGAGTTAACCTTGGAAACATGTATGAATTTGAAGGAGTATTCATTGAAATGGTAAATAGTAAACGCCATAGCCATCGAGGCAGTAAAAGGTACCCGGTTCTTAACTCCTTGCCTATGCTATTCCAGACCATCAAGCGCCTTGAAGAAACCCGAGGTATCAAGATAAAAGAAACAAACAACCACCTTGCCCTAAGCTTAAAACACCGACCCGGCAAGCTTCTGAACTGCCTTGCACCACACTCCATTTCCTAGAGCTCCCGCTTCCCCACTGTCAAGTCCCTGATCTAAGATACTTTGCATCTCCGTGTCTGGTAGACCGGACTTGTTACCAGAGCCGAAGCCATAGACTTTAGTCGCAATAACATCCATATCAAAGTCCATGGAGCCGATACATTGAGAGTCGCCACTGTCAAGATTGACGCGTGTGCGGACAGTGAAGTCGACGTCAATTCGCTTCGCTCCGCTGTTCTTCTCGGCGCCTTTGCGGCCTGGTGTGAATGGCACGGCGGCATTGCCGAGGAGTGTACAGCGGGCGCGGAGAGAGAGATTTCCCTTTGGATCGGAAAGGGTAAGACGAGTGACACCACAGAATTCGAGCATGCGGGCCTCGTTTTCAAGGCCAAGAGTGCGGTCCCAGGCGGTAGATATGAAGCGGAGAAGGTGTTTAGGGGCAACCTTGGATTGCTGTACCGTAGCTAGATGCTTCTGCAGGGATTGTAGGACCAACGATGCAATGGGGGAGAAAGACTTAATCTTGGTAAATGTCAACTCAAGAGGAAGGTTACCCTTGTCGGTTTTGGTTGAATTCTTGGTGGCAAATGCTCCAGGATGAAATTTGATCTGGAGCTGGCCTCGGTATGACATTGTCAACATGGGATCACTAGAGGATTCCGTCGGTGTTGATGCAGAGGTAATGGACCAGCCAGTTTGACGCTCGATTTTGTGGACCGAAGCTATATCTCATTTAGACGCGAATACTAACGACACTGAATGGAAAAACTCACCTTTGAGATCACTGATATCTCGAGCGCTCCACCCGCGGCATTCTTCCTTGACCCGCTCGGCCTCTTGAAACTCGGCCATGTATTTGTCCCGCATTTCCGTGCCAGCTTCAATCGATACAGTTTTCTCGTGGATCTCATTCTGCAGCTGCTGAAGTTCACGTTTCTTGACTTCGATCTCATCATCAACATTGGACAGCTTCTCACGAGTTTCCCGAAGTTCATCCTGATCGCAGCTTTCCATCTCTTCCACCAATTGCTTAAGGTTATTTGCTTCATCCTCCAGCGAGGCATTCTTCTCCACTAGTGAAGGCACGGTCCTACTGAGAAGTTCCTCGCGCTTAGACAGTAATTCGTCATCTGCCTTCATGTCATCCACATGGCGATGAAGGCCTTGCATCAAACCCTCAAGAAGTTTCATACGCCACTCATACCACGTAGCTTTGCTGAGCAGCCGCGCGTGAGTCTTGACATTTCGGAACTGATTATCCATAATAACTCGAATATCTGGTGGAGCAGTAACATACTCTCGGAATAGAGGCGGATTCTCAGTGTATGTTTCTGCCTCAATGGATCGAATCACCTGTCGGCCCTCAGAGATGTACGACTTTAGCTCGCGGCAGGAGTGCTGGTACAGCTCAAGCATAGGGACTGTGCAGAATCCGGCAACCACACAATCTTCAAAGGTGATCGTGCCTGCCTTCGGGACATTCTCGCCCGATCGTCTGGACAGTCTCCTGGTAGCACTTCCAGGGGCAGTCGTGTGGCGTCTCTTCGTTGTCGTAAGTTCCATAAAGTGAATGTTGGTCATATTTAAAAAATCTTGAAGTTGAATTGGTTCGAAATCAGGATCTTGCTCTTGTGGATTGTCTTCTTCCGGCTCAGGTTGCTGAGGATCAGAAGCAAGGTGCAGGGCATCAACTCCCTCTTTCAGCGGAGTTGCTCCCGTCTTGGTGGGGGTTTGAAGCTCCGAAAGAGAAGTAGGCGTAGTACTGCCTTTGAGAGGCGAAGAGCTATGAGCTCTCCGAACGGGAGACAGGACCGAACGGCGGCTTTTCTCATCACCCACTGTTGGTGCCGGCAGCTTTACACCTTTCACTGGACTGACATCTCGACCGCGTAGTCTCTTGGGGGAATTTTCTGCTTCCGAATCGTCCATGTCAAGCTCGAGAGGACGCTTGCCCAGGATGCCAAGAGCAGCACCAACGTGAAGACTCTTTCGACTACCCATCCTATTCTTCTTCGGGCTCATGCTTGAGATCATATCTCTCAGGTTCGAGGTCACATCACCCTCTCCTTGAGATGGAGGAATATGACCATCTTCCCTCATTTCCTCTAGCTCGCGATCCCGCTCTTCATCCGCCTGCATTTTCAATGGATCTTCAAAGCGCACACCTCCACGCGGGCGTTCTTGCGGGGTAAATTGCGGAGTACCTTCGCCGAGAGAGGGACGCTCGTCTAGTATCGCAGCCACACGAGGGGACCCAAGACCTTCCTTATCAATCCCAAGCCCCGAAGAGCGGCGACCCTCCCGGGGTTGCAAGACGATACGGGGAGTGGATTGTCCGCCAGCCATATTCTGTTCGAATATGCTTTGACGGAGAGACTTGCGTCTTTCCGCAGACTTCTGAAGCTCAGGCCGAAACAGCTTCTTGGGCGAAGCGCTTCGAAAGCTCACATTGGCAGATGGAGGGGTCTTGCCAGGCGTAGTAGGCTTTACTTGAGGTGTTGACTGCTTAGGGGGTGTCGATAGCTTATTTGACGGAGACCGGCTTCGGGTCGCTGATGTTGGAGTTCCTGGGGTACTCTTAGCTGTAGAGCTACGTCGCGAATGCCGCGATCGGATGTTGGCCAGACTGGGACTACCACTCTCAGAGGCCACAGCGGCAACGTGGGAGAGGGGAGATTTTGCCGGCGACTTTGCCGGCGATTGTCGAACATTCTCTTGGAAAGGCGAACTACCAAGTTGCCCTGACTCTGACTCGAGTTCCATGAGCATCTTCGCTTGGTCTCTGGTTTGAGTTTGGAGTCCAGGTGGTAGAATACCACCAATCGCGCCGGTCATTTCCATGTCCATGCCTCCATCAGACTCGTCGTCTCTTTCAAAACCCATACGATCGGACTTAGGGGTAGTCGAACCCTGCTGTTGAGCATATTGTGCAGTTTGAACGGGTTGTCTGTTCAAAAGACCACCAACGGCTGCAGTAAACTCCATAGTCATTTCTTCGTCTTCGTTAATGTCATCGTCGTCGAATTGAGCAGTGTTGCCTTGCGCGATTCCTCCAACCATGGCAGTCATCTCCATTGTTTGATCGTCGTAGGTCGTTTCCTGGCCTAGGGATCTGCGGGGGGCGGCGCTTTGTCGACGGCCATTTCCCAGAATGCGCCCAATAGCATTAGTGACATCCATGCTGAGTTCTTCATCTATATCTCCTTCTGACTCTGCGTACTGTCCGGTGGATGTAGCCTTTGACGGATCAGTATTCTCCTGGTCAAGTCGAGAACTGATATCATCCCAATCAAAGCTTTGACCCTTTTTGATCCACGGCTGGAAAGCGCCTGTGATTTCTTCATCGGCAATCTCCATGGAAATATCTCCATTTCCGTCATCAATGAGCTGGGTTCCGGCTTCTCTCGCAGCTTGACGCAGTGCCTCGTTGAGTTTCGCACTGGAGCTAGAACTAGCGGTTGCATCCGACTGCATGCTTGCTGCAGAGCGAGAAGTCATATCATCCATACTCATTGCGGTGCTTTCGGCATCAAACCCGTCGTCAGACTCTGAAGAATTTCCATTTTCGTCCTCACCAGCCAAACTTTGCACTCCCGTGTCTTCACTTCCAGACACCGAGCTACCGCTGAAAGGACTAGAGGAAAGAGCTGCAGAGCCTTCATCTTCTCTAGAAGACCCGGGTTGGCCTCGAATATGTACCAGGTCTTGCTGCCGAACTGGTGAGAAGCCAAAGTCGGACTCTGCATCTTCATCTGGAGAGAAGGGTGCCTCTTTCTCTGGAGAAGGCTGAGGTTGCTGAGCCTGAGCGCTGGGAGTTGAGGAAGCACGTCTAGTCGAATTTGCGGCAGATGAGGAGGTCGACTCGTCGGGGATTTCAACAACGTTCCAAGTGTGAAGTGTAGCTTCGGGGGCAAACGAGACACGGCGATTTGCTATTAAAAAAGGATTTAGTATTTCGCCTTCTCCGCTTTTCAACTGAAAACGAACCCATTGACTTTCGTCGCGCCTCTCGTTTCTCTAGAATATTTTGGCGTTCCCGATCCTTGCGTTCTTTCTCGTCGCGTTCTTTGGTTGCAGCCATCTCATCGCGAATGGCCGATGTCGCATTGAAGGTATCAAATGGATTAGAAGTATCCTCTGGGTCTAAGACAGGAGGTTGAGGCGGGGTTGCAAAATCGATCAGAAGACCTTCTTGGTTTTGGATGTTGGTGTTTGCTTTCTGGTTGGGTGCATCTCGAGCCGGGGTGCGACGGCGAACTTCCTCGAATGATGGAATGTTCCGCACTGGCGAGACAGGGACCGTGGGCTTAAGAATAGATTTAAGGGGAAAGGAGGCCGTTGACTGGAAGGTATTGAGATCCATGTTATTCAATGCGATAGGCGGGGGAGAATAAGATTGTAGCTACCTTGCGACGGTTGCCATGTGAATTCTGTAGAGCATCAAGACCACCAGGACCCAAACTTTTACTTCGGGACTTCTTGTCCCTGGTCATAGATTTGCCGTTGGCTGCAAATGGTGGCACTGCTCCGATATCTGTTGTCGCATTCTCTTTATCCAGTCCAGACGTCATCTTCGACCGCGGCACATGGGCAATAGACCGACGAGAGCGCGGTCGTGTGGCCGCAGAATCTGGGCGAGAGGACATTATGGCGGCACCCACAAAGTACTAAGCAATCATTCAAGCATGCTCCGGAGACAGAGGGCGCGGCGTGAGAGCTAAGACGAAGCTTGTCGCATTCCCCTCTTGATAAAGCCGTGTAGTCCAAACACGCCCGCGCGCGTTCCTGAGCACGTGACTGTAAACAAAGCGGATGATAGCTTATGTAATAGGATAATGATTATATAATTAAAGCCCTAACCCGCTATGCACTAGTCCTGAATAGGGCTAGCGGGCACACACACAATAATCACCGCTCCAAACCTTTCGCCTTTAGCGAAACTTCCTGATTCTCGACGTCAAACCCGCCAATCTCTTCGACACCCGCTTCCTCCGTCGACAGGAAAACAACCGCAACCATGGCCACCGAGTTGAACGTCCAGTCCGAGCGCGCTTTCCAGAAGCAGCCTCACATCTTCTTGAACTCCAAGACCAAGGCCAAGTCATCCAAGAAGGCTGGTCAGAACCGCCGGTGGTACAAGGAGGTCGGTCTCGGTTTCCGTACCCCTTTGACCGCCATTGAGGGCAGCTACATCGGTATGCACGATCCACGATTTCTCCAATCGGCACGATATCTACGAAAATTTTGGTCTTTTTGAAGGATGGGAAGGGAGGCAAAGAACAGGGTGGACCCAGGGCTGCAAGAGCATTGATTGCAATTGTGCGACATCGATTGAACTATGCGACGACAATGTATTCGCTCCGACCAGCAACTCTGCTTTTGATTGCCACGACATATACGCCTCCATACCTTGAAAAAGACCCAAAGACCTCGAAGATTTATCAGCCGACCCAGGGTCAAGCCAATCGCTAATAATTTTCTATAGACAAGAAGTGCCCCTTCACCGGTCTCGTCTCCATCCGTGGTCGTATCCTGACCGGCCGTGTCGTCTCCACCAAGATGCACCGCACCATCGTCATCCGCCGCGAGTACCTCCACTACGTCCCCAAGTACAACCGTTACGAGAAGCGCCACAAGAACCTGGCTGCTCACGTTTCCCCCGCTTTCCGTGTTGAGGAGGGTGACTGGGTCACCGTTGGCCAGTGCCGTCCCCTCTCCAAGACTGTACGTTTTCACCCAACAAGAAGTCGATGAATTGCTGCAGCGACGTAGGGGTCATGTTCTGCATTTCTGGAGAACGCGACTCTTTCCATCCTCGGCACAGCACAGGCTACATCTGCATCATTTAGATCAATAACTAACTTCAATTCTCTAGGTCCGCTTCAACACTCTGCGTGTCCTGCCCCGCACTGGTAAGGCTGTCAAGTCTTTCGCCAAGTTCTAAGCGTTTGAAGAAACTGGGTGCTCGGAATGGACAAGGCGAAGGAAGCGGTTTGAACTGGATATAGAGGAATTTCGAAGGGGTCGGGATAGTTTACGAGTTTCCATGTCCCAGATACCTTGCTGAAGAATGTGTATCCACACAAAAAGCAAAAATATTTCATCGATCCTCCTGCTATGGAAACCCGTACGCCCGTCCCAGGCGATAAAGACCAGGACGGGTCTGTTCTCGATGCTACATTTAATTCTTCAAATCCGTGCTTTTGAGGCTGTGATTTGTACACTAGGAGGAATCGATATTTCCGTTTACTGCAAGTTTGGTGTCACGGATAGGACCTGTCCATTCTTGCTTCATCGTAGTATTAGTGTGGAACAATTGACTGGCAAGCGATGGTAAAGCAGTGTTGGATTACTCTCCAGACTCTTTTTGGCGTCAAGTATAAGGTGATATCAAACTACCGTGGGATACCAAATCATGCGAGTGGAGTTAAAATTCAAGGTGTCCAGCTTTGCTATTGCTACATCCATTTCATCAAAATTCACGGTCTAAGGCTCATTACCCTTTGTCTGATCCTTTGACAATATCAATCACTGATTTCTCTTTCGATCACCGCCGCTCAACATATAGTCTACAATTTGCTTGCCTTTCCATTTTCAAGCATAGTTCTCTGAAGGCGGCCAGCTGATGTCTCTCTCGAAGTCGATCGGAATCGGGGAAATGAGCATGATCTCCGCAGTTTGCTGGGCCCTATTTGTCGATGGCGTAAAGAGTTGAACATTGAGAGGTCCTCGTTCGTCCTGCATCATCTCTTCTTCTTCGAATATCTGACCCCAACGCCACGGTTCATCATCGTCAATGGAATCTTGGGTCGAGAATGGTGGACTGGGTGTATCATATCGACGAGCAGGGGCTTCTGGTGAAGCCGAACCAGTTTCCTGATAGGGGTCTTCACTTTCAGAGCTGTGGTCAAGATCACTTCGAGAAGGCGCATATGTTGATGCATCAGATGCGGATACCCTTTTGTAATTGAATGGTTCTCGGGGTCCAATCTCCATGTTGCTGATATCTATATCTTGAGCCCTGTCTTCGGCGACCTGGTCAAGGTAGCCGAACCTGTTGCTCACCCATGCTTCCTCAAATCTTTCTGCGACCAGGCCCACGTGTTTTGGCGGTACGTTGAGCAGGGTTGCCATTCTCTCCAGGGTCACACAATGGTTAGCGCCGGTTTTCAACTTTTGAGCAAGCTCTCGGTACAAGCTCGCTCCGCAAAACGAGTGGCTCTTGATAAGATCGAGCTGGAGGAATTCATTGATGTCTGAAAATTCACTTGCTATCGTTTCCAGATGAGTGATCTTAAACATGCATGAGATCGCGGCTTGAGGAATTTTTCCCCAAATGAGGTATTCCCCATAGCCTTTCCAGTGAGGTGTTTCGGTTTCGGTTAGCAGCACCAAATTTGAAGCTTTAACAACCAGGGTGTTGATTTCCGATGTATCGATGATGGCAACAGTGGCTCCCTGTTTGTTCCAAAGGGCCCTGTGGATAGGTGTGAGCGGAAGTCGGGATGCTGATATGAAGGGTGACGAGATCATTGCTTTGGTCACATGGCTCTTGAAGAATTGAAGGTATTGCTTGCGGGTGAGTTTATCTACATCAATGCCGGTCTTTTCGTCCTTTTGGAAGAGCCCTGCCAGGAAGCCTTTTCGTGAATTTAATCCCTGGGAATCAAAATTCGACCACCTGAACAAAAGAGGTGGTAATTCGTCGACGGAACAGACTCCAGGGAGACCTTCCTCGTCTTTCGAGTCCGTCTTTGGAGTGAAAAGTCTCGCAATGTCTACATCGTCAGGGAATGTGTCTATTTCCATCATATCAGGGGATAGTCGTGTCTCGTCTTCGGAGCAGACAGCTCCTTCTCTGTAGCACCAGAGACAAATATTTCCATGGCTGTTGACGAGACGCTCTTGTTCTTGTCGAAGTGACGGTTGGGGAGGCGAGGCCGGCGTTACAGTCTCATTTTCACTGCCTTGCTGCTCTGTGTCTTGTTGATATGATGGCCCATGAGGCAGGCTCGGTGTTACAGATTGATTCTCACGCTCAGGTCGTGTTCGTAATTGTTCAGTCGGGCAAGTCAAAAAGCTGGGTGGAGTCTGGTCCTATGAGTGCAGAATTAAATTAGATTGGAATTAGAGACCTGGTATTCATTTCGACTCTCACCGACCAGAGAATGGACTCTGCATATCCATTCAGGTTTTTTCAAGGTCAAAGATTTGTAGCTTCGACTTGTCGATATCGTCTCGGGGTTTCTCATGCAAAAAGACTCCCAACTTTCCGGCAGCTTCTCTGATAGTGTCAATGCAAGTCTTCCATTCAGCATCAGTTCGAAATTCGGTGGCGAGATGAACATGGTACCACACGGGATTCATCTCCAGCCTCATTCCCGACCATTGGGTGTGCAACAGGGGATACGCCAAATTTGTTCGAAAGCCACGGTCTGCCAGGTGTTGTCTAAATATCTCAGAAAACACTCGACATAGTGTTTCTTTTTTCTCCCAAGAGAAAAATCTATAGAGACAACATAGTACTTGCCGTTTTGTCGTGTCCCAGTTAACCTTGGGTTTCTTGGGGGTTCTTTTCTTGGCCATTTTGGGACGTGAGCGATATGGTCTTCGAATCGCCAGGCTGACTCGTTCAGTGATGAGATAGGGGACAAGGTAAAGTTTCAGGCCGATGAATGAAAAAGGAACAAAGTGTATTGGAAGGGAAGGCGGTGGTGTCAGTAAGTAAAAGACTCAAACGTAAAAATCAAAACAAATAGCAGACAAAGATAAGGATTTTGAGACGTTCCACACAAGGCCTCTGCCCAGGTGGACTTCAGTACCTACCTAGATAGGTTTGTAGAGATTAGCCTTGGGACAGCATTGTACAGTAGGCTGTTGATTTTTCTGGTGCTTATATGCTGTCAACTATCCTCATTTGACCCTTCCTCGGGAAGTATATATCTGATATATAATGTATAAGTACTTGACCTCGGGAGTCCAAACATTTGTATGGCCAAATCAATCCATTTTGACTGTCCATGCTAGAAGATAACTTCCTTTCCAATCTTAAATCTAGATTGCTAGATCCATTGAGCATAAGTCATGTATACTATATCAAGTGTATAACTTTCGGCATTACCGACGATCCTCGTGCTGTCAAATTACGCTATACCTGATCGGGCCGCAACGAACCGGTGCAAGCTCCCGCCCACGTCTCAACCCTTAGGACTTTACTCTCCACCCTCTAGGTTCCCCCCCCCCATTATCCTTACCACATCTCTGTCCCCCTCAAGTGCTTGTTGACGAACCCGTTTGGTCCTGGAAAAGCGTTGTCATTATTGCCTCAGGCTTCCGTGATGGCTCAATGAGCCACCCCGTCGGCGATACCGGTGTTGATTGAGGATCCACACGGCTCCTTACCAAGGCATTCACTTCTGAAGCGGGCTCTTCAGTTTCTCTTACACAACCCTCGGATTTATATCCTCCAACACGCGCAATTGATTTTAAGTAAAGAAGTGGACACGGACTAGGAATCCCGAAGACCATGACCGGTTTCGAGAAGTCCGTCAAAGGGGCCACCAAGCTCAAGGTGCGTGTTGCCGATCTACCCCACGCAGTTCCTACGCATACTGAGACCTAAATTCCCTTACAGCTTGCGGCTCCCAAATCTAAATATGTCGAAACTATCTTGGTGGCGACCCATACTGGCGAGGCGGGTGTCGCGGAAGTTTTCCGAACACTTCAGCACCGACTTCGCGACTCAGCGTGGACAATTGTGTTCAAAGCGCTGATTATCGTTCATCTCCTCATTCGCGAGGGCCAACAGGATGCCGCACTCAGCTACCTTGCCGATAACCCGAAGAAGATTGCGCCCAGTAATTTCTCTGAAGGTGAGACTCCCTAGCAATCCAATCTGGGGAGACAGTGTGTTAACGAGGTGCAGCGCAATCACAGGGGCGTAATATCCGTCGGTACGCCGAGTATCTTATTACACGCGCAAAGGCGTTCGAAGCCACGAAGACAGACTACGTGCGAAGCGGCCCAGGGCGCCTGAAGCGATTAAGTGTGGACAAGGGTCTTTTGCGGGAGACGGAATTTGTACAGAAGCAGATCCGGGCATTGCTGCGGTGTGATGTGGGTAAACCCCTTGGCGCAGATATGACTATTCAAACTAATGTGCCATAGCTGTTGACCGATGAGCCCGAGAACGAGATCAGCTTGACTGCTTTCCGCCTTCTGACCCTCGACCTCCTGGTTCTATACTCTGTTATGAATGAAGGAACAATCAATGTCTTGGGTATGCTCTACAAGTCCAACTCAGATCTACCTGCATTCTGACCTTCAACAGAACATTACTTTGAGATGTCAAGGCCGGATAGTGAACGTGCTTTGGCCATTTACAAAACATTTACCAAACAGACAGAAGAGGTAGTCGGATTTCTTGGAGTCGCAAGGCACTTCCAGTCCGCCACTCGTTTGGAAATCCCCAAACTCAAACATGCGTCTACGGACTTAGCGCGCCTCCTTGAAGATGATTTAAATGACCCGGACTTCGATCTCCGCCGGAGAGAATATTTGAGCGGGAAAGGAATCAAGCAAGAGGGTCGTGCTCCGCCTGCAGCATCGGCTTTATCCAGTCAAGCAATTGCGCCCCAGCAACAGCAACAGCAACAGCAATCTGCACCGCAACCCGCACAGCAAAAGCCGCCACCATCGGATCTGATTGATTTCTTTGACTCGATTGAACAGAACCAGCAGCCTATGGCTCAACAAGCACCGGCGCAGTACCAGCAGACTGGATTTCAACCCCAACAGCCCGGATTCCAGCAGCCTCAACAGGCGTTCTATCCGCAACAGACAGGTTTCCCACAGCAGCAACAACAGCCGCAGATGACAGGGTATGGCGCACAAATCTACGGTGTTCAGCAACAAAACACCGGCAATCCGTTTGGACAACCGGCGCAGCCGCTTCAATCCACGCCGACTGGTGCTGGATTTGGGGGCTACACGCCGCAACCACCGCAAGCACAAGCATATGGATTCCAGTCGCAACTGGCCCCGATTCCGCAGAATGCAATCCCCTCATATCCCCAGCAACAACCCATGCAGAATCAGCAGGCACTGCAGCCACCATCCACACCCACCAACCCTTTCCGCCAGTCAATGTTGATGAACCAGAATACCGGCGGTGCCCCTGCCCCTGCCACCCCGCTGCAACGGCAGAACACCAATCCCTTTGCCAAGCGAATCGCCGTGGCCGCACCCCAGTCAAACTTTGGTGCTGAACCCGTTCCCCAAATGCCCCAAGTGTCGTCAATCCCTCAACAGTCACCTCAATCGCTTCAGCCCCAGCGGACTGGGACCAACCCCTTCGCTCGACCCGCGGTCCCGACTCAAACCACTGGGTTGCAACCCCTCCAGCCGACTCCTACGGGCAGTACAAATCCTTTCCGTCAAAGCCAATTCATCCATCAACAGACCGGACAAGGGTGGCAAGCGAGCGGACAAAATGGTACGATGGGTGGGTTAGAACAGTTGGAGACCGTGCCCATCTTCCCGCGACCGGGTATGACCTAGTTTCCACTTTACATAACCTTATGCATTTCTATCATATTTTTTTCTTTTTGTAATTTCAATTAATCACCATCATGACCTAATTTTCAATGGTCGAATCATTGCGTTGCAGAGCAATAGAGTACATTTGCATATGATATGGACATGACCTTATACGTGATGTGCGCACGTGGAACGAAAAGCTGATCATAGATGGCAGATATACGTAAGGGGCTAAAGTAACAAAAGTACATTGTTCATTTGTTAAATCCACTACGGAGTACTCCGTGCGTAAGTACGGAGAGTTGCAAGTATTTCATTTCGGGTAAAAGGTGCATCAAGCGTTGGTCGAATCCAATCTTTAGCTTCTTTGGTGGATCCGATTGGGCCCATAGGAGTGTATCCACTGGAAAGTGCTGCTTCGAGTAGTCTGGCCGCTGCAGATTATTAGTTGAAGCGCCACCAAATGCAATACCCAAGGAGATCAGTTTGACTTGTTCCACTTTTAAGCGAGCTGCGAAAGAAAGAGAAAAAAAAGTAGGAAAGTTGGGATAATACACTACGTATAACTGTCTCCAAAGTACAAAAAAAGTGGAAATCAAGTTGGAGTCAGAATACAAGGTCGAGACCTTGAAAGATTTGGGTTAAGTTTTGATTCCAAATCCTTTCGTACCGGGTTTGCCCTTTTCAAGATCTTGAATCTTGAGTTGTTCTGGAATTCTGAAATTCCCCGGGTAATGAGGCGCAGCGCATCAGCGGTATGATTCGTTCTTTGGTATAGAAATTCATCCATATATTTTCGAGTACAACTTGATTTCTACCCCGCTGATCCCCTGGAGAACCTCTCCCCATCTCCTTTCCAATTCCACTCGTATCATGCCCAAATCATTTCACGGCGACGAATCTCTCCCCGTGCGATCTGGGCCACCGGCTCCGCCATCGCCGAGCGATCCGATCCCCCACATTGACCCTGATACCGTTGCTCCCGCCACCCCGACAGAGCTCTCCTCCACTTCAGCGATTGCGCCACCAGAACCAGCGCCAGCGCCAGCATCAGCGCCGACTTCCGAATCACCGCCTGTTCCAACTGCAAATGATCGCAATGTGCCAAAGGTCCGCAAGCCTCGCAAGGCCGCCAACACGGCGGTCAAGTCAACATTATTCTGGGTCAATACGGATCTGGATACCGCGTCAGCTGGGAAAAGGGATGAGACGTTGAAGCGCATTCGATCGCATGTCATGTCAGAGCATAATCGCAAAAAACGATTGGAAAATACAAAACGATATAAAGGAAAAACCTTCAAACACCTGCCCTTCAATCCGCCAGATCAAATCCCAGGTGTCGGACCGCCTCCGCCTCCGGTACTCTCACCCCCGTTATCGGCGTCCTCGACTCCAAGCTCGAACAATAGTCGCAAGGTCTCGTATGCCGTGGAACAAGATACAAACCAGGATTTGGTTACAACACAAGGGAGACGTTATTTCTCGTCTGTGTCGTCGACAGAATTGTTGGAGGATGGATATGATGGGATGGGTTACCAGAATAGGGTTCCGCAAATATGGAGTCCTTTGGGATCGGGGGCTCATGACCCTTTTAATACTGGACATACTCAGCTTACGGACCGGATGATGCGGCATCTGCAGAACTGTTAGTTCACCCCAGGGCATTACCTTGATAGGAAGGATCGCTAACCTTGTCATAGTTCTCTGGGATTTGACGCAAGAGGCACATCCATTGCAGAGACGGTATAAACCTAAGTTGCAAGCGCATTGGGCCTCCTTGATTCAGCGAGACCCGGCTATTCTACACGCGACAATCTGCATGTCCACTTCCAATGCGGCCATGCAGAGAGGCGAGTTACCTCTGAGAGACCCAGATGCCAACGTACAGCGTCCTCCTCTTGTCGTTGATACTATACATCACCGCGGTGAGACCATCCGCCTCGTCAACGAGGGATTGTCAGATCCTGTTAAGGCCTCTAGTGATGAGCTCATTGCTGCGGTGTCAACATTATTGACCATTGAGGTGAGTGCCATGTGGATTGTCAGGTGACAGTGACTTACAAGTCCTAGATTGCATCTGGCAATGCCGAATATATGAAGATCCATCTGGCTGGTTTGCGACAGATGATCGGACTGCGCAACAACTTTGCGGACGTTCTCCCGGATATCCGCTTTCAGATTTCATGGTTCGTCAGGCCTGTCGTAGCCGGCAGGTAGTTTGCTAATAATGACCAGGACTGATATTCGAGTCGCTTGCATGACAATGGAAAAGCCGATATTCCAATTTGTCCGAGCTACACGTCCTGAAGGATTCACGCTCCTTCCACCCACGGAAGATGCCGCATTACTTGCAACCCGCCTAGTCCCCCTGATCGGAGTCACCGGCATCTTCAGCGAAACATTCGCTAAAATAATTTACGACCTCCACGAACTATGCTGGTACGCAGAATGGGTCAAGGGAAATAACGGATACAAAGAATTCAGCGACGAAACTGAAGATTACTTCAACTTCGAGGTACTCTCTGTAGAGTACTCCCTGCACCAAGACCGATTTCTTCCCACCGGCGAACCGAAAGGCGACAACTCCATCGAGGGCTGCTGCCGCCTAGCCTGTCTATGCTTTCACAACAGTGCCATCTGGAACTTCTACCCGATGATAGCTCCGCTTCTCCCGAAACCAATCTTATGCCTCCGCGCCGCCCTGGAGAAGACTATTGCATCTGGACTGTTCGTGTTGTGCCGCGACCTGCTGATATGGCTACTTTTCATCGGTGCATCATGTAGCCAAGTCATGCCTGCTGAGCGCAACTACTTCATCACCGAGCTGGCAACAGCAACTCGTCTGCATGGCGTGACTTCATGGCAGGAATGTCGAAATATCCTGCTCGGCTTCTTCTACACCGATCGTGTCCACTTGCCTATGTTGCGCCAGATCTGGCAGGAAGTCCGGGTGCAATCGCAGTCACCTGGTATGTGAGCTTTATACCCATACCCGATGATTTGGACACTGTCTATTCCATACAAACGTATATAATATACCCCTTAGTACATAATAACCATCTCTCTTCATGAATTACAATATCGACTGTTGAAAGTCTGGATTGATTTTCTAGACGCTTATCTACTTAACTTGACTTGGGATGAAATAGAATGGAGCGGTGAGCCCGCCAGACTAGTGACTAGTTAGTTATACACCGTCTTCTTTGGTGCGAGGTCCTTGGCCCGAACAATGGTCCACCGTTAAATAACCGAAAGCTCAGCTTCCATGAATGCAGCATATGCAGAGAAAAATATGAGTCTCTCGTAATATCCATAATCCTCACATTTGAAAGAAAGAAGCCGAATCAATAGTGATAACATAAAAAGTTCGTGTTTAAACAATACCAACCCCTGAGCCTCGTATACCTCGAATCCCGAAGCCCTCGTGTACTTCGAATCCCGAAGCACCACCGAGTTTCAGCCGGGTGGATGCCGGCACAAACTCGGAGTCAACAATAGAAATTGGAATAGAAATAATCCCTCATCCTCAAGCTCAACTATTTTCATTTCGTTCTATTCCAACTCACAAGACAGTTCCTTCATCCCCTTCCAATTCCTTCTCTTCTCGTTGTCTGTCACTTGGGAACTACCGAACCGAACATTCAATATTTGGTTGAACTCGGCATTTCCGATGAACAAAGTTGCACTAGACGCCAAATTAACGCCAGAAATCTCCCCCAAACCAATCCTGTCGGGCATAGGAATATGCGGCGCAAAAGAGGTCGGCTATTCTCCACTTGCTGGGAGCTGACTTGTTCGCAAACATGGAAGGCGTTTGTGTGGGGGATATAGCATATTCCGGATTCCGAGTTGATGGAGGAAGTTCTTGCAGGGGCAGGAGTATCTTCCTCTTTACCTACTTACTCGATATTCTACAAGAGGTTTCCAAGCATCCACAGGTACAAGCATACAGGTACGTGACGAGAACAAGATCATTATAACATAAGATGCATTATTAACTAAGGGAATACAAAAAGGAAACAATAGAACCGCATACGATCCTCAATTATATACCCAAACCGCAGAAGCAAGCTTCCAGCAAAGCTGCAAGGCTTTGGAATTGTCCCACTGCACGCTCGCCTTCCTGACCAAAGATCACACGGAACAGCAATATGCGGACATGGCACAGCCAAGTTACTCATAACGACCAAAAGCACGAAATTCCAACGAGCCGAACATTTTGTCCAAAGAACCACCACAACTGCACAAATTGTACAAGACGGGATCGGGTATCAAAAATTACAAGCGCACTTCACGCATCCTATCCACGGGGAGATATTTATGCCATCTCCGCGTCGGTCTTCTGACTCTGACGGCGGCTACGGCCGGTGGGGGACCAGGGGAAGTGGATAACGGGACAGATGAAGAAGCTGTTGCTGGTATCGGCGATACCGGCCAGAGCGTTGTACCAGGCGGCGAATGCGGCCAGGAGACCGAAGAGACCACCTGCTTTGGCGATCTTGGGGTTGGCAGCAGTACCTCCTCCCTGTAGGTAGGCGATACCGAGCAGGAGGAAGGTAATGTCCAGGAAGAAGAAGAGCAGGAAGAAGGCGACGGTTGACTTCAAGGTACAGAAGACTAGGATGGTGGTGAAGATGAACCAGCCCTGATTCAATTAGTTGGGAAGGTGAGAGGAAAGAAGAGGAAGACATACCATCAAGAAGAGACCGAAGGAATAGTTGAAGTTCTTGGTATCTGCACCACCTAATTCTGTGGCAATCTCGAACCCGCCCGGGGTCAAGACGATGGCGAATGAGAGCCAGAAACCGCCATACGAAGACAGAGCAGTGGCACCAAAGGTGTTACCGACAGCCATTTCCCTGCGACATCATTAGCACACTTTCTATTGAGGACAGACGGAGACAGAAACACAAACATACCACATGCCAGCCAGCAGCTGGACCAGACCACCATAACCAAAGGCCAAGGCGACGACAATGTTAGGCGCAGTGATATCAGCAGCACCCATGTTGATAGCACTCAACACGAAAGTGGTGAGAGCGAAAGCGCACAGACCCAAAGGAGCAGGGTTACCGAACTTGCGGCCCTCAACCGGCTTGTACAGACCAGGCTGGAACTCACCACCGAATGGACGAAGGAGACCCTCAGTGGTATTGACCTGAGCGAGAGGGCCATATCCGAAACGGGCAGCGGCGCGGGCGACCTCGTGCTCGTGGGTCAATTGAGGGTGAACGGGAGCACCATCAGTGGATTGCTGAGGAGCAATGCCACCCATGTCCTTCTCGACAGCACCGTTGTGGGACTCGGCGGCGGAAGACATGATGAATCCTGATTCTAATTTTTTTAGGAATTTGTTTTTCTTTTGTGGAGGAAATGGAAAGCGTGATGGGGCGTGAAACGTTAAAAAAGGTAAGGGGAAGGGTAAGTATCCAGCTCGCTGGATAAAGCTCCGGTAACACAGTTACACGAGAAGAAGAATGATCAAAGGGGCCAAACAGCACTGCTGGGCGTGAAAGATGGGCAGGGGAAAAGGTCAGGGAGGTGGCAAGCTAATATAACATTTTGGTTCGGCTCAAGCTTCAAGCTTCTCGGCTTTGACGCTAACAGGCAAAATGTTCATGGGGAACAAGAACCGCTGTTCCGAAAAAAAAAAAAAAAACAAATTCGGTTGGGACAAAAGGAAGTTAAAGTGGAGAAATCGACTTACCCGCTTTACAGAAAAGCTCTCAAATCAAATGATATGCAGGATTCGGTCCCACCAAGAGGTTCAACTTAATTGGAATGGAAGTGGACCAAAAGATGAAGATCAAGAACAGAACAGAGAGCCAAGCACAACCAGGCACCTGGGGGGAGGTTATATGTTTCAAGGTTGGTACTTTTACTCAATTATCCCTTTTATCCATTGATATTAATTTTAACGTGCAGCATTGGAAGGGGACTGTGTTCTAGTGGATCCGTGGAGAAAAATACGAAATAAACTGGGCACGGAGTTAAGGATAATGACAAAGTCAATGGATCCGGGGGTTTAACTTGTTTGATGTCACCAAGTGATTTTCACTTTCCGCCACTCAATCAATTGGAGTAAGTGGGTCCCATCCATTCACACAGGGTCTTTTCATCTCTCTGCTGACCTTGTACCAAGTACCATGGGTAACTTCCCATATCCGTTGATTCCTAACGGGGTAAAGGCACGGACTTGGGTGTTCTCAAACGTGGCAAAAATCCCAGCTTCTGGGGTGAACCGCTTGTTGATCTTTGGACCTAAAGTCAGCCACAAGCCCACTTATCTCCAATTATTCTGTGTTAGCAGATACTGTATTGGCCTTCATGATTAACATGTTCATGTTCTATTGACTTCACTACTGTACAGTACGGAGTACAGATGCAGATCATCCGGCTAATATGACAAAGGCTTGGCAATTTACGCACCAATGAATTTCCACCAATTCCTCGATACAGGAAACTGGACTGAGCCGCTCCCCCACTCATAACCGCAACAATCCGCCCCTTTTTGGAGTCTCGGGTCGTACAATACAAGCACGGTTCACAGTGGACCTATCATTGCATGACACCAAACCAAACTAATCAATTATTCCCACCGCGTGGGGTTCTCAAGATGTCTTCGCCCACACTTGAATCCTCGTTAAACCAGTGAGTGCTTGTTTCATGAACACGGCTTACAGTAGACCTTGATAGAGGTATGTATCAAGCCCACTGACCCCCATTGAATAGACTTTTATGGCGCCTCCGTCGTGGCAGTGAGAAGCATCGTTTCTGCTCGCGCTAAACCATGACAGGCCATCTCCCCGTCCCACCTGCCGTGCCAAATACACTAATCTATCTGATGGGTCTTTTTCACCGCTTTTTTTTTCATTTTTTTTTTTTTTTTTTTGACTTGCTTTTCTCTGCGAGGAGCTACAGCTTTGACACGCATGTCAGTGGAACATCAGTGGAACGCAGCTCTCAGCACTCCACACCAGCCGAAAAATGGCTATGTTTCCTTGGAAACTGTGGTCCCAAAGCCCGCTAGCTAACTAGTTAAACGTGGGTTTTGTGTCTCACTCTCGGACTCGGCCCGTGTCGGGTCCCATTTGGACTCTGACGGCTTAAGTATCAGATCGATTCACATGCACCACCGAGAAACCGGTCTGTAATCTACGGGGCATATCTGTACGACCAGGAACGATGCACTGATACATTTAGGAGTATGGATACTCTACACGTTCGTTCGTGGCACTGCGGGTATTCCGCAGAATGGGTATCTATCCCGTGCCTAGGGGACACTGCAGAATTGATTTTGGCCCCATCTAACGCACAATCTTACTGTACGGCGTAGCTCGGAAATAAGGTGACCTGCAGCAGAAATTGGGATTGGCTTGACTGGGCCGTCTTTCTGTAGGGTTGATCCACGGGCACGCTGATTGACGGAGTTTCTTGGCCGATTTTCCTACGTGCATTAGTGGCGCATGAGCTGTCGCACGCATTCAAAAGTGTCTTACAAGCGATTCATTTTAATCATTTACGATTAATTAACTCCGTACTATACAGTATTTGTTCATGTTTCATATTTCATATTTCATATTTCATATGCAGAAACAAAGAATAAGGTTGGACTCCACATGTACATCACCACAGGTTCGATTTTCCAATAATTGAGATCTCGTGCAATAATCCAATACACCATCCACCATTGACCGCCACATTGCGTACCCATAGGATTCTCATATAGTATCAAGATCCCATGGCCAAAATACAGTAGCTCCCTAAACCTAAAAAGCAGGCCATGAACCCCGGGTCTGCTGGTAAGTGCGGGGAAACCTTGTCGCAGCCCTGCAGTCATCATTACAGGATCGGATCCTGATTCATGCTCGAGCAGATGAGATCCCCGCATAAGTAGTTACTGTGTTCAGTTAAAGGGGATGTGGACTTGGAGAAGTGTTTCCCCACTCGAGCATCTGAACATCTGACCTCGGTGCGGGGGATCCGCAACTAACTTGATTGTGCTGACGAACCAATTGTCAGCATGATCCGGACCGACGTCAGCAGTTCTAGAAAGCTCTGCTCTAGATGATCCTCGGTAAAGAGATGCCGAGAAGGAACATTCCTCAACCGTGGAATCTCCAAATCTGGTTCTGTTCCCGGTTTTTCATCCCCGCATTTCGTCTCCGGACCGGCGGAGCGGAAATCATGGTTCTTTCCCTAACTTGGATCTGAGAGTCACTCGATCACTGTTCGTGCTCGGATCCGAGGTTCGGCTTTTGCAGTGAATATGCAGTGTAGATCAAGTTCATCTTCATAGGATCTCAAAGAAGAGTCGGTTATGAGATCGTGTCTCTACAGGTATGTTTATGATCACAGCTGGGCTTATTGATCAGCTGACTCTTGAGTTGAATATGTTTGATCGGGACAAATAGTAATATAGTCTTGATTCTTCCAGGTTGCTTCATGGCCATGAAGAGCAGTGATATCAACAGAACAATCCATCATGACGACCTTAACGATACCCATTGGGCGGTCGTTTATTACAGGTACAGTACCATACAGGCCCACGTTATAATATCATCTCAAAGCTCATTAGCCCAAGATTTCGAGACCGATTAAGTTATGGGTGGCGTTAACTAGTATGTACGTAAGTTGGACTAAATCTCACAGAATGATTCTTCTTCATGCTTAACTTATTGGATATCTCTTGTAATGTACATGACCGAAAGTAGGGGATAAAGTAGCCCTGTTGCGTATCTCATAATTTTGAACCCAACGCCAGAAAACGACAATGATGACATGCCTGTCAACGGTGGATCAGACGTCGAACCACACCCTTATCATCAAGAAGGACCTTGGAGCCTCCACGGTGTAGACGGTCACTCCTCACATTCAGGTCTGCCTCTGCCCAACGCTTGAACTCCGTTGGACCATCAGACCACACCGGGCTTTTAGGACGAATATGCTGAAGCGAAAGAAACCAGTTCTCACTGTCACTTTCCGGCTCACAAATCTCTGGAGAAGCTGGGATTGTTTCAGGGAGTATGGCCGGTGTCGGCCTGTCCTCTGCGTGGGACGGAGCTCTACTAGAAACGAAGGTTTCATCGCCTAGCTCAACGCTCGCAGTTTCGTGGAGGGTATCTTCATCCTGGTCGACGTCCTCGGGGTCGGTTTCTGGAATTTCCTCCATGTCGATGTCGATGTCGTTCGCTTCCACTTCCAATTTGGCTTCAACTTCGTGTTCCAGTTCGGACTCCACTTCGGATTCCACTTGGGATTCCACTTCGACTTCAGCTTCGACTTTCACTGGGGCGATGGAAGTTTGGGCCTCCACCTGGGTGGAATAATGTCTGTTTGACTCCAAGGCAGGAGTGTTGGAGGCGGGCTTTACTTGAAAGGCATCTTGAGAGAATATCTGGGAGCTGTCGATATAAATGGGGTCCGCTGCAGATCCCTCGCATTTGATTTCCGGAGAAGAGGCGTTTGCGGGGCGTTTGAGGTAAGGGAATTGGATAGACGTGTCGGCTTGAGAGAGGCCATTGAATGACTGGGCTTGAAGATTTGTAAACTTTTCCACTAGACTGCTCGTGAAAGAAATATCCAGAGCAGGATCTCGGGTATGTGCTGGAGCTGGATTTGATGAATTGCTCGCAGCTACAGGGTTTTTTTCATCGGGAGTGAATTGTGATGCTGCCAAATCAATCCCACGTGCTGTCAAGCTACGCTTCCTGAAGAAAGGCCGTGAGAAGTTCTCGAAAAAGTACTCTTCATAGCTGAGTGTTTCCGAATCCTGTGATGAGATCTTTTCAAGATATCGAGGATAATTTGTGAGATGCTTGGTGACAAAATCATCCCACAAAAATGACCTATGCAGTTTTCCTTGCTGGCGCACGGCATGTAACATCCCACACAATTTTGTAAAATGATCAAAATCTCCAGAATAGGAGGGATAATCACTGCAAAACTTTCGGTATACTTCCCGGGCTTCAGCGTACGTTTCTGTATTGTTGACGAAACCCCGTCGGCGAGCTACCAAGGAAGAGCTTTGAGTATTAATATCTTTGACATCGTCTTCTTCGATGTCTCGTGGAGATTTATGAGACCCTCCTTGCGGTGATTGATTGGTTTGGTCGGTTGGAGTTGGACGAAGGTCATCAATGCGTGGGAGGGAGGAAAGAGGGGCCTGAGAACGCGCGGGCTCGTTTGGAGCATGATCCATTGTCACAGGATTTCGGGTTGGCTCACATTGCTGGGATTCAGTGGGTCCATGATCGTTCTTTAATGCAATCGGCGATGGCCGAGTCGCAGAAACAGAAAAGTCTTGGTGACGTTGAGCTGGCCCTGAGGAATCAAGCACAATATCTGACTGATAATTATTTGTGACATTCTGCGACTGTTGTGATTTCCATGGAGAGGCCACGCTGCTAGCTGGCAGCTGGGTCCCAGGGACGTCCACAGGGATAACCCTTTCTTGGCCCTGTCCAGAGGGAGTTGGGGCTTCGTGAGAAGACTGACTCTGTTCATGGGTTGTATGAAACGGATATGTATCCAAAATAAGGGGTTGAGAGGATGTTTTCATCTGAGAAGAGGACGGATCCGAGCTCGGGAGCCCGCCTTCGCGTGGCTCTGGATTCAAATTGTGATGTCTATTGCATCCCAAGACTGGGGTGACCGCAACTTGCACAGATTCTCCATTCACAGCGGGAAGGGATGGACCTGAGCTTGTCAGGCCCTCTCCAAACTGACTGGACTGTGTGGGGTCTGGAATTTTTTCTCCGAGCGCAAAAGGCACGGACGTGTCCATTACAGACTCGTCATCCGAATCATCTTCTTGCGCATCGACAGTGGTTCTCAGATTGGTGGAAGGAGTGGGTGATCTCAAACTTATTCCTTCTGGCGGCGCTAGAGTAACAGATAGTTGCGAGAGGATTTGACGATTCACTTCCTCATTGTCTGAGGAGCCAGAACGAGCAGATGGGGTCTCCGACATTTGCCTGTCTCCCGTTGCGGTTTGCCCCGGAAACTGAGAGCTCTCGGCTCTATATGCTTTCGGAAGATCTCGGACGACTGCATTGTTGGCTTGTTCAAGTCCACTGGAAATAATGTCATTTATCGGGCTAGGACTTGGTTGCTTTCTTCTGGCCCTTTGAACGACAGGGCTAGACGGAGGAAGGTCGTTATGAGGAAGTCGTGGAGAGGGTTCAGGAGATGAATTCCACTCCTCACTATAATGCTCAGTCGAGTCACTAGCGACAGACGAGGTGTCACTCTCCTGGGGGGTGGCGAGGGATCTTTCTAAGATAGCCTTACGCTCTTCCGCCACATGATGGCGCCTTTCCACATAATTATTCCACATCTTTAGTAGCGAGGGTGGTACATGCCCTTGGGGCATGGGCTCACCTGTACGGGGTGGAACCCAGCATATACTATCACTCTCAAGAAGCTGTCGCTGGTCTTTTGGAATATTGAAATCGTCTTCCGTGATACTCTCCCACGGATTGGACCGGGGTACCACAGACTTATGAGAAGAAATTGGAATAGGGACAACAGTGACTGGCTCCTCAGGATCAAATTGAGCCAAGTTATCCGTCTCTTTGGCCAACTTTTGCTTCTTCGTAGCCGGGATATGCTCCCTTGACCTGCGGCTCTTGTCCTCATCACCGCCTGACTCAGATAGTCCATCCGAGCTTTTTCGTTGTCGCTTCTTGAGGGGAGACTGCATCACGTTGCATGAAGGTGACACTGCCTTAATATTTGCCTGAGTTCGTATAGGGGAGCCATGGGCACCTGGACTTGTGTGTAACTCGTCTTCATTCCTAACTTGAGAACAAATAGAACTTTGACGTGAAGTTGATTCCGGGGAGCGGTTTAAGATTGGCGATTTGGCCTTTGCCGAGCCATTATCTGCTTTCGAGATTGGCTCGATTTGCCGTGTGTTCCGCCTAGTGTCAGGATCACCCTCTTCCGGGCCTTTCGGAACAGTTTGATCTTGGGTAGTATGCCGTGACTTCTTATTTGAAGTTAGAAGAGATTTGGGCCCAAGATGCTTGAGCAGCTCCATTGCCCCATATGAACGAGCGGGTACTTCCTTCGACGTGTATTCTAAGTGATCGGGATTACAAGGCGGATCGCGAGGCACTTGGGAGTAGATCTGCTGGGATTCCATGCCCCTATTCAAGGGATCGCCCTGAGATTTCTTCGGCGTTTGACCGGAAACTCCCGATGTTGAGGTCCTGGGTTTAGTAGAGTCGACAGCCTTAGACAAGCCTTGAGCCTTGTCGTATACCTTGCCCAACAAAGCCTTGATGTTTTTGTCCTTTCGAATCTTCTTCCTTGGTTGAAATGCACTGGCTTCCTTGCCCCATTCGATTTGGAAATCATTGATGAAAAGTTCAACATCGGGTGGGTATGTTGTATGAGTAACGACTAGCTTAAAGTCTAGAAGTTTGATCAAACGCCTTTTGGGGTTGGCAGGTATCGGATTTGTAGTTGTAAGATCAGGCTTGTACACAGGTAGTCGATCTGTGGAAATAATGGTATCGATCTGGAGCTCGGTATCCATCAATACTGCACGGTCATCCGAGGGTCCCATACCCCACTGGTAATCGAAGAATATCAGCACTTTGTCAATCATCCATTGGAAATGAGCTTACCTCTAACACAATTGCTGTATGGTGATGCCCATGATTTTGGCGTCGGAAGCTTAGACTGGTCCCATTATCTTCCACTTCAATATCATCCTGGCTGGTCTGGTCCAGGTAGACTGGCAGCACCTGCTGGATGAATGGTGCTATCCAGGATTCCGAACTCATAGTGCAATTGCAACTGAATGCCAGCTCAATAAATTCACAGCCAGACTCATATCCAACCAAGCAGCCCTGTAGCGATGCAAGATGCTGAGCCCGCAAAAGTCCACCGTCAGGAGCAAATCGCCAAAATCCGCCGATAACGATAAGACGCGACGCGCACCGCTGACTCAGCCCCACGTCATTGGGCGAACATCATATTGCGGAGAGAAAGGGCAATGGAAGGTTCCCGGCTTTTTGTTCTTAGTCTATGTCTTTTGTTTCTTTCGAATACACCACACCGAGAATAAATCTCACAGGACTTGGTGTTATGCTTTTCCTCGAGCTCTCTCGCCCTCCCCCGCCTGTATGACTGGCTTCTAGCGGCACATTTGTCTTGTGCGGGGACGATCTACAATCTTCCAGCCCAACCAGCAATCCAAACAACCCTGATGGAGTCGAAGTCGCATGAGACACCAAGCCCGTCTGTGTCATCCGGGTTTCTTCCGCTTGGACGACGCGGGTCACGAGCATCGATGGCAACAACTCATACCGATCGAGAAAATATAAACGCAGCTCTTGACCAGATCCACACCGCCGCGTGCCAATCCGACTCATTGACGCTTTTCAATGAATTCACTACACCACCTGCACCGGCATCGGCAATAGATGAGAAGGGGCTTTCAGAAGAACTACAAGGAGGACTGAGCGGGCTATATAGCCGTTTCAGGACCTCGGTCGGGGGAATCGTGAGCGGTGGAACAAGATCTGCAGACAGAAGTGCGGCAGAGACGCCTGCTGTTAAGAGCCCGATCTTGGAGTCTTCAATGGTAAAGTCAGTTTCTGATATAGCGACTGGCTCGGGCGATCATCAATCGTCACATGCGAACTCGTTGCAGGGTTCAAGACTTCATTCGCCAGTGGCAACACACTTTCAGATCAGCCAGGAAGCTGCGCCTCAACTGAACGCCGGGAAAAGCTCTAAGATCTCTTCGCAAAGTGCTAGCGTATCTTCGAAGACCTCAATATCTCCTTCTCCGGGAACTAAAGCCAACATTGGCCCACTGACCAAATCTACCGGCAACTCGACCGCAGCGGATCCTGCCATCACCCAGCTCCATGCGAACGCTCGACGCTCTAGAAGTAGCTCTGTCAATATATCTCAGCAGGGACTCAAAAATGCAGAATCTGCCAGCATTGCCAGTGGGGATGGGTCCATGGAGCCGCCTCTGAGTCAAAGTTCCTCTGTCTTAAGTCAGAATATTTCGCACTCGCCAGTACTGTCTATCAAGACACACGGAGGAATTCACGACGAGTCAAATGTACCAGAAAGCAGTGGACCCTTTACTCCGACCAGCAATGTCTCGGATGTTCCATCTAGAAAGCTGGTACCTGCAGATCAGCCGAGACCAGCGGAAAGCTCCTCTCAAGTGATTGCTCCGCGAAGCTCAAAGCATGCTGAGCCAATTCAAGACGCAGTTTCTCAGGCTCAGGACAGCAGCTCAGCCTCGCGCATGTCTTTCGGCTACGATGACTCAAGTGTGGCTTTGGCATCGACTTTTCGCGCCAAAGTTTCCCCCTCCAGATGCTGGCTCAGCATCGGATAGCATCACTTCAATGACCCACGAAGGCACAGAGGGAAGCCAGCTAGCGAACCCCTCCACTGCCACAAAGTCTGGTGAAAAATCAAAACCACCCCCAACAAATAATCGATTGCCCGGTTATGGACTTTCGCGAGCATCTACTTCGGAGACAACCACCACGATTTCTTCTTTGCCACCCTTGAATACCAATGTTGGCCGGGTCACGAGTCAGGCTTCTCGGGACCGTCGTGATGCATGGCCTCGAGACGGAATGCTATCACAGCTGGGAAGCAGATTGCTTAGCAGAGATTTTTGGATGCGTGATGAAAACGCCAAGGATTGTTTTCACTGCGGAGAACCGTTCACGACATTTCGCAGGAAACACCACTGTCGTACATGTGGCCAGATTTTTGATTCAAAGTGTACACACCTTATACCTGGGACCCGGTTTGGGCAGCCCGGCTCCATAAGGGTCTGCAAGCCCTGCGAGGCGATGATCAATGGCCATGATGATGACTCTTCCGAATTTTCTGACAGCGAACAGAGTCCCATCATGATGAATCCGCGGGTTTCGGAACTGAATTGGGGCGGCAACAGTGCCCGCCCACCCGCGGACGATGATGACACTGCGTCCGTAATATCTCAATCCATTGATCATGTTCTTAGAACTCCAACCATGGCCATACCGGCGACACGACGTGCAGGTGAGGGTCGATCAGCGGTTTTGGAAATAAATCCCGACCGCCCTTTGGCAAGACCGACCTCATCTCGGTCTCTCAGATCTTCCCTGGGAGGGAGGCCACATTCAATGGGCCACAAGCGTCATCACTCTCGCCAACAGTATATTCGGAGTTTCAAGTCGTATCACGACGACCGAGCACCTTTTCAACGCCGCCACGCTGATGACTTCAGCACAGAGTCTCGGTTGCCTGCCTTTCACAAAGACAACATCATTGACCCAGCTCTGGCTCAATATCTTTCAGATGACGCGTCAAGTGGGGACGAACAGCCAAGTTTGCTAGCAGCTGTTTCAGAAAGTCAGTTCTCAAAAAGTGGCGGCGACAGTGAGCGGATTCCATTCGGCGGGTTGCTTGCAGCCATGAAGAAGGGAAGATCTGCATTCGGGGATCGAACCGTCCCTAGTATCAATCACCCCAGTCGAGATGCAGATGAGGTCAGCCTAAGCAGTTCGAGGGCAGTCAATTTGCCACGTTCCTCTCGTCGCCGAAACTTGAGTGTCACGAGCAGTGTTCATCGTCAATCCCCTAGGACATCTAAAGACACATTCCTCCATGATCTTCCTGTAGCAGGTACTCCATACCCCGCTGCTCCAAATCAGACCGGATTTAAGCAAACCAAAAGCTCGTCAATGAGAGGAGTGGAAGCACCACCAGTTGAGCTCAATAAGGCTAGCTTGGAACACGTGCGAAGGCTTTTACAACAACTCTTGGCGATGTCCTCGGTACCAAATGCGGACAGCTGGGAGAATGCGCTGATGCCAATTCTTTTGAAAGCAGCTGATGAGGTGGACCCAGACGTTCAACGCGGAGATGATATGGACATACGTCACTACGTCAAGTTGAAGAAGATCCCTGGCGGTCGGCCTGGTGATACATCCTATGTCTCAGGTTTGGTTTTTACCAAAAATTTGGCGTTGAAGAGCATGCCCAGAAGCATTTTACGTCCAAACATTTTGATCATCACATTTCCTCTCGAATATGCCCGTCAACAACACCACTTTATGAGCCTTGAGCCTGTTATTCGACAGGAGCGTGAATTCCTTGAAAACCTTGTTAGCCGGATCGCAGCCTTGCGTCCGAATCTACTGCTTGTTGAAAAAAATGTCTCAGGGCTAGCGCTCGGTCTTCTTGAGCAGGCCGGGATCGCAGTTGCATACAAAGTGAAAGCGTCGGTCCTTGAGGCTGTCTCACGATGTACTCAAACCCGGATTGTAACGTCCATGGACAAGCTTTTGACCACCGCTTTGCATAGCGATTGCATCAGTTTTGATGTGAAAACATATGTCTATTCTGGGCGTAAGAAGACATACATGTATATCTCCGGTTGTCCAAAGGAACTTGGGTGCACGATCGTTTTACGGGGTGGGAACGAAGAAGTCCTCGCGAAGGTGAAAGAGATTACGGAGTTTATGGTATACGTTGTGTACAATCTACGGCTTGAGACTTGCGTGATGAGAGATGAATTTGCAAAGCTTCCAACATCATCTATCGATGATGTGAAGCAATTGGAAAATGAAGGGGTAGATCAGAGCAACTGTCATGTTGCCACCTCTGGAGGCAACTCGTCTTTGACAGAGTCAGGACTCCTTCCGACTATGGTTGAAAAGTCTACCGAAGACTTGGAAGGTAAAGCACCTGCAACCACTGATGCCATTGATGTTCCGGACGATGTCCCAATGCCAACATACTTCGACGACATGATCCATGATCACAATACAAAGATCTTGTCAGCGTCGCCTTTTGTCAAATTTGAAACCCCCTATCTGCTCATGCGCACCAGAGAGATGGAGAGACGGCTAGCCTACTTGAAGCGGCTACGTGACCAAGTTGGACACTCTGAACAAGGTGCTGAGGAGACGGCTGCCAAGCCGCAGAAATTCATTCTTATCACTCCCGAGATGGTTCACGAATCTCCCAACGATGCACCTCCACAGGTCAAAGAAGTATTACGGGCAGCTCATGATGCGGAATATGACAGAGTTCTCTATCACTATCAGACACAAAAGCGGCAATGGGAGGCTTATGTATCGGGATGCTCCAGCATGTTTGATCCGTACGCGCATCAGAACATTGTTGTTCTCTACAGCCTTGTGTGCACCACAACATCGATTCCATGTTCCGGGCCTGACACCTTTGCTTTGGAGTTTTACAACGAGCATGGCGACGAAGGGATTTTTGAACCTGATTGCACAATTGGGCAATATGTCGAAGAACTCTGCCATACAGCCAACGCTGTCTGTGTAGCTAATGGTTGCGAGAAGCGTATGTTTGAGCACCATCGGCAGTACGTTCATGGTGATGCACAGATCAGCGTTCTTGTCCAGCCCTATCCATCAAAACTTCGGGGCATGCAAGATACTGTGCTTATGTGGAGTTGCTGCAAGATTTGTGGCCATGAGACTCAAGTCACGCAAATGTCAGAGAATACATGGAAATATTCATTTGGCAAGTACTTGGAAGTGTCTTTCTGGGGAAGGAATCTACATGCCCGAGCTGGAGCTTGCCCTCACGATCTGCAGCGGGATCATCTGCGTTACTTCGGTTTCAAAGATCTTGCGCTTCGAATTCAGTATGATACCATTCATCTGCTTGAGGTCATCGTCCCCCGACCACGTGTAACCTGGAAAGTGGACAATGACTTGAAGCTCAGAAACGAGGTTTACTTGCGGACCGAGAGACGTATAAGCAAGTTCATGTTGTCTGTTCATGCACGTTTGAAGGGAATCAATGTCGAAAGCGTGGTTCCAGAGTTACTCGATGAGTGCAAGAAAGAGATTGATCGCCTGGTCAAGAAGGCAAATGAACATCAAGCAGCTTTGATCCGGCTCTTACAGGACAAATACAGCGGTTCTCGGTACTGGGAAATTATACCCCTGAATGAAGTCCTCCGGTCTGTTCAAGAGAAAGTGGTTGAATGGGACACCACTTTCGCTGAGTTTGAACAAAGCTTCTTCCCATCTGAAAAGGACATCAAGCGGCTTGCGACCCTGCAGCTAAAGAAAATTTTCCTTGACAAAGACGCCACATCCGTGGCCCCAGACTATGCCTTGCACGCCTCAACCGATTTGGAAGATGAGAACATTCAAGAAAACGAAAAGCCAAGGATGCGACGCCGTATGACGCTCTCGCCGGAGAAGGCTCAAGACGTTCTGGTCTCCGTGGTCGAGGAGCATGCAGGCAAAAAGCACAGAGAGGATGCAACGGAAGATGTCGAGTTGCCCCCGTTGCCCGCAGCGACTAGCGACGAAGCTGCATTTCTGGGAGCAGATGCTGTTGATGGCAACGGGTCTTCTCCCCAAGATGAAGCCGTTTCAAAAGAGGAGGTTCGACACCTCGACCTAGCTGTGCCTTCTGGCCAGTCTGGTCGATCGCCTCCTGATTTGAACTTAGCTTTTGGCCATTCTTTGACACGCTCAGATACGATAGACATTCTGCCTGTGGCTAATGACGGCGAAGGTTCATTGGATGCATCACCGCCGCCACTGTCGCCGAAATCAACGCAGCCCTCACATGAGAGCAGCAAGTTCAAGGACTGTGTGGTACCTCGTTCACCAAGTACCCCACCAAATAGGCCATCGGCCATTCCAAGATTGACCGAAGGTGCTTTCAGGCGCGCTGGAAAAGCACGTTCTCCCCCATTGACACGTGCTCAGTCTCAACCTGCACATCTTCTCAGAGACAAGTCCATTGGCGGTTCCTCATCGGGAGGATTCAAGACAAATTCCTCTAGTACCTCAGTTGATATTAGGAGTGACACCAATAAAACAGCGGAGAAGAAATTCACAGAACGCCTCGGTCTGACAGCCCTCAAGAATGGCCGCTTTACCCCGGGACACTCTCTGATCCCTCGATCTACACCGAAGGGGCGGAACAACTCCCGCGTGTCAAACCTTGCTAGACACTTTGAACAACTGAGTCGCGAGTTTGAAAAGGAGAGACAAAAGGAAAGGCGACAGCGAGCTGCTCTAAGCACGCAGTCTCGTGCATTTCCATTGGCATCCTCAAAGCCCATCGTGGAGGTTTACAGAAACGTCCGAGAAGCGGTGGAGGAACGGGAACCTCCGGTCGATGGAGAAGAATCTCCGCCGTCTGTACCGCAGCTTCCAATGGAGGAATCAAGTCGCATGAGTGAGGGCTTCGCGGATCAGATCACCCCCGAAGAGCCGTCTCCAGAGGCTGATCCTCACAAAACGCCCCCTGATTCATTTGAGTCTGGAGGTATTTTCCGCTCTGACTCTCAACTTATGTCTGAGACCGAGCTAGAGGAGAGCCCCAGCGACGAAGAGCGAGCTACAGCCGAAGATCTCCATCCTGTGGATTCACATGAAGACACAAAAATGCTCCCGGAAGACGATTCGATGGATTTCAAGGATCTAGCCAAGCACGAACGTACAACTCTTTTGAAGATGTTGACCAATTTCTGGTCCGAGCGCTCTGCCAGTGGATGGGCTGCTCTCGATTACCCCCTCAGTGTTTTGGATCATGTCTTCGCTGACTGTGATATCATTGTACGAGAGGATGAGCCGAGCTCTCTCGTTGCATTTGCATTGGACTCGTCTGACTACAAAGAAAAATTGGCCACTATTCAGAAACGGTATGAGATGGAGGAGAGTGTGCCAGAGGCTGAAGATGACCCTGAAGTTGCCCGCGAGGCCCGAGTTGAACACGCCCTGTTGCGGCCAACTGGAACCCATTTGAAATACCAATTTCAAGAAGGCCAGGCGAAGATGCTATGTAAGGTGTTTTATGCCGAGCAATTTGATGCACTTCGTAAAAAATGCGGCGTTGCTGATCGCATTGTGGAATCACTTTCTCGCTGTGCGAAATGGGACTCCAAAGGTGGCAAAACCAAGTCTTTATTCTTGAAAACGCTTGATGATCGGTTCATCCTTAAATCTCTGTCTCCCGTTGAAACTCAGGCCTTCCTCAAGTTCGCCCCGGCTTACTTCCAAATCATGTCCGAGGCATTGTTTCACGAGTTGCCTTCGGCAATTGCCAAAATGTTTGGTTTCTATCAGGTTATTATCAAAAACCCAGCGACTGGAATTGAATTCAACTGGTTCTTGCTGTTAATGGAGAACTTGTTCTACGACCGAAAGCCGAATCGCATCTTCGATCTCAAGGGTTCGATGCGCAACCGGAAGGTTGAGAGCACCGGTGAACGGGATGAAGTACTTCTAGATGAGAACATGGTAGATTTCATCTACGAAACACCTTTGTTCTCGCGTGAGCACTCCAAGAAGTTGCTTAGCCAGAGCGTGTGGAACGACACCCTTTTCCTCGGCCGCCAGGATGTCATGGACTACTCGCTCATGATTGCTATTGATGACAAGCGCAGTGAATTGGTTGTGGGTATTATCGACTGCATTCGGACCTACACCTGGGACAAGAAACTTGAGTCGTGGATCAAGGATCGCGGCTTTGCTGGTGGTGGTCGCAATCGTCCAACCGTAACCAGCCCCAGGGAGTATAAAAGCCGATTCCGAGAGGCGATGGCCCGATACGTCCTCCAAGCCCCGAGGTAAGTTTTTGCTCCAATATCTGATCGTTGGAGTCTTCGGTATTGATTCGACTTTTTCAGCTGCTGGCATCAATTTCAACCTAGCGCAATATATCGACACCCACACCCACAGGGCGAGGTGTCCAATGCAACCGAGTTGGACATGGATGAGAATGCTGAAGTCAGCGTTTAGAGATGAATAGCAACAACACAACTTACCTATCTAGGCGCTCTGCCTCATGGTTTTCCCTTTTGTTTCTTTTACATGATGATTGATGATTTGACGACATTTGAGCCTCATATCTGTTCCACATCCTTGAAGCGTATATGCAAGATGGAGGCATCACACATATACTGCTAGATAATATCTAAGCAATGATATTGAGCCACATACGATCATTCTACAAGCCATAAACCAGTGCTCTTTCCCAAATCCATACCCATTCTATCGTGTCTCCATCAGAACCTCCACTCTCCCGAAATCTCGGTAGAAATCGGAATCTACCGGGTCAGTCATCGGAAAATGTGTTTAGTAAGGATCTGATCTGATCTTTTCTGCGGAGTAAATTTGTTACATCTTTTTCATCCTTCGTTTTGACCTGGAATTTCAATTATTCGTGACTGCTGTGAAGTCCAACGCAATCACACCGCCGCAATTGCGCGATCATGCAGCCACCCATGCATAAGCCTCGGTCTCGGTCTCGGGCGTTTTCGCGATCTCTTCCCCGCATGAGTCGCTTCTCCGGCTAATCGCTCTCTTTTCTCCATTTTACTTCTTTCGCACTTTTCTCCTTGTGAATTTACCAAGCGGTTTGCTCAGAAAGCGCCTATGGCAAATGGATTCTGGCTTCAGTGATGCGCTATGCGAAAATGTCCCGCGCGCTATGAAATGACGATTGAGCGAAGACTAATGGAACTAACGAAGAACTGCAGCAACATTCTAGGTCTATTCAACTCTTTTCCTCCAGGGAGAATGTCTAGGCTAACTAACATCGCACCTGACCCGAAGGCATTAAATTCGTCTCATACATGTATACATGATCAATGCATTAACCCCCCTGGGACACAGCGATGGTCCAGATCGCAGAACAGAAATGAACATGGCTTGAAAGGAACAGAAAACAAAAGGTAAAAAGGAAAAACAGAGGTATGTGTCCCACCATCGCACCAGCGATAAACAAAAAAAGGGAAAAGGAGATAAGATGAACCGGTGATCGATCCGTTCAGCTTACCATTTTAGAAAGCTACGTTTACTCGTCGGCGAGGCCAAGGTTCTCCTCGGCAGGAACCACACGAACGGTGTTGGTGTGGCCCATACCGCCGCGCCATCCCTGGACACAAACAATGGGGTCGCCCTTGTTGATAACACCGAGCTTGAGACCGTGGTTGATAGCCCACTTGAGGCGACGGTCGACATCCTCCTGCCAGATCTTGACATTGAAATCGGGCTTCTTCTCCGGGAAGAAGAAGGGCCACACACCACGGTACAGGTGGGAGTACTGGAAAATCATTCTGGTTAGCATGGAAATCATTCTTGGGTCTTGGGCGCAGTCTTACGCGAGAAGCAGCCTCGCTACGGGTGACCATGAGAATGGGGCACACGGGGCGGTATTTGGAAAGAAGACGGGCGGTGCTTCCACTGCAAAGTTTGTCAGTACATGCAGATTTTCGACGGGATTCGGACAGGGGAACATACCTGGTGGTGAGAACGACAATGGCACCGGCGTTCAGCTCCAGACTGGCACTGACGGCAGCCATGGCAATCGACTCGGAGGTCTCGGTGGGGCGAGGAGCCAGGTTACGCAGCTCATCGAAGACGCTGAAGTGGGGGATGGCAACCTCAGCCAGCAGACAGGTCTCGTGCATCATCTTGACAGCCTCGCAGGGGTAGTTGCCCTTGGCGGTCTCGCCAGACAGCATGACACAGTCAGCACCGTCGAGAACGGCGTTGGCAACATCGGAAACCTCAGCACGAGTGGGACGAGGGTTGTATGTCATGGACTCAAGCATCTGAGTAGCGCAGATGACGGGCTTACCCTTGATGTTGCACTTGGCGATCATCATCTTCTGGGCAATGAACACCTTGGGGGCGGGGATCTCAATACCAAGGTCACCACGGGCAACCATGACACCGTCCGTCTCCTCGAGAATCTCGTCAAAGTTGTTGACACCCTGCTGGTTTTCGATCTTGGCAATGATCTGAATCTCCTTACCCTCCTCGCCGAGAACCTCACGGATGTGCTTGATATCGCTACCGCGGCGAATAAATGAAGCAAAGACCATGTCGACCTTGTTCTTGACACCGAACTTGAGATCGGCGATATCCTTCGCCGAGAGAGCAGGGAGGTCTACGTCGGTGCCGGGCAAGTTCACACCCTTGCGGGAGGAGATGTTGCCGTTGTTCAAACACTTGACCTTGACGGTCTTCTCATCCACCACCGAAATCACCTCGAAGGACAAAATGCCGTCATCGACATAGATGAGCTTACCGGGCGAGATGACCTTGGTAAGGTTCTGGTAGTCAAGGTACCTGTTATAATTTGGTCAGCTCCGGCCTTCCACTTCACTTGCACTCTTCTTGACTGGATGAGGCTTACATGTTTTTATCGTCACTGGCGGTGGCATAGGCCTCATCGGTGGTGATGTTGAGCACAGTGCCCATGCTGATAGGGAAATCCTTGTCATCGACGGTGTTACCGGTACGGATCTCGGGGCCCTTAGTGTCAAGAGCAATGGCCAGGGGACGGCCGGTCTGGACGCGAGCAGCCTCACGAGCATTGTCGATCACAGATTGGTGGTACTGCGGAAGTCAATAAATGTTCCTCGGGGTTCGAACCAAAGATGTCAAGAGAAACACTCACCTCATATGAGCCGTGGGAGAAATTCATACGGACAACATTCAGGCCAACTATGATGCTTATCAGTTTTCGCTCAATTTTCTGTCGGATCTATCGGGCCACGGCCGTACCAGTGCGGAGAGCGTTAATCTTCTCGACGGAGTTAGTCTTGGGACCTGAACATCAATTGTGTGTTAGCAAAAAATTCCCACGTTAATTGTCATGAATTTTTGTTGCAAGAAAATCCCAATCAAAAGAGACGTGGGGGTTGGTTCTGCGGAGGACATACCAATGGTACCGATGATGGAGGTACGGCGGAAGTTCTTCGCCGGGACCATCTCAGTGTTGAGCTTGGAGTGCCACTCCAGCTTCATCCGGTTGGACAGGTGGTCAAGAGAAGTGCTGGCCGCCATTTTGTTCTGAACAAACTAATTGAATTTAGGATGGCAGAAGGGGTGATGAAGTAGAGAAGTGAGATGGGGAAAGAAAGGTGAGGAGGGGAAGAGGAAGAAGAAGTGGGTGAGGGGCGGGGCCTGGAAAATGTTGGACACCGATACTATCTCCGCTCACCTAGAATCACCCCGGTGTAGACATCTGGAACTATTTGAACTAGAATTATTATAACTCAATTGATTTCCTTGTTTGTTGATGGATTTTTCTCTTATAAAAAATCATATGAATGTATTTTCTCTTCTAGCTTTATTCTGCAAATCATTATTTCTTCTAAAGTCTAATCTATTTCCTAGCTGTAAAGCTTCCTCACCCAGTTTTTGGCCACCGTTACCTTGAGTACCCTGAAAGGTTACCATCGGCAACGGCGGGATATACCTCTAAAAGGAGAAACGGAAAAAAATGGATAGAGCCCCAGTACAAAAAGCGGAGGTGCCCGTGCTGGCCTGCCCAGCGTACATTGGATCCTTTTTATCGAGAAAAATGTGACAAATAGCGACACCCAACAAGCGCCTTCGACGGAAACGGACTTTCGGTGGGATCAGCCTTATCGATAAGAAGTGTGGCGGCTTCATTATGTAATCCGAGTGGCGGTGCGTCTCGACGTCATGTGAACTCCAATCTCCACGTGATCTTCTTTCCCCGTCTGCTGCCGTGCATCACCTGTCTAAGTTGAGATAACAGCAGCTTTTGTCGGCCTGGATTTGCCATTCTTTCTTCACCCCAAGTGTTGATACCAATCTTCAATCATGGTAGGACCATACATTTGTCTTGTTTTCCGACAGGGAGCTTCATGAGGTCCTCCAACCCATAAACATGGCGTGACTGACCGATACTTCAATAGTTCGGCCGTCTTACCCACTACGCATTTGATGCGGTCCTCTGTGAGTTTCTTTCTTGGTCCAGGCCTTATCGTGACATTTAACTAACGAATAACTTTCTCCATAGTCTCCGCCTTCCTCGCTGGCGTCAAGCGCTCCACGGGCCTCACGTAAATACGACCCCTCCTTGCCTTTACATGTTTCTTTTGCTTGCTCCATGCCATTTGCTCAAGCAGGACATGCTTCCAGAATCAAATACAAAAGATCGATCAGCTAACTCTGTTGACCCCCGCACCACCCCATCGGGTCGTGCGTGCGGGGGCGTCCATAGCCCCAGTGTGAAGACCGAACAACTTTCTGACAGCAAAGAAGTCAAGAAGTGGTTCGATAACTATCTTGGTGTCGGCGAGTGGGTTATGGACCAGTCAGTTGCCGTGATGGGCTCCTCCAGCTGGTTCGAGCGTCGACGATAATCGGACGAGACGGAGATATACGACTCGCTGAATGGGCTACGATTGATTCCCTTTTGAATTCTGTTTGCGCCTCGACTTGAATTCCAGCTGTAAATTTGCGTACCATCTAGGGAGGCAAGATGTATTCTGAACTGCCAAAACAAATCTTGGTGGTTTTGTACAGTTTGGAAGTGCTGGACTCTTCGGCTCGCTTTCCCCCATATTGGCTCTTGAGCAGGTCCCCATATCACGGCTAGGGTGACGAGTGATGATCAAATTCCTCTCTGCGCTGTTACTGTTACCGCTGTTCCCTCCACTTTCAACATCATGCTCAGAGTTATGGCGTCTTTGGCTTCTATGCGATACCTTTCTGTCCACTGTCTGTGTTATAGCATCTCCATACACAATCAACTATTTTCTCCTATTTTCGGTGGAGATTATATTATGAGCTTGGGTTCCTAGGCTAGGTTGAGGGTCATTGATGAAGTCTTAGAAGTATTTATTTGGACTGGGATGCCATGGAGCGTTCAAAGGCGCGGTGCGAGTAGTCGCAAGGATGACTTATTACGACTAATAAATGATGGATCTCTGCTTGAGTCAGGAATGGCGTTGGGTTTGACTGCCCAAACACCATGGAGGGGGGGGGGGGTTGATAAACACACTCGTGTTGATTTAGCCGTACTGGGGGTGGAGGGCACTTGGTGTTGGGTAACTGAACGCAACTTAAAGGGGTATGGAGGAAATCAATGGCCATAAAACTCGAGATGACTGCAAAATTCTAACGCCATTCATATCCGGATGAGGGCATCAATATCCACTCGGCGGTAGTAGGAGACGTGGCCCATTTCCTCCCAATAGTGCGCTATAGTATCCGGGGAAATAAGAATGAGCTGGGAGGTAATGAACGTGTCTGAAGATGAGAAGTTAGAGATCCAGGTTCAAGGATAAAATAGACAAGGAATACTTACCATCCTGGAAGCCAATACCAGCAACATGTCCCAAGCTCCGCACGATACGCGCGTTTTCAAACGGTTCCTTGTCGTCCACCCGGATGAGACCTCCAGGTCCAATGTCATGGGCCACGAATGAAATGGCACCACGGGGAACATTCGGGTCACCTGTAAGCTTGACTGCTTCCAGACTTCCGCTATGGATCAAATCCCCTTCCTGGTGCTCTGGATTCTCGCCTCCTACGCCTCGTTGAATGAACAAAAGGAATTCGCATCCATGGGCTGAGTAATCTCCAACCCAGATACCTTGGTATGGTTTCTCTCTTGTCGGCATGTACAAGCTCGGATCAAGAGTAGCATATGTTGTTCGTAATTCGTTGTCCATCACATTGAAATGGGCCCATCTCCTAATCCGAAACGCTCTCTCCGAGGCTTGCGAGAAGTTTTCAGGATTCGACAATTTCTGTCGAGAGTTCGCTCTGCGAATACGGTGCTCGCTAGGGATGGTCAACGGGGGCCATACTGGTCCTTGGTTAATAAGCAGTGGCGTTTCTGGTTTCTCGCACAATAAGAGCGAGCTGAAAACATCCAATTGACCAGAGATTGCCATTATGCGTTCTATCTTCCACTTGTGCCAATCAGGCGTGGGATCCTTGGGCATTAGGTCTCTGAGATCCAAGACAGCGTCATCTAGCCACAAGAACACTTTAGGATCGAACGACTGAATCATGACATCGGGGTTCGACTGCCAGATTTGGAAATTAGGGTTGCCTCGATCTGCCAGCAATCGGAAGGCCTCAATCACGCCTCTTCGGTTGTCATAGCGAGCCAGAATCAAGTTGCCCGTGTGTTCGTTGTCCGCGAACCAGATTTTGTACTGGGGGATAAACCAGTATGGTAAATGGGCGAGATACAGGCGTCTGAAGGATGGGAAAACTCCCGGATCGAGGACTGGGGTAGGCAGGTGGGAGTTGACCAGGTTGGCCCACAGTCGGTCGTCGGAGCCATGCTCGGCGAGCACTTTACAGCTTGCAGACACGCGACCAAGGTCTCGAGCGGACAGATAGGAAAGGATCTCGTGGATGATCTCGGCGGGAAGTTTATCAAGAACAGAAGAGTGTTCGGCTGTCTGGGTCCGTCGATCATGGAGGATCCGGTCAACCAGCTTCTCATGGTCCTTGAACCCGCGGTCGCTGAACTGTAGCGGGGGAGGCCCGCGGGGTTAGCAAAAATATCCATGAAGCTAGAGCCAGACTGTGTGGGCTGGGTCTCAATCTCTTGGCAAACATACCTCCTGAGCAGGTACCACACTTCCCATTGTGTATATCATCAGGTCGTTTTCAAGAAAGGGCAAGGGCAGATGTGGATGCAGATGCAGCTGCTGGTTGCTCGACCGCCTGCAGTAACGCGTCTGACATTACTTATAAGTGCGTTGAAAAATCATATTTGGCTTGCATGCAGGTCGAACTAGATATCGCGCCAGACTAATTCAAGCTTAGGGGTCAAGCTAGATCTGTTCATGCCGACAGACAGCGCAGCAACTCAAAGCGATATCGCTTTGCGTGGGGCCGATAAGAGATAACGTTAACTTTCCAGCAAATGGAAAACCAGTTATTATGGGAAAGACTTATCTTTTTCATTTCAAGTCTTATAGGATGAGAGAAGATACATATGTCTTTCGTCTGGGTTCTTGACGTCACCCTTTCATGAGAAGTCGAATTTCAAGTATTTTATGATATCATCCATGGATCGCCCGGTGATATATTTCTTACACATTGTTATGCATAACAAGAACTTGGATTCTTCTAACAATCATTAGACACTGCCCAGATACAAAACCCATACACACTTTACAGACACTGCGAACATTTGAACCAAAGCCTTCGTATCATCGAATTTCCATGGAAATGGCGCGCATCTTCATTACTGGTTCTAGCGACGGCATTGGCCTAGCCGCAGCCAAGATCCTGGCTGACCAGGGCCACTCAGTCGTTCTCCACGCACGAAACGCAGAGCGTGCTGTCTCAACCCATCAAGCCGTACCCAAAGCCGAAGCAGTACTAGTCGGAGACCTCCGCTCGATATCCGAGACCAAGAAACTTGCACAAGAAGCCAAAGGAAGCGGGCCTTTCGACACAATCATTCACAACGCAGGCATTGGCTACGGCGCCACATCCAGTCGAGAAATTACCGCAGACAAGATCTCCGCCGTCTTCTCGGTCAACACACTTGCACCATACATTATCACCTGCTTGATGGATAAGCCGAAATCACGGCTACTTTATATGAGCTCGGATTCCCACTACGGTGGTGATGAATCTCTACGCAATGTGACACAGTCCCACTCGTACAGTGATAGCAAGTTGCATGATGTGATGTTAGCTAATGCGTTTTCACGGCGATGGGATGATATTCAGGTTGTGAGCATGCATCCTGGCTGGGTTAGGACCAAGATGGGAGGCTCCATGGCTCCTGGAGGGATGGATAAGCCGGCTCGGGCATTGGCGGAGTGGGCTATTGGCCAAGGCAAATTGGCAAGTCTGAAGAGTGGGGCATATTTCACGACAAGGGGGGAAGAGTCGACCCATCCTGGAGCTGGTAATGTGGGGAAACAGGATGAGTTGTTAAAGATTTGCCAGGAGGTTTCTGGAGTTTCCATTCCAGAGTAATGAACTTTAGACGTTATATCCTTGTTTGATGCTCTACACGATCCACCTAGATATCTCCTGTGTCAGGCAGAAGTGACCTGTGACTGCTACACTAAACCTGCCAAATCTGCGCCCCTCGTAGCATATGTGTACACAGAGCTCGAGCAGCTTGATCAAGAGAATCATGCAAACCGTACGACAATTACTGTATAAAACATATCGCGTCTTCGAGCAGCAAAAGACACGTGATGTCCCAAAAGAGCATCTTGTTTACGCCGGATCGGGAACAAAGGGACGCGCCGAACGGCTCTGCTGCCTGCGGGGACCCACTAATTGTTTGTTTATGTTGTGATCTATAAACGCCTCGAGGCCAATGGGATTTTTCTCAAGCTGCATTGTTTTTCTTTTTATTCGTCCTATTTATCCCAGGTTCTTTTGTTTTCCCCCACAAATTACAATAGCCGCCCTTTGGCAACATCTATATTTTCAATTTGCCTGCTAGTCTTCCCTCCGAAGAGGGCCCTTTACACATTATGGAGACCAGACAGTCAGTAAGGAAGAGGCGAAACAGCTCTGTTTCTAACTCGAGGAGTTCGTCGCCCGTGTCGCATCGGACAAGATTGAGTATGTCGGGATGTTCTGAGCACACTACCACTACTGCATCTGCTGCACCAAAGTGTGCAGTCAGCACACCGAAGAAATCAAGGAAACGAGTGCGATTTTCGGATCCAGGTCCTCGACTTCTGGATCATGATAGCTGCTCGACTGGCTTGACGCCGGCTATGCAGCGAACTTCATTTGATGCTGGATTGCCAGGATCTGGAGACCGCACGCCTAGCCGGAAAGCCCGCCGCCGTTCGGCTCCAACGCCTCGGCTTCGACGATCATTTGACCCGGTGGAGCCTTTTGATGATACATCATCGGAGCGTGTGGTTCAGTTCACTCCTCTGCGGCAGATCCTGGACACGCGTACCAAGCGGAGGATCCGACGAATCGGGCTGAGTGATGAAATCAACCACATTCAGCGTGAGAAGCGCGAGGTTGCGACTTTTGAGAAAACTCTGGCAGCATTGATTCGAGAGAGAGATAATCTGCAGCAGGAGTTGACTTCCTTGAAGCAGAGTTGGGAAACTCCAGAAGACCAGTTACCATCTTATGAGTCTTTTTGGATGTCTTCTCAGGTTCGAGCTCGAGAGGTCGAAGAGCAGACAACGTTACTATGTGATGGGGTCTCCGTAACCTCGAACCGATGCTTGGATGAGGATGTATCGTCTGTTGAAAATGATGGGGACACGTTCATGCTTAATGAGAGTGCCATCATCGCTTCTAATTCACCCGTCTTCCGAAGTCGACGCAACATCCACCCGCCTAGCCCCGAAAGACTTGGTTTATTCGATGGCCCGGACTATGATGCCACCGTTCAGGCACCTATGGAGGATACCCATGAAGATACCGATATGCAAACCTTGACCCTCGACCTGGAGGCTGCGAGAAATGAGAAGCAAGATTTGTTTAACGCATGCCGCTCACAAATGTCTACTCTGGAGAACTCTGAATTGGGTGAAAGTCTCCGCAAATCGTCTCCACCTCCTAACTTCATCGAGAATATTCTGGCCACGCTGACGGCCGCTTTATCTCGCGCATCGGATGCCACCAAGACTCTTGAAGGAATCAGCCAAGAGTGCTCAAGCTTGGGTTTCTCCGGACATAGCATGGATGATGTGCTCTCTGATATTAGAAGCCAGTTCCGCTCTGCACGCCTTGAGCTCGAGCATGCTGTTCCAGGGGAGACAGCTGACGCACCCCTCGGGGATGGGAAAGCCACGTTATGTGCCCTGGTAGAACAAGTGAAATCGTTGGCGAAAGAGCTCAAATCAGAGCGCAAATATCACCACGGCTCACTGGGTCGTGAAAGAGCCCTTCGTGGACAATTTGACAACTTATTATACCGTTATGAAGCAGCCGCAGAGAAAATCGGCAGCCTCGAGGATTCCATTGCATCCTCTGCAGGAGACATGCTTCACACCAGAATGCGGATGCAAGACCTCGAGCAAGAAGACCAAGAGAAGACTGTTGGGATTGACAGATTGAATACAGCATTGGAAAAGTACCACGAAGATGTGAAGAGTCTCGAAGATTTGGTCAGCAAAATGGAGGATGAGAACGTCGCGATTAAATCAAAGTACCGAGCGCAAATCTCTGCTCTCCGAGAGCAGGTTTCCCACGAACGCAAACAACGATCGACCGCCGAGTTCTCCGCTTCCGAGTATGAATCTCGCATCCGCCAGCTCGAGGAAATTGTTGAGAGGAACCACACTCGTGCGTCTGACCTTACAGCCCAATTCGAGGCTCTGGAGAAAGAGCACCAGACAGCCCTGCAAGAAAAAGCACAAGATCAGCAAAAACATGCCCAAGAAACGGGTTACCTGAACGTGCGTATCTCCAAACTCGCCACATCTCTCGATGTCATTCGATCGGAGGCCCAACGCCTCCGCCAGATAAACAATGGCCTCGAGCAGCAATTGCAAATTGAGCTGGAGGCCCGTGATGAGCTGCTGAATGAGTGGGCGGCCGAGCAGGCGCGCTCCTTTGCTCATATGAAAGAAACCGTCAACTCTGAACGTCGTCGAGCGAAGGTTCGCGCGGCTAACTGGGACCTCAAGTCTGATGATCTCATGTCTGATGGTACCACGATCGCAGGAAGTGAACCTATAACGCCGGTCAGCATGACGCGCTTTGTTGATGTCGAGATGGGGAGGGGTAAGGAGCGCAGGCGCATGGATAGTGGCGTTGGGATTCTTACTGGAGAGGAGCTCCTGGAGAGCGAAGGCATTTCAGATATTGGCCTGCCAACGTCAAATCTTGTTGATTTTTAAGAATTTTCTGTCGTTTATTTCCTTTGTTGATACCTACTTCCATTCTGTCATGTTGGATCTTTCTTATACACCGTTGCATATACATGATACAAAATTATTCATTCACATACGAAGTCTTTTAGGCCACACTACCCTCGAAGTCTTTTCTTTGTGTTAATGATAGCATAATATTACTCTCTAGATACTTCTGTGTGGACAAAGAAGAAAAAGCAGATAAATTATCAAAATAATGGGAGTCCAAGATGTAGAGTCACAAACTGAGCACTGTAGGACCCAATCACTTGGCAGTAGACTGGTCAACGGTCTCAGTAGCGGTCTCAGCATAAGGATCAGAATCCAGCTGCCGATGTCTTAGGTGTGCCTGGCCATCAGTAACCGTGGTAGACAATTGTGGAATGCTATCTGAAGAAGCTCTGCTATCCTCCACAGAAAGGGACTCGGACTTGTATTTCTTGCCATGACCAGGATCCCCAAAGCTAGAACCAAGCAAGCTGAAGATATTGCTCGTGCGGACGGCCATGCAATACGCCAACGTCATTCCAGTTATGAGCATCTCATCCCTCAAACCCTCTTCATGCGATAGTAAGAATAGATAATGGGTTGAATTGAGTGGTTTTAATTGGACTCTTACGTAGGACGTAGCCTGGAGATAGCGTTGGCGGTGGAGAACAGTAGTATGCCTCATATTATGTTCAGGCCAAAACCCAAAATCATTCATTAAAAGCAACCTAGATTGAACCCTCACGAAGGGTTAATGGCAAACGTATGTCCAGGGAGAAGCCCTAAACCGCTAAATAAGGGTCCACAAAGAAATAAGCATTTTGATAGTGGGTTTCCCACGCCAAACCCTAATTAACTCTATCTGACAGGTGACCCACCAGAACAGTAAAAAGTAGCACTAATGAGGAGAGATCACAACAAAGCAGCGCATAAAGCAGTGAGAGGGGGTCATGTTCCAATGTGGTAATAATCTCGGTCCCTATCATCCACTCATTGCCCCCATCAGCCCTGTTCATGACCTTCATTGGTGACTTAGGGCCAGTTCTCCTACCCTAACCTGAACATGAGGTCTCATGACGCTGCAGGGAATTCTATTATCCTCCCTCTCCCCTTCTTTCTTTCTTTCTTCTTCCAACCCTCTTGTTTCGTTCTTGCTCGTTCGAGTGTCCTCGTTCTACCATCTGCAATTTCAATTGCATATCCCTGTTTCGTTCTTACTCGTTCAACAACCTCGCTCTACCGTCTGCAATCTTAACCCTCTTATCTCGTTCTTGCTCGTTCAAGCGTCCTCGTTCTACCGTCTGCAGTTCCAATTGCCGGTTCTTCCCATTTCCCCTTTTACTATCAACTCCAACATCATGCCTTTCACCCCCATCCACCCCAATGCGGGCATCCAATACCCTCTCCGGGTTACCATCGGTGATGATGATCATGTCCCAACCCACCAAATTGCGCACGTGAATGGACCGGCCACTACCGTCTTTGGGATGTCGGCGTCCGCGAATGTCGCTGTCAAGATCCAAAATTACAATGGTATGTTTTCAATATGCTACATTTGTGAGAATTGTACTAACATTATCAACAGCGCCTGATTTTGTGGCGGACCCGCCAACTTCGGCATACTTTGATCATCCTCTACACAAGGGGGACAAAGTGTCCATTGCATTGTCAATCGTCTTTGATAGCGACGTCAATGGCAACGATCTGGTCTTCGGGAATTACTTCAGTCACTCAATCGAGGAGAAGCTCCCCGATGCATGGAACACGATGTCCAAATTTGCCAAGCGAAAGTTCGAGAAGTCGATTGAGTACAACTTGAAGGGGCCCACCTCTTCGGTCTACAGCCCCGCCCTTTCGAGCACGTCACAGTTCCGCATCGGCGTGGAGAGCCCGTTGCCGGCTGAAAAGCTCAACCAGTACACCCTCGTCCTGGAAGGGTCGGACACTGAGTGCGGACAAATTATTCACAACGTGCAGGGAATTCCTGACAATGCCGCCGATCGTAAAGAGTTCTTCCAAGATACGAAAAACCGTGAAAATTTCTGCTTTTACGGAGGTGTCCAATACTTTTTCGACTTTGCTAACGCGGCCTTGAACCCTACTGGTAGGTAAAAGAAGTTACCCTTACCTTGATTATTACTTTATCCTTCGTTCTTGGGATATTTATGATCTAAAAATTGTCATAGACCTCTGCCTGAACTTGCCTGGATACGACTTACCTTTCTTCCAAATCATGGATGACCCCAACCATGAACTACGGTACGCTCTGAAGAACCGGAAGACTGGGGAGGTGTACTTGGTGGTGGTCTTGTCTGTTGCTTTTCGCAACGGACAGGCTGCTGCCTTGCGCCTCGCCCAGGAGGTGGGTCCGACCTCGGCGAGCCTGCGGGCTCTGTTTGAGGCAAGGGTCGCCCGGCGACAACGCAGGTAGTGGGGGGATGGATGGACTCCGATGGAGGATCCTTGAAATTGGATCCAGAGCTAGGGGGGCTTGGTACCCAGGATACTAGTAGCTAGCACTTTATGATCACAAAATCTAGTCATAATGATATGGTTCCTAGGGTAATAAGCCCTCCTTAGCTCTAAATCTCTCCTAACTCTTCCTGAGACTTCCTACCGTCACTCCCCTTTCTCCAAATTGGGAAACTGACGAAATGTCAAAAGTTTCACCCGGTCATCGTATAAATATTTTCTACTACTTTTATTGCAACCCATGACTACTTTATTAAATATCTCCTACCCAGTATCCTACTTAATCTTCTACTTAATCTTCTACTTAGTCTTCTACTTAGTCTTCTACTTAGTCTCCTAATTAGTATTCTACTTAGTATCCTATCAAGAATTCTACCTTCTTTCATATCGTATTAATCTAACGGTCAAAGTTCTCCTACATTTATAAATAACGATATAGAAAAGAAAGAGAAAAAAGAAAAGAGAAGAAAAATAAAGTGGAAGGAGAAGGTAAAAAAGCGAAAATCTGGTAGAGCTTTCGAACGTATGTCCAAAAAGTCTGCGGTGTACCCAAGTAATAGAGAGGTAGATAAAGAGTCATAGTGATACCCTCCCTTATGTTAAACCCCATATTCTAGATTAAATTAGGTTTCGGTAGGTAGACTAGAAAATCTCAGGTTGGAAGGCGCCTGTGAAGGTGGTGTGGACTTTGATGTGTTGGAAAAATAAAAGTCATTTTACGGATTTTTTAGGGGAGTGACGGTAGAAAGTCTCTTCTTCTTTAAGAATCATTTAAGATATAGATAGCCCTTAAATTAGTAATCTATTCTTAAAAAAGAGATAATTTATAATGCTTTCTTGATAAAATTAGACGATCATCCTCTGTTCTTACCAGACCTGGGCCCGGCGTACCACCCGTGAGGTAGACATCGACGGTAATCCAGTGAATCCCACCCGTTATACTGGTCTCTCCCGGCCCACAGCTGATCCAAAGGCACTAAATCCAGAAGCAGCCGAGGAGGAATTCAATGAGGACCTCCTCACGGACGTGGAGGATGAGCCAATGCTCCCCACACTGGACCCTCCCCTATGGATAGTGCTTTGGACAATGTACGTGATCAGCTGGCTGATCTACAGGACGCGGACGCGAAGTCGACCAACTCATCTGCCGCTAAAACCCCTACTCGCCATAGGTTCTTCCTTAGCCTCCTCCGAGCTCGATACCAGCGTGTAATCTGTGACGAGGGTCATCGTATCAAAACCATCTCCTCCAGGCAGCACCAGTCCGTGGCTAAGCTCTCTCGAAATGTCACATGGTTCATGACGGCGACTCCAATGTGGAATAAACCGCTTGACTTTTGTGGCTACCTTTCGCTCCTCTGGACGGAGATGGTAGAGGCACAGTACCTCAACGCTAACCAGATCGAGAGCTTGGCCGATGTGGATGATTACCGGGCATGGTCCGCCAAAAAAGAACTTCCAACGACCGACCTCCTATATTACCTGCTGTCCCTAAGTGGCCTCCTCTCCCTTAGCTAAAAAGGGTACCTTACTGGCCAGGTCGGATTTGAGTACCTACCAATCATTCTACGCCTAACCTACCTATCCCGGGAGCCTGGACACACTATGATTGGTGCTAATGGAGTTACTATAGAGATCAGGGGGGGGGTGGGGGGATATCCCTCCCTTAGCCATCACGACCGTTGAATTACAGTATACCTAGACTACTCAGGTCAGCCACGATCAGACCTTTCACCACATCATCGAGGATCTATACGAGGGAGCTACCGAGTGGGAGAAATTGGGTGAAACTCTAGTGGCTATTAACTGGGCCGCATTCCGACAGCTATGCTAGCTCGCAGTGAACCCAAAATTAGATGTGTTCCTCCGACGGTCAGAAAGCTGAGTTTTATCTGCGGATATTAATATATTTAGGGACTGTGGTGATGACCGTGGCTTTGGTCTATTCTTTGCCCGTATAGCGGAGGATCGCGCAAACGATATCCCAACAAATCAGATGGCTATCGCCCGGTACCTTGCCCATGACTGTCCCCGAGTCCGATCCCTATTGCACATCCTCTGGACTAAGGGTACTCTGTTATACTTATTATTTATTGTGGGATTAAATAAATATGCCGTTAAGCTGCGGTCCAGGTCTTCGCCTATCGCTAAATTACTAAGTCTTATCTGCGTTCTTGTAACATCATGGAGTTACCAAAACAAATGAATCCCAAATACATTGCTCTTAAGCGGCATTTTCAAGTTGAGTCGGGAGGCAGCTTACTGAGTACTAGTACTATGAGCTCCGCCGAATGTTTAAGAGAAAAGCGACGGTATGTTTTTCCGTTCTATTTTTGGGACACATAAGAATAAAGAACGGTGGAAATACAGTCACTCACACCGTAACCACGGTATATCGTTATCAGTCATACGTGGGGGAGATGGTAAGTAAAATATTCTTGTTTTTCTATTGTTCGAAAATTCTGACATGGCGGATAGGAAGCAAAAAGGTCGTTGCATCGATATGAGACCGATGGTACCGTGGACTATTCCAGAAAATAAAGTGTTCTCGATAAATCTTACCTGAAGGGCTATATGCTCTGGTTCGTCAATTCAAAAGCATACCGCACGTTGGATCTTTACGATATGTCTGGATTGACCTATTTTGCATCCCCCAATTGCAACCCCCAAGATGCATCAGCGAAAGCAAAAGAAGAGATCGCTCAACCGGTAGAAATCTTTGACAATGCAATTATTGCTGTTTTCTGGTCCAATACAACGAGCTCGTGGAAATTTCTGGGTCAGATCATGTCGTGGGCAATACCTGATTCACTCCAACGTAGAGGTACCGCTGTATAGCGCTCTAAAGCTCCCCAAATACCTCTCACTTGCAAATACACCACTAGTCTATTCCCAGTGGTTGTCGTGGTAATTATGATGCTATTCTCAGTGAATATACAGATCTTCGTAACATCATATTTGTGCGGAGAGAGACCAACCAAGCCTATCCCGGTGACCCTCAGACAACAGGGATACAATACAGCCTTGTATATCATTATTGAATTATGCTTCAATTGATCTTAGGCGTATAAACAACATAAATGCATCGATTTGTCTTGATTCTATAATTTGAAAAATTACATCATCTGCTTGGTGGAGATTCTCACGAATAATAATCAGGGTTTTCTTCCAAGGTCCTTCCACTTCAGGATGAATGTGAACAGCCCAAGCCTATTCTATGAGAATCACCTTGAAGCTTTGAGTCCTAACGTAAATTTGATCCCACAGCATAGGTATGCAGTTTTCATACCTTGGCTGTCCCTTCAAGTGGATGTGATGTCTACACCAGGCCTGATTTAGTATCGACATGAATTTGTATATTCGCATAAGAATCATTGATTATACACGCAAAACGGAACTAATTTTTGAGCTTCCACCTCGAAGCACATATCATTTATGTACCAGTAATTTCTTACAGACGCTTCAGCACATCGTCAAGGACCTGCTGGGTAGTAGCCTTGCCGCCCATATCGGGAGACAGGAACTTAGCCTCATCCAGGTTGCCGTCAACAGCAGTGTAGATCTTAGCAGCAGCAGCCTCCTCGCCGAGGAACTCCAGCATCAGAGCAACACTGCGCAGAGTGGCAATGGGGTTGGCAATACCCTGACCCTCGATGTCAGGAGCGCTGCCGTGGCAAGGCTCACCGATAGCAAAGTTGTCACCAACGTTGGCGCTGGGAACAAGACCAAGACTGCCAACAAGGGCAGCAGCACCGTCAGACAGAATGTCACCGTACAGGTTGGGGGCAACAATGACATCGTAGTACTCGGGCTGGCGGAAAAGCTTGTAGACCATGGAGTCGACAATCTGCTCCTCAACGTGGATGGAGGAGAACTTCTCGGCGGCGAGCGCGCGGCGAGCAGTCTCACGGAACAGACCATCAGTCTGGGACAGGACGTTCGACTTGTGGGTGATGGTCACCATGGGAGAGGAGTGGACCGAGGGAATGGAGGAGGTGGAGCGGATGTTCTGGCGACGCAGAGCGATCTCACCGGCGATGTTGGAGATGCGGTAGGAGGCACGCTCGGAGATTCGCTTGATCGCCTCGGCGACCTTGCCCTCGGGGGTGTCCTTGGTCGTCTCCTCCTTCACGTACAGGTCCTCGGTGTTCTCGCGGACGATGACAAGGTCAATGGGCTTGCCGTTGCTGCTGCCGGCGGTGGTCTTGACGGGACGCACATTGGCGTACAGGTCGAGCTTCTTGCGCAGGGCAACGATGGGTGACGAGTAGCCAGCGACCTTGGTGCTCGGGGAGCTAAGGGACGTGTCAAGGTTAGCAATCTGCTAGGTGCAATGGGTACTTCAGTAACTTGGCTTACCTGACAGCACCGAAGAGAGCACCATCACACTCCTTCTTGAGAGTGTCGACGGTCTTGTCGGGCAGAGCGGAGCCGGTGCGCTGGAAGGTATCGAAACCAGCCTCGAGGTCGACGAAGCTGAACTTCAGGCCCAGCGATGAGGGGAGAGACTCCAGGACACGACGACCGGCCTATTTCCCAGCAATTGAGGCTATGGTCAGCGAATTGATTCTGTTTTGGCCGTGCTCGTGCAATAATTACGTACCGGGATCACCTCCCGTCCGATGCCGTCACCGGGGATGAGACCTATGCAGGGGCCGATTAGCTTCGATTTCACCACAGACAGGACTCCAGACGCCAAAACAGCTCTTACCAATGCGAAGAGTACGAGCAGCAGCAGCCATTGTGATTTGTTCAGAGTTGCTTCCTGATTTCGAGGATTGGCCGTCATCGGAGCTTTGTCTTTTTGTACGCCGAGCCGGGTGATTGTTGATCCCACTCCGAGCTCCGGGCCTCGGGAGTATAACGCCATCGGACGACGCAGCACTACCGTGAACTGTAAGCATTTACTATTATGATAAATTTGCGATTTGATGAATGACATTCGGCTTGTTCATAAAGAAATAAATAAAGAAATGAATGAAAGAATTAAAGCGCGTCCACAGCAGGGATCGATCCGCAAGCAAAAAGAAACACAGGCTGGCTTACGGAGGAATCTGACAACCAAATAGAAGACAATTGGTTTAGATTGGTGATGGTCCTGCATTTCCCTACTTAGTAACTAGCCCTCTGTTCTCTTAGCACTTATTCACCAATTTCATAGTTCATTGTACACACTGACTAGTTGTAGCAGCCTTGACAGGTGATAGCCATAAGAATCTCTAACACTGATATAACGTATATCACTATGTAATGTAGTGGGGACCCTCGGTTCCTACTGCTGCTTACATTACTTTACTTCACTATTGTCTCAGGTGCGTTTTGCTTATATTAATACTAGATAGCGATAGATTAAGAATACGCTCCAACATTTACCAGACCATACCATCGTCGTGGTTGATTGGCTGGTTAAAATCGCAATTTGGGGGCCAAAAAATTGCAATCCAGAAAGGGGCATGAGTAAAGGCTGTACAGACGCTAAGCATTGAGGCGTACAGCCACCAGGAACAAGTGGAGAAGTTGTGTACGGGACACATCACACAGCTCACTGTCAGCTCCCACCGGTTGCTTCGATGTATTTGGTTTTCTATGTATCTGGACCTTAGAAGTCCCCTGAAGGTTCGAATATTTTGATTCCTCCTAAGTTGATGTCATACATAGATACCATAATAGACATTTGCTATTTCACCTACATCTTACCAATCATAGGTAAGGCTGCATGTGGGTACCTGCCCCTCTTTCCCAACCCCAGTGGCAAAGGCTCCCCCGCTAAATGAATGTATTAGATTAAAATATATTTTACCCGATACCCCTCGCCTGGTTCTTCTACTTTCCAACAATATTGTATCAATATGGCCGACGGATACTCCAAAGAGGATGGGCCAAGTGAAGCGCCCCCTGGTATGATGGGCGGATTAACCTACTGCGATAGCCTCAGCGAGGTCACTGTTCGTTCTCGGAATATACTAGAGAAATGGAGCAACATCCCCGCCAGTGAGGTTGTTAAGCATGTTAATGACGTGGTATGTTACACGTTCTTCTCTCCAGTCTGTTGGAAGTCTAATTAGATACTGACAGTATATCTAGAGGGATCGCGCCTACAAAGTGGTATGTTAGAATTATAAGGGATTTTTCGCCTGAGAAGTATAAACAAAACGGATAAGATATCGCTTGCTAAACTTTGAATGTGTCATAGTTTCCTTGGCCATCTATCGGTCTTTATCAATTTTTAAGCATCTATATGCTAGACTTTGACTGTTACCCCGAAATTTTGGAGTCGATCAAGAAAGGGGCCCTTTTTCTGGATTTGGGGTGCTGCTTCGCGCAGGAGGTGCGCCAAGTGGTAAGTTCTTTTGAAAAGCTATAAAAAATCTAATGCTTATTGTATACATCTGTAGATTTTAGATGGAGCGCCTCCATCGAATGTTTTTGGGGCAGACTTATCCAGTGACTTCATGAGCTTAGGCTATGATCTCTTCCTTGATAACGAGAAGCTCGGTACTCGATTTATCCAAAGCGATGTTTTCGATGACCAGTCAGCCCTCAGAACAGAGTTTAATGGTCGATTCGAGGTGATTCACGCTAGCAATTTTTTCCATGTCTGGGAGTGGGGGAAGACAATTGAAGCCGCCAAACATGCCGTCAATCTACTCAGCAGCAAACCTGGATCAGTCATTCTGGGAACGCAAGTGGGTACCAAAAGGGCCAGGAAGGTGGTATTTCCTCACATGAAAGGCAGATGTGCATTTTTTCAAAACCCGACAACTTGGAAAAAGCTTTGGGGTGTGGTTCAACAGGAAATGGGTATTCAGCTCGATGTCCAGGTCACTGAATCTTATATTCCCGATAAAGATGAGTTTGGATGGCCTGAAGAGCTTGAATTCACCCGCTTACACTTTGTTATAAGAAGAGTTTCTTGAACCGAGAATTCATTGGAGAGTAATTGTTATCTTAAATGAATATGTAATCACCAGAACTTGATATGGCTGTAGTCTTAATAATAGTAGGCTTAGTAGTTCTATAGGTCATTATCATAACCCATGCAACTTTAGGCTACTCCTAACCTATAGGAGTAGGTAGAATAAACCTTATATTTCAATTAGGCCTTAAAGTAACCCATAGGCGGCCCTTAGAGCGTCACCTATAGACTCGCCTATATATAGGTTAAGGGCTAGTCTGGCCTAACCTACAGGGGTAGGAGAAATAAACCTTATTCCTTTTATAAAAACACTTTTACTAGAGGGGGGAAAAAAGAGGGTTAGGGCTTATTCCTGAGGAAAAGGTACTTTGATTCCTTTCCTAAACCACGTCGGTTCGCGCTAAAATCTAGAGAAATTCTAAGTTACCTGATTTTATTGATATAGACCTAGATTTAAGAAAAAGAATAAGTTAGAAAAGTGGTAAGATTAAAATAAAAATGTAGAGGTATTTCTAATAGGGTAAAGTATGGAAATTTATTAATATTTCCTATAATCTGTATAGATTATATACAGTTGTTACACCTCTCTTACTCGACCCCAACGGGTGCTTCACTACCCTTTGGGCGCTATGATTACTAGTCTGGGTGGTGATTATCTTGCTGGATCGACCCGCATATCGTCAGAGGGTGCAGCCATCGAGCAGTCCCCTCTTCAATACTTATACCAATTCTTCCCAACGCGAAGAAAATGCTAGTAGTACCATATAATGAATTTACATTCAGGTTTGGGTTTCTGGTTTTGAGCTGGCCTGATTGATCCCAACATATGTAGCCAGGGTCAAGGAAAGAAAGTCTATCGAGTTATATATACTGTAGAATGAGATTAAGATCTAAGTTACAGCCACCTGAAACCAATATACACCATTCCAAGGGCTCATATATCACTATCCGAGCCTCTTCTCGCTCAAGCTTGGTATAAATCTGTTTGTGGCAACTCTCATCTTGAAGTCCTGTCGGGTCACGATGCTCTTGAAGCGTGTTAGTACCATCATTATAACCCTAGAAGGATTGGAAAAGACACGATACCTCTTCAACAGTACCTCGCATGATATAGTGAGTGATGATCACTGAATTGCGTTGGTCAAGGCGAACTACGCGCCCTATCGCCTGCTTCTCCACCATCGGGTTCTACGATGGCTCCAGAATATGTACTTGCGTCGCAATGAGTCTGTTGAAGTAATGAATTACATTAATCTAGCAGAATTCCATAGTTGTCTCATCAAGGCCACTATGAGGATATTGTCCGGGCAACAACACTGTCTTTCAATATCTCTACCCTTCTCCACTGCTACCTTCGGCTTCTTACTCTACCGAGGGGTCTGGATATATCACACTCACCTTATGAATTCTCAAGTACACTAATATCGTTACTAACAATTTTCAATAGACTGATCTCAATTCACCCTCCACTTTTTGCTATTTAAGACCCACTAGCTGCCACTCTAGCATCTGAGCCTTTCGATATCTTCTCTTTGCTAATGAGGATACAAGACAACCTACTAACTCATGCTACTATGGGTGAGTAGACGGAATAGTAAAGCAGAGAGCCAGGGAGGATCATCAAAACAATAAAAAGAGTCAGGAAAAGGGAACAAGTGAAGTGCGTCAGACCATTCGATCCTTTCTCTTTGATTTTTGATTTCTTGATTAAGATTTGTGCAACCATAAAGCTCAACCAAGAAGAATAAAATACTTGCCTGATGTCAATCCCCAGGGCGATACATATGGCTTACTACTCTTGAGGGCAATCTATACAGGCGGTGCTTATATAGTGATAATTCTTCTCCACGCTGGCGCAAATATGCTCTTTTCTGATGAACTCGACCAAACTTCTCTTCAAGCGCTGAGTTGTGATACAGTAAGTTTCAAAAACACATGAAATTTAAGGCAGGGTAAGATAGGATATGGAAATGCCCAGGTGGATGCTAGCAGTTCGCAAACCGCGCCCAAGTGTGCCAGTAACATATCACGAAGTTGGTACGCCTAGACAATTAGGAGTGCGAACCTGTGAGATTATGGCGTATATGGCATTCGTGTCGCCTCGAAAATGACCCTGGTGATGAATAAAAAGTCGCGATTGCCGGCTTTCTTTGACCGCGCTGGGCTTCCCAGGAATCAATGCCCCTTTGAACAGTTCATGCACTCTGCTAATAGCGCTTTAGATATATCATTAAGGATTCGTACCTCTCTATAGTATTCCATGCTACTGCAGGCTTCATATTCATGTCTGGAGTCCAGACATCTGAAGCATGTCAGTGATGGAACCCTCGAGCATCAGTCGCAACGTTTTTTGGGCACCTTTGCTGCAGCCGCTGACATTTGTTCTTTCAATGTGGGTATGAGATCCCGACTTGATGCTATTTTTTTGATATTAGAATATAATTTTATTCTACATCGAAAAATTCGGATCAAACGTGGAACCAAAGCCGTCAAACCCGAATAGCGTCAGGTATTGCTCAGAATATTCGAGCAGCGATGGTTCCAGGTCCGCGAGCAGATTCATGTCAAGAGGGGCAATATCAGGGGCGGCGTTGTAATAAGAAGAATCATTCGCAGCAGCAACGTGTGGCAAGTCCTTGGCAAGATTTAGGAAATCGTTTGGCAATAAATTCTGGCCAGGGGTTGCCAGGGATGATAGCTGCTGGTCAAGAATACCGTCTCTACCAGCCATGCCAGTAGCCTTATAAACTCCTTCTTGCAGGCGTTCAACAAGTCGTAGTGCGTTCATCGCCAACGTACTGCCATTCGCCATAAAGCCCAGGGCCTCTATGCCACAAGAGATGGGCAACAATTGATCATAGGAAGGTCGTAGTAAAACGTTCAAAAGGAGCACGATGACAGCCGAGCTGCAAGTGTGAATGTCTGTAAAGGAGTATGTGGCGAGCAGTTTACGGCTGTGCAACTGACCAATCCAGTTGATGACTATGATGGCCGACTCTTTGCATCGTTCCGCCAGGTTCTGTGATCGGAGATATATCTTATCGCACTCGGAGCTTCTCGAGTCAGTGGCCATAGGATACAGTCGTCTACGAACAAGACGTAGTGTAGCTCCGCGGCCGATGTTGACCCAAACCATGTTGTACACGATATTAAGGTGAGCATTAGCTCGAAATGTAGACTCCTGGGCCAATAGGAAGTGAGCTGGAACTGATTGTTTCCAAGATTCCAGCTTGCAGCAAGCCCATTCATAGGTCGTAGAGCTTTGTTCAATGGGGCTATGTGTCCATGTTAGAAATTGCGAGATATATCGTGAGGTCGGGTGTCTTTCCTACGAACCCGGCGTTGATGATTTCGTCCATTACCATTGTCAACGTGGTGAATGTGACGAGGCGATCCGCTCGCTGAGAGCCGGGTTGATCTAGGTCCTGTCGCTTTTGCGGGAGGGAGACTGTAATGTCTTTTAGTTGTAGCATGGTTGGAAGCCCCATGATGACGGATGTCTGACTAGATATGCTGTTACTTTTAAGTACTTTTGGGACTAGCGCTACTGGGCTTACCGTTCAATGCTATAGATGGTCCAAAACAGTCGGACTTTCATTTCATGAGCTTGAGGCGTCTCGTGGTCTCCTATTTCCTTACGGTGCAACCAGAGACCGACGGCCAAATTCAAAGCCAGGCCCAGGTATATATGGTGGTGAGGTATGTCCTCAGTTGCAAGAAGGTACAAAGATGTCAAAAGACAGCATATCGCACTCTCGACTGAGTTAGCTGCAATCACTCTCGGCATAAGCTTTGTGGCTTGCACGAATAACGTGCTACCTGGAATCCCTCGGTCGGTATTGAGCAGGTTGACCGGCCTGAATAGATGCTCAAAGGTACTCCCAAGTGCCAAGACGAGGAACACAAGACAAATAGTGGTACATTTCTTCTGCTGCGGTGCACAAGCTTTGTTCGTGTACATCTCTGTGAGCAAATTGCGAAACCATTTTTCGTCAAAATAGTACCAGTTGGATTCGAGAAACGTGAAGAACACGTCAACAAGGACTTGGGCGTCTTCATAGGGTGGAAGATGGTTGAAAGTGGTGTTAAGCACAGAATCGTCCTCTTCTTGGGCAAGACTGCTTAGGTGTACAGGACCCTGTTAAAAGTTAGCCAGAACCTCTTAAAGCAAGGTTCGAGGGCACAAGGTGATGAGCGTCAATTACATCTTGGGCTTTGATATGTACTGGTGAGATTGTGTCAGAGACTGCCGCTAGAAAGCTGGCATGAGATGCCGAAGGCGAACTATCTGTCAACTCAATCAGCGAATAATTCGAGTTGGCAGGGAAATTCTTCATCTATACGTACCTACTATTTCTGTAGCTGATGGACCAATGGATTGAGACTCCATATTGACTCTTAACCGAGAAATCTGATGAGCTGAAGTGGATGATTCCCCGCCAGGACTATTGCTTTCGGGAACTAAGCCTTGTTCATTCCTTTGAAGAGCCTCCTGGAAGAGCTTTGAGACTACTGAAAACATTTCAGAATCCAATTTGACGCCGGGGAATTTTTCATGGAAGCTCCGAGAGACGTCCATAGCTACCGCCTCCCAGACTGGGCTACGTGGGAGAGAATTAGTGAACGCACTTTCCACGAGTTGATTAGAGAGGATAGTTGAAGGATTGACTGACTTGTTCCATTTTAGTGATTCCTGTAAGACTGCATCCTCCCGGTTTGTGGGTTTCGGTTCGAAAATGCAGACCTGACCGGCGCGAGTGCAACTTTGGCACTGATTTGCAGAAGTCAGAATGCACTTCTTCTTGCCATCCCGACAAGCGATGCATGCTCGTACGGCCCTCTTACGCTTATCTAAAGGAACGTGCGGGCGGTATCTTTTTGATGTGCGTGTTGGTGGAGGCATGGTAGACCCGTTCGATCTGGTCAGTGCGACGACCAGACCAGTGCAGCATCAAGATTTAATGGACTATAATGGAGTATCAGATGCGTTTCATTACATAG